AGTCCTGCCGAATCGGAATGTTTGGGTCCAGGTAGCCGGCTGTGCCTCTACCATGTGATAAAATCCGTTGTGGTGTTACTGCGTTGTCCGCAGCTGCGCTGCTTTTGGCCATTCGCGTCTGAGTCAACAGCCTCTCCAAGCTCAACACGAGGCATTGCTTCCGCGGGTTCTTCAAGCAGAAGGTTACCAATTAAGCCAGAGGCTTCTCAAAGCTGCTTAGTGACGCCGCTGCATAAAACAAGCGGCCTGCCCGACCCCGAACAGTGGGTGCCAAAGGATGGAGTACCTGTTTACAATGACATAGGAGGGTTTCTGCATGCGCTGCAGCTACTGGAAATTACTGGGACGACCATCAGGCGGGTACTCAGCGACCAGGGCGGTGCAGTGGAACTTCGCTACAAGCAGAGGCTGCAGGCCGTGCGTGCCAGGATTTACGCGAAGCTGAAGAAGGTGCAAAGCATGCTGCAGATAAACTTTCCTTATGTGCGCCACGACATCAGCAGCGCGTTAGAGTCGGCGCTCGCGAGGGCGAGGAGCATGACGGAAACCACGAGCGTTTGTGTTTTGCCGGAGAGCAGAAGTGACGCGTCCTCCACAAGGCAAGAGGCCGGATTGGAGCTTGCTGAGATTTTGACGACACGCCTAGAGCAGTTCGAGAAAGCCGAATTTGCTGACATAGCTTTGTTACTTAAGGAAATTGAGAATCGACAATGGACCCGCATAATGGAGACGCTGGACGCGAACGAAAAAGGGGTCGTTGTGAAGAAAAAGTGTCGCGCGCAGGCGCCAGATCGCTTTATGAGAGAGTACAGCAGGTCGATTCGGGAGAGTACAGGCATAGAAGCGGGTGCCAACTACGCGCTTGCAGCCGCTGTTCGAAAGCAAATCCGCGTCACGTTGGACGCGAAGATGTTTAGCTGTTACAACTGTTCGGCCATGCGTGACAAGCGAGAAATGGGAACCCAGTCCGAGAGGTTGCAGAAGTATTACTCAGAGTCTTTGAACATTGACGGGGGTCTTTTCTGCAACGTGTGCTTGAATCTGTTTATGGAAGGAGAGCCACCTCAGATTAAGCGAAGCGAGAGCTTGGAGTCGATCGACAGCGATGATTTCCCTCTTATCATTTCGAAAACTACGCACCAGCAGGCAGCAGGGCCGTCGTCGTCGTCACGAGAGGCCGAGGGGTGCTCACATCAAGAAGCGCTTTCCGCAGCCGAAGGAACAAGCGCACCCTGTGCGACATCCTCCTCCCGGAAGAAAAAGAAAAACAGGAAAAGGAGAAAAGGCAAGGCAGGTGCCGCTCAACATAATCTTCAAGTGGATGACTTTAATATGATACATTTGCCTTACGAAAGCATTGAAGATGCGAACGATTCAGGAACACAGGGTGAAATCGAAGCGCAGGAGCCAGAGGAAAGAAGTATTCATACTCTCGATGCTGATAATTTTGTGCGGAGGCCCTCGTGTAGAAGGTCGGCATCAGATGTAAAACATGAGAAGCAGGAACAGGTGGAAGCGCAGTGTCTCGTAAAAGTGGGCCTTGGAATGACTGCGCAAGAGGATGCTGTATATCTGAGCGAACCCGCGTCAGAACCCGAGAGCGAGGATTTGATGCGATCAAATAATCCGATACCTCCCAGCACCAGCACCCAGGAGATGGCTTCTGCTCTTGGAAGTGCTAGCGGGATCATCTCCTCATCGTCTACTTCACCACCAGCCGCAATGCCAGCTGAAGCAGGACCCACCTTTTCGCCTGCGTCGCTCTCTCGCACTTCTGCTCCTACGGTTCTCGCAGCTACCACAAAGAAAGGCAAGAAGGGAAAGAAGTTAGCAAAGAATGCCGAGGTAACATCTTTACTACAGCTAGGCAGTACCAATGGACGAGGACCTGTTTTATCAAGCAGCAGCTGTTCATTTAGCTCGGGTCCTGTGGCACCAGTTGCAGTTCCGATGTCAAATCGAGAGAAAAAGCGCCAGGCCAGAAGACTCGCAGAAGAACAGCAAACGGTGGAACAAGCACCCGCCCTCAGTACTGCTGGAAAACCTGAGACGAGAGCGACGGAAATAGGTACGTCGCCAACTACAACCCAAGATGAAAGGATTGAAGAGCTAGAAATTGGAGTGAAGAGCGAGAGAGTCGGATCCGAGACAAAAAAGAGCATCAAAAACTTCGCAATCTCAGTAACGAGTCCAGTCTCGCATGCGGCCAGTGGTGCCCACAATAATGATGCGACAGGATCTTGCGGGACGCCAGTGCGTGGACGGCGCGACCTCGATCACAAACACAATGCTTCATTAACGCTAACACTATTATCCGAGCGACCCAGCGAGCCCGCCTGTGAGGTGAAAGAAATCCCGTCGCAGGCAGATGAGAAGAACAAGGATGAACATAACATCAACGCGACACTCTTAACCGGCATTTCCTCTGAAGGAGATGAGGGACTCGCGGGGGGGCCTTTGTCTTTGGCTCAGCATAGTGCGAGCCGTTTTCTCGACGTTTTATCAGAGATGGGTCTCGCAGATTTAGTGACGAACAACGAATGGGACGTTTTGGAAGACCTATTTCTCCAACACCAACGTGCAGAAAAAAACAAGCTGATGGACCCGGCTACCGTTATAACAACACGATCCTCACCAAGAGACATAGAGAGCTCTACGCCAGATGGCCTACGCGGTTCTACTGGAGCTTTCCTTCCTTCACGAAACAGTGCTGCGACAGCACTAGAGAGCGCCGGCTCGGCAGCTGCTGTAGTTTCTAGTCATCCAGGTGTTTCGCCCTGGGTGAGCCATGAGGCGCATGCCAGTGCGTTCTACTCGGAGCACCGCATTTCGTCTTTGCTGCCTCAGCTCCTGGCTCAAAGGCAAAGAACCGGTCCAATCGCACAGGCTCAGCGTGCTCTGTCAGCGTCGGTTGCATCAGCAGGCGGCCACAAGCTCAGTCAGCAGGGCCTTGCCTCCGAAGATCGAGTGATCCCTCCTAGTCCAGCAAGTCATGCAGCTAGCCTCCCTCCTCTTGCACTGCGCGAAATCACAGACCGAGTGGCCGCCGGCGACTCGGAGCCCGCAAACCCGCTTTCGGCCTCACCGGTGTGTTCGGAAAGAGGTACACGACGGGAAGAGGACGAAGGGAACGCCACGACTCAGGTGACGTCAGCAGCGACAAGCCGGAGTTCTGGATCGATCAACAAAACCGGGGATCAGGTGCCAGCCGCTGATGTTGAACTTGAGTTTAAGTCTGTCGTGACACGCAAAAGACGCAGCAAGTCCGCAAGCAAATCAAAAAGCAAACTCGAGAAATTGCTGTCTCTTGCATCCGCTTCTTCGGGACCAAGTTCCAGTTCTCAGCAGCAGCAACAGGAGGTGGCGACAGTGATCCGTAGTTTGACAGCGTCCTCTGCATCTGCTGTCACCTCCAACAAGGAGTCGGAGGAATCTTCTGACGGACTGCTTACCCTGGAGCAGCTACAGCAACACGTGACGCAGAAAGAGGACGGCCAGTGGTACTTCCGGAAGTCGGTCGTTGACTTCAAGAAAAATGCACAGCACATGTGCCGTAATCTTCGCGAGTGCTCGCTCGGACCGCGCTGTCCAGACGCACACTGTGGCGAGGAAATGCGGGCACAGACTGCGGGAGCCCTAGAGGCAGAGAAGTCTCGACTTTGGGTGAAGTATAAGGTGAATGCGGATTGCTCTTACGCTTACTCGAGGTTGAGCCACACGGAAAGGACGTTGCTATTGGCGGATCTGGATCAGCATCTTGCAGCCAAGAGCATTCAGAGTTACAATGGCGTACTGATGACCAAAATCCGCAACATTTGCTGCAATCGCGTGCTTTTTTGTGAGTGGCGCGATAACAAGGAAGTGGTTCCGTCCGAGGCACTCTTTATGGCTATTCACGGCAAAGACCTGGACCCGAGCTCTAAGCGCGACTTTCAGAGACTATCAGCGATTGAGAGAATCGTCATTTTGCGGGAGGGTCCGCTACATTGGAGCAGCAATCCCTCTGCTACTCTGACGAGTTACATCAAGAAACTGCATTCGGGAGAGTGGGCGTCAAAGGTATTACGCGAACACACGTGGGAAAAGGAACGTCAAGCGAAAATAAAAGACGAAGCTGCTCCGACTCCCGTAGCAATTACGGCTAGCCATGTTGACGGATCGTCTTCAAGTAGCAGCTCGTCGTCATCGTCCTCTCCCCTCGCAGGTGGAGTGGGCCATAATCATCTCAAAGAGAGTGCCACAAGGTCATCAGCTTTGGCCGCTACTGCCACGTCGGCTACACCTAGTGTCCCAGAAATTTTACAACTGGATGAAAAAGCCGAAGTCAAAGCAGGGGGTTCAGGCGAGCAGACGAGGAAAACCCGGGACATAAGTGTCGCGAACGTTCCACCCGCGAATGCCATGAAGGATCATGAAGCAACACGAGGAACACTGCGAAGGGAGACGCCGCATACCACGTCGCACGGAAAACACGCTGCAGGCGCTTCACTGCTGGCGCCGACAATAATCTCGGGTCTTCAGAGCAGCAGCAACACCAGCAGCTTTTCGACACTTTCTCAACAGAGCCAGAGGCCCTTGCCACCTCATCATGCTCCTTCAGCGCCACCTTATAAGGCGTCGGCAATAGCAGGAGGCAAGCCTCCACCTCCTCCACCAACAACGTTGCCACCAGCAGCGGGTGCTGGTGGCGGTTGTGAGCGTTCCCTCATCGACCAGCTTCTTGTGGGTGAAAGTCCGTCAGGGAGCTCTACTTCAAGCAAAGCGAAGAGGAGCGAGCGGCCACACCGGGATGCGTGGCCACTCTGCAACGCAGTGGCGCACGCTCTTGAAAGGGAGGGCGAGCAGGTTGCAGTTGTTAAGGGGGAGACACCCCTGCCCATGTGTGCAACGAAAGTGAAGGTGAACCGACCAGGAACAGACTACAAATCAAAATCAATGCTAAGCACTGCAGATAGCCGTGAGAGCAGAACTGATGTTTCTGCTTCTAGTACCAGCGCAGCCAGACCGGACGCGGAGGTCGACAGGAGGGATCCAGGAGAGGGGCCTGGACCTAATACGACTATGGCAATCGCCACGTTAGTGAGCTTGAGCGAAAGGCGTGGCCCAAAAACCAAGCGGCGAAACTCCGCGTCGACAAATACAAGTACCAGCACTAGAAGGTCTGGGTCGAAAACGAAGAACACCAAATCTGAACTACCACCTCCGCCCTCGAAGGAGCCTCCAGCGCCGCCTGCTGGTTTCAAAATATGGCGGCCTGTGGCGCAAAAGTCGGATCAGGCATTACAGAGCAGCACAGGCGCCACCACCACTTCCATCTCCGATGCCGGTGCGGTATCTACTTTTGCTGAAAGTGCGTCTTCCTCGAAAAATACGGCGACGGGGACGGCTGCGGGAGCGAATGAGTCGAGATCATCCTCGAAAGCCATCGTGACCACTGTGAGCAAGCCGCAGGAGATCATTAGCGCGCCGCCGGGTCTTGGCGAACCTAGTGAGGCGAAGCGAGAAAAGGGAGCCCTGTTGAGGGATCTTCCGTCCCGAGGTCCTCCAGCCGGGGTTGTTCCCAGAAGCCGGTTTGATGATTTCAAGTACGCAGTGGCTGCATCAGGCGCAGGTATGAAAGGTGGTGGAGGCGTCAACTCTACAAGCAGCGAATGGCAGACGTCGCAGCGAATGTCCTGGCAGGTAAAGCAAGCCGGTACCGAGAAGGACCACGGCGCTTCTACGTCTACGTGTCCCAGGGGGATGGAGCACACACAGCAGGCAGCATCCATGGCCAAGGAAGCAGCTCCTGGAAGGGCGCGAGCTATGCCGCCCACCAGTGATGATGATCGGAACAGGCTCAGCTCAGGCTCAGCAGGAACTGGATACGAGAGCAGCTCGACATGCGGTTCGTCGTCTAGAATCGATGGGGAACGACGGGGTGGAGGTCAGGCGCCGCATCGAAGAGGAGCAACGGCTTGTGTTCGCTCGACTTGTACTACGGTTTCCTTGTCCCCGCAGAAGCGTGGCGTCCCTCCAAACCAGCAAGTTGCCACTGAAAAGAGCGTGTGTACCTCGGTAGTAAAAACCCAGAGGAATGAAACAGGGCCGCTAAGTTGTACTTCCAGCATTGTTTCTGAGGCATTGCCTATTGCGGGTAACGTAGAAGTAGAAAAACACAGATTGCATCCAGGACTTGTATGTGCTTCACAATTACATGACGAGCAGCTGCAACAGGGACGGGTGGCTGATGGAGGCCAGGATGTATGTGATCCGGAGAATGGTGGCGGTGACTGCATCGTCGCATCAAGTACCGGAGCTGCAGGAGCAAGCGATGACAATGCGAGGAAGCTTGCTCTCGCTGGAGAGATTGGTTCTGCAACGAGTTCACATACAACTCGCGATGAAAACGGCGCAAAAGACCCCACAGCGGGCACGAGGACTGCGGATCCGTACAGTGTGTTTCGCGAACCCGGAGCAAGTGCGGCAGTGACGAAGGAGTACGGATGTGCGTATACAGGATTTTCATCCATCAGTACTGACCGGCACACTCACAGCGGCTATGGGACAGGAGGTGGAAAGGACTGCAACGCGGGTAAAGGTGCTCATGCATTTTCGAACAAGGGCAAAAAGTTTGTATCATCCAGCGCCAGCGCCAGCGCCAGCGCCAGCGCCAGCGCCAGCGCCAGCGCTTCGCAGTCGCATCCCCATCATCTTCATAGCCAAGCAAGAAGTGAAGACTCGAGCTATGGCATGGGAGGCTGCGGAAGCTTTTTTGGTGGTAAAGATAAGAACAAGGATGTAGTCATACACAAGAGTTCGCTTTTTGGCACCAGCTTATACAGCAGTAGCTCGTACAACAGTAAGGCGTCTACTGTTGGCGCCGGAAAGGAAAGCTCATATGCGACTAAAGGAAAGCAAGGCTCCGCGGCTTTCATGTATGCAATACAGAGCAAGCGTATGAGCGGAAAATCCTCTGTTGCTGCCTATCATTACAATAAGGCAACAGGCTCTCCGTCCCTAGTGACACCGCACACCAAGAAGAAAAGCTTCTCAAAGCAAGCTGGAAAGCCGCAAGATCCATCATCAAGTCTCGTTTCGTCTAAGGGGTGGAGCGAGGTTAGCGAGGGCACTAAGGGTGGCGGCGGCGGGCGCGCGTCTTCTTCGGCCAGTAGTGTTTCTGTTCCCGGAAAGGCCCCAGAGCAATCTCCTGTTTCCGGAACCAGTTCGCGTGCTTCGTCTGCCAGCAGCCACAAGGATAGGAGTGGCCATGACGCTGCTGCGCACAAGTGGAAGTCGAATGATGGCGCTGGTCAGGGGGTGACAGCTTTACCGCTTTCGACATCTGATTTGGACGCCGCACCGAATTCTGCAACCAGCTCTGTTGAAACAACACACACTGCAGCAGGACAGTCGAGCGGATATCCCCCAGCAGGAGGAGAGCACACCGGAAGCTGGAGTAGGCAACTTCTTGACTACGCGTACAGAAAAGGGACTGCAATGACAAACACCCGCAGCAAGGGCGGTGGCAAGAGCTATACGACCGCACACGCACAGGCACCGTACAATCGCACGAAAGGGAGTTTTGGCGCAGTTTCAGGCGGGTACGGTGGCGTCCCACCAACACTCGTTACTGGAGTATCAATGTTCGATCCTGCATCACATTGGTTTGCTTCGGGTGCACATCACAGTGGGGCCTTCGCTCTCGCGCCGTCATCTTACGAAGCCTTCCTTCAAAACTACACTGCAGGACACACCGGACCAACCGCAGCCGCAAGCGAGTGGGACCGAATAAATTACGAATATTACGTAAAACAGCATCACCAGCACTATTTGGCGTACTGCTACAACCGAGGCTCAACGCCAGTATCGCTAGGAGCAGGAGCGGCAGGAGGCCTGCCTGGGTATCGCAGTTTGCTGGGTAGTCCGCTGGCACCACCAGGTCTCCAGCATCCGGGAGAGGCCGCATCTCTGCATGCGTATGCAATGTTACACAGCGTGGCTCCGCCCCCGGGTGTTGAATCTGCAGGACACCGGCAGAAAAGCGATTCGCCACACGATTTGTTAAAGAAAGCAGCGTCGACACTAAAGGAACCTGATGGCAGCCCCAGGGAGGAAGGTGTTTTCGCTGAGTCTTTGACTGACCCAGCAAGTGGAAGCACTGCGTTCGCGCCTAGCAAAGATCGCCCAAGCAATGAAGTAGGTCAGAGCCTAGTGCCAGGCCCTGCATCGGCAGATAGTACCAAAGCTGGAGGAGTTTCATCAGCCGATCATGCGAGACTGGTCGTCGGGCCACCGCCGGGCTTAGAGGGGGATCCTGCTCTGGCGTCCTCAGTTCTGGATTCGGAGATGGAAGAGATAAACGCGCTCGTCCAAGAGGCGGAGCGAGAACAGAGAGTGGCAAAGGCGAAAGAGCTCGAGATAAAAGCTCGAAGGCAGGAGATTCTCAATCGAGCTGCAACACGAGTAGCACGTGCCACGACGCGAACGACTTCTGCAGCGCCTCGTTGTGAGGGCTCGGTCGCCGCCGCTGAAGAGACTAGTCGCCTACACACCGGCGGAAAAAATTTCCCTGACCCTGACCTTATGGAGTCGAGCTTGGCGCGCGCATTTCTCTTTGGTGGACCAGAGCGTGAGGACCACGACGCAGCTGCAGCAACCTGGTCCAACAGCACGGTGGCGACTGAGGGCCCAGTTACTTTTCCGCCCACGGTGACTCCTCTCGAGCCGCCAGGGCTCTTGCTTGTTGACGACGAGCACCACACCCAGATGCGAGACGAATTGAAGAAGACTTTATCCAGGGGCGGCCACGAAAATTTGTCGCGATGCCCAGTACCGGCAGTTGTCAGCACGAGTCCCGGCATGGTCGGTCATACGGTACATACTCCGAAGAACAGCAATAACGACTCTTCCATGGCGAACATGAAACGGTTGCTGAGTGTAGATACCAAAGCCCTGGCTGCAAGTGCAAGAGCCGCAACATGGCCTAGCCCAGCCGCACTACTCAGTGCCGAGGACGGCATTGGGGGCGCACATGAAAGGAATGACCTCCTAGGTAGAGCGGCGCCCCCTGCCACGCTGTCCGTATCAGCAGTAGCTGGTCCGGAACCGGAACAGGGTGAAAAAACGCGAATCAACCTGCTTCCGTTTCTCAACTCCGCGGCTTGTGATGAGCAGGCGCAGAGCACAGCAGCATCAATCCCTTCACTTCTGGCCTCTCCAGGGGCTACTGCCTCGACTGCAGGGCCACCACCATGCAGGGACGAGCTGCCGCGGCTGCAAGAGGACCATCACCAGGACGAAGTTGCGTCGGCTGAGCCATCGTTTCTTACTGAACCGATTACGACATCGTCGTCACTGCATAAACCCATAGGGGGTCGCTTTGGTCTAAACTATCTCAAAGACCTTGAAGATACGAAGCACTGGTGGGATGAAGACCCCAATCAAAATGCGTTGCCTGGTTGGTGGCCGATCGCTGGTACTCAACACCTACACGTTTTTTTCCATTTTTACCACTTATTGAAAATCGAAAGAAATGAAAGTTCCATGATTTTTTTCGTAACACAAACACAAATAATACACAGACTACTGCTGGGTGCATCTGCACCAACAAGAAGATGAGATCGTCAACAACTTATTCTTCGTGTAGCTTTAGGTTTAGGTTTAGCAACTCCGACAAGTCCGACAGTCATGAATATGATGAGCATTGGCACTCTAATCCACCAGGTGACATGGAGCAACAACCTTCAATACCAGAGCCAGAGAATGGAGCGGTGGATGCCCTTGACGTACAGCGGAATTCGCCGGAAAATGATTGCGCCAACGCCGGCTACACGTCACATGGAGTTTCGTACATTGACGCGGGATCATGTCAGGTAAAATGATTTGCGGAATAAAGCAGCACCAGGTTTTTTTAATCATTCATTTTTTCGACAACTACAGGTCCAAGTACGTGTAACTACTGGACATCTAGGACAACTCTAATTAAATCTATGTACAATTATTCATTTTTACGAGCAGAAAGCCAAAGCCAAAGGCAGCGTGGTTAGTGTTAAAGAATATGCCCGACGCTTTAGTCCGTTGTAGATATGTTAGTGTCGAGATGAAAAATTCTACGTTTTTTCATGGACTGAAATATGTTAAAGATTTCTAGATAGAAGACTTCCTGTCCGTAAGGTCCAAAATTGCGATACGACCAGGTTCAGTTTCCTTACAACGCAGTTGAGGGTGTAGATGGTCGACTCGAGAATGGTTATCTACCTCTAGTTGCGGGGGAAACGGTGCGATGCTTCGGCGGTCATCCTGAAGAGGGCAAGGGGCACAACCAGTATGAATCCTATTGCTACGCAGAAAAAGAAATCGATGGAACAAGAGGTTGGGTTCCAGTGGATTGCATAGACCTCCGCAAGGCAAATCCAAAAACTGCTTCTAGTACTTAGTACCCAATTTAGCTAAATTGATAGGGGCAACAAGATGAAAAGCAAAAGCCGGAGTTTCTGTGTGATGACATACAACTCAGAAAAAAGAAACAAATATCGCGGTGTTTTGTTGCAAACTTGTTTGACACTAGAGATGAAAAAATTAGAATTACCATTACTACAGAGGCAGATGATTTTTTTTATCACCTAGAAGTAGAACCAGAACGCGTGGCCGTGCTGGTCGTAGTACTAGTGACGGGCCACTTTTTAATTTTGGATTTCACGAGGCGAGGTGGAGTTTCGATTTCTAATTGCTAGATGAGCACGAAACCATAATCAACAAATTGAAATCTATTGGATTTAGATGATAGCCGGAATAACTATCTATGCATGATCGTTAAAGTTTTTGCGCCGTGGATGTTGTATTTAGACTACTTGGTAGATTTGATATTTCAATTTTGTTTGATGATGATGATGATGATGATGATGATGATGATTTGGAATTGATATCGCTGGTGCAAATATCGCAATCACATTCATTAGTATCGAGTATAAATCTGAAACTGAATTACAAATAATTTATATTTTGAGACCTGATTCATTCATTGGCAGAGCTATTATTTCAGGCTTGCACGCTCGAGAACTTTACTTTTCCGATATGAAAAATCGAATACTAGAAGGTAGCACGACCACACTACTGAATACTGACACAAATAAAACGACTCAAAGTATTTTAGAGGTAGAGCATTAGGAATGTAGGATCTTAGAAGAAAGCACTGGCTCGCTATCGCTGCAGCATAATCGGTGGCTTACAGAAGCAGGCGCCATAACAGCTATTCGGCCGTTGTCGCACCGCTTTTTAGTTCAGCAAGCAATTAGTACTCGCGAACTAGAACAACACTGACTGACAAGAAGAAATCGAATCGGAAGTTACATACAGCCCGTCGCGCTTGATGTTCGAGCTACTATCTCTTGACTCGGTCGTTAGTAATTCTAAACTTCGACCTAATGTCACCTGCTTTCGCTCTGAATCTTATTCTAATAGTCCGGATCCCTCCTTTTTCCTCGCCCCCAACGTGAAATGACATCTCGTTGACATCTATTTTTGACGCTACATAGATATAGAAGAGGTGTAAAAGTCCATCGCTTGAATTAAAGCGAATCGCAGAAAATGGATCGGACCTGCACCGCAAATGGCCGTAAAAGTCGCACAACAGAACGTCAACATTGCTATCTGCCTGTTTCTACCTGGTTTTTGCAAGAAATTGTTACGCACCCTGTGAGCAAATGGGTGCACACCGTTTCTTCTTTTCCTTCACTGATATGGTTTTATGCGGACCTGGTCCCGTCTATAGATATAAGGATGGTGCTATGATCGGACAAAAAAGATTGAGAGTTTTCCACGAGGAGGACGACGTTATCTTTCCACTGGTTGACCTACCAATGGAACTTGAACTAGCAACTTCTTACTTCGTTCCATGCATAAAGATAGCCTTTTTTTGCATAACAGATATAGGGTCGTTTCGCAATCCCAAACGTACTTTCTGTGTATATCTTCGAGAACTAAAAATAAATGTCATTTCTGCTGGTAATTGTACCAGCGAGGCTACAATATCTCATTTTAGATGGCGATAGATATGAAAGATGATTTCTTTCGCCATGGCAATAAGCTACATACTAAGATTCAGGGAGTGCGCATAGCGTGATGTCTTGTAATTTTTGAGTCGGCTATAGCTCTAGGTAAAAAAAGATACACACAGTGCAGCCCTTGTCGTTCGTAAGCACGTCATTTGTATTACCTTAGAAGGTCGCTCTTTTTGAGGTTGATTTAGTCCCCTCCCTATCATGATGACTGAAATAAAAAAATGGTTATGTTGGAATTGAAGAATTGAAAATACAAAGTAGAGTTGTACTGTGGGATTCATTTGAATTTCCACGGTCTTTAACATGGATTCTACCAGCGATCACGCAGCCAGCGGGTAAGATTTTTTTGAATGTCTTTTATGCGCCATCCTCTGGAGCAGGGATAGAAGAATATAGGGCTACTAAAAATCTAGTGCATTCCTGCAGTGTTTCATGAAAGGATGCTGACAAGGACTTGTGAACGACGTAGAAGATGTAACATGCCCGTGGCGTCCTTAGCGTGCATGATCGGCGTTTCTCTGTGTGTTAATTTGAGGAGCAGGCGTTCCTATTTTTAGTACTCTTATGTTGCTGATCCAGCTGCCTGAGTGATATTTGTGAGCGTCGAAAAGAATATGTCTTGTTCCACCCTACATCGAGAAGAAAAAGGAAAAAGAGAACTGCTCTTCATTTCGCTCAAAAAAAGATTGAAACTCACAAATTCCCCTTCCCAGTTTCTTACTTGTCGTAGGAGAGAAGTAGATGAAGGGTGCAAAACCGGAAAGAAGATCATCCGTGTGCGAATTACTGGAGTCGTGTCTACGACGGTCCTCGTCGGATTAGTTCAACGACAAGGCCGTCACGGACTAAAACGTTACTCAGGAGCATGTCATAACGGATGATGCAAAAAGGAAAACCTAGAAAGCAAATGGATGGTTCTATGTAGGATTCCGGAAGGACTGCGCTGGAAGTGGAAAGTGAAGGATTAGCTGCGATGTCTTAACTGCAAGAAGTGGAAGACTGAACTCCAAGGGGCGGAAACGTCACTACAGGCTAGAGCAAAAACAAAAAGGATTGACCTATATTTATAAAAAACACAACGAGAAGTGCCTAAAAAAGTTTAAAAAATAAAAGAAGGAAGTGCAACAATGAAGTCCTGTGAGCGACCTCTCGCTAGGTAAAGGAATGAGTGAGGGTGCTTATTCTACATTTTTTGTGTGGCTGACCTATGCATTATAGCTGTGCTCTCACTTGTGGAGGAATGATTCTTGATCTTGTATGAGGACGAGTTGGGCAGTCTCTTGCCTCGAGGACGACAATACGAGTCAAAATCACAGCACTAATTCCCTGGTGTGAAGCAAAAAGTACGAAGCAATTTGGAAATATCGACGAGGTCTCTATCGTCGATGTGCTTAGTTGTATACAACTATAAGTCTTGTTCTTTCTTCCCCAGTCTACAACCTGTTAGTAGTAGTACCAAGATGATGAACAAAGATCATCGATGGTGACGGAAATAGGCCTCACCACCTTGCTACTTACTTACTAGTACTAGTAGTAGTACCTCCTTGAAATTGAATAACATGGAGAAGGCACCACTGGCAGAGAATGGCGAGGCAGGTCCGTCAGGGTTGGAGACATTTTTCCTTCACGAAGCAGTCGAGGAGGATGCGGACGAGGCGGTTGATGAAGACTCTTTTTTCGATGATGTCGCCGAACTTCTCGGAGACGATCACGCGGGAGCCGAGGAGTTCGCCACCACGTCTGCGGACGAAGATGATGTGGACCACGGCGAGAGCAGAAGAGGCATCATCCAGGCTAAACTGTCAGGATCCGATGGCCAAACGGGAGCAGTGCTGGCCAGCAGTTCGCCGACAAAGCTGTTCTATATCGAGAAGGGCCCTCCTGACCTCGAAGAAGGTGAGGGACGTCGGCCGCCTTCAACAACAAGCGAAGGGATGAAAAGTGCGGCGCAAGAAGCGCAGGGAAGAAAAGGTGGGGGAAATGTTTTATTGTTTCATAGCGCTGGTGAGGGTGAGGGTGCAGCGCAAGGAGGCCTCACCGATGGGGAGCTCGCGCGTCCAACTTTATCGACGGAGCCTACAACAGTGGCGGAACGAAAAAATGATTCAGACCCGCAGGAGAATCCAGCGAGAACGATTTCGACTGCGTCTGCATCATCAAGTAGCAGCCTAGTCATAGACAGCGGTGCTGCTGCTGCGGGTGATTCAGCTTGTGTTTCTAGTGACGATATGGCAGTGTCGGAAGTCCCACACGCACAACAGGAGATGAACAAGCGCATATCTGCTTCTAGTACAACACCCGACATAGACAGCGACCGCGCTGGAGGTAGAGCTAACGGCATAACTAGCACAAGAACTGAAAAATCAGCAACCGGCACGACAGGGAGCGAAACGAAAAACGAAGCAAGCTGTGATGCAAATCAAGACGATGACTCTGAAAACCAGGAACAAAAAGATCAAGCTTGTAGAGGTAGTGCCGACATGAAGCCAACAAATCAAGTAGATCAAGATGGATCGCCGCCAGCAGACGAAGATCAACAGGAGCAAGTAGACGAGAAAGACGAATCCTCAAAGGAGCTGCCCTTAGCGACTTCAGAGCTACCAAAGAGTGAAAACACGGTGGAGGTCGGAAATGAATTGGGCGACCTCGAAGTAGAACAGTCACAGAAAACGGAAGGAAAAAACGCGAATTCCTCAAGCGCAAAGACGAGGAGCTCTAGTGCTTTGCGTGGTCGCGGAAGCAAACCAAAACAAACGAAGCCACGCTCAAAATCCTATCGAGTTCAAACCGGAGCAAAAACAAAAGCTAAGAATGGAGGCGCCAGTGATGGGAGTGCCAGTGTTTCGGGTACAGATGGCGACCAAACAGCTTCCTCCGCGTCTTCATCAGCTGCAGGTGCGCCGCTCGCGAGATCAGCATCGTCGCCGCTTCTGTACTACCCGGAAACAGATCGCGCTGCGCGATCAAAGGACCTCTCTGACCGGTTACGCAGTCTCGCACGGCCACGAGGTTTGGGGTCAGATCGGCCCATGCCGACTTCAAGTCATTACATCGATCGAAGCGAAGACAATAGTCCGGCCAGCCGAACCAGCCCCAGTGGGAGGGTACCCGACATTCAGTGCGTGTTTGAACTTACATGTAACTTGTGATCTAGTACTAGAACCAGTAAGTTGTAGATCCGGTTCCTGATATTCTTGCCGCTTTGGATTTGGGAGAAGAAGGACACAAGGCATTCTACTTACCAAAAACCTTTATTCTAGAAAGAGTTGTTGGACCAACAGGGTGAAAAGCAATTATGTCGTGCACCTTGAACTTTTTTTTTCATTTCTGGGAATCTTAGACTTAGACTCCCTAAACTTTCACTTGCTTACTCGATGAGCACCAACAACATCAGCGCTCTCCCATCGTCCGTCCGTCATTGCTGGTTCGCGTGCGACCCGTCAATTTGGAGGAGGAGGAGAAGAAATTCTTTGATTCCAATTGTACGTACGACCCGCAATTTGAATACGCCTACCCTCGAGACCAAATTCAAAAACTTTTCGAGAAAAACTCGGATATTGACACCAGCCTCATGCCAGAAAGCAAACGATTATGACGAAATGCTATTAAAGCTTGACCTGCACTTGCTGCTTGATCATGAGTTTAATTTTCTTCTACCTCCGCCTTCTTGACCTAGCTTACCTCGAAGATCAACATATGATTCATATCCGCTCTTGATCATGCTCTCTCATTCCATGAACACGACGATCGATGTCGTCAATTTTACTGAAAGACAATTAGCCACGGTTCGAAGCTGTATTGGCACTACCTCTCGTAGGTAAGTATAGATACAACTACATCCTTAACTAGTTACCAGCGATGTCATTGTCCCTCCATCCACCCTGCCTCCTTCTCTTTTATATGTCATTCTCGAGAAAGCGCTGGCGCAGTTCAAAGATGGCGATGACTACATGGCTGCACTGCACGGGACAGAACACTACACGCCTGATGAGCTTCGTGAATTTGTGATGGACTATCTACGCGAGTTGCGTCTTGAGGATAAGGTTAACCTCAAAATATCGAAAGCGGGACTTGCTGCGGCCTGTTGTACTTACGAAGTAGATACTAGGGAAAAAGGACATCCACGCTATTACTCATCAAGAACGAACATTGGATGAGGTCATTTCTTGCCCCTCGTCTACCTTCAGCTCCATCTCTATCTTTCAGTTTGTATCACATTCTCATCTTCGTTTTCTCTAAGATTGGAAAAACTTTGTGGATGGGCGCAATCAGTATGAAATTTCGCTTGCGGCTGGCAGTATGCCCAAAATCATGGCCCAGGGAATCTGCGACCACGAAATAGGAACTCATCTTCTGCGCATGATGAATGAGGATGTACAGGCTTGGAGCAATCTCAATGCTGTCGGAAACCGGAAGCGTTTCGGGTTACACTTAAATCCCTGGATAACGGAGGAGGGCCTGGCCACGCTTAACACGTTTTTCACTTTCAAGATCAAGCTGCTGTACCCACAAGCCATGCGGTATTATGCGGTATTTACTTACATCCTGATGCAGCTTTTCCATCGAAGTGTAAATAGGTGAGTCATGATGATCATGTCGTGAATAAGAACATGCCAACACAAAACCACGGTTTCATATGTGATAGTCAGATGCGTGTGGTATTCTTGTTATTTCTGTTTCTTGCCTGCGAGCGATTCGATCCTTCTTGATCACATCTTCGTTACTCCCTTTCGATAAAACATGTGGTACGCACCGCAGGTTTGTAGAGGAACGCAGCTTGGATTTGTGTCGCTTTTTCGTGAGATGCAGCCCTACGTGCCAGATGAACGCAAACGCTTTCGCCTATGCTGTCGTGTCAAACGTGGACTGCATAACACTGGACACCCAGTTAAGACCCGCAAGCATACTGTCCGGTTGTGAGCTCTCTGACTGCTGACTGTAAATTTGCTGTTATTGTTAGCGTTACGTCCTCTACATATGTATCCACGGCGCACAAGTATCTCTAATGCATGAAGCTTCTACATCGATCAAGCCTATTTCTTAGGAGCCGTGCAGATTCTGAGACGGCTCCACGAAATTCAGGACCTCAGTGTACTGTACGCTGGACAGGTATCAGTTTACAACCGTTACTAGCACTACCTCCGTCGTTAGGGCGGCGCCGGATCAGTACTAGAGTCACAACATATTAACTGGGACGTCACACTGATTCTTTTTGATTTAGTCTGCATCAATGCCGATGCTTTGTACAAAAAACGAAAAATCCAGATTGCGCTTCAGGAGTTGGACAAGGTGTTTTTCCTGATGCGAAGGGAGCTGATGCGACTGCCACACTGGTTGCGTTCCGCAAAGAAGACGAAGGAGTGGCTCGCACATTGTCAGGAGCTTCTGGAGGAGAACGAATTACAACATTTATACACCGACCGCGCCGTCAAGGAGACCTTTATTCGGCGCAACGTTGGTCCTTTACGCCAAACACGACAGTCTTTACCTGCAAAAGCAGTCAACGTTGGGGATCGCGTGGAGCAAGACGGTTCTTCGGTTATGAAAAATGCTCTTTGTGAATGTGATTCGTTGTCGGGGTCACAGCGTCAGTGTCAATTTTTATAGTACCGTAATCACAACATGTACAGTGCTCCTTGATCTGAGCTCATCACAAAGTTTTCATTGCTCGTTAATACGCTTATGCTTACGGGGATCTTCAATTTCAGTTTTGCTTTGATGTTCTCTCGTCTCTCTCTCTCTACAAACAGCGTCTTTTGTTCTAATAGTGAAGTTGCTGGGCGTCGTCGTGCCGCTAGTATGGATAACTCGAGCTATATGAACGCAACATCGGCGTCCTTGCGCCACAGCGTGAGCAGCAAGGAAATCCATAGTTCTAGTGCGTCGTCGAGCATCACACAACAAGAGGCCTTTGCTCCCACGAAAACACGTGCGGAGCAGCAGGAAGCAAGCAGACGGCTTGCGGAAGGGCGGCTCACCAGCGGGCGTTTCAAGTCAGCCGTACAAGACGTGATAAATAGCACCTCTTCCGCGTCGGGAAGTGGAGCAAAACGGGGTCTAGATCCTGGTCGCCTTTCTGCGCTGGCGCAGCCGAAGCGCGATACGAACGAAACTGCAGATGGAGACGCAAGTATGCAACAAGCCGCCAACGCCAGTGTCTCAGACCCCTCGCGTCTCCGCGATCTCGCTAGGCCGAAGCTGGCGAGCACGGCCGCTGAACCGGTAGCGCCGCCCGTCAAAAATGTAAGGTCGAAAAAGAAAAAATCGAAAAAGCACAAAAGCGGGGACCGGAGCGAGAGCGAGACTTCGTCCGCGTCATGTTCGGCTACCGAGGCGGACCCCGGGGAAGGCACACGGGTGAGTAATTTCAGCGCAGGATCTGCTTTCTCGCCAGCAAGTCCAAACAAAGACCGAGGCAGTACCTCGTTCCAAGTAGGTGGGAGCAGCAGTAGTTCGGCACCGTTGCGCAGCGGCGGTGCCTCTGGAGGGCTGACACCACTCCAAAGCGGCAGGTCGCAAGTAGGTTCTGCTGCCAATAGCCCTTCCCATCAGGGACGTCTTTCGAGTAGCAGTCTCGGTCCCCGCACACCGGTAGCTGGAAATCGAAGCCCACCCGGCAGACAGGGAAACTCACCAAATAGCGGCTCTCGTGTTTTGACTTCTCTGACAGGCGGATCTCCCGCAGCGGGATTGCGCAGGTCACCGCTTCGGCAACAGCAGGTTTTCGAATATGATCACCAATTGACTTCTAGTAGTTCAAGTGAAGAAGAACAGACTGTGGCCCAACCCTCACGCTCTTCAAAAGATGGCCCGCAAAATGTTGAGGATACGGAAGATAAACAGTTAAAGGCAGTTGCGGCTGATGAAGGAGTTGAGCGGGAAACATTTGGAGACAGTGCGCAGAAGAGGGAGGAACGACACCAAAGCGGCCTGACGACAGGATCAACTCTCAACTTTGCCAAAGGTTTTAATGCAAAAACGGAAAAGATCTGGCAGAATGCACAGCGGGGACAACGCCCACGAGCTGACACAACATTGACGGATCTGACTCTAGACGAAGACTTCCTACGAGAAGATCCAATGTCGGCTGAGGTATGCACCAAAGCGGGACCCCTGAAGAAGGCTGTTGCGGTACAAGTACAGTCAGCTATTTACTTGAAATGTTATGTGAATCTGTAACTGTATCTCCATCAAGTGGATTTTGATTGAGTCAGAAACCTTGAGTTTCCGGTTGATGCAACACAACAAGGTAGATTTAGATTGACACTATTGGATTCTTCTTGTACCCTAGGGAGATGGAAAAGCTTCCTTATTTGATTGATGTTGCACTTGCAGCGTTACCTTTCTCAGGTTCTCGAGCAAGCAAAGGGAGAGAAGATGAACGACGATGTTGTTGGTGACCTGGACGAAGACGATGGAACCTCGACGTGCGCCCTGTCCAGCTCGTGCTCCGCAGCCGAGTTCTCATTTTGCGGGCCTCTGCGGACACCCTTATCCGCGTCGTCTTCTGCATCATCGGCGGAAACAAGTGGGAGTCGTAGTAGTGGCACTGGTAGCGCTGCGAAATGTGACTTAACACAGGAATTCGAGTTACTAGGCAATACTAGGCAGCGTTCGCCGCTCTCCTCGAATAGTCCGAGTAAGGATGACAAGAATGACAATCCTCTGACGAATAAGGACGAGGGTCGCCCACCAGCGACATCGACGTCGACCGGTGGAGGAGCGCTTCGCCGAAGCTCGAAGGATTCGGAAAACTACCTTCTATCCCTTGCCGATCGGTTGTCCTCAGAGGTGACTACACAGTCGCAGCAGCTGCGTGGAGGCGCGCGGCCAACATTTGGCTCGAACTGGCGTCCTATGCCTGATATGCCGGTCTCGGAACTGGTTTTTCCCACGGTTTCTAAGCGGCAAACTGGTGCTCAATCTTCCGAAGATTCGCAAAACTATAAGCTTTCGTCGTCGGCGACGCAGAACAGTGGTAATAAGAATGATGCAATTCGAATTTTTCATAGAACAGAACAGTTTATCTTTATAGCACGAATGGCGAATGGGAATGGCACGGATGGCACGAATGGCGGCACCTTGAAAGGCCCAAAAGGGCCACGAATGGCACGAATGGAAAAGCTAAACAGGGGCTGCCTATGGGTGTCCTGGGTCGGACGGTATTCTAGCGGAAGATCTACCGATTGCCTACTGGCGGGCCGGCTCGTGGCGGAACAGGCCCCGATCACATTGGGGGGCGAGGGGGGGCCAGTGGGGTAAGCGGTGCGGGCAGAAGCGAAGCGGCCCAAGGCCGTCCTGCCCTTGAGGGTCCTGGCCGTGCTGCCGGGCAGGGTGGGGGCAGTATTGTCGTGTCCGGCCTTGGGCCTGCAGCGGTAGCGTGCCGGGCGCTCCGCTCATGGCCATGCATGACGCGAGGGTGTGGCTGAAGGTAGCTGTCCGGCACAGTAGGCGGCGGTAGCCTCACCCGGGAACCGGTGTCCACGAAAGTAAGTGGGGCGCCCTTCGGTCTCCTAGTAGGTGCTGACCAGAGGGCGGGTGGCACAGTTTACAGCTCGGTTTACAGCACGAATGGCGCATCCATGGGACGAATGGCATGAATGGCACACCCCAACCAACCCCAAATGTGTCACGAATGGCACGACTGGCACAGGCTGGCAGGGTTCCGCCAGCTGGCGCCCCTGGTCTCCTCCGCTTATCGAGTATGTAGGTCGTGCGTAAGTGATTCTTCCCATGAGGGAAGCCACGCCGGTCGACAAAGCCGGCAGCGAGCGAGGAGAGGGGGGCGCGAGTCCCCGGCAGGCTCCTCTACCGTTTTGAAAATGGCAAGGGAGCGGGCTAGGGAAACAGCGGAAGCCGCTTCGGAGGAGTGCAGAACTTCACGCAAGGCGCCGCGTGGGCCTCGTTTTTTGTCGGAATTTTGTGGGGGTCATACAAATTCGGACGAATTTACGTAACCCCCACGGAATTCCGGGAAGAAAATGCTGCGAGACCACCGGAGCGGCATTCATCGGGGTCCAGCTTAAAAACAGGCGTAGCCGCGTGCCTTGCGGTAGCCGTGACGACGAAGAAGGGAAGCAAGAGGTGGCGCCGAAGCATGGCGCCCCGCCCGTACCGGGGAGGCGGCCTTGGTATCATCTAGTTCTAGCGGAACTGTGTAAGGGGGTGTGCGTTTGGCTGAGTGCGGGGCTTGGCGCCCGAAGGGCGCCCTGCGCCCGCGGGGTTCTTGCCGGTCGGCATAGAGGGTCGAGCAGGAAGTGGCAACCTAGTGGAGGGAGCAACGCAGAAGGCCCGAAGGGCGCCCCGCTCTCGAAGGTCTATTTGGTCCACGAATGGGACGAGTGGCGAGGTCGATCGCGGTCACGGATTGCGCCCCCCCCATCCGTGCCATTCGATCCATGCCATCCCAGACCTGGAACCCTTATAAACTGCTCTACTATATATAAACTGCTCTATTGTGCGTTGTTCTTGCGCTGACGCTGACGCCTTTTATCAATATTGCATGTGAGTTGCCACAGCTGGTGCTTGTGAAACGTGAGGTTCTATAAATATGATATGTTCAATAACCAACACTAACATCATGACACCAGGTCAGCTCAATCTTAGTGGGGCTCCCTCCACTGTCGCTGCTCTCACTGCAAAAACAGTTGGCGAGACCAAAATTGAACAAGCGCCGGTAATCGGGAGCAGTGTGGTGAGCCTGAATGTAACTGCTAAAATCCCCCTCCCACGCGTGGCTTCCGAAGCTACTTGTAAGGATTCGTTTGCGCCTGCCACTTCGAGCACCTCCATAGTGCACTCCGCTCCTGGTATTACGACCAATGGCACGGATAAACCTACGACAGTGGTCGCGCCCGCTGCTTCATCTTCTGAAAATGGTGGCACGTCTAGTTTTCGAAGTCCCCGATCAGCATCAGCAGTACCGAATAGTACTAAGGGTTATTACAACATACTGACCAGGAAACCGCTAGAAACAGAAAAAAACTAAAAATGCCCTCAAGCGTTAACCCAACACCGCGCCCCTCATTAAGAGCGGGGCGCAGGCCCCACTGTAATAGGAAGACCGCGAGAGCGCTCCAGGCGCTTGCTTCTAGAGCAAGCGGACGCCTTCCCCCGGTCCCACCCGATGGTCGTCGGACCCTGGGGAGCGGCCTCCCGGACTCCTTGCCTCGGTGGGCTTGGCGCTCCCCATAGCAGTGAGAGGCGGCCATCTTTGTCGCACCTTGGTCAGAAAGGCCGGGACCATCCAACCAAGGACGCGGCACTGGAGCAGAGGCGTCGGCTTCTGCCTCGGGGTGTCCCTTGGCGTGGTGCATCGGCTGAAGGTGGCAGCCACCCTCCCCTTGAACGTCCTCGAAAAGGGTGCGCGAAAAAAAAAATTTTTGGCACCAAAGGGGGCCAACCCCTTGACCCCCTCTCTTTTCATTCTAGCGTTTCGGACGCGACTAGGATCTCCATTCTAGCGTTTCGGACGACCCCCGTTGCGCCGCCCCCTTTGGTCCCATTCTAGCGTTTCGGACGGGGCTTGAATGGAAGCTCCTAGCCGCCCGCCAGAGCGCCGCAGGCATGCGGGCAGACACTACTAACTGCCTGACGATCCCTCTGCCAATGCGCTGCCAAGTGTTCACAATGTGTGAGTTGGCACATTCCTGGAGACTCCAGACGCATCGATCGCGGGGGCCCTCCCATTTCTTGGGCGCCCTCCTTCCGGTGTTCGGGTCCTCTTGCTGGTCGGTTGGCGCTTGCAAAGCGTTGCGGCTTGCTGGTAGACCGGGGCAAGCTCGTGCGCAGTGGCCCTTGGCCCGCGCGTGGGGCAGGGGGAACTCAGAAACGCAGCAGAGGCGGCTCCGCCTGAGTGATCGGATCAGCTTGCAACGCGAAGGGCAAGTCTCAAAGTGCATTTTTAGTTTTTTTCTGATTCTAGCGTTTTTCCCTTTAGTAAACAGATCTGCTGCATCTGCAACTGGCCCCTCTGCGTCTACTTCTTCCCGAGGTGGATCCACATGCATGATGAACATTACTGCAGTGTCAGCCTCAGCAGCGCCAACGCCTTCCTTGTCCACCCCCGGCGTGGGTAGTCTGACGAGGGGCATCAACAGAGAACGTCAGAGTGGAGGCATGTCAGTCCCTGCTGCAGAAGTGGGCACGACTACTACTTTCTCGCTGAATTCCGCGTCTGCGGCGATGCCAAGTATAGGAGGGACATTAACGACTGAGACTGGACTGCAGCCGACGATGGATATATTGATGCCTTCACGGCGAACGTCATTTTCAAAGCGTCGCGCGGCGCGCGAACAGGATCATGCTCGGGGTAGCGACAACGTGCTTTACGGCCACACTATTCCGTCCCCCATTCTCTCAGCCGCAGCATCTATCATCGGAGGTGCTCCGCCAGCCTCCACATCTTCCACACCAGGAGCAGTAGCTGCATCCGTCTCGCTAGGAAATCAAATAGCAGCGGTTGCAGCGGGAATCACCAATCGCCGAAGTAGCGGCTTCCCAGCTTCGATTTCCCTCCCAGCAGCACCAGCAGGGATGCACTCGCGAAAACAAGCACCAGTGACGGTGAAGACCTTGCAACTAGACATCTAACTACAGTAGAGCTAGATTGGTTGCAGGAAGAACTAGCGTGGCTTTTAGGACTATCATATCGCAATAATTTGCAGTGAGAAGAACAAAAGCTAAGGGAACAATGCAGCATAAAAATTAACCATGTTTGTACATCCTTAAGATCTACTAGTACTACTACATCCAGAAACCAAACAACTAGTGGAGAAATACGAAGGACAGCAGAGCTTGTATCCCTCAAGTCTTTGACTCCACCAAGTAGCTCCTTTTCTTCGAAAAAATTTGAAAAAAAATGAACCGAAATGAGCGCATATGAAAGTGCTACTTCATAAATACATTCTCCTCTTCCACGATTCACATCTCCAATGTTTGGCAAAACCATCATAAACATGAAGTACATGACGTAGCTAGATGATTATAATTAATATAATACACTTACTAGGAAGAATCGCACCACCAGTGACAGTGTAAAATAGAGTTAAAGACGCAGTGGGCAAATGCTGCAGCTGTAAATGGACGTTTAGAAGAACGAAAGCAAGTTTTTTGCCTCAGTCATATCAAAATCAGGGCTTCTTGTCAGGTAACAAGACTGCATGTCATTTTGAAGAAGAAGATGAAGAAATAGAGCCTTACTAGAGAGCTAATAGCTTGTGATCATTAATACAAAGTGGGCCTGAAACATGTAATGTAAAGCATGAAATGTACCTGAGTGATAATGTACAAGTGAGTAGTGAATAGTTGAATTGTAGCCCTGGTCGTTAATGAAATAACACTTCTTTTTGAAGAAGGTCTTCTCTGGGTGGAGGAAGTCCGTGGGACTTCCACCTTACGGAGGAAGTCCATCCACGATTTGTGATCGGCTCAACTAAGAGATCTACCATTCCCGCCATTCCTCATCCTCGTTCTCTCTCCCTACTTAATCTGGAGCTTCCTTTATCTTTTGATTTTGAGTAAATGTTTCTCGTGCTACTTTCCCTGTTTGATCTATTAAATGGTTTGTGACCGCGACCAATCTTGTACTCGTAGCTGTACAGGAACAGGCAAAGGCTGCTTTCATTCTTCTCAAGTCGCAAGACTTTGATGTTGCAGTACGGAGATACTAGAGCACCATGGACATAATAATGACATGCAACTACGCGTCATGTGAAGGTATGAAGTTCGAGGAGTCTTTCGTTAGATTTAGCCATGTGGATAGATATTGATAACGCAAAAATGTGTCGAAGAAGAACACTAGCTGAAATTATAGATACCTATTACTTTCGCTTTTTGGGGTAACGACATTCTACTTTTTGGCGTGTGCGTTTCGCGATACCAAGTTGTACTTTGGAAATCATGCGCCTTGTAATTTACGATGATGTAATTGGAGATGGAGTCCTCGATAAAGATTGACAACATTTTCATCAGCAGCAGCAAACAGGCTGCAGAGATCGGATCCTAATTACAAGCAGATTTTTTTCGACGTAAGTTGCGGCGACGACGGGGCAAGCGCATGCGAGGTAACTACTTTCGGAACTGGTTTAATTTTTACGGTGGCAAAGTCACGCCTGGTAGCTCGTGGCTTTTTTGATGTGACGAGTGAAGAGACTTTACAATTTGTCGCCATGTCTTTGTGGTTTTGCACGAACCTGGAGCTGGAGAGTGCTAGCCCTCACTTCTGGCTTCGGGGTGGGCGACTGCAGTTTTTTGTCACATGTTGGGGATGTTCCAGTTCTTAGTCCTTTTCATGAAGGCTGGTTAGTGGTTGTTGGCAAAGGATAAGGAATGTACGAATCTAAATGACTCCGTTCTTGATGCCAAAATGAATTACACTGTGGTCGCAATCATAGAGAAGTAGTAGTTGAGTTGTCGCCCAGGACACAAAGGGTCACTATGGTGGTGGCGACGGCCAACGCGTCTTCTTTCTCGCCCGGGCGGCTGACGAGCGGTGGCGCCACGTCAAGTACGGCGCAGCGTCACTCAGTTGCCTCTCCCTATCGCGAGCAGCATGCTGTTTCAACAGCTGGAAACACAGGAACGCCCGCATTATCGAGCGGACTGATGCCACCCGATCAGCAGTGCTCTGTGACGCGGGACCTTGTGTCCAATTTGTGGACCCTCTCCCGCGAGAGTGCGAACGCACAACAAGAGATGAACGCTCAAACGTTCCAGCACTTGTACGCGCAAAACCGGGCTCTACAGCAGATGCTAGAGGATAAAGCCACCGACTGGCAACAACTCCTGGACACCGCAGAACTCAAAGTTAAGGGTCCTGACGCAAATTCGTATTCTGCAACGAAGCAGAAGTTCGGGAGACTAGTATCATTTCTTTGCTCTATTTCTTCTTTCTGTGGTCGTGACAGTAGTTTTTCTTCTTCTGGTTTTTTCTATGATAGAGTCGGTATCTCTGGGATATTAAGACTAAGGAAACGACGATGGAGATGGACCAGGGAGAGCTTATCTAACTCAGCAGGCAGGGACTTAATCGAGGCGACAAAGCAATGGGAGGAACGCATAAACAGACTGAGCGATAGTGCGAATGAGCAGTTCGCTGGCTTGAAACTGCTTATCGCCAAAAAAGAGGAAACTGTACAAGCGCAGGATTTCATGTTTATTGGTCATTTGAAAACCAAAGAGGCCCAACCAATCGTTATGAGAGACCACGACATCAAAATCAATAGAGAAGACTCAGAACACTACATGGTTCACTTGCTTCTACAACATGAAAAAACTTCAGAACCAAGAGGAGCTAGCACAGTTGCGTGCTTATTTCGCCAAGGAACTCGCCAGCCATCAGACTTTGCACGACCGTGCGGATAGGACTTTGCACGAACAGGCACTGCGATTGGCAGCCCTTGAACAGGAAGTAGAGGAAGCGGTAGTATCCTTCTATATCAAAGGTTTTTGCAGTGTGTTGTGGAGTTTTCAGTGCAGTATGAATGCATCGAACAATCTCTATCATGTAGTACTGCTTTTCCCGATAGCATTCAGGCACAAATAGAAATAAGATTTGGTGCCGTTTTGATTGTCCCTGGCGACGAGTTGATACTTGTTTCAGTTACGCAATCTCGTATCACCTACAACAGATCTATGTATAATCTTCATCTAGGCCCGGACAAAAGCCCTCGAGCAGACGGTCGCCGGCTTAGCGAAAGATGTTAGAGAGCTTGGCCAGCGCGTCGCGGCAGGGGAGCAAACGACTAACCAGAATATGAATAAGGTGATGGCCAACATTGGCTCGGTCCATGAGGCGCTGTCGTCAGAAATCTTCGTAGGCCGTGACGAGTTGCAGAAAAAGCAACTCCTACTGGAGGAGCAGCTCACAAGTCATGGAAAGATTATGGAAACAACATCCCGAAGAAGTTTGATTTTTTTGTTGAAGGACCGGCTGCAGCTCCGGCGGATCCAGCTTATATCCACCTAAGACGGAAAGAGAGAGCCACGTAGCAGTGCTTCTTCTTGTTGATATTGATTCATTGTTGATCATGAACACGTCCTTGAAGTCGAGACTCCTTGGGCATATTTTCGTGGTAAACTTCTAAAAGCTAGAACGAGTATGCTTTCGCTCTCGCACAGAAGGATCTGCGTTCAGTGCAGGAACTTGCCATGAAGGACTTGGAGAAAGTGCGAGACGAATTCACTGCGAAGCTTCATACGCAGCACATGACACTGGACAAGCAGTTATGTCGAACTTGCTACTGTAGGTGGTGACACCTCAGAGATTTCATACTAACAGAGAGATAGTTTCTGACTCTACCAGCATAGCTAAGAAGTAGAAGTTGAAATTGAAAATAGTACCATTTGTCATCGTGGTCTTGGTGATGCTGCTGTTAGCTGCCTGAGCATTTCTTCTGTGCTCTACTAGCCTTTACATTCAAGATACAACGAAATACTTGTTGTCGTGGATAATCTGCGACCCACCATGAGTACTAGATGAAGAAATTCGAGTGGACTTGGGATCTTCCCCTCGTCTCTCCCTTTCTCTCATATCAGCTGCTTGCGACTGCGAAGGAGATGGATGTGAGGTTAGCGCGCTGCAGCGACGAACTGAAAGCGTGCGAAATCCGCACCAAAGAAGGCTTCCAACACGCCAGCGCTGACGTTAGCGCATTACGGACAAGCATGCTCAATAAGCTTAACCAAGAGGAGACCACAAGAGATCACTTGCTGACACAGGTGCGATTCATCGTTGACTATTTTTGTTCTAATGCCAGAAGAGTGTCTGACTTTCATAGATTGAACTTATGTAGTTGAGCTTGAGTTCCAACTACGCCTTCCTGTCTAAGTGTAAGAATAAGGTTACCACTTGCAATTTCAACCTTTAGACTTCCCCTGCGCCTGCCAACAACGACATGGCTATTTGAATTTCATCAAGCTGCAACCAATAGTGAAGTTTAAAAATAGAGACATCCACACTTCGATGCTTCTATGAATACCAGATTCGCGACGCAGTGGACTATACGAACAAGACATTGGAGCAGAAGACCGAAGAGCTTGCCGCACGCATTGAAGCAGAACAGCGTGTGCGCAGCGGAGAGTGCTCCACTCTTGGTATGTCGGTTGGAGATTTGCAGACACGATTAGACGAAGTTGGACATGAAATTTATGTCAGACATTAGGCCTGTTTTGCCCTGCCTTGGTATCCTCTTCATCGCATTCAACTCAAGGTCAAGATGTTGTGCTCCAACACAATACTATAACTATGTCGCAGGCACGACAACTAGGTTTAAGTGAAAAAGTAGCCCTGTGAAATGAAATGATTTTACCCTCATCCAGCCGTGCAAAGTGATCTCTTCCCAAGCAGCATCGAATCAGTGTCCTCTCGTAACTACGGTGTAAGCAGTTTTCTCTCGTTTGCTGGTACTGGCAATTGCTAAGCGCTTTCGAGCTTTCGACATCAAGTGGCCGTCGACTTCGTGACGGAGAAAAAGCATCAAGACACGACTGCAGAGGTGACGGGTAAGATCCTACTGGAGGCGAACCGGCGAGTGCAAGAAATAGAACAATTGAGCACGCAACTCTACGAAACTAAAACTGCTTTGTCCGAAACGGAGCGAGAGTCTGCAACACGCGCGGCAGCGACAGAGGGCCTCATTGCGGCGCAAAAGACCGAGCTCATCGCCCGTCTGGAAGACGTTTGGAGCTATGAAAGAGGATATATTTTCTCTCTTGTTTGAATCTGATACTACTCATCATCAGTATCAATATCGTCTTCATCGTTCGTCGACCTGCCTCATCTATGTATCTACAACCTGCACATTGATGCTCATCTTCCTATGCAGCAGCCCTTTACCAACCTCTAACATGATGAGATGAATGGAGGACGGCTGAGTTATCAAAAGCTAGAGACTCTGGTGTCGCAGCAAAATTCCGACAGAATGAAGGATTTGGAAAAGCGAAAGCAGGAAATTCTGGATTGTAGAGAAGCGGCCGACCGAGGAGTGCAGAGCGTCTCAGGTGAATTGGAGCGTAGAATTCAGCAGTGTTGCGATTTCGTCAACGTAGAGCAACAACGAATGGAAGATACAATGACAGAAAAGTACGGCCCCGTCACATGAGTAACTTACATGATAGATCCAAACTTTTCAGCTCCATTTGGTGAAGTGTTGTACTTCTAGCACGAGCACTTCGTTCTAGCACTAGTGGTAGCACTTGATACAACGTCTTCATATGTCGCACCGAAAATTGACCGAGGACGTGAGGCGACTGCAGAGTGGGCTCAGCTCCGAGGCTAACGTGAGGATGCTGGACGTAGAAAATGTGTTTGCGAGGATGCAGATGCTAAAGGAGGAAGTCGTCGCCCAAGTTGAAAGTGAAAAGAGGCAACGACTGATGGGTGAGGAGAAACTAACCACAGATCAGGGTCAAGTCCGACGACTCCTTGAAACAGGTGGAACCACTAATAATTATGGCATAGTAGTTTTCCATGTGGAGGTTGACACTTTTTCCAGTTTCCGGTTTGCGGTTGTTCTTGTTGTTTGTGGTCCAAGTGGACGTCCCAGCTCCTCTCAATCATGCATTAATACTAATAGCGATAGATGAGCGTTAGATAAGAATCAAGTAGAAAAAGTGTTCTAGTATTTTCACAAGTCGTCGTCTAATATGCCTCGCCGCGGAGTGGTGCGCGCTTCTTCTTCAACAACGACGGGCCGACAAGTCCAGTGTTGCGTAGTGCAGCGAGCGGCAATACAACGAGGGCGTCAGGAGGGGAGCCAGCGAGCTATATGTTCGCGGAAGCCAACTCGAGTTGGCTTTCAGCGGGATCTTCGAAATAGAAGTGGAAGCCGGTTGTAGTAAGTACTTACCCTAAGACTAAGTTAAGTTGACATCTTGAAACGATCACTATGTCTAAAGTCCAGATGCTTTGAAAACGATTCGGCAGCCAATCATGGTTCACGCCTTTTAGCAAACCGACAATAGGGGGTGATGTCAAGGTACAACCGCCATTATTTTTGCGTATGGTATTGATTGTTAGCCGCACTGATGACGATCATATTCATGCACTTAGGATAATGTGTACAGGAGAAGAATGCGGTGGAGTAAATGCGTGGAAAAACGTGGATGAATCCGGTTGAGGAAATGCCGTGATAAGGATGAAGTACCAAGCTTATCAACATTTTTATCCATCGGAATATAACTTACGCATAGTTGTATGAATCGACAACCTCATTCATGAACGCTGACAATTCCAAGCGCGTTCAATACATGATAGCACCATCTGACTCTTCAAATTTATGAACAGATTTCGTAACTACGTAGCATACACATACTTGCAGCTCTGAGTGACTTTGACACTCTATTTCTACCGTGCGGTGTTGTCACATATCACTTAATAATACATCATGATCATAGGCAGCTGTTCGAGTTAGTGGTAGTACTACTTCTATCATGATAATGATAACAAAATCAAAAATTATTGGGCAGAGCAATGTGCCAGAGTGTCTGCAACGTGAGATGAAGAAGAGTACAAGTTGAGGCTGACGTTGCAACAAGTTTGAACAAGTGAAAACAACGACCGACAGCTGTGACCGGGCTGGTGACCATTCATTTCACATTTTCAATGGGGATGATATATTCATGTGTAATATGAGTTCCGATTGCATTGTAGCCTCTACCTCACGAAGGTTTCGTCAGGTAGAAGTAGTGACTTTAAGGTTTTTGATGTAGAGGATTCACTGAAGTTCAATGTTTTCACGATATTTCTATTTGAAGTGTTCATGCTAAGGCTCACCACGATGGGGGCAGCAGGCCAAGAGCATCAAGAACCTCTTCTGGTTTAGTACTGAGTCAATCATTTGAACACATGCAGCCCGCTAAGATGCCAATGTATTCTTGTTGTTTCAAGAGATGGAGATGGATATGTTCTTGGTGACATTGTTTTCGTTACAATAAATGGGCATAGTAGTTTGTGGACCTTCCAGCGAGATAAAAGAAAATGTACAGAAAAGTTTGCGTTCTTCCGGAACAAAAGATATATTTTAACGGAGGACTCCACCAAGCCGGCCAGGGTGGGAACGAGAAACGACTCGCTTCTTCGTCGCCACATCAGACGTGCTGGAGCACCGCTCGGTGTCAGTTTGTCTCATTTGAGACGACGCGTGGCCTTGTGAGGCAACTGTGTTTTGTTCGAAGTTCGAAGTTGTTAACGTTTCATTCCACAATAACAATCGAAGCTTTCCTGTGAGAATCCTCTCGATGGCACAAAAGAGATCAACGTCAGCGCTCCTTTCCCATTATATTTGACAGTTCAAGCCACGATTAACATGAATGGGTCAATGTTCTTTTACACGAACTAAAGCAGTGGATGACCACGATCTCGGTAATCGGACCCGGACAACGATGATCATGAAGATTGAAAAGTGATTACTACACTTCCCGTCCCCTGGATACGGGTGGAGGAGTTACGCGTACTACACCATGCGTGCAATTCTTGTTACATGGTTGACGTCATGGTCATGCGTATGGCTACATGTTGTATGCGGGCAGGATGGACATCGTTTTCTTCAACCTTTTCGCGACTTCGATTGTGCGTCACTGCCTCTGGACCGTTCTTTAATCGATTGGAACGCGTTACGACATCACATGAACTTCTATGATGGCCACAACGGGGAACATGATTCCGTTCCGGAGAAAACATCAAGTCAACCGAGAGGTCGCACAAGAACTTCTAATGCAGGAGACCACAATATGACCAATGCTCTACCGCGTTTGGCGGACATAATACCTTCTACGACCTCGACAGCAGATGCTCTGAACTCTACTCGTCCACATGCGAGCAGTGCGTTGTCAGTAGATCGACCACAAAATCATGTGAAGACAAGAGACGCTCCAGCATCTACAACTTCTCGAGCAAAAGCTCCGGGAGCTGCGAGTGAGAATTTGCATAAAACAGGAACTCTACTAGATGTTGCGAGTGACATCTCATCTACACCTGCAACCTCACACCCGCGCAGATCGTTTTTTCCACTTCCCGCAGTCTTTTTCCCTCTGTGGATCCGTGTTTTGATGCACCGGGATCGTGCAGCGAACGAATGTCCGTTGGGTTATTTAGCAAGTTTAGCAACATTCTTGCTCTGGCGGCAACATGGCTTGGTGGAGAAACTGAAACCGGGAACAATAGTTCAACCGACCGCTGAGAGTCATGACATTATGGCCCCTAAGGAGCAACTACCAGTAGTTCGCATACCCATACTTATCCTTGATTTTGACTTTGTCCTGTTGTACTTAGCTTTTCAAGTTCATTCTTTTGATGCCGTGATGAGGCAACATTTGTAAATGGTCGCGAGCTCGCGCCTGCAGCTGCAAATGATCTTTGCTTCATCTACATTGTTGATTCACAACTCGAGCCTACTACTTGGGTGCTAATAACTCATCTTTTTCGTAACTTACAGCGTCACCGCGACTTTTTTTCTGCCAGAGCCATGCGCACGCTCTATTCGCAATTTCATGTCTGGTCTAATAACTGCCAGATCAAGACTCCACCTAGAGAAGCAGCACAACAAGCTCCACCACTGGGAGGAAGTGGAACCACAAGCTCGATGTTTAGGCCAAAAGATCATCTTTGGGATGCAGCGAAGCGCGTTTTGGAAGGAATGTCAGGAGGTCCGTCAAATGAAGGCGCAGCTAGAATGGGGGATCGCGAATCTCGATCTTCGAGTGGTTTATTTGAGGCACCTTGAACTTGATAGAAGAAGAACAAAATAGAAGAAGCAGCTCAATCAGGAAGGTATCTATTTATTAGAACATGAAGATCGATGTTTTAAAACTGTCACGCCCTAATTTCCACACGCGCTTACATCGACGTCGGGAGCAAGAGAAAGAGGAGGGCCTTCGACGAGTCGGAGCACACCCAGGAGATGCCACAGGATCGTGGATGGAAGTCATTCGCAGTGGACAATTCTCGAAGATCACACTCACAGGAGAAGGACCCTTGCTCGCGTCATCGGATCACCTTCTACACTCAGTACCAGTCCCACCATACCTACGAAGTGGTGTGCAGGACGCGGCCCTCATGGCAGCTTTCGAGGACATCCTCTTCGAAAAGAAGATCGACCTGATCACGTTGCTAGGAACTGAGTGGCCGATTTTTCGCATTCTGTGCGAAGTTTCCGAACTCAACAAAAGTTCAAATTCTCAAGAAGCGACGAGCCGAGCCTCTTCAGCATTGGGCAAAGGTAATGTCTGTGACACTTTCGGGCGTTATCCTGCGGAATTCTTGATGGAGAAAATAACGCAGATCATCCCCTTCGCGTGGAACACGGGAATCGGCCATGCGCTCAAGTACCTTAAGGTTTTTATTTTTGAGGATACTTGATTTGGGATCGTAATATTTTTGAACGTGGTGGTCTCAAACTGCACCACTCACCAATGATCACCATTAGCAGACGTCTGCTTACCTACAAGAGTAGGAGTACACGAGAAGAGTGCCAGTTTTTGTTTTTTACAACGCCTTCCTATTAATTATAATTCCTTGAAATGCATGTGCATCACAAACACACTAGGAACTGGATCCGTTGATAAGCGACATCTTCGAGTCAGCCGGTTTCTTCTCAAGCGAGCACAGTTCCGGTCAATTTCTTACTAGCCTAAAAGTGCACATTTGCCCAACAGCAGTACTGGCTCTTTCTACGATTGCCTGCCAGCTCTCGGTTTTGGCAGCACCGGCTAATCTGGAGACATTCTCGCGTGTGGCACAGTTGATATTCGAAAATCGGCTACGCGAAATACTCTCGCTTGTTTTGCTTAGCACGTATGTTGATGGTGAAAGGGGGGGAGCGCGAGCGGGTCGCCCCGAAGAAAGTTTAAGCGAATCTGCGTCGAGAGCAGGAGGCTGGCGGAGCTTTTGTCTACTAGCGGCTTTAGCCTCGTTCCGCACGTCTCGCTTCTCCGCCGGTCGCGCGGTGAAGGCTTCTCGTGGAGTTCGTAACTCAGAGGATAACAATAAAGGTTTCGCTGATATCGCTACTGCAAGTACTGGCGGAATATTTAATCCGGTGACTGAACTCTATTCCTTTTCTGCGCTCCAAGATGAGTTTTATGGTCTCAGTTCGGGATCATCACGACCACTAACATCCGCCTCTGAAAGTGGCGCTGCATCCTCAACATCAGTGGGTGATGGCTGCCGCATCGGGGAGCGCGCAGGTATTGGCACAACTGTCGATGCACTCTACTCTGAAACAACTTTTGTGATCGTCAGCTGCGCAGATGGACAAAAGAGAGCTTCGTCTAGAGACACTATCATCCACGGCAGCGCTGCTAAACGCATCCGTAACATGGGACAAGAATTTGGTAGTCGTGCGGAAGATTCTGGTTTGGCCTTGTCTAATAGTCAGCAAGGTAAAGGTTTAACATCGGGAGCTACTGCTGATGACGCGGCATCAATGTCTTTCGTTCCCGCGGCTCGAAAAGCAGTTCTACGACGGTCAATCAGCGACAGCGCGCTGCTGTCGCAGCGGAAATCCGCGTTGCCGAACCAGTTGCTAACGCAGTGGCTTGCATATGTTCACGAACAGACTGACGAAATGAATGTAGGACAGGCACAGGGCATCGAGGAGGAAGATAGCAAACTGCGAGATCCTGGGTCCAACGAAGAGGATGGAACAGCAGACAATGAAGAAACAGAACTAAGTACGGCGCGGCGCGCTCCGCATCTATTCTTCACGGTTGTTGGCGGCGAGGAATTCGCTAGTTACCTCAAAGGCTGGGTGAAACATTTTTTTACATCGAAAATTGGAGATTTTCTTGCGATTGGATGTCTTGATTCCATTGCGCTGCGTACTTGTCGTGAGGCTGCAGTCGTGCAAGGACTCGCTAATGGCCATACCAACGTAAAATCAGCCACCGCCGCGAAAAGTGACTCTTACGCACGGATGAAAAAGATGTCGCCTCTTTTCTGTTTAGACACTTCAACTGCAGGCCTTCCCCGCTCTTTTCCACCCGCACCTATCAATGCAGCTGGGCCGGGAACCGTGAACAACAAAGTAAATATGCTGGGACGAACCAGTACGACTACTACAGAAACAGATCTTGGCGAAGTAGACGAAAATCAATATCTAGATCTCCATGTTGTTCCTAGAGGTGAAGAGGATTCACAGAAGAGCGGTGAAGGCCTTCCGTGGTTTGGTGACCCTATCTGGCACAAGTTTCGTTGGATCCCGGTTTTTCTCTCAGCCGGGATCGACGTGACATGGACAGACTTCGACGTTCTGTGGCTGAAACCGTTTAGACCATTTGCGAGTATAATGCGTGTTGATGGTGTGTCCTCTGATAGCAGCAGCGCTAAATTCGACTCTTCTCGGAGCACTTTGTCGACGACCGCATCTTCGACAAGTACTGTTCTTGAGCATCATCGTCCTCAAGGATTACAAGAGGACATTTTGGTGACGGAGCACTATGACGCGCGTTGCATCAACAATGGGATCTTCTCCGTGAAGGCCTCGCCAAGAACTGTCTTGCTCTTTCTCGTTTTCCTGGACTGGTTGCACACAAACGCATTCGCTGAAAACCAAAATGGCTTTGACGCGATGCTTGGGCACACCTTACGTGACAGCTTTCTCACAACAGCCGACTTTCTCAAAGTTCAGCGGCTTTTTTATCGTGATGTTGTACGAGCTACGTCTGAATCTGATACGTCGAGGGAGATCGAGAAACTTCATGCTGGTGATGCGGCTAGACCCTCTTCGCCTGTTGACACTGAGACTGAGATGATTGGCAACTCGGCGGCGTCGACGCGGTCAACAAACACAGACACCAAGCTTGCTGAGAACGATCGCCACTATCAGAAGCCAACCGTTTTTTACCGGACACTAGACGTAGAACGGAACTTCATATCCGCAGACGGCTGGAATTCCGATAGTCCTGACGAGGTCGTAGCCTTTCATTTTTGGAGCAGTGATTACAGCATAGCAAATTCTTCATCCACCTCTTCGTGGTTCGATATACGGAACGATGCCTTACCACCACTGTCGAAAGCGAAGCTGTTTGAACTGTTTTTCGACGGGCCTTCGCTTCGACATGAAGGAAATGATCAGGATGAGGATGAGGAGGATGAGGGACTAGAACCAAAGCGAAGTAGTGAGACTTTCGATGCGGTAGCCCTGCTGAAGAATTACATGAGGCAAAGTTACGGGGGATCGCTAGGATTATGTACTTGATAGTTTTTTCAAAGATGTATTTATATTCATATTCTTAGTCGAATCTAAGCTAAGGTACCGCAATGTGAAGTTTTCGATCCGGCCCGTAGCATAAAAATTTGTTGGCTCTAACCTGAAAACAGCAGCGCACGCCGCGTTCGCACGGCACAGCTTTCTTGCTCAGTGCTAACCGCCGGCGCTCAGGACATTATTGCGGAAACGAACGATGTAGGATGGACGATTCCAGACGCTGATGCGCTAGAGCGCGAGCGGTTGCAATTCATTCACACCAGAAGCATACTAAGTAATGTCCTTGACGAAGAGAGTCCACTTCTGCAAGATGATGATCAAGATGGCGAACTATAGTACATAGTCACAAGAATAAGGAAGGAGAATATTCTTCACTGCTTGATTTTCTTGGCCTTGGGAAATCTAGATTGATACGAGAGCGCATAAAAATGACCGTGACGGAGACCTTTCCTTCGAAGTCGTTCCAAAAGGTTTTTCTTCGTCTACATTTTTTCTTTATCTTGCATTAGTAACGAGGGGCGCTGCGATTTCCTGAGAGACTCTTGTTATCCTCGAGAGAAGAGCATGAGCAATGTGCTTGCGAGAAAGACAGAGGGAAGATGAGTATCATTGTTCACCGAGAGAGCACAAATCAGAGTAGAAACTCAGGTGTGTGTGCCGCGTGATGAGTGAGGTAGAGGAGGTACTTGACGTCTAACTTCGAGCATAGCTATAACCTATCTTAGAAATGTAGATGTAAAGACATGGCTGCCGTCGCATGTGAATTATTCACAAGCTCATGCAATGTTTCCATTCATCCAATTAACTCTTTACAACAATATATAATTATAAAGCGCAGAGGGGTTGCAGTACTCAGTCAGGTACATTGTTCATAGTTCTACGTAGTACGTGGACTACGAAGTAGTACTAGCAGCTGCACTAGTCTAGAAGTGCTTGCATGTACAAGTTTGATCGTTAAGCAATGTGATTTTGATACTGTGGATTTTTGTAAAAATTTGTAAAACTTGTAGAAGGTGGAAAGGGAAAGATGAGGCTGGTCTTTGCTCATTCCTCGATTGTCTTATGGCCACTTGGCGTTTTGGGTGTGAGCGGCATCGTTTCTCCTACTCCCGGATTGCCGAAGACGACGCCAAATTCAATCCCGCAAGTAAACAGCCTAAGTGGGGGATTAAATCTCGATGATGGTGAAACCAGAAATGCACGTAGTGCGATGGAGATCGCCTCCGCGAAAAATCGTAGCTCCTCCGAGACCACTGCAATCCCCTTAGGTCATGCTGATGATGGAGCGTCATCGTCATCCAAGACCAAGTCTGCCGCGGCGTCTCCTGCTTCGACGTCGCCGACAGCACCTTCAGGCGAAAAATCAGGCTTGAGCTACGGTGTAGACGCGGATGCACGCACCTATGACCCGTTCTGGGAGCCACGACTGCAAGACTATTTCGAGCCTTTGCGCGATTATTCAGGGGTAGCGCGCACTGACGAGCTTTACCGCGGTCCGACTGCAGCGATTCCCGAATACGGACGAATTACGTGGGAGGAGGTGGTGGATCAGGTGATTCGCGGACAGCCTATCGTGATTCGCAACAACACCGATTTTTGGCCTTTTAAGGAATTTTCGTGTCGCGACATCGCTGAAAAATGGCCAACCGGCGATCTGCGGGATGAGGCGGACCACCAGAGCCGCGTGCTGCTGAAGGATGCACTCTTTGGCAGCCCTAGCGTCGGAACGGTTGGCCGGCCGCCTGGGAGTGCTTCCGGATCCGCACACCAGGCTGGCGTGAAGGCACAGAAGCATCGGGAGGAGCATTGGCGGATGCTAGATCCGAGCGACGAAGGCCTACGAGAAGATGACGTGCGAGCGGGCTCTCAAAAGACTGGTGCTTCCGGTGCAGACAAAAAGAACACGCAGCGACCGCTTTTTCAGATCGAGAAGCAGCACATCGCTGCTTCTTCGCAAGTGGACGTGACCAGCGCTCCCTACGTGTGGCACGTGAAAGACGAAGCACCGCTTGAAATGAAGCGTGACTTGCAGAAGTATTACCGCTTGCCCGACTGGGTGACTGCGGCAGAAGCCAGACGCGATTTCAACAACAGCGAAGTGGGGGCTCCGGCAACGGTCGGCTGGGACATGCTCAACTGGTTTGAGCTGTGGATGTCCCCCAACACTATCGGAGGGTCCGCTGTTTACGCACACGCAGACGGCTACCATCATCCCGCTGGGTCATGGCAGTTGCGTGGCAAAAAGAAGTGGCGCATCATGATGTACCCGCAAGGAGACAGCCTTGAGCACCGATTTGACTCGAACGATGGAGGCATCTACGGCGTGGCCAATCGACCTAGTTGGGAAATGGGCGTGACGCCGGAGCATAAACCACTAGAATCACCTCAGGACGCCGCAAAAGACAAGAATGTTAATAATGTAACAGGAGTAGGAGTAGGTTCTGCTTCTGCCAGAACAGCTTCAGTGGTAAAGGAACTAGCAGCAGCAGCAGCAACGACGGTGACGAGGCAAGCACGCATTCTTGCGAAGATGCCAGCACGGCAGCCGGACCAGAGAATGCTGTGGCGCCCTGAATATGAGTTTGAGCTTGAACCCGGAAACATCTTCTTGTTTCAACCTGGGTACATGCACGAAACGTTCGTCGAGCCTGCGCTAGAAGATCGTGACTCCTGCGCACTTGCGGCAACTTTTCTCTACTTTCTGCCGTCTCCAACAAGATATATTCGCACATTTCTTCCGAGGCTCCTCAACTCAATCCTCCAGTACTCAACTTCTACATTGATACCTTATTGCTTGTAAAAATTAGTGTACATCATCACATTCTCCGTCTCGTCTTATCGGAGTCGTTCATATTTATATTATAATGATGACGAAATTTTTGTTTTTCATTTACAAAACCATGCGATTCGGAATCGTTTTGAAAGGTTTGCAGTGTTTCATCTTGTTCGATTTACGACAACGACAGGTATGAGGAGAATATGCTGCCGAAAACTCTGATGCAGTACGTTTTTTTCCAACCGAACGCACCGAAGCCTTTTCCGGTGCTGGATGCCAAGGTGTGGGCAAAGCAAGCTGAGCATGTTTTGGCTGCTGCGGATTTCAACAAGGACAGACGCATTGAGAAGACCGAGCTCACGCAGTGGGTGCTTTTGAAGAAGCCCCGACCTAGTATCTTCCGATTGATTGCGGATCGCATGGTGCAAACGATCTTGCCGCAATTGAAACAGCGCAATCTCGATCTCTTGCGGGAAGAGAGGCTGAAAGAAGCAGAAATGAAGAGTCCGGGCTCGACGTCTGAGATGAACAGCAAAATGTCATCATCTTTTAATCAGGGAAATAAAGGCGTTGTCAAGGGGCAAATTGCAGAGCTAGTCGAAGCGGAGGCTGCGAAGCAAGCGCTCGATGGTGGGCCGCTTATCGTCGACGCCGATGAGGAGGCGGATCTTCAGGCTTCTGCAAAGAAAGATGATTTTGAGGCAAAAATACAAGCTGCCGAACTGGCTGTGAAAGAAGCAGATGCCACGAAGGCTACATCAAGTGAAAAGACTGATGTCAAAACTGGTGCTAAATTTCCGGAGGAGCAGCAATTACAACGGTCAAGAACTCTGCCGGTTCGAATCGCGCACGACGCAGACGCCACGCGATTACGAATTCTCAATGCGAATATCAAGGAAATTATCGGCTGGCATGACGTCGATGACGATGGTGTGATCACAGCAAGTGAAATTTACCGTTCTGTGGCTCAGCTACACATTCTAGCGCATAGAGCCATGCGGCAGACCGTATTTCTTCAAACGGAGCGTGCAACAGACCCGTATGCTGTTCCATCGTGGTTGGTCCGAAAATGGCACACGCAGGACAATTCCATATACGGAAGGTACCGCAAAGGAATCAGCATACCTGCAGTTCAACCAGCGAATCCAAGAACAGCAACCTTGGATGCGTCTCCAAAAGCAACGGGAGAGCAGCCGGACCAATCATTGAACAAGAACAATAACCAGCATGATGAAGAAGAGCTCTAAGAATATATCTAGAGATAATGATGAAGATCAATTGAAAGAAACCATTTAGAGTCGCATAGGGATAGGCATAAGACGACAACGATACATTAACGGAATGTGAGGGTTTTGTCTACAGATACTTGAACTATGGATCATTAGCGAACTTTTCATAATCCATCGTACGCAGCCTCAGCCAGTACGCCTACGCCTACCGACGTATACTATAAAAATAATGGCCCAGCAGCGGTACAGGTACTTAAAAGATAAAGAGGCATGATTTGCACTGTCAAAGAAAGCTATCCTGAACTGGTCGGTCATCTATAAATGAGAGACATGAAGATTTAAGAACATCAGCACGTGGCAGCTTCCAATCTGTGGAAGAAATAGTTTCTCGGTTGCATTCTCTGAGTCTGACTTCTGTTGAATCGGTTCTTTGGAGTTTTTGTGCGTGTAATCTGTGTCTATGATCAAGTACTACTTAGTGAGAAAGTATAATTTGATCTTCAAGGAGATCATATTTGGAGACAAAAGCCTGTTGCTGTCGACCAAAGCATGAGCGATACATCGATACTCCCTCGTCTCTACCCTGCTATCTCCACTCCGACTCCAAAAGTTCGTCCCCCTGCGTGGTTCTTGAAAACCCCCTGAAGCGTTGACAGAAGCTTTGAATTGATCCGCAAAGCCGGACACATAAAGAACGAAGAGTAAGATGTTGGCGATCTTCTAAGCACTCCTTCAGACTACATCATCGCTTTCGTTTTCAATCATAACGATAATGAATTACGAATAACATCTTTAAGATCATTATGTTGTGGGCATTAAGAGGTTGTAAGACTATTAAGAGCTAAATATAAGTACTTAAAGTTGAGGATAAAACGAAGCATATGTACGTGCTATAATCACTGTGTTAAATAAGGCTTGATTAAGTTTCAGTACGTAGTCCTGTAGATGATTATGCACTCGCAAATTATTAGTCGGATTCGAATACGGATTCGGATTCGGGAGTAGGTCGATGTTCATTGTGAGATTAGGTGGATTCACTCTGAAGTACGAGAAGAAGATCGATCACATTTCTATTACGATCGTTAAGTAAACGCAAGCAACAAGATGGGTAACGCCTCGTCGGTACCGAACCGTAAGGGCAAGACCCGAATGGTTTCCGTGAAGGCTACCTCGCCTTACGAGCGTGGTTATAAAATTGGTCGCCTCATTTTGGATGATGTGCTCGCTATGTATGGAAAAAAGGTGGAAACGTACGAGAAAGCAAATGATATTTTTCACCCGGATATCTTGGGAGAATGGGATACCATGGCGGAACAGGCAGTTGACACAATGGAAGTACTTCTAGATTCTAGTTCTAAAAGACATACCATTACCAGAATCAATACGCTTGCACTCGCTAGAAGAAGGACTGATGTTCTTTCGTAACTACATTTATAGGAAGATATAGATATCGTAGTTTATTTTGCGATACAAATATGAAGTGTCACATTTTTGATTCTTATGAGGAACATTGTCATAATTTTTCGAAAATAACAAAATCAGCATTTTGCGCCGATCTCGTATGCGGAGTTTGTGGGTACTGTTGCTGGCATGAAGGCTCAATATGCCAAGGAGAAGGCAGCTGCAGGTGGAAGTGAAGAACCCGAGCCCATGTTTTTTTATGATTCTGATCAGAGTAATAAAAATGATGATTGAAAAATGGAGTACACTTGACTTGTAGTTGTACTTGAGTAGTCCTAATTACATCTGCAGTGTTCTAGTTACCAGAAGTAGAGTATTCGTTGCTTGTCTCTAGTACTTGGTTCGTCGCAACAGGTTTTTCTTGTTACTTAATTCATTGAATTTGAAGTCTTTTTCACTTCTGAGTCTCTACCATTCTTCTAATCTGCGCAAATCGCAATGAGGTTAGTAGTGGACTATGAACTATTGATGGCGCAGATTTACAAGCGGGGTGCTGAGAACTTCGATACTCATGGCGAGCGGTTGGACCAGAAGTTGAATGCTATGAAGCACGCGGCTTTCGTTGCGCGCGCACGACAGGGCCTGCTGCATCAAGAGGCTAACGGACAGCTAACCGTGGACGCAAACGGAAAACTAGTTGAAGCCAAAGGACCGAAAAAGAAGCTTCGTGGCTATTTCAAAAACGGTGGAAAATTTGACCACGGTTATGTCTTCATTTATCTCTCCTCGGTTTATGTAGCTAGATTTGAAAGAAAGTAGGATTTCGATTGGATCTTGATGTCCAGTGAATGAGTATTAGAAGAGCGGAAACAACTGTTGAATAGTGGAAATCAAATTAATTTGAAACAAGGCTGAATAAATACAAAACTTGTACATGTACTGGTAAAATACAGCTTATACATAGATTTATACATATAAATATAGTACAAGAAGAGCAGCAACATCATCTTGTTCCTACTGTTGGAAGATCATTTTTTTTTCTTTTAAGAAAAATGGTCGATTTACTGAACCTCTTCGAGCATTGATGGCGATGCTCGACTTCCTGAAACAACAGGCCCGAGTACAAGTACTGGACATCTAGGACATCTACTTCTTATAACCTTTACCTTATTTATATATGTTCCAGGGGTGGAGGCTCCCCCCCTGTGGATGGAGCGGTGGTGGCGTCCGCGCGCTCCTTTTTCCGCGGTGGTGACATGTAAGGACCTCCGGGGGCCAAGGCCTCAAAAGGCGGGGCCGGAGGCTCCTGGCGGCTCTCCGCATGTGCCGACTCTTGGACCTTATCAGGGGGACGGCCTCCGGGAGAGGAAGGCCGCAGAAGGCGGCCACGGTCGCGAGGCTTGGCCCCTTTGGCCCTCGTCCGCCACCACCAAGCGCCCGGGGGGTTGAGGACCAAAAGCGGGGAGGAGTGGGGGAAAGGCGTGCCCGCCTGGGTTCTGTCGGATACTTACATGCAGCACGGCGGAAGGGGTCAAGCCTTGCCACCTGCTTCCCTCGGAGGCCTTTCACCTCCCAAGAGACTCCCCCAGTGAGGAACCCGCACCCTGGAGGTCTGTAGGGTACACACAACAAGCCGCAACAAGCCAAAGGGCGCCCAGCCTTGCCGTCTTTGCCACCTTCGGAAGTCTTGCATCCCCGGCCTTCGGTGCTTCAACGGCCACAGGGATGGGGGCCCTGCTGGGTCCAGACAAGAAGCGGGAAGGGGTCGGAGGTGGGCTTTTGGAGGCCGTCCCCCCTCAAAAAGTTACATCGGGGAGGGCCTTGGCCCCTGGACCCTGGAACAGACCTATTTATTTTGCTCTAAGTCGTATAATATTTTGATTTTTCGAGTTCGAGACGAGCAGACTTCTGAGATTCTTCTAATGTTTTCCGGCTGGCAACGAGCCAACTACCGAGGCAGTGAATGATGCTGCTGTGGCAGACGCACTCAATGCGCAGCTCCCGGCCTCCTCAGAGCAAACCGGTACCGCTAGTGCCTCACAAGCTTCGGGTTCCTCGTCTGGAGTTGCTGGCTCAGAAGTCACCCAGAGCGAGGCCCCTGAGGAGGAGGAAGAAGAAGCGGAAGAGGAATACGAAGACGAGGAAGACTAAGGCATCAAGAAGTTTCGTGTTCTTTCAATATCGATAGTTGGCCATGATGCTGCATCTGCAAGACACAGCCGCGTTATATATAGATATGTCAGTTTCGACATAGCCTCGTCAAGCAACACGATCACGAGCGAAACAAGAAGGTCAATCTATACAACAACGTTCACCACGTCGTCGAGTAGCACTAGCGACCATTTGGTTATTACTCAAAGATGATAGTAGTTGTAGTTTCAATGAATTTCAAAATAGTCTAGCACGTCCTCTAAGAAAGGGAAGTGTCAGATGTGGAAGACGAGGAAGCGGAAAGCGAAAGTGACGGTAGTCATCTTTCGAGCTCGAAAAGATCCGACACATCGGCACAGGCGACCGTCGAGGGACCGCGGGAGTCGAAGGGAAGAGAAACTAAGAACGACGCGGAAGGACCCCGTAAAGGCCCGCCAGCGCCAGCTCCCCTCGTAGTGACATCCAAGAACCTGATCCCACCTCAATCCTCGCCAGGAGTTAGGACTATTGACAGTTAACATTCTCTTTCTCATTCGGACGCTTCTTATAGATATTCGTGCAAAGTAGGTAGATAGACATAGCAAAAATACTACAAGAAGCACGTCGTAGTATCAGTATTTTTAAGCGATATTTTTTATAGATAAACGAAGCCCAAGCCGTTAGGGGTAGGGCTAGGGGCTGGGTCTTCGTGATGATGAAGAAAGATAGGGATGTTCCAATTGCAGGCGAGAAATAGTACTCCCTTTAGTACTACATGATGAATGTACTAGTGCTTATCATTTTCAGTTAGTCTTATTCTATAACGCGAATGATAACACCAATAATGAAGTAAAAGATGTAAATGAGGAATTAGTTGATGCTGACAGCCAGCTCTAAACTCGATGATGCGAGCTCTTCCGCAGTCGTAAGCGTAACGTCAGATGTTGACTCAGACGCCTATTTTCTGAAGCAGGCAAATGCAAACAATGGCGGTTCTGGCGAACCAACATCTCCAGTACTAATGATTCTTGACGGCCATCTTCGAAGATGATTCATATTGATGTTTTCTCGTCCCTGTAACAACTTCATCGAAAAAAATCTTCTACAGATGCCTGCTGAACTCGAGCCAGGATGCACTGGGATAGCAACACTCTATGGTGGGATGTATCCGCATCATCGTGTAATCTCGGGACAAACAAATGATGAAAATCCCGAACTTTTCGACGACGCAAAGCATGACGTTGTAATCGTCCACACGCGCGAAAATGAAGTACTTCTATTTTTTACTTAAGTGCACCAGCACCTCGTTGGGGTACAACTAGACTAGTCAACTCTCAATCCATAGATTATTTGCGCAAAAAGCATTGCCTATCTATGTTGCCATTGCTAATCCAATAGGCTCCGCCTGCGAGCATCGGTAATGAGGAGACACAAGAAGAGCAAGACCCTGATCCGCCCCTTCACTTATGGCATCTTGGGCTTATCCATAGAGATTGAAGGTAGAGCTGAGTTTTCCATATCCCATATAGGTTGGGTGTAGGTTTTTTCAGCTAGAACTAGTTATAGTTATAGTACTATTGGAGAAGGAACTTGTCTTATTCTGGGTACTCAATTCTAATCTCTGCTGAGGATGAGGCCGAGGAAGCGGCTTTATTCGCTTCGGAATTGCAGCGCTGGGATGCTTGGGCAAAGACTCGGTCTACTCAGTTTCTGCTTCCGTTGTTGAAGAAGGACATCGCTAGTTTTGTGGAGGAGATGAAGCAGCAGAACATCACCATCACCGTAGAAGATCTTGAGTGGTCTGAGCTGCTCTACAAGGAACCCTGTGCGAGTATGATCTACACCCATCCGGGTATCGCGGCATATATGGGCCTCAACGCTCACGGAGTCTCCGTTTTATGGCAGTACATCGATACCGGCGAACGAGGTGACCTCAGTGGCTGCCTGGCGGTCGTCACGAACACTTAAGGCATTGGCATGATAACCATAGATAACGCAGAATAAAAATATGGTGTGCTTAAATGAAGATGAGTAACAACAGATGCATATGTTTTTTATGTATGATTCAAAATAGAGAAGTTCAATGTCGATGTCTGTAGATGTCGTGATCTCGATCTTCACATCAAATAAAATCATGTCTCTTCCATTTGATAATCTTCTAAGATATGCTTATCCGTGAGATGCTTCTTTTGCCCAGTGCCAAGCACTGCCTCGCGTACCTTCACACCCTCTTCAACGAGGGCGCGATTGGCGTGCCTAATGCGTTTATTCTTTCGGATCCGGGTCACGTATTCTCCGCTGAAGTGAGCGCGCACTCGTTCTACGTAGAGGAAGCGCACGTGTGTCAAGGAGGCACCGTGGTTCACGGAAACCACCTAGAACTGGATCCAAATAGCGGAGTCCCGCCGTTAGGCCGCGATCTGACGCTGATGTACCCTACATCGAGTTCCAAGTGGCGCGTACAGCACAGTAGGGACTTCATCTCTCGCAAACGCAAACTGCACCCGTCAATGGGAGGGGTCCTGGTCTCGGATTTGTGCAATCTTTTCGGTGAGCCCCCACTGCAGCGGCCGATCCCGCCTTCGCTCTTGCGCGAAAAACTGGGAGATCCTAACTTGCGTGGCGACAACTCCGCTACACTCTTTATGAGGAATTTAATTTCTCATTCTCAGCCTCTTAGCATTAGCAGTTCTTGGATGAAAATCATGCCTCGACGATCTCGCAGTTCCAGTTTCCTGAGAATGATCTGTAAGTTGCATCAGATGATCATGGGAAAGAATATTTTCCGATTCATTCTGTTTCAGTGAACGATTCGCCTCTCTTGCAAACTTACGCCTTAATATTCTTTTGACCATGAGGAGGAGCATTACGATTAGTTAGACCATGATTCAATTATTTCTAAGGGTTGTGCTATGGTTTTCGACAACGAGCGTCGTGTGGGTTACTTTCGCTTCAAGAACGACGTTGATGGCGAGAAGACAGCGATGAAGCAGTTCGAAACGTTCACACGCGCTTCCACGGCGACGGGCTTGGGTAAACGGGCTTCAGTGCGCGCTAGCCTGAAAGCTGCTGAGGAGGAGGCGGAGAAAAATATGGCAAGGACACAAATTTAATGATAGCCTGGTCAGTAGTCGTTGTTGCCGCTGATCTTGATGTCCTAGTACAACTCGTTAGTTTTTTACTTGGATTCATTCGGATTGCATTTGCAACCCCAATTTCTTGAATGTTGATGATGTAGCTGCAACGGATCTAGAGAATTTCTTAGATATTAGAGGATGTCGTTGAGGTTGACGATGGCATAGACGTAGACTGAAGATACTTTGGAGGTTGTCGGTCTCAGATGTTCAGCCTTGTTCTAACCCAAGCTCGTCAGAAGAAATGGAAGCAGAAGATAGCCGCGACATGCGCGATGTGCTCAAGGACAAGGACACAGCCTACGTCAAGATCGAACTGCCGAAAAAAGAGTGGCGCAAGAACGCCATTCGTGATGAAGACTTCCTTGGAGAACGCCTTGGAAGGGTGTCGATAACAGCACCCTGAACATCAAACACAAAGTAGATTGTATGGAAGACTAGAATAGAGGCGAAGTGGTAATACCGATACTCGGTGACACTTTCCCTCGTCCTAGTCCAGAAGTATGGATGTACTTATGTGATTTACGAAGTAAGATATTGATATTCTTGGACTGAAACTGAATGACACCAAGAATTCTTAGCGCACGTACATAATATCAAGTTCAAGTGGTACCATACGCATACGGTACTACACCGTAGAAACTTACATGCATAAGCATGGAACTGGAAAAATAAGGAAGAATGAATATATCAAATATGAACAATTTGTAGCGAATCAATATATCTCAATCTGAATCTTAAAATTAGGTATTCTTCATAACGCTAACGGTAACTACCAGTACTTGCACCCGGAGGACAATGAACTAACACTAAGTGATGTGTTTATGATCATGAACACTTATTATCATACAGCACGATTCTGATTCATCTATTATTTTGACTACAAACTAACAGTAGCATCTACATCATTTGCTGCGGTGTGGCATAATCATTTTTCAGATCGAAACCTCGTTATTAAGTTGAAATCCATGAAAATCCGGGATAAGCATCAATCTACAAGATTCCGTAATCCATCATCTCATCAAAGGAATCATGAACAGCAGGAGCATTTGACTGACTTATTATCCGAAATACGAAGACATCAGAATTCCAACATCGTTAAGAGCTCACTAGAACTAGTACTACAGGTCGTCGCAACATTATTCGTTAGAAATGATTAGTGCAAGCCACGGAAGTGACTACTTCGGAAAGCCAAGATCACCATCTACTGTCAAGATGAAAATAGAAGATGTACTAGTAGCTTCTACTTTATGTATAAGTATAAGATTGAAAACATAATAGTAATAAATCATCAATCATGAACATCTAGCACTGTCATACGTCTAAGAAGGAAAAAAGCCAGTCGACTCAGCTCTATCCATATACCATAGCAGGGAGTAATTTGGTATGACGATGATCATCTGATGCACCTCAACGAATTCACTAATAAGATTCAAGATAGAACACTGGGAGTGATCAGTCGGGTACATCATAGCATTGATTCTCCGAATTTGCGAGCGTCTCAGAAAAACACTACGTCTCAGGACCTGCGCGTCGGACTTCTGATGAGCTGAGTTTAGTTTTAGACTCAAGTGGAGACGAGGTCGAAAAATAATCGCGATTGATTAGCAAGTACCGCGCGAAGAAGTGGTCCGTCCGATCGGTCTGCAGGTTCCAGAGCAAGGTGGGCGCTCGATGGACCCTTAAGATGTCATGGTGTCATCGATGGGTCGGTCTTGCTCTTGCTTCTGTCGGTCCTGCGACGCACTCGAAAGAAAAGCTGCTAAGGAGTGATCAACGGAATTTGTCATATCGATAATGACTAACATTATGCATCGAAATGCTCTGCGTGGCCGTGCTGTTGCGGAGAAAACCATAAAACAGCCTATCGGATAACAACGATCATACCTCTATGAAGCGTTGCGAAACGATAACGAAGATCAGCTCTCGTCTACCTTTACTACAGAACATATGAAAACAAGCAGCTAAACAACATCTGCTGATTCAAAGACCTCCCTTTCCCGCACACCTTACGCATGTCCTCTTCCTTTCGACGAACATTTTTCGTTACGTAATGTGTCGCTGTCAACACTTAATTTTTGATTATTTTTCTAGGAGTTCTTCGAGCAAGTAATCGCCGCTGATAAGCACCGGATTTTGTGGTACGTGGTTATTGTACTGACTACCGTCGCGAACTCTTTGCGTTTGCATGTGCATCCTTCTTGATAAAAAGCTTGTTTAATTAGGCGGTCAAGCGTTGTAGTCACCACCTGCAAACACCCACTGAACATTCCTTACACTTTTTTTTAGTCATAGCTTTGTTGAGTTTTCGTTCGGTTGCCGGATCATTCTTTTGATCCCCGAAAGATACAAATCAAAGGATTACTTCGATGAAATCGCAGTAGTTGTTGATGTAGCTGACGTCCAAGACTCGCAGTCCCGTTCCCTCCAGACCATGTCAAGTGGTAACGCGTCATCCAGCGCCAGTAAAGCATCTTCACCCAGTGGGAAGAGCTCAGCAGCTGCCTCCTCGCCTACTGCAAAAAGCTCAACCTCGCCTTCGTCCAAAGCCAAAGCGAAGGGTGCTGCATCCCCAAAAAATGCATCACGCAAGAAAAATGGCAAAGACAAGGACGAGGCGTCGTCTTCGTCGGCCGCTCCTCCAGCAGGGCCTGATCAAGATTTGCTTCCCGCGCTTCCGAACCTTGCACAAGGAGGAAAGCAATCAAAAGCCGACAAGCTCAAGGGGGCGCTCTTCAAAATCAGCTTTCCAGAGTTAGTTGCCGCAGCAAACGCACAAAAAAAAGAGGGCGAGGAAGGAAAGAATACGGCAGTGATTGTGATGTCACTCATTCTGCATTTTTGCATGAACGATGGGATTTTTGAACATGATTGAAGATACCCCTACCTTGCTTAGAAACATAGACTAGCACTACCAGTACTTATGAAGATGCTCATCAACAGAGCAAGGCCTAGTGGACAAGGCCAGCGCCCGAGGTCCCGTGAGTATGGTCATTTTTCCATCGCACTCACCTCCTCCATCCGCGCGCCAGCTTCCCTCCCATCTTCATACACCAAACCGAGCAAGAAACAGAGTGGACGAGGAGACGTGGGACGATTCTGGAGATCCATCGAAAACCCTTATTCGGCGCGCCCCCGCCACCGCCTTTCGAAATCGATTGGGGACATGTGCTAATGCAAGGTGGATTTGTCACATTGAAACGCGTCAAAGAGGTAGTCGCAGATCGCTTCGCGGAATTGAAATTGAAGTACTATGCTATAGATTCATTCTCCTTAAATTTTGATTTACCTTCTTCCAACAACTACCAGATCAACGTCCCTCACAAGAAAAGACGCGTCAGTAGCTTCGTCCTCATCAACTTTTATATATTTCAACTCAGAGAGATTTCGTTTTCAACGAGAATGATATTCGAGTTCGGGGACGACTAAATCTCCAACTGCTACTACTTCCAATAATGCAGGTCTGACGGCAAGCTGTTTCCTGGGTTGACGCTTGAGGACATTGAGCCGGACGATGTACTACTGAATAGGCCAGATCCAGCAACGGTGGAATTATGGATTGCAGGGATGTCGGGGAAGAAAAAGATTATGGCGGTGACACTTTCAATTGAGTATAATTTGTCTTTGTAGTGGTCGCTAATCATACGAAAATGTCTTATGCGTTATCGTTTCAATTCAATAATAACAACGTGCTAGTACTCATCTCCATCCAATTGCAAATCTCACTCTCCTCTAAGAGATCTCCCATCGACAATGATATCAAATTTCGAGAGCTTTTTTCGATTGAAACGGTACGCAATAAGGTGAAGCGAGTGCACTTTGTTGAAGAGCCGTGGGGTGCGGAGCTGGTCGACCTCGCATTTGACCTTCATATTCTCGATGAACATCGACTAGCTGCACAGGCTGCCGGACTGGAGGCTCCGGAAAGTATGACGAAGAAAGGAAAAAAGGCGAATAGTACAGTAATGGCGGACGGAGGAAAGTCGTTATCAGGAGCAGACAGTAGAAGCAACACAGCAGCAGCCACTTATCCAGGCGGAACGAGCAGAGAAGATGCTAGAAATTCTGCTGGAGCCGACGTTGCCACGGCCAAAGGGGAACCGTCACCACAGGACAACTCCGGAAGTTCTTCATCTAGCAGTTCCTCAGGCTCGTCTTCGTCAAGTGACGAGGACGGCGCGGAAGCGGGCGCCGCGGCAACAACCGAGGGAGAAGTCGATAGCGCCGATGCTCCCGAAGATGATGAATTTGTTATGACTTTGTCTCAAAGTATGGGAAGGGGAACAGTGAAAGACCAAATATCATTGTCAGTACACATGTCAGTACAACAGGCTTTACTTCTCAGAGTCTTTAGTTAAGACCAATCTATCAGTAACAGTATCAAACTCTGCAGTCTCTTTCTGTCACATCCTATCGATCCGTCTTGCTTCGACATGGAGGATTCATAGTACTCAAATGAATCAGTAACTTCAGCGGGTCGCTCTTCTACAAAATTACCACGATCTACTTGCTTCTAAGAACCCATCGCCACCCCCGCTAGAATCAGACGAACCTGAACCTTTCGCTCCGAAAGAGGGCGCTTTGTCCGAGAAAGATCGGAAAGATAAAGTCACTGCCCTGGTCGCCCAAACGGATGCCTGGTTGCGGAAAGTGCATCAGCACTATCAAGATTATGCTTACGTCGCCTTTGTGGCTCCACATGCAAATGGTAACGTCAGCGAATTAGTGAAGCAGATCATGGCGTATGCGCGGCAAGTAAAAACGTCTGAGGTTCTGACGCCGCATGCGATCCAACAGACATTCGCGCTACTGCGAAAGCACCTGATCGAAAGACCTCTGTTGTTCTGTGCACCACGTTCTGGCCGTCACGCAAGCGAAAAACGGATCTTGCGTTTAGAGCAAGCGACTGGGGACTTCAGTAGCTGGAAAGTCGCTGCACTCCCACCACCAGATCCAGAAGCGAGCTCGCAGTTTGCGTCGCTCATGGGTCTAAAAACGTGGAATTCCGGAAACGCAGCAGCAGCCAAAGCGGCTTCGTCCATTACAACCACTCCTGCTTTGGTAGGAAGTGGGAGCACAGGCAATTGGAATGGCAATCATGCTTCTCCTGCAACAAATTCCAATGAGGGAAATAACGCGACTATTCCCGAGAAAGAAAAGGGCTCCCTTATTTCAGGAGAAACTACTTCTATTTCTGGCGGTGGCGTATTGATGCAGAAGGCTGCAGCACTTGCTTCTGGCGAGCCACCCGCCAGTGCATCTCCCAAAGCAAGAACCAAGGCTGGAGCTACTTCCTTACCACCCGCAGTGACGAAGTCATAACTTGTAGTTGTACGAGACCAGAGAATATGCTGTACTTAGTCTTGGAACAAGCATCTACCGAGGAGATTTGAAACAAGAGAATTTGAAAGAGGTTTGATTTTTTGAAAGTAGAGGTACTCACAACTTCATCGACTTGAAGATGGACCGGCAGCGAACCTACATTTTCTCTTGCGTCTGCTCTTGAGCGAGAGCCGTCTGCTCTTGAGCGAGAGCGATCACGCTTAAGCCTGAAGAGGTGAACTGTGACCTGCGTGCGAGCGCCTTGGGGTAAAATTGTCGTCGTTTTGGCGGTCGGTCTCGGTCCTTTTTACGATCAACTGTCGACCTCGAGAGTTTTTCGATTTTTTCGATTCGAATTGCTATCGTATGGATGTTCGCTTTGCCGCCTTACGTGATGCGTAGTCGAGGACATGACAGACATCGAAGAGCGAGGAAATGAGCGTCATGTCATCGGAAAAAGGAACCCTTTCTGCTTCCTCGAGTAAAAGAAAACTTACACAGTCAGACAGATCAGGGGAGCGAAGAGCGCGCAAGAAGACTTGGAGTGGGAGCGGAGAGGCTAAATCAAAAATCCTACGAAAGGGTGGCAATAATACTGAAAGCAACTGCGCAGAACCTTAAAGCACGATGACAAACTCCGTACGTTTCGAAATTGATCCAGCAAGCTGTTGAGATGGTTGCTATCGTGAAAATTTTTGTTTCATCTTGTAGTTGTACTTATTAAATGTGCTAACCAACATACTGCCACCGCATACTGTGCGGAAGATACACCACAGTAATGTTTCCTTTCTGTGCGCTCGCCGACCTCAGCGGGCTACTTTTACTCAAGTACTTTAATTTATTATGACAACATGAGATGACATTGACACTTCACAACAAAAATTGTAGAAAAAGGTGACGAGGAGCTCGAGCACATCAGGTTGAACTTGTAGTATCAAAGTAACTAATTATATATAAGCGAAAACCAACACCAAGATTGTTCTTGCTGTTGGAAAAATTTAGTTTCTAGTGATTCCTTTGATCGATGACAGATGACTTGACTGTATTACACTAAAATTAGACACGCACACACTTCGCATTCGCATATTGAGGGAGTATTTTTTTGAGCTCTATTAGCAATTTGGGGGTGATTATCAGTAATCAATGTCATATTTCTTGTTTTCTTCACTGCAACCACTTACTTTCACTAAGACAGAGAACGCCTTATCCCCTTCTAGTTACATAAAAAAAAGAAAACGTGTGTAACCTAAATTCCGTTGATGGCGAGATTTTTGCTTAGCGCCTACCAGAGAACAAAGTTTGAAAGAAGGAATTAGCGTCGCATTCGTTCCTCTCGGGTTGTCATTGTGGTAGACCAATCTGGATCGGTCGGTGCAACGATAATATCGTAGCTACCGAACGCCTTTTCAAAAATATTATCACTTCCAGCTGCGAACACGAAGGGCGCCTTTCTCCTAGAGAACGAAGTAAGAAAGACGACAGTGCCTTGTACATCTTGAAGAGGTCTTCCCCCTGATCAACATCTTCTTGCTGTGCGGCGCCAGATCGCGGTCAAGATTTGAAAAAGACGACCCTTATTTTGTCTTCGCTGGAGCTAGCCTCGGACGTTGCCTTCTCTGGTACTACTACAGCCTCCGTCCTCCCTCCACGAACTACGTCCAGTCCATTGACGAGGCAAAATGGTGATTCCAATGCCTAGCGTCGCTGTTGCGGCGTACCCGTCAGACAAGGCCATGAGATACAGGAACATCTTTTTCGCGCTTTCAATACTCATATCGGCCGCCGCTGCTGTACAGGTAGCAGAACCTGAGGCCTAATTTTGATGTCTGGTTTAACACCTCTTTTCACATTCACTCTCAGATGAAAATGTATATTCTTTTCGCACAACTACAGCTAGACCTAGATTTTTAATGAAAAAATCGTGAAGGTTCCACTTCCATCAACTTACTACTTCATGATCTTCCAAGTTTATACCCACACATAGATGTTCGTTATGAAGGAGATTATGAACGGATTCATGATGGGCCTTATAGGAGTCTGCGGATTCTATTGCCTTCGGGATCAATCAGTGGATATGCAGTGCCTCATGAGCTGGGGGATAATATGCTGTACTTGATGTTGCCTCTTCTATTCATTTACACATTTATCACGAAAATTATTGTATGCACGGTATTTCTTGTAAACGCACCAGGAACTGTTTCATCTTGCCAGTGATGAGGAATAGTCACTAGAGATGCACACATGACATGTCCTGTAAAACTAGGCTTGACAATATTGGTCATGGCTTTTGCCTTTCCCTTTGATAGACGAGCGACGGGTTATGCGTAAGGCCGTACCTGTTTCTTTTTTTACATGTGTAGCGGCACAACATGTAAAAAAAGTGTGATCAACACGACCTTGTGCTTCACTTTTTCCACGTCCTCGAAAAACAAATCGTACCAGTTATTAACGGCATTCTCGAAGTGGTGAAATTCATAGACCGAGTGGTGCACCTGCCGCCAGGCGTGGAGGTTTTTAGCACCGATAACGGATTCGAGAGCAATTTCATAATGGTGATACTAATCCTGGGTATGATCTCGATGCTCGTAGTGTCTATACTGGCTTACAACGTCTATTCGGACCAGGATCTCTTCGGCTCAGGCGGCGATGACAGCTCAAGATGGGGTGGACGTACTTATTCACCACATCATTGTGAGTTCTTCAGAAAAAGAAATCATGTAAAACACACTAGTAGATATTTGAAGTCCTCAATCTGTCTAAATGACTTTGCCTTAGATAGCTTTGACGACTCTGTTACTGTTTTCTTCCTCCAGAACCTATTCCTACGTAGAAGAACGATGAGGCTGGTGTGGCTGCTCATCATATTCTTCAACTTGCTTCCAACCCTTTACTCCACAGCCCGTCAGTCGCCAAGAAATAGCAGCTATGGAGCGGTTCAAAATTTTGGTGGAGGTACACTTGGATCGTCGCCTGCGGCACCGGCTCAATCGCAGAACTTTCAGCCATTCCAAGGCAAAGGCAATGTTTTAGGGGCATAAACTGGAGCATCTGGTGCTGCTTGTGAATATTTTTCTTGCCGCCCCGCACAGCTTGGTCGTCTATTGAGAATGATGATATATATCGCTGAGCCTTAACCTTACATTTACGACCGAGCTGCGCATCGGTTTCAATCCGCACCAAAAATCTTCTTCTTCTTTCTAATAAAGTAACTCTACATACAAGGAAGGAGAACAACATCAAGTCAGAAAAAAACATGAAAATTCTGCATGGGACGAAGTTTGTTGGAACAAATTACCTCGATGAAGGTCTTGCCTTCAAAGCAAGGACGGGAAAAATCATTAACCACAAACATGCAGCATATGCATTAAAATATTGCTCTAAGTAAGACGTGCTGCTGCGTCTCTGAAATACGAATCGTGTTCGTGTTCAATTACCCGCATTTTGATCCGACCAGCGTGTTGTAAGCACTTACTCCACGATCTTCATGATAACTCTCCATCACGATTGAACGGAAATCATGCAAGCCGAACATATGCGATGTATGAACCTGAAGAATCTGATCCATCGGTCTGTTGATGATAACATTTTTTCAGACGAGTACAATTACAATATTTTTCTCATACCGCACTTGATCTTCGCGATCGTTGTATCAAATTATCAATGAATGAACAACTTTAAACCATGAAGATTTCTTTGTCCAGCTTTTATGATGATGGAGATGCTGTTCTTGCTCTAAAAAAGTAGGTGCAAGATGATAGAGGACAACGCAATGTAAAGGTCTCAACTGTCAATAAAAACTAGCAACCCTGAAATTTTGACATCATCATCATGAAAAAAATGGCATCTGGTCCTTTGAAAATGACGTCGCAAATACTCCGTTTTCTTTTCGTGCTGTCGGCTGCTCTCCTCCTGGTTCCAACAGGAGCTTTGTTTCTTGACGAAATAGGGAAATGGGACTGGGCATTGCACAGTATAGGCGCACCGCGAAAGTTTCTCTATACAAAGAAGGCTATCGTCACAGTTTCCGGCGACAACGTGCTAGCCTTGCTCTCATGGAGTAGTGGTAAACTGGCCTGGAGGAAAGTATTGGAGAACAGGTATATTCGAGAGGTCGTTGTGGACCGCTCAAAATCAAGAGCCTTCGTCCTTTCGAGCGAGCCGACACCGGGGAGTGATGGTACTTGCTTCACGTTCAACGCTAAAGGTCGCGCAGTCGATAGAATTTTGTCCGAATCAATGTTTCCCAATACCCAACGGCCGAGTACCTATGTATGAAGAATGATGACATTCTTCATGGCAAAAAATTATCATCGGTGGATATGATATCACTCAACATCAACACCTACACCTTTAGGTCTAGTTCACGTGTCATGTTTTGACGCGACGGCATCCGGGGAGCTTCTGTGGGAAAAGAAATTCCCCGACGCGACTGCTGGAACAACGGCTATCGCCCTGGCATCATCAGAATCTTCGCAGCAACTGACTTTTGCTTACGAGGGAAGTCAGGCGAAGAAATTCACCCTCCTCGGGCTCGACGACGGCACAGGAGAGCCATCCTGGAAAACTACTGGAAGTGGCCGCAGCAGCGCAATATCGAGGGCTGGAAACCAAATCACGGTTATCGGACCCGGAAGCTTTCGACAGCTGCAGAAGAAAGATGACAAGTAAGAAGGAAACCGCTAGTGGTTTTTTGCTCAGCGTTTTAAGTGTTGATGTAGAAGTTGTACTAGTAGTTTAATAACAAGAACAAAGTATGCATAGTGATTACTTAATACGATCGCACTTTTTAATATTTTCTTCACAACTTGAAAATGAAACTCAAACTACTCAAATCAGGCCTTCCGGTTTCAAAGAGGTGAAGGTTGAGGGAAAGTCACTCGACATTGCGCTCATGTTGCAAAATTTCGTCGTACTAAAAGAGGGACCAAAAGCCAGCAGTGGCGTTGTCGTCAACGTGCTAACAGGCAAATCGGCTGGCAAAGTGGCCTCCCTCGGCAAGGGGCTTATACCAGTCCCGAATTCCGACTGCTTTGTACTCGCAGAAAAGCTAGAGTGCGTAGATTCAGCGAAGCAGACAGTTGTTACTCTATTCAAAGCTCCAGCAGCAAAGCGGTTATTGCCCTTGGAAAAAGTACCAGATGTCGGAGCCGCGCAAGCCGACGCAGAGGCACCAACGACAGCTGTGTCGATCCTGATCGTTGGGGAAAAAACAGGTATAATCGCATAGTAAGCACCTAGTTGTTCTAATTTCTCACTTTAGGTACTCATGACCATGTTTTATCTAGTATACCTATACGACCTTCACTTACGTTTCATTTTCCATAACGGTGATCGTGATGTCATGCCTGCGTATCTAAGTGTACTGAAGAAGATGCATGAAATTCCACCGTGAGCAGTCGCGCTGTACTATCGAACGTTCACCATTAGGCGCTCAAATCGCGACATTTGATCTAGCTAGCGGAAAAGAGTCTTCTGCGAAGACCACAGTTTCGCTAGAAATGCTCGACAGCATGCCTACCTACGTTGCGCAACGAGATGACAAGTATTTGCTGGCTTCCGCATCGCACGAGCTCCTGGTGAGCGACGGCAGCGCGTCAGTTGTCTGGAGAAGGGAGGAGGGACTTGGCTCAGTCGCAGACTCGAAGTTTTGGAATGTGGGAGTGGTACTATTTGTTGTTAAAAATCCACAACTCGAACTCAAGAACCGTCGAGCTTGTAATATATCCGTTGTAGTGATCCCGTGATTTAGGCAGCTGTTGCAGCAAGGAAACTTGTAGCCAGCTGCAGCTGAGTAAAATGATTAATTATGTAAGAATATTAACCCTCCGTAATTCAAACGCAACCCACTCCCACATCAGGGCTCCGAAGCGCTTGTCGCAATATCCGGGAAGAGCTCTGTTGAAAAGGCGGCCGAGGGATTTGATGTTGCTGCCGCTGCTGAGACACTGTTGAATTTTGCTGACACTAAGGCAAGCGCAATCTTGCAACTCCTTGAAAACCTTGGACGGCTCGCAGTTTCCATTATTGCACCGCCATTGGCACCCGCGCCACCCGTGGTAAACTCGCAGACTCCAAAACTGAAGTTTGGTAGTGCCTCTTCCTTGATATTATAGTAGTTTCCAGGACGTATTTGAAATCAATGCAGCAATCATGATGTATACTGAGTAAAAGAGCCTTTGCAGACACACAGTCCTTCTTTACAAACTTTCAGTTCTTGCAGGCTCTTGATGATAAATAGATGTCCTTGGAATCGCCACACTTGATCGATTCATTCCTTTTCAGATCCTAGCTCGAAGATGCTTCCAACGCCAGTTGCGCCACGGTCGGCAGAAATTTTGCGTAGCTATGATGGCAACCAACTGATTTTCGCGCTCTCAGTGAAAGCTTCGAAAGTCTACGCTTTGGATGCACCCACTGGAAAAATGGTTTGGACGCGTTTTCTTTCTTTACCGGAGAACAAGGCATCGGATGAAAGCACAATCGGAAAAGTGTCTATCCAAACAACTGCAAGCGGCACCGAGCAATTGCTACTCGAGGTGTCGCGTCTTTCTGGAGCGGAGACTACCTCAAAGTTCTGGGTTCTCTCTCCTCTAACGGGCAACGTGATCAAGTCACAGAGTTTTACTCTACCTGGAGCCGACGTTACTGCTGTGCCATTGAGCGGCCAAGGATTGCTTTTGACGAGCAGTGACAGCACAGGGGCAGTTGTTAAGTCCTTTCAGAGCTCAAAAGCTGCATCGTCTTCGGACGAAGAGCTTCAATCTAGTATTCCCAGCGATGTGTATGGCGTGGATGCCCACGAAAACACGCTCACCGGTTATGCACTGCTCGCAGGATCCCTGCAGAAACAAACGGTTTGGACGCTCGACTTCGGGTCACTTGGAGAGAAGGTACTTGGATACCAGAAGTCAGTCGACACGGAACAAACAGTGCCAGTCCACGTTCGAGGAGACGCAACAGTGATGTACCGATTCTTGGACCCAAATATGCTGGTGGTCCTCGCTGAGAAGTTGCCATCCGACGATGAGGCAGCAGCGTCCCAATCGTACTCCTCATACGGGGACGATTCTGCCGAACTCGCGATCACGGGAGGAGGTGGCCTTACGGTCTACATCCTTAACGGCGTCAGCGGACAAATATTGCACCAAAACAGGATCACTGAGGGCGCAGGGCCAGTGCACTTTCTTGCGGCAGAGAACTGGGCACTTGTGCACTACTGGAACCAAGTGCGATCAAGGTACTTACTTGAAGAATGGTCCATACTTACAATTCATTTACTGTACCTATTCATTCGATTCGGTCGACGGCAGTTGTTGTATCTGCGAAAACGAAAAGTGAAAAACCAAATATAGGTGACATGTAGTTCTAGTTCGTTTCTCTGAATGTAGAATATCTAATAAATATGCGGTCGCTCTGTAACTGTATTCTGCCATTTTGATGGACATCCACAGGTTTGAAATTTACGTCGTTGACTTGTACGAGAATCGGGAGGACGGAGGAGCGTGGAAGCTGCTGTTTGGCGCTGAGCCAAGACCAAGGTCGGCGTTTCAGCTCGATACGCCTATCCCTATCCATCAGACCTTCATCTTCCCACATCGCGTAAAAGCTATCGGCATCACGCACACAGCGAAGGGCATCACACAGAAGGCCGTGCTCTTCAGCTTGGCGCATGGGGAAAGCGTAGTAAAGCTGAACAAAGATCAATTGCTGAATCCAAGGAGACCACTCAAGCTTCCAGATGGTATTTCTATTTGCGGATTTGAAAACTAAAACTTTATGCGGGATTATGAACTAGGAATCAGTCTAAGGACTCGAAGAGTACATTATATATATCGTACTAGATGCACTCGCTAGACCTCCATTTCAAGTTGTTCGACCACATCAGCCCTCTTTGAAACCTATCAGGTACCGACGACAAGGCTCGCATGCAGGTGTTGCCGAAGAACCTGCAGGTTACTAAGGACGACGTAATTTTCCCCTACTCTCCTCTGCTTATAGTAGCGCCGCAGGATATCCTGTCATACTATTTACCCGTGCGCGCATCGAAGTTCGCATCCGCCGCGACTAGTCTGGAGAGTACGAGTTTAGTGCTTGCATACGGCAGTCTGGACCTGTTCTTTGCGCCAGTGCGACCAAGTCTGGCGTATGACATTCTCGGCGAATCCTTCGATTATTTCATTCTCTACTCAACGGGCGCTGCGACGTTCCTGGCCTGGGCAATCACACAGAAAATGGTACGCAGCAGGCAGCTCAGTGACAGGTGGAAGTGAGCTGCGGAGTGTTTCAAAGTCATGCATGCTGTATCCCCTCCCTGCTCCGCTCCCAGCGACTCGTTTTGAAGCAGGAGCAGCCTGTAATCTCTTCGCGGTCTTCGCTACTCCTGCTTTCCCCAACCCCACATAAAGATAGTGCGCTTGTAGTTTCACATTCTCTTCTTCAATTGACGCGTTTTGGTTTATTATTATTTCACGGACCCATCCGTACGCTGCTGGACAGTCGCCAATAAGGCTGAATTCTTCTAGTAGGCGCTACAAAATGATAGGAATCACTCTTGCTGAAAAATTCCCAGAGAAATACAGGCCCCAGACAAAAGAATCGTGTTCGACCGTGAAAGTAGGCGGTCTTGTTGCCGTTGGAGAGCAAGATGAAGAAACAATATTTGTATCCCACAAGGCCGAGCCTGATTCCTTGTTGAACAAGAAATTGAAATTAGAGATGATACGAAAAAGCGAGTAGTACAACTTACTAGAAATACCAGATCTTCTAGTACAGAACGTTGGACAGATAATTTTTTAAAGTCGATCTATTTCAAAGCAATCCACAAGCAAAATAACGAAAACGGGCGACCGCAAAAATCACGATTTTCATCTCCAAAAATTATTTATGTAGTTGAGCCTGTGGCACGAAGGTGAGGGAGTCCGGACGGATATTCCTAGGGTATTCATAGTCAGAGTATATGAAAATGAAGCATGTGTGAAGTAGATGGCGGCGCTTGTGTGAAAATGTGGAGGTAGACAGCATCGATGGTTGTTGCCACGCCACACGGCATCAAGACACGGAGTCTCACTTGCTGGGCATGAAAAAACGACTTTTTGATGTGCGGTAGGTGACGACGAAGCTGAATCCACGCTGTGCCGTTTTGTTGCGGACTGCGATCGCACAGAGCCTTGTCGTGCGTCGACCGCGAAGAGTGCGTGGGAGGCTCTAAACAAGTTCTCGACTGCTCGGGGGCGAGCTTCTTTTTGTAGCCCATCGGATCCGCCCGATTTTCATAGAACACAGGAAGAAGAAACAGTAATGTGTTTGAGCAAGAGGACCGTAAAAGGCATGGCGTAGTCCGCAAAACAAGAAGAGACATAAGGAAAATGAAAAATCTCGGCAAGAACCTGTCGAAAATCGGCAAAAATTTGCGGCAGAGTGCGACGGCTTCAAGTAGCAGAGCACTTCCCTCGTCAAGCGAGAACACTCCAAACGTCGGCTCTTCGTCAAACGACCCGCATGACGACCTCGACGATGCCGACGGCGGCTCACCGACAGTTCCACGGGAGGTCTTTGTCGATCTGCAAAAGACGCTGCGCGCACACCACGACGAGGAGCGAAAACGCGTGAATACCTTCGAGACTAAAATCAAGAGTCTTGAGTCTCAACTAGAACTCAAGGCGGAGGAACTACGCTTGACCGCGGAACAGGAGCGCGATTTACGACAGAAACTGGAGCAGCAGGCTGCAGACTTACGGGACAAAAGCAAAACAGAAACGAAGTTGCGAGCGAAACTCGAGAAGCAGCGCGAAGAGTACAAGCAAGCCGCACTGCAAGCGGAGGCGCTGGAAACAAAAGTCGGCGAACTGATCACGTCGCATCGGCATGGGCGCAGTTCTCTAGACGGTTCGAGCCACGCAGGCGCAGACTCCGTGCTGCTAGAACAGAAAGAGGAGGAGTTGCGTCTTGCAGATGAGCGTTGTCGGGCTGCGGAAGAAAGACTGCGGGTCGCAGAGGAAAAATGTCAATCCATCGAAGAGAAATGCCGCATGGCAGAAGACGGAAAGTCCGTGGCTGAAGGCAAATGCGTTGCAGCGGCAGAGGCGCAAAAAGTAGTGGAAGAGAAAGCAAATGCAGCTGATGCGCGCTGCAAAGAACTGGCGGAGTCGAGCTATGTTGCGACACAGGAGGTTTGATGTCGTTTCTGATGAGATGCTGTTTTCTCAGGCATGTCCTTCATGTTACTTCGAGTATCTGAATCCCATAATTTCGATTTTTCAGCAGACGTGTTGGATTGTATTCGTAATAACTATCTATCATTCACGATTCTGTAGCACGCATGCAAAAGTGAGCCTTTCTGTTTTAGTGATGCTTTCTTCTTCTACAAGTTGAAGCTGGCACGCAAGCAAGTGAAGCTCGCACTATTTTTCTCGATGACGTAAAAGTAAAAGTAAATACAGAAAATCAGGATTACTTTTTCAGGTCGAACGGCTGCGCGCAATCGTTGCTGAAGCCGCAACGAGTCAGTCCGCTGTGCGCGACGAGCTCGCAGAAGGGCATTCCCATAAGCTGGCCCTTGCACGCGAGGAGGGTGCCAAAAGAGCCCGCGATGAAGCTGCTACCCTCCGTGATCAAGAAGTGGCGCGGGAAAGTCAGCGAGCTGCAGAGGAAAAGGCACGTGCATTGAAGGAGTTGGAAGAACGCCTACGTGCCGAGATGGAGGCGCAGTCTGAAAATCGAGCCAAAACTGTAGAGGCGGAATTTCTCGGAAAGTTGCTCGAAGAGAAGGAGCGACTAAACGCTAGTGAGGCTCAATTTCGGGCACAGTTGGCAGAGGCCGAAAGTAAACATGAGAGCACTACAGCGCAGCTTCGCGGAGAAAAGGAACGGCTATCAAGCGAGTTGAGCGCTTTAAATGACGCATCAGAGAGTGAGCAGCGGTCGTTTGCCACATTGGAAGCAGGCGCCCAAAAGGAGTTGCAGGCAGCGTTAGCCCGAGAACAAGCGGCGCACCGGCAGGCAGTGGACGCTTTGCGAGAGCAGGCGCGTGCCGACCAGGAAGCAGCGGTGGAAAAAGTTCGTGCAGAGGAGACGAAACGGTTAGAGGAAATCGAGCAACGGCATCTCGAGCAACTCCGTAGTGAATATGAGGAACGTCTTGCAACGCTGAAAGCAGACCAGGAGCAGCGGGTGGCAGATGCGCGGCTAGAGGCTGAGCGACGTGCTGAAGAGGACCGAGAGCGCACGGAACGGGAAAAGATTTCAGCCCTCGAAAAGCAACAGCTTGAGTCGGAGCGCGAGAGCGAACGATGCTTGGCAGCAGAGCGAGAGCGGCTACGAATAGAGCATGAACAAGCGGTCCAAAAGATTCAGGGGGACTTTTCGGCCGAACGCTCACGATTAGGGGAGGAGACTGCGCGCACTTTGGCGAGCGCAAGAGCAGAGGGTGCTTCTCGCGTAGAAAAAGAATTTAAGACCAAGATTGATGCTCTGCGACGCGAACTTGATGTTGCCCATGTTGCTGAACTGGCAGCAGCACAAGCAGCAAAACAGCTTGAGATAGAGGAGCTGAAAGCGGAGCATGCGACTGCTTTGGATACGCGAGTGCATGGCGAGCGTGCAGCTTCTTCGCAAGAGCACGAAGCGGCACTCATCGCTCTAGAGGCTCGTCTCACACAGGAGCACGCGGCGGCCACTCAGGTGCTCACGCAACAGCATAGCGAGGACGTGCGCATTCGAGACGCAAAACTCCGAGAGCTGCTCGATGAAAAAGACGCAGAGCATTTTACGGTAATGCAACAGCGCGATGCTGCACATCGCGAGCTCGTCGAGGCGCATTCGAAAGCGTTGGGTCAAAGGGACGCGGAACACGCAGCTGAGCTGTCTGCCGTTGAAGAGAAGAGTGCGAAAGCCCTTGCAGACCGAGAGGCTCAGCATGGATGCAGCGTTGGAGAGCTAAACGCCGAGTGGAAAGCGCGCTTGGCTGAGGCCGAGTCGCTGTTGCAATCAAAACTTGCGGAGGTATCTGAGTCGCACGCGCGTCTGGCGGAAGAGCGTGACGCAACGCACAAGGCGGCTTTGGCACGAGCAGAGGAAACCAATGCGCTTGCATCGGAGAAGAGGGAGCGGGAAGTGCAAACGCTTGTGGCAGAAAAGGAAGCGGCGCACAGGAGCGCGTTAGAAGAGCGAGACGCTACACATCACAAGCGCGTGGAGCAGCTTCTGACAGAGCGTTCCAGCGACTCTCTAGCGCAATTGCAGAAAATCACGGAGGAAAAGGCGGCAGAACAAGAGAGGTTGCGACAACAGCACGCCGCGGCTTTGTCTAAAGCACGAGAAGATCACAGCGCTGAGCTAGAGCGCCTTCGAGAACAGCATGCGCGCGACAAAGATGAAGTTCTGCTTCGGGCAATGCGAGAGAAAGATGAATTCTTCGCACGGGAGACAGCAGCCCTCCGCGAACGCCACGAAGTGGAAGCACGTGAACAGAAACTGTCACACGAAGAAGCGCTGCGCAAGGTGGAAATTGAGTCTGCCCAACAGCAGCACGAGTTGGAGCAGGAGCTGAAAATAGCGCGTGCCGAAAAGGACGCGGCCATGCAAAGCTTTCAGTCCAGCGCTCAGGTTGTAGAGCTAGAGCTCACTCAAAAGGCAGAGAAAGCACGTATCGCGTCCGAGTTTTTACAGAAACGCGTAGACGATCTGGAGGCCTCAGAACTCGAGTTGAAGGGCCAAACCATCCGTCTCGACGAAGAGCGCACAAAGTTAGTTTCAGAGCGCGATGAGTTGCGCAAGGACCTGCAATCGAAAGCGGAGCAGCTTGACGCAGCAGAGCGGCATCACGAAAAGCAGTCACTTGGGTGGCAGGCGGAAAAAGCGTCGATAACTGCGGATCATGAAATGCAGATGCTGCATGTGAGAAAGAGCGTTGAAGACGCGACTGCGACTGAACACAAGACCATACTCGACAAGCGATTGGCCGAGGTCGATCAAGAATTTGCTGCGAAGCTCTCAGCAGCGACGGTGGCGCGCGACGAAGCAGTAACAGCCGCAGCTTCTCAGCGTGCCTCGCTACAGGAACGCATTGTCGGATTGGAAAGCAGTGTGAAGGAGGGTCAGGAAGCGATCGCGCGGTTAGGCGAGGCGCGAGCAAAGCTTGTAGAAGAACACGCTGCAGCCATAGAGCGGATACACACTGCGCACGCAGCGCAAGTGGCTGCTACTGAGGATCGCGCGAGCACAGCGGCTGAAAAAGCTGCTAAGGATACTGAGTCAAAAATCACTGAGCTGCAGACGCAGCTCACGAATCTGAAAAAAGAACGCGCAGCAGAAAAAGATGCATCGGAAGCCGCGCTGTATGAGAGCGCAACAAAATGCGGCACGCTTGAAGATAAGCTCACGAAAGCAGAAATGGAGATGATAAAAGTGCGGGGGGAAACCGATCGTATAATTAGTACCTTTTTTTTACCGTTGTTGTTATTTGAGTAGAAGAAGAAGTTGGAGTTTCTGCATCAGCTTGTCTACGCCTCTCACACTAATTGTAAATTTGCATCAAGTTGTTTCCGCTTTTGCTCTCGCTGCTTCTCTGATGTATCGGTATCCTCGTCAAGTTTTGATTTCTATTCCTTGTCGATTTCTATTCCTAAGTCGCCATCAACGATAACAAACGAATACGAAAACCCATGATAACTTCACTGATCTTCAGAATTGCGCGAAGAGCTCAAAATGGTAGCGAAGGCGCATCAGAATGAAGTAGAAGGACTGCAGGACATGCATATGCATGAAAAACAGGAGAAGCATGAGGAGTTTATGGATTCTAGCCGTAGTCATGCCGCGGAAGTGGCCCGACTGCAGGAACAGGTCATCGGCCTTAGAGCAGACCTGCACAAATCGGAGACAACACAGCGGCAACTTCTTCAAAAAGCACACGAAGAGGAGAAGATCAGAAACGAAGAGCAGGAGGCTGCAAACAGAAAGCAGAAGGAGGAAAGTTCTGAAAGAGCAGCTTCCAGAAATGCTAGCCCTTCATCAAAGGACACTTCTTCATCGTCTTCACCAAACAAAGTTGCGCAACAAGATGGAGGTCAAGAAAAGGCGAGTGGTACACCGGCTGCGCTAGCATCCTCTCCTGACAAACAAAAGAGTACTGTTTCCGTGGTGCCAACACCACGCACAAATGCCGAGTTTGAGCGTCGCTTGCAGGACATTCGGGAGGAGTTGAAGTCGCAAATGACCTCGTCCGAGGAAACTCGCTATCACAAGGCTGTCGCGGATATGCAATCCGAAATTTCCAGGCTGAAGAGCGAATGCGACGCTCAGATGGTGACGTTGCGCAAGGAGAAGGAGGCACTCGAACAGACTATGAAGAGCGAGAAAGAAAACAGTGAAACGGCAATGCAGAACAAGGAGCAGCTGCTTGATCTCGCGATGAAGGAACGCGATGCACTTCGAGAGGCACTCATCGAAACAAGAAGGCTGCACAAGCGCAGCAAGAGGAAGCTTCAGCAGGCAGCATCGGCTGGAGGAGCGTCCAATAATTCTCCGCTTGGTAACGCTAGTACAGACGCTGGTTCGAACACCGTCCCAGCTCAGGGCACCCACGAAAAGACTGCTGGCGGAAATAGTAGGCGAGCACACGCAGAAAGCGCTGAAGGCGACGATGGAAAACAAGACTCGTTTCGATCACCTCGAAAGGAAAGACGTCGAGGCGACCGCACAAGTTCAGAGGAATTGATGTTTGTCGCGGGGAGAGAGATCGTTCCTGGGTCCGCCCGCACGCGGGGCAGCAGTGGCGACAAGCGCAGTATCCTGAACCTCTCAGTTTCTTCACCGGAGAGGAGTGCTAGAGGTAGAGGGCGGGGCGCAAACAAGATTCCGTCTAGTCGAGAAGACCAAGCTCTTCATGCGAGTCTTCAACAAGCACCTGTCTTCAGTGATGTAGCAGATAAGTCGATGCAGCAGGATGGAAACAAAGAAAACAAACAGGATGCGAGGTCGCTTGGCGGAGATTTGCTCAAAGATCAGGTCAATCGAGAAGGCGTTTACCGCTTCAAGAATCCAGAGCTGTCCCCTCGTCTTCTCTTTGCGAATGGTGCGCAGGGCGCTCCCGCAGGTGCAGTAGCGCATCAAGGAACATCACCACAGAACAAGGGGCTCGTTATGATTAACCAGCCCACTACGACTACAGCAGATACGCCAATGTCACCTTTTAAAGGAGGTTTTTTGCAGAATGGCTACGGTGCCATTCAGAAACTGTTGTCTCCAAGGACCCCAAGCTCGCCGACAAAACAAGTAGATCCACACGCCGCCTTCTATTTCGACGTGGAGGAAATATCACCACGAACAAAGGTCTTGATTCAGCAGCAGAGGCGCATATTCTCTGATACACTGCACAGAGACAGTGCCGAGGCTGGATTACAACCGAAAAATCGTCATGAAGAAGGGCGACATCACGTACCTAGCACCGCTTCGCAGCAACTGCATCAAAAGGCGCAAAAGGGAGGCGTTGATGACCTTGTGAGCAACTCTGTGGAGGAGGCAAATCGAAGCGCTCTGCTCCGCAAAGCCGTGGATCAAAGCGCTGGAGTCCCGTTGTGGCTTACCCTACGTGTCAGCGCAGCTGAGGCACGCACGGCAACGACGATGATACGGCTTAAGGACCGCAGTCCTGCTTTAGCGACTTGGGAACCGCAGTCTCCAGAAGCTTTGGTGCAACGGAAGCCCTCGTATGGAAAGCCGCCGCCGGATTACTTTCCGCCTTCTCCACAGTCTCAATCAAAAAATGCGCAAACTGGAGGTGGTGTGGCTCATCAACGACAGAGCTACAACATCAGATGTGATATGGTGGATCAAGCAACATCTCCTGTGAGACTAGACTTTTTGCCAAGGCGTGCGGAAATCGGAGATGAGCTATCGATGCACGAAGACTACGCCACGACCGTTCTGGATCACCGTGGCGCTGACAGCAGTATCAGAGGTGCTACTAGAGAGTTGAACAACGTTCCGTCCCCGCTAGGCACGCGTCCTCCAGGAGGTGCGACTACGCCATCTTCTGCGCACGCGATCTATCCGCCGATGGCGCCAACAACGCCGTCACAAGCGGTCGGCAACCAGTTTTTAGAGCAGAACGGAGAGGAAAATGCGGTTGCCATGTCGCCCGCGCGACTCCGGAGAGTTCTGCAAGAAGAGCACGATTTGAAGCACGAAGCGGTCTTGTCGGAGTTGAGAGACCTGCGCGCAACCTTGTCTGCCGAAATGGAGCGGCGTGAAGCGGAGACTCGAGCTGCTGTGGCTCTAGATAGAGAACGCGCGCAACTGCGCAACGAACTCGAGAAACTTCGTATGGCAGTGACGGAAGCACGTACAGATACTGATTCGGCGACTCTTCGTGCAGAAGAGGCACTGCAGGTTCGTGAGCAACTAGCTTTGCAAGTCGAGGAGCTAACTGCACAGCTCTACCTTCTCCAGTCATCATCTTCGGCGACGTCATCGTCGTCCGATGTGCCTGAGACTCGACCAGCTCCTGGCTCCCCTGCGGCGCAGCTGCTGAAGCAGGACATCGCCTCCAGGTCGGGCTCGCCGACACATTTGCTCAAAGCAGCGCAGGAGTTACAAGCCAGTGCGGAACGTGCGATGCAGGGAAAGATGCCAACGCCTCCGAATCGACCTCAAATGACCGAACTGCCAGCCTCGTCAAATGTGATCGGTGACTTAAATATGGCACTCGTCGCAGCTGGGGCGCCTGGCAGTACGACTAGTGTCGCGGCGTCGTCTCCAATTCTCGAGCCCAATCTGGATGGCATGCGCATTGTAACCGAGGAGCTCCGTGTCGAGAACGCGCGGCTGCACACCGGACTCGAGCAGCTGGCGCGGCAGCTACAGGAGAAGATGGACGAACTGGATGCCGTCAACGAGGAAGCCGATCACACGGTTACTCAACTGCGCGAGGACAATTTGCGCTTGCACGATGTGATTTCGTCACTGGAGGAGCAGAAGGACGCGCTAGAGGCAGAAAAAGAGCGCCTCATCGTCGCTGCTAACGACTACATGGCAAGGAAGGAGCGCGAGCGGATTTTGCAGATCGGACGCTACGCGGAGAAACGACGAGGTAGCACAGGAGGAGCTAATCGGGTGGACCCAGGTACGGACGACGACGAAGGCGATGAGGATGCCATACTGCTGATCGGTCCAAATTACTTTGAGGAGCCAACCTTTCCGCATGCGCCGGAGCGCTCCGCTAGTCGTAGTAAGCCCTCGACCCCAACGGTTGGAACTGCAGAAAAAGTCGCGTTCCCTTCATCAGCAGCAGGCTCACGAAGCGGCACTCATCTGCAAGTACCAGGCCACCCGGCCGCTGTGGGGGCGGTAGGATCTCCAAAGTCTAGCGCCGACAGTGTAGAGCTAAAAGACAGCGGTAGCGGAAAGAAAAAGAGTGCTCAACATGATGTTGATTTGGTTAGTACGCTCGACAAGAAGAGCGGAGCCTCTGCCGCTGGCGCTGGTACGGGCGATATGTCTCCGAGCAGCGCGTCAAAGAAGCGTCCCGGACTCGGAGAAGCGTCGGAAAATGCGGATGGCGACGAAGCGTGGCCTTCGGCATCTTCTAGTGCAACGGAAGATGGCGAAGTAGTTGGTTGTACTTTAGAGATACCGCCAGGTACACCGCCGGAACCGGTGCAGCTGCAACGACCAGTAGCAACTGGAGAAAACGCGATTCCGTCTCCAATCATGCAGGAAGGCGCTTTATTGGAAGAGAACTTCTTGCAATTGCATCGCGAGTTCGAAGCCTCCATACAGAGTAATCAGGACTTGACCTTGCTCCTAGCGAGGGCACAAAAAAAGGATGTCGTGCGGCAGAAGACGATCAAAAAGCTGACAGATGTGAACAATAACTTGCTGAAGGAGCTAGAACAGTACCGAAGCCGTGGTTTCCACGGTGGCTTGAGCATTTCGACAGCACACGGTTCGGGCACGAACCTGAACGTGTTCGATGCCTGGTCTTCTGCGCCGAATGTGACGCCCCTCTCTGACAGTGCCTCACAAACCATCGACATGCAACGACTAGCAGATAGTGTTGCCTCGCAAACAACGCAAACTCTAGCAGAGGAAAAATCCTCGCGAGGAGTCGATGGTCAAATAGACGGCCTCCCTTTCCTTCCATCATCTTCGGGAAAACATGGACAAGGAGCATTTGGGGCGACTCTAGGCAGAGTTGGTATTGACAATTATTCGTCCGATGAGGCCCACGAGTGGATCGAAACGATGAACCTGCCAGATCAAACGCAGCAAGTCCTCGAGGAACTGTTTGGTCGCGAAGGCAGCCTTGAAGACCAGGGCACTGTGTCAGGTGAGACGTCGAATAGAGGTCCACTACAGGGACAAGTAGAAAATTCCTTGACGAACCTGCATTCTTCGGGTGGTAGTCAAGATGTTGAGGTTGTTCACGAGCCAGGTGGTTCCAGCAGTCCTACAGGGAGCAACAAGGGTCGAAGTTGTGACTACGAAATGCTGGAGCACCAGAGGTCGTCGTGCTCCTCTTACGACTCGGGAACGAGCGTTGCGGCGATTCCAGGGGCGGAACTTGGCGAACGGCCTCCCGCCGCAGTCCTAGCAAGTGCGGTGGAACGACTGCAGGAAGAAAATCGAGCGCTTCGTCGACAATTGAAAGCGACTTCGCCCAGTGCGCGCAACCAGACAACACCGTCGAGCGGATCACGTCGATCACCCAAACAACCTGTAGTTCTGTCGCCACTCAAGCCTCAACAAGGCAGCGGTCAAAAGAAGGTAACTTTCAAATTCAATCTGTTTTTGAACAAAGGGTTGCGGTTGGATTCTCACTGAATGTAGGTTTAGTTGTTTCATCGACACTGAGAATTCTAGCTGTAGTTGTGATTATTTAGTTGTTCTTGACTTTGCTATTTTGTTTGTCCGTCGTTGAAAGTCACTAAGTGAAATTCTTCTCCTCCAGGATGATGCCAGCGACGCTAAGGCAACGGATTTGTTTGGCTTGGCGGGAACGAGATTGGATTTGGACGTGCCCACACGGGGGTCGGCAGCGTCCGCACAGCAGCGCTCGCGCAGTGCAGACTATGACTATGGGAAAAAGCGGGTATCATTCGAATCGCCGAAAGCGCTCGTATCCTACAAGTCTCCGGAACACCCGAGTGGAGGTCAACTCGGATCTGCTTCAAGTTCCAAGGCACTTCTTGCGCCATCTTCGCGGAACCTCACATTTTCGCCGAATGAATTTGGGGTTTCCACCGCGACTGGGCAAGCAAGAATACACGAGAATGAGGTGCGGGTCTTGAAGTTGGAGCTAGATTCAGTAACATCGACGAAAGAGGCTATCGAAGAGGAAAACCGCAGTCTGAAGATAGAAACCAAGCATCTTCGCAAGCTGTTAGAGCTGAAACAGGGTGTCGGTGTGGGTAGTTCGGGTCAAATGAGTGCTGCAGCAGAATCAGGAGAAGAAACTTCGATGGTGGTCGAAAGTAGTAGCTTCAACGCGGGACTGCAGCAGCCGACCAGGCGGGGAGATTCTCGCAGTCCCTTGGGCAAAGATGCTCCGGTTGCCGCGATATCCAAAACGACGTCTCCGACTCAGACCAAGGCAGCTGTGAAGACCAGTAGTGCGTCGTCCAGCTCCTCTCCACATCTAAACGGAGTGGCAGCAGAGCTAGAGAGTCGTACTCGAGAGTTGGAGAGGCAGCAGCTCCAAAGTGCACTGCTGACTGCCGAAGCACGGTTGAAAGCGAAGGGTATCGAGCATGACCGAGCTTCGGAGACACTGAGAAAGGAACACGGAAATACCGTGGAGACGCTGCGCGCGGAGCACGCGGCTGTCCTGAAGGAGCTGCGCGCCGAACTAGAGGCCCTGCAAACCGACAGCGCAGCGCGACTCCAGGAGGCGCGCATGGAGATCGAGCAAGAATGTGTCGAAGCATTAGAGGAGGCGAGGGAAGAAATTTGGGCAGAAGCACAGAATGAAGTGCTAACTTTCTTGCAATCTCAAGGAGCGGGCACTGAAGTACTGGAAATGGTGCAGCTCATGCGGAGAGCTACTGGGGCTATCAAAGAGCTGGAACGCAGTGTGAACAACGGCAGCAGTCTGAATACTAGTTTAAACTACGGCGCGGGCGGCTCCACAGTATCGTCCTCGAGCAAGAACGTCGAGAATGCTAGTGCAACGTCTAAAACTTTTTTAAAAGAGGCTAATCCACTAAGTATAGTCGGCGCAACTTCTAGCAGTAAGTCTACCCTGAATCTGATGCCGGATGTGCAGGACGTGCTACCTGCGATCAAGGCAGCCTCTCATCAATCGTCGTCGCAAAGGAGCACAAGTCGCCGTAGCTTTCCGCTTGACAATGAGCACGCACAGCCTAAAAACAGGGAAGAGTTTCCTGGCAGCACGAACAATAAATCGTCTTCTTCATCTCGTGCTCCGAACGCTCAAGCTGCGTCTTCTTCTTGGTCACCGAGGCAACAAGACAACATCGATTTCGATTTCGAGATGAAAGCATCTACTCGTCCTGAGGAGCATATTACTTTAGTTTTTGGCGGGGGCCCTTCTGAAGAGGATGATGACATGCGATGGCAGGCGATGGAGCAACGCCTACAAAAGATCCAGCGTGATTTGGTCGCGAGAACGAATAGCTACGTGACCCAGTCAAATGTTTTTGATGAATCAGAGGCGGAGGCCCGCACGCCCGGAGGGTCTTCTTCGGGTAGAAAGGTTGCATTTGAACCACCATCACGTAGTTTCATAGATGGAGGACGTCCACACGCGTCAGAAGAACCCGACGAGGGCTTCGGAAACGAACAGGAGAAGCTGTTTCTGGAGCGATTGAGTCAATGTGAGCGTAGAGGTACTGCAGGACAAACGAATACTACAACAGCAGAGCAACATCAACAGGAAGCGACCTCGAGAAGTGGTTGGTCGTCCCGAGGAACCAGTAGAGAAGCTCCCAATCGTGGTACGCTTCTTGACGAGCACGCTGACAGTCGACTCATTCTCAGTTCCGGCTTGCAGACCAAAAATGTGTCGAAAAATTCGCATTTTGATCAGCAGCACGGTTTCCCAACATCCAGCGGAGAGATGTCCGGGAGCGACATCGACGTTTTCCTCGCTGGCCGTAGCAGCAGTAGAAGCTCCGTAGGAGCGGGAATCGCAGTGCATTCTCCACCTTCATCTATGCACCATACTACGGGAGGACTCGGAGGGAAGCAGATCCCAGGTATCATATCTCCTGTGCAAGCTGCACTTGACGGCATCAACGGGATGACTCAACAATTGGACGCCGCCAGTGATGGGTTGCACTCGCATGAAAGGCATCAACAGCTTAGAAATACTGGGCAGCAGCTACAGCAGCAAGAGCCGTTGCGTCAGATTCTCAGTAGCGAACATTTGGCCTCCAGTTCTGCTGTTCCCGGTGGAGGTGCTGGCACGGCGTTTCTTCAAGCCCCTGGTAGCTTTGACCATGTTGGTATGAGCAAGACCCCAACATTACTTCTAGCAGCCGAGCAAGGGCATCTGCAGCAGTTTCAGCAACATCCTGCTGCGCACCATCACCTCGCTGGGCAACCTGTCATAACGGTACCAGGAGCTGCCACTTCCAGTGACGCTTTCTACCAGCAGCAGCAACAGCTCCATTTGCAGCATACTGGTATGCTCATTAGCGCTTCGCAGCAACCGCATCATCTAGAGCAGCTGAGGCATCAGGCAGTAGCCGGAGGAGTGCAACCGCAATATTCAGCTCGTAGCGCTAATCGTTACGCCGGCGCGCGTGGTAGCAGTTCGTTTGGAGACCAATATCATGGTTACCGAACAACTTCCTCATCCGGAGCCACAATTGGTGGAAGCCTCAAGGCCACGGCCGCCCGACTCTCAGGGTCTCCACCGAAAAATCGGAGTAAGCGACGCACCTCACTCCGCAACTCTTTGTCTGGTGGCGACGGAGAACCGAAATAATTCCTCTCAACAGTGATGAAGAAATATAAGCGTTCAAGTCTGTGTGTGTGTCTATTTTTTCAAAGACCAGAAGAAGACCAAGTTGGCACGCAATAAAGTTCATACGAGTTGATTATGCGGATGTTTTATTTATATTTTTGCCTTGGGTTTTGCTTTTGCATTGGGGCGCGGGTGATAATGTTAATGAAAGTAGTTTTTTTCGAAAGAAAATAACTTTGGGCGTCATCATCAAATTTCAAGCTCAGAGATCCGCAAGTGGGGCTAGGTCCTCTGCCGGGACAAGAAGTTGTTAGACTTACTTATAAAAAGTGAAGAGATAATGATAATTTCAAGTTCAATGATTTCTTTGATGTATCTATGTGATTGTAATTAGATATTCATCTAAGTCTGCTGTGTCTAAAATCGACATGCAGATTGTATCGAGCGTTATTATCAGTTAAAGCCTTAAAGCAAACCTAACCGTCTTCATGTTTTAAGTTTAACCTTATTGATAGTGATTATTACTACTCATCATGAACTAGAAGATTCAATTTGTCCTTCGAAGGTAGTATTGAAGCTCTAGCTGTACCATCTCGTAGTATAGCAGCACATAGTTAAACAATTCATGCATCATATGAGGAAGGTAAACGCTTCTAGCACACTATCGCATTGCTTGAGATCGTTGACATCCTTCTTCGTAACTAAAGTAGTCCAAGAAAATGTGGGAGCGTATCGGCGAAAGTACTGGAATGGGGGCCGTGGTCGCATGTTTCTGGCCGATAAAAGTTGTTGTTTCCAGTTTTGATCTTTCCAGTAACTATGGCATATTAATATTTGATAGCAACAAAAAATCCTTCCTCATAGTTCCAAAACAATAGGTGCCGAAGAGGATAGCGACGTAAGTAGAGAGCGAGTTGGCTCGCTATACTCTGGTTACTGCGAGGACGCCTCTGTACTAGCCCTTCATCGTTTCGTCAGGAGAGGAAATCGGTTTTAGACACAAAAATGAACCTGGGTAGGCATATATACGTTTGATGTAGATGTGTTGACAATCGTATTAATTGGATTGCCGTCCAAACAACCTGACTTTTGTTGAGACATCTATTCTGCTGGAGTACTATCCAGCATTCAACAAAGACTGGTGCTATGCTAGTACTGTACCTTTAGGTCCGTTAGCGGTCGGCGGCTGAAATGGCGATAAAGAGAGAATGTCGCGAAAGTCAGACCTGTCTGCAGGCTCAAACTTGAGGTCGTTGTGCGCTTTCGAGAACAAGCGAAGGACACGACTAATAAACCCTGTGAGCAGCGGTTGCAGCGATACTAACAACTTCATCTCCTCAGTTGCTCGGAGTTGATGCTGAAGAAACTTTTGCTATTGATACCTTTCATCTTCAGGAAGGAGGAGAAAAACGAGACATGTGGAAAAAACTTCCGTGGGGAGAAGGAGATCATCGTGAGATATTTCTACTTTACCTTCTACTGTTTCATGTTCATCTTCGAGATGGGCTGCGTGAATTTCCATGATCCGTCATCGGACCTAACTACGCAGGCGTATACAGGATGAGTGGCTTCCGAGGCATTGAACAAGAAGAATTATATTATGGTTCTCGATGTTATTCTGATGTAGTAAATGTAATCATCGACGACCATCATGAAAAGCTAGTAAAGCACGATGATAGGAGGTAGCTGTAGCTCCTGCTAAAGATGTCGACCGCGACGCTTTCTCGCGTTCTCTGCACGAGCGTCACACTTCTTTTGAAGAGCTTCTTCCCTGTTCATACGTTAGCTTCGGCTCTTCAGGAGGCTGCAAGTGACCATGTACCTCCAGAGCAAGAGGCAGAATATGAGGAGGTTATCCGTGCTGTCGATGGTGCGGCGAACCTCATCACGGACTGGGAGAGGGCAGATGCAAGAGAGTTTGTTGCTCACGTAGCGTCGACATTCGAGAAGTCAAACAAAGCAAATGCTGCACCTAAAAAATGTGAGGAAAATCATACTGCGAGCACGGCAGGTTTCATCCCGCCAGCGCCGTATCCAAAGGGAACGCGACCTGTAGATGTTGTCCGGTACTTGCGGAGGCGAGTCTCGACTTCTGGGGCGAGTAGAGACGTTGCGGAGGAGAGCGCCATTGACCCAACAACTTCCTCTAAAAGGAGTGGCATCGACGTAGGAGACACTCCAAAATGGACCCCTGGTCCACGTGCCAGTGTTCATCACGATGCTGCACTGCATTCTCGGCTCACTACGCAACCCCCAGCGTCAGAGGCCAGTGTCGCATTCTGTGGCTGGCTCCGCAATGCGCGCTTGAGTACCGAGCTTCTTGACGCATTGGATGAGTATGACATTGGTACCGAAGGCGACCTTTGGAATGCACAGAAGCGATGGGAGTGGAGTGCAGTTCAAGATTCTGAGGATAATACGAGTATGTCAGTTCTTCCAGCAGGTACAGGCGAGAATAACGTCGAGAAAGGAAGTATTTATTTCGCAGTTGATGCTGAAGCGCATGTCGTATCGAATGTAGCTTCTTGGGGTAATCGGGCAAGGAAGGCTTCGCGAAGAAGGGCGAAAACAGAGGAGGCATTACGACGACCTCGTAAAGCAGCAGATGCAGAAGAGGTGCATGACCAGAAGCGCAGCCAGGAATCGTTAGGAAAACAAGAGGCAGATCCAGATGAACCCGTCAGCTCTAGGATTTCGGGCCCAAGAACCATGGACCTTTCAAATATCGGAGTCTCTGATCTGCCAACACTTTTGTTTTGGACAAAGAACTTCTTGATCGCTGAGGCGCTGGATTTTCTAGCTTGGTTCAACTCCCAAGACTTTCGACAAAGAAAGACGGCAGCTTCTGAAGACTTCTCGCAGTTGATGCTTCGTCGTATGTGCATTCGCGATATCACCAATAGAAGCGGCGGCGAAGACTCTCTTGCTGAAGATCATGACGATGGTGCAGACCAAAATGATCTATCGAGTAGTGGTTCTACTTCTACTTCTAGAAGAAGCCAAAGAGCATCGGGAGAAGTATCAGTCGCACAGGATAATGACCTTGAGCGAGCAGATACGCATCAGACAACGACGGTGTTGGTTGAGCCACTGTTTCGGCTTCTGCTAGGGTTATTGGTTCAAGCTGAAGTGAAACGCGCGTTCGCAGAGCCAGAACATATTTTCAGTGTTTGGCATAGCTATGGCATTCTAGAAGACAGGGAACATGAGGAAGCGGTAAAAATAATCCGAACACCGTGCACTTCTCCTGATATCGCCGGAGTAAACAGAAAGGCAAACGTCGAGGTCGATTCGCATTCCAGACCAACTGCGCAGACAAGACTGATAAGTTCCGACAATGATGAGGAAGGATTACTTTTGATGTGGAATCTGCCTAAGCTATACGGCCGAAGACGGTTTGGCTTCGCTAATAGCTTGTGGGACATCTGGCACTTCGCTAACAGTCCACAAAAGTTTTTCCATAATGGCATAAAGATAGAGCTAACGAATGTCATTCCTTCGACTGTTGGACGTGGTTTGTCATTGTATTGGACCCGCATCTCAGCAATAACGACCTCTGTACGTGACGACGCACTGAAGTTAGAGTTCATAGGTCGCGGTCCGAGCGCCAGGCATTACCTAATCGAGCGATGGCAAAACGTGACTGAGCACGGCTTTAACGGCGTAAAGCACATTTGTAGCTATCCGGGGAGTCTAGTGTTGCCTTTTTACTCCAAAACAGGGGAGGTTGTGGCCGCCAAAAGGTTGAAATCTCGAGAACAACTACGACATGCAGAACAAGAAGACCGAGGGAAAGACCACAGTGAAGACTCATCATCTCCCCTTTTTGAAATTCGCACACCGAATTTGGATATGGCAAGTCTGCCGCAGAAGCTTTTTTGCGGTTCCCTTGGCCATTTTCCACTCGCAGATCCTCCAGATGTCACAGCAAGACTGATCGGAGCGCGTGAACCTTCCGATGGCACCGACGGTTCGCGGATCCAGATGAGCGGCGGTTTACCTGCTTATCCTGTGGATGTCGCCAGGCAGCACAACCGGCTTCGTCGGTTTCTCTGGAATTCACGTTTCTCGTATCTCCAGTGGCTCTTGACAGTGGCGACGCTGGCTATGCACATTTTTTTGCCCGTTGAAATACAGAATCCGGTTGGAGGAGGATTGGAGGAAGATGAGCCAGTCGAGAGGTTCCTAGACGGTACAGATGCTGCTTTTGAAACGACACCAGAGACCGGGAATCACTTTTTCACGGCGCTTGATCCTCTCCTTATCCTCCTCGCTTTCGGCGTGCGCTCCTTGCACTTATTTGGTAAAAAGTTCTCGTTTGTGGATCAAGTCGGCCGCAAAGCTCTAGAACGGGTCTCGGAGCGCGCAGCGTTGCAACACTCGCCGTTCGGCACTTACGCTGACTGCCTATTGCAACGCATAGACGCAGCGGAACAGGCAGCTTTGGATCTGAGACGGAAAGCGAGGTGTGACCACCGCAAAGAAGATTTGGGACTAGTAAACGTGCCAACGACCACCTCCACCGTAACAAGAACTACAGTTCGAGAAGATCTTTTTCCGCCATCGAGAGCTGTGCAGACGGTGACCGGCGATACGATGGGGCTATGGGCAGATGACGCTTTCGCGTTGCCGATACCGGATGGGAGATATAGTATGGACGCGCTCGATGCTGCACTTGTAAATGTCTTCCGCAATATTTACGCACATGAACATCGACAAAGGGATGGGAGGGACCTGATCTACAATTGTGCAGGGACGAGGCATCAAAGCTTTTATGCTTTTTCTCAGAAATCCAAATCTCCATTGCTAGAACAACAAGCGAGCCAGGAATCCGCGGTTGTGCAAAAGTTTTTTGTGGATATTGGTATCGGACGCATGGCTGGCGATTATCAGAGTCGCTATCTGCAAACATTCGAAAATTGGAATGGTGTCATGATTGACATGATTGGTTCCTTAACAACCCGTTTGGGCTATCATGCGCGCAAAGTGACGCCTGAAAATATTTTAGATGTTCTGAAGGACCTCAATGTGCCGAAAAATTTCGAATTGTTCTCCATCCACATTGATGGCTACGACTGGCACGTCGTCCGGAAGCTACTACAGAACCGGCATAGACACTTCAACCCCCGTGTCCTATTGATCCAGAGTAATAGCGGCTACTTCTACCCGGACCGATTCTGGTTCCCATTGGACCTGCCAATGGTTCCACGGTATAAACGCGTCAACGGCACCAGCATCTCAGCCTTTGCGTCTGGCAAGAGAGCTTCAAGTACTCGTAAAAGTAGAAAAGAACAAGAAAGCTCTAGTAGTGCCAGAAGGACGATCGCCGCATTACAACAAATGCACAGCGAGCCGTACGAGCGTGAACACGGACACCATAAAGCCTACTCCTCGTCAGCCCGGGGGCTGCAGCGACTAGGCAACGCTTTTGGATACAGGCTGGTCTATTTTGGATGGCTTTCTGTGATTCTCGTCCGAGAGGATGCCGTTTGGCCTGATGCGCAGCATGTTGATGACCTGTTATGTGCAATAATCGTGTAGGTGTAGCTGTACTCAAAGATGTCTGAGAAAGAAACCGATAAGCGAGCTGATCCACTTCCAGAAGCAGTTGCAGAATCAAAAGTCTATTTTTTTTCGTGACCACACAAAGCAGGATTTTCCTCTGCTATCTCTAAGCTGTTTTGCTCTCTGTCAACGGTACGTTTTGTCGCCGCGTGGGCGCGATCGCGCGTGGCCAGCGTCGAGGCATATGTGCCACGAAACAGAACTGAAGGGTTACACAGACGCAGAGTTGGCTGACTTGTATTATCTCGGAGACTCCTCACTCTCGGATGCAGATATCCGCGATCCAGCGAAAGATTTGTAGGCTTGTCCTTGACTAAGAATAACTACATTCATACTGTTCGTTGTAGTTTTGATGAATAGAAGATACATGCATTTACAACTCTTCGCCAGTTTCATTACCTTTTCTTTCATATATTCTTTTATGCCCGATGATTATCGCTTTTTGTGAGGGTATGGGCCTTCTTGTTCTTGTGTTCGATTTCATTCAGAGCAACGAGATTTGTATGGTTTAAACCGTAAGAACTAAGTCTAAGTGCATAAAACACTCTACCCAAAACCAAGTGTGAGTTGGATTAACCACTCGCACAGCAGAAAAAAGTCGTTGAAATAAGGCCTCCGTTATTTTGAGATGACTGAAGGTACGCGTACGAGATGAAGAAGAAAGAAAGTGTTCTTCTCATCGACGAGAGCTCCTTTTTCAAGACTGTGTTTGTATTGTTTGTCCTCGTGTGGAGGTACTACTCGACGAAATCTTGGCATAATTTTGGCATTGTTCAGAATTGAGATGAACATTTAAGATGTTCGCTGTGGATCCTAGAAGCTGAAGGTGAGAATGAGGTCATGATCGTCCTCCATCACCAGTTATCTTTCCACGACTGGCCAATCAATTCTCTGGCACCAGAACTACAACTCCAAACTGAAAGTGGTCCATTCATCATTTTCTTGTTCGGAACTGGATGAATTTTATCCAACTCGCGGTCCTCGATTCCTTTTTCTTTATTTCCCTGAACAGGAATTTCTACAGACGGGTCTTCATATTGTGAGTTTATGAAGCAAGTAGATTTTTATTCGTCCAGTACTCACTGAGTACTCATACTATATTTATAACGATATTAGCTCTCCCTACACCTACTTTTGAAGACTGACCTTGACCTATTGTTCCTATTGATGCGGCTTAGCATCGGTCTGGTAGTATAGGTGTAAAAAATCGAATTTACATTTCCTAGATCTAGTGTAGCTGTTATTTATTTTCTGGGCGGATAACGATAAATCAAAATCGATACGACCGTCGTATAGAAAGTTACCTCGTCCAGAAGTTGCACTTATCTCTTTGTCCGTGTGAAGTTGTTAGGGGTCACTAGCGCGGAAGCCTGTTGTTCTGTGAAGTATATTTCCGATTTCGACGAAAAGAATTTTCTAGATTAGACATTTTCAAACGCGCCTATTCTTCTACTCAGGTTCAAAAATCTTTATCTTGTTTTCTGAGGTATCCATGGTTGTTCGTTCTGAACGAGCACGCATTTGTCTTTAGATTTAACGCGTAAAGGTAGTCTGTCTGTATCTGTTGTCATCTTTTCTAGTCGTAACCTCGAGTGTCATTGTTTTCCAAAATATTGTAGCAATTCGAAGTTCCATCTGATTTCAAAGACAAGCAATTACATCGTATTTTGTTGCTGGGGACGAGTTAACGGCAATAATAGCAGCACGTATTTTTGAACTTCTTAGGGTTTAGGCTGGGAGACAAGCTGAGTACCTTTGTACTTCTGCTTCTCTTTGTTTTACTTTTACTAAATGTACATTTAGACGACTACAATTTCTGCTCAACTTACTGCAACCTGGGAGATAAGTACATTTTTTCATTTTATTCCATCAGTTGTAATTAGAAATTCGAAATCTATCAATGTCCACCAATAACCTCGGCATTCGCTTTTGATTTTCATTCTAAGACGACCGAATAGTCGAACAGTCTAGAACATTGTTTGTTTTAATTCATCGCGTTTGCGCTTGTTGAAGAATTCAAAGCTCCCCTAGTGCAGAATTTGTTTCCGTAAAAGTGATAGAGACCACACTATGGGCGGAGGTAGTGGGGGCCGCGGCGGCCGCGGTACTGGTGGTGGGGGCATGGATCGAGGCGAGAGAGACTGGTTGAAAAAAAAGCGCCAGCAACAGCAGCAGAGGGACGTCGAATCTAAGACTCAACGAGAGATTGACTTCTTCTGGGGTCTGCAAGAGGGCAACAAAAGATACGACAAAGAACGCGGTGGTGCGCCGAGGAAAGGTATCTATGATTATCATTTTCATCAAGGACGAGGTTTTAGATGCTAAAGTAAGACAGCTGTAATTTGAAGCACTTAATAGTAGGAGTAGGTCGTTACATCATTAACACCACCAGAGGACAGACATTCTAGTCTATTTTCTCTCGCAGCTCGTTTCCGACTTATGTGCTTCTGCCTAGATTTTCCATGTGATGTCAATGTTTATCATTCTACATCTGGGTTACAACTTTACACTTCATATCATATTATTTTCATCAAGGATGGAAGCGACTCGAAGAAGAGGAGAAAGAACTCTTCGAAGAAAAGGCTGGTATGGCTGCAGGAATTGATTTCGAGCACTACAATGAAATTACGGTCGATATCAATGGAAAGGGCATCGATGACATTCCTATTTGCGAAAGCTATGACCAGGTATAATCTTATGTTCGTTTTCGTGTTTATGTACATCAAGAACTCGATGAGCATGAATATGTTCTTGATGCTGGTTCATTTCTCTACATGCGGTACATAGAACTTCTATACCAGTAAGCATCTCTTTCCTCGAAAGAGTTGCTAAGTGTCGGCGCTGACATCAACAACATCTCAGGTCAACGCAGAGTTTCGTCTTGCAACATGGCTCGCAGACAATATTTGGCGATGTCACTATGTAAAGCCAACTCCGGTGCAGAAATATGCCATCCCGACGGGCCTGAAGAAGTACAGCAAATTTCTTAAGTAGATCAATAGAACTTGAACTTGATGTTTTAAACTTCGACCTCACTACTAGACTACTGGTTGTACTCACTGTTCACATTCATTTGAGTATTCGCGCCTCGTCTTCATTTTCTTATTTTCAATTTCAAAGTTTTATGATAAAAGCTCGTCACGACCACGATCAAGTGCGGTGTACGATTCCGATTAGGCGGTTCACCTTTTGTGCTTGCCTGTTCAAGAATCCTGATATTCTTTTATTATATATAGGATATTCGATCCACCATGATTTTCAACGACTCTTCCTCACGACCAGTTTTGATATGATGGTGTGTGCGCAAACCGGTAGTGGAAAGACAGCAGCATTCCTCATTCCGATTGCAATGAGTATGCGCGAAAAAGACGGTTGTGAATATGGTCGCGAAACTTGGCAAGGTCCAGCTTGTCCCCTCTCTCTGGTACTCGCACCGACACGCGAACTCTGTTCGCAAATTTTCGATGAAGCTCGAAAACTCTTCCACAAGAGCTACTTCAAGGTAAGGCTCGAAATAATCATGTTTTTTCTTGTTGACAACATGCACAATTTTTTTGTTCGTGTTGTCTTCTCAACACAGACACCATTAGCAGTACTCTTGCACTTGAAGTAATTTTAGTTTTTTTTCGTGGAGATCGATCTTCAAGCAAGAAACATAAGGTTAACTTTCTTTTTATACAGGTTTCGCAATGCTACGGAGGAGCGGAAGTGAAGCCGCAATTGAAAGACTTGGCACGAGGGTGCGACGTCTTAGTTGCGACACCAGGTCGGCTCATCGATTTCATCGACCGAGAACTAGTCTCGATGGAGTAAGCGACATTTTCCTGAAAATTGAAATTTAGTTTTCTCATGATTGTCGTTGTCCCTTGTCTGCCTTCGATGAGAACACCATGGCTGTGAAGTGAATGAGCGTCATTCGATTGATGTATGTTAGTCTTAGTGAGTAAGATGTTGCATCTTTTCACGGACAGCAGAGAAAATATGTAGTAGACGCTTTGCGATCTACATTAATCAGGTACATTCAATTTTTAACTTTGGACGAAGCGGATCGCATGCTGGATATGGGTTTTGAGCCTCAGATCAGACAAATAGTTGAGCAACGCGAGATGCCAGGAAGAGATAACCGACAGACACTCATGTTCTCCGCTACTTTCCCGCGCGAAATTCAACAATTGGCAAGCTCCTTCCTGAAGCGAGATTACATCTGGATTAGTGTTGGAAGGGTACTCGACTGCTTGTTTTCAAGGTGTCGAACAAAAGTATGCGATGTTGAAAAAAGACGAAGTAGACGTATTACAAAGTGTATTCCTGTTCGAAAAACACAGTCAGCAGTCGTGATAACAAAATCATGCTTGTTTTCAAACGCAACTTGATGATTTATCATTATGATGAAACCAGGTGGGCGCTGCTGCTGACACTGTTGAGCAGCGTTTCATCCCGATCTACCCGGACAGGGGTCGTATGGATGGCGATAAATTGGGACCTCTTTATGGTGAATTGGATGGTATGGAACTCGGAGAAAAGGAAAAGGTGTTAGTATTTGTTGGAATGAAGAGGACTGCCGCGTGGCTCGCTGGCGAGCTCTACCGACGCGGACGCATTGGCTGCGCCGAAATTCACGGTACCCAATTATCATGTTTCTTGTAACTCCTAATCAAATTCGATTGATTTCTCGAAGAATAAGCAAGCGAGTTGATATCATCCTGAAATTTTATGTACTAAATATCAGCAAAGAAGAACTATGCTGATCTTCCTGCTACACTTGCTTAGGGACTAGGACTACAACAGCAGAAGCTATCATACTGATAGATTACTTCTTGTTGATTGAAATCTTGATAAACTCAAGCAATCTGCTCGATGTTGATTCGGCAAGTCAATCGGAGACAAATGACATGACGCACAATCTGCTCTGTAATCAGGTGACTTGACACAGTCTGAGCGTGAACGGGCATTGCAAAATTTCAAGACTGGGAGAACTCCAGTTTTGGTTGCTACTGAGGTTGCAGCAAGAGGTTTGGACATTCCCAGGGTCACCAAAGTAATCAACTTCGACCTTCCGTCACAGGTTGACGACTACGTCCACCGCATCGGGCGGACAGGACGAGCCGGAAACAGAGGAACGGCTATCTCTCTTTTCAACACCAGCGATTGCAAGGTAGAAGAGATATGGTGGTGATCTACCATTTTTGAAAATACTTATGGGGACTCGTGGAGTAAAGACAATGATATGATTGTCTACAATTTTCAGATGTGTAGTTGTGATCGTCCGTACTAAACTTCTAGCGCCTTGTACCTACTACTTGAGCTTGCAATTGGGATCATTTACATGGCTATTTTCCATACGACAAACAGAATAACGATTCCGATTTGGCACCCGAGCTATGCCAGCTCTTAGATGATGCAAGAGAAAGTGCAGATACCAAGGGCGAAGAACATCACTGGCATGATGTCCCGGAGTGGCTAGCCGACGAAGCCAGAAGAAGTAAAAACCGGAATAAGTGGAAGGGCGGAGGCTTCGGAGGAAAGCGGTATTATTCCTTTTTCATTAGACTACCTAGAGGACGCTTTGACAAGTACATTGATTGGTGTAGATTATTACCTTTCGTCAACAGCAAAAAAGCGATCTCTGTTGGTTCAGCATGATGCGCATAGAGATTTAGGCGCCATGTCCTTCTACAACAATACCTCCTACATATTTTTGCTTTCTAGTATTTAGATCTGAATTTTCTTCCTTTCTCCGACTGCAGTGGCGGCAGTCCGAATCACCGTGGTGCTCGCGATTTCCGTGGCGGCGGTAGACAGATCAAACTTGGGGGAAACCGTGGCGGTGGAGACAAAGGCGGCAAAGGCAAGCGTCCGGCTTTCGGCGGCGGAGATAGAGGCGGAAAAGGTGGTGGCTATGGCGGCAGCAAAGGCGGCGACCGCGGCTATGGTGGAGGCGATCGCGGGTATGGAAACGACGATCGTGGCGGATTCGGTGGTGCTCGCAGCAACGGCTTCGGAGCTGGTGGAAAACGAGCAGATGACGAGTCGTGGTTCCAGAAGCGTGCTGCACTGTCCGGCAATGGATTCGATAACTACGGCGGAGGCGGCGGGTATTCATCCAACTTTTTCCAATCTGTTGTTTTACATGTTCTTGCATAGATTTTTACAAGAATTTCCAGAAAAAAATGCGCATAATGGCTAACAAAATGATGATGCAACCGTTGCACATCGATTATTTTCATTTTGGTTTCTTTTTCTTAGCGGATGTAGTTTCACATTGTAATCACAACAGCTCGAAAGGAATGGGCAAGAGCAAAGGAAAATGACGATCATCGACTGACCTGTTGACAACATTCTAGCAGCAGAAGTCGCACCTCGGGGCGCGTCGCGGACGACATGTTCCATCAGAATATATTGAAGCGCTCTAGATGTTTTTTACGCTGTGTGGTGGTGTACACCGTGCAGAACCCCCTACACAGAATATGATCATGACCATGATGCCAGAAATATATTTGGATGGCGCGTCAGCGTCAGGATGGGGATAATATGGATAACCTCCCATCCACTATCCCACGCACAAAAATCATCTACCTTTATAGATGCGACACTGACGTGACAGCATACCTTGTTTTCATGCGACAAGGTCAAGGGCCATGATCATGATTGAATCATTAATAATCGTGGTGATTCCAACATTTTCACTGGAGATTAGAGATATTGATTTACGCTTGCTCCTGGATGCTGGATGTGGATTTTCTACATTTACCTAACAGGATGAAGATCTTCATAGAGATCCAGATGAGCAGCCCCGTCCTATAACACCTTGGCCGACTATGTACTTACTATTTTTTACGAAGCAGTAACCATATCATACAACACGATAATAACTTCTACAATCTGCTTTGAAAGCGGATCATGATGAACAATTTGATTTTATTAGAACGACCGTGTCCAAGTAGAAGATAGAAGAACGATGAAAACTGACATGTCTTCTGAGGCTATCAACAACAGCTGGGCGGTGTTGGCGTATGGCGTGGTATGTTGGTGCCACAAAACTGCCGTGTGGTTCTACTGGAGGGATTAGCTTGTAGACTCATCAGCAAGTGCAAGTTGTTTTTGCTTTTACGAGAAGCAGAGCACCAGACCACCATGTTGTACTTTTTATAGATGTGGGGCGATAGTGATAGAGGATTCCATACAAGTAGAAGATAGAAGAACTAGTCCTCGACGAGTGAAATCATGAGTCTGAATGTGAATGAAGAAAGTATTGAAAAGAGCTATTTTTTTTCCGCGCCCACCCATATAGTCACATATTCGCTTATTCAAGTATGCGTATGTTGTACTTGTAGCATTACATGGGTATATCATCATCATGGGTTTATCGTCTTGACGTTTGCGCAAGGATCGGGATGCGAAAGGTAATCGACTGCTCCCGAGAATTGGGTTGTGAAAAGATGAACATGCTTTGATATTTTTTGAATTCAAACGAACCCATTTCCATTTGCAACTGACCCTTCGTTGGTTGAACACGGGTGATATGTCCTCGTACAAGTGACCTCCGCCGCTTCTGTGGCAGATTTCGTTTTCAACAGTAGGAGGATCTTCTCGTGTCTTGTGTACCCCCCACCTCAAGATAGCCATCATAGGTCTCGTACTTGTTTGCCTTGTAGTAATATCTATTTGTATCTGCTCAGGTACTCGTACTCAAAAGTCTGAAAATTTTCTCACACGACTGCTGTCAAGAGCGTCTTTATTGCGAGATTTCCTAGTAGAGATAGCGATTCCATATTCCTTGACATTTGTTGACTCAATTTCAATCTCAATCAAACGCAAACGCCTTGTCCTGATCCTGGTCCTGTAGGCATATTTCTTATGGCGGTCGGCGGAGCGCATGCTCTGATCTGCGCTGTTCGCGTAGTTTTGCTTATAGCTCTAGAGCTTCTTGTCGGTGCGCAGCAACGACTGGAGGACGAGGATGTGGACGTACTAGGCCTAGAGTTGCCTTGCGTCTTCGGATACTTCCACTGATGTGGTTGAACAAAACTTTCTTCTCTTTCTCCAGCTCATTGGCCTGAACCTATATATCAACATCTAACGAGCAAGTCATTCTTCCCTTTCGTACGCTTGCAGATTGATTTTGATTTGAGTTTGTCCTTGTATATGCCTCAGCCTTAGTTTGTTTAGTCATAGTCTCGTTGTTGTTTGTCATTCCAATGATGTACAAATAAGAAATCTTCACTTATTAATATTCATCTACTTATTTATAGTTGTATGTACTATCTACAACATCTAGGAAGTAATAAATAGAGGAATCAATCGAGCACCATATCATCGGGAACATATGACTATGAATGAAGATTTGTATGATATAAATGCTGATCAGCTCGTCCTGCAGCAACTGCAACGTGATCATTTAAATCCCGGCTGGTCACCGGGGTCCCATTGGGACAACATTACTGCGCGAAACATCGAGAGACGACCTGCGCACTCCGGTGCCCGTGGGCGGGCCGGGGCTTGGCTCGTGGTTCTACGCTTACGGCGTGGCGACGTGGATAGCGGAAGGCTGGCGCTGCACTCCGTCGCAGGGAGCGCGCTCATGTTAGCGAACTGCGACGCGTCGCGGCTGCCCCTTCCTGGCGTGGGGTGTCCATGTCTGGGCTTTCGGATTGTGGACTAGAGACAGACTTCAGCGCGCGTCCTGTGTTGGCTTCGGGGCTTCTCCCTCCTGGCGCGGAGGGTCTCCACCGGTCTACACCACACCACTGCCGGCCCGGAGTGGCGCCTTCTTGACGTGCTGCCTGTGCTGCGTGAGTGCCTCTGCGTCTGGAAGGTGGGCGCCTGCCTTTTCTGTCGGGGTGCTCACTCTGGCACTCCGCTGCGAGAGTGATGCGAGGGCGAGCGCTCGCTAGCTGAGCGCCGTTCTTGAGTTGACCCAACTGCTCTGCTCGACCTCTCTCGGTTCTGCGAGTGACGGACTGGCGCCAGAATTCCATGCGTCTTTTTGGTCTTGGTTTAGTTACGCTACTTGTTGGGCTTACCTTTACGCTTATTCGGGATTGCGGGTCGCGTTCGGTGATGCTTGTTTGGCTTTTCGGAAACTATACGCGCGAGCAGTGGCACTGTGCAGGGTGCCGCCGCTCCCTCCTCGCGCAATTTGTGCGGGCTTGATTGTTGCCGTCTTTGAGCTTACGCTCCGAACTACGACGCAGCTCGCCGCGGGGGGGTCTGGTGCTTTGGGGCTGCCATGACGCGGCGCGCCGGCTTTCGACTAAATTCCTTCGCTGATGTTTCCCTACTTGTTTCTACCGCTGCACCTGGTTGCCCTTCTTCGGTGTTGGTTTGAGGCCTCAGGCCTCTTCCTACCATGACGGAACCGGCAAACGCACCCGGACCGCGGCGCCTCTTGTTAGGACTCTCCTGCATTTGCCTCTACGGCGGGCTGCGCTTCAGCTTCTGCCTTTTGGCCGTCTGTAGGTCTGTGGATGGCCGTCTTTCCTTCTCTTAATCATAAAAATAAAGATAATGATCATTAACATTATTTGTCTCATGACGATGATGCGCATTCGAAGAGCCCACGCGCGGGCGGCATAGGGAGGTGAGGCAAGAACTAGTGACGTCGAGGCCATCCTTGTGCTCCAAACTCCTCGTGGGAGGATGAGTCACTTTATGCTATTTCTTCAGATTTTCCGACATTTTCATGGCCTCTAAAATCAAGCCAGAAATCTTCTAATTCTAATTCTAATGATGATTTGAAAATATAGATGCGAGCTTTTTGGATTCAATGTAGTACCAGTACCAGCAGAAGTTTATATCCATGATCTCTATCACTATAATACACGTGCTATATTCGGGTAGTTGTAACTGTAAGAAAGATAAGTCTAGCTTCGGTTGGGAGCTCGATCCTTGTTCTCCTCCCGTGATGAGTAGAGGGCGAAGACGGCAGTATGGGATGGCACGTTATTCCGATGGAAGCCAGCTGCTTTCTACAACTAGGGCTTCACCCATTGTGCATATATCTGCCATCTGGATTCATGAGATTTTATAAACTTGTACATCTACACAGCTAGTAGTGCTCCACAGGGGACACGGACGGAGCCCCGGAAGCCGCAGATTGATGCTATGCTCAAATAGCTCCTACTACGTTTCAAAGAATAAAGAAGATCATGGAGATGCAGCTCATTATTTTGTTTTCCTTACACGCTGCAGTTGCATCTCTCTCAAAAGACCTACAAAAATGCTATATCTACGCAGAAGAACATGAACACAAAGATGAAAATGTACACCTATTCGTGTGTGTGACAGCGTTTGTCGAGGCGACGAGATGCTGCGCACGACTTGACTAAATGGACTATCATGCTACTAACATATACGAGAACAAATCTCAATCAATCTGAGTCGACGGGAAAATTTTGATCATAATTCAAAGAATATTTACAGAGAAGAAAAGATCTTGACACGCTGCGGCGCGTCGCTGGGCGTGTGCTTGCGTAGTAAAGTGGACTCCAAGTAGTAGTTGAGAATCCCTTTCGAAGTGTTGCGGTGTTCTATGCTTGGTCAGACGCAGATCAGGCATGTCCTGGAGTGACGACGATGGATATTGCTACACTTTCTCAGTACTAGATAGGTGGTAGTAGTATCTTCTATTAGGTGCCGTCTGTCGTGCGTGATGCGAGCACCCTTCCGAATCAGTGTTCAGAAACCATAGGACACATTGAGGGTGAGGTCATCGGACCGGACCTTTAGTCTGTATGAACATGAAGATGAATATTCGTGAACTGATGCCAGAGTGACGAGAGACCTTTTCTTTCAGCTTGTTTTTTTCAGAGGGTGACTCCTGCGCGTGGACTGAGATTGAGTGATGGAGTCCGTCGAGAGAGAGCGAGGGTATCGCAACATCCTATTACCTAGGTTGAATTTGTCAATAGTGTCAACATAGAAATTGATGATCATCCTTGGTATAAGTATATAGAGCGATCCCTCGTCGAGGCATCCTGACATGACATGATATTCTCACTTACAGTTGTCCTGACGACTTTTTTCACTCGAATGCCCCCTGCCTGTCGAAAATTTCCTATTCAGACCTTGAATTATTTGGCTCTATTCCTTCCCACGTCTGCATGGAAATACCTGTAATTAATAAATTGTGCAAGAAAATAAGTAATCGCGATTGATGTTTTCTTATTTAGATCTTGTATCACATACACTTATACTTGTTAGTCATCGCTATTGCTCCTGTTTCTGGATGATGTAGATGATAGACGAAAGAATCTTAACGCAGCAGGTCGTTGACGTGTACTTCTACGTGAAAGTAGCAAATCCAATTCGAATTTACGTATTAATTTGCGAAGATTAATTAAATCTTTTTTTGTGAAGATTATTTGATTTTGAAGAAAAAATAGAAAGCGTACTAGTCTAGTCATCTTTCGTTGCGCAGAAAGAAGATGCCAGGTGAGACTCACAGGATGTGCCCTAGCCTGCTGTGGCTCGTCCTCGTGATCTGCTTTGATCTCTTTTTGAGAATCGTTCATGCTACTGCGCCCATACCAAGACAGGCGCCCCTTCCGATCCATTATCATGGTGCGCAACCGAGGACGTCGCAAGAACTAGTGGCTGACAAAGAAGATCATGCTGATTCAGATTCAGAAACCCCTGAGGAGGGGGACGCAATGTCGAGGCGGTCCCTCGCCGCGAGTGCTCCCACTTGTCCAGAGCTACACAGTGGGTCTTCGTGGGGGCCCTTGCGCATTGGCTACGAACTGACCTCTTTGGGCGGCAATGCGAATTCCGCTAGTACGCAAAATTTCTTTAAATTTCTGGAGGATCCTCTTTTGAAGAACAGCTTCGGCTACTGGTCTCGTGCCTTGTCCAGTCGGCGATATTCGACCACCTCTCCGATCGACCGAGACGCTGCCATGGCAGCCTGTGGTATAAGGGGACCGGCAAAGCGATCGCTCTTCGTGGACAACGTCGATGTTTACCTGTTCATCGAGGTGGACGACACCTCGATTTGCGGCACGAGCACGGTAGGTGGGACGCTAGCGGCTGCAAGTAGCTGTTACATTGACCAGTGCGGGCGCCCAGTAGCGGGTGCGATCACGCTGTGCACCAACAGTGGCTACGCCGACCTCTCCGTGGAGCGCAACCTTCATTTTAACTACGCGAATGTCATTCACGAAATCGCACACGTGCTGTTCTTTTTCGACCTCTTATGGCCAAATTTTGTCAAAGACGATGGTAACTTGCAGATCACGGACCGCCGATACTTCAATTACGACTGCTACGGAAGATGGGATGTACCCTACAACACCGGGAGAAGATGGTACTTTATATTTATTCTGAACAAGAACTCATATTTTTTTTATATTGATTTGTCGCCTGTTTGTTAAACAAAATATGGAGCCGCATGTACAATGCAAAAATGCAATGCAATGCAATGCATTGCAATACTTGCATTGCAATACTACTTGCAGTTGCATTGCAATACTTGCATTGCAATACTTGCATTGCAATACTTGCATTGCAATACTTGCATTGCAATACTTGCATTGCAATACTTGCATTGCAATACTTGCATTGCAATACTTGCATTGCAATACTTGCATTGCAATACTTGCATTGCAATACTTGCATTGCAATACTTGCATTGCAATACAATACAACGCAATACCATACAATGCAACCCAATACAATACGATACAAGCGAGCGAGTTCCGTAATAAAGAACCGGCCTACATATTTTCCGCGTAGTTACCGGCGTAGGGGGGAGCTCTTAATCTCCTTAACAACTACGCCAATCCAATGCAATGCAATAGAATGCAATGCAATAGAATGCAATGCAATAGAATGCAACGCAATGCAATGCAATGCAATGCAATGCAATGCAAGGCAGAACGCAACTCAGAATGCAACTAACCGCGCGCGGAATTCAGTGATGAGCGTGAAACTTTGACAAGGAATCGGTTGCGCCTTACCTTCACACTTTCGCTTTCCGTTCTTCTACGATTGATCATGGAGGTGCTCTTTGCTGTTGATCAAGAATGAATGGCTAACGTCTTTCGACTTCAGACCTGTTGATCGAGAAAATAATGCTAATATCGAAGTATCTTTCAACTTTAGGTGGTCGGGATATTTTGCGAAATCTCCAGCGTTGCCGGATGGTCTTGTTGGTACTGCCACTTACGGAAATTTCGAAATGTCTGGGTGCTCGTGCCCGTACGGAAGCTATTCACAGCATACATCCTTTTCCGGCAGCAATTTTGGTAAGTGCCTGACGGATCACCCTCATTGCCAATTTGAAATCCGGTCGCCCAAGGTTGTGCAGAAAGCTCGTGAGTACTTCGGCTGCCCTACCTTAGCCGGTGTTCCGCTCGAAAACACTCCGACGTCACGGTGTAGCGCAATGGGGAACCATTGGGAGCAGCGCATTCTAAACAACGAGATGCTCGCGGCGACCGGAGGTCCAGATGACGCGACCTTTGTGAGTTCGATCAGTTTGGCTTTCGCGGAAGACACTGGGTGGTTTCGCGCGGACTATAGTCGTGCGACCAAATTGATTGAAAACCTACACTGGGGCTATCTTAAGGGTTGTCCCTTCGTGCAGGACACATGCGTGAAACACTCGGCGAGTGTGCTGCCAAGCCCCGTCTCTATGGACACGTTTTGCGCCAACGAGAGAGACACAGGATGCGCACCAACACGCACGGGGCGCCAGTTGGGTTTTTGCTCCTTAGTGACTGACTTGAGTGATCTGGATCCCGAATACGACTATTTCCCGTCCTCTACCACGACAGGTGGAGGCTTCGAGATCCTGGACCATTGTCCGCGGCGTTTTGCCTATGCGCGAGGCACCGGCGACTGCCAGAGCACGAATGCGCACCTCTCGAGCGTCCTCTTCAACGCGCGCCACAGCACCAGTCGCTGCTTCCACGCTTTAGCCACTGTGACAGGCAGTACGGCTACTGTGTTCAAATCCACGAACACACTGACCGGAGAGCTGGACTTCGTACTGCCCACGTGCTACCGCGTGGACTGCGGAACCGATGGCTACGACGTGTATGGCAAATTGGAGACGGGCTCGAGAGCGGAGGTAAAAATCGCTCGATGCGATAAGAGCGGCAATTTCGTGGCAAACTCCAACTCGCTGAGCAGCAGCCTGAAGAACACGCAAATTCTCCAGTGCAACAGCTTCGACGAGATGTGTAACCGCGTGAAGTCCGCGCACCTCTACGGCGGGCTGCACGAGGACGAACGGAACCTCGCGAATGCCGACAGCCTTTACCCCGTGGCGCCCTTCTACGGAAGTTCGAGCGAGACTTGCTTGGGCAAACGGGGAAGCGCAAGCGAATGCCCGACATACTGCGCGCACTTTTTCAAGGACTACTGCGGCACTAAGAGCGGGATGTGCGTCAGCAGCGCGTGCAAGACGTGCATGGACGCCAATAGTTGCACCCAACGCGATTGCCGACAGAGTAAGTGCAGCGACGTGTGTCCTACCTGCGCAACTGCAACGACGGACGACTGCAGCACATTGTATGTTTGGGGCTACACGCCCGCGTACTGTCCGTCGGCGTGCTCGACTTACTACGCGCGATTCTGCAGCACCGACAGCGGGCCAGGCATGTGCGTTGACGCAGCATGCTACGAATGCGACACGGCGTGCGTTTCAAAGTACTTGGCTAACATCTTTTTCGACATTCAGACATGCTGGGCAAGCTGTGAGACGTGTCCAAGTGGATCCCTCTGTGCGGGAACTGCCGTGGCGAGCACTCCACACTTCGATCCAAGCTGGCAGAGTAGTACTTCCACTACCGCTGCGCCTTTCTCCAGTACCCACAACCCAACGACACCGAGCAGTTTCGATTTCTCCTCGTCGAGTTCGACTACCGATCCAAGCAGTTCCAGTACCAGCACAACGTCGTCCACCACACCCTCCGGTGGTTTCTCATCGCCCAGCTCCTCCGCACCCACGACGACCTTTGATCCCAAGAATGTACCAACAGATTGTGAGAGGATTTACGCGCTCGATGCCGTGCCCTACCCGAAATGTCCAGACGCTTGTGAATCGCACTACGCGGACTTTTGCCAGCCCCTCGACGGTCCGGGGATGTGCGTCGCCGCCACCTGCAAGTTTTGCGACCAGAAGTGTATGCACGACGCCATCGCAGGGTCGTGGACCAGCCAGAGGTATCAGGACTGCTATCAGGCCTGCGACACCTGTCCACATTGGGGAACCTACTGCAGCAGCACTGCATTGGCTGCAGTGACGATAATCACCAAAGCGGACATTGATGCGCTGATGACGGCTGGTAGTGTGACGCAAAACAACAGCTCAAGACCGGACTCGCGCTCAGCGTCGGCTGCATCGTCCACCTCGACCACGACTACGACGCCCTTGCCAGCATCATCTGGCGCATCGGGAAGTGGTTCGTCTGCCACACCGACCTGGCGGGACTGCGACCTCGACTGTCCCAGCGTCTCCGGTTCATTGGCACTAACCATGGCTAGGAGTATCACCACCACAGATTCCACCGCGCTGACCACATTATTGAGTCCCAGTATCGGCAAGGCGCTCGCTGCCACTCTGGGTGTTGAGAAAGGACAGGTGAACATCATCAACGTGCGCATTACTGGAACGTCAGGTGGTTCACGAATGCGCCGGCGAGCTGGCGCACAAGAGCGACTCGAAGGCGAATCTAGTAGTGGAAGTCTTGCTACAAGTACGATTGGTGAAAATGATCCTGGTGAAAATGCTCCTGTTTCGGTTACAATCCATGGCACTTCTTTGGATAAGACCAATAGAAGTGTGTTCAAAGGCCCTGAACCACCTATGAATCGGTTGCGCCTCTCCGGATTCGCTCGTCCGTTGATCGCACTTGACGGAGATGCAGATGAAGATCACAACATTGTCGATGCAGCTGACCATGAGCACAGCCGAGTTTCTGTAATAGATCCATATACGAGCAGCAGTCACCATACGGTGTTTCACAGAGCAAGTCGAAGCTTTCCTGATGGGGACCAGCTGGATATTCGCCGTGACGACATTCACCCAAATGAAAGGACGCTGGGGAACGATCCTGCAACTGGTGTTGCGATAGTTACGACAGTGATTCGAGACGGGCAGACACACCACAACAAGGACACTGCGCACCGTCACAAGGCGCGGGTCCCATCAGCTGAAGGAGGCGACGTTCATCACGATGATCATCAACTTGATGGTCACCAAAATGACATCAAGCAGACAGAGACCACGAGTAGCAATAATGGCTGGCAGCCAGCGTTTTCTTTCGGAACTGGCGGATACAGTTCATCGTGGAGTAGCACCTATGCAGACCGTCACGGACACGATGATCACCATCATGACGACCATCACCATCTTAGGCGAAAAACCGAAGAAGCCCTCGCCCTTCCACCAGGAAGAGATGTTACAGCTTCTCGTGATGTTCCGTCTCTTCAGCAAGCAACCCATTCATCTGCTCAGGCACGAGCCCAAAAAGTGCTACGGAAGTTGGAGACTACTTCTGGCAATAAACTGGAGGCGATTTACGAGGTGCGCGTTGCCACAAATGGTGCTGCCGACTCCTTACTGAGCACGCTGTACACTGTACCAGGAACCACAATGACCTCGAACCTGCAGACAGAACTCGTCTCATCGTTAGGCGCTTCTTATTCGGTTAGTGCAGTGTCAGAGGGAAGCGTCGCGCCAATGACGTACCATCCGCCTACATCATCCTCAGCGTCGCATGGGAGTCAGCAGAGTGGCCAAGGCAATGAGGGAACACAAGTGAGTGCGGTGGACCAATCACTGCCCACCGGGGGGAACCTGCAGCCGACAACGATCCAACTGGATCTCTATGATGGCGCGACTTCCGCCGCAAAAAGGACCAGGACAGTCACCCCTGGATGGATCCTGACTTTTATTTCGTTTTTCTTGATGTCCTGCATCAGCACTGTATTTGGGCCTGAGGCGCCGACGGTATTCGCACATCGAATGATGCGGTCATGGTGATCGTTGTTGAAGTAGTCCGCCCAGTGATCTTCGCAGCACAGCCTCGCGACAGCGCCAACGAGCTCGAACGTCAAGCGAGCCGAATGCGCACGCGGCGGTGGCCCCCATGGTAATTTCCTCAGAATTGAGAGGCATTGCGTTCTTCATAGAAGAGATAAAGAGAATATCGCTCCTTAATATTCTTAGTATTAATTAGTAATAGTCTTCAGAATGTAATAAGACAACGAGTTATTCTTACATTTGCTCGTCTAGAGACGATGGTAAGAAGGAATCAATACTCCCCCAAAAACGCTATCTTTCAAGCTTGGTGTTACAGTTACCGTTAGTATCGAGCCAGCGATAATTTTGAAACCCCGGATCCATCCCATCTCCTACGAGTTTGATGAATTCATTTACCCGGCATGCAAGTAAAAAGGTAGTATGTAGTACTTAACAAAAGTAGTAAAAACATTGAATACAAAAAGAGAACTTATCTGACTTTTTATAGATGAATTTGAGCCAGAGCCACTCCGGAGCTTTTGTTGTCCTGTAAGTCTATGAGCGGAGCTACAACTACGAGCATTACATGATCATGAATTCCATTTGGAGAGAATACATAGGACTACTCCGAATTCCATATCCATATGGAGTTAGTCGATATTTTTTTATGAACCGACTCTGGCGATGTGAGCAGTTCTGATAGACCTTGGGGTGTTCACTCCCTCGGTCGAGCGATTGCTTATCAGATCGGCTAGTTGCTGGAGGCGCCTTTTGTCTCCAGAGAGAGAGATGGCACTTAGGTGGTATGTTCGCGTCTCATGTCGTGAGCTGTTGTGTCATGCCTGCGTGTGTTTTCAAATGAAAGAAAATAGGCTGTGAATAACGAGACAATGACAAGGTCAAACAGGTAATTCAGAGATGAAGGTTATATATTCAATGAAGAGTCTTCGAGTAAAAAAAGCGAAGCCTCCTCGTCGGTTCTTCTAAAATCTTCACTGTCGGACCCACATCCACTATTGGTTACTTTCTTGGTACCTTATTTTAGTATCAATCAGAACATCAATCGTGATCGATCCCCATTTCAGAACTGTCTGTGGATGACTTTTGGCAGCTCCTTTCTGAAAAAATCATGCTGCTCTTATGTGGCAGGAGTCTGAAGATCGGTGATCTCCATTCCACAATAAGATCCGCATTTCTACCTCGACTCTACTTGTTTATAATAAGAAGCGGATGAGGGTATTTGATTTATTCCAGAGGACCGTACTACTCGTAGTTAAAAACAGAAGATTTTGTTTCTCATGTCTCCTACAAACGTAATCATAATAAATACTAGCAAAATTGTAGTCATCCTCATCGCTTATTAAACCTGAAGCAGGAGGTTATTTTTAGAATTTGATGTTCATCTCCACTCTACCTTCACGTTCACCTTCAACAGGAACAAACATCATAAATAAAAAGGTCGAGGAAAGTCTACTTCATAGCAAACGCATCCCTCAAGAACAAGGCTTTCTATCGGAGGTAGAGTTTTCGAGAAGGAGCCGTGTTATCATTAATCAGTTCTTCTCGCTTCGTGTGTGATTCTTCTAGTTGTTGGAGTTCGATTAGTCATTTTTTTAGTTTACGTCGTCAGTCTGTTATCAATCAACTACGAATTTATTTTCAACGAGTCCAGCGCAACCGTAGAGAAACGCCCCTCCTGATTGTCATCTATTCTTCTTTTCTGTTTATAATTATGGTCCCGGAAGATGGGGATCCCATTAGCTTAAGCTTAGGGTTATTCGACTTGTAATATGATATAGGTTCCAGGGCGCGGGGCGACGCCCCCCCCCAAGTCACTCCCTAGCGCGGGGGGGGAGGGGGGGGGGCCGGGCGCCCTGGCCCCCTTTTGGAGGCGTCTGCCGGGGGCGGAAGGCCTCAAAAGGGGGCCAAGGGGCTGCCCCCTTCTCGTTTGTATGTACCCTACAGACTCGAGGGGCCCTCGATGGTGGTAGGAGGCTTCAAAAGGGGCCCAAGGGATCGCCTGCGCCCCCGTCCAGGTGCCTGCCTGTGCCCTCAGTGCATCCCGTAGGCTTCGCCGCCGCAACAGTGCACCGGCAACGGAAGCCCTCCGAAGACGGCAAAGGGCGAGGGGCTGGACCCCTGAGACGTGCCGCCTGTACCCGCAGGGCCCTTGCTCATCGGCTTGCTTGCTCTTGCGACCGTGGGCGCCTCCGGCGGCCTTTTCCCCCAGAGGCCTCCCGCCTGCGAGGGTCAGCAGAGGCCAGCCAGGCGGTCCCTTCGGAACACGCTGAGAGGCCCAAGGGGAGGCCCGCGCCAAGTTTTGACGCCTCCCAACACTAGAATCCGCGAAAAATCCGCGCGAAAAAGCGCGCGGGCGCGCCACCACAGACCAGACCACAGGGGGGGGGAGGGGGGGGCCGTGCGGCCCTGCGTCATATATTTACAACAACTAGAACGCTATTTCTACGAGTACTTTTTTCTATCCTTGGTACTTCTACCTTTAACTTGTATGAGAATGATGAAATAGAGGCAAACGACTTACTAGTACTACGTTTTTACTGTGCATGTAGTACATGTCTATCATAATCTCCATCACGATCACATTAAAGATCAAGAAATGATGGACAGCACTCCCGGAAGTCGGGAGGCGTCATTCATGACGCTCTTTCTCCCCTCGGAAATTCCGAATCAGCCCCTGGGAGATGAGCCGCTCAGCTCGAGTCCCGAGAATGAGGCCGTGCTATCATGGATACTGGAATTTACGCAGTGGCAGCAGAGTTCGGAACGAAAGGTCCCCGTTGCGCGAAATAGACAACATAAAGATGATACTCGGCCCGTGGAGGAACTATCCCGACTGGCGGAACGCTTTTGTCGTCTGCATATGAATACAACGACCGTCAACGGGCTCTGCAGCAAAGCGCTGAAAGGTGAGCTCGAAACTTTGCAGGTAGATGAGTATCTGCCTGTCTGGGTGAGAAAGCAAAATGCTTGCATCTTGGTGTACTGGCCTGGGAAGTTCACGCGCCTGGTATTGATATTATGAAACAGACGAGTATTGTTGTGCAAACCCTGCCACGATCTGCTGTTCGAGTCCCGTGGACGCACTTAAACTCTGGGTCCGCATTTGGCCGACCTTTCCAATAGGGATCTTGAGCGCGCCTGTCCTCATACTCATAAGGCAGGATCGAATCGCGTGGAAGTGCGAGACGTCAATTGCGCACAGTACATCGTGGAGTATCTGCTCACGGCTTTGGGACGAAAGCTTGTAGCGAGCTCTGGTCATGAGCAGGAGAATGTCAGTGCAGTGCAAAAGAAAATGCGGGACGAGGTACGCTACGAAAGCAGCTTGTATCCTTGGCGGCGGGCCCCCGCGTGGATCTCGTTCAAAGCAGCAGCTCACCTAGACCTTGTCCTCGTCCACGACAAGAAATACAAGAGCATGCTTGAAGGTTTTTCTAATCATGATCTTGTTGAGCTGGGAGATAATTGACGCGGACTATATCAACAAGAGACGATGGCCGGTAACGCTCGCACTGCGGTGATTGGGTACAAAAAGTGGGTTGTGAAATTCCTGGCTTTTGTGTCGGAGCGCAGTTTATCCAAGACAAGCGTGACATTGACGATGTCGTGCCGACTGGAAGCTGCTCGAAAATTGACGTGCCGTCTTGAAAAGCTAGAGCTAGCGAGCGCTGCAATGGGTGGAGGTCATGCAGGCTTAGCCTTCTTGGGTGAAGATTGGAAGGCCACTGTGGCTTACGTACGCAAGGTCGGAGCTGCAGCGGCTGGGTGCGTGCGAAAGGACTGGGAACGCAGACAGGCAGAGACGGTGATCGATTGCAGCATGCAAATATCCGAACTGAAGCAGGAATAACGAACAAGCTATGAGACACGAATTGAAAACAAGCGGTGAGCTACTCGAGCAGCTGTGTGCACTTCCGAAGGGAGACGTTGCGCACGGAAGGAGTGCTACGATCGCAAGTCGTGTCGGGATGCCGGAAGGTTTCAGAGTGCGTAATCCGTCCTGGAATCCAACACGTTGGAACTCCGAAATTGTGCGAGAGCATTTTCATCTGCGCTACAGAGAGTTCGAATCTCAGGAGGGCAAAACGAAGGTCGCTTTGCAAGATCCGGTAGGTCTCCTTCGAAAAACAGAAAACGGGATGCGGCTGTTTTGTTTGCGCTGGTTGAATCCTGGAGACCGAGACGAAGACCGTTCTAAAAGAACGTTGTCGCCACTGCTCTTTTTTCCATCACTATGTGCATCTGACAGCTTCTCAAGTGCTCTCTTCGACCTCCTGGAAGAAGTCCTTTCTTTGGGCCTCACTCGGCTAGAAAAGGACCCACGTGGTCTAAGCGCCGTGATTCTTACTGCAGTCACCATTGCTGCAGCTCTCGATTACGTTGCCGGAGCCGGTGCCCACCACCCACTTCTGAATGAGCACAAGCTGGCCCCCAGACTCGAGTACATGCTGCAGTCTCTCCTGCTTACCACAAAGGTGCAGCTCGAGCACCTGTACGCACTCGAGACCTACATCTCGAGGCGCAATCAAGCGGCAACGCCACCCACGCTGCAAGGCGGTGAGGTGGATCGGTCGAGTTGTTCGGTTCGCTTTGCTGAGCAAAGTTTTTAAATGGAGGGAGCGAGGCGGTCAATCTTGCAAGATTGTGAACAAAAACAAGCCGCAAAGATTGAAGAAAAGAAGCGTAATCAAAATGACCACGATGAGTTAATTCGGGAGGCAGATGCGTGGGGATGTAACTGTGAATGGGTTTGGAATGAAAGCAGGTACATCTTCAGCAAGTGTCAGAGTTGTAGGAACAGAGACACTGCGCGCAGCATTCATCAGTTATCTTTCTACGAAAAGTTACTGCCAGACCAAGAAGCAAAGCAGCGCGCTGTGGTCTTTGCGATCCAAGAGCGTCAAGTGCTGAAACTTTAGCGGGAAGCACTTGTTCTTATTGCGACGCAAGTTTGGCAAAGTTTGATTGCGATTTATGAACTTACTTTCGAAATGGGATTCCGTAGATAAAGTTGACTTTTTAGCATGCTCTGGATGCAATATAGTAGAGCGAACGAGTTTCAATATGTTGCCGTGTGTTCCTAGACGAAGACGTTTTTCCGATAACCATGTCGGGAAACAGCGTTTCAAAAACAAAGTTCTGTTGAACGAGAGACGGCGATCGTCTGTTCCTTTTTGTTCACATCTTCGGTTAAATAGCAAACATATTTATAGTAAGTCGATATTTTTATCTGACAGATATTTTTGGATTCACAATGTACGAGGACAAGCTTACACTTAACATACGGCTGCTGACTCTGAAAGAAATCACAAGAATGACACGCAGAGCATTATTGTGCTTAAGTAATTTTGTAGTCTGCGCACCATATCTTGAAGATACTTGTTTACCACCAGCGCCACCCCCTACCTTGAAACTAAAACGGGTGAGAAAGAACGAATGGCCGGCGTGCTACGTTTTTTACGCTCCTTTATTGAACGCACTTCTAATGCTCGGATTGAAGAATGACCATAAACTTTGAAAAATTGGCTGACGAAAAAATTACTTACTATTTGCCATTGAAGATTTTTTAATTTTATCGCAGCACTGACAAAGGAAAAGGACTTCAGTGAGGACGTCACCACCAGTCAGCCTGTTTTATTCTACTATAAGTAATGCAGCTCAACACTGTATTATCGATATCTATCGTCGCAGTCGCTTTAGTTTAACACGACATTATTAAAATGATGACGCTGTTGATCATGTACAAGAACAACTCAGCTTTTACAACATTCAGTCATGGAAACAAAATGAGCGCTAAAGAACAAGTCTCTTCAGCGAATCCTTCCGTCAAAGGAGCAGCTGGGTTTTTTGATACTGCACGCCTTGTCCAAGAAGTACCCTTGCCACCACGACTAGGGTTTCCGGCTGGCTGAGCCTGAGAGGTATACAAGAATGTCACAGGTGAACGGCTTAGAGCGAGTTGCCGTCGATCCGGCAACGCCATGTGGGCCGGATCGGACCTCGACAAGCTCCAATGTCCACGATTCTTCAGTGTCAGCGGATTCCTCCAGCTCCAGGACAGAAGTGTCGACTTCATCCTTTGGCAGGCTTTGTTCAACAAAAGCTCGAAATGCTGCCATCTTTTGCGGCGCTTGTATGGTCTCAGTTGTCACTCGCGTATCAGCGTCACTGATGCAGCGTCGATGCCCGACTCCTCGTGGAAACTTTATAGAGCATTCACGATGCTGCCTTGCGATCACCTCGATCATTCTGTCCCTCCTAGCGGCTGCCAGCCTCCTCGTTTTTCTCGGGATGTCTCGTGGTCTCAGTCGCTCCAGCCTGGAGTTTGCGAGTGGCGGTCCGACAGATAATCCCGCACCTGTGACAGCTGCCTCTGCGAATGACCTCCGAAATCTGAACGGGCATTATGAACTGCGCGATGAGGCTGTTCATTTTGAGACAGATTTCGGGAAACGAGGGATGCAGTTTTTCGACGCCGTATCTCCTGTGATCGAAACGAGGTACGGGGAAGTCTTCTGGACTGACTTCGGAAATCTTGAGTTGCCGCAGAACATCATCGAGAAATTCAAGAACGGCGCCATTGCGATAACGGGTTACGAACACAATCAGGTCTTTGCGGACGATCCTAGCATCTCCGTTCCGTTCTCATGGGCATACAATCACCACTACGTAGTGTGGATGACAGCGGATCCGATGCAGGCGACGGAATGGAGTAAAGCAGAATTGATGCGACGGTACTTTACCACAGCAGAAGAATCCGATGATCATGTTAGAGAAAACGGAAGGGAGCATTTCAATGACACTCCGATTTTTGCGAAGAGCGACAAATCTTCAAGATTGAACCCGAAAATGGAGGACTGGCACTCATTCTCGATGGAGATGCATCACACCGGGTTGATGATGCGCGATATCAATATGACCCACACGCGGGTTTGGCTCCCAGCTCGAACGACAGCAGCAGCTGGCGGAGGGGATGGAATCGAAAATCGTGCTGACGAAACTCGTCTTGTTGAAGATTCAGTTTCAGATGCGCAAGTTGGTAGAGAAACAGTGCCGCGCTCACAGTTCATCAGCGAAGCGAATGGCGGTGAGAGCAGAAAAAGTTTTCATGGTTATCCCCACGGCACTGCCCAACTGGTTCGTGCTCCCCGATATTGGCACGTCACGCCGATGCAGATTGATACGCGGAACCGCGAGTGCGGTCTTGATGCGGCGCTTGTCGCGGAGGAGCGGGAATTCTTTGAACAAACCCACGAACGGAAGTGCCCCGCTGGAGAAGAACCCAAGCAGGCGCGCTTCGGTAGACGACGAAATAAAACTTCTGCGCTGACAGGGAGCGGGCCATCGTCTGGAAATCGTCCTGGGAGATCGACGCAGGGAGGACCCTCGTGGGCTAGCTTTTTCACGCGAACTTACAACAAGTTCTTGTCTACCTTTAGAGCGAGCTTTCATCTAGAGCGAGTTTTCAAGCCAGTACAAAAATACCTCTTCCCATCCGGCCCAAATCCGACAACTCCGACTCCACAGAGCATTGGCGTCGTCGCCCCAACGAGGAAAGAAATCAAGGAACGGAGAATGGCGAACAATGCATCGGAATCTCCAGCTCGTGTACGCGAGACTTTACCAGGAAATAGGCGACACACAGACTACCACGACCTAATGCAGGAGGCTCAGAAAGGATATTCTGGCTTAGTCGAGTGTCCATGCACCCACAGATTTGGCGGTGACCCCATGATTTATGGTGTACAAACACCGACAAAGTCATTTCGGAAGCAGTTTGCAGTCAATGCGGATGCACCTCAGTGTCGCTCAAGTCTTAAAATCTCCGAAGCTCAGGCTTGTTTTGATGCGGCGGCAAAACTCTTGCCTGCTGGCATCGATCCGGCTGTAGACGTCAGGAATGTTACCGTGGCACAGCAAGAAACAGGAACATTGCCCGACAAAGATGCGGCTCCCAACATGATGTCGGCAGTTCTCTCAGGCAACGAGGGGAAGGCCCCACCTGGTTGCTCGGTCCGCTTTTTATTTGGGATGCAGCGCTACAGCTACACAGGGCAACGCCCAAAAAGAGCAGCGACTGGTCACTCGAACGGAGAAGAAGTGGGTGACAGGGTAACCGCGAAAAGAGTTGAGATAATTTTCCTTGCGTCCGCGCCTTCGCGGTCCCGCTTTGTTGACGTGCCGCCAGTAAGTAAAAGAGCTAGACGGTCAAACATCCAAGATGATGCAGGAGATCCTCCCTCTTGTAGCATGTCACCACTTCGAGCGGGAAGCGTGCTTTTCAGCAGTATTGGAGTAGGATTAAACATCACGCTGAATAGTTCACACGTTGTTCTCGATCTCGAGGGTCCCTCTGATGTGTGGTTTGGCGTCGCTTTCAACGCGGTATTGATGGCCGACCAGCCGTACACGGTTTTGGTTTTACCAAAGCAGACAGCGACAGGAAAGGCACAGGGGGCAAGAAGAGCAGAAGCGCGAGATGTAACTATTCAAGATAATAGAGCAGACGTCGTTGAGCAGCAAATCGGCACCTGCGGAGAGGAAGCAGAACATTGTCCTGGCCACCGACTGCGGGTACAATCACTTGAAGTGATTTCAGAGGATGTAGTGAGAGTTCAAGGTGCTAACAAAAGAAGGAGGCGTCTACGAATCGCTCGAAGGCGTGAGGGTGCAACAAAGCAGCATTACACCTTTGAAGCAGCTTTTCCGACGATCAATCTCATGTCTGCGGTTGGAAAAAGCCCTGTTTTTGCTCATCATCGGGCCCACCAGCGGAAGCAGGTGGCGCTCTGGGATGTTGGTTCTGACGTACACAATTGCGTTTGTGTTGACGACCACGCGCCAGGACTACTTTGCGACAGGAGCGGTCTCAACTGCGAGTCATTCGTGAAAAAATGCGCGCACGCTTGTCCGGGATCTGTATCTAGCCTCGAAGCAACCTGGAGTCAAGTACAAGACCATACTAGTGCAATCAAAAGGGAGGCACAATTTGATGGTGGCCTTGCAGAAGCACCAAAAACAACAACACATGGATCTTCCTCATCGTCATCTTTACTGAGTAGAAATGAAAATCCTCCGAGAGAGTGTGGGGATCTTGTGTCTCAGCACAATCCGACTTGCTCCAGTTTACACTACGTCGGCGGGCTGCAGTGCTGTCGACATCGGGACATTCTGCTAGATCATGAGCAGAGTGAAGAGCATGTGGACGCTAACAGTGCACTGCATTCTCGAGCACACAAACATCAGGAAAGGCAGTTACTGAGGTATCGTCTCCAGTTTCGTTTCTGGTATCAGGAGTACAAACAGCAGAAGGTGGATGCAACAAATAAACCCCAGAAACACATCTCGACTCCCGATGCTGACCACAGCCAAGCTGCGACAATTGTGGACAGTCAATTCCAAAGCCCCTTACCCTCTTCCGCCGTGTCCTCAAAATTTTTCGCCTCTCACCTGAACCTCGAGAGGCTGTACTTTCAAACTGAAGCAGCAGCCGGAGAGTACGATGTTCCCCCAGCGTTTCGGCTTCTGGACGAGAAACCGCTCGTCGGATTTCCTGATTTAAAACCTGGAGAAGTATCGCTTGGCACGACTTGCCGATGTCGAAAAGCCGACTTACTTAGCGGGGAAAGACCGAAAGAACCACTTGCTCGCTTGAAAGGGCATACTGCTGTAAAAGGAGATATGCATGTTGTAAACACTGGGCTTCCACCAGATGATCGAACAGGAACACTAATGGACATGGCTAGCGGCTCCAGTAGAGAAAGTGTATTTACTGCAGGACAGACTCTTGCGCCTTCCATACTTGCTGAGATTTCCTCCACGAGCACGCATCCGGAACTGCAAGAACCACTGTGCGAATGCGAACACAAGATCGAATACCATTTTCCTTTCGAGCGACAGCGGTGGGCCTCGTTGGACGATTTGGCGGCTGCGCTCTTGCAAAGAAACTACCCAGACGAAAGAGTCGACAGCGAGGCGAATTCCCAACCGACGACGAAAAAACGCAGCATGAACATGAGGGGTGGCGTCTATCTTATTTGGGCCAATGGGCATTGTCATGCACCGTCATGTCTGTCCATGGAGCTTCGGCGTAATGACACCGGTGAACTGCTCTGCCGCCAGGAACCGATTCTCGGCACAACGTGGTCTACAGATGATGTTCTGATCGAGCCTGGCTTTGTGCACATTCCACCTTGTGTTTTCGCGAATCCGGCTATAGACGCATCGCTCCTTCAACACCTTCCATCTGCACCCTACATCCCCTTTCACGCACCTCTCGTGTCGGTCAAACGCAATCGAAACACAGACAACGGACACTACGGCGAGATGGCATCTTGGCAAATGCGCGCGATTCCGGAAGACGCCTTCCAGAAGAAACAACAAGAATCAGGATGAGACGAAAGAACATCTTCTTGTCCTTCATCTAGAAGCGAGCGAAAATGTTACACCAGCGCCAATTTTATGGTTGGCCAGCCTTCCTTCCCCTTGGTGTTATGTCAATTCTTCTGTGCCTTCGCCTTTGATGCGTACTTCCTGTACTAAACGAACAGGATTCTACAAGAAGAAAGGAGCTATTGCAAATTTAAAGGACTCTAGACTTCCCGACCCCAGCCCCGAGCGGTCTCTTTTCAACAAGGTTTACCATAGAGCCTTTCGTCCAAGATTTAAGAAAAGCTCCTTCATCATTCTTGTTTCGTTTGAGCAGTACTGTTTCGTATCTTGTTTCGTGGTCACAATTCCCTTTTCTTGATCCATTGTTCTCCTCTCTGTCAGAAAAAGAATGGTCTTGGTCTCGAATGTGCATGTTCTTCTGCTCATCCATGGAGCGATCGATTTGAACGTAATTGGTGGTGAACAGATTAGTGGCAAGTTAGTGCTCGTCCGATCGGTCTTACAACCACTCGAAGATAATGAAGCAACAACTCGAGATTTAGGTCGTTATGAAACTAAAATACATATTTATTAGATGAATCTCATTCCCTTGACTCTGTTTGCATGATAAGAGTTTCTGGTTAGCTAGTGCGATCGAGGATCACTCATCCATCCTGTTAAGGAGAAAGGACACTTTTCACGAGCTTCTACTCAGGAATCCGAACATAATGTTAATTTTCTAAGAATGAGCAAGAAATTAGATGAAGAAGAAGGAACGAAAAAACAAATACTCCCTCTTCCGCGAATCTTGCAATAGTGAAGGATAGCTTGCTTTTTGGGTTGAATGGCTGCTACCGCGACTATGCCTGGTGCAACGGCAAGTACTGCCTGCAGCCGCTGTGCGGAGATGTCTGCTCGTTTGCAGCGATCCGAGAAGGACCTGCATGACAAAATCGAGGAAATCGCAAAACTCTACCAGCAGATAGGTAATCCAATCAAATTACTTTCTTTTGCATTTCAAATTCGATGATTCTGATTGAAGATCAAGATGTTGACTTTCCTGGATCAATTTGTCGTCGTTGTAGTTGTGAACTCTGTAAGAACAACAGGTGCCGGAAATTTTGTCGACGCTGAGAAGACTCGAACGGTGCGCTTTCGATTGAATCCGTGCTATACCAAAATGCTGCATGATCATGTGGATGAACTCGTCGAGGCTGGGAAAAGTCGCGATGCCATAGACCGCTGCTTGGCTGAGGATCAAAATATAGTGAACAATATGAGCTACACCAGAAACTACTTCTCGGTTGCAGGCGGTTCTTCCTCAAGCACAAGTGCGAACATTGGTCCTGCGAGCACTGCAGCAGCCTCTGCTTCATCCTTGGCGAATAGCAGGAGCATGCCGACCACTTCTCCAAACCCAAAACGATCTTACCATGCTGTTGACGATGCTGGTAGATACCATGCGACGAAGCGCGTAAGAATGAATGTTGACAACGAGCAGGACGCTGGAGACGCTAGAGGAGGGACTAATCAATCAGAAAAGCATGAGGCAGGGAGGAATGAAAGAAGCGACATTGACGCTACAAGACTGGGCTTGGAGGCTGAGTCAAACTCCCTGACGAGTAATTCCGGCATAACCAAGAACGAACCACTTCTAGTAGCATCGCTGCAGGCTACAGCAACAAGCAGTTCGAATGATGGTTCCGGATTTGGTGGAGCGTCCTCCTCATCTTCCGCAGAGATCACGCGCAAGGTAGAGGCACTTGATGAAAAGGTCTTGGAGCTGCACCTAGAACTTGAGGCTGAGAGAAAGAAGACTGAGAAACTGAAGCGCGCGTTTCAGATCCAGAGTGAACGTTACCGCATTGGCGTGGAGGAGCTGCTTGGCTGGCGACTTCGCATGCGCGCCAACAATGTTTGGCAAATCTCGTCACCGTACGGTGGTTTGGCCGACTTCGGCGATTTGGTGGTGGAACAGAGCAGTAATCATCATCCACCGCGGGGAGCAGTAGTCGAGCAACGAAATGGTGATAGTGGTGCAGTTAAGACTTCCTCTAGCAATAATGTTGCGCAACAAGTTGTTGAGGTGAACGTCCTTAGCAAATCGTCGGCAGCTTGGATGGGTCTTTTTGAAGAGTACGAACTCACGGAGAGCAGAAAGACAATACGGAACGACGCGAGCGAAGCAAGTTTTGATGATGTTACCCCGGATGAATTGTTGCCAAAGTTTCTTGCCTTTGCGGCGACAAAGAGGAGAAGCGACATGGAACGAGGTTTGCTGCAATTGTCAGGAGACGGGTAGGGCAAGGATAAAACACTCTGGCTGAGTATACTTGTGTATGTACCTGGAATTCGATTTGCTGCGCCGCGCGCTGGTGTCAACACTTGTAATGTCTGAGAATCCACCTCCTTATTCTTGAAAAATGAGGGCAAGAGTTGTAGTTGCGGTAGTGCAACAGTTAGACGACACGGTAAGTAACTGTAACACGTCCAAGACTTTTTTGTTGCGGTCATAGCTTGTCACCTTGTTCAAAATGAAAAATAATGAGAAAGATGCTTAGAGGACGAGGACCCCTGCCGCGTCCGATTGGAGATCCACAGAGCAGACGAAAACACTTTTACTTTTTAGTTTTGCGATCCGCAGGTGCTGCATCTTCCTGGAATTATGAATTCATTCTATGTACTTATTCCCATGATGATGATGTAAGACATCTCCCAAAAAGAAAAATAGAAATAGGAAAATAATGTTGGCGTTGGCATGCTGTCAGTTCATGCAATCTTCAAGCCAGTTATCTCGAGGCCGACCGGCGCAGGAATCAGACGAAAACTTGGGAGCCAAGAGTGAAGACTCCTTGGTTCTCGATGATCATGTGGTCACAGCCAGATCTCCGTCGAGCTTGTATAGGCACAGTACGCCGGACGACGACGGGAAGACCACGCAGGGTTTTCGTACAAGAAATTTGCCTACGTATGGTACATGTACATGTAGAGGAAGTCGAGCTGCGGTGACATGGCGGGTCGTAGGGTCATCACAAACACGAGTACGAGAGCATTACAAATCTAACTATAAGCGAAGCACGATGACAGCGACTCTGCGCTGCCTGTTTTTGCGCATGATTGTGCCTCTCTTCTCTGTTTTCTGTAGCATTCTCACTGATATAGCGGGAAATCCGCTCGGTCCAATTATGCCATTCTTCGTGGAGGCAAAGCGGCGCAGCGCTCCCCTACGATACGTAGCCGCAAGAGAGCGCAAGCAAGCGGTCGCGCCGCCAAGCGTTGCGTGCTCAACTTCACCGCCGGCTGATTTCGTGGATGATAGAACACAGCAGACCGCAGGCTCTTCGTCCAGCGGAACCGGCAGTGCGATAATAGGAAACAACTCGACTTCTCCTCGTCCTCACTGGTCGTGGTGGGGCTCACACGATCAAAGCGAAGAACCGGGTGGACCTGATTTAGGGAAGGTTCTTTTTTCTAATACGACTGGTTGGTCTAACCTCGGTGAGCCGCCTCATATAGACCCTAGCAATTTAGTGAAAGAGGAGCGGCAGACGGACGCGAGAAAGGCAACTTCACAGAGGATAGTGGGATTAAGATCTAGAGCAGCTCAGTCTTTTATTTCGTCATTTGCTGGCCCGTGCGGAAGTAGCGGAAACAATGGTGGTGTTGATGCTCGTACCAGCTGTAGTAGTTGTTCTGCTTCTGCTGCTAGTACTGCGACCCTTTCACAAGGAGGTACTGCAACCGCGAGTATGTCTGCGTCATCCACTGGCTCCGCGTTGATTCGTGATACAGCGCATCAGCTTGCCTCAGAATGGGGCATGCGACTGGCGACTGTCGCTAAGCCCTCTGGAATGGCAATGCGCGGTCCGCTGATGCATCCGCATTGTAGCTCGAGCTCCTTTTCATCGATGCACTTCTTCTCTCCCGTGGTTAACGCGGCTGATACATTCATATCGAGAGTCATAGCAGCAGAGCGGCAGCGGCAAGCAGAGAGCAGCGAAAGGGAGAGGACATTGGGAGAAGCAATAGATAATCCGACAACCGAAACACGAGAAGATGAAAAAAAAGGCGAGAAGGCAGACCTTCAAGCGGAAGGAGAATCAGGTTACCCGAAAATGGTGGCATCGACATACAACCATGCTCATGCTGCACTTACAAGAGAAGTCGACGCGACTTGTGATTTCAGTACCCTTTCTACGGAGCGCGGTGCTCCTCAGACTTGTGGTGTTGCAGCCTCGTACTTCGCCAAAGCGGAAAAGAATTCACCTTCTCGAATAGGTAGTGTGGTAAATGTTAAGGCTCGACCATTTGGAGTACAACCGGAAGATCAGGATCACAGAGACGATGTAGGCGACCACGTAATCGGCAACTATAGATTAGTGCGACCTGCGTCCGGTAAATTTCCGGCGGAAACAGCCGAATCTATGGAGGATCTTGCCAGCATTTTTCCACCACACGCATCTCAAGCAACTGCCGAGCTAGAGGTTGGCTCATCGATGTCGAGTCCCTTTTCGGGCAACGATGAAAACGCTGTAACCCAACGTGGAGGCTTTTTGCGACTATCGCGGATTGCTCAGTTGAGATACAACAACGATACTTCGGAGATGCTGTGCTGCCATATTAACGAAGTAGATTCGCTAACCGCGGGGGGAGAAAACTTTCCAGTCGAATCAGTAAGGTGGAACCAGCTTGGTGCCGTGCCATCTCCCGACACATCGCAAGGCAAAATGAGTTCAGGTACTGCAGACAATCCTCTTGACTTGACTTGATCGGTCTGTCGTACCATTGTGGTTTTCTGTATCTACTCTGTCTCTAAAAGGCTTGGAAATAAAGAACAAGTAAGATTGCGTCTTTCAATAACTTCCTTCTCCGGGATGTGAAGACAGCTTTCGGAAAGAGCCGCACTAGCTGTCGGAAGAGAACAACTAAGATGCAGATTGAATTTCTGTGTACATTGAATACTGCGGATCGAGATACGTCTAAATAAATCAACACTCGAAATCAGATTACAGCACGGCGGCATCTTCCTCTGCGTCTGCACGCAGTTTTTCTAAGGACGAAGCTGCACGTGTGCAACCTGGAAATCTTGAGAATCGGAGCCCTAGTACCTCGATTTCTTGTCTGGCAGAGTCCTTAGATGGTTCAGAGGACGTAGTAGGGAGAGCCGAGGATCACGATCATCAGGACAGTGGAGGTCGCAGCCTCACAAAGCTCGGACAGCTCATGAAGCGGGGTAATGGCGATACTAGTAGTGCAGGAATTTCTACGAAGCTGCAAGTGGAACAGGATCAGAGCGGCTCTATGGTACTCTCAGGCGAGCAACCCATTGTGAATCACATGTCTTGGAAGTACAACGGGGATGTTGAGGGTGATTACCACGTTGGGTGGAGTGGTCATGGCTTGGCAAGAACAATCGAGCACTCACCGCAGGATGCTGCTAAAATCGCAAGAAAAACAAGCGAGAACAGTTCTCGGCTGAACCCTCTCCATCTTGCAAACGGATACAACGCATTTAGCAACGATGACAACATGTGCCTTCACAATGGCGACGCAGCTAGACCTACTACTAGTTGCAGTAGCAAAAATCTTGTCAGCGATCAGTTTCGTTCTCAACCTTCTTGTAATGATGAGCCTGAAAAACTCCCTGCATTTTTTGAGACAACATCGTGCAGGTGCGCTTCTGTTGTCGAGAAAAGCATCGGTCCCTCCGATCCGCAATCTCGTTGGGAAATGTCCCCAAAGAAAGCCCCTGGTAACGAAGTCGCGGGCCGCAAGAAGGGCTGTTTTTTCGAAGGTGGCAGTCAGAACCGACATCTGCAGCTTCGACCACTGCCAGACGAGAGTGATGCGGATATTTTATCTCCAGAACCCTCTTCACAACCTCTCCTGCAGCGATCGCTTTCCACACCGACAGCTCAGCAGACGGCGCTGGCGCTACGCAGAAGACGAGCGCAAACGGAGCAGTTACAACGGTCTGTGTCACACGACGCTGACGGAGTAACGACGTACGTTTCGCGGAGTGCGCCGGTGTCTCCAGCGATGGGCCACGTGCCAACCATGGTACAAGAGTGGGAGAATCGTATTGGGACGACGAAGGGAGTCCCTGATGCACCGCGTCAGTGGTCGATCTAAATCCCCAGCATTGCCATGATCCAACGCAGGCAACGCGGCTGACGATGAGTTCATTTGCTCGAAAAGGCGGAAGGTTAACTGTTGGCCTCGGTATGCCTGGTGGTCACGAAGTAGTCGTTGGTGTTGTGGCAATCAAGAAGTTCAGGGCTGCCGGTGTGTAGACCCTAAGCCTAATCCAACAAAAACATTTCGATTTTCCGAATTTGTATTTGTTGGATCTTGTAACGCTCGTTATTGTTGAGCAGTTTTCGTTTCCTCGATAAGATTAAGATGAGGCCACTAACTCACTGATTAATTTGGTCTCGAGAACGAAGGTCCATCCTTAGGTGCTTAAAAGGAGTGGGTTAGCGACATGTTTTTGATCAGAGAATCGGAATCGTTTTCGTTTTTATAACAAAGAATACGTCAACGAAGTACTCGCTAAAAAAATGGTCGCGTTGCATTGATTCTGCTCCCCGTTTTTCTCCTATAAAAATAGGCCGATTGTTGTGTGAGTTGACGACGTTGTGTCGGCTTCCATCTTGTCTCTACGGTGACCACAAAGGGGCATATCAGGGGCACTCACGTGGCATGCTGCTTGGTTCGGGACTACGACTAGTGCTTGGCATCAGTGTCATTATAGTTGTTGCTCCCATCCAGATCCAAAGGTGGAGGTGCTTACTTACTTGTCCGAAACTTTTACGGAAATTTCACAAGTACTTATATGTATAAGTACACAAGTATTCTGAATTTTGTTTTATCATGCGTTTTACTGCGTCCTTATCTTCGGTTTTGCGTAATGCGCGGTGTGATTTTGATTATTTCCGCTAAGCGGGGTATCTAACGACCAAGTGCCCAAATATGGCCAAACACGTGTGTGTAATTTTTCTCCTAGATGTGACCGTGACGCACCCGTACTTTCGTAACTAAAGGGCAACTACCATGATAATGTGCCGGCCATCAAGAGTGAAGGAACAGGAACTTCCACTCCATAGGGTCTTCATCCTACGAAGGAGCAGGTTGTTTTTCTTGTGGTTCATAGATCTGAGACTACAATTCCCAAAAACGCCGTTTTGTTTTTTGATTTCTCATGCATTTTTCGTAAATCAACACCTCTGATCAGTCCTAAAGCTTTCGATTCAGACGATCCATTTTGAAGTATCGTGACCCGCGTAGCCCCTGCCGTTCATGCCGAAGCTCATCTGCAGAAGGATTGCCAGGCTTCCGCGTTAGTTTTCCGAGTTGGCATCGCAAGGAATGCTTGCATACATAGGAATAACTGAGTAGAATGGCGTCAGTATCCGTGCACGAAGAAGTCGTCTGAATAAGGCTTTCGTCGACAGTCAAAAGAGCGGTGTATACCGCAAAAACCGCAGCTAGCTTCTTCATTTTCCGTGGTCCTAGAGAACAAGCTCTATTTGTTTTTCAAATTCCAAGGATCATACCTGCCAGTACATACCGATGATAATATTGCCGGACTGCCTGAAAGACTTTGAACTTCTCTGACTTCCACCTCGGCGTCTTGAAAAATCTAAATTTAGATCCGCTAATGTCTTTAGTTTTGTTCGTCAATCGTCGCGGAGCCACCACACTCTTGCACGCTTTTAGTTTGGCCATAGACTGTAAATTCTCAGAGGAAGATCCTGGCGTGAAATGCCGTGCTGTCGATCACAAATACGTATCTTTTCTAGGGACCTGCAATGGTTCATATCGTGGTTCGATCTAAACGGCCATTGTTCTGACTTAAGAAATATTTCTTTGCGTAGATCCGGATCCACATGTGAGAGGACGATAGGAAATGAAGATGCCCTCAGGTGTTTAACGGTGAAGAGATCAGGCCGATACATGAAAGCGGTTTCGTTGGGGAAGTACAATTCAAGTATTTCGACCCACACTATCCAAGCATGAATAAAAGAGACCAATCTAAAACAGCATCAGATCAGACTCACGATCCCCCAAAAAGAACTTTCTTTCAACGTCCAGAATACCGAGTGTGCCAAAGATAGACGATCCTAGGACCCAAGTCATCCATTTGGCAAGATCCCAAATCCGATCATTTCGTGATCATGTGCTGTTCTCATTAGCTAATCTCGATCTAAATTTGTTTAGGTATGGACTTTCTCTTTTACTTTAGTATCGGTGTTGCACTCATTTTCGAAGAACTTCCATCTAAATACTTTCACTTGCGACTTTTCACAGGGAAAGTAGAGGTCGGAAACGAGGGACTCGTTCGTGCCTTTTTAGACTAGATCACAAAAATGCCGAAGTCCGCCAAGCAGCTCCTCCCTCGTACTGAGGACCGCACGATCCACGTGCACAAGCTGGTCTACAAGGTCCAGTTTAAGAAGCGCGCCAAGCGCTGCATCTCCGAAATCAAGAAGATCGCAACAAAAGCTATGGGCACCACCGATGTTCGCATCGACGGAAAGCTCAACAAGCACATCTGGAGCAAAGGTACGAATAGACTGATGATTTAAGTCGAACTTTAGAAAGAACACGTTTGGGTTAACACATGAGACAGTCTGAAAGGATGCACTAAGACACATAAGGGCTTTTAGTCGGTAGTAGAAGCCATTTTCTTTTAGTGTATGCAGATGCCAGCATGCAATCCCGTTCGCTGTCTGAACCAACTTGTAATACGTGAGTTAGAAACTGTAGTGATTTAGATTTAGGCCCGATCCCCGTGACACTTTGATTCAGGACTTGAACGCGCAAAATATATTCTATTTTCCATGATCTCTTTCACAGGTATCAAGAACTTGCCGCGTCGGGTGCGTGTGCGATTGTCCCGCAAGCGTAATGAGGATGAGGATGCCAAGGAGAAGACTTTCACTTTGGTCCAGTACGTCCCGGTCGACTCCTTTAAGGGTCTCGAGACCGAAGCCGTCAACGAGGAGTAAGTTACAGGCAACTCAGAGTCCAAAGCAGGGACGAAACAGTTGTAGGCAGCGAAGAATATTTGGTGATGTTTCACCGTTCTTAGAAACGGAACGGTGCGCATTAGGGATGCCAGACAAACGAGTTTCCGCGAATGGTGGATCGACCGTCGGCAAGCCTAAATGCCTATCGAGCAGGAGAAAGCTGTGACCTAATGGTCATCCCATACTCACCTGTGGTCGACAAAAGTAGGAGCAATGCGACCGTTCCAGGATGTGTGAAAGTAGGAACAAATCTCTTCATTGCAGACATTCTTTGTTTCGGCTGTAAACAGTGATCAGTGTCTAATAAAAAAGTGCCCTTTGGGTCGGAGTCCGTTGTCCTTTGCGACACTGCGAGATGGTGGCGCGTGTGTCTTTTCTGGTGTTTGGATTCGGTAGGTTGCAGGATTACTGTCGGAGGAAGGACGCGAATCGTGAGAACGAGTGTAAGCTCTCCGATGCATCTGTGTTTGCACCGTCCTCGGCACTGGATGAGCTATGATGCAGTCGGAAATCTGTGGAAATTATTCACCTGAGATGCGTCTTCGCTTTCCTGTCAGCTGTATTCAGAAAATGAAAATCGGTTTCTTCGAAGCGTTTCAGGTGTCGTAAGTGTGGTTGATGAGACTCGTTCGCGCTTCGCTGAATGTGCGTTCAGAGAGTCAGCTGCTCGAGAAGTGAAGCTCCCTCCCCTTCACGGCTCTTTCTTGGTTGATCGCTATCTCATTCCGATCTTATGCTAATCATGCAAGTCTCTAGGTATTGCCTATATCATTTTGCGACCGCCAATGGTATATGACGCAGACAGAATTACTAGGAGGCAGTGCGAACAGGAAGAACAAAGTCTTCGTAAAATCAAGAACACTGTTAAAGTGTTTCTTGTGTTTCGTACCAAAAGGAGTAAAGTGTTGATGCACATGTTGTCATTCCAATTCCATCGTTTCTCCAATATAAAAAATGAACGTTATGCCGTTGGTATTCTCTGTCGTTGATGTAGTCCCCGTGGGCGTCTGTAATGTCGACAGTGGCCCCGGGAATGGAACCCATGAGCGATGGAGAGCTCACGGAAAGGATGGCCAAACACATGTCACATGGCAGAGCAGCCGTTGGGCAGTGTTCCGTTTCCGCGGCATCTGCTGCAAGGAGGAGAGGACTATGAACATGTTGTGAATCTTCCTTATCGACGAGATTTACCCGGAACAGGGAAAGTCTCGACGATTCTCGGCAAGCGTACACCTGCCCAGCAAAGTTTTTGATGAAATGAGGCAGGGGGGCACGTCACCCCAGTCCCAGACATGCCCACGACCAGCACCCAGTTCCTCTAAATATGGGTGCTGCTTGTTCCTAATTGTCTTCTTCCTGTTGATTGAAACTACTCCTGTTCCTGGAAGGAGATGCGATCGACTTTGCTCTTGAAGTTGATAAAATTCAGGGAATTTGGGTTGCGGAGAACATCTTTCCGATTTACTGAATTAATTGCTCCTGTCTTTCGATGTTTGGGCTCTTGATAACGAGGGGACTGGATTTGTTGTCAATCGAGTTCTGGAGAATCCAAGACCTCAGCAGTACTAGTAAAGTACCTCTCGTCGCCAGCTTCCCCTCTTCGACAGCAGCATGTGCAAGGACTTCCTCGCCAGATGGAGTTGATGCGGATACTCGGGATCTGGAACTAGGGGACATAGATGTCGCGGCTTGTGTGTCATTGGCCGCAGCTGGTCGTGTCATTCTTGTTATGGAAAATCTTCTGTCTAGTCACTACTAACGCTAAGATAATAGATATTCCTCCGTCCGACGCTAGGAACGCAGTTACTTTAAAAGACGTCTAACTCTGAGCTCGTGAAATCGCAGTCTCTACAAACTTGATGTCGTTGCGGAAGAGGCGTTGCACTATGCAGTACAGCATTCCACAGGCTTGGGCCTGCACCGTGTTGATGGGAACAGGATCCGATCGAGGGAAGTGCAGCTACACAACTGTTTGGTCGAGCACCGACAACGAGCGGACCTGCCGCCACCGCCGACGCTGGAGCTTTTAAACACTGGAAAAAGTACGATTTTAAAATTCAGTCCGCGAGTTGTCGACGCGTTGGAAGCACTGAACTCGGAGAGGACTCAGCTTCATATCCAGATTATGTGACGCAGTGACACTTCATCTTGATTGACTCTCCCCCTGCTCGAGGCTGCCCACGGTTCGACGCGCTTTATCAATTATCTTTTACGTCCGGATCAGGGAATCGTTTACCTGTAGTAGGCTCTAGATTGTCTCAAGATGAAGATGAGGACTCAGATGAATTCAATTCTATATGTTGTAGAAAGATGTAATACAACATGCTTCTCTACGCTAATCAAATATTATAGAGAAGAGCTGTCGCTAAGCAGACTCCGCAAAAACGGCGAGGAGTATCAACAGCAAGGAGGGCAAGACTATCAGTCTCATGAATCGTGGCGATGGTCGACGCCGCGCTGAGCTCCCTTCTACGTTGGTCGTCCGCTACTTTGGACGCAACGAGTGTTATCAGTGATCGAAGCCAATCGTGTAAGCGGGTAAGGAGAGTGCGTTTTTTTTTGCCTGAGGTGACCCGGCACGAGTCTGCCTCTGACGAGACACAGCAGAGCGCCAATAACACCATGCCGTCTGGAGCATCAGGACAAGAAGGAGAACAAGGAGACACAAAGGACGAGGACGAAATCCGCGATGGCGTTGAGGGAAGAAGGTGCCGAACCCATCGGCCTGTCTATGTCGTTGCTATCGCCTGGCGCAGGCAGGTCCATCAGGTGAGATGTCAACCTATGGTGCTCAGTATCTGGAAAAAAAATCTTCTGCTTCAGGAGAGCACCGACGGGCTCAAGGACCGGTTAAAGCTTTCGGAACGCCCGAGCCAGTGCCAGTGAGCGATCACTGATCATGCGGAGGCCATTCTTAAGGCTTCTGTAATTGTACTCCATGGATGTCGAAATGGTCACGTAGATGTAAGTATTTCTATTTGGAGTCCTCGCCGGAGACTATCATTAGATTGAGGTGGAGGAGTTGCATAAGATAGGTTATCGCCGGTAGACTAGGATTGCTTCTTGTCGCGAATGAATGAGCACAAAATAAAGTAGAGCGAGCTCCGAAGAGGGTTCCAGGACAAGAAGATGTTAGGTATCTTGCCTCTCGAGTGAATAATGAGAGAGTCAATAGAGTGTAAGGCTCTAAGATTGGAACATCAAGAACTGCGTAGAAGGGCGTTTATCTAGAATTTGGCGTGCAGAGTGAATTGCGTGAGAGTTTGATCGGTAAGCCCCCTACTCGGCGGTCACGCGCCAACGCCGTGACGGTGTCTCCCCGTCGCCTGTCCTGTCATAGTCCTGCCACAGTCCAGTCAGTGCCCGGTCCAGTCTCCAGCCCAGTGTCTCTTTTCTTTCGCACCCTCCACGTACCCGTCTTACACTTTCAGCCTTGTCGGTCTGAGGCTCGGAATTTCTGTCCCGCCCTCCCTTGTCCCATTCTTCGGCTCTGAGCGAACAAGCCTCAGCACGACACCTCCACGTCCGCCAGCCCGCGTTCTGTGACGCCAGTGGTTCTTACGGTTATTCTGTCTTTGGCACCACTCACAACGCGCTCGTGTCGGCCTCCGAGCACTTTTGTTCTGTTAACGAGCAAGGCCCCACCCTGGGCTAGCCTGACGTGCTGGTCGCAGGGCAAATTACTACTCACGCACTGCTGCGTAGCTATTTCAAATTTTGGAGGTGAAGTGGCAGGAAGAGGAAGCACACTACCAATGTATCTGACTAACGGTCGTAAAACTAATGAAGTTTTTATGAGGAGGACTGCTTGTAGGCTGACAATTCTCCAGATCGTGGACGAAGGTGGAGAGGCGGGAAGCACTCAGGCGTCGAAGCCATACATGATATTGCAGTACGGGCAGGAGGGTGACGACGCCGACGCGGATGGGCGGCGCCCTCAGCAAGCAGAAAACGCTCTCTGATTTTTATACTTGTCGCCGGCCGCATGTCATCATGTCGCTAAACCCTTGTCGTTCTTCTTGGAGGCAAAAAAATACATAGTCATAGACGGGTGTACAAGAAGTCCACAAAGGTCTCGTGGATGATCGAATACATTCAGTAGAACTGATTTTTTCGACGTAATTGTAGTCTGAAGACTGTGAAGATCATATGTACATGACGCAGGAAAGAAACACGACATCGAGGAAATTGTAGTATAACTTTAGAAAGTATGAGCAAATGTAAAATCATCAACATTGTGCCCCGTTTGAGTTCTAATGTGTTCGCACCGTGCATGGGTACAGCGCTACTGCAACAGCAAGAACGACGAAGCAGGCCAATGCGAAGAAGCAACAGCACGAGGACGTGAAGTTTAACATATCATCGGAATTCACTTATTGCTTTGCATAAGTACAACAGCAAATAACGATTACCTGATCATGTTTACCTGATCGTGATCTCATTGCTTCGGGCCGTTGCTTCGTTGACGCCGAGGGCAGAGAGAACAAAGCTATCATTGATCAACCACTAGGAAGGACGAAGAGGACCTGTTTTCGAAGACCGGATTTTAGGCACAGTCTGAGATTCTTACGGTTTTTCTTGTGCTGTACCGAAAACCTGGAAAAATGACGTCTGTGAATGCCAGTGCTTCTCGTCTCGCGCGAGGCCTCGTCGTGCTCGGCGCAGTGAGCACCGTGGAAGGCGTCCGTATTTTGGATATTCCCGCCTTGAAAGCTGGAACAGATAAAGATCAAGTCGTGTCAGAGCACGAAGCTGCGACTCAGGCAGGCGAGTTTCACCAAGATGGCTATCACTTGGTGGATTGCATCAATGACAAGATGCAAGTGTCTGGCGACAAATTCGGCGAACCTCTCAAGTTCGACGCACAGACCCCAGTCAGCATCATTCGGTACGGAAATCTACTTTTGATGTCGACCTCGACAAATAGAATCATTTGTACGTAGCTTGCTTAGACCTGATATAGATATTGTGAATGGTGGTCTCTATTTCCTCCAAGAAAGAAGCCTTGAGTTGTACAGTATAATCTAGCATTCACTAGCATCCAGCATTCTGGTACCGTCATCTACCTTCGCACCTCCAGGTACGACCAAGTAGTTCCGAAGCCGAAGCAGGAAGCAATGTCCTCAGCCCTTTGCTTTGACTTCTGCCGGAAGTTTCAGCATATGAAGGCTTTCGGACTCGTGCGTGGATCTGAGTGCTACTGTTCGAGTTTTTTCGTTCCCACAGCAGGAAAGTCTGAAGGATGCGATATGGCTTGCGAGGGAAACGCAGCGGAAATGTGCGGCGGGCAAACGAAAGCTAGCGTCTACGAAATGCATGACTGCGGCCGAGGCGACGAAGCCGGGTATCTAGGAACTAGTAAAGATGCAGACAGTACTAGTAGTAATGACAAGACTGACATCGACGTAGTCGTAGTTCGAGAAGCAAATAGAACAACTTTGATTTTTTGTTCACCAAGGTAACAGACGTCTTTGGTAAATTCGAGAGCATCTCCTTTCAATTACTTAGAATGGTGAAGTGGGAGAACAAAAACAGGTATAACTCAACGGACACAGCGCTTTTCATGGCTTCAGCCAGTGCCGTGGAGGGCAGCGTTGAGGCTGCCACAAAGTGCGCGAAGAACATTCTCGCCGCGGGCTCTGCGCTGGCCACTGTTGGCGGCAAGGTTGGCAACAAGATTGCGCAGCTACACCACAGAGCGATGATGGAGTCGCAGAACGTAATCCAACGCGCGGTCAAAAATCTGGACATCGACGCAGCAAAGGCGGCCTCCGACCTTAAGGGCTTGGTCCATGCCTACGGCAAGGCGCCTTCGGGATCCCGCGGATTGACCCCAATCGAAAAGGAGAAGCTGACGAAAGAAGTCGATGCAGCTTACAACCTGGTCGCAGAGGTCACGCCGCACGTGCAGCAAGTCGAGCGCATGTGCGAACCGCTGAAGAGTACCCTCTTGTTGTCTAAACAAATGTCAACCATTTGTTGATCGACTACATCGAGTAGATCGACTACATCTACATGACAAAATTCCTCTAAGTCATCGACTCTTGTTGTCATGCAAACTTGACCTACTCTCGTCGTATAAATATCTTCATAAATAACTTCTACATGATCATGATTATTCAGCCCCGAGCGGCCACACTGTCGTCGCCACGGAGGAGACAGAGGCGGCCTTTTTTCTGACCGTCGCCGAGAAAGAGGGTTTGCTGTACGATGTGATGTGTGACGGCAACGTGATCCAGCCAGTAATGGAAGTGCGCAGCGACTCCGAATGCGCCAAGATGTGCCGCGAAACCCTGAACCCGGACGCCTGTGTCGGCTACCAATCCTACGTGGGGGTGCTCGATGGCAGTGACAAGGTGATCTGCATGCTCTTCTCGAGCATCTCCAGCGCAGTGCAGTACACGAAGAACCCGAAGGACTGCTCAGAACCGGGAGCGGCGTCTCGCAAGAGCGCACGATGCCGAATCCCGGCCACCTCGGAGCCGCTCCAGAAGGAGATTATGAAAACGCTCGATAACATCGATGGAAAGTGCTTCGGCGTATTGTAAACGGGCTGTGCCAATGGTCAAGACCACTGCTTTTGAGTTAGCTGATGCTGATGTACCTATCGGTCTATTAGGTAATCTATCCTGCTCGTAGTTCTTCATAATGTTTTTTCCATGTACTATTTACGATCGTTCACAGTTTGATCACTGTTTTTTCCAGAAGGAGAAGATTCGCTCCATACATATTTTACCCATTTCTTGACTTCTCGATGAGTGCACGTACAGGTATTCAGAACCCCGCGACGACGAAGTGAAGTCACTGTCACGCTATGAAAGATCAATGTCATAACAATCTGCCCCGAGCATACTATTAACGGGAGATGAACACTTGTATTCAATTTTTCATACCACGAAATTTTCGACGACAAGTGTTATAGACCATACTAAGCCGGCCTAAGCTTGAGTCTATCTTAGACCCTCTCAGTATGTCTTACGTGATGTCACCGAGGTAACATATACCAAACCTGCATGAGGAAAGAGAATGGATACCGTGCAGTCCTTGTTACGTCTTGGGTCGTGCTTGTTGTGTTGTTCTTGTTCTGTCTTGGTCGTTCTTCCTTCTTGTGCTTACTTACGTAGTTAGTTAAGTATGACGCTGACGCTGCGGAACTGGATCAGAAGATTTCGGATTTCAGTGGGGATTTGGATCAGGTTTCACAATGGATCACATTCTCCCCCCGAAATTCTCCTGATGGGTTCCACAGTTTAAGAAAAACTTATCTAGTCAGCTTTTTCGTGTGGTTTTAGCTTTTGGCTACGGAATCAAGTAAGTCAACTATAACTGTAGTAGCTAGCTTTTAAAACTTGTAGAAAGTTCTCCAAGTTGGTTGACTTTAGGTAGTACTTAGTTCGTGTGGTAACTTTGTCGAAGTTGTAAGTTGTTCACGTTTATAGGTCAAAACAGGATGAACTTCAAGGAAGAAAAAAAATTATCCACTAAGGTCAAAAAGTATAGTTTTGAAACAGTGCGGGACTCTTTCTAGGTTCAAGAAGGTAGAATAAGCGTTACTTGGTTGCTAAAAGTAACCCTTTTCTTCTTCTTCCCTTCTTCTTTACCCCCTTCTTCACCGTCTTCTTCGGTGCTCTTGCTTCGTTTCCTCGTCCGCTGACCTTCTCCGCTTACTCTTAGCGACGAGTTCCGCGATCTCCGCGTACCTGTAAGGGAGTTTAATGTGGAAGAAAAACTATGGCCCGCTCCTGTAGTCGGGTTAGTACCACTACGAGCACCATACAACATCATCAAGAGAACCTCACCCGATACTGGCTTTGTTAGAGCATCGGCTCGCATCAGATGCGTCGGACAATTCCGACATCTGTCGACGAGCTCGCTCACAAAGTGTAATCGTGAGTGGTAGTGCTTACTACCCGAACACCGATGCTCCTGGGAAGTTTGCTCTAAGCTCGGCATGTTATCCACCCACGTCGGTGGGGTGTTTGTGTAATCCGGTTTCCTGCACTTTGTGCCCGGAACTATGTCAACTAAGCCTTGTGACTGCGCAAACTGGATCGATTCACACTTACCCACCGTTTCTGCGTGCGGTGTGGATAGTGTCACAATCGTTTGTCGCTTAGATCGCCACGCCACTGGACAACCATAGTAGGTCATCAAGCTACCCGTAGTTGACTTGCTTGTAGAAGGACAACCCTGAAAATCTGCATCGCTGAAGAGACCCATAGGAGTCATTTCGCCTAGTGATCCAGCCTGAGGCGCGCTACCTTTAGCTGCCGCGACTCCGGCGTTCCAAAGTGGTCCATAGGTTGCCTTGTATTCTTCCCAGCTGTCCTGAGTCCACTCCACTCCCAGCTCAAGCGTCCCACGCAAATAGCGCATGACATGTTTGAGCATGAGTGTCTGTAGTTCCTCAAAAGGACATCTTGCCGCAGCATTCACCGCTTCGGTGATGTCTAACCGACAAGACAGCGCTAGATACAGCAACTCACCAGCCACGGCTTTGCTTTGGAACTCGCCAGCCGCCTTCGCTTTCTTGGTAGGTTTCTTGGACGAGCTCGCCTCCGGCGATCCGCTCTTGGTCCTTGCCTCGCTTTCACTCTGGCTCGATGCCTCTTCCTGGTCAGTGTGGATGACTGGAGCTTTGCTACCAGCCTCTTTGACAAGCTTGCGCCACTCGTCCCGGTGCCGTTGCACAGACGGAGTTGGCTTGGGCTTCACGTCATACATATTCCACTTCTTCAGGATTTTCGTTGCTCGATTCTTACCATGGAACTTGAGCCGATGATATGTTTTGTCACCTCTCGTGTCCACCCGGTAATCGATGTCAACATCTACTCCAACAAAGTCAAACGAGTGCCGCTCGATATTGTTACCGACCTCCTTTTTGGTTATGTCCATCTTTGTCGACCCGAATTCTTTGTTGACCTGACCCACATAGTCACTGGCGGAAAACTCGCCTTCTTTGGCCGGTTTTCGCGCAGTTGCTATGATGTCGTCAACGTAACACACTAACATGGCGCAGAGCTTCCCATCTGCGTCTGTTCTGTAGTAGACTCCCCCCTCTCTTGGCAATGGCTTCCATCCCCAGGACTGGAGTTTCGCATCCGCCTTTTTATGCCAAGCTCTCGGAGATTGCTTGAACCCATACAGAGCCTTTGTCGCAACCTTGATTGGATCTTCATCCTCTTCGAGGATTTCCTCTGGAAGTCTAAGAAGCTCGGGCTCCGGTAGGTCTGCCTTGATAAAAGCCTGAGTCACGTCCGCGCCATCGATGTCCCAGCCATGCTGTGCAGCATGAACTAACTGGCAGCGCATGCTAGTAGTTGTTGGCGTTGGGGCAAAGATCTCGGCTTTGGGCAGAGAATTCTGCGTCGATCCATCCGCCACTAGTCGCGACTTGCGCCGACCATCGCGCTTCCGCACTCTTACCATGTGCGCGCGAGCCGGTCTTTTACGGCGTCGCTGCCTAGCATCCTTGGCAGGATCCAGATTTCTCCAGACTTTCAACCTTTTCAAGCCATCGACCTCCTTTTTGTCCGCTTCCTTCCATAGATCCTTTTCAGGTCCCCGCGTGGCTTCTTTCCGTGATATGGGTCCATGCCTACGGTCAGAAATGGGAATAGAATCCCGCGCAGCCGCGTCTACATACTGCAGCTTCTTCTTCTTGGGCTTTGTTCTAGCCACAGAGAGAACCTTCGCAGCATCCCTAGACGCCCTGGCCTTGCGCTTTACTTTTTCCAGCGACCCTCGCGGCTGTCCCCGGCCTCGCTTAGGTGTCGCTCCGGATTCAGAAGTTTCTCCCTCTGAGTCTGTGCTTTTCTTGGCCAGCACTTTAGCCTTTTTCTTTACAGTGGTAGAGCCTCGACCTGACATAGACTTTGCAAGACCTGCACGACCGGCGTTGACCAATTCGCCTGGCTCGCTAGCATTCCTGTCCAGAGCAGTTGCTTCATTCGCCGGAGGATCTACTACATCCCTGTGCACTGTGGGGTGTGTTGTTTGGTCTAGATCTTCTCCCTGGCTGTTGTCCTGCAACTTGTTAGCGCTCTCAGGTGCTACCGCGGCCCCGTCGCTTGGCATAGTCTTAGGCATGTCTACCGTCGGCATACTAGACCCAGAATGCTCATTCTGTCCCGAACTTGTCATCTCGAAAAGCGGCCTTTTCACACTAGCCGCGCCTAACATCCGGAGCGCCTCACCAGTTCCATAAGGTGGCTCCATGTACTCAGCGCCTAATGCGTCGGGCTCTGCTGTTGACAAAAGTTCCATGAGTAACTGGTCTTTAAGATGCTCGAGGTTACTCACCTTGTAAGCTTCGCAGAACTTAGCCTGTCCTGTCTCTTGTAAGACAAATTCCCCTGCACTGTTGAAGTGGCAGTAGAGAAATGCCGAGCCCTTCGGGCTGTAGCCTGCAAAGACAGCGGGAACCCACCTGGGTGCGCTTTTGTCTGCAGGGTGATCATCATACACGAAGCACAGCGTCCCAAACCGCCTCAATTTATTGAAGTTCGGCTTGCGCTTGTATCTTCGCTCGTATGGCGATTGCTTGGTGGTCGAGCCATCTTCTTCCTTGAATTCGCGATCTCGAAGACTGTAGAGAAAGGCTGCAGTCATCCAGCATATATCTGTGAGCCGAGCATCTACTCCCCACATCAATGCCCTGACTTTGTTTCCACCTGTTCTCCACCATCTCTCAATGCGTGAATTCTTTGTAGGCTGGTACGGCGGGGAAAAGCTATTGTCCACGATTTTCAACTCCGCCAAAACCTTCGCCCATTTGATGGTCTGGAATTCAGGCCCGTTGTCAGATCTGATCTCATCAGGAGGTCTCGTATACCGACAGATCTTTTGTAGCGCTTCGTCAGCGTGTTTGCTTGACTTCAATGGTAGCACCATGGGGACCCGATCGTAATCGTCCAGTGCACCGAAAAGACAAGTATTCCCAAACATGATTTTCTCCGAAGCCCGCTGACTGTCTTTCTCGAGGTCCTTGAAATCGACCTGCCAACGCTGATTCGACCTCACAGGCTCCCAGGTTGTAGGCCGTTGCTTTTTCGCTGGTCGCTTCCCGTAGTCCTGTGTCGCTAGACACGCCGCACACCTAATGCCTTTTGGCAATGGAAGAAAATGCCTTGACCTTTCATGCTCCAAGAGACTTACACACATGTCCTCTGTCGTCCTCAGCCCTGAGATAGCGCAAATCTGTCGCGGCAGTCCAGACTCGAATTGGAGCACGATGACCGGCAAGCCATCCCGACTTACGCCGTGGTGTACATCGCCCCTCGGTCCTTCTAACCGAACTCCGCCCGGAGGTGGGAAAGAAGTTAGGACACCTGCCTTCTGCAAGTTGCCAACAGATAAATACACACTACTCAGCGCCGGCTGATACACGCCGCGGCGTAGTTCACGAAGAGAACTGCCTCTGAAGATGCCCTCCCTTGCTGTACCAGGGATTTCTTCTCCCGAGGCTGTGTATAGCTTGCACCTAGCTCCCAGGCGCTCGAAATGATATAAGTACGGTGAACAGTGAGTCTCAGCCCCGCTATCGACAATCGCTTCGTCCGACAGGTCTTCGTCCGCTGTCTTAGGTCTTGCTCGAAGTTGTCTAGCTAGGTTGCTGACCGACTTCACTCCCCCGATCACATACTTACTCACTTTCGTCTTCGCCCCTGACTGGGCTACCTGTGCTGTCTCAACTAGCATGAAGCTTCCTCCACCCGAGGAAGATTGTTTTTTTTGAGTTAGTTGATTTGAGAAAAGAAATTTTATTTGCGGTTCTCTTGATGATTATTTAGGTGGTAGTGGTGTGAGTGGTTGTTTGATTGATTGGAAAAGAGAGAAGCTGTAGCTTTTTGCGAGTTCTTTTCTTTTACTCAAGTAAGGACTTCCTTGGCCCGGATGTCGCAAGGCATTTAGCTCCCCCGGCGTTGAATGTTCAATAACATTCAACGAATATTCTACGGCTAAACGCAATGCTTGTTTTGGTGCCAGGCGAAGGAATGAAGTTCTTGCTTTTATGAACTTACTCAGCATCAAGAAAACTCTACAAACAGAATTACTCAATCATTCAAATTAACTACTAGCGAGTGCATTGAAACTAGCCCAGGCGATGGCAGGATGCTCCTTTAACATCCCCCATCTGGTGTAGCTAATTTCCATGCGCATAAGATGGTAGCTGTTTTGGGAAAGTAAGGAGTTCTTTGGTCTCAAATTGTAAATATACTCTAACTGCGCTGTCGCTGTCAGCACCACTTGGAGATAGTGTCTCTTCTTCACCTCCTTCGGATCCGTGTCGGGACTTAACAGAGTTTACTCTGTGTCGGCTTGGGCTGCGGCCTCGTCTGCTACTTCCTCCACGGACTCTACCTGGCGTCTGGTCTCTGCCCCGTCTTCCTCCTCCGTGCGAACGGTTTTGGGAGCGACTGCGGCTACGAGATCGGTCTCGGTAGTCCCTGTCCCTGTGGTTGGAACGGTAGCTGCGGCTGCTCGTGGCTGCACCCGTGTCACGCGTTGCCTTGCCGTGTTTAGAGCTGGAACCCCCAGTCTGGTCACCAAGGTTTTCACGCGCCGGACACTTCCAGAATCCATGGTCATCCGTTTGACACAGACCACATCTGAAATTGGGTTTCTTGCCACCGCCCTTTTTCGGTTTCTTCGGTTGATTCTTTGTAACCGCCATTATACTGTGGGACTTCTCGTCTCGCTTTCCTCCACTAACGACCTGTAAAGAAGCTTCTCGTTGCTTGAGGCTTGCCTCAACCGCGGTGAGACTGCAATCTTTTTGGTCTAGCAGATGCGGAGCCAAGTCCTTGTACTTTGGTCCTAGGTTTACAAGAATCGTCGCGACCGCAAGATCACGCGGCTCGATCACGGGCATGTCTCGCAATTCCTCGCGAACGTTGGTCATCAGTTGGCTTACTGACTTGGCCTCGTTCGAGTTTGCGACCGACGAGCCTCTGGATTCGAGTGATCTTCCCGGTTAGTCCTGGATGCTCCTTCTCGGCCATCAAAGTAGACATGATAAGATGGACTGTCGTGTGATCGTCCTGATCTTTCTGTCGTACTAACCGATGCGCCTCACCATCCAGGGTAGCTAGCAAAGCACCACCGAGGGACTTCGCTTTTACCTTCAAGCGTTCGAATTCTTCCGGCGGAGTGTCCTCTTCCGTTTTCTCTGGGCCGTTGTCTACGAACTCAATCAGACCAGCCTCAGCGAGAGCCTTACGGACATCCACCCTCCATGTCTCGAAACTCTTGGAGTAAGAATCTCTGTTCGAACCGTTGAATTTCGTCACTTGTTGCAGCATTTGCGTAGCGCGCTTGACGTCTTCGCGATCGTCTTGTTTTGCTTTGTCCAACTTGTGACTTTTCGCTTTCTCCGCGTCGTTTTCGCGTGCTCTACGCAGTTCAGCATGGTGATTCTCCTGCATGGTAGCAAACATTCTGGCCGTTTGCTCCTGGTTAGCTTGCGTCGCCTGCTGTTGCTGCTGTAGGTGCATTACAAGCTGTGCTTGCTGCTGTGCCGTGTTGTTTGCCAACTGCAGTAGTGCTGTACCAAGGTCGACCTGCTGCATTTGAGGTTGAGGCTGTTGTTGAAAACCACCGCCCCAGGATCCCGGGCCGGGAACTGAACCGCCTGAGCCCACAGAGCCAAAGTTTTGCTGAAACCCGGCCTGCCCGTGCTCTGCTCCAGATCCCATCTGGTCCAACCCTGGCGGATATTGGCCTCCCTCTGCAGTTCCATCGCCTGCACCTGCTCCCGGCACAACACCCGGCTCGCCATCGTGGTATCCACCTCCACCGTGTGGATGTTCTCCTTCGCCGAAAACGCCACCCCCTTCGTGTGAAGGGTTTCCCGCTCCACCGTGTTGGTCTTCGCTTGCCATTTTCTTGCTTTTGTTGCTTTTAAAAAAATGGACTTTTTTCAGTGGTAATTTATGCGATTGCTGTCGCTGTTTCTTACTTATTTATTTGGTTACTTTCTTGTTCAACACTTGTAAACTTGAGCGGAAAAAAAAAATTATTTACTTGGTTCAAAAATGGTTGGTATATGAATGTAATAGACCATACTAAGCCGGCCTAAGCTTGAGTCTATCTTAGACCCTCTCAGTATGTCTTACGTGATGTCACCGAGGTAACATATACCAAACCTGCATGAGGAAAGAGAATGGATATCATGCAGTCCTTGTTACGTCTTGGGTCGTGCTTGTTGTGTTGTTCTTGTTCTGTCTTGGTCGTTCTTCCTTCTTGTGCTTACTTACGTAGTTAGTTAAGTAAGACGCTGACGCTGCGGAACTGGATCAGAAGATTTCGGATTTCAGTGGGGATTTGGATCAGGTTTCACAATGGATCACAGCAAGACGTTGTACTGCATAGAATTCCATGCTTTTTTCCTTCTGTATGAAAAGATAAAGATGAAGACCTTCAAAAATATTCCGCCGTCTTGGTGTGTTGTTTCTAGTGCGAACAGCATACTCCAAGATTTTATGCACGACTGTTGCGGAAAACCATAAAATGGAGTTTTTGCTGCCACGCGGATGCTGCACATGCTTGCGCGAGTCGAGGACCAAAAGCAAAACTCTTTGTGGAGGTGGCGCTTATGGTTAATGCGAGCGAGGTCTAACCTGCAGCTTGATAAGACACGATCTGCATTGTCATTGTCTTGATGAGCCATGTCCATCATACGATCGACAACCCGTATCTATGAGGGACGCATGATCAGGTGGCTGTGACACTTCAAAACGATGTATAGTCAATTATGTTTATGTCTTGTATTATATTTATATAAAAGCGGAGGAAAATTTTGAGGCACAAAGAAAAAAGAACGATGGCATGATCTGAATCTGTCGGAGCGTCCTATTCAAAATCGGTAGTGGACAGTTCTGCTCACCTGAGCGTGGTGTCAGTAACTTCTAGGAGGAGACCACATCAAGTAGAAAGCACTTCGACATTTGGTTTTAGGACACGACGTCATCAATAGATTTCAAATTTTTCTTGTATGGCTATCACATTCTTAGACCGCTAAGCTTCGGATGCAGCGCAACGTTGGAAATCTTTGGGTAGCCTTAATTTGCTTACATTTTGTATACAGGAATAGTCCATGTCCAAGAAAAGTAGATATTCCTCCACTTGGCTGTAATGGGAAACAAGTCGACATTATTTACGAATTTACGTTGGTCCTCTGAGAAAAAAAATTATGTTGTGTTTCAGTTCTAGATGTATCCCGTTCGATGACGGATAAGACTAAAAGTAGAAGAAGAACTGTACTACTTACAACTCATCCGCTTTTTGCACGAGAACAAAAAAGATGAAGCACGCACCTCCACCAGGGTTGTTTCGTTCTCGTTGCAGATGATGAGACGGCACGACTGACAATCGCTTCCTATTCGCCACGAGGATCATGTCAGGCGTCTCTCCCAGTGATGGTGCTATGCCATTTGAGATTGGCCAACGAGTCTCAGTGAGTCGGCGCTTGGGTTCGGTGAGATATGTCGGGAAGCCGCCTTTCGCACCGGGTATTTGGGTAGGCATTGAGCTCGATGATGCTGTGGGAAAAAATGACGGAAGCGTGCAAGGTCAGTATTACTTTCAGTGCAAGCCGAAGCATGGCGTGTTCGTCAAGGCAGAGCAGGTCCAAGTCGCACAGGCGCCAGGAGCACCCGTGGGTGAAAGGACAACGAGCGGCGAGCCGAAAGCATCGACATCGGCACGCACAGCTGTGGGAAGTCAGCAAGGGGCTCAACCTGCCTCCGCGAGGGGAGGGACCCAACAGCCACAGCTCGAAAGGACGGGATCGAGGCAGCCTGAAGTCCCTCTGACAGGGAGTCAATCTGTAGCAAAACAGACGCGTAGTGCAGAAGGAAACGACGAGCAAAAAGGGGAGTATATTAGTTCTTCCGACGAAGTTGCAGCACTGCGAAAAAAGTATGATGACCTCAAACGCGTTGCGCAGCAGTACAAGGCGCAGAACGAGGAGCTAAAAAAGTCCTTACGGGCGCAAAAAGCAGCTGCTGCTGCTACTGCGTCGTCTACAACTGGAGGTGCGCCGCTGGAGGACTCCACACTTAGCACAGCTGCGTCGCAGCTTGCGGATGCGGAGATATCTGTGGTTCGGCTGGACTTAGAACTCGCGAATGCACGTATCGAAGAGTTAGAATTACAGTTGAGCCTCGCAGGCACCGCTTCCAGCGATACTGCAGACGAAAGTCAGGGTCAAGCACCAGAAGAGAAGGACTCTCCAGAAGAGCTGAAGCTGAAATCTGCATTGCAATCGGCGTGGCAGACGCTACAAGCGCGGTTGGAGAAGCAAAAGGCCGATCTTGCGCAACGCGATAAGAAATTGCAGGCTCTAAGCGTGGAATTGGAGGAGCAACGCGAATTGTCGAACCTGCAAGCAGAGGCCGACCAAAAGCAAGCAGAGATAGACGCAATGCACGCGGAAATCGTCCGGGAACTGCAAGCGCAAATATTAAGACAATACTACCACTACCAGTCACAGTCTTTGTCATTGTCTTCAGGAATAGGTAAACTTTCACCCTTCATTTTGAGTTGTAACGATTGTGTGCACGTGTAAACGAAAAAATACCATACTTGAGTAGCTGTTCAGAGGTAGATGACCGTAATTTAGTTTACAACGTGTACACATGTTCATCTTGTTCGTCATGCTACCGCTAAATCGAGCAGACAAGGAGGACATCATTCGCGGAATAGAGGAGGCCGTTAACGAGATGCGAAGTGATCTTGAGACGGCGTACGCGGCAAATGCGGCATTTCAAGAAAGAACAATGGCAATGGAAGCAAAACTACGCATGCATGCCCTGCACGATGACCAGCCGGGGTCGGCCACGACCAGCGATGATCACACTAGGTCGAAGAATGACGCGAGCAGAGACAAACGCGGCAAAGCAGGTGACCCAGAAAAGCAAAAGGCGAATGCAAGCACAGCACGACTGAGTAAAACTTAGAATTGGAGTCAAATCAATCGAGGATGCTGAAAAGTATGAGATTTTCCATATCCATGTTACGTTCTTCTAGAAGAAGCGAAGATCCAACATCATATCTTGAATTAGCGGTTGACTTTCCACTCTTCATCCAACGCCTTGGTTTATGCTTGACTCAGTCGAACAAGAGGTTCTTCGAATATTACCATGTTCTACTTTCTTTTACTTTTTCCCAGGTACCGAACTTCTGGCGACTATGGTTGTTTCAAACAGACAACAGCTGCAGACCTTTGGGGAGTCCCTTCCGAGTACAACAATACAGGGCTTCGCACTGCAGCCGCTTGCTGCCTCTGTTTATGGCTCCATCTCACGCGCAGCAGGACTGATAGCCGATCATCTGCGGTCTCTACCGCAGAAGAAGATGAGCGCTCTTACGTGCCGCATTGAGGCGAGCCTGAGACGCGTTCAACACGCGCTGACACTGGTCTTTTTCTCAGCGGCCTCAGCATCGTCAGCATCATCTGCTTCTCCGCCCTCGGACGATACTGGAGATGGACAGCCTCCGTCTCAGACGAGGAGGACTAGGGTCATGGACTTGGACACGCAGTCCGCGACATTCGATCTACAGACAGTGTCAGACTTCGCAGTCAGTCTCATCAATGCACTCGACAATCCCGAACAAGCAGTGCTCCCTAAGACATTGGCCGTGAGTGCAAAAGCCCTTGCAGCGAAGTCGGTAGCTCTGGCACGAAAGGCACTAGGAGAGGGTGGCGGCGAGGACCCCACACAGCTTCGGGATGCCAATGCTGAGACAAATGGTATCATCAACTTCAACATGGTGTATGCCTAGCTACTTTAGTTTTATCTGTTCATTCTGGGGTTGGCTTCATCGTTTATAACTCTCGTGAAAAACATGAACAAAAACAAAATCAGCGCTGTTGACGCACTTGCTGCTTCTAGAGGCCCATGCAATCTGCCGTTATGTACCTGGATCCACGTGAATACTAAGAAGGGAGAAACTTCCCAGAATCTTCCCGGAATCTTTCCCATCTTCTCGCTAGCAATGGTCGGACACTTCCCGGAACCTTCTCAGAATCTTCCCAGAAACTTCCGAGAAGTCACACAAGTGGCGAAGTTTCTGGAAAGTTTCCGCGAAGTTGCTGCCTTCGGGATTCACGTGGCTGCATGTTTCTAATGCCGCGGCGGTGCGATACTCGTCCCAGACGTAGCCTCCTTTGCATCGGGGCAGGCTGTCCTTGAGAAGCAGCTGCTTTCTCAAGAAAATGCCTCATTTTCAAGTGCCGGATTCACCGGCGGAACCCCTGAACAGCAGACACGTCTGAAAAAATCGCTCGCAACTGCAGGCATGTGGCTGGAAAGAGAGGAGACGCCGTCGCGCGAAAAGCTCGAGCCAGCAGCAGTTGCTGTTGTGGTTACAGTGCAGGAAATACTGCCAGCAATAGGTAAAAGTGGCCAAGTAGACGCGGCAGAGGGAGCTGCTGGAGCACAAAGAGTAGGAGCACCTATCATGGCAGACGATGTAGCAAGGACCATGATTGCTCAGCTCGCAACGCAATGGGTGCAAAAGAGCTCAGAGGACTTGGCAGAGACAATGAAGCGCTTCGCACAAGTGTCGGATGCATCAACTAGGCAGAGCCTTGCGATAGTCGGAGATGCGGAAAAGACGGCGGTACCTTCATGGTTTTCGAACACGATGATTCTGACTCAGCGTAGTTGTAGAACAAAGATGTTTTCGATCAGAGATGAGTATTTTGGTGTCGTTGTCGCGTGTCTGTTCTTGTTTACCAAGGAATGATCTTCTTATTCCCTATAATTACAATACTATTGAATAGACAGTAGACACAGTCACAGTCATACACAATCGAAACTTCCGCATGTTTTCAGGTCGCCTTGAAAGAGTCGGAACAAGCTGTATCTCAGTGGCGCATGCGTGCTGAGACGGCGGAGCGAAAAGCAGCAGACTTTGAGTACCAAGTCTCAACAGCGCAAGCACTGGTGCAAGATTCCGCACACTTGCGAAAGCAGATTGCAGTTGCCGAGGAACGGGCAGCGGCCGTTGCGGAGCGCAGCGAAATAGTGCAGGAAAAATTGAATGAGGCAGAGGCGGGGAAGACAAAATACCAGCGGCGCTATGTGGAGTTGCATACAGTCGTTAATAAGTTGAGGCAGGAACAAAAAACTAGTGGTGTAAGAGAAGTGAGTAGTCTGCGACAGCTTTGCACGCGATACCGAAAGGAGCTTTACGAAAGCCAATTGCGTGCTAGCAGCAGTGCTTGGGGAAGCGTTGAGAACAGCAGCTATGCAGGACCAGGAGGAAAACAAACAACCAATATCCTCGACATGCTATACGGGCGGAGCACAATAGGTAGCAGTAGCAGTAGCTACAGTAATAAATCTAATTCTTCCAGCTCTAGTGCAACGGGTGCAGGAGAAAGAGACCCAACCACATCATCAAACTCTACATCTGTTATGAATAGACTTATGCGTCTAGCACAAACACAACTCGTGGACCTGGACAACCGTGGTGACTGGCTTGCACCTGATGGAACGCTGATCATGGATGAGCTCCCGGTCGCTTTAGAAGTAAACAATCCTAATGGTGGCGCTTTACCTTTAGGTGCAATAGGAAACGCGAGAGGCGGAAAAAGCAGCAATGCTAGGGCTGATGTTCCGGCTAGCAGAAGCAGAGAGCCAGTCGCTATAATTCGCCTAGGGCAGAAAAATGTGGCGGACACCTGGGACGCTTCAAAAGCGAAACAACTACCGAGTCAGACAATAGAGGAGGAAGTTCTTGCTTCAAGGGATGACGTTTTGCGAATACGAAACATGTTGCTCGAGTAAACTTAAACATGAAGTTTGAGATGAATTTCTAAGAAGACAACAGCAGCATTGCAAGCATCAACACTTCCACAGATGCACTCATCAAACATCAGAAGCGGCAGCTTTTTCGGCTACGCTTCGGCTCCGCAGTATCCATAGATAGATTGTTAAACCATGAAACTTACTACTTACTTACAAGAAGAGACAGCACCATACTCGTTCTCAACAGTTTTGCTCGTGCTCGCATTCTGATTCGTACTCTGTCAAACAAAACAAGCAAAGAGGTAAGCCTCTTTTCATCATGATCTGCTACGCATGACATTATCTTCTGTGCAATATGGTTGTGTGCGATCTCGTGCACAACTACAACAAGAACAGTCACCGCTTTCGCTTTGATCACCTACTGTCATCGCGATTGTAGATGAACGATCATCATTTTCATTGATAAAAATTCTGTTTCACCTGTTATGTTCTAGTAATCGGGATCATGACCAGCAGAGCGATTTTTATAGGATCCCTTCATATTCTTATTCTTGGAGCGTGGTTAGATCGAGCGGGACGTGTGTGACTGATGAAATTGAACACTAAGAGTAGCCGAGGACTTTTCATATTCTCGCGTCATCAAGGCTAAAACTGATCTGAGTCTGACGAGTGAGTGTCTCATTGAGACAACGACAGCGACTTGTTCGATCTCCAGGTTCTTTAGAATTCCTTGTTTTTTGTCCTGAGCAAGGACGTCAGGCAAGTACGGTTTGTGCCTTGGTTTTCCTCGTCGACATAGTGCGGAACCACGCATATTGGCCCTGTAGTTGCCCTCTTCTTGAAAAGCGACTGAGCCTCAGTACTAGTACTTGGTCTGGACGAGGAATCACGGAAAACCTGACTATTACTTAGCCCTCAAAAATTGGTTACGCATAACCAGTACCAGGGATCTGCAACGGGGTGGAAATGGAGCCGGAAAAATGATCAAGAGTAGGCGGATTCGTCCTCGAGATGACGAGTACCTGGAGGCAGAAGCATAGCGAAATGGAAACATGTACATCAAGGCTGGTGTCGAGGTGGTTGTGGTGACGTAATGATGAAGCTTAGAGTTCTGGTTGATACATGCAGCGAAATGGCATGGCAACATGGTCTTCAAGCATGATGCTGTTGCTGTAGTTCGCCGGCAGGAGCGAGGTGATGTTCATCCATCAACTGATGAAGTCCTCCCATGATGGCAGCTTTCAGCAGTACCAGTACCCCGATTGTCGGGTCCCGCGTCTGGGCCCGGCTGCATTCCTCTACGCATACAGCTACTGCTATTGCCGCGAGCAACACGGACAAAATCTTTCCCGGTCTCGCGCTCGACCAAGAGGATGGAAAGGTTCTCGTTCAGCTTACGCTCACCTCCAAAGCGGTGCAGAGATGGATACCACGCGAGCAGGTTTTTCGTCGCTGGGAAGCTGAGCTTGAGTCCCAGTATGACGCTGGCGACTTCCCAGAAATTTTGGCGTTACCAGGCCTCAATCTTGCAACACTGTCCCTCCATGTGAACAACCGGGACTTCACGTGGCTGCAGCGGCAGGACTCGGTGCTTGCGCGCGGCCCCTTTTCGTTGGGCGACGAGCTGGAGATCGACATGGATGCCGAAGCGAGGCAGTTCTTGAATGACCCGCTCTTGTCCTCCCCTTCTTCATCTACGCGAAAAAGAAATTCATCTGCGGTCTCTGGTCGTGCTCCATCATCAAATGGAGGACTACATGCTGAGCCGCACCCGTTTGCCCTCTTGCGGGGCTGTGTAGAGGAAGCTCTGCGGCGAAGAGATCAGGACCACAGGAGAAGTACGCGAGGACGAGAAGTTGGGGAGGACGATCCCAGTGGTGATCATGTCGTGCCTCCGGATGTTATCTTGTCGGAGGGTGGCTCAACGTCTGGACGAGCAGCGTGGATGCATTTCCTTGGACGCTTCCTGCTGTCACGCGGCGAAAGGATCTGTCCAACGGGGTGCGTGCAGCCGTCTTTCTCTCCACTGCTCGCCGTCGTTCAAAGCCTAGTCACGACATGTCGCATCTTGCCTGCTGAAGGTCTCAGACGAGCAGAAGCGAGCCATGCTGAAAGCAAAGACTTTAATGGACATGGAACAAAGAAGGACATCACAAGTGAATTCAGAGAAGCGAAGCTGGGAGTCACGACACGCCTATTTCTAAACGAAAGTATGGGTGGGGGCAAGACGAATGTCTCTGCGCCAATCTCGAGTCAATGCCTGCTGTCAACCGTCGGATCGCTCTCAACTGCGCATTTTGACAGCAGCGCGCCACCCTTCGTAATCTACCGACTACTCGCGAGACACGAACGATATAAGGCACTCTTCCCTGAGGAAACAATAACAACGACGCGAGGTGCAGTCCGTGGTGACGAGTCATCTGCTGAGAGATTAGACGAACGTTCTGGCGCAGCCGTTCGAAATAGTGCAAGTTCAAGCTCACGAGTGACCGTCGAGGACAACGATAATATTGGGGGTTCCTCGTGGTCATCGTCCTCTTGCCTCGAGTTAGAGCGAGATCTTCTCCTCGACGGATTGCAGCAGCTGCCTCTGCTGACAAAATGCGGACTTGTGAGCAACACGTTGGATACGTTTGTGGAGATCCTGAGCTGCGTAGAGCTTCTTCGCGCAGTCTGCGTTCGCCAGGTGTCGGCTTCGGCTCCCTGCCAGCTGTCGACCGAGATAGAAACCGTTGCTCAGCGACTGGGCTTAGATGTGCACTTGCTAGCCAAATCACTTACGTGTGGCCTGAATCGGGGAAAGATCGAAAAGGACATTCTCTCAAAAAGTACCACCCTGGCCACGTCGTCCGCAGCCTCATCTTTGTCTCTCTCGTCGTCAGCACTGGCGTTAAGTGAGCCTCTTTCTGCTGTTGAGGTAGAACATCGGATTAGACTCCTCGCTCTCCATCTTCACGAACGGATCTTGGACTTCGTGCTCGCCGCAACAAACTGCACTCTCACACGTGAAGACTCGTCAGATATGACTGCAAAAACAGATCGCTCTCCAGGCCACTCGAGCATCCTCTTGGTGGATCCACCAGATGCGCCAGCAACACCCTCAAGAGGAGGACATGTCAGGGCAGCTTCGACGTCGAAGGTAGGTACTTAATATCGAGTAGATCTACCCAGCGGGGGGGCTTTTACATATTACTGGCCCTGGCATCGCAAGAAATGCGATAATTTTTGGTAGTTCTCCTTGTAAGGATGAGCATGAGGATGGGGAAATGCAACCAGATCCAGAAGTTGGTTCTTGATATCCTATGGCTATGATGTCCTCCTTGTCCTCAGCCAGTCAATATTTTGATGAATGCATCTTTTCATTTCAATCTCAGAAAGCAAGGACAAGACATCAAGCAGTGGGGAAGCTTGCGCGCGTGGCCTAGACGCGTTAATGCAGTCCTATCTGCGAGACCGATTGGATGAGTTTCACCAAGACAGCAATTTCCTCGAACCTCTGCGAACAGCGTCGCAGCACTGGGAGGACCCTCCACGACTCTGTGACTTTGCGCCTGATCTAATCCGTTCTAAATCTGGAGAAATCTTTGAGAACAGACGGCGAGGACTGTTCGTGCAATTGCAACGGCTATCTCTCTCTGGTCCGGGACTCGGTAGTGCTGCGCGCGCAGTAGTTGTACCGGGAGCAACTCAAACAGCTGCCGGCGCCTCGACTTCCTCGTCGAGCCCGAGATACTCAAGGACATTACGGCCTGGTAGCGGAGGTGGATTGGTCGGTGATGCTCCCGCGTGCAGCACTTTGGACAATGCGGCTTCGAACAGTCCCACTGAACAAGAGCTCTGTTTTTTCGTCCCGCATGCCGATCTCCTTAGTCGTGTCCCTTACAGCCAGACCGCGTTTTCGCAGCCTCGATGGAACGCAAAGGAGTTGCCCTTGCCCGTTTTACTTTACCTTCAACAAGCAGCAGCCCACGGCACTTCCTCAGGATCTGGGGGCGACGGAAAGCAGACTACCGAATCCAAAAGAAGAGCAGCGTTCGTTTCAAAGATTTTTGGAAACACGCCCATCGAAGAGGCATTTGACCTCCTACCCCTCTCGCGTATCCTACATGCAAAAGAAGGGGTGGCAGGTGCATCCACACGTGTTGACGGATCCAGAATAAATGAAGGCGGTTTGTCCGAGGCTGTGCCACTTGCCAGAGCACTGGCAGGTGCGCGCGCTATCTTTGGATCAGATATCTATCATGCGCAAAGCACGGGTGGCCTGCAGACTTTTCTCTTCGGGCCGACACGCGATGGACTGTACTCCGAACAAGTTCGCGCAAGTGTGAACTCGTTCTTTGAAGTGAATGGTTTGTCGCCTTCGGGTGATCCAGAAATACTTTCGCAGAGTAAGGCGGACTTTCTCTCTAGCATTGCTGTCTCAGCCACGAAGAGAGGTGCTAGGAGAAGACGTTCGGCAGCGACACGAGTGAGATCCGTGCTGTGCTTTGACAAAGGCCGGGTCCTGAAGGAGCTGGACGGTGCACAACTCGTTTTACGAGCTGAGCAAATCCAAAACTCGTTTTCGGAGGCGTTTGCGCTAGCAAGGTTCGTTGACAGATATCAGCTTGTCGCGCCAGGCAGTGCGCTTTTTGGCCTTGCTATCAAGGACGTCGGAGCTACGTCAGCGATAAAGGATCAACTAAAGGAAGCATCAAAGCTTCAGAGACCGCTCGCTTTGGCCGTGGCACGACCGAGGGAGGCATGTTTCGAGATTTGTCGGCATGTCGGCGTGCCAGCTAGTGACGTTCGTTTTTCAAGCGACAAGGTGAGCAGCGCACTTGGCGAGAGTCGTCCGCGTTACGTCTTCGTGAAGAGGCGCGCGCGCGAGCTCCTGGAAGTCCGCTTGTCTGAGGTAGTTGCGGTGCTTGGTCCGCCTGCAGCGCTGGTGAAGCACTACTGGCGAGCCAGTCGCGGACGCCGGTTTCTCGCGAAACAGCGAGGACTTGCCGCAACAATTCAGGCTCGTGTGCGGACCTGGCGCGTGCAGCGCGGACGACAATTGCATCTAGAAGCACGTGATCTGCTCGTTTCAGGTGTTCTGCTTCTCCGGTGGCGCTTGCGCGACAAGTGGCGAGAGCAGAGCGTCATCCGTGTGCAGACTCGATGGCGTGGATGGCGCGTGCGAAGGGCGTACCTACTTGTGCGGCACTTCGAAGCGCAGAAGAGAGCGGCGCTGATCATTCAGAAACACGTTCGTAGACTGCTAGCCATGCGCAATGCCGACCGCCGCCGCTTTCAGCGGCTTTATGTTTTTGCTGCAGCCGTTCTCCAGCGTAAAAGCCGACAGTTTCTTGCAGCGCGGGCGCTTCATGTCTTATCGTTGGTTCAGCGCTATGCAAGTGCCACTGCCGTCATTCAGCGACACTGGCGCGGTTATCGCGACCGTCAGTGGTACCGCGATGTGGTGCCGGGCATACGCCTCCTTGTCTTGCGCGTCAAAACGTTTTGGCTTCGCGCAGCTCCGTTTGCAACGACGATTCAAGCCGCGTATCGGGGCTACCACGCGCGGAAGACGCAATGCCCGAAAGAGGTTGCGAAACTTGCAGATGCGCGTGCACGCATTAGGGCGCACTTCTTTTATACAAGGCAGGCAGTGCGAATCCAAGCTTTTTACCGTGGGCGCGCCACGCGAAAGGGCTATGAACGTCTTCGAGCGGCTGCGCACGTACTGCAGTGCCTTTTCCGCATGCTAATATGGCGACGGTGGTTTCTCGGATTGGGTGCCAGCACGAATGTTCTGCAGAAGCATTGGCGACGCTGGTGGCTAAAGCAGACTGCTCAGATGGCAATGGAAGGCACCGCCTTCGACTTTGTGGAAGGCGACTACGTCGAAATGCTTGATTACGAACAGCAAGATGGCTCCGAAGAAACGAAGGTACAACAACTTTCACTTTTCATATACGAAGCAAGACACAAATGCCACGAACACCGTAGATGATGTTGATGGGGGCTTCTTCTTCTACTTGTGAGTCGCGTTTTGCCTAGCTAGGATAATATTGCTAGTTGAGCTGGTGGTAATTTGAATTTCATTATGATCCGGAATTTTCAATTTTGAAACAAGCACAGGTCGAAGAAAGCAACAACGTCTCAAACAATACCAATACCGCTCCAACTCTTGGTGGTATTCCTGTGGGCTCTATTCGAGTGCTTGGTCTGCAAGGGCAGTCTCGCTCGCGCCTAGCTGCCTTTCGCACAACGCTGGAGAGGCTGAATACCAGCACAACGTTCCATCCCATTGATCTTGTTCTCGGTGATAAGCGCTCCCTGGCGCTCTGTTACCAGTTTCCACCCAGCAAATCAAGCGAGGGCACAGTTGTACGCGACGCTCGCAGCGTGCTCAACGACTTCGTCTTAGAATCTGTTGGTGGTCTTGCCCGAGACGCAAGAACCACTAATCGTCCAGACGGAGTCCCTTTCCCTCTAGTCGTTTTGCAGTTTGGTGCGGGTTGGGCGGATTGGAGTCCCTTGCAATTCGTCGGAACGCGCAGCACGGTAGCGGAGATGGCTGTCGGCGCGGATCATTGCTTAGTACGCACGGCAGCTGGTTGGGTTTACACGTGGGGCTCAAATAAAGCTGGACAGCTTGGTGTACGCGTCACCGCGACCACGCAGAAGGAGGTCCGGGAACCGTACCCATTGGAGCTGCCCGCGCGTTGCGTCTCCGTTGCGGCTCACGGGGATGGATCTGGTTTAGTGCTGGAAGACGGGGTCGCTGGAGTTTTTGGGCAAGCGCCACCCATTGTAAATGCTAAACAGACAGATCTGAAGAAGGTCAAACCGTCAGTGGCGAAAAGTGGAGGTAGAGCGTTGAACAACGCGAAAGAAAACCCTGAAGATGACGTGGTTGATAAGCCACCGATTCTTGCGCCGGAGCAGGCATGGAAGGTAAGAGGTACTTACGTAGCAGGGGCAGGGGTGAATTCCACTGATAATCAGAATTTATCTCGTACTCGTTCACCGGCAGCTATGCATATCTATCATGGATATGCATATGCTTCATCGACAAATGAAATCGAAGAATATCGTTATCGGCAACGTATATTTATAAAATATTATACTACGTGACTTTGTGATCACACCAAATAATGATGACAGGTCCGATACTTTCGCACTGCTGCGGAACCGTCTGTCATTGGAGTGCCCTTGGTACCTAAAGAGCAGTCCTCGGTTCCGGAGATGCATCGGATTGCGTTATCTGGTAACTTTGGGATTCTCTTATCGGTCTTCGGCGACGTTTATTCCTTTGGGTCAGCCACTCTTGGGCAACTGGGACTAGGGTTTCATACGCGACAAGCATCACGGCCAACCATGATCTTGAAAGGCTCAGGTTTTCGCAACGCCGACCAGGTCTTTCCACCGGTTCGACATCTCGACGTTTCACCGACGCACTGCCTCGCCATTACGGCAGACAACGAACTAGCACTATGGGGTCAAGCGCTCGTTTCGGACGTGTCCGACAGGCCTCCCGAGGCCGAAGATGATGCCGCTCGTGAAGCAATAAATGCAAACGCATCTTCTGCTTCGCAACAACACGACTCTGGGCAGAGTCTTCTCTCTGTCTTCAGAAGCAGCCAACAGGGTCAGAGGCAAAGCAAGCAACACGCTTCTCTCCGCAGTGGCGGACGAAGTAGAGCTCCGCAGATGCCATTACGAAGGGGGATCGCATTTCCTGTTGCAGTGTGTCACGATTTGTGGACCGCTCCTCGCGGTACCACTGCAGCATCCGTCATCACTGGAAAACCATTGGAAGGCGATGCCGATACGAAGAGCAAAGATGTAGGTGACAATTCCGGAAACATAGCGAACACCGCACTGAGGACGAGGACAACTCCAGGTACTAGCGGAGGCGGTACTAGAGCAGATAGAAGTCAACCGCCGCATTTGGAACAGCAGCTCCTACTTGGCTGTTGCTGTGGAACGCAAGGAGGAGTCGTTTACACAAGAACGCACGTGTTGGCCTTTCGCAGATTCACGATATTCTCAGAGGAAGACGGGTTGGACCCATTTCATGCTCGTCATCCGCCACCTAGACCTAGTCCTGCGAGCACATGGCTTGCGCCGGCTGATCTAAGCTACATTGCCGGCTATTCTCAGGTGGCACAGGTCGAAAAGCTGTTCGCGTCGTATTCGAGTCAAGAGTGGCTTTGGGCGGTGTGCATCAAAACAGCCGGACCAGGGAAACCTGATCCAGCTGCAGATCCTGGTGCAGTTTCCGAGCATGAGTACCAGGATTCCTAGATCAAACGATATTAAAGCTTCAAACGCGAAATGTTTTTGCACTTTGCGCTTGGTGAGCTTGGTAACATGTTTTGAGAAAAGTACATTAGTTGTTTTTTGTTGACCGAGCTGCTATTGGCTGCCAATTTAATATTTCCATTGCTTTTGCTTATCCTGAAGAAGAACGTAAGTATATTTATCGTGAGATTGAGATTCCTACATGCCCTTCGCGGCAAAGACTCGTCTTGTTATCTTTCCTATTGCTTATCCATATGTGGACAACTCGACGTGTCCAACAAGAAGCTTTTTTCGCCTACTAGAAGATGCATGAAAAAACCAATTTCCCGGAGAACTCTGACTCGGTGATTGTAGTGACTGCGAAGACGCTCATCAAGAAAGGCAAATATATATTGAGTGAACTACCTCTACCGTGAGAATATACGGAAGAACAGACTGCCGTTGACTACGCTTAGCTGTGAGCAGTGGTAGCCCGTGTTACTCCTAGCGCTATTCGATGAAACTGTGTGTTTCCAACAGGGGGGCCTCCGCATTCTCGCATCTGTAATGGTTGCACTTTCTAGAAGTTGCGTACCTGTTGTAGTTGCGGTCTGAAGTGTGATGTCCATTTGCTTGCAAGGACTCAATATCACAATGTAGAAATTTAAGTGGTCGTGATGGTACAGCTGCTACAGCTACAGTGAATCGTCGGTTTGAGTAAAACACAGCCGTCCTCCTGGAACTCAACAATAGCAACCCCAAAATAGACTATGCTTTGCAGTTTCTGTTTCATCTCCTTCAGAATAGTTTCTTTTCGGTCTACTTGTGGCATCTTGAGGACGCCATGTTGACTGAAACGTCAGTACACCACGTGAAGTCATGGCATTTTTGATTAGTTTGGTGGTGATTGTCTAGCTCGGCGATCCTCCAACAGGAAGATGACAGCAGGGGCGCGCCGGCTGAGCGCGTGCCGCTCGACGTTTTACTACAAAATATCAGAGCAGACGGTCTTGCGCAGATTCGGATCATCTTCCCTGGCGGGCACACGAACGACATCATATGCGCGGCGAGTGGCCAGTCATCAGGGTAAACAAGAACATGCGTCACGCGTACATGTACATCAGGGTCCAGAAATAAACGATGATGAAGATGATGCAGGGCAAGCGACCTACGCAAGCAGAGAAGGAGGACAAAAGCGGCCCTCTGGTTTTGCTGTGAAAAATTCGTCCTTTCACTCAGGATCAGGACCAAGTCCAAGAGCAGCTGGCGGAGACCCGCGACCATTTCGCTCGAAAAAGTATGAGGAGAACCGCGATCGCGATGAACTGCCTTGCTCATCAAATGACGAAAGCCGGGTGCCTCGGTCGGGCAGTCGACGAGAGCCAGGTACGAATGCCTATGCACGGCAAAATATTGCAGAGCTGTGGTCGCAAGAAGGCGCTAATCTAGAAGATCATCATCAAGAGAACGACATCATTCAGAGGCAAAAAATTAGAATTAATGAAGATGGTGTCGACCAAGATGAGGTGGATGAGGATCATGAAGATGGGGAGAGTGTGAGTGCCATGCTCGAGTTGGAATTAGACGACGAGGGGAATGACACAGGCGGGACCAACATCGGAGGAACTCATGATGGAGGCTTCAATGCGCTGTCTAGTAGGGGAAGTGCCCTCTGTTTTGAGGAGAGAGCCCCCTTGGAAGATCGCACCACTCAGCAGAAAATCGAACATGTACTACATCAAGTCGGCACGTGGCCAGCAGCGACAAAGTTGGGCGGCGGTGTGGGTAGTTCCCACGGAGGTTCATCTGTCTCTGTGGCTGGTGCGAGTACATTATCAAGCACCAATGGAGGATCGAGTTCCTCTTCCTCAACAATGTCTTCGCTATCCAGGAGCGAAGAAGATCAAGATGAACGTCTTAGCACTGACTCATCGTCACCCGAAAAAGTTTCGACCAAGGTGTACTTGCTCCAGGAGTTGAGTGTTGCGTTGTGGAACGCAAAGAAGCGAAGTGAAAAAGGCAACTATCGGAACGATGTGGTCTTGGACCGGCGATTTCAGAGGCTAAGGCGCGAAGTCACTTTGAGTCTCGACCAGATGTCACCGGCACAACTGGTTTCCACGGCAACGAGTTTTCAACGTCTCAACTACCAGAGCGCGTCTGCTTGGAATCTAGTGGCTCGAGCAGTAGAACGCGCGGTCTTTGGAAAAGCGGGCATCAAGGTTCAGGTAGGAAAGAAGCATCAATTGCACTTGCCGCGCCCACAAAAAAGCTCGCTGTCCCACTCTCAAATATCGCTGGTCCTGTACGCAATGGCGAAAACAAACGCGCACGTCAAGGAGAAATTCTTTTATCGTATGTTCCGGCACATGCAACGCACTGCGGGAGGGTGGAACGAGTACGACCTCTGTTGGATCGTCTATTTATGAAACTACACCGACATCCATTTTTCCCGACAACATGTCTACTTGGGCCTTCCTTCTAACTCATGATACATGGGAGTATACACATTCACATGATCTATTCTTGATTCCCTTTGTCAAACTTATCGGTAGAGTTATTTTCATTGTTTTTCTACTTCTCCACCACCTCAGCCTGACTCTTTTTTCATACGTACTTATGCGCCGAAAGAAGCTGAAGTGCATAGACAGACGGAAGAGCACAGATTTCATGTGGGCGCGAATGACGCGACTGCTCTGTCAAGTATACTTGCAAAAGATTCAACAACTCAGTCCGCAGTCAATGTTACGGATTAATAAGTATGTACTAGTACAACGTATCTCATTTGTTTCTATGGCGCATTCATCTTTGCAATTGCGTTTCCACGCCAGGAGATGGCCATAAAAACTGTTTTCGTTTGCTCTCTGCGAGATTGTCCTCCCCTTGTTCTAATTTTGATCATTTTCCTGTTCGAGATGGGCAAGCTGGGCCTCTATCCGAGGCAGCTACTGATGCCCACACTGTCAAGGCTGAGCCGCATGATGCTACTCCGGAAAAAGAGCGCCCGCATTCTCGACCAAACGAAGCGGAAGGTGCAAAGGGAGCTCGATCTTTTGCGCACGCGACGACTTGAGTCAGAGGATACAGACCAACTAGCCGAGAAGGATAGGTGGAGCGCACGTGCGTCAACTTTAGATGGTAACGTAATAGACACTCAGGCGCGCGCGCAAACGCAAAGTGACCGTCTTTTGTCAGGCCCCCTCGCTCATGACGATAGGGAACAAAGTAAAAGTATGGGTCAGGAGCTTGTGCAGCTTACGAAGGAAATACCAGTGGGAGGAGATGGACCGAAAGCAGTTGGCAAGCCGCCGGGTCGAACACGAGCCTTGTCATTATCCGTGAGAGCAACAACTTCTTCCTCCTCTAGAGACAGGCGAGCCGTTACCGAGGCTCGGCTCGAAGCGTTACGCCTCAATCTACAACGGAAAAAGCTGAACGAAAATTGGAAGCCCGCTTTTTGGGTCACAGATCGCCACATTGCAAGTCTGGCTATGAGCTTGGCGAGGTTTGAGCAGTATCACGCACCGACACTGCAGATGCTCGCGGTACTCTGCATCAAGCGGGAAACGCGCCTGAGTGACCACGCGCTTGCAGCCACGATGTACAGCTTCGCTAAGCTGCGCGTTCGTCACGTGTATTTGCTGCGTTTCACAGTAGCGCGTGTACTGCGCAGCGTCGCTCCGCTTGACGTCGACGCTAGACTTTCTCAAGAAAAACAACAAAGCGTGGGTGTGGCACATTACAGCGATAATACAGATCTTGATGAACAAGCGAGCATCGTGAATGCGGAACAGGCAGCGCACGCACATGAAGGTGGAACAAATGTAGGACGCTTTACTTCGCGACTCGGTGACCGGGCAGTCATACTGCTCTCCTACGCATTTGGGCGCCTGGGTGTTGCTGACCCGGAATTGTGGGACCGTTTGGCAGGGTCTGTCGTAACGCGTTTGGATCATCACAGTCCGCAACATTTGAGTCTCTTTACAGCTGCCTGTGTGCGGGTTGGTCATTTTACGCCCTTGGCTTATGGGCATGAGACCACGAACAAAGATCACTTAGAGACGGGGAAACATGATACCGGGGGAAAGACTTATTTTCCTGAAGGAGGGCGATGGCGAACTCGAAAGGTAAAGTTCGAGCCTGTTGAGGGAGATGATGTCATACCGAAACGTCGTGCGGATCGTTTACTATGCTCTAAGCCTAAGGTTGCATCCAATAGAGGTAAGCACGAAAGAACAGCCAAAAGCAAACAATTGGAGCTGCAAGACGTGCTGGAACGGAAAAGCATAGAGAGAAGGCGTCGTCGGAAACTAAAAAAGGATCTCGCTCTTGGACGAGGTCCTTCCTCTGGTTCCTCTTTGGAAAGAGAAAAGCATTTGGAGAACCGCATCCGAAGTTTGGGTTTGAACATCGTGAAGCCGGATACCCAGTCGGGGGAGCTACGTTACTGGGTGAGAAACCAAGTCCTTGACCAGTGTTGCGGTGACAATGGCTTCGTCTATAAGATGAATCGTGAAAAGACTCGCCAGCACCAGACTAAAGAAGAACGACCTCATTCATATTTCTTTGACAAGGTACTAGAGCATTTGATGCAGCGCAGTCGGACCTGGAGAACCGATGATGCTGGAGGGATTATAGCAAGTGCCAGTGACTACGGTCAGCCAGAAGCAACAGAAAGCGCAAGGAGGGAAGACCCTATAACAAGTGCGACTGCAATCTTGAAAAACAACAATTCAAGCAAAAGAACTACAAGCAGCATGATGAAGTCGCGTCATTTGTCAGGATTCACAAGCAGACAATTGGTGAACCTCCTTGATGCAATTGCTGTTGCGAATCCAACATGTTTGGGGAATGAATTTCTTTCCGCCGCATTGATGGAATATGTTAACCAGGCAGCAGAACAGAAGCTAGTGCAGGGTCGGCCAAGCACGCAGCTAGCACGGACACTATTTGCGCTCACGCTCGAGCATGGTGACAAAATGCGTGGCATGCCGCGTTCAGTTTTGGTGCTCTTAGAAAAATATGCGGGGTCCGTGTGCCAGCTACGGCAGCCCCTGTTTCTACATGGGGGTTCATCATTGTTGGATGATTGCGAGGAAGAGGGTGCAGCAGATGCTGAAATGCAGAATCAAGGTCAGGATGAGTCGACCAATCTTGATCAGAAGCAGAAATCAAGAATGGACGCTGAACCTGAAGATCATGGCAAGCAAAAAAGCAGCTCGTCTCCCAGAGAGGAAGATGATAACCTGGATATTTTTGGGGAGGATCACATGGGTTTTTCCGATCCCACGTGCACATCTTCTCTTGGAATAGATACTTATGGTGCAGCACCAAACGCGTCGGTGTCTGTGACCGGTGCTCGGGAGACAAGGCATCAAGTGGATCTTTTCAATGCGAAGGAAAAGAGCGAAAGCAAGACTTTGAAAGACCATGGTCGCAAAGGATCTGATCGCGGCCCTGTTCGCACTTCTTGGAAAAAGCAGCAAGAGGGTGCAGCGCTGAGAAAGATTTTTGAAGATTGTCAGGTGAGCGACTATCGTTCTGACGTGCGGAAAGGGCCTTTTACCTTGGATATCGAAATCGAAGCTAGCAAGATTCCGGATCAATTAGCAGAAACTCAAGCACAAGGTCAACGAGCTGTAGAAGTACAAATCAAGGTTGGTATCGATCTTCTTAGTGAGGCAGCGTACTGTCCCCTGTCAGGCCAAGAGCTGGGACTCGTGCGCTTTAAGCAACGAATCTTATCGCGATTAAAGTACCCATATGTGCCTATAAAGCGGCGTCGTCTCTTCGCCGACGTCTCATCTGATGCAGTGTACAAATCTACCCTTTCAACTTCAAGACCAGGATCTCCAGCAAGGGCGAGGGGGAAGAATAGATGTGAAGATGCTAGCTGCACTCTTGGAACAAAAAACGATAGTGTTGTAAGGGAGCAGAGTATAATTGGAGAGCAGCAAGGTGGCAGCTGGAAAGCCAACTATGTACGGCGGCGAATACGCGAAGCCGTCAAAGACGTGAAGAAAGACCAGGGTTTTTTTGACAATTATAGAGCAAGCCGCCGGAAAAATGTAAGAGCTTAGCTCAGTCGAGGGTTGTGCTCTTGCTTACAGGAAATAACCAAGCATAGCATCAACTTCAACAAGGATGGAGGACATGGTCATCAAGTGAGCACCGACTAGAGCTAATGAATCGCAATCACGATTAATCCATTAGAATCGAAGGCATTTGCTCATACCTGGATATTCTCGTTCTTGATTATTGAAAATGAACAACCAATGCTTATTTTTTTTTCCAACGGCGCATGCCTCTTCAGCATTGCTTAGAAGTGAATTCCTCGCATAAGTGTAGTGGTAAGATCGCACGGCTACGACCACTACCAATCATGTTGTATGTATACTTGGAGGCAGTTTGACGGAATCGAAATCTTCAAGGCATAGGCGGAAAGTAGAGCAAGACGAACTTGGCACTAGGACGATGCTGGATCTTGTTGCGAAAGCATGAAGATTGATACGGATACGAAGCGCGTGAAAGCAAACTTCTTCTTCTACTTGTAAGTGAATTCGCAGCGGCAGCGATGCGTAATTGTTGAGAGCACTGCTTCTCAGTACTAGAACTCGTCGGAGTATCATTTCAAAGATCGTCTATGTCTCTCCTTTCCTAGATCCAAGGTGGGCTCACAGATGATCCACAGAAGACCAAGATCTCATTCTCAGAGAAGTCATCTCTGTATCTAAGGTAGAAGTTCTTGCATTAATATCGATTCATTTTCATTTCTTCTTGACTAAGAGGACCACCTCCCATGGATTGCGATTGTCACTCAATTTTGAGACTGAGACACCTTTAATAAAAAAAAGATAAAACCGTCTCAAAAATATACAAATCTCAACAGGCCGTATGATGTCGAGAGGGCTCAAAAATATACAAATCTCAACAGGCCGTATGTTGTCTACATCTTCTACTACTTCTTCATTTTGATTTTTGGGAATTTTGTTGGCGGCGTGTAAATTTATTCATACTTCTTTGTTCTTTTTATCGTCATCGACTTCGTCGGCGGCTTCACGTATTTGTAAGTTGTACGTGAGTTATGTGGCCTAGACATACATAGAGTTGTAGTCCACGCATACCTGTTTTCAATCATGGCGTCGTGAATTGTTTTCTTACTCCCGCTCGACGAGTGTGTGTGCGACCATCACAAAGACCCTGATTCGTACATCGATCAGATCTACAGCGACAACGTAGTCTTAACTTTTTATCGAGATTCTCTGCGACAGCGACTGCCCCAGGAAGCGACTGCGAGATGGGATCTATGGAGGAGAGCTCACGGTCGGCGGGCGATTACGCGCGATACTGGGAGAGCTTTCGCGCTGCTGTGCCACGACAGCGTGCTCGGTTGAATGATGAACACAATGCAGGATCCTCAGGAGGAACCGAACCCGCACGGCATCAAAATGGTGATGGGTCGGCCGGCGCTTCTCAGGCGAACAATCACTACGGCGGTTCCTCTTCCAGCACGAGCACTTCTGGCCGAAACAAGGCAGGCACCGGTGGCGCGATTGCTGGAGCGACAGAGTGGGATTTTTACCGACTTGGTGGAGAGGAAGATTTTTCGCTGAATCTAGATCCCGTGATATTCCTGCCACCAGAAAGTAGTTCCATCGAGGTGTTTTTTCTTCTTATTGACGCCCTCGCGGCAAAGGGCTACAAGTGTATAGCGGCACAACATCCATCCTCCATTTACACGATGGAAGACTTTGTTGCAGGCTTTGGCCTATTTCTGGACCACATCCAAGCACGGCGGTGTCACCTTTTCGGGGCGGGCTTGGGAGGCTATCTAGCGCAAACCTACGCAACCAAATCGCCGCGGAGAGTTGCGAGCCTCATGCTCTGTATTACTTGCAACGTTTCTCCTTAGATTTTTGATATCCCCCTATGCTGTTCGTTGAGGAAGTCACAGGCAGTTCCAGTTTCTCGTTGCAAGATTAAGAAAACGTGGGTGCTTCTGTTTAACTGTTTTCTTTGTACTCCGAACTGCGCTAGAAGATGTTTCGACGAGGCAAACGCCATGACTCTCAAAACTTCCTTCAGGTAATACTTTTAGCGAAACCCCTTACTCCTCGATGGGTCTCGGGACTGGCATGGTTCTTGGGCTCCTTCCAACAACAGCTCTGCAAGGTATCGTCCTCCGAAACCACATGCTTCATGCGGGCACGCCAGAAGCTGCACTGGAGGTAGAGGATGGCAATCTAGATCCAAAGCTTGGCCCATTGATGAAGAAGCGAAATTTCAATCGCCGGTGCGTGAGAGAGGCAGAAGCGTGGGTGGAAAGTACTAAAACTAAGAACTCTAACATTTTAGAAGAACGATTCAGCTTGGTTTTTAGGGTTTTTCTTTTTAGTCTTAACATTCTGCAAATGGAAATTTCGTGGAGAAAATCGAGAGAGAATTTCTCCTTATCCTTTTCAGCCATACCTATCCTTTTCAGCCATACCTATCGTATCCTTTTCAGCCATACCTATCCTTTTCAGACATATTCGAATGAATCAAATCCGAATTTTCGTAGATTCCTTGGAGCGGCTACCTCCGGAGCTTCTGACGAGCAAAGTTACCCTGGCCTATGCTGCGGCTGCACTGGGGAGGCCTAAAACAGAGGACTATCGCGTCTTGTTGCTCGAGTCGCTGGATTTTAAGGAGTACGTTCCGACAGCACCGGATGGCAGCCAGCAACTGCGGAAGCGGCACCCCTTTGCCAAGGTAATATTTGACGAATACGATGTTTCCTTCCAAAAGAAGTAGAATGAATACCCTTACACTACTAAAGTAGATCAACATCATCAAGGTTCATGCACTGACAACTTGTAGAGAATACACTTTGACATTGACTATCACTATGTCCGCGTGCGATCGCTGTCATGATTCCTTTCCTTTACCAACTACGCTTCAGGTCGCGGAACAAAAGTATGGAGGCTATTATCCTTTTCTGAGTAGCGCGGAAGAGACGACGATTTTCATCGAAGTGCATCTTCGGAATTGCGACTACTTCCCGAGCTTCGACTCGCCCATCTCCAAGCAGGTACTATCACCTAAGGACTACGTAAGTAGTTTGACTTTGCTCAAGTTTTGTAAGAATTCATCAAGATGACTTTGACTTAGGGACGCAGTGGTGTTGATGATTGATGCGATCGCACTGGGAGAAGTAACTTCGGCAGTTCTAGAAGAAGACTCAGCTTTTTGTACTCTGTCATTTTCATACCTTTTCAACATCAACAGATGGTGCGTCCTCGGGCACCGCATGCAGTGGCAGAAATGGCGCCCTTTGCGCTCTCTCCACAAGATGCGGAGGCTTCGAATAGCTCCCACGGAGGTCTCGGCGTGCCGGAAGACAGTGGAACTGGAATGGTACCTTTTGGCGGCATCACTAGTGGGTTGGGCAGCGAGCAAATAGGCAGTGGCTTTCAACATGAGGCAAAGGACGATCGTAAGCCCGATGACATGATAGTTGATGAAGAGGTTGTTCTTGATCGACCTGCTGGAGTAGAGGGAATGCACACCCGCAGTATACCTGACCACTCCACCCCTTCACCAGACGCGAGGAGAGCGAGCTCTCCAGAATTTTTCGCAATTCATAGCGAGGATGAAGCTGAGGACACCGCGCCCGTAACCTATCCCTGCTCATCTCCGACACTGGGGCCAGCAGCGACAGAGCCTGCGAGCAAAAGCAGCAGCTGTAGTACTAATGTTGAGCCACCGTCAATGGCGAAGAGCACGAGAAAAAAAGCGTGTGTGGGCCAGCTCGCCGCAGTCGGGCAGCAGTCAACGGACGACAAGGAGCGAAACGACAACATCAAGCCATCTTCTTCAGCCTCGAGCAGCAGAGAAAAACCCGTTATTATGGACGTAGCCAGCTTTATTGCAAGCGTGGAGCAAGATAGCCCTAGGGCCAGTGCGGTCCAAGCACACGCGGACCCAAGTCCAGTTCTTACCCCTCTTCCTGAGCCCATCCTAACTTCCACAGTCGAAGGCGATCCAAAGTCGAAGAGCAAAAGCAAGAAGAAAAGAGCAAAGAAATAGTAGCAGTCGCATGTTCTTTTTCATCATCATGTTCATGAGTGATATTCCTTTCTCATAGACGAAACATAGCGACGACAAAAGAAGAGAAAAAACACGTTCGGCACGGACGAGGAGCTGCGTGTTGCATTTTGTTTCAAATTTTCTTGATGGTGTTCATTAACTTACTCAATAGTTACTTAGTTGGACTTGGAGGATGTTCTTCCCTAGTACCGATATCGGATACCGTATCACGAACTGTTGCTGAATCAACGTCACACGCATCATCGGTTCACTTCGATGTGCTCCTAAATCGATGTCACGTACTTCATCGGTCCATTCTACAGTAGAATGACATGCGTTTTCCATGACGCTGATGGAGGCAACAAACACGTTCACATTCACAAGCAGGTGCAGATGAGCGAAACACTGCGGTCAGCTTACAGAAAAAAAGACACAGCAATTTGTAGGATGCATGCAAAGCAACGTCGCTCGAGTAGTGCGCTCGAAACCAAAGCATGCTTTTGCGTCTATCCTAAATCCATCATTTTGTAGATCTTTATTCCATGCTTCTTCGAATTCGAAAATCCAAATGCTGAATGGAGGCCGAATATCACTGAAAGATGTTCCATGCTGGTACTTCGCTGCAGGGTTTTCCCTGAGCGCAACCGGAGTTTGTAGGGAACGTGTTCGCGGAAAGAACGAAGGTGAAGCACAGGGAGACGGGTCTATTCGTGCATAAAAGACACAGCCCGAACGATGGTCGTCAGCGGTTGGAGGCGCGATGGCTCGCAAGTAGTCTGACTGTTGCTGACGATTCTCTCTTTGCCAACAACGAAGACGAGCAAGGGGACGTGAGCATCAGATCATGAGCATCAGATCTTGAGCATTAGATCCTAAGCATTAGATCCTAAGCATTAGATCCTAAGCATTAGATCCTAAGCATTAGATCCTGAGCATTAGATCCTAAGCATTAGATCCTGAGCATTAGATCCTGAGCAACGTGCACACACTGCGGGAGGAGTTCCGGTTCCACCGATGGGTGGGGAGTGCCGAGGTACAAGGCAATATCGAGACAGACGTGTTCAAAAAGCAGTGACCCTCGCTATAACCCGGGAAGCAACGCCACGTGCTTTTAGAAGACGCACTGCAAGAATTATGGGAGGCTTTCCTGATCACTAATTTGGTGAATTTTTCCGTGGAGCAGGCCCTCCTGGTTCATTGCGGGGATTTCGATGCAAACCGTATGCGGTCGGAAATGGCGGCCGTCGAACACACGCATCCTTTCGTGCCCTTGTTGCAAAGGTGGTGCAATTTGAAAGATTTGGCTTTCGATTACGTCCTGACCCTGAGTCGTCCAGAAGGTGCACAGCTCGACAAAATGAAGCTTGCAGATCGCCTCGGCGGAATGGTGCGCATGCAGAAGTATTTTGGTCAGGACAAGGCGGGAGGGAAGGAATTTGGAGACATCAACAATCATCACCTTGGAACCTACGACACAGAGAACATTGCCGCCTTGTTGCGTCATCTTCTGGCGACCAAGCCTGACCTCGTCTTCCGGCCAGCAGTTGTTTGCGACGCAATGCAACCGTCGGGTAACACCTTCTTGCTGATGAATCGGATAATTAACCTGAGAAGCAGGGAAATCGAAAACAAATAAATAAATGCTGTCTTCGACAAACAGTTTGAAGGCTGCACGTCGCTGCTGGTCCTGGTGAGCAACGTCCTGGACGGCGCGGCGCTCGAGCGGTTGTCAAAGTTGAGTGAGGCGAAGCCGGACGCTTTGGATGATATATTAGTCGGGGAATCGTAGTTTTTCCGGTGGCAGCAGTATGGCGACAGAGTTGATGAAGAAATAGACCTTATGCCATGGAAGATGGGTAAACAGATCACGCAATTGGTAAAAAAGAAAATGGAGCACAGAGGGCGAGGACACTCCATCAAGAACGAGAAGTGAAGAGTATTGAGTATTTCGTTCTCAAAATGAAGAATTACAACTAGTACATCCACATCAGACAATTTTTTTTCGGACGCTAATTTTTTTTTGGCTCATAGATTCTCCCTCGGGCACTTGTAAGTGTTATTCTCGAGGAAACAGGCACAGCCAACGATCGAACTGAGGTTGGCACTGATACGTGGCTTCGCGGCGCTTGAGGTTCGCACAATGATTTTCATCGACAGATATGTTCATGGTCTTTCCGTTTTGCAGACAAGTATCGGAGTACACTCCAGAGCACATCAGTTAACACAAACAAGAGTGGAATCGCGACGTTCGTCACATGACACCATGTGCAACAGCATCCATCTTTTTTTGTAATATCCTTCGGATGTTCGAGTTCGGATTCGGAAATTAATTTGAGATTCAGTTTCACTTTCAGGTTCACAAGTGTGTTCAATCCTTACTGAAGCAAGACGAGGGGGTAACGGATATTGAACATGAGAGGGAATAAAAGATAAGGGGCTCAGAAACAGAATAATTGCCTTGCTTTTTATTGAATTTGACACAACAATGTAGTAAATGTCGATTTATTTGATGCTTGATCATCCAACGCGGAATTTTCACGTTGCTCAGACATCACCCAGCGAAAGAGAGTGAGAGTTGAGCTATCATTACGCGGTTGTTTTTCACCTTTTTCTCACGCTTTGCACTCCTCCTCCTGACGTCTTCTTTTTTGCCTCCTCCTCCGCTTTTCGAGCTAAATAGCGTTCTTTTGCGCTCAGCGCCTTATCCTTTCTCGCTGCCTGTTCGCGCGCAGCAGCCTGCACCTTCGTTTCTTTTTGACTCTTTTCCCCCTCTTTTGCTGGTGCTACCTCGCCCACCAATCGGGAGAGATCCACCATCTCCAATCTTGGCAAGAGATGAGAGATCCATTCTTGTTGAATCGGTGAGACATTGCGCATGGTGCCTGCGCCAGCGCCTGCCTGGCCCGCGAGTTCCGTGTACAGCAGCCACTCTGGCAAATTGGCCTCATCAATGGCTGCGCCAGGTTCGGGCCGCACCGGCAAAGATTCCGTTACTGTGAGCCAGCCCTGCTGACTTCCCATCAAGCGGCAAGTCTGCATGTAGAAGCCCTCGCAGAGAGCGCGGCGTAGGCGGACCGACATCGGAAGCGAATTGGGGTCGCCGTCGTCCGCTCCACCACCGTTTGCTCCGTTGCCTCGGCTTGACGATGAGGCGTTTTTCGACGACCCTCCTTGCGGCCCGAATGTCGGAGAGGACGCTGCTGCGGGTCCAGAGGATGACATGATGTTGCCGGTTGCGGAAGCCTTTCCTCTCTGCTGCATCTGGATGTCCAACTGCGAGCGGATGTCGGAGGCTTGACGAAGGGAACGAAAGTGGAGGCAGTTGTCTTGGCACCAATCTCGTGTGTTGTGCCCTGCGGCGCCCCACTTCTGGAAGATGCGCACGAGAGAGTAGTGGTCACCTACCGTGGTGTCGCAGAGGTTGGCGTGGCACATGGCCGCCTTTTTGAACGCTTCTTCGTTCGCGCGCGGCGGCCGATACCAGATCGACTCGGCCGAGAGAATGCTCACCAACGTGACCATGTCCGGGCCGCAATGGAGTCGCTCCGCTGCAATCAGGCACCGCGCAAACGTTGGCTCGAGGGGGTACTCGGACATGGAGAGCCCGTCTTCTGTGATCTTTCCGTCCGCATCTATCGCGCCGAGCAAATAGAGCTGCCTCAGCGCTTGTAAAATGTTGTAACGCGATGGGCGCTCCATGAAATCAAATGTCAGAATGTTGCCAACTCCCATAGCCTTCATCTGCAAGCAGACTGAAGCCAGATTAGACCTCAGAATTTCGGGAGTTGTTGCGTCCTTGAACCGGGATCGAAACATCTCCTCAGTGTAGAGGCGATAGCACTTGCCTTTCTGCGTTCGTCCTGCGCGACCCGCGCGTTGTGTCGCCTGCACGCGGCTCACGTTCACAACTACCAGTTGTTCCATTCCTGTTTTCGGGTTGAACTCTTTCTGCTTCACTACCCCAGAATCGATCACAAAACCAATGCCATCAACCGTAACACTCGTTTCTGCGATGTTCGTCGAGAAAATGATCTTGCGCAGCTGTGAACTATCCACCGTATCAAACGCTTTTCGTTGATCCTCCGTGGAAAGCGACCCGTAGAGTGGCAAAATTAAACAATCTGCGACGTTGGCGTCACTGCCCTTCTGCGCCAGCAGCTGTTGTAGTTTGGACAGCGCGAGGGTGCACGCTTGTTCGCACTCTTCCATGCCCGTCAGAAAAGCAAGAATGTGACCTCGTTTCTCCCGCAAGTGCAAGTTTAACGCGCAGTTCACCGCGGCTTCTACACGCTTGTTGTGCGTCACAGGTTGGTCGTAATACACCTCGATAGGGTAACTACGTCCAGGACAACTGCAGACGGGTGCGCGGTTGAAGTAGTTCGAAAATTGATCACCGTCTAGTGTTGCTGACATTACCACCACCTTCAGCGGGCGGGGTGCAGGTTTACTCGTCGTAAGGGTCTTGTCTTCGCCAGGAACTAGCTCTACCGCACCGGAGGATGAGCTTCCTCGCAGGCCTTTAAGCTGCTCCTCGCGCCATTCCTTGTAGGCATTGTTCCGCGCAATGCATGCGTTTTTGACAAACGCGAATAGCACATCAGTAGCCAGCGTGCGCTCGTGTGCTTCATCCAAAATGATCACATCGTAGTGATTCATTGGGTCACGGTCCCGCAGATATTTTCTCATCCCCTTGTCGTCATCGGCACCTGCTTTGCCACTATTCTTCTCCTCATCTTTACCCTTTTTGTCAGTTGTAAGTGCGGCCAAGGATGCAGCAGTGGCAATTGAAGGTCCGCCGCGGCCCCCACCGCCTGAAGAGGGCCCTCCAAGGCCACCTCCTGGCGTTCCGTCGCCAAGGAACGCACGTAGCAGACAGCCATCCGTCATGTAGCGCAAATTCGTGCGTGCACTAGAAGAGTCGTCAAAGCGGATGGTGTAACCCACCTCCTCACCGAGGATGAGGCCGCGTTCCTCTGCCACGCGCTTTGCCACAGAAATTGCAGCGACTCGCCGCGGCTGCGTAATCGCGATGCGCGAACCGAAGCGCCCACTGTCCAGCAGAAACTGTGGAATCTGCGTCGTCTTACCGCTACCCGTCTCTGCCACGACAATGAGAAAATCGTGGTTCGACAGCGCGTCTAAGATTCGGGAACGGAAGTCGTAGATGGGCAGTCCGTACGCGAACTTGCGCAGTTTAGTACTCATCTCGCGCCGGTTCTTCGCGTCCTCCTCCTGCTGCTTTTGACGTGCCTCGCGCTCTCTTTGCGCAATCTCCTCTTGCTCCTTCTGTAGTGCTTCCAGCTCCCTGTCTGATAGTTGGTGAAGCTTCTTCCCCCCGAACCTGCGTTGCAGGAGCTCGTACGCCACATCCCTGGACTTAAAAATGCCATCCTGCAGCAAGTGGTTGCGGAAAGGATTGTTATTTTGCGCGGTGGTTGGTGCGCCCGCTCTGGAAGCATACGGCGCCACGAAAGCACCACTCGTTGGGAGTGCAGCACCTGCTCCTGATAGTTGTTGATTTGTAGATGAAGAAGAAGCGCCTCCAGCCGCAGCGTTTCCGACAACTCTCGAAGCTGGACGCTGGTATTGGAAATTGTGCTTCTGTCGATGTTGATCGGCCCTGCCAGGACCATCGTGGGCTGTTTGCTCATCTCCTTTCCTTGCCTGCGGTCCCTGCTCCGCTCCACCAGACATTTCCACATCGCCAGGCACGTCCTTACCATTGTCTTTGATGTCAGAAGATGACATTTTTTTCTCTGCCTTCATCTCGCAAGAACAGCTGAATGGACGAGTAGTCTGATGTCCTTGTCGTGAATAGACTAGAAGTACATGGACACTCGTCCAAATTAATTCGGTTTCAGGGGAAGACAAAGACTAAAAAGCAATCATGTCATGATCGAGCAAATTTATCTTTGCAAATGATATCGTGGAATACAGCAAGGGAAATCGAATTATTAATACGAGATCACTGAAAGATGATCATGATGTCGGTAAAAAACTAATAGTAACTAAGGCTATCTGAAATTAAATGCTTCCTTTCTTCAACCTATGAATGTATAATGTCGCCCTGAATCCGAACAAGCCAAGAAGTATTGCATCTGCATGGAATTGGGAATTTAGAGCTTTGTTGGAAATAAATAGAAAAGAGGAAGACCAGTCAAAGCACCGACAAAAGTTGACGCAGTCGTGCTGAAGTAACAGAAACAAGAAATCACTGATCACCTTGCGTGTAGTACGCCGTCCAGCTCTTTCTTCTGATCACGTACAGGAACCTGCTTTTTTTACAACATTCTGATTAATCAATTTAAAGTGTTTTTGATAATTCTTGTTCCCAGCACATACATACTTGCGAATGACAATGAAGAAGGTAAACCGTGAAAACTGCGATTCTAATTCCTCTGTGATATCAAAACACTAGCGGGTGCGCCACCTTCACCACGTGTTGTCTCTGTGCCGGACTCCAGCTACAGGCAGAGTGCTGTACGATAATGACTGAGCATGTTGCCGATCAACTTTTCATTCACGCTGAACACTTAGCAGTGTCGAGGATATTTACTGAAGTTAACCAGGATCAATGGTGTACCGAAGTACTGACGGGTGAACGACCAGCCTGTAATATTCGGATTATTTGACAAGTGAAAAGGTTAGCGGAACATGGCCCTGGGTCATCTTTGTTACTCTAGCTTAATCTACAAGTACAACTCCAAGCAACTCCACTCGCGGATGGTGAAATTTCCTTTCCTCGCCGATTTTTATGCTTATGAAGAAAAGTTGCCAGTTGGCGGGTATAATGCCATGACATTGGAGGAACCATGATCTCGTCCGTTGATTGCCGCTGTAACATGCTTTCGTACAGCCGAGCTGTACTAACATACTTTCTACTTGTACTTCTTCGAAGCTATTGTTCACAACATCAACAACATACAACAGGAACAGTCCGTCTCCTCTCAATACTCAATGAAGGGGAGCCAACATTTTAAATAGGGCTGCCCACAACTTCTTCTACATATCCATTTCATCAAAAAGTTTGTCGATTTCCGTGTTGCTTGTGGTGCTCTTCGACGTTTGCTCACCAGCTGGAGCTGTTGTATCCACCAGAAAAGGATCTTGCTCTCCTGGAAGGACTGCAGCCGGTGCAGCAGTTGTTCCTGTATCGATCAAAAGCTCATCCTTCTTCACGATTTCGAACTCCGCACTAGAATGGCCTCGGGAGTTGTTGTCTCGCTCCCGCAACTCAGCTTCCAATTGCCTCGTTCTGTTAGCGAGGCTGTCAATTTCTCCTTGCAGTCGTTGAATTTCCGCCTCGTAGGCACTACTCTTCGAGGCTGACTCCGTTTCCTGAAGGAGTGAAGAAGAAGATGTATGGATGATGCTTGCTTTGTGCTTGGTGTAAGAGTAAACAGCAGAGTTGAGTTGATCATAGAAGAGAAAGAGATAGACTCATCGGAAGCAGATGAAAATAGAAAGATCACATGCCGGGGCCTGCGCCTGGGCCTGGCTTTATCATGATAAGGCGAACAAGAAAGTTTTCTTCTTCAATGGTACTTTGTCATTGATGTCTGTCACCGACCTACGACAAAAGGGCAAAGAGTCCTGTAAGTCTATTCTAAGTCTAACCTTTGCTTGAAGCGCTTCCATTTCACCGCGCAGTTGCTGCTCAGTTTCAGTCATCGCTGCAAATCTATCTCGCGCCTGCTTTCTAAAATCGTCCAACGTTGCCTCATACTCTTCTCGCACTGCTGCAACTCAGGAGGAGGAGAAAGTGACGTCAACGTGGCCGAAGATGATGAAAAAATTAAGTAAAAGTATGTACTAAATCCTTGTTGAGTTCTTGTCGGTCTTAATAGATGATGTACAACTGATACAGTTACAGACACCGAAACGTTCTTTTGCTGGCTCTTCATGTTCAAGTGTTAATGTTTACTTACCTTCCGCGGCGCTCGACCCCTCGCCCTCCGCAGGTTGTCCAGTATCGCCTCGCGAGCTTGCACTTGCCGTCAGGTCTTGGTTTTGCTGCGTGAGTTCGGCAATTTTTTCCCGGGCCATATTCTTGATGTCTTCAATTTCCTTGTCCTTTTGCTCGCGGACGAGGCGGGTTTGCTCCTCTGCCTCAACGCGCATGTTATGCTCGGCGACGTCAGCTGCTTCTTTGGCCGCCTGTAACGCCTGTTCTGCATTCGTTTTAGATTCTGTCGCGGCAACTATGTCCTTCTCCAACGTACTGCGTAGTGTTGTCAACGCTTCCTCATTGCGCTTCTTCTCCGCCGCCAGTGCTGCTTCGGCCTGTTGCGCTTGCGTCTGCGCCTGCTCGTTGCTGGACTGCGCTTGAGTCCGTGTTGCTGCTAAGTCGGCCTGCACCTTCTCCAGCTCGAGCTGAAGCTTCTGTAGCTGCTGCTGCGTCGCTGCGACGCGCTCCGTTTCTTGCGTCACTTGTGCCCGAGCTGTCCCGAGTGCCGTTTCGTAGGCCGTTTTCATCTCGGTCATCTTCGCGATAGCCTGCTTTTGCAACGTATCCTTCGCGGTGCGCGCCTGCTCCGCACTGGATTCCAGCTCTTGTTGCAGCTCCGCCACGCGCTTTTCTAGAGATGCGACCTGAAGTTCGAGCTCCCCAACGCGACCTGCGCTCTCTTGCTTCGCAGCAGAAGCGCCTGCTTGGGCAGCTGCCGAAGAACTTCCGTTGAGCAGGTCGGTGCTCGGCCCCTCTGGTGCAGCAGTCGGCGACTTTGGTGCACTACTCGTTTCCGCCACATCGCTCGACGTTGAGGCAGTGGTGGTGCCTCCAGCAGAGCCCTTTCCTTCCGCCGCGACCTCAGCGCATCGAACTGTAAACTTCGCTTCGATTTCGTGTCTCAGTTTTTCATCCGCGCTTGCCGCACTTGCGGCCTCCTTCACTTTGCGTTCTAGTACCTCAAGTTTCGCTGCGCTGGCTGCTCTCATAGTTTCAAGCTCTTTCGCGTGCGCCGCCTTCAGCTCCGCCAGTGCTTCATTTTCCTTGTTTACCTCATTTCCAGCGGATGAGGAGGCTGTGGCGGATCCCACTGAAGCTTCCTGCAGCTTCTGTTGTGCTTCCTGTAGTTTCGCATTCAGATCCTGTATGCGCGCCTTTGCTTGGGTCTTCAGGTGCTCCACACCCGCGATCATCTGCCGTCTCTCCTCCTCCAAAGCATCGCGCTGATCCTCCGCTTGACGTTTTTCTTCTACGAGATTATCCACACGCTTTCTCCACGGTTGTATTTCACTCTCCAGTGCTGAGGCAAGCTGTAGTAGTGTAGATGCAAAGAAGCCGTCAAACTCAAATTCATTCAAGATACAGTAAAGATACAAGAAAAAGTGGAAGTAGTTGCTGATAGATTTCTTGCACTTGATGTGCTTGTGTAGTGTTTTCGCTCTTTGCGATTATACTTATAGGGCTGAGTCGTTGAATTTTTATGTACCAGAGGAACAAGTACAAGAACGCTTTTAGAATTAGAGTAACATTCTTAAGCAGAACCAGAAGGTCGTGGAAAAATCAAAGAAGTTAAAGTTTCGAGTAGATTCTTACGTCGGTAGCAGCGGCTGAGACGTCTCCGCTTGCACCCAAATTCGCCGCAGCGGCCAGCTGCTCGTCGTCGTCTTCGCCAAATAGAGAGTTTGTTTTCTTCACACTCTCAAAAAGTTGCTTGTTTTGGAGCTTGCTGATTTGCGTGCGCAATTGCGAGATTTGTTGAGCACTTTGGTCTTTATTGAGGGTGAGGTCCTCTACCGTGCGTTGGGCTAACTTTTTCTCGCGCTGTGCTGCCGCTGCTTGAGCGCCTTGCTCTTGCAAACTCTGGTTCAGAGATTGAATCTTCTCGTTCAACTCGTTCACCTTCACCCTCGCCTTTTCCTTGAGTAGCGCGAATTGTTCTTCCCAATTAACGGACGACCCCGCGCCACCGGACACCGCCATAGAGGGAGGCGGAACTACTCCGCCAGATGAACTAAGAGGTTGTTGAAGATGTTGCGGGTTCACGGCTCCTACCATTGCTGGAGCAACTGCCGCAGTTCTAGGAGGAAAGAGGGGGCCCTGAATGCTGCTGATGTGAACCGTGCTCGGCTCACGGGGTTGCAGCGGACCTGCCAGTGGGTTGGGTTTGGGCTGTGCACTTGTGGCGGGTGTTGGGAACAGCGGGGTTGCTGCGCTTGCCGGGGTTGCCGTAGCGGTACTCACTGTTAAGGCGCCGCCGAAGAGAGGTGTTGGCGTTGTTGCCATTGGGTGGGCTCCCCCCGCTGGTGTTATGCCACCAAGGGTCTGCTGTGGGGGTGCGGTGGCCAGGTTCGGCGTACTAGAAAGGCTGTCGGGCGTCGATTTCGGCGTTGCCGCGAGATAAGCCTGTGGAAGAATCTGCAAGCCCACACTGTGCTTTTTCGTCGTGTCCACTTCGTAGCGAATATGCTTTGCCATCTTCATCAAAGGCTCCACATCTACCTGCGGGTACTTCATCAGCCGAGAAAGGCAACCGCTTTCGTCGCTGGAGAGCAATTCCGTCTTCACGTATCGCAGCATCGCTACGGCTATGTAGCTGCCCAGCTCAAAGTCGTGCTTCTCGCCGTTCAGAAACGAGTCCTGGAATATCTCAGCCCACAGGTCGAGCGAGTCCTCTACCGAGAATTCGCGGCAGAAAAGCAACCGGATCCAGCGAAGAAGAAACACTTGTGCTGGGACGCAATAGGTCTCGACGAGCAGACGGTGGAGCTCAGGCTCCGCTTTTTTCAGCAACGTTTCCATGATGTGGTTGCATTTCCCGAGAATTACCGTTTTCGGGTTTTCCACCTCGACCTGGGGTGGCTTATGCGGTTCTTCAAACGGCAACTCCAAGGGGCCTCGAGGAGAAGCCACGGCTTTAGTCGTGTACACGGGAGCCTGCACTTCAAACAGAGGTGTGAAGCCGTGCGCCATTAGCGCCCGAAATAGGATGAAGCAGTCCGCCTCGCGGTGCTCTGCACTTCCAAACTCGTGCAAAAATGCTAGCATTGTGCTGCTACTTCTCGGTGACGTCGGTGCTGCGGGTGTGCTGCTGTCACAAAAAAGAGAGTCATGAGTTACCTGGTACGCGATGGCACAGAGCTCGTTCATGCCCTGTCGGTAGCTCTCGGCGGCTTTTTTCGAGGGGTTAAACTGCTTGCACCAGTTGTACAAAACTTGCTGCAAGACGCTGCGAACCTCTTTGCGACAGAAAAGCTCCCTATCACTGTACGTTCTCTCTACGTCCTTGGATATTTCCTGCATCAACTCCTCATCCTCGGACGCCTGTTCCCAGGGATTGTCCTCGGCTTTGGACAACGGGTTGAACTTCGTTGGGTTCTTTTGCGCACGCTTCAACGTCGTGGTCAGGTCAATTTTGTACTGCTCTTTGATAACTGCGTATTCTGCCCGCAGCTTTCGAAGACGTTCAAGCCACAAGTTCGTCGTTACCGTCTTGTTGTTAGGTGACGACGGTGAAGCTGTAGACGAGGCGGTTGTATTAGATTCTGCACCTCCAGCTGCTGAAGTGGTGCTTTCCGCCAGCTTGTGCTTAGCGAAAAAAGCCGGTGGAACCACATTAAGGCACAGTAGCCATTCGAGTTTCTTTACGCTCCGTTTGCAACGCGTCATGACCGCGGGAGTGAGTTCTCGGCCAAAAATTTCCGCATACGCCAAGATTTTGGCTCCATCGACAGTCGGTGACACGTAGCTCATGTCTGTCTGTGAGGCGGCTCCAGCTGTCGAAAGCTGTGCTTTTCGCTCCTCAGCACTGTAGTACACTTCGCCGAGCGGTGCGTAGGGAGACTTGTTAAAGGTATCCAGCGACAGGCTGACATCGCCAGGCCGTGTGCCGCTGGATGTGGCACCATCGGAGCCTAACTGCACTCCTCCAGCATTGGACGATGAAGCCGAAGGCGTTGAGCTCGGAAAAAGAAATGCGGCAGCCTGCCTGCCATTTGCACCAAGAGGGTCCATTGCCATCGTGAAATCTTGTTTTTGACGAATGCAGCCTATCTAACTAAGTACATATACTAAAAAATGTGGAGTTGATTTTGCTATTGACTTTCATCTTCATTCGAAAATGTCAAGCTGGACTTTGTTACACGTCTTCCTACGGGATGAGTCGTGATGCTGATGCCGTTGGCTTTTTTGTTTCTACGTACTTCTCTGCTCGTCTTTATGCATGATGGAATGAAGATAAAAGTTTCGAATGAAGCACTTGTTTCTGATCATATTTACACCTACACGTCCCAACGTGATCTTCTTTGTCTTCCTTGGACTGAATGCTAAAAATGCACAGTGAAGGCTTTGGCTTAATCCATACACTAGTACTTCATGACCAACGTTAACAAAATAAGAAGCCTCATTCAAAAATACATGCTCCACTACAATGAGCAGGGGCACAGGCGAGGTGAAAGTCGTAAACGCATCTGAAAAACTATGAATGTGTCATCAACAGTGCCAGGACTCGAACTCTCGAAAAATTCCGATCCTATCTAGAACGCCTCGTCTCTCCCCTATTTTTACCCTCTGCTGATGCTGCTCATGGCAGCGCAAAATGCCCTTCCTAACAAGAAACACCGACTCACCTGTTGGTTGGAGAATGTTGGTTGGAGAAGCTGGAGCCATCACTTACAAGAATGGGGATAAGCAGTAGCAGTGCTAAAACGCTGCATGAAAATTCAAATTATTTCCGTATCTATAATGCTTCTATGTTGTCAGCTGCGTGTTTGCCATAGTCGTGATATCTTACGTATCAAGCTGTCAACCTCAACCATGACCATCTACCATCAGCATAGCCACTGTTGTTGTTCATTACCTTCTTCAATATACAAGGTCCAGTCCGTTTTTCGAAGCATTCGAATTCATGAAGAAGTTGTTAAAAGACATCGCTTGCGGAAGGCTGCGTATCTGCAGTTAGATTGCTGTGTAAGTATATTCCATTGTCATTTTCTTGCATTTTTCGTTGTCGGAATTTGTTTGTCGTTGTCTGTTTCTGTTAAAACTTCTGAAGATTCCTAGTCGCTCGTAATTAAGGCAATATCAAAACAAGGAATGATCGTGGTCGACAAAATCTTCGCCGCTGACTGTGTTGATGATAATAAACGCATTTCTTTGTTACATTCAAGTTCATAATTCTTAGAAGCAGTAGGCTCGATGCACACACAGGATCGCATCCAACTCCACATCCGCGCAGAAGTGAATTGTAAAATGAGCGAGAGCGTGATGAGCCCAATATGGACGAGGTTCACTAAAAATGTTCATCGTCGTGATGTGTGCTCACTCAGCAACCGCACCCAGTCTGATAGTAGATACTCAGGTTTTCCCACTCCCGCATGCTGACTAGTAGGTGCCTCGAACGGCTGCTGAGTCGACAGTACTGGCTCGCTGGACGAAGCGTTTCGATGCGTAAGCCCCATGCTCCCGAAATATGAATGTGTGTACGTCCAACAACGTGCGCAACCGAGGTTGCGTCCTTTCCCTCCAGGTACCTAGACTTGCCGCTTCGCGCTCGCTTCGTGCCGCCATCTGGTCATCCGCGATGCCGACGTTTGGCGTCGTGTGGAACGAAAGTTTTAGTGGATTGTTATTTTTGTTCGTCATATCTGAATCCGGAACTTCGACATTTTCCTCTACTGCCTGTCCAGCATCGTTCCCGTTCGCTTGTCTGAGTTCACCATTTGCTCCGGCTTCTACTCTACCATTGATGTGCCACGGTATTGAAAGCACATGCCGAAAGATTGCTTCAGTTCGGGGCATGTGAAATGCGGAAGTGAAGACAGCGATTTGCAGCCGCCCAAACTGTCTCTGCAATGCCTCTACGTGTACCACTCGAAGAAAAAACGCATTACCAATGGTATCGAGACTTGCTCCCTCTTCGAGAATCATACTCGGCGAAGCTTAGACCAACCAACATATATTTTTATCAGGTCCCATATTCCGTGTCAATGCTAGACGAGCTAGATAGCTAGTATCAGATCAATTTCCAAAGAGAGGAAGATCATCTTCGCAGTGCATGTGCGTGATGAGATCAACACATAGAAAAGATAAGAGTGATACGAAGCTGTTGATTATCTATCAAAAAACAAAAAGATGATCCATGCATAAGGGATGTTGTGTTTTTCAATCAGGTATTTCGCAGCTGCTCCTGCTTCACTGAGGGAGTTTCCTTCGCTGGTCACCGGAATCGGTTTGTGCGGCGTGCCCAACGATAAGGTTAGGAAACGATAACTCATCGTCGTGACGATATCATCCTCTCCGCTCCTGATCTTGCGTCCGTCAGTATCTTCAAGACAAAGCAGCGAGTTCTCGTGTGCGTATGTTGCCGCGGCATCAAGTCGTGCTTTGGTCCATGGTGCAGGCTCTTCATCAACAATGCCACCGCCTGGAATGACGAGAAGGTGCATAAAGGTACCGTCTTCGAGGGGTGCGTCCTCATGTTTTCCGGCGACGAGTGTAGTTTCCACGGCCAAAGACATGATAAAGCAGATCTTGAAAACAAGAACGAGCAGAAAGCGAGGATGTGAAGGAAAAAACCTGGAGACGTCCCGAAGGTGGGCCAAGCCTATCGACTGTTTTATCATGATTGTGTTCCTTTCGTGGACATGAGATAAAATCACAAAAAGCGATATTTTCTTGTGTTTGAAGGACATGATGTCCATGTCGGTTATCTACTACTTCTTGCAACAAAAATCTATAGGTCTCGCCTGACTAACAACTCTCAATACGCGCTCTGGTTCTTGAAAATTTTTTGATGCAGACCATGGCAACTTCTTTTATCTTCTTGTTGATTTGCTAATGCTATTGCTGTCCCTGCCGCATGCAAGATAACCCTATTTCTAAACACCAAGAATAGAAATCAAGTTCAACAGTCGTACTCTCTCTCTCTCTGCTCTCTCTTTCTTGCGACCATGTTCAGACGTAACACGCTCACGCAGACGTTCTCGTTCATGTAGCTACACTACTTACGTACTTGTTGTCGTTACTCTCTGCACAGGTTTCTTTGCAAGTACAACTGCACTGATTACAAATTTGAAGATTTGTTACTACATGACGAGTAGCCACGGCCGGAACCGCGTTCGTTGGCGAATTTCGAGTCGGAGAACACTTGTAGCAATTAAGAGCACGTATTGCAAACACGGGTGGCGGCGCGGCGCCTGAAATATCTACTTATGGTGCAGCGGTGCGTGGTTGCTGCATATAAATGAGGTGTCGTAACAAGAGTTTAAAAGGACGTGGTTCTTCGAATGTGGGGTTGGACCAAATCAGGCAAAGAAGTGGCACTCAAGTGGTGTGCCATGATCAATAGCGGTAAGTGCAGCGGATGCTTGTTGTTGTTTGTTCTTTTGCGCACGTTATTCTTATTTGCTTTCATGATCTCCTACTACAACTGTGTTTGCGTCTAAAGGAACTTTTCTGATACAACAAAAAAAACAACCGCTGGTTTTTATGCAGCGCCTTTCGCTGCCTGTTCCATCTCCATGCGTTTTTCGAGTGCCTGCTTTTTTGTTTCCTCCGCTAGTTCCGCAGTGTCCACATCTGATGGGTTCAGGTGGACGTAGCGAAGTACAGAACCCCTAATGAAGCAGTTTTTCAACGATAGCAAGTAGGGAAACTTCTCCGGATCACTGCAGCTCACATTGTTTAGCCGTATGTTCAGAAATTGGTCCACCGCGACTATCTTTCCTTTCACCTGCAGATCGTTCTTCAGCTCCACGGTCACCTCAGCCTGTTGCTCCGCCAGCTTGAGGAAATACTTGTAGAACAACATCGTTTCGTACTTGTAGCTGCTCCTTTATTCTTGTTTTAGAAGTACTTGTTTATGATTGATGATTCTGGAAAAACTAGTTTATTTTTTGATGTTGACATCAGTATTACACCACACAAAGCTCATTCATCAATCATTGACTTTGACATGATTCCGTCTTACGAGCTTAGTTATTTTTCACCTGGATGGTATAGGTATTGGGTAAGTATAAAAAGATGAATAGAATGTGATGAACCACTTATGATTCTGTGGCTATCTTAGAGTACTAAGCACTTGTAAAAGACCACAAGGTTGTTCTTGTAGAACGCGTAAAGGACGACTAGCACACGTCTTCTCCTACCAGCATCACATGAAGGATTTTCTTCTATTTCGTTCATTTGACCACCTTCCAAAATATCAAGAAGTTTGGATTGGCATTCTTGGGAGCAAATTAGAATTCATACTCTTCAACAATCAAAATAACTGCTTGAGAATGGAATCGAGATCATTTTGCTGAAGATATTATTTCCATGACCATGCGGCAGCGGCGAATCCAACATCAAGAAGATGAAATTGAAACCTCAAGGGATTTTGACGGATCAAGGAATCGCGGATATAAAGATCGACACGGACATACTCAGTAGAAGATGACACTGCTTTACTTTGATCTCAAATCATCCAAAAATAACGAGGATCATCCCCATCACTTAATATTGCCGACTACTGGATGAAGTGGAAGAGCACAACATGAACATGGTATCAATAGAATAACTTCTGTTCCACGTCCAAAATAGCAAGCGACTCGACCGTATCGACCGGAAAAAAATCCTCATCCTCAGATCTTGCTGCAATTAAAAAAAATAAATTCAAGCGGGAACTCCGCAGAATAGGTGTGGCGATAAGCAGCGAGCCCGAAAGCGCTTCATCACGCCCGTCCGCTTGGGCTGTTGGCGTGTGGGGCCGTCGGTGGTGGGCTAGAATTTGACGAGAAGCCAGACGCACCCAAGGGGCTTGCCTGGCCAGTCTCTCGAGATCGTCCCCTGACGAAGATGGCTGCAGCCTCACCTTCGGCGCCTTTCCGCGTATTAATATGCGGGAGAGGGGTCACGCGGTGGCCCTGAGAGGCTGCGCAACAAGGTGGGCAGCCAAAGCATAGGCCGCGGATGGCGCGCGCCGGGTTGTGGCGCAGCGTAGCCGCGGCAGAGCAGTGGTAGGTGGGCGCGCTGCGGCTGCAAGGTTCTGCCCTTTGCGTTGGTCTGTGGGTGTCATGCAAAGTCTGAGGATCTTTCTCGGATCGCTCCAAGATGCGCGACATAAAAGTGCCTTTTTGTGGCACATTTGTCGGAGATTCGCGGAGCCCTCCTCTGAGGCTTAGGCCCACGAGGCTCCGCGAAAACTCCTCAGGTTTTGTGTGCCAAAAAGGTCCCACTCTAGGACACAAAGAAAAAAGTTAGCTGACCCCTTGACCTTCCTCTTTTTGCTCATTTCTTCAGCAAATCCTCTGACGGCGATCGCCAAGACGCCATGGCCGCCAGATGAGTAAACCTTGAAACGCCAACAGTGAGGACGGCGTCGGGCGTTTGTTGTTCCATGCCGTGCCGAGGAGGGGAGGGGGGGTGGCTGAGTCGAGTGGACCCGGATCGGGCGAAGGCGTTTTCCACCGTAGTGCCCGACCGTGGGGCCCACGGCATGAACGAAGTGGCCCCGCAGGCTTTGACGCACAGCAGACTTCGCGCCGGCCTGCTGCGCTGCCTCTCGTGTGCTCGCTTTCTTTGGCTTTGTGCCTTAAGGCAGCCAGGGAACCTTGTCCAGCGAGCTGCAGAAGCAACGGCTTCGCCCTTCGCTGGCTCAATAGCCCGGCTACCTGGACCGCCTTGCGCTATCTAGCTTCAACACCTGGCGGTAATTTAATTCGCAGCAACAGGATCTGAGGACGAGGATTTTTTTTCCTTTGATAGACCGTGCAAGAAAATGGTTGTGCACGGGCACACTGAGGAGGACCCTTGTGCATGCGGGCTGTGCCCATCATTTGAAACCAGTATGTCTAAGACCAAGATCAAGGCACATGTGTGAATGTCCAATTTTGATTCATTGCTTCAACTTTATTCTCTTTTGCTACACCGGCGTCTCGCGTCGACCAAACATTGAATTTGAAAGCATCAACATCATATCATTTGACATCATCCATCCTAGAATCTTCACAAATATGATTTACTTCTACAACTGTGTCGAGCTTTCTGGCTACAACGCTCCGTCATTGACGGCTTTTTGCAACATTTACATGATGTACCTGGTCATGATAGAAATAGTTGTACATCTACTGGCTGCATGCACGACATGGATGTTATCGTAGTTCTTCTAGCCGGAGCACGCTTTCTATTTTTTTGATTCATTCGATGTAGCAGACAAGAATAGATTGCACACTGACTTCTACGATAAATGTCAATCAATGAAGCCGGATGTGACAGAGAGCGAGAGGTAATACATGTACAAAAAAACCGTCAAAAGCGAAGTAGCTTGAGCAGATGGATGTCTCCCAATGATCAACATCATCCATATTTTCTCGTTCTGCTGCATTTATACATGTAGGAAACTACCACATGGTCATGGGTTGAGAAAATAAAGAAAACAACAGCACGACTAGACGTTTTCAAGAGAGATATAATCGCTGTTTCCAATTGTGCAGACAGAGAAATAATTTCATATGGATGCTCCCATCAAGAATCGTGAGACAAGAACCTGAGCCATCTCGTCTATAATTTTTGTTTTCATTTCAATTTCTATACCACAAACAGTAACAGGGTCTCTAAACTCTATGTGTTTATCATGATTCATGAGCATGAAAGTTGTGCAAAAAGAGAAGTAGAAGATCAGTTCGCACTACTACCTTGGCGTTCTTAGATATAGAGACAGAGTAGTTCGTAGCACGCGCGGCGCCTGGAGTGCATGGAGTAGCATGGAGCGCATGGAGCAGACGCAGCATCGCCACGCATGGAGTGCATGGGGCACGAACAAGCCCTCGGCCCACCCGGGAATGGGTGGGTCGGGGGCTGTAGAATTCGGGGTCGGTTGATCGGCTAGACTGGCGCCGCGGGAGCGCTGCCTTGTGCGTAATGCGGAGGCGTGATGTAACTGGCGGCGCTGCAGCAAGCTGATTTGTTGCGCGCCCCAAGGCTCCGGCCCGCGAGTGAGTGGGCTCGGAGATGTAGCAGTTGGCTCGGGGGCTGGCGGTCTGGATGCTTGAAGTTCCCGCCTGGGGTGCCGAGCTGTAGGCGTGTGGGCTCTGACGAAGGGGCGCCCAAGGGGCGCACCGCAAAAATTTTCACGCATGGAACGCATGGAGCACCTCCCCCATGCAGCTACATGCGATCCATGCTCTCCATGCCATGCGAGCTGCCAAACCTTAAAAATTATTCTGTAGAGAGATTGCGATCGAGGAAGCTACTTAAATTTTTTAGGAGGTGAAGAAGAGGAGAGGGGCGTGATAGTGCGAGAAGAGTGGTGTTTTTGTATTTGTAAAAGAGATTAATTTGATCATATCTCGTCTGTGCTTAGAACTACAACTACGTCTCAAGGCTGCGGCGCAACCGCTAGATTTCTAGTGTTCTTTAATCATCCCTTAACTGCTGAGTGAAGCGCGTACAACTCCCTTTTGGACTGTCAAACGCCTTGATGAACGTGTGGCAATTTTCATCCTGCAGATGGCTTCGCTCCTCCTCAGCTTCTTTCAGTTGTTGGGCGCCCTCATGGTCGCCGCTCAGGCGCATTCGCCACCGCAGGTAGGGACCGTCATGAATCGTCAGCAGTTTATTCGCCACGTCAAAGTTCGCCGTCCTAGAAAAGTCGGACTTCGGAAGGACGGCCTTCAAGAACATGGCGCCCGCAGGGTCCACCAGAGGGTCCTGCTGCGGATACATCCACAAGTATTAGAGTAAGAGTCACCAGGATCTTGTTCAGAAGCCTCCAAAGTAGTCTACCACTACCCCGACCAAGCTGTAGATGATTTTCAATTTCATCCTTCTAGCTTATTGCCTCTGTTAAGGTATACGGCTTGCATCATGTTGCTGATGCCCGATGGGACTGTTCGTTGAAGACTAGAAAGTGCACAGCAGAGAATGAAGATGATCATTTCTTTTTTTAGCTGGATTGTTGATGAATCGGCCTTAAAAGTAATTAGTTCCTGAAGGGGACGGCGCTCGTGCTGGAGTAGCACGCGCGAAGAAAGCACGAAGAAAATCGAGTTGATCCTCTTTGACGAGTGCACCCGAGAACGGAGACGACGCCGTTAAAGCACCTTCGAGCCCCGCATATGTCCTAGGAGCTCCGAGCCCCTTCTGATGTCCATCTGGAGCGAAAGTAGAAAATGCAGCACACGACCCTCTTTTTCGGGAGAAAAACACACTTGCCAGCGCTGTTGCCGGACCACGGGGTAGTTGCCACCCTCGCACAAGACGCAGAGGGGCCTTCCGCACATCGTGAATTGGGAAATACGTCGAATCCCCAGAGAGTGAAGCACCGCCTTTAATCTCATTATCGTCTGTCTTCTTGCTGAGGTTCTCCGCTTCGCGCTCCCGGCGTTCACTTTCGATTTTGTCCGAGTGCGTGGTGCGTAGATTCGCAACTTCTTCGATCGTGATTTCGTTGTCTGCTTCTCGGCAAAGCGCCATTTTGTCAAGCTCAGTGTCTTTTTTGCATCGAACAAAGCAATTCTGCATACTTGCTAGCTGCCGTCGCCGGGCCTCGTTCTCTGCGTCACCCGCCACGAGTTCCTTCTCAATTTTCAGGCGCGCGATCTCAGCGTCCAGCACTGCTTCCTTGCGACGCGCCGCCTCCTTTAGAATACAAGGACCCGCCTCGTTGCTGGACGTCTTCTCGGCTTCGTTCAGGTTCAGTGCTTCTACGTTCTTCTCCTCCGTATTTTCGCCAGCAAAGACTGAAGAACCTGAAACTGAGACTGACGACGTCGACGCGGTCGTACTATCTAGGGATATTGGTGAGTTGGTGAGCGTGAGTTGTTTCGTTGAGGTAGAAGAGTTTGTGACCGCGCTCCTGGAGGACATCAATGTAGTAGGTCGAATATTTGACATAACGGTGCAGAGTAACCCACCCCAACGACTGGTCTTGTCCTCCGTGCATGACAATTTATCTCCTTGAAGAAGGTTAACCGGCGAGATCTGCTTCTCGTCATGATCTTTTTGCAACTTTCTCGTCGCAGCAAGGGCCAAGTTCGATAATGAAAAAGGTGAAGTCTTCGTTTCCCGCGGAGTATCATGTAGTCGACCAAAAGACATAGTTTTGTTGCAGGGATGAAAATTATGAGCCGAAGAGCGGGAAGGGAGTGCTTCCTCTTGTTAGAAGAAAGCGCGTTACTTTGTCATCTATTGGAGCACTTCCTGAGATGCATTATGGATTGCATGGATTGCAATGAACGGCATGGATTGCGTGGCTAGGGCGCGACTGCTTTAAAAGGGAGGCGCGTAAGCCTTTGGCCGAACGCAGCGCCCCGCCCGACAAGGCGTCGGAATGCTCGTTGCCCTGACTCCATTAGCTCTGCCCGCCCGCGGCTAGCGGGGTTGTTTCTTGTAGAGGTGAGCCCGCCTATTTTGGAGTGCCACTCAATGGACCCTCTTCGGGTTCAGGCTGGCTGCCTGGAGGACGCGGAGTGCCTGACGCCTCGCCGCGGTACTGAGAGATGCTAGCTAATGCGAGCGAGAGGTTAAGGTGCTCAAGGCCCTCTTAGCCGCCGCCGTTCGGCAGGTGCAACTTTTGTTTGCTTAGGCCGCGTTTGCCGTTCGGATGCGGCTTCTTCGTGAGGTCGTCGTTGCTTCTTTGATGGTTGGACAGGGCTACAGTAGGCGCAGGCACGTACTGAAGATGGCGCCCGAAGGGCGCCGCGAAAAAAATGTCTCTTTTACTCACTGCAAGCCCTAGCAACGCATGCAATCCATGCAACCATGCATTTCAGGAACTATCAGAAAAAAGCGAAATTGTCAAATCTATATTATCTTACTAGCCGTTCGAGTTCGTCAGTATAAACTGAGCATACTTCTGCGTTCCACCGGGTATATTCTACTTCTTTGTTCCTCCCACTTCTCAACGAAGCGAAAAAAAATGATTGAACGGCTCAACGCCAATAAGTCCACTTTTCTTTGGGTTTTCACCTTTGTTCATGATCATGCACATGCTCATGGATACATATACTGATTTGTGGAACAAAAAACCCAAACTAGGATACGGATTCTTAAACAAGATCGTCGAGCCTTGCAAACATCCTGACTTTTTCCTCTTGTGCTGCTTTTTCGCGCAGCAACGAAGCTCTTCGATCTTTCCAGTTTCTCTGGAGGCTGAGCAGGGTTTCGTAGTTTTGATAGAATGGTCCCACGCCACACTGTTCCTTCCGGCACGCACTTTCGTGATTATAGAGCGCTTTTTCACAGCGGCGACTCTTCGGCGCGACCACGCCATCGGGCGCCTGAATACTGCAATCGCCGGTGCCCCAGTCGAAGTAAAAGCCCATCGTCAGCATGCATCTGTGACGTCGCGGTGAGTTTGTTCCACGTTTATCTCCGTTGCAGCCCTTATTCGAGCAAACTGGAGAAATATCGTTCCTCCTGCCAGCACCCATGTTGAAAAAATTTCGGAGATTTTGTCGACCCTTCGCGTACATGTCACGCTGCCACGCCAGCGCCGGTGTGAAGCAACATGACGGGGTGAGAGGAGGCTCCTGTTTGGGCTTGTCGCTGATGCTGTTTAGCTGCCCGCCGATTTCCATAGCCTTCTGTGGTTTCTTCAGGGTTTTCTCTGCTGGTTCTATCGTCTCTACTACTTCGAAAGACTCTGATGTTACTTTTGCAACATGTTCAGCTTTTTCTCCCTCTCCTTTTTTGTCGTCGTGCAGTTGCGACATCCCTTCTTCGACGTCCTGTTCTAGATTGTGAATTTCGAGATAGCGGTGCCCGCCTAGTCCCGCGAAGAGTAGAAATTTCCGTTTCCGATCACCGCGCCCATCGGGCTCGTAATACAAAGCGCGCACTTGGTAGTTCGTAGACCCTGGAACGACGTGCACGGGCTTCTGGACGTCGCACAGGTGTAAAGTTGTAGAGGTAGACGACGCGTCAGGGTCAGCGTCTGCATGAACTAGAGGAAGTGAGTTGTAGCTACTGTCTTGCTGCCAACGATCAAAGGTCGTACTTCCCTGGCCCACATCCTGGACCACAGATGCACACAAGCACGTCCATGTGAGATAGAAAGGTAGCAGAAAGAGTAGCACTTTTATCGCCAAACCTACTCCAGCCATGATGGAGCTCTTTGATGTCTCGGCCTGTCTCTCTTGCTTCGAACAGCGCGACTATCGTCGGCGGATCTATCAGGCCGCGCCCTTCGATCTTTTTGCTCCAACTTTTTACAAACACTGTTGCGGTGGATCTTATCCGAACGATCTAAACAAGAGATATGAGTGCACTTACTCCAACTCCAACAAGGCTCAACTTAGCAAAGTGAAAGCCAAAGAGGCCGGCGGGTCTAAGGGCGCACCAGTTGAGGCGGGATGAGCAAAGTAGAATAGTGCAAGGTTCCTCATTGACTAAAGGGATCTACTACGAGACGACCACGCTCTATTTCACGTTTCCAGGATCTCACTCCATGGCAACAGACGAAGGAGTAGATCTTTGTACGAGATGAGGAATTTAGTGCGCGTTTTATCATTTGAACGGTGTAGGCAGCCTACTACTGAGTTCATAATTGACATGGGAAGGCCCGGACGTCAACCCGGTCACTCAGTTCCTCAGCCACCAGCAAGTTGCAAGCAGCGCGAACCTATTGAGAGAGCTAGGAACTCCTTGCCTCTGTTTCAATTGAGTTGCAGGATCTTACTCGATAGAACTGCCAGAGATCAAATAACTTCTACTATGCGGGATAAGCTAGAGTGAAGATATGCAGCGCCAGAAGATGAAATGAAAGAATAGATGATGCAAGAACTACATATAGTAGAAGAGTTTGCTCCCTCTCCAGAATTGGATCGGTGGGCACGCTTGGCACGCTGGGGGGCCCCAGGCGGGTCTTCTGCGAAAGATTTCGCCCACCGTGCGCCCACCATGAGACTGGGGCCAAAAATCGGCCCGCCCTTCGGGCGCCCATTTCTGCAGCCCGCCGGGAGAGTAAGCGCATGCAACTTGGATCCGCAGCAAGCTGCATACGAATCGGGGCGCCCAACTACTGGCCCGCCTGGGAATATCCCTCAGCAGCGCCGGCCGCACATTGCAGCAGAGCACTGAGGCACACGGCAGCGCTGCGCCGCACTCTACACACCCAGGCGGCACTGCATACAGCAGCGAAGCACCACAAGCAGCGAGAAAGTGGCCACTGACTCCGCAAAGGAGCGCAGCGCCGCGCCGCCCTCGACTGCGGCCTTGTACATTGGCGGAAGCAGCAGGGCAATGCCATACGCGCCCAGCGTGCGCCCACCGTGCCCCCCCATGTGTGCCACGGGTCCGTCCACCGTGCCAAGCGTGGCCGCCCAGCGGCCCAGCGTCGCCCAGCGTGCCCACCTTCGCACCGTCTATAAACTATTCTAATATAGTTGTAGTACGTCGATAGCTCCTGGTCGTGGAGCGAGAAGTAGAAAGTTCCTCATATACGTAGAAAAACTTCCTCCACGAATTCTATGCAGTAGTAATCTCAATATGCACGTGCGGGTTGTGCTGCTACTTCTCTATCCGCTAGATGTAGTGCTAATTGGAATGTTGAGTTGTCTTACTTGTACACCCGGCAGCATAGTTTAAAGTAAACGAGGATCATTCCGCGTCGTCTCATCAGACAATGTCAACCTTCGCTCTTTTCGACAACATGATAACCACTAAGTTTTGCCAGTCCTGCCGCTAGTGAACAACGCAGTATGCCGCTGTCGCAGGGCGCGGAAGATGAAGATGAAAGCGCAAACTATCATCTGATACACAAAGACGAGCTAAAATAAGAACAATCCTGCAACTTCAACGCGCTGACTCTGAGAGCCCCTAGCATTTGTAGATAGGATAGGAGTTAACTCGCCGCCAACAGTTTGACCTGTATCCTCCGGCGAATATGTGTAGCCGCACTAGAGAGAGGGCGACTAAACATCTGCAGTTTTCTTGTGAGCGGTGCACGAGGTTCGCAGACAATTGTGTTGGACCTTTTGTTGTGACGGTATCGATTCAAAACAAAGCATAGTAAGAAGGCTGTACTAGTAACATGCACCAGAAATGCAAACTACATGATGAAATAACTGCTATGTAGTTGTTATGAAAACGTGGTCAATACTAGGTAGTGGCTTTGGTGCCTATGCAACTTTCGGAAAATGGCCTAGTGCCTTTAGCAGCTATGCATGCTGTACTAGATACATATGGAAATGGATCTCAATGGCATGAGTTGATGATATGATGTTGGATGCGATGGAATGGAGAAACTACTACTGTTCTTTTCAGTGGGGCTATGACAATAAAAATGAATGTAAGAACCTGTAGTTGTGCCTCTGATAACACGAGCTCGCAATTGGCTAGAAGGTGCATGACAGTCTGTCAGTGTCACTATGTTGAAAAATGACTATTAAAAACAATTCCATTGGAAACCATTCTGCATCCAATAACAGAAGAAACGACGAGGAAAGAACGTCGTGCGAAAGTATAATAGGTGTAATCAGTAGTATCGTTGGCGACGTTCCCGCTTGTTTTATCTATTTATCTTTTTACTTTTTAGGGTGTTGGTGTACTTATTGCTATTCTTATTGTCATTTGCTACTCAATAAGTTTTCTTTTTCATTAGGTTTACTCTAGCTTCTTCATCTTGTTGAAACTTCTAAGCGGCAGAAGGTAGTACTAGAAGCCTTCCGGCTGAAACACGATTTCCAAACTGCGGAGCAGCAAGATGTTGTTCTCTGTTTCCGTCAGGCGTATGTACGGACCAGTAGAAATAAAATCTCTCGCCTCAATGCGAACAGTGCGCATTGCTACTAAACCGGGATCCCCCACCAGAAGGGACTTCTGGTTACCTGGAGTCAGTGTTGTAAGAGGATGGACAGCGGCGCTCCTGGTCCAAGTAGGTTCACCAGTGCTTTCAATTACACACAACTGCAGTCAAGTGACATATTTTGAAAGAATAGTCAGAACCAACTTTAACCAAGATCTGAAGTAGGCTTTCTTGACTGTACGAAGTAGAAGATCATGGTAGTCCTGATGAAAAATACCATCCCAGTCTTTCCACGCCACTCGCCGCCATGCTTCTCCCGTGCGATTTTCTCCCCTTCCCGGGGTCCCAGTTTCGAGAAAAACGCCTCCAAAGGGCCACGAGTAGGAATCTGTCTGACAAACACCGAAGGTGATGTCCACAAAATCGAGTGGAAAACCCAGTGTGCCACTGTTCATCGGGATGAGTCGGTGTATGGAGCCTTCGGTACTGTTCGAGTCTTCTCGCCGATGAAATTAGAGGGACATCAAGTCGTCGGATCTAGATAAATCGAAATGAGCATTACATTTACAATCTGATCGATCGTGTGTTGAAACAAATCACTGAACGAGCATTACCATGTATTACGATTACATTTACTAGCATTTGTTTTTGCGACGGCGTCGGAGCAGGGACCGACGTTGTGACGGCATAAGAAAAGATATGTAGCCTTAGAAGTAGTCACTGTAGTGATCTCCTTGACCTTGATTTGTGATATTCTCTGCTGTCAGATTGCGTGTCGCATTGAAGAAGCCACCCCAGCCAACAGCGCCACAATGCCCATGCTCTTCGCTATGACCAACAGGATGCTGTATGAAAGTAAGGTCGAGAACATGGCACTTGTGTTTTCATTTTCTCCATACACTTTGTCATGATACTAGTGGACGTCCAGGTCCACGTCGCCAAGATCCAACAGAATGTAGTGATGAAGGTAAATATTGGAACACCCTTGAACAACGCGTATCGATCGAGTTGCAGGTGAACCACATCAAGGTAAAATCAAGCAAAGAATCAGAAAAGGATACAAACACTCGAAGCGTGTTGTAGGGTGTAGTGAAAGAAGGCTAGGAAGCTAGGCTACTTCCTACGCAAATTTCATATGATAGACGAAGCGGCCGCTAGTGGTATCAGGTGGAAGGTTCGTGATGTGGTGATGCTTTCCCGTTGTGGACTTCGAATGGCTTATATTTTCGATGTTCCATCCGTCGTGCAAAGGATCTGAATGGAGCCACTGATTGAGAACCAATCTATGTCGCTTGCCTCGAGAAGGTCGAAGGCAAAAATTTTGTTGTGGTCGTGTTGTTTCAAACACGTTGTGACGATAAGAATTCGAGCAGTAGTAGACCTCTGACATATACTTCCTTTTTGTTGTTCTCTTTGTTCTCAATAGGTGGCTCTTCCATAAAAGATCTGCTTCGCTCCTGTACGTTACGTGTTGTTTGCTTCGCCCTCCGGACGGCGTCCCCGGCTGTCGAGGCACATCGTGCGCGCTTTGGGAAGGACATATTATGACCAAGGGCGATCCAACTCCTCGTCCGGTTCCTTTCACATCTACCTGTATTGCCAAATCGTCATCGCTTTCCGTGGTTGCAGTCTCTCTTACATGTTTACTCGGTTCTTCCGGCAAAAACGAAAACTCTCTGGAAAACACGACGCCCTTGTAATCGACTGAGGGAAAAGCTTCGAATGTGAACCCTTTTTCGTCTCCACCAGCTTGCGCCGTTGCCTTTGTTTCTGTGCAGGTAACTACAGCGTCCGTCTCGGGGGTTACAGTGCCGCCCGACAGAGTCGCCGGTGGACGGCAGTAAGCTGCAGCGGCACTTGTGGGCTTGAAACTGAGGAAAGCGCGCCGAGACGGAAGTTGCACACCTGCTGCAGCAGTGCCGTCCAGTTCTACTGCGATCGTCCCGTCGCTATCTGTATAATCCGTGTCGCAGGCGATAGCGTCGTTCGTGTTGGCGGGCAACGGCGCTGCGCTCCTCATGTAACACCCATGGTTCATCGCAGCGCCCTTCGCCGTCGCTTTCGCGGCGACAAAATCGGCATAGCTTGCCGTGCCTAGACTGCTCAGTCTCTCCTCCTCTGCCTTTAGGGTAGCCTCCTCGATCATATTTGCGGCCAGCTGGCTGAAGAGCTTGTATTCGTTGGTGCCTTCGTTGGGGCGACTGGAAAGCTGGAAGCGAAACGGTTTCCACTGCTGTTCGTCAAAAGGACGGCAAGCTAACGCGTTGAGGCTCCTGCTGAATGCGAGGTAATAGCGAATGGGAACTGTCCCTATAGTCACACCCCCAAAGTCCGCATTTGGTCCACCGCACTCAATTCGGTAAAACTCGTCGCTGATGATATTTGATGCAGTAAGAGGATCGTCTGCTGGGTCCTGGTCGTCCGCTCCTTCTTCACCAGTGAAACGTTAGAGCAAGAATGCAAAAGGTCGTGAGCAGTATGTTTCGTAGTGTGTCGAAAATGGGAGCAGCAGACTGCAGCGAGAATTACACTTACACTACAAAAAACCACTTAGCTCCACATTTACTTAGTTCCGTCATACATTATTCAACCGGACACTACACGACCTTCATCTATGTATAGATACCATGAGACCAACGGCACACGGAGCAGACCTCCTTACATACTGAAATTGATACAAGCTCATGTTCAACTTTTTTAACACACCCTCGTCCAGGAGGAAGGAAGGCCTAAATTGTAGCCTTAAGAGAAAGCCGAGGATTTCGGACTCGGCTGCCACGTACTGCTGTCATCCCAACCGAGTAGACCACTGCTGACCTGCCCGATGTCGTCCGCCAGTGCCTGTCTTGCACGGTAAAAATCCAGATACACGGTGACTGCGTTCACCGAGGCTGCTCCTTCGCCCATATCCACCGATATTCCCGTTTGCACGGCACTTTGACCCACCATTTCTTCCCCAGGTTTTAGACGATTGTCACGCAGATACAGGCAGTCCGGATCATACTGCATCGCAAACCTGTCCGAAGGGAGTGTCTCGTTCAGCATCTTGCTGTCTGCGTAGATGGATTGGCCCTTCTTCATGTCCCGTATTGGAACAAGCTCGATCAAGGGTTTCGTGCTGTCTCGAATCTTGATGCCAGTGGGCGGAGCAGATATGGCCATCACATTATGAAGAGGGCTTGCCATCGATTTTTTACTAGAAGTGGTTCTTTCTAAACTAGAACTACTAGAAGTGCGAGTGCGTGCAGTGGCATGAGCTCGTTCTTCTGCAATCAATTTTCCTTCCACCGAGAATGCTTGTGCTCCTTCATGATGCACCTGTTGGTTCGTGCTGGCCAGCAAAAGAGGACGATTCGCTAGGTCACCTGTGACCGCCCAGTAGTCATCGAAGTCCCCTTCAAAAAGGATCTGCAAACTGTGCAAAAGGATAACCGAATTTCGACCCATCGTAGAAAGGCGCAACCATTTGCCGGCAACTGTGCTAGCCGGATGTATGCTACTTTAGAATAATTTGAAATGGTAAAGGTAATACTGAGCACTGAGGTATAGCTGGACCATAACGATGACGAGGAGCGACCGAGGTGAGGTTTGGAGACCAGTGAAAAACAAAAGAAGTACGTAGGACAAAAAGTATTGATGTGATGTAAAAACTGTTGCTCTTCTTGTTCATCTTCTATCTACTTACTTAGTTCTAGTAGCCATCATGCTCCTGTTCTTCGTAATTGTAAGAGTCTTCCATTTTGAAACCGCCGATGATGCCTGGGCTGTGGACCTCTTTCAGCAAGGTCCAAGAGCCCTCCGGTGCGTCCATGGAGTCGCCGAATGCCAGTTCAACTCGATCCTTAAACGCTGCTGATGTGTCGGTGACATCGCCACCCTGGCAGATGCCGAAACTCACAAAAACGTTCTTCACCTTCTTTCCGTAGAAGTTCACGGCAGGAAGTTTTCGGTACAGAGCGCTGCGGCCACCGTTCATCAGCGTGGCGTGCGCGTTGTGACCGCCCCAGCCGGGGACTCCCTGGCACATCGTCGAAGAAAATGAATATGTCTGACCAAAGGTCGTGATGTAGCTTTCATAAGTCTTACCACGTTGGATTCCGAAATTGGTCATTTCCCCTCGAATCGCCAACGCATCAACGCCAGTACCTTCCGTTGACGGCTCGTCATTGCGGTCGTGCTGCATAGCGCGCCAGCCCCAACCCCAGCCGTCTTCTTGCACGTCTGCTGTGACTACGTAATTCACAAAGCCGAATCCATCATCGACGCGTGGGGGCGGTCGAACGGCCTGCGCCAGACTTCTGGGTGGATTGCCCGGGTCCGCATAGACTACCTCCAAGGACTGCAGTACGATAATGTTGTCTCCCGTCTCCATCAGCCGTAACCACTTGCCAGAAACCTCCTTCGCACGCAATTCTACTTCGCGAAAGGCCTTATTTTGTGGAGATATTGAAGAAGAATGACCACCATTAAATAGAGGACGAAGATGCAGAAAAAAATGGGTCAGGCGAGAAGCTTTTTACAACGCACAGCTAGAGCTAGATTACGAGGTTCACATCCTCCGTCACTAACTCTAACTTACGTATACGACATTCATATTTTGTACTAAGAGATGCTGATGGTACCGTCATTCCGACTGTTTTTCCGTCCGACGTGTCTATCTCCGTCGTATTGTCGATGCGTGTCCAATTCACCGCGTCTCGAGTGGCTGCCACGTCCAGGAGAACGCCAGTAGTAGCTTCTCCCGAAGCCGTTACGCAATCGTTGAAACAACAAGACGCAAAACGTATCACTACCTTGTGGAGCATGGCTGGCACTTCATGTCCCTGTAGTTTTCGACTTTTCTCGTACAGATCGTGTTTTGGAATTTTACGGTAGATCGCCCCGCTCTTCCCGCTCGCGCGATTGTCAGCGGCCCAGCCGTCAACTCCGCTGCAAACGACCTGCGTAGCATCCAGCTCGCCGTATTTCACGAAACCGGCCCCCGCTCTCTTAGAACATCATTTTGTGCCTTCCGAGTCTCTGCTAATAATCCTCCTCGCCGAATGAACCCGAACGGGGCAAATACACCCGATATTGCGTCGAATCATACCTGGTGCCTAGAAGACTTCGAGTTCCATGAAGCATACTTCTAAAAACACGACAGAGTCTACTGACGTCACAGATTACCTCTAAGCCAATCTAAGCTTAACTTTCGGATCTACGAAGACATCGCGTTTCGCTGTTGCGGGTGGGACGATAATGCGCTTCGTGCGCGTGATAGGATAAAAGGCGGCCGTACTGTTTGGAGGTCGCACACCCTCGTCCCATTGCCATCCGTTCCCTCGAGCGTCCTCCTCACTGGTGTAATTGTACGAGTAAGTCCTCACTCTTTCGGGATCGGGATCGGACTTTTTAGCCATAGATTAGAACTAGATGAAGACTGTACGAAGAAGGAAGTGAGTTGTTACTAGCTCTGTTTCTTCAGGCTACTAATCAAAAATAAAATCTAACTGTCCGTTCCTGATATTTCTACTAACTTGTAGCGAAACCATAGTACTCGTACTTCATCAGCAGAAAATGATTGCCAAGATAATTTATGAAAAGGCAATTGACTTCTGTAAAAAGGAAAAGGCTATCGCTGGCTAGTATTCGCATAAACAAGCGTTCGCAGAGAGGCTGACTCCATTGTCTGTTCGGCTTTTGTACCAACTGCGCTCGGCAAGGCAGTTATAGCGTCGTCATGTTCAGAGTCCTCTGATGCTGAAGCTGATGCTATCCTCTTCACTTTTGAGGAAGTTTCTGTACTAGTATTTGACGCAGTCTTCGATGCCTTATTAGACGTTACCATCTGCATCTTTTTAGCGTTCGGCTTCGCGTCTTCTTGATGCTTGTCTATCGTAGATGCCACACCAAAAGGTTCCTTCCCAACAGAAATGTCAACCTTGATTTTCTGCGAAGACTGGGAGTTGCTGTTCATCTTAGGCATGTTTTCGAAAACTACACTATCCGCATTTTCTTTCAGATGAGAATGTAAATGTTCCTTGCCAGTAACTCTTTCCTTGTCCCTATCGGTTTTCTCTATATTTTCTTCATCTCTTATTTGCTGCTCGTTGTCATTTCTGTGTCTCTTCACTACTATGGGACCATCGTCTTTGGATACAGCAGAATTCAGCACAGGGCTCTGGTCGGGACTGCTTCCCTCATTGCTATGCTGATCGGCACCATGGTTGAATTCAATCGGCCCATTATCCGCGGAGATGGTGTCTTAGAAGTTTGATCTTGTACTAGTCGCAGTTGCAATTGCATTCTCGGGTAATGCGATTTTGCTAAGGAAGCACAACATCAACAAGTTGCACTTGTAGTTGTACATGCTCATGCACGAGTACTACAACGAGTTGAGTAATTATGCTAATATTCATACTTACATTGATCTTGTAGTGCTGGCACTCCTGAAAGATTAATTTCCGTGGCAGTGGCAACATTTTTAGCAAAGCCTTAATCATTTTCATGCTTTCCTTTTCCTTTTGATTTTCGTCGTTTCGACCTCCTCTTTCTCCACCTTCTTCGCTTTCCTAGATGATAGCCGCGCTTCGCCAATAATTCTCGAACGGTTACTGTTCCGGGATCTCCTTCTTGCGATGAATTCTCTATCTGCTCTTTATTTGTTTCAACCAGTGCTGTACTCGTCCCGGGTCGTTGTTGTGGTGCTGATGGATCTGCCGCATTCTCTAGCTTCCCCAGAGCTGCAGCTTGTCCTCGAGATACCAGCAAAGCTGCTGAGGTGTCACCTTCGTATACCTCTTTCACTTTCCCGAGAAGTATGATGTTTCCCCCGCCGACACCTCGCTCGGCGACGCGGAGGTACTTTCCGCCCACCTCCGAACCCAACAATCGCACTTTTCTTAGACGAGCAGATGGAGAATAATTAAAAGAGAGAGAGAGACTGAGAGAAAATAGAAGATGTCAACTACAAGAATACGCTCTAGACCTAGCTCGTAAATTAACACTGCTAGCCGTTGCTGATATCTGCTTCTGAACAACGGCAGCGTCGCTGTCTGTGAAGAATTTCACACTTTGTGGTGGTACAGGAAAGAATTCCTGAAATCGCACGAGCTTCCAGGCGCCGCACATGTCCGTTTGATTGCTAGGGGTAGCAAGTTGTACCGCATCCGCGACGCTCATACTGCGGTCACCGATGTACAAGAAAACGCCACCGCAGATGTTAGAGCTTGCAGAGCATGAGCAAGTAATAACGCCACTTTTCAACACAGTCTGCTATAAAACCTTCCGATTTCGTTTTTTACATCAGCCGCGATCGGGAATCGCTTGAAGTGGAGGACGGAGATTGTCATTTAGGTTTACAAAATAAGCGACCCTACCCCCTAATGCTAGTGCTACACTAGACTTACCAGTATGCCAGCCCTAGTGTTTGCACTCAACCGCTGTACACCAAAACGAATATCGACGTAAGCCAAAGCTCGACCATCGGTATTTATTGCAGGCACATATCGCGTCGCCATGGCCGGATTGCGTTTGTTTCCTGTAGTTGTACTTGATCACGATGAAGACATCAATCATGCCTCTGCGTCTAGCCAATTATACAAATACATAGAAGTCCAAGGCCTCGCTTCACAAAAAACAAACACAGGCGGCCACGCCGGTCACGGCCAGCAACAGCATTATTATCCACAAGCTGCTTCCCGCGATTATGATGATCAAGCCAAGAAGAAGTACCAGTTTCCCCCAGTTCCTGTGCTCCACCTACTTTCCAGAAAGCAAAAGCTGCTATTTTCGGGCCGGGCACGGTGCTAGCTTTCCCATCATCCACTGGATACTGGAAAAAGCCGTCAGCAGTTGTGTAGGCAACACTTTTGGCACTATCTATTAGATGATGATCCGCCAGCGGTTAATTAAGCTTTGCGGGTAGTCATTTTTTTCATCAAGGTGCACAGCATTGCTTTTGCTAGTACACTGCGTCTCCCAGTGTGGTGAGTCAGTTTGAATCTCACTTCTCTAGCAAAATGTATGTTGAGCAGCATTTAGTTGTTTTACTGGCTTATCATTATCGCCAAACCTACACCAGCCAAGATAATAAGCCTCGATCTCCTTTGTCTTCTCTCCATTGTGAACACGGCCTGCCGGCCCACCAAAACGATCTACGATCTTTAAACGCTTTTTTCTTTTGAGCAGACAACCTTGTTTCAATGCATTGTTGTCCAGAGTTTCTTTTTGCAACGGGATCTTGTGTTGGGATCCAAAACAAGATCTAGACCAACATATCGAGGGATGTGATTGGGTAGGAGAAAAGCAACAGGTATAGAGTAGACCTTTAAAACCCATAACGATATATCAAGATCATCGACCGAGCATTGGCGATGCCCGGCCAAAAAGGTGGAGTAGTGGCACAATCTTTGTGATGGTAACGAAAAAGGGGATTAAGTATGAGCACTACAGGTGAGTTATTTTTTAAGGACGTTTTTATAGGTCCCTTAGGGCCTACTAGGATATCTGCATGAATGAGAGGGCTTGAACCCTTAGTGAGACAGAAGAGGATGCGTGGGAGACAAATGCTAGAGGGAGTCGACCTTTTACATGGGGATATTCGCCGAAGCAATAAAACCCCATAGCTTGGGATTTTGAGCCAGGTAGGATTCATCTACTTCGATCACCATCGCCTTGGCGAAGAATTCCTTGAGAATAGCTTCTCTCTCTTCTCGTGTGAGAGGGTCGGAAATATTTCTTCTAGTGCGGATCCAGGTCACATAGCAGTCTAAGTTATTCTGTTGTGAGAAACGGTGGAAAGAGTGGCTGATAGCCTGAGTTCTGCTGCATTTGCAGCTGTTAGCTGCGACACCATAGACGTCCCCTAGATTGTCCAAGTGTAGGATTAGTTGTTTATCTTGTATAAAGGGAAGCCAAAGCTTCTGGGCCACGTTGGCTGCTAGCGCTTCGAGAATGCCTATGTGGATCCTCTCGTTCTTAAAGAAAGCCGGCAACTTAGAAAGTGCGATCGAAAAACGAAAATGACCTGTTGAACAAGCTAAGTAGCCTCCTATTTTGAGCCTATGCTCTTCTAGATTGTCTAATTCTCCTCTTTGCAACTTTTCGCTCAACAACGGGAAGCTTTCGCCGGCCGCGTCCGTGTAGCCGTGCACTATGTCACGGCCCATTCTGCCGGTCGTAATCTCGAAAGGACGAATGTGGTCCAGGGCCCAGACCATGATCTGGACGCCACTAAAAGCTCTTCTTCTTCCGGGGCGGCTTGTCTTCTGGTTATCGAAATCGCTAGCGAAGGAATCGATAGAGCGGGCGTAGAAAAGTTTAACCCGGTCAAGCTGTGTGACGTGGCGATACAGGCCACGAAAGGTCAATAAAAGCGCAAGCTCGACTCGGCATTCCACGAACTGCTCGATCAGGCGGTAGCCGTCTTTTTTACATTTGGGGATCTTTTCCTTATCTGGAATCGCGAGGAGCTTTTGCTCCTGAGATATGTCGCACCTCAGTCCAAGCAGAACGATGGATTTCTGAAAACGATGATGCTGATCTTTTTTCTCGTTGGCCTGTTCCCACCCGGCCAGGCTGAAGAAGAGATCTAGCAGAGCCATCTGTGATGGCAATGCTTTGGGTTTCGACTGGACATGAGTGTCGTCGATGTAAACGCATGCCGCGATGAACAGGATTGCATGGGTGATGAGTTGTATGACCTCGCTTGACATCACACATTCGTGCACACTGGCTAGGCTCCCGAAAAGTGCAACCCAACTCTTGTCCAGCTGCCACCTTCGCTTCGACGGGTCCTTGCTAGACGAGAAGGTCCCTGGCCCGAGATCCTTGCTCGGCACATTTTCCGGAACCGCAACGAAGATGGCGCTTTCCTCAGGGGCTTGTGCGGCATGTTGGTAGTAGTAACCGCTTTGGTCCCGTTTAGCGGACCAAGGTATGAAAGCGAAGTCGGAGGCAAACGCCCCCGGATGGTCAGATGCTTTTTGGCGATTTTGTTGGCAGAAACCGTCCCCCAACGTTGATGAGTCGGAGATAATTGTATCTCTGATCTGCTTTTCTGTCAGTACATCGGCTTTGACATCCTCCTTCGTTTGCAAGAGGAGCGGGCGGCTGCGCCAATGTAATCTGTCGCTCGCGAAGGCACGCGACATCTCCATGGCCGCTTTGGCGCCCAAGATTCTCATCTTCTCTTTCACGATTAGATGTCTGTTTGCAGAACGAAAGTCGATGCAACAGCGCGTCTTCGTCGCCTGTTCCACTGGGAAGCTCTTTGCGGCGCCCAGCGAAGTCAGCTCGGAAATTTGCATTGGATGCCAGAGCCCCTTTTCATGCATCTTCGTGCGCTGGCGCCACAGCTCCTTTATTTGCTCCTCGGATGCCCAGTGGTCACCCTTTGGGACATCCTTCTCTCTGCTTTCGAGAGCCTGAAGCGCATCCTTTTTGGCCCGGGGAATCTCTGCGTCGAGCAACTTCCAAAAACCACAGGGCGATAGATCGCCTCCGATGGGGACCCCGAAGGAGAAGCGTTTCGTCCACGACAGGATGTTGTCCTTGTTTGCCCGAGTCATCGGGTCAGACTTGCTGGCCCGTTCCACTGCTTTCTTTAGTAAAATATCCATGAAGACGATGCTCTTACTCTTGTATACTTCTTTGCCATGTGGCGGTAAGGTTGCCAGGAGCTTCTTGTTCTTCTCTTGAGAGTCCCGCGCCACTTGTAGAAGGAAGCTAGCAATCAATTTGGATTCTTCCGCTATGTCCTCCGCTTCGGTTCTCTTGATGTAGTTAATTGCGTTCACGAAGTATTCTGGTAGAAGTGAGAAGACTCCGTATTGTCGCATTTCTTCGACCAAAAGCATGTGATCGTAGTCAACTTCTCCTCCTTCGCTCGTCTTAATTCCCATGCTCCTGCCAGTTTGTTGCGGTTCTCTGTGATTCAACCTTGATAGTAGCGCTTTCGCTTTCAAGCCCGCAACTCGAGGAGCCGGCTGTTTGCTTTTTCTGTGTCGTTCTAGTTGTTCCCACGGCGATCCACTCGATGTCAGCAGGCTTGGGAGAACGAACTCCTGTTGTAGGTCGAGGTCGTTGCTCTGACCGCGTGGAACTGATCGCTTCTTGGGCCTTTCGTGCTCATCATTGTCCGCAGCCTGTCGTTTTCGTGACGGTTGTGGCGCCGGAGGATCCGGCCTGCCTGTCGTTTCGTGTGGTTGTCGAGGGTAGGCCGGTCTCGAGGAAGAGGCTGGCGGAGCGTTGAAGACGCTGTAGCCTTTGCTCGACAGAGAGCTGCAGTTTGATGAAATGGGTCTGATTCTACTACTAACCGCGAAGGTGTTGTTTGAAGACGAGAAGACGGAGTAGTTCGCACTGGGGAGTGGCAGGTCTTCCAGTAGCTGGTTTGTTTGACGTGCCTGATTGCTCTCCCCCTCAGATGCTTCGGACAGCTCGGGGTCTGACTGCAAGAGGGTCATGGGCTTCTCGATTGGTGAGACATGGCCACCAACCATCAGGCACTTTGCCGTGGGGCAGTCCGCGAAAACCTCACTCGGATGTTTAGGTGCATGGTCCCAGGATTCCTCGTCGGACGAGTCGTCTGCCCACGTCAAGGTGCCGAAAGATCTCACTCCAGATTGGCGCTTCTTTGCGGCGGTGTGCCTCCACCGCCTCATCGGCAACATAGGTATCGTGGTCCATCAATCTGTCGTCGTGTCGGCGAGCACGGCGCTCGAATCTTGACTCGATTTCGCCGTACACCATCTTTACTTGTAATTTTAAAAAGGAAGACCCAAAGGAGAGAAATAGTACACTTTTGGTCAGCTCACTTTCTGACTGATATGGACTTGCCACCGTTCGCTGTAGTATGTCTCCAGATTTGGGCGGCTCCGTCTACTATCTTGGTTTTTACGAAAAGGGTGGACCAGCCTCTTCGTGATTGTAATGAGCGTAGAGCAGCGATAGTCCTATTATTAACTACGTGGTGAGCCCCTTTATAGTAATATGCTTCAACTACGATGTTGTGGTCGTCTAATTGTCCTCTTCTTGTGATGTCGTTAAAGGCTGTGAAAATGCTCTTTCCTCTATTTGGGCCCGCACCGAAAGTCGACTTGGTATTATTCTGAGAGAAACGCAAGTCGGAAATTTTCAAATAAACATAAGAGGAGTTGGAAGGAGAATTACCCTTAAGCGACATCTTGATTGCCGCAATATAGCACGAGGGAAATTCCAAAAAGAAATCTTCGGAGGAGAAAAACGCTTCTTTATCCTGTTCCGGAGAATGAGCGAGGGATGGATATTGAGGACCAAAGTTGTGAATAGCTGGCTCATGCCAGCCAGGATGCAATTAGTGGTAAGCTTTTAAGGTCCCAGACAAGTGGCCTTATGTGCCAGACTGCCACGTCAATTTTTGATCTTTTCACTTGGCGATTTGATCTTGCCAGCGAGCAAGTGCTCGTCTGCATATGCTGTTGTTGCGGACACCGCGCCCCGGCTTTCTTCTGCCCTTTTAGCTGCGGTGGTGCTTGTGGCACCGTTGTGTTTTTGGGGTGCGTCTTTTTCAAAAACTTGGGCAAAGTTTGCATGTGGGAGTGTCGTCAGTCTCTGGGGTAGAGGGGGGGACGGCGCTCAATCTAGAAAGGAAGGTGTGGAAATGTAAGTCGAGTGACACATCTCCGAGTGCACGTCTTTGGGGTGAGATGACGAGATAAGGTATGATGACGAGATAAGGTATGTAACAAAATGCAAGGAAGGTGAAGGAAACTTCGATCAATCTATTGCTTAAAGGTGGAAAAACAAGGATGCAGGTATGGTAAAGAGACTTTGCAGGAAGAGAGGAAGTAGAACTAACAAACCGACATTAGTTAAAATTTATTGAAACTTTTCTTTTATATACTAGAGGAGGGGCGTCTTAATGGGATGGAGGGAGGAATTCACGACGCAATACGCTTGAGCTGTTCTTGTGTGATCTTTCCTCCTAAATAACTTTTGTTGAGGAGTTCCAATTTCTTTAGTTCTCCCTTGTGGGAGTTTCCGTTTGGACAGGTAGATCCCGCACATTTTCCTTCCATCCAACTCAAGCAGACGAGATCATTTGGCGGCTTCCATGCTCCTTTTCCGCCTTTCTTGTTATCTCCTTTTCTGCTTGGTGAACGTCGTGGAGACCGTGCCCTCTGGGCTCTCAAATTCTTGATCTCCTGCTCCATTTGCTTGGTTTTTCCTCCAAATTTTTCGTTGAAGTGTTTTTCTACAGCCATCGTCACCGCTTTAGCGGCTGACTCCTCCATTTCCAGTCGTCGCTTTTCAATCGACAGCTGTGCCACAAAGTCTGGTAAGAAGTTAGATACTAGAGAATTATTCAGCTGTCGTTGATGGAAGGTCTCCGGTGGATCCGCAGCCACTGGCGGCAAATTCTGCAGATTTGTTTTTAGTGAAGTCGTGAAGATGTCGTAAACCGCTTCCATTCCGCGGCGCTTCTCCTCGGATTTTGGGTCAAGCGACCCTGTGATGGCTTTGGAAACCGCGTCCATGAGCGAGTTCGCTTGTGCATCATTCAAAGTATCAGCACAGCGGAAGGTTGCCACTAGGGCCATAGGGTGCAAGTTCAAGTTTGCGGGTGGCTTGGTCACCCTGTCGTATGTCCTGGCGTTCAACTGTCGCAGGATGAACAGGTATTGCTGTGGCGTGCATTTCGTCCTCAAGTTCGCACAGCGGTCGGCCACATGGGTGATTTGCGCCTCCGTCGCTACACCAAGGCCTTCACTTTCATGCACAGCTGCGTTACGTTGAAAATTCAAGTTCACATCCTGCATCGCTTGCAGGGCCGCAACCTGCTGTGCCGCGTCCAGTTGAGCAGCCATTTTGTTGATCGAGAGAAAGAAAGAAAGATAGTTGAGTGTTAAAAGAGAGATAAACGAAAGAAAGACGAGTCCCTGATTAAATTAAATTTAGAAACGAAGAGCCATCGAATTAGCACACCAAACGAAAGCTGTGTGTATATGGTTAGTAAGGGGTTGGGTGGGAGTGCTGTGTTTGCTGCAGAGGCGTCATCTGTCCCACTGCGTAGCTTGGTCCTGGCCCGAAGAGTGTTGGTCTCCTAAGTGGCCAAACAATCGCGGCTGTATCTGGCATCGCGCGGGCATCACCCACGTATCTTGTCACGCTTTGTAGCGAGCCCCAACGACCTACCACGCGGATATCCTCATCAGAGAGTCCTCCATCCGCAGCTGACTTTGCCCCTCCGATCCTCAGCGAGTGCAACATGAGCTCGCGTTTAGCTGAAGTTGAAGTGTTGGTAGAGGACGAAGAGGCCGCTCCTACTACATCTTGTCCGTGGAACTGCTGATCTTTTTGGACAATATTACCGAAAGTAAGCATTTCTTCCAGTAGGACTGCTAGTACTACTGGGCTTGTATTCGCGAAGAGGACGAAGGTTTCATCACTGCAACAGCACCTAGGGCAGATTTTTACTCTGCTCCTTAAAAGCGTCGGGGCGGTACTGCAGCAACACTGTAAATCGACCGTCTGTGGTGTGTTGCCGAAGTTGTTGCTTTTGGCTGATTTTACTGTCAGCCTAATCCAATTGTTGTAACGCTGTCTAGTTGACGTCGACGCTTCGTCCAGCCTCATCATGAAGAACCAACAGAAGACGCAAAATTGCAGAAAGCGCTCCAGTGAGTAGCTCTTCCCATGGGCTGCTATTCTCTTCAGCGGATCTTCCGATAGGTGCAACATGAGGATCAGCAGGTGGCTAAGTCGTACACCTCTTCTCTGGTCCGAAGGCGGCTTCGTTTTCCAGAAAGTCCTCAGTGCTTGCCCAAAGGTTCTTCTGACTGCTGCTGACAGTGGTGCCACTAGGTCGCCGAAACATTTGACATTCTCAAGATATTGGGCTTTCGATTTCTGAAAGCTGGCCGCTTTGATGAAAACTTGTGCTAGAAGTTGGACCATTCTCGGTGTCAAAAAGCGAGGATGGGCATCTCTACCCAACGCCCAGGCCAATTCCACGCATTTCTTGTAGGCAAATTTGTATGATCTTAGCGTCGAGCCAGCAAGTCTAGCCTTGATGTCAAATTCGGCCACATGTTCTAGCAATCCGTCCACCATTGAATCCATTCCCACTGCCGATTGTAAAGGGGGTTTTGCCGGGTGGTCTTCGAAAGTCGGTAGCAGATGTGGTTTTCGTTCGCATTCTTGTACTATCAGCGCAAGTGCCTGCGTCCAAGACACCAGTTGGCCAAGGCCTGTTCTTCTTGCAGCTTCTGGCAACCCTGCCCCTGGGGCTTGTTGCAGGTTTCTGCCGGGCCGCGTATACTTGCGCGCACTGCCTGTGGGAGCTCCCGCTTCGACATTGTTGGCCAATACTAGCACTTCTCCACTATTCTGATTTTGGTCTTGATATGTCACCGGGTGCTCCTGCAAGCCATCCTCTTGCAATGGGGCAGATAAAGAGACTTCTTGTTGATTGAGAGAGTCTGCCACCGCGCTATAGGTGGCATCTATAATTGGACTGTTCTCCTCACCGGTGACATAGGAGCCTGCAGTCTCCACGTCTTCTCCTAGGAGCGGTTGAAACAAATGCTGCGAGTCCGTTTCGCCGACCGGTGGGCCAGTAGAGAAAAGACTTAAATCTACCATTTGAGAGGCCGTCGGCGTAATAGCAGGGACTTGAGCCGCTGCGTTAGACTGCGAAGAAGAAAGAGAGGCTGCGGATGAGCGCCACGTTCTTACCTGCTCCTGTAACGGTAAGCGATGAGGTACGTCGAACGTGTTGTCAAAAGTTGATAACCGCTCCCAGCGTCCCGGCATGATGAGACTACTAGGGAGGAGGGGGGGAAAAAAAATGCAAGTAAGTCAAAAGACACGCACTTCAAAAAGGTTCCTTACCCCTGGATCTATAAACTACAAATTTCAGAACTTCCTATTTGTGAGAACGCCTTTGCACGATCGAGTTTTCATTATCGCCAAACCTACACCAGCCAAGATAATAAGCCTCGATCTCCTTTGTCTTCTCTCCATTGTGAACACGGCCTGCCGGCCCACCAAAACGATCTACGATCTTTAAACGCTTTTTTCTTTTGAGCAGACAACCTTGCTTCAATGCATTGTTGTCCAGAGTTTCTTTTTGCAACGGGATCTTGTGTTGGGATCCAAAACAAGATCTAGACCAACATGTCGAGGGATGTGATTGGGTAGGAGAAAAGCAACAGGTATAGACCTTTAAAACCCATAACGATATATCAAGATCATCGACCTCGTATAGCCTCGTCTCTGTGATCAACTTCTATTCCAATTCACCCGCTTAAAGGATTTTGATTCTTCATCATTTCCATTTAACGCCAAGGGAGTGGATCCACGAGACGAGGCCTAAGCCTTGACCATAGCCAACTGCGAACAACTTCGCTAGTGCTAAAAGAAAGGCCTGACAGGGGAGGGCCTGGCTGTCAACCCAGTCACCTCTGAAATGCAAGTAAGTCAAAAGACACGCACTTCAAAAAGGTTCCTTACCCATGGATCTATAAACTACAAATTTCAGAACTTCCTATTTGTGAGAACGCCTTTGCACGATCGAGTTTTCATTATCCACAGAATGAGTCTGCTGCTTTAAATCAGTGCATGTGCTGGTGTGCAGTCGTGCTGTTGGGTCTGCGTTGCTAGGGGTGAAGGCACACGCAACCGCAGGTGACAGTTCCCAGCCGTCATGTATAGTGTTGGGCCCAAAGACATCCACTAGTGCAGTCGTCGTCAGTGTGGTTGTGGTTGTAGTCGTCGTGGTAGATGTGCGCGTCGTTGTCATTATAGAAGGAAACGCACCATCAACAGCAAGCAGAGTCAGAGACGAGATAATGAGATTTACTTATACTTGTGGATACATAAGGACATCTCTATTCCGCATTTTGGAAAAAAAAGAATATTCGCGCTTCAACTTGAGCAATTTTTTGCTTATACATTTCACGTTCTCTCAATCATAATTACAGGCAGCGGGTCCCCAGGTAGTGGAGGCGTTGTTATAGTCGGTGGCGGAGTTGTTGTTGTAGTCGGTGGTGGTGTCGGACACGCTATTCGCCAGTTGCTCATGCGCACGCAGTATGACCCCCCCGTCGCGTCGTGTTCCCACTGGGCACACACATAGGTACCGCTAACCTGGTTCAACTCCTGCTGGGCACAAGTCCATTTGTGCCATCTTCCCTGACATCCTGACGGACAAGTGAGCTGATCCGGCGCCACGGGGAACACGTCACCCTTGCTTGATTCCTGTTCCGCCGCTTCGCTATCGCTCTGAAGAAAAACAAGTTTGTCTTGGTCAGTGTGCAGTGAAATGCGCTTTCTACTTTCGTCGGCGAGGCTGGGTGCAGCGACACCTTTGTGCAGAGAGCTTTTCTCCCTATCCTTTCGCAAAGATAGGATGGCATGCTGTGATCCGTGGAGTGGAACGACCAATTTAGTCGCTCCACACAGTAGCGGCTGGACTTCGAATGCCGCCTTGATGATAATCTCCACTAAGCAAGCGCCGCGCATTGTCGACAACATCATCGCCACAACTTTTTCAGCAACTTGCGTGCCGTTCGTATCGCCTCAGAGACGAAAGTGCCATCCGGTTGAAACCGGGCCACTCAACGACAACCCCGATTTCGCGGCTAGTCGTTGTAGGATTTGTTTTTCCCGATATGCCATGATACCTTAGCGAGATCACTTGAAGATGAGTGGTTACTTGGTAATCCCTCGTCTCTTCAGATCGGACTTAGACAATATTCATCTTGTCTCCTCATTACATTTTTCATTTTGTTCTAGTCTTTGATTATAATTACAAATCTAACTTCTACAGCAATATTATGGTCCGAGGAAGCTGCAGGTGCGCAACTACTTGATAATTGATGCAATCCCGCACGCACTCTGACAATGATGTTTTTATTTTTCAGTATGATCTGAACCTGCGACGGAATCTGATGCTGAAGACTTTGTCTTTTTGTTTGTAACATCATTCGTCTACCTCTAGCTCTACACCATTCTTCGTGTGCCTATTTTCAAGACAGAGTCCAAACTTATCATTGTGGCACAAAAATGGGTATTATTGAAACTGGGAGTTTTAAGTAGAAAGAGAGTTGACTGAAGTTAGTACATCTACAGTTTTTACACTTGGAAGGGCTTGCACTTGCTCACTTTTTGGTGTTATTTTCTAAAAAAGGAAACCCACGGAAGCTTGGTCGTTCTCGTTGGGATAAATTGTACGTACTTTCTAAAGTTCATGAACTTTCTGAATCAAAATTGTCGCCTACTTTCTGAAGACCCCTCTAGCGCTCAGAAGCTTACCTCTCGCCCGCTACTACTCAGAAAAATACTATGTAGTCTCTGACCTCGTTCTACGGCTGGTCCTCTAGAATGCATGAACTACTTTCGAAAGCACCGACCTCTTCAGGCCAGTCTCGGAGGTGGGACCTACTACATTTGTTGAAAGCGTTTGGGAACCGACCAAGATGAGATCAAGATCCCGAAATGCTCCTCATCTCGCATACATAGCATGGTCTTTCCCGCATTCTCTCATCATGCTCACTCGGCATTTCTATCTATGTGTATCTCCATCTTCTTGTGCGAAGGACTATGTAGGAGTACCCTGAGACCGAGGGCCGTCTTCCAAAAGAGCATCATGACACCACGTGAGTAAAGAGAGCCTTAGTGTTGAATACAAGACCAATTCCGACATTGTGTCCAGTCGAAAGGCTTTGGTGTAGGCAACCAGCGAAACTACTTCTTCTAATGAGTCTGTAAGAACCCAACAAGGGATGCAGAGTCTTCTTCTTCGTGTCTATTAATAATCCTACTGCAAAAATGCAGCTTGTTCGAAAAAGGGAGGGAGGCATTACGGTAACAAAGGAATGGGGAGTCGGATTTATTTCATATTCATGAGGACATTACAAACTTTAATACTGGGTTCAAATCGGATTCACATTCGGATTCGGAAGAACGGGGGCAAGCCTGAGCAGTTTGTTTCATAATAGACAACCAAGGTGGAGGTGGTCTAGTACGCGAAGCAACCAACGCAAGAAAGGTCTCGTCGACAACTACATGAGCATGCCATTCATTGACTAGCACAATTCTACTTAGGAAAAGCCAACGACAAGCAAACCGTGATGGCGATTTAAACCCCCTAAGTTTAGCAAGATCGGTCGTGCTGAAGACAAGTCCAATGAATGCAATAATATTTATATTTATAATAAGGGAAAACAAAATTAGTATTAGACTACCTAGATAAACCAATTATGGTGCAGGTGCTGACGCTGCAACAAACGTCAGAAGCTCGAATGATGGAAAACGATAATTACGGGTGGACAGGATCCATAGTGCGCGTCGGATTTTATGTGTGCGTGCGCAATCGAGGATCACGTGCTCCCAGTACTTCTAACCCACCTTCCTACTTCACTGTCCAAAAGTGATCTTACAAATCTACTAAGCACTACACAGCTAACAAGTCTAGCATGAGATGATTGCATCAGATAGTAGCTTTCAACAAATCTTGTTATGACGGTGTTACAGTTAGTGATACTGTTACGAGACCGAGAAATAAATCCAACTAAGAGGAGATGAATACGCCGTAGATATTTTCAATTTCATTTTTGATTTTGCGATTGCGCGTCTAACATAATGATGTTAAGGATTAGCGAGGGCGATAAACGGTCTTTCTGCTGCACAGGACAGATATGATAGATTGATGGGCTCGGGCTGCACATACGTCATACGAGATCATGATATCTATCAGTGCCAATGTCATACATTCATAACACTGCATTATCAAAACTTACCTCTACAGATGGAATGGGGCCGACAAGAACGCGTAACTCTGACTCACATAATTATAAGTAGTCCTCCGTCCGATGTACAAGGACACCAATTACAATAGCAGGGGAAGGGGACATTCCATAGCAAGCGCTATGATGAATCACAGTCATGATCATAATTTATTGATTCAAAAACATGATAGAGAGAAAAGAACCGAAACACGATGAGTGTTAGGGCAACGGGCGTACCCTTAGTTGCTTCTTACAACTAAAAACTACTTCTGATCATAGTTAGTGTAGGTGAATGAAACAATAACTACAACGAACAAAACGTCAAAAAAGTGGCTTACAAGTCGGTCGGAGGGCTAACTAGTAGCATCTTTTCCCTTAATGGGCAGCCGCCTCTCCTGCTCTTGTTCCCACTCCTTGAGGTACGTCCTCGTTTGCATTTCTTGTAACCTGCTCACCGCACGACGAACCGCAAAACCCGTCTCGTGTAGGCTCGCGATTGCTGCGACGAACACACCCTAAATTAGAGGACGAGGAGGTGAATGTGATATATGATGGAGCATGAATTCCAGATTATACTTATTCTCATCGTGTTTGCGTATAGTCTTGCCATATGTTCGCTCCGTGTTATAGTGGTCGTAGCTAAACTACCGAACAAGGAGCCGTATCACATAGAAGTTCTAGCGAAGGAGCTACCTCTTATGCATTACACTGTTTCTAATCCTAACAACTAGGAGTTCTTGTACCTGTAACATCTACAAAAAGTACATTTACACTTAAACGACGAGAGAGTGCGAGTGAAAATCAACTACAACCGATGCCATAACTTCACAGTGTGTTGTTCAGCTGTTGGATCGGATGCCTCCCATTCAGCTTGCGAAACGCGGCGTCTGTCGTCCCACTGCCTGCTTACTTGCGGCAGCCCGTGCTTATCCTGTCGCCAAATTTCTACGTCCTTTTCGGTCTCAAGTTGTTCTCGCGTTTGCCGTTGAGAAAGGGGAGGAGCGGAGAAAAACTGCTGCTCCGAATCACCAGAATCAGGCGCAGCAGTTTTCGATGCTCCCGAGAAAGAATGACTGCTCTTAGTGGTGAGAGAATCAGCAATAGATGACGCTGTCGATGTTGATGTGCTTGTGGTTACAATTTTGCTTTCTACTGACCAGTTGTTGTGGTCCGCGGAGAGAAAGTAACAACTTTGCTGATTCTTTCCCACAGCGTCTGACACTGCCCGCACTGCGGACAGCACGCCACTGCTTGCGGCTGTGGCATCTTGGTCACCGCTACCGACGCTGCCTTCCTTGTTTTCTCGGATGACTTCTGCCACGTCTAGCGTTTCTAACGGCAGAAGCTCGGCAAAAATGCCCTCGACGGTTTCCGCTTCCATATTTACGCAAATGAGACGAACGTGGTGCTCGTAGGCGCAGTCGAGAAAGTTCGTCAGCCTCTTTGCCTCATTGTGATCCGACACCTCTAGACGCGGCAGACCGTCAAGTACAATCGTGGGAAACTGTGTGCATAATGCGTTGTAATCGTCTGCACCCAAAAAAGGTGGTCCCTTAAACAATTCCGCGAAGGAAAACAAAGCCGCTGTTCCGTCAGGCCTACAGTGACGGCATGGGTAATTACGATTATAGCCTACTTCCACGAAATGCCCATGAGGAAACAAGTCGAGCAAGACACTGTCGAAAACATGTCGACCACCAGGACGCGAGGCCATTGTCATCGGGGGAAAATCATGATCATTCTGGCTACTCGAAGTGGCTGTTTCATTCACGACTGAGCCTTGTCGATCTTCGCCCTCGTTGGATGTTTCTTTACCTGCCGCATTTTCATTTATCAGTGCAGTTGTATCCGAGACGATGCTGTCAGCAGCTTTTGGTTTGATTTCTCGTGCGACGCTGACAAAGCCTCGAGATCCTCCAACAGAGCTTCCTCTGCTGAGGGGCTTCGCAGCCGCAGGGCTCCCGGCTGCCGATGTGGAAGAAGGTGATCTGGGACTCAGGCCAGAAGCGTTTTCGATTGCACCTTCGTCAGTTGATGCCGTCCCGCCTGTCGCTGCTTCACCCATCGAGAATATGCTTCTTAGGAATGCCACCATTTTCCCTTTCTCTGAGCAGTGAAAAAAGATCTTTGTTCGCTGCGCAGCGTTCTCGTATTGATCGCGGCGATAATCTGTCGACTGGACGGTTGCGATGTCCATGTGTTCATTGAGCACTTTCAGAAAAGCGGGAATGTAAAGGTGCCGGTTTAGGCCATCCTCGTACAAAGACTCTGGCGCACGGTTTGAAGTTGTCACCTATCAAGATGGTGTAATGGATTGTTCGGAAAGGTCATTCAATCTTCAACCAGGAGAGGAAAAAGCAGGGGTGTACTATTTCGGAGTACTTTGAAAAATATGAAAAATCAGATACAGATGCTGGATCACGATCAGTGTCATCGTTTTCGTCTCGAGGAAAAGCAGAGCACAATAACTTCGTCATATTCTACATGTACATATCTATCAATTAACAATATGTACCAAAACAACGCCTTCTCGAAAGAGCTTTGCGAAGAGTGGCGCTAGTATGGTGCAATCTTGTATCGTAGTTATTGCGAGCTCATCGAAACAAAGAACGTCCGCCTCTGCCTTGAGCATGCGCGCGAATTGGTTCATCGCCTCGTTCGACGACAGTTGCTTGTCTGCTTGCTTCAGCTTGTGCAGCGTCCGATGCACCGTGTATAGAAATTCGTGGAAATGCTCCCGCTTGGCCTTAATCCCTGCTGTTTTAAGAGAGCGAAAGAAGATGTCCATGCACATCGTCTTCCCACTGCCGGCGGAACCATGCAGGTAGAGCCCTACCATGGGGGGCCCTCCACCGCGCGTACGAGTACGACGCCGATAACGCTTTCCGAAGGCCGCAAAGGGCGAACTCGTACTGTCATTAATCATCTTCTTGCTGTTCACCAGTAATGACGGGTCCATGATGTCTCTGGAACCACTCTTGGTACGCGCAAAAGTGTGTTTTGTCAGAGGAGGCCCTGCAGCAGATGTTGGCCCAGGACGGCCACTGCTTATTTTTCTGCCCATGTTAGAATTCAGTCCAGCTCCTGCATCGTATGCACTTGGATGAAACCTTTCGTCTCCGAAAGATGGAGCAAAATTTTCTTCGCATTCGTGGAAAAGCTGACTGAGACGTTTGATTGCGGCTTCCTGCATCGCATCTTGCTGGATCTCACCACGTGCGCACATCTGTCTATAGAACGACGATGGCGCGGTGGGTAGTTCCTTGTCGTGCCGTGCGTTCGGATCTTCACCGCCGCCACGTGTCTTAGTAGACTGCATCCGTGCCCTGGTGACAATGGTTTGCAAAAACGCTGACCTGCTAGAAGTGGTGGAAGATAACGCTCCTGCGCTAGCTCTTGGGATGGCCACGACCACTTCGTTCAATCCCCGTAGAAGCCCCCCTGGCCATGTCCGCGTTTGGGTACAACTCGAAGCGGCACCGATGTGAGAAGTCGGGAGACGTCTGCGTGCGTTGCGTGCTGCAACGCTGCCACTACACAAGACGCGTCGCATTTTGTTGTTTTCAAGTCAGAAATTCAAATTATTCTACTTCATACACTACGACTACGAAACCTAGGTGGCAGATGACTATTTCTACAACTTTTTACTACTTACTCAATGAGTATGAGCTTCAAGCTTGGAGACTACAATGCTGGATGATGGAGACACACACGAATTTCTGAAAACAATGAAGCAAAAGCTGTTCAAAAGTAGAAGAAGTACTTTCTTGGTTGCTGCATCAAGACAGTACAAAGATGGATACTTACCAGGATAAAATCTTAGCAGAATTTTCCCCGTAACAAAGGGATGACAATGGATCTTTCTAGAGTTCCGTGGGGACGGCGGCCTCGTCGGCTCCGAACAAGTAAAAATAATAGAGTGAACTAATGAAAGTGAAGGAGTCCGCTTACCGTTGAACGGGAAAAACAAAGGAAAATGGGTCGTGGGAAGGGGAGCAACAACTTCTGGAACTGGTGACCCATATGGATGAAAAAGTGTTGAGACCTTCGACATCTTCGAGCTCGAATGCATGAGGATGAGCATCCTTCGACACATAATTTAGGAGCTGCCAGTTCTTAGGATCTTTATCTCTGAACATCTCGTTTCTTCTAGCCCTTCATCTCGTCGCTCACGAAAAGAAGTTTTCTCTTCCGTATAATAGAAATAGCCATCGGCATCGGAGCCCTGGTGTTGCGCTGGTGAGGCTCTCGTCACTGCTCCTTCTCTCACTCAGTGCAGAGGACAAAGTGACAGACACTCGCGCAGACATGAAATAGAAATTTGTATCTGCTGGTAGAAAATTATCTTGTACTGGCAAAAGCAAGCTACTAAATCAACAAATTGAAAGGCGTTTCGTCTCTCTAACGCGCAGAAAAGCGAACACATTATAACAGCTAAGTAGGCTCTGTGTTTCAGCTATTAATTTCAAGCTGGCTGTCAGAGAGTGCCTTACGATGGAACGAGGAGGGTTCTTTTTTTTTCGTTCAGGAAGTTCAGTATCAGTTTTTCTTTTTTGGTTCTAAACAAGTATTCAACATCTTCAACGGATAACGCAATCGCACATGTTTACTCTAATCATCAGTCACTGTCGATGTCAATGACGCCGTCCTGTTGTACTCTTGTAGACGATAGGTTACTCGTGGCCCGCGCGAGGACATCAGCAATTTTTGGCTGCTTGTTCTGCTTCTGTTTTTTCTTAGGGTGGGGCGCCTCTGCTGAACTTTTAGTTTCGTTTTTTCGAGTTTTAGGCTCCGTCAAGGTGGAAAAAGCGGAAGGGAGCGATGCCGAGGCCATACTAGGCAGCGTATGCGTATGGTCTGCCGTCGTGGGCCTTGAAATGAAATTGGAATTCCCATCTTTAGCGAGGGTCTGTTGACTCAAAGGACGATCGTCTTGTGTTCTCGTGTTTATTACATCAGCGTTTTGCAAGAGGGACACTAACGATGGCTGGTAGGCGCAAAGACTCGTTGTGCTGGAGGACGGTCCAGAGCTGCTACCTTCTCCCCCGCCTCGCGACTTACTACTTTTCCGTTTTTTATTTGCCTTATCAACGCCCTGGACTCTGTCAATGGCTTTGCCTTGGTTTCTCACGTTGCGCTGCAGCTGTTCCCCTTCCGCGGATTGTGCGAGAATATGACGAAGTTGCTCAGTCTCTTGTTGATCTCGGATTTCCGTTTCGAGAGCTGCGTCAGACTTCGCGATCTCTTCCTCAAAAAAAGCGTCCATGATCGAATCAGTTGACGATTGCCTGGATATTTCTTTGCAATTAGAAGTCCTCTCTGGGTCCTCCTGGACGATCATAGGGTCGTCCTTCATTCCACCGCTCTCCAACAAGAAATATGGAGAGCGTGTTCTCTGTTGGAGCTGATGGCGCGCGTTTTGTTTGGAAGCCGAAGCCGGATCGCCAGAAGCAGGAACAAAAGGCTTGTTTAGTTTCTCGGAACATTTGTGAGAATCATTTCCATCATTTTCTTTCGATATCGGGTCCTTTGCCTCTGATTCTGTCCCATTTTCGTCGCGATTCGCACACTGCATCTTCTCACGGTCGTCCTGTGCGGAAACACGTGATGCAACAGGAGGAATGCCGTTCTTTACGTCTTCGTTGTTTTTGCCTTCTACTTCTTGAAGATGAACAACTACAGCGGAAGCACTGGCCGATTCAGGATCAGAAACTCGAACTTGAAGGTCTGCCACCTCAATATCTGGAATGTTGACATCGAGTGCGAGATGCTCGCTTTTACTTCTCTCGCTGTTCGCAGCACCAGTTTCAGACTTCAATTTGAAATCGGGAGGCTCGAGCGCAAGTCTTTCGCTTGTTGATAATGTCGTGCTGTCCACCGCCTGCAATACACTTGTTCTACTCGTCGAAAGTTTCTCCTCCTGCTTTTTTCTCTTGTTGTCGTTTTTGGGACCACCATTACCAATACCAGCAACTTCGTTTCCCTCCTGCCCGCGATTAGACAGACTTGGCACTACATTCGGTAGCCGAAAAAAGTTCTCCAACGGTGGGCACGGTCTCTGAGGAAAGGATACCGTAACTCCCGAATCGTCGCGAAATGTCGCCCCAGTTTCTAGGCATACCCATCGCTGTGCAGTGAACCCCAAATTGAAGAAGGGATCGCGATTCTTCAGCAGCTCGTTGGTGAGATATTTTAGAGTCAGTTTTGCGACAGGAATAGTCTTGGACATATCGTTGCCTTGTGCGCCTCGCCACGACACCACAGCCTGCAAGGGTTGACGGCCGTGCTCGGTTTTCTCTTTCTCAGCTTTTTGTGCGAAGTCCGCCAACAGCGTCTGCATCCAACCTCGAAGATTCTCGTCCACGAGAGAATATTAGAGGTAGAAAATAATAGAGCAGTTTATAAGGGTTCCAGGTCTGGGATGGCATGGATCGAATGGCACGAATGGCACGGATGGGGGGGGCGCAATCTGTGACCGCGATCGATCTCGCCATTCGTCCCATTCGTGGACCAAATAGACCTTCGAGAGCGGGGCGCCCTTCGGGCGCCCTGCGTTGCTCCCTCCACTAGGTTGCTACTTCCTGCTCGACGCTCTATGCCGACCGCCAAGAACCCTGCAGGCGCCAAGCCCTGCACTCAGCCAAACGCACACCCCTTACACAGTTCCACTAGATACCAAGGCCGCCTCCCCGCTACGGGCGGGGCGCCATGCTTCGGCGCCACCTCTTCCCTTCTTCGTCGTCACGGCTACCGCAAGGCACGCGGCTACGCCTGTTTTTAAGCTGGACCCTGATGCCGCTCCGGTGGTCTCGCAGCATTTTCTTCCCGGAATTCCGTGGGGGTTACGCAAATTCGTCCGAATTTGTATGACCCCCACGGAATTCCGGGAAAAAACGAGGCCCACGCGGCGCCTTGCGTGAAGTTCTGCACTCCTCAGAAGCGGCTTCCGCTGTTTCCCTAGCCCGCTCCCTTGCCATCTTCAAAACGGCAGAGGAGCCTGCCGGGGACTCGCGCCTCCCTCTCCTCGCTCGCCGCCGGCTTTGTCGACCGGCGTGGCTTCTCTCATGGGCAGAACCAGTCACGCACGACCTACATACCCGGCAAGCGGATGAGACCAGGGGCGCCAGCTGGCGGAACCCTGTCAACCTGTGCCATTCGTGCCATTCGTGACACATTTGGGGTCTGTTGGGGTGTGCCATTCATGCCATTCGTCCCATGCGCCATTCGTGCTATTAACTGCGCTAAAATAAGTCTACAAGAACAGCTAAACCTGTAAAGCTAGTGCTAGAGAATAAAGGTAATCCTCTCGTCACACGACGTAGGCCTAGGCACTGAGTGAGTTGTAACACACATTACAATGAGCTCGCAAAGATGAAAAGCATCACGGTGATTGTGATGTTGGGAATGGAGTTCCGAGTTGGATCACGACTCACTGTGCATAATATTGCGGTGTGTGCCATCGCTTGCTGGTGCCGACGATTTTGGACAAGAGACGCGGCTCCACTGGATTGTCATCAATGCCATGACACGCGTCCGCTAGTGGTGCCGCAATTGTCGCAGTAAGTTTCTCTGCCAGCAATCGCAGTTTTGTAGCGAGCACTTCGCCTACAGTTTGGGCTCCCAACTTGGTGCAAATATCCTTTCCTAGCTTCGCGCCGTACCCACGAAGATCTCTGATCTGCAGTGGCGACAGGAACTCAGGCACACCCAATGGAAACACGGCAGAAAGACGAAAGGGTTTGTGCTTGCCAGAGGCGATTTTGGAAACGCATTTGGTGTTTCCGACTCCCAAACTGCACGAGAGTGATAGAGATTTCCACACGCGCACCTGGATAACGTAGCAAATGCGAGTGGCGTTAACAAAGCAGTAAAACTCGAACAACTCTGAGAAAAGAGCGGCATGCTGGCGACGGCCCAACTTTTCTTCCTCCGTTATTGCCTCGGATTTGTTTTTTTTGTTCGTCGAGCCCGTGCCTGCACCGCCCATCCCCATCTCCATCTCCGACGCTACCAATGCTAGGTGCTTGTCTGGATTTGCTAGAAGGGCTAGGCCTGGCGCAGCCTCCTTATCCGCCTTGTCGTAGACCATGTCGGAGAAGAAAGGCTTGCCATGGATGGTGAGGCGGTCCGTGTCTGGCAGACATTTCGTTCGAAAAAAGTCAAGATCCGCTTGGAGCTCACTCCGGAGCTGTTGTAAAACGTGCTTTTGCTCTTCACGGTCGACCAGAGCAATCGGCAACGCAACTTGAGCAATCTCGCTTCGAATGCGTTGCTCGAGACTGTCGCGCATACGCATCTCGTCGGCACTCGCAGCTGCGTACTGTCCGTTTGAAACTGGAAAATCGTCCTCTTGTAGTGGGTCTTTTCGCGATGCAGGGCCATGCTCGATGGCATCTTCTTCGCCTTCGAGAATAGTATCGAGCTGTAGTATATTTCCACTAGCACGCTGTTCAACATTTGCCTTTGTTCTCATGTTAGGAAGCGGATCGACATCGACCTCGATACTATCATCGTTTTCCAGCATTCGCGCAATTTCGTTGTCAATCTCCTCGTCGAGTTCAATGTCCATTTCGCTGGTTTCTACTGGTAGGTATTTCAATTCTCCACCAAGATTGACGCCAAAATCAGACACATGCTGCGATTGGGATTGAGAAGGATGAAGAACATTGCTTTCTTCAAGGCCAAGATCAACCTTGGGAAGGTCCGTGGCCGCGTCTAGTCTGGGACTTGACCCCTTCATCGCCTCCTTTTCGTGTTCACACGCTTTATTGTTTCTATGCTCCTCATGCCCGTGCTGTATCTCAGCTCCTGAGATTGTCGAGGTCACGCGAATCTTCGCCTCTTCCGATTCCACCTGAGCTTTACTAGCATCTGTTTGTTCAGCATGTTTTATTTCAGGGTTGTTGGCCTCTTCTACCATGATATCATGGCTTTCTTGATGGTCTTTCACTTCACCCTGCTGTCCACTCCTTATTCTGCTTGTATTTTCGTGATCGTTACTTTGTTCCATCTTTAACAAAGCCGACGCTACTCTCAGCTGCAGTAGAATATCTCTTCCTCGGCGTTCAACCCAGGCATTGAATCCCTCGGCCGATCGCGAGGTGAGGTCGAGATAGGCTTCGTCGATACTCACTCTTTCCACGGGACCGAATTCGTTGAGCACCTCCATCACTTCCGAACCCGCGTCGCGATAAAAGCTCGTGTCCGCCTTGCCGAATCGAGTTGGAATACCAACGAAGAGCATATCAGGGCAAACTCGTAAGGCGTCCTGCACAAACATTCCACGCTTCACACCACAGGCTTTCGCCTCGTAGCTCAAGGCGATGATGCCAGCGTTGTGGCCCGTACCAGACGCGCGAAACCCTCCTCCGCCGCTGAAAGTTCCAGCTCCACCGCCTATGTGCGCAGTCGTCGCGCCGGGACCTTTATTGGCAGTAGCGATCGAAGGTTTGCTAAAATTGCGTTCGCCTTTCGAAGAATCGAACCCTGTTGCTCCTGCTCCCTTCCCGCTCTTGCCTGCAGTAAAACGGCTGTCATTTGCAGATCGAACTCCACTGGTGCTTAGAAAAAGATACAAATACCTCAGCCGACTATGACTATCTATCTACTTAAGTAGATCTAGGGTTCAAGGTTGAGGGTTCGCTGTTTCGCGGCCAGGCCGCATTGACAGGGACGACTTAGGTTCGTGTAGAACCACTGCAATACACACCATCACCAGCTGTTTGTGACGCATATGACTAGACGACTCAGCATTCCAGGTCTACATTCTTCACATTTTTGCAAATTCAAGAGTCCAAAACATGAATAACTAATCAATCGTCATAACCCATGATTCAGGAGGCGATCTTGTCTCCAGTCCACGTTATCGTACGACGCGTGCTGTTGACTCCACTGACACAGGCCCACGGGCTTCGAGCGCAGCATCGGATTCAAACGCCGCTCCACTGCAACATAGAAACAGTCTAAGTCCATATGAACAATGACTCTCTTCGTTTGACATATCTGCTTTCGCAAGCGAGGCCTGTCGTCACGCAAAACAGCGTCGGGTCTCGTTTTCTCCTGCAACACGGCAGAGTCGGTCTTCCCGTTCCTCCCACCGAGCCCAAAGCTCAGCAAGCTCGTCCCGGCTGCCATCCTGTCTTTGTCGTTTTTGCTCGGCTTGTCTACTTATTCCCTTTCGTAGTCGACGTGAGGACCTCTCTTCAACGCCGAACTGAGGGCGACATTGATCGCAACGAACTGCGTACTAGAGCTCTTCATGTTCCTTTTCCTTTTCTTCATCATCTGAAAGTCAGTCTACTAGTAGAAGCGGATGATCTTCATATTTAAGATTTTAGAGATGATGTTCTACTACCCAAACCCAACCTAGTGAAGGTAGTGCTACTAATATTCTAATTTGAGGACGGACACACCACAAGAAAAACGGCTATGTATCAGAAAAAGCCATAAAATTTTTTGGCTCATCTGCAGGAGTGCAAAGCTGTTTCAGAATTTATCACTTCTCAAAAAAAGATGAGCGGTGTCTCAAGCTTTTGAGTTTCGGTGCGGGGGGGGAGCATAAGAGCGGGCGGGGGACCTGTTCTCTTGAAGTTGATATAGTTGGCATAATATGTCACTGAGTCTAAAAATATTTTACTAAATCATTCCGCGTGGGTGTACAATGCAGAATGTGATGAAGATTGTGAATCTTCTTCATAAGAAGTAGGATAGGATACATAGGAGTTGGCTCGCCGTCCACAGTTTGACCTGTATCCTCGGGCGAACGTCCGGAGCCTCAGAGGGACTACCAGACAGTTCATAATAGTAAGATGGACCTCGGCCGTTCTAAGATCAGTACTTCGAAGGAGTAAGACAGTTCATAATAGATATAGAAATTGGTATTTAACAAGCACTCGTCTTTTCGCCTCTAGATTTCTCCTTTGTCTTAGAGGTGAATGTGTAACACGATGAAAAATCGAGTGTGGCCGTCTGTCGACCGGGGCGACCCTGTGGCCCAGACGCTGTATTCAACAGTTGTGAAGATAGATACATCGACTGCACGTTCACGACTGCGTGAAAGTATTTCATTAGCGTGCTCCTCCTTCTTGGCGCTGGTCTTATGCAAGATTTGAGATAGCAAGAAAGAACAAGTTTAGTGTAGCGATGTTGAAGATATATCTTGTAAGGATAAGGAATTGTTATTGTTTTTGTTCATAGGTTTGATGCAACTGATGCACCCTGTTTCCAAGAGCAAGAGTGGGCGCGTACACCCCACATCCGACAAAAACAAAGCACGTCGGATATGACAACCGCATGAGAAGTAGCTGAGTAGGTATATACAGAAGCTTTGCAAGAACGATAAGAAAATAGTCATCATCTACAAGGTTTATCATGTGAAAGTATCGCGGCTTCTTCGCAACATCATTCTTTGGGCAAACAATGTGCAAAAGTTGATACTGAGACTCGAGTGCGGTTCTTGAAGCTGAAGTTGTGTGAGGCCTATGATGAGTGTGTAGTTGTAGTATCTATATATGTACCCGGGAGGGAGCCCCCCCCCCCTCTGTGGATGGATCTGGGGTGGACCACGCCAGAGGGGTCCACCCTTGCCACCTTTGCCCGGGCGGTCTGTGGGGTTGGGCACATGCAACACGCCAGAGGGGTCCACCCTTGCCACCTTTGCCCGGTCTGTGGGGTTGGGCACATGCAACACGCCAGAGGGGTCCACCCTTGCCACCTTTGCCAGGTCTGTAGGGTCGGGCACATGCAACACGCCAGAGGGGTCCAGCCTTGCCACCTTTGCCAGGTCTGTCGGGTACATGCAGCACGCCAAGGGGGTGGGTCCCGCCTTGCCTCCTCTGGCAGCTCTGTCGGGTACCTGCAACACGCCAGAGGGCTCCAGCCTTGCCATCTTTGCCAGGTCTGTAGGGTACACGCAGCACGCCAAGGAGGTGGGTCCCGCCTTGCCTCCTCTACCAGCTCTGTCGGGTACCTGCAACACGCCAGAGGGCTCCAGCCTTGCCATCTTTGCCGGGTCTGTAGGGTACATGCAACACGACAAGAGGGCCCAGCCTTTGCCACCTTTGCCAGGTCTGTAGGGTACACGCAAGAAGCGGGAAGGGGTCAGAAGTGGGCGCTTTGAGGCCTTCCCGCCCGGCAGCCCCTCGACAGACCTGGCAAAGGTGGCAAGGCTGGACCCCTCTGGCGTGGTCCACCCCAGATCCATCCACAGGGGGGGGGGCCTCCCTCCCTGGTACATATATAAGATATAATTATGTGGCAGTGCCAGTGCTGGCCAAATAGTTCAAGGATAATGATACAAAAACTTGATCATAAGCCCTTGACTATACATTTATAAGAAAGGAGAGGCCGGACGCTTGCCCTTGCTCCTTCTCTACCATTTTGCGTGGTTTGATGCGCCGTCTCCTCTACGCAGGGGCGCGGCGCTACTTGTCATAGTCGGAGGCTGATCCGATGGCTGGCCCCAGTTGTCGAGCTTGTCTTTCTCGGGTGGCTTATCGCCTGAAGGTCCGCCTTTTGTCGGACTCCCACCGGTGGGGTAGTATCGAGCCCCCGGCTTCTTGTTGAACAGAGTTCCACCTCCCGCGACGGCCGCTTCCGCATTGTTTGCCTCGTCTGGACCGCTGGCAATGCCGTTTGCAGGATTGGACGGCTGGTGATACTGTCCTCCGCGACTGCCTGTGGGCGATCGGGCCAGTGACGTGGATTTGAGCTGTGGCGCCATTCCAGGCAATGTCCCAGGCGCACGTGACTTTCCTGGTGACGAAAAGGCGGACACCGTCCCGCCCGGTCCTTTCTTACCTTCTAGGACATTGCGCGGCGGTCCCCCACCCGCATTAGGAGGGCGGCCACGGGATGCAGCGGGACTTCTGCTGGGCGAGGACCACTGCTGATGATGACTCTTTCCTCCGTTCCCAGAGGGTTTCCCTCCCATGCCACTGCCTGCCGACGTTGAATATTCAAGAGGTTGCGTCCCATTCATCATGTAGGAGTTGTTAGCGTAGTACGGCGGTCTACCGCTTCCAGCGCTCCCCGGCACAAATGTGCTAGAGCCACCGCGTGAGGGAGGCCCCGAAAAGGCGTCATAGGCTGTCGCTATTTTCGTCGAATTTTCCGTCGCCATCCCTGCAGAATGCACCGAGCGTTTTGATGGGCTAGCACTTGTAGCGTCACCGCGACTCAAAGAGCGAGGATGTAGGAACTTGCCACAACCTTTGCCCGATGTCGAACTACTGGCTGCAGGTGTCGTCTTGCTACCGGGGGGAAAGCCTCCTGCTTGTCCTTGTGTCCCCGGAGTTCCCCCGTTTTGCCATACACTAGTATTGCTTTTCCCCCCATTTACTTCAGAGGGACCTCCTGAAGAAGCGAAGTACGGACCTCCTCCTCGTGTCGTTCCCTGTGGACCAACAGGTGGCGGTGTTCTAGGTGGAGCCCCCTTCTTGCCCTTCAATACGCTAGGGGAAGGATCGCTTCGGGGCTGCGAGTTCGCTCGAGAAGCTGGCCCGGAAGTTGCCGCGTTAAGTCTCTCGCAGTGGGGTGTGCTGCTCGGTCCACCGCTGAAAGCTCCTGCAGGTCCGCCTCTGTGACAGTTGTAGTCCGCGTTTGACGCCTCGTTCCACGCGGAGCTGTTCCCATACTGACTGACACTAGCCGCATAATCGCCCATTTTGCTAGGCGAGTGCTGATCCGCATCGTAGTGGCCCTCGTGGTCGTAGAAACCGTTCTCGTGTTTTGTTAGACGTATCATCATGCTCACAACTAGAACGTTGAGCTTGAATGATTCATAATACGCATCCCATTTGTGATGCAAAAGCTGAAGTATTTCATTCATAAGCTGATCATCATGAGTTCTTTTGCTATAGAATCCAGATGGTAGGGCGCAATAGATCTATAGTTATCGAGGAGTAAAATTAGAAAAGCAGAAGCATAACTGTAACTCTTGGTAGAAGTCTCCTTCTGCGTCTTCTTCGTCCTCCCATTCATGTTCTTCTTCGTCTCGCCATCGCTGTTTTTGCTCCTCCCACTCAGCTAATTTGTGGTCGCTTGGATAGAGCAGGTTTTCTCGAATCCACGCCATGCTCTGAATACTCGACAGTGTATCATCCAACGCCCGATGATTGTAATTGGAAACCTGTTGTTGAGATTCATTTTTGAGTGCTTCTCAGATTCAGATTATCATTATACATGATCACAAAACTTCTACTCTTAGAAGGCTTCTCTTGCCTAGACCTAGTACAGGTACACCAAGGAAGCTAGTATCTCTCGTTGTGGCCCTAACGATATAATAGCGGCATAAATATAATACAGGAGTAACCTGAAGATGTAGTACAAAAGTTGACCTCCAACATTCTTGCTACCTGTTTCTGATGCCACCTCCACATCTCAATTTTATGTGGCATCCATCGCTCCGCCACACCAAGAAAGGTCGAGACATCTAAAATCCGGTGCGATAGCCACTGGTATATCTCCGGCATCTCTTCTGCGAGCTGTGAATTCATTTTTTTGGGTCATATAAAAAAGGAAGAGGAAGGTGGTCCAGGTAGGCGCGAGTGGAATAAAAACCAAAAAGAACTAAGGAGGATAACGACAGGCTGTCGAAGTTTCATATTCATCAACTTCTTAGAAATCTAGTAAGTGTAGGTGATGTAGGAGTAGGACTAGGAGTAGTACAATCTCTCGATCGCACTGGATCGAGTTTCCGCTTAGTGGGCACGCCCCTTGCGGACAGAATTCCTTCAAAAGAGCGAGACACTCTCTTTCGGCAGTGGCCGTCGTAACAGCTCTTTCGGATATCATGTCGCTGAAGAGATTGTTTCCGTAAAAGACGTAGCCTGAATTCGGCTCGACAAGCGGCTCAAATTGCCTACCACATTCGGAATCTCGAAAATTTTTTTGGTGGAAGTAAGGCAACCGCGATAAAAATTCCTTCGAGAATCCGCCAATCTGCGAAGTGGAATGTAGGGTTGAAAAAGGCTTGTAGCAACAACTGCAGGTGCAGTATCAACGTAACTAACGAGTAGTCCACACCCTTGGCCAAAAGGAAAGTCAGCATCTACAACGTCAACGTAGTAGTAGTACTTCCATCAAAAACAAAATCAATTTCTTTCATTCAGCATATAAAAATAAATCGCGCTATGAAGTATGAACTAAAACGAAGTGTCTTCAAGTACCACCCATGATCCCCTGCCTAGTTCCTTCAGGTTTTTGTCGGTGATCACGCAGGCAAGCTCGATGATCCTTCGAGGTATTCCAATCTCTTCCTCGCGCTCGTAAAATCCCTTCGTCAGTTCCAAGTCCAGGAAGATGATGTTCTCTTTACTGCTCTCATGAAAGAAGGAATGCCTACTTACTTGTGCTTGTGGCTAACGTTGTTACGGATATGGTATGCGTGTGGTCGTATCCAAGAACATCAAGTAGAAAGTTTGAAAGAATTTGAATTAGTTGGTATCTACCGGGTGAACGTGAACGTGAACGTGAAGGTGGTGATGGTAATTTTCAAGAAACACGTACCAACTTCACTCCCAGCTGCTCTTCATTAGTTTTAGTGGAAGTCGTGAATGCTCCTTAAATAAGCATCGAAGCGGAGAGAACAGTGTTGCTGGAGTAGGAGTACGAACTTTAGAAATATTAATATGCTCGTTAAATATGTTTCTGCTCGTTTAATAAATATTAATATATTTATAAGTATTGATGCATGTTCTTGTTCATGTATTTCCTCGCTTACGACCGCTTCTGTCATAATCGTTAAAGGAATGAAATGCCTGTTCGCAGTCGACCCCGTAGGCATTTTTTCGGTCCAAGTCGGCACCTAGAAAGTCAAGCTTTTCCACCATATCCTTCTTCCGCGTCTCAAAGAGCGCTAAATGCATACAGGTGTTGCGATCGGAGTCCCGAGTGATATCAATGTCGAAGTCGTAGTCGCATACCTTTAGAGTTGCATTAGGTTTTTTGTTTCAGAATGGACTTGGAGTTGGACTGGTGGAGGTGGAGTCACGAAATAGGAAGGGGAAGGGCTTCAACTACAAGACAATTTCAATCGATTTTATATAAGTATTTGCGAAGATTATGTCAATACGACGAAAAGAAGTTAGTTAGAGGGCAATCCCGCTAGTTTTTTTTTGACAGCATCAAACAATAACAAAATCTTTGTGCTATCAATTTGTTGTAAAAGTGAAAGAAGTTGATCATACCAAAGTATGTATGAGGCTGCAAAAGTTCCTCAGGACACACAGATGCAGCAACAGATTCCCCTGATTCAAATCGGGCGCTAGATGACTCGGAGCGTCCCCAGGATCTAACAAATTGTATTTCGCACGCGACCCTGAACTACCCCCGATTTGCTCCGTCCCGCCTGACAGCGGCACCTTCGATGTAGCTTGATTCGGGACATCATCTACGTCTGTAGTTGCGCCGATTGCTGGCTTATTTGTACTACGGTCTTCTGTAGTACAAGGTGTCCGCGCCTCCCCTTTTATTCGATCAGCACCAGCTGCTGCAGAGCCGTCTTTTTTTTGCTTCGTATCTTGATTTTTCTCCAGGTCCTCTTTGACTTCAACGGCAGAAACAAATCTTTCTCCTCCAGCAAAAATGTCTTCCTTAGAAGACGAGGCCGCTGTTTCGTTCTCAAGCTCGGTCGTTGAGGACATGTTAGACCTGCTCATCGGTAAGGTGACATAGTGCTTGAATCGCTCCACTGCCACGGGTCCATGCTCGGCGATCAACCTGCGACAGACATCGGTCCACACATCTTCCGACCGAGACTCATACAGAGGACGAAACGCTTCGGCCGTCAACATTCTTATATACGTTTACGTACTAGAACTAGGCAATTTTCAAACTCGCGTAGGATGCAATAAGTAGACTTGGACTTCTACTCCACGATGGACTGATGTTGATGGATTACGAAAGCTGAAAGACAAAGATAGAAGCAAAAAAGCAAGCGACATTGATCTAATAAATTATGATAGAAGTTCACCCTTGTTTGGCGTTCCAACTGTAACTACAACGAGTACTAGGTGGCTAGAATTCGCCATTTTTTATACTACACAGCCACAGGCTCGCTGGAGGTAGGGAAATGTTAGTTTGTCTTCTATTAGTAGGAGTTGTTTAGAGATGTGTTTTACTCGTTCTCCTAGGAATATGAATACCAGGCGCAGAGTAGGCGCATTGGATTTTTCACCTGATCTTTTTCATCAATGTAACATCCTTCTGTGGTCGGACTCGGAGTTGTTGTTGTAGATGTTGTAGTAGTACTTTTCCAATTCCATACATGAAAATTCCACTTGGCAGAAGTTGTGCCAGGAGTAGATGTGCGCCGTTGATTACGCTAGGACTAGCAAAAGACTTTTAATGTTGAGCCTACTTACACTTAGTTACATCTTACATATCGTACTGCAGAGGACATTCATACGCATCGATCATCATTGTCCCTCTGACTTGATTGTCCTCAGTTTCATCCATGCTGTATTTTTTCGTTTCTCAACCACGACAACTATAAATATGTAGTACCGAGATAAATCCATTGACTCTGTTGAGATCGACCGTGTCTGCCAGATTCGATATTCACCATGTTCATCCATTTTTAGACGGCGTAGGTGAGATGTCGCTCTATCTCTGATGCAATTGGTGCAACGCTGATTGAATTCTGCACCAGAAGAAAGTGCGCCTACAGTTGCATAAAATGCAAAACACAGAAGCGACGACAAAGGCAGCTCCGTATATCTATATTTGCTTAGCCAAATCATGAGGTATGGCCATGACATCATCGCAACATTCGTTACGGTGCGCGAAGAAGAAAATATGTTCAAGTCTATGATGTAACTGATTGTCATATGTGAAGCGTGGGTAATATTATGAAGAACAAATTGCCTTTGTTTTTGAATGGAATCTGGACCGCGAGTGGCATGCTAGACTTCCAAAAATAGGGGGTTACCCTTCACCTTCAATGCGTGGTGAAAACTTTCATCAAATTTGATCTTGAAGCTGCAGCCTCCTGCTGAAACTACATCTACAAGCTCATCAAGCCCTGCGCCTGCTTGCCTTATGAAAAAATATTAGATCAAGAAATTATTGGACGGGCACACAGAACCAGAACGAAGCTGACCCTGAAAAAAAGGTCAGGTTCATCATGCAGGACCAGGCCTCGCCGCGCGTGACAGTGAACCCCCTGTACTTCTCTAGGCGCGTGGTTCGGAGGCCTCTGCGTTCGTCCCAGAAGAATGTCGGAAAATTCGCTTTATCTTGCTGCATCAAACTGGCGGCAACAAAACCAAATTCATCAAGAAGAGCTCGATCTAAGATTATCTCAAATCCAAACGCAAATTGGTACTTTGGGAACTAAAGGTAGAAGAGCAAATAATGTCATGTGTGCGTCTCCGTTATGATCCTTCATGATCACAGGTAGAAGAGCAAACATAAGGAAATAATTTGTTACATCATGATCATTGATCATCATCTCGATAATCTTTCTCGAGGTCTCCTTCTTCAGCCACGGGCGTTCATGTTCAGAAGCATGTTTTGCCCGCCTGGCATGTACATTATATTACTCGACTTGGACAGCAATTCCGCAATGTCCTTCGCAGCATCGATCCTCCTCATATCGATCAGACCGGTACCTAAAGCCAGTGATTTGGGTTTGCAGTTTAGGAGGCGCAATTTTGTCATGAAAGAAGATGTGGCTTCGCACACACTATATTAATAGATACAGGAGGTTGTACATAACTAAAAGATTTATTCGACGTGAAGAAAGTATTTGAGTCGTACTTGTTTGACAATGTCAACGACAACATGTAGAATCAAACGCAAATGTGTATATACCGTGCTCCTTCAGCGCTTCGCTAATAAGTGTCGCTGCCTCTGCCTCACCTTCGGATCTGATAACCGTCGCCTGCCTCTCTTGCTCTGTTGAAAAGGTGAAAAAATCAATCGTTCCTCGTCGATTCCTGCGTCTCCTCTAATATTTTTCTTTTGCAAAATCAACCGAACAAAAATGACAGTCTTGCTCTTGTCCCATGATGAATAACATGAACAATATCATATTCTATATTAATGAAAGTAGTGTGGTTGATGGGTCGCCTGTCGATCAGGTCTAAGATTTCTACCTGCCATCTGCACGATAAACTTTTGTCGTTCTGCCTCTTGCTCTGCAACCTGCTTTTCCTCAATTGCCCTCGCAAACTCGTTTCCATACTTGAGGTGAATAATTGAGACGTCCTCCAACAAAATATGAAACTGCTTTGCTCGCTGAACTATCGTATCCCTTACTTCCTGTGACACTCGCTCTCGCTGTGTGAGAAGCTGCTCGGCATTGTACCTTGATGGGATGTAGACGTTTTCGTCGTGTTGTAGCTGCGGAAGATAATCATAATGAAGATCTTCGCACTTCGACTTCATCTCCTTATTAACAAAGCAACCTACTGATTCTAATTGCAATGATGTATTCATATTTATTATAAATATGACATAATGAACATGACATTGCATGCAGACGGTTACATTTCTCAACACTGGCGCAGATCATTCAAATCAGGGACGCGTTATGGTACTACTTATTCACTATAATTTCAGCCTTAAAGACAAACTTCCTAGAACAAACTTACAAAGAGGTAAGTCAATTGTACTGTGCGACGACAGCTTTCAAGACTTCGTTTCCGATCGATGGAAGCACCCTCTCGTCATATTCAGACCCCAACCGCTTGTGTAATGAAGGGAGTGCCTCTATGTCTGGCTTGAAAAGAAGACGACAATGTATCGTCACTGTCTGCAAGTCCTTTGTTCCTGTTGTCACGTAAAAATTTTACAGCTCGCGTTTGCTAGAAAAGTGTAAAAACATGTCACCGTGGATCAGAATCTTCATCTTAGGTCATATCTATTAGTCGGAAATCCTTGCTGACATAATTATATATTCCTGTAAGTGCAGCTAGGGGTACACGGTAGAGACATCATTATATCACAACGCCCTTCAAGTTAAATGTGACTCTACTTTGATTACCTGTTGTTGTCTGGATAAGCTTTGGTCTCACTCGGATATCGTAAATATAGGGTGCCATCAACCAGGGCACTTTGAAATGTGTCCCCTCGCCTGACGTTGTTTGCGAAACACCCTGTGGTGGAAGGCATGGTGAGAAAGGGCTTGGCTCTCTAAACGAAATGAATGTGATATTAAATATCAATTAGACCCACCGATGTTGCTGGACCTGGAGGACTAGTGACGTATAATAGCTTCTAATTCAATAACGCACTACACGTAGAAAGAGAACTTTTGAAGTCTTAACATAGCAATTCGTCGCTGAGTACAGAGAATCTGTTGAACATGACTGCGCGCTCTCCTCCGTCGACAGTGTATAAGCAGAATGATGGTATTGCTGCGACCGATGCAGCTGCAAGGCCCGTCCTGCTGACAAGATTGAGCAATTTGTCCGCCATCTTTTCTAAGTACCACGAGCACTACCTTCTAGAAGCGAGGAATAAAAATACTGCGTAAAAACTATAACAGTATCTAAGAAGAAACTTGTCGTGGGTCTTGAATCTGAATTAGCCAAAAGATAATGAAATTCCGGAAAAAATATTTTACCACTCAGTAAATCATTCAAAGTGAAAAAAAATCATTAAATCCTGATCTTGAAGAGGGAGCTACAATTACATGGCGGAGAGAAAATTGAGACAAGTCTCACATGGGACTAGTGGCGAAGTTTGATGATTTAGACTCACACGACGTGGTTGGCTCCATCCATCAAGATCCCATAATGATTACTCAGTTAGCGAATCCTCATCCTCGATGAATATTACATTAAAAAAGCATAAAAGTCGTAGTCATTATTTCTCATCCGCCTCGCCTTGACCTTACTGCAAGAATGTGTCACGAAACGGTCATCATGGTTGAGACACACAATCACGAACATCCCCAAAGGCGTTCGTCAATCGAGATCCCTGTGCCTGTCATTGCTATGCTTCCTATCGACCGTTGTTCTTCATCTTTTGCACACACCGAGATGCACCAGAAGTACCGTCATGAGTTCGACATTGACAGAATAACGGACCACGGAAATATAGACCTTGCCTCACGAGCACGTGGAGACAAAGGCAGTAGGATCTTATTTAACATCAACAGCTGAATACAAAGTTCATAGATCTGCAGATGGAAGCTCTTTCACCGTAGCTCTTGTTCACGTTCGCAGCACGCGACGCCAATCGCAATCAAGGACGACGACGAAATCAGGTACCGCAAGAACACACTCCTTTCTACTTAATCGACATCCACTACATCATGTACATCCTGTAGTGTTGCTGTTGTACGCATTACCCTTTTGAATTTTCTTTTGTTCGAAATTCCTTGTCAGTCTGGCTCCTTATTGCAGGGGCCGCATCTTCAACACAAATAGGTACCAGTTCCATGTTGATAAAGTCCGTTTTTTGTTGAACAACTTCTGGCGGCATTACACCAGTTGCAACAGTTTAGGTTCAACACTGCGTCGAGACCACAACGACAGCGCAATATCAATAAATCCTGATGTAGCTTCTTTATTATCATTGATTACGTTGCCGTTGGAACTGCAGCTGCACCTTCGGACCGTCTTCAACTTTGCAAATGGATCAATATGCACACCACAGAGAACAATTTTTTTGTATACCGAGACAAGACCTGCACTGAGTTTAACGATTGCCAGCAAATCAAACGCATGATCCATCTTTATATATAATATTTATAGCATAAGAATTGATATTGACATCAGTAAATATAGCTCGACCTAGTTAGAAGTAGTGGACGAGGCAATGCGCCTTTTTTTGATCGTACTTCGGAATCGGAATTGAAATACACCAGTAGCTGGAAAACACAATTTGGAAGAGAAAAACCCGTGCAAACGAATTGGCTTGGAATTGTCGTTGAGCGTTCCCTTCATCTTCTAGAACAATCCGCCGCTTCGCATTTAGTATGCTATCTTGAATCATGTATCCCGACTCCATCTCTTCAATCTAAGAAACATCAAATTCCGGTGGTATCTTAATCGGTACGCGAACGCGATGATTAACTTTTTCATAGTGATCAATTGCTGCTTTGTTTTCATCCAAGCCGGGAAAGAGGTGTGTGTAATCGTCCACCAATCTGTCCGTGTCGCGTAGGTACTGCCTAACCTCCGTAAAATCCCAAAGACCTTAGAGCAAAGGCGTCTTTCTTTTACTACGTAGTTCTAGTTGTGTGTGCTAAACCTGGTATGCATATGGATACTATCCGATACCGATAGATGAATGTAAAGTGTTGGTAAACATAAAAATATGCTATCTCTACAACGAAATTTTTTGGATCAAGACATTAATGCATGTTGTCAAGTGCATCAAATCTCGTCGCGAACTAAAGGGCTACCATAGATTAATGCAAGTTAAGGTGACGAGTTGAAGGACCACTCAGTCCTGTATAGAAGATACATTTACATTATAGTTGTGTCAATCAAGGTGTGCATACAGTTGATTGGCAGCCGACCGCATTTCGTCGTCTACCAAATCTTCTTTGCTGGAATAGCCCTTGTCCATATCCGCGGCGAAGCGTAGCATCCGGCTTGCTGCACTGGATGGGTCATTCTGGATTGGCTCTCCACTTGTACTGGCCCCTCCAGCTGAACTAGATCTCTTGGACCTGGACGGCATGATGTTGCTGCTTTTACTAAGCATATGCATGTTGTGGTGTCCTCCTGGACCACGTGAAATCGACGGGGCACTTCTTGCACTACTCGAGCTGGGGCCAGACGTCGGCTTCATATTGATATTGGTAGGGGGAAGATTTGCATTTGCTGATGACGGGAAGATGTTGCTTTTCAGGGCAGCTGTCGATGAAGGAGGCGCAATGGTTCGAAAAAGACGACTACTTTTGGAAAGGAGCTGCTCGCCTTGTTTGGGTCGTACTGCTCGCGCACAAGAATTACGTGAAGTAGTCCATCTCGAGCTCCTCGACGATGCACTAGGAACAGAAACTATGTCCGGAGTGAAGGTGCTTGATTTGGAACCCTCATTACTCGATGACTGCCTTTCTGCTGGATAGTACAGCATCGGTGTTGAGCTTGCCCGAGTGCGGTTCGTTGTAACTTCATCATGGTGTATTTTCGACTCCTGCCAGTGAGGATTACCGTTCTTAACGTTATAGAATTCATAAGGTGCTGCACCTGTACGATCTGAATCTGTGCTGCTCGCGAAGGTGTCACTAGCCGAGTTGTTGATTCCGAACTGCTCTCGTCTTGTATCTCCATCGCCAAAGCCTTTCATGAATCTGCTCGGATCACCGATGATATTCCGCCTCTTGGTACAATTATTTGGCTGACCACTAGTCACTGCGCCGTCCGCCGTCCTCGAACTTGACAACAACTCGGCCCGCGCGGACATGATAGGTGTCCGATCGGGCGCATGTGGTTCATCTAGCTCCCGTGGCTGCGGCCTGAGATCTACAAAGGTCGTCCGGCGAATCTCGTCGACCCTCGTCTTTTCGGCATCCGCTCGCTGAATCTCGTTGATCATAGTGTCGACCTGGAACTCTAGATAATTATCCATCACATAATGAGCACTGGAAGAAGAGGTCTTGGATGAGGAGGTACCATGACCGGACGCTTTCTTTGAGCCGTGAGATGATGGCGTTCTTGCCGGATGTGGATCTGGATGGTCCAAATAAAACAATTTACGACTATCTCTGGATTTTTCGCCGCCATCTTCGTCAGCTTCATCTTGACGTTTAGTGTGATAGTATGCCTCAGCTGTGCCGCGCGCCTGGTCTTCTTCAGGCTGACGATCATCGTAAGTCACCTGTCCCTCAACTCCTACATTAATTCCATGCAGTACGCTGGTCTTTTTTAGTGCTGGTTCAGTGCGTGACGCTGATGACTGCGAGTCTCTGTGCAGGGAGACAGCTGGCGTTCCATCTTGAAAGGTGGCTCGAGAGACAGAGGCACATGGACGAGCCAAAGGATCCTGAAATGACGAAGCGCGATGTTCTGGAGGCGCGGGATTTACTTTTACGTCCGCGTCGCTTTGTCGACTACTTGAAGTGCGCGGGGGCACCTCGGAGGTGTCCGCCAACATCTGTGCTCCAGTGTCTCCTCCTTTAACAGAAGACGCTGAAGAACATTCTTGAACAAGGCTGCTCTCAGAGCGGAACTCGCTGCTTCGCACCCGTTCCGCTGTATGCGCATGCCCTTCCTCCTCCGGTCCGGCCTGGTCGTACTGTTCCTTTTCTTCCTGTTCAACATCTTCAACAACACCTTGTTGTTTATCCGCGTCAGCGTCTACCGCTGCTCTCTGTTCCTCGATTTGCCTCTGGTAAGCAGCCCCATATACCGTCTGTGGCCCGATGTTGTTAACAATTGAGCCGCGATCCAAGCCAATTTCTGGCGACAAAACAGCACCCGCCTCTTTGCTAAGGTTAGTTTGAACCCCGAATGGGTCCACAGTGTCGCCCTCAACTACGCGGACCATTCTCCTAAACTCTGCATCACGGTCGTTCTCGCTGGAATACGATGGCCGACTGGCCCAGACTGGCACGTCTCCTTTTCGTTGCGAAGATGCTCCTTTTTGGTCGAGAAGGCTTGTGCGTTCTGAGGCTTTTCTCAAGGACTCCATATCCAACAACGCGGACTCCAATAGATCCGGACCGCCGTCCGGAAATCCTCCGAGCCCACTACCTGCCATGACTGAAACCACGGGTTGTTCATGATCTCGGGGACCCTTTTCTCGTCTTGTGCGCGTAAAATCATTCAGAGATGAATCTGCTCCACGAGAACCTCTTCCATTAGCAGAACTGCCGTTTGTTGAGTTTCTATTATTACGCCATCCAACGACATGCGACCTCGCGCTTGGTCGCGTATACAACCCACTAGTTGCCGAATTTGGAAAGAGGTTGTTGTCTCTAGTGTTAGGCGTGCCCCCGTCAGGTCCTCCGACAATTGAGCCGCCACGCAGAACTCTGCCAGTCGTACCAGCACCTGGACTCGCTGCGTGCTGGTCGTAAGATGCTATAACTCCCCCCGCGCTTGTACTTGGTCTTGTATCGGAGTATCCCCGAAGCGCGGAAAATGTTGAGCCCAGAGCGCGCTCAGCACTTTGCTGGTTGAGATACTGCTCTGTCAAGGTATGCTCCTTATGGATTCCGAGTTTCTCCAATCTATCCTTCACTTCACTCCGCATCCTCGTTGGCGATTGTTCCGATCGGACAAAAAAAGGGTTGTCTTCTTTTCTTTGAGATACACCGAGAAGAGGGACGCCAACAGACGCAGCTGAGACCTGGTAGAGTTTAGTGCTGTAGTGGTAGTTGCTGTCGTGGTTTTGATCGTTCAGGAAAAATATTTCCGTCTCGAACTTTCTCAAAAAGAATGGGTGTTGAGGGTACTAGCGACAATCTATTACTTTTGCAGCAGTACCTGTCCGATCAACTTAGGCCTGTGCTCATGCTGGCGCAGTGCACGCGTTCCGTCGCGAAACATCAAGTATGGAGCATTCGATGCACTCGCGCCACGGTCTAATGGACTACTCGCTGCACTGTTTGAAGACGAGGCCTTGCTATCGGCTCTATCTGGAGCCATGTCGTCCAAATTGACATCAGCTTGGCTCTCGTGATCTTTGAGCATGCCAACCCTATCTAGTTTTGGGGCCCTACCACCGTCCGTTTTTAATGCGGTGCTGCCAGCACGTCCAGGCTGGACTCTCGCTCCTTCTGCTCCTGCAGAAACAGACAAATCGACCTCAGGAGGAGGTCTCAGTGATGTGGGTATCGTGGAAACGCGATTCGTCGACTTTCGACGGAGAACGGCGAAATGATGAACAGGGCAGGCATTTCCGTAGGGACACGTGTCTTGCGTGAATGGACACACCTCATGCTTTTTCGCTGCACTTTCTTGACCTGACTGCCGCAAAAATCGAACTTCTTCCTCCAAGGCACGAGTGCGGCCCTCGAACTGGGATTACATAACGGCAAGGGAATGATTATGCTTATGGTTTGAAGAAGTATTGACTTTTTGCTCTCAACCAACATTAAGAATGAGGAAGAGGAGGACAACGGCGGCAATCAGAAAATGTTTGATTTTTCCGAAATTAGTAACTAGACCAGTGGGTGTCGAGGTCCAGGTCCGCAATAAAGTGGAGATATTTATAATATAAGAATGAATACTTTCTGCAACGTCGCCACAGCGGACTTGTTTTCGTCAAGGAGCGCAATTTTCTCATTCCGTAGTTCTGTAAGAGCCTCTTCGTGTTTCTGTGTCAGCACGTTGATTTCCTCGATATATTGAGATTCTAACTGCGACACCTTTTCCTGTAGTTGTAAGCACAGCCTTGACATCTCGACTTTTTTCTGCTGTACTGCAAGCTGCGCATCTGCGAGCTCGTCGCACGTAAACTCCCATCGCTTCACCGCTTCACTGGCAGTATCCTTTTCGCGCCCTAAAATGTTGCGCGTAGTTGCAAGACGCCAGCAGCGGAAAGCGACTCCGATGGTCCGCTCCACGGCAGCAAGATGGTACAAAAGGCGGCCTACATTTTCTGCGACTCGCTCGTCGTGAATTTTGCGCGCCTCAGGAGAGGTCTTCACAAGCTGCCTAAATGACAAAGGCCCCCTATTGCCAGTCCGACTCGATCCGGCGGCAGATTCTCGACGCCACGTGGCAGAAGATCTTGAAAGGGAAGTGCGCCCTCCCATAAGAAAGGAAGCACCAGTATAGATATAGTCGTCTTCATCATCGTTTTTAATACCTCTGTCTACAACGAGAGCCGTTGACCCCGAACGGCCGCTTGAAGTTGCAACACCTCCTGCTGATGTAGACGCTCCAGGTTTCCCACCCGTAATTGCAACAGACAAAAAAGTGCCATCTTCGTCCTCTACATCTACTTCTTCTTTTGTTTTCTGACTCTGTTGGTTATGGGGACTTGTAAGCGGTCCAGCAGCTCGTCTTTTAAGTCGTGAACTGCCTACACCGGGCTCCTTCTTCATTCGATAGACCAAACTTCGCCAGGCAAGCAAGTAGTTGAAGATAAGCTGCAAGTTTTTCTTGTAGATGATGCGTGACACAAATCGCGCATTGCTCGAAAAAGCTGAAGCATTCCGAGCAGCGGATCCATTTGGTGGATCAGGGTCGCTCTTATTTTTTGCCGTACTTAATGTTAATGCTTGTTCACCACCTTCTTCGATTTTCCCGTCAGGAGGTGACGATCCGGCGGCTCCCACTAGAAGGGCATTTCCCTCCGGAGGTTCTATCGGACTGACGAGGCCAACGCCTGAGCTCTGCACGAACTGCTGCGACGCTCGTCGTTGAGCCGGTAGTGAGTTCTGTGAGTTATGCAAAACGACGCCATCTTCTTGATCATGATCCCGATCTAGAATATTGAAGTCCAGTTCATAATACTGAATTCCCTCAGGACTGCCAGCGTTGCTTGGTTGGGCGCGCAGATATGGCGACCTCGACCCGCTGCGCGGCCTAGGACTATCATCCTGTCGTACTCCTGCTCCTGTACTTCCGATTCCAGAAAATGGGAGTCCACCTCCACCATCAAAAACGAACGCCTCGTCTGTGGATTTCAAAAGGACAGACTCTGGACTGGTGTCCTGGAATGCGCCATTGTGAGGTTCTCTACCTGAATCAACAGCGTTACGCGATGAAAGCGGCGACAACGCAAACGGCTCCACACCATCAGAGGCAGCTGCTGCACTGCCAATCAAGCTATTTCTCTGTTCGATAAAATTGAATGAGCCCGCAGTATTTTCTACTTCTTCGGTGTTAGAGGACGTCATCGCTTCTCCTTCTCCACTGTAATGGAGGAGGGAGCACTACCGGAATCGTTGGAATTTTTGACTGCGTCTACGGTGGGGGCATTCTATTTCTTGCTGGATTTCTAATCGTAGCTCCAGCCGCGCATGCATTAGCATCTGTAACCGGCAGATGCGTGCCGGTTACTTGTACTCGTTCATCTTCGCTCCGAGGAGTTGCACTGCGTGGCTCCTCTGCTGTGGGAAGAGGCGAGAACGACACCCATATGTTTTTACACGGACATCACAGTGCAGCCCTCGCCATTCTGTATCTAGCATGATGATCGAGGATAGCTCGGTGACCCTACGAGCACACTATTCTAGATGATGATGATGATTGTACCTATTCTTGAGGTGTTTAGCAACTACTATAGACTACTTCCCTTTGCACTTCCTGATGTGTTTTCTATATATTTCCGTCCTTTTTGCTCTTGCTTGTAGCGTCATTTCCTCTCTGTATTCTAATTCCCATTTGCACTTTTTGCAGATCAATTTGTCCTTTTTTTCATTCGCCCAGCAGTGTGGTGGTACTACGATTTTTGTCAGTCGAGCGTCTGAACCAAAAAAGGGCTTCCCAGTGGCCTTGCACATGACGTGCGTCTCCGGACGGTAGAGCGTGCGAACAGCTCCGAGGGCATCACCAGACCAGACCCTTTGCGATTTCTTGATCTGCCCAATCTTGATGATGTCGCCATTTTTATGCTGCTGTCGATGAGCCCTCATCGCTCCTTCTGTCGTCGTGAACGTGATGTCGCAGTCTCTGCAGCTGTATCGCTCTCCATATTTGGTTTTTCTCGCTCGCTTCGGGCCTCTCGATAGCAGTCTTCGAAAGCCTGAGCAGGTACCCGCCTGTAACCTGCGTTTCCTCCTTTCCTCACTGCCTATCTGCTCCTTCCTCGCCGCTTGGATCATCATCTTCGCATGGTCAGTCTGTTGCCACATTCCGTCTGCATGCTTTTCCGCCAGGTGTTGCATAAGCAAGTGCTCCCTTTTCGTCGCCGTAGCGCAGACGAGGTCGTCCAGCGACTGTCCACCAATCTTCCATCTGCATATGGGGCACTCTCCTCTGGATTGCGGTTTCATCTCGTTCCATGCCTGCTTTGCTCCTAGGTCTGAGGCTGCGGCGAATAGCAGCGTAATCTTACCCACCTTCTGGTCAGCAACTAGCTCGTCTTCATCTCCTGGCAGCATGAGTCTGCGTAGAACTTCGCATCTTTCGCCGGATGCTCTGTCTTGTGCCACCAGTTTTTCTTCTTTGGACCATCCTGCTGCCCCAGTTCCGTTGTCTCCTAATTCAAGCGATCTTAGCAGCTCAGATTTGCGCCTTATACTGCCTCGAGGGCCTTCAAGGATCATGTACACCACCGTCGGGGATTTCATCTTGATCTTGGCTCTACCGCGGTATCTGTCGTCTTCGGGTATGATTATCTCTAGCGAAAGAGCAGCTCCAGATGGGATGGTGCCGGCGTCTACGATCACCGACTCCTGACCAGGACAGGGGACCTCGCCTCCTACCACTTGAGCTGCATGGACCTCAGCATTGTGGTGTATAGTCACTTCCACTTTCGGCATTTGGTAATTAACCTCTGATTTGCATGACTCTGCGATTGGAATGCATTGCTCTTCGGTCCTGGTGTCCTCTTCCTCCTTTTGCTTGATGTTCTTCATCCTTCTTCTCTTTCCGGTTTGTCTGGTTAACATTTCCGCCATATTGCTAAGTTGGTCCCACTTCGATTCAGGATCCCAGTCCATTGCAGTAGCCGCTGCGTAAGAGTAGGCACAGGCACTAAAATAAAAGGATTTTCTGGTCGCGTAGTCTCCGTCGGTCTCCTTCGTCTCTTCCTTGTTATCCTCCGATCCAGTGGGCCAGGTCTCCCTGTTTTCCTCTTTTTTCACATCCTCTTTGTTTGGTTTCAGGAGATGCCGAATTAATTCCGAGGGAAGCCCGACTTGGTTAACGAGATGAGTCTTAAATTCTTCTGCAAGAGAGGGATTATTCCGTTGTTCCGGAGTGAGAGACTTATTGTCCTTGTTCATCTTCAAGTACTCTTGCCGACCCTCAGCTTCGCTGCGAAGATCGGGGACAAAAGTGCCCCATAGTGACCTTTTTACCCAGGAATCTCGCTCCGGTCTGCGTAGCTCGTGCGCAATTTGCCTGGAGCGAATATGCTTTATAAATTCCTCCAATGGTGGTGTGCGTGTTCTCCGCCGCATCTCGCGCGCTGTGACCACTCTCTTGTATATAGCCCAGCTAGGTATAGCCCACTTCCTCGATTTCGTCAGCCACCTTTACTGTTTTTTCACTAAGTACACCGAAGAAGATGCTCATTTATTTAGTCATTGTCACGAAATGGAAATCATTGACGCGCTTTTGAGTTGTAGTGTCACTTCGCTCGCGGCCTTCTAAAACAGACTCGTATGATCGAAAACAGACTGAGAAATAAACTATTCATGATGTGACAATCTTTCACCGAGGTTTCCAGCATAGTACAATGTAACAATTAGAGACTTTCATTACAACTCCTATACGTAGTGCTTACGTCTTCGTTTGATACAACTACCGATGTGCTCCGGTTGTTCTCACCGAGTAAAATTAAGCACTCTATTGACCACTCCCACTCCGCATCCACTCTGTTAGGAGGTGACGCTTCTATTGGAGGTTACTTGTGTTTTGGTATATTTCCTCCTTCATTACTGTACTGTTGATGTTTACCACCATCTTGTTGACGGGGTTCTTGCATTCGAAAATGATGACCTGCTTCATCTTCTCAATTAATATATCGAATTTTGTTCCTCACAAATATTTGCATTTGGTCTTGTCATGGCTGTGCAAGTTGTCGATTGAGGTTTATCTTTATCAATTCTCATTTAATTTCATCTAAATTCGAAGATACGCATAGGCATACTTACAAGGCAATGGCAAATCCTGTCCAGTCATTAACAATTGCATTATCTTCGTAGCGTTGTCCCGAAACGTGCTGTCACCAACACCATTACCACGAAACTATATTTGCTTACAACATAATCAACTACTTAAGTTGATGTGAAGCTGTGCACGATGTCTCTGAATTGCGTGAGAGGCTACTTATTCGTTCTACAACTACATTATCATCAGTATGTTCTTTTTTCTTGTGTGCTTCGCTATCTGCAAGGCACAACAATGAATTTCGCACAAAGATCCGCTTGACTGCCATAGAAGCGTCTTAGAGGTTCGGCACGATGTTGCCACACACAAGAAGAATTACAAAAGCTTTGAAACGAGACACAGAAGTAATCGCTAAACAGTAACTGTAGCCGTTCGAAACTAACTCAAACAGCAGCTTTCACGTATTGATCTACCACAGGGAGCGTCGAAATGATTTCGTTCAGAAGTAAAACATAAACTTAAACTACCTCCCGAGAGCGCGAGACATTACCAGACAGATAGACGGTTGACAAACAGGTGGAAGACAGCGAGAGCGACAACCTAAAAAAAAACCTCAACCAACCTACTTGCTACCTACTCCGTTCTATCGTTTTTCTCTTTGTTGAGCTAATGCTACTATGTATTGTCGAAAGAAAGAAGAGCGCCCTGTTTTTTTCTGAAAAGTGTTGGTCTTTCTTTTTACCTGTTTCTGTGACTACTACCTTCGTGCGTTGTGTCCTTCACTATGATTACTCGGCTGTGTTCCTACCCGTTGTTTTGCCAGACGGGAGATGAAGCGAGTTGATGTTGCGTAAACGAAGCAGTGCCAGCTATCTGCGTCTTCCTTGTTTGTGTGTGTTGATCATTGAAGTTTACGTATCTCCACATTTCTCTTCTCCAATGCTTTTCAACAGCCTTGTATTTGTGCGGCTAATAGCAGTAGATCGATGGGAAGACCGTTGGCATCGAAAAAAAAAATAATGAACGTCATGTTTAGATTGAATTTGAAGATCTTCACTACAGCACGTACCTAAGACTATAATTGTAGTCTCAACCGCGACCGCCCCTATGTGTCAAGTTTCTTCCTTAGAGGGCAACTTCATGCGTGTTCCATGAAGCGCATGGTGCTCGCCGTTACAGGCACGTCTGCGATAGCCAAATCCTTCGGCTTCTGCATCACCTCAATGAAGGGCTTCCGCTCGTCCTCAGCCTCCTCGTACCTCCGCAAAGTGGCACGCCTTACATCAGATATGATGTTTGTCCGTAGCTTAGAGCAGTTGTATCAATTCGCAAAATCGATCTGCTTCACCGGCCGATCTTGTATTTGCATTCATTCTACTTCATCTTTTGAATAGAAAAACTGATTCAATCTCAGATCATTCCGAAGATACCTAAGTAGATTGAGATTTGAATTCCCATTTCCTGCACGAGTCATAAGTAAAGTAAGCAAAGCGTCGTTTGTTAGCCAATCTCGCTGCTCGTACTTCATGACGTTTCGATACGTCTCCAAAAACAGCTTCTCCAACGTGATCAAACGGTACTCGTAATATCCAATCACGAAAGGTGTTAGAAGTCTTGCAACGACGATTTGAACAGTCTCCAACCCCAACGTCGAAATTCGTAGAAGTAGAAAAGTAAAGAACAACCTTCATCTTCTCATTCTCTTCATTCTGAAACTAGTAGTTTAAGTTTACTGAAGGTCCAGCTCCAGATAGAGATAGAGTACTTTTGACTTGTTGAGCTGATAGTTGACTGGCATCAATAGGGATTTCTGTGGGTATTATGTAATGACTTCTACCGCTACGTACTGCCCAAAAACTAGCCGTGCCCTAAAAGGATGATGACCAGAAACGTGATCACGAGTCCGATGATGACTTCGTTAAGGTCGAGGCGGTCGTCGTCGCTATTTTGTTGATATGTCACGAGCGCTGCAATTTTACCGGTCAGCGTGTTCACTATCGCGTTCGAAAGTGTGGTTTTGTGTCCTTCGTACGTGGCGTCGAAGAGTCCGGCTTTGCCATTTTGATACCGTGTTGCCTCTGTGCTGGGAGCGGTGGCATCTTTGAACGCAGCTGCGTCGAGTGCGGCAGTTTCCAGGCCAACAAGCGCCGCGTTCGCTGTGACGATCGCTGTGCTAAAACTATCCCAGATGTTGCCCACAGTGCTCTCTTCATCATGTCCGGTGCCAAACTGGTTCAAGAGGACGTCTTCAATGATCTCGATGCGACCTTTGAAAGAAGGAACGACATCAGGTGGACTGCCAAGCATGACATCCATCGGTCCCACAAAGCTGCTGTATCTACGAGACCAGCCGGGTTTTAGGGCAGTAGCTAGGAGATGGTTCGATGATTGTTCACGATCATGAATATACGCTGGCATAGCATTTTCATTTTCTAGAATTTCCTTTGTTTGTCTGTTTGTTTGTTTGTTTCTTTGTTTGTTTGTATTGACGCGCTCCGGGGGGCAACGCGTACGATCTCGCAGGATTTTGTTTTTTGGTTTCGTGTGTTTTGTGCTATGGTCGCCGTTGCGACTATGTTACGGCTAGCCTTGTTGGCCACTAGGATCTACTTAAATGGACATCACGATCACGGTAAGCATTTGACACAGACCTCCATCATGTCATAACCCTTTGTCGCCTCGTAGCACAGCCATACGCGCTGACATTGTGAGCGCCTCGTCATAGTATTGAACGAGGTCTCCCGCCTCCTGCAGATTGCGCAGTTCCGCCGTAGCGCGTATGCTCTCGTTGTTCACAATTTCGAACATTGAGGGCACTAGAATGCAGATGAGACAGACAAGTTCCGCGACAATCATGAGTCGGAACTGGTATTTCTTGAAGGGCCGCAACTTCGCTGTGACATCGTCCAGTTCGGACATGTACATTTGGAGCTTCTGTAAACGAGCTATTTTCTTGAACTTGTTGGTCCAAATTGCGGTCATTCGCAATTTTTGGGACTCTGTGCGCTGGAGCGGTGGCTCCGCAGCGACAACCTGTGGTGGGATTCTTCGGTCGGGCGAAGGGGGACCTGGCGCCGTGGACGAGTTTTCCACAGCGTCTGTCTGCTCGTGCTCATCTGTGGCTCCACCACCAGCACTCCTTTGTCCTTTGCTAGGCGATAGGCTGTTCTCGATTGAAGCGCGATAGTTGTACCACGATCGCTGGATGTCTTCCACGATGGTCGCGCGTAAGACCGGAAGTGCCTCGGATGTGAGCCAGTCTCGCTGTTTGAGATCTTGGCACTGATCCTCGCTTTTCGAGAGCTTGTATTCCATCAGAACTAGCCGTTTTTCCTGCAGAATGAGCAGAAAAACGGCAAAACCTTGACAGATCGCGCAGACGACCAACACCATCCCGTTCCGCATCGCAGAACTCCAGTGATCCCGGTCAAAATCTGCTACTCTTTCCTCGATCAGATCCTCGAGTCGCCGCACAGCACCCATCAAGTTACCCTTTTCACTGTCGTAGGAGGTCGCTGTCATTGGGTCCACAACGGAAATGGTCACATTGCCACTGCTGGAGGAGACGCCGGAAAGGGCAGTACTGAAATCGGAAAAGCTCGTGGTCGGGTTGAAGGTGCCAATCGGGTCCAACTTCGTAGTGGTCCCTTGCGCAATGCGCGCTAGCCATGGACGGTACTCGCCCATTGTTGTGTCGCCCTCGATGATGCCGAGCCACTGCGTTAACGTGTTCTCGTAGACCCTCTTGACACGCCAGGTCACGCCGAGATGCGCGCCAGATATCACGCGCTGCAGATCCACCTGAGGCGCCCCAGCAAACTTGAATTGTACATCGGTAACTGTGCCATCCGACGAAGTGCTCGTAGACACAACTTCGTCCGCCAAAAATTCACGCCGCACGTACGATGCACCAGTTCGGTCCGTGAGTACGTTAATGTTGGCCCCTGTCGTTTGCTTGACGTACATGCCTTCGTCGAAAAGCGCATCGATGCCATTCAGTAACCCGCGTCCAGGTGTATTCGTCCCACCCGGCAGGACCGTGGTGGTCGATGGGCCCGAAAGACTAAGACCAGTGACAGACGCGTAGCCTGCGCTCATCGCTTGTGCGGTTGCGTCTGGATTTACGCTAAGCATACCCCCCGATGAGGCGGAGCGCACGCCTGTACCCGCAGAACCTGGCGCACCAGTGCCACCGCACATGTTCAATGCCACAGTTTCTCGGGCGATCAGCTTCGCGTTGGGGTCCTTCACTGCTAACCCATACGATTTTGCGATATCAGAAGCCTTCGCGTCAATAGTCGCGATCGCGGCGTCCATCAGAGGCACAAATTGGTTGTACCGCGCAACCCAACGCGTACAACAGAGGTAATCGCTTACTCCCGAAAGATCGCACCGGTTTGAGCTCCCAGAAATATGGGCGCTATCCGTCATCTCTTGCGCAGCAGTAATGGCGGTGATGATTAGCACTGTCAGAAATCTTTTATAGTTTCTTGAAGATCATGTTCAAGTTCACGATCTAAATATTGGAAATTCTTGCCATTGCCAATTTCATTTTGTTCATACCCGTCCTCCTGTGCTTTGCTTACTCCAATCCGGTACAACTATTAACTACGTCTGCGATTATTTTTCCAATCTGACAAACACAAAGGGAACGCCTCTTTTTTCATTGCCTAGGCAGGCGTCACTACAAGCAGAAATTCTCAGTTAATGCCACACCATTCGTGCTGACATCGTCAGCGCTTCGTCGTAGTACTGCACCATCTTCCCCGCGTGTGCAAGCTCCCTTAAATCTTGCGCTTTCGACATCTGCGACTTAAATTGAGCCTGCAGGACCAAAGGCACCACGATACACACTGTGGTAATCACTGTTGTGACCATCAGTCCAAGCAAGTGGCGAATCCGCTGGTGATCAAGAGCGGCGTTGTTGTCGCTAGTCACCTATTGTTAGAGTTTTGCAAATAAAGTGGAGGTCGCATTTATACTACAAACAGACTACGGTGCCTATGGGCGGAGAAGAACAAGTAAAGATTCAGGTGGCAACATGCGATCAAAAAACCATAATTTTCCTGATTTTCGACTCGTCGTCTTCTGACAGCCTTCATCACCTGGGTCCTTAGGGCATCCCACCGTTGCGCAGCCCTCAAATGCGCCATGCGAGCACGCTGTCCACGTCCGTGCCTCCGCTCAGCTTTGTCCTCCAACCTTTCCTTTTCCTGCTTCGACACCACGTTCTTCTTACCTCCGGTAGTACCGTTCTTGCCGTTTGTAGTTCCACCTCCTGTTCCCGTAGTCATGATCTTGAAGAATTCGTCGTAATTTATCCTGCGTTCGCCGTTCAGATCCGCTTCGGTGATCATCTCCTGAACGTCCTGGTGCGAAACCCGAGTGCCCAAACTATCCATCACTATTTTCAGTTCATTGGCGGAAATGAAGTTGTTTTCTTCAGAATCGAACATCACGAAGGCCTCATAGATCTCCTGCTCAACATTGGCGTCCTCAACTGCACCGTTGATGATACCTAGAGTGAGAGAGGGAAACATCATTTCAAAGTCAAAGTAGTCAAGGGAGATACTGAACGCAAGATGACGAAGGTGCTGTAGGAGCAGGTTGTGAATCAGATATAGAGAACTTCGCGATTGTTCGACGAAGGCAACAGTTGAAGGATCATTCATACCTACCAAGAAATTCTCTGAAGTTGATCATCTCTGCATCTGGATTGCTTTCCTGCACCGTCGCTAGCATATCTGAGATTTCTTCTGCGTCTGCATGTTGTCCTAGCGAAAGAAGCACTGACTGCAAATCGTCAAAATTGATGTATCCCGTTTTCGACTTGTCAAATAGCTCAAACGCATCGCGTAACTCCTCAATCTCTTCCCGGGCCAAATGCAAACCCATCAGGTTGAGGTCTGGGTGTGCGTACTGTTGGAACCTCTCGAAATTTGCGAGCCAAGCAGCTGCGTTGCTCACGTAGCGCCCGGTTCCAGCCGAGTCCCAATTCACGTAGAGACGCGTGAAACCCGTATCGATGATCAGCCGACGCCCATCTTGCTCGTACACGGCAGTGACCAAGTTGGGCTGCGGAACGCCGCCGGGTCCGGCGAAAATGAACAACGATTAAGCCGCGACATCAACAGGATCAAAGGGGTGTTCACTAAATTTATGTCGATATCATGCTTCAGTTTCAGTTTGTTCTCTCATTATGACTTCAATTTTGATCTTGATGGTCGCTCGCGCTGCGCACGGAAATAATACGCAAACGCGCAGTGAACTCTGGGGGGCCACCGTCCCAAAGAGCACAGGGCAACTGCTTTCTCTTGTCATTGGGCGACCGCCCGACGACAGTGCAAGCACCAGGGCGACCGCCCCGTTCACTTCAGAAGGCGACCGCCTTCCAAAGCTAGGTGAATGCAGAGCGCCACCGCCCTCTTCGTATCTGCAAACTCAGGATGTGCTGCACTTTCGTTGGAGCGGTCACGAGCGGAGGACGCCACATAGGACGAGGACCCTGAAACGAGAGGTCATCTCGTAACTGAGTTTTTCCTCCATTCATGACGTGCAGGGAACGAGAGCACCAGCATCCTAAAATTGCATATACAACATACTTCACGAACGGACGAAGAAGAAAGGATGAGCTTAACGACGTCCCAGGTTGGACAGACTACTTTTCCGCTTGGCTCTGGCTAAAATAATCGGAGCCAACATCAACAAGTTGGCGTAAATTAATTACTCCACAAGTAGCTCCTAGTCCTACGTAATTAGAATCCTCGAGCCTTACAGATCATATCAGAACCGTAAACGAGCGGCTTCATCTTTTGTCGGTGAAAGTTGCGGTCCTGGTGAATCGTTGCCACAGTCATTAGCGTAGGAGGAAAAGTGATGTTGCAGGAAGACGAAGATGATCGCGTGTATCTTCTATATTTCTTCCTAAGTGACACCACACTTTCTCAGCGAAGGCAGTCGCTCTCGCAGTGTGTGCAAGTGCAGATATCAATTTCTCCAGCAGTACCAGCACTAGAGGAGGGCGTAACGGTAAAAATCCGTCTTCCATATGTTCGTGCTCGTAGCCTCATAAAGTTACTCCCTCAAAAAGGGTCTCCAACCCAGTGGTGATAAGATGCTGCACGAACCCGGGTCCCTCAGAAGCGGTTGCTCCGCGCGTGGCGACGAGCGGGCGCTCGCGAACAACTTTGCCGCCAGGAACATTCCCAAACGTTTAGAAGAATCGGCCAAGAGACTCTCACATCAGTTGACGTAGAAGTATTGGTTGAACAAGAGAAGCAAGCAGCACCAGTAGTTAGTCCGAGATGCACATCATTCAACATTGTGGGAGTGAATTATTTGCATTTTGGCAATTTCTTCATAAGACATCGTTGCGCCGATAAGGTACTTTCCCAATCGATTCGCGTCCTCATAGCATGGCTTGTTCTCGCCCCAGATGTAAACACCGTTTCCTTTATACCAGAATTCCTTGATTACTGCCATGTGGGGTTCCAAAAGTCGCCCTTCGATAGAAGAGATCATCCACAGCTGGCAGCAGTCAGCAAGTTCAGACCGTAAAACATATATTAGATGATACATAAGCACGGGGGGCGTTAGGCGCTGTTTTCTTGTTTGACTCGTCCTATTTTGCTGTGGTTACTAGGAGGGGTCAGTTTATGGATCCTGTGACAGCGAATTCGAAGACTTAATTATAGATGATAATATTGACATTCTAGGAGTAGCAGGAGAAGGACGAGGCACCTCCTTAACTCAGTATCCGGAACTGCTGTAAAGCGTTTTATGCGAAATCCCTTCTGTTCGAGAGCGCTTTGTGGAAAGCGAAAGTCGAAGCCTCCAAATGTGTATAGATGTAATACCAAGATTTGAGCGCCCTTAAACGCTCCGTCTCGCGCCAAATCAAAATTGTTGCCCGCTGCGTTGCTCAAATTAGGAAACTGCCGTAAGCGCAGATGAATTTGAGAAAAAAATATCCGATCTGACACCACTTTCACTCAGAGTAAACCAACACTGTCCTCGCTGTCTCAAAAAAATGAAAGGGCCCTAACATAGTTATCCTTCGCTGCGCCATCGATGCGCGTCTGTCCTGCCACCTCATTGTATACATTCAGCCGAATCATCACCACGAGCTGTGCTCCATCTGCTATGCCTAGAAGTTCACGAAAGGATGCGAGAAGTAAACACTACGCACTTAATTTCTTTCGAAATACGGGACGGTGAAATACTTATTTCACGACGCCATGACAATGACAGCACAGTCCAGTTCAAATTTCTCTACAGGGTCACGTCAGGGGCAGTGTCAATATGCGTCCCCTGTCACAGGTCCTCCTACTCGCCTTGTTCTGACTGACATAACAAAAAAGTCAATTTACCTGCAGCACTCAAGAGAATCTGGTCCATGCTGACAGTGAGACTGCGGCCGTTGTGCATGAGGCGCATCTCCTCTCGGTCTATCGCGCACTGTCGTTCGATTAGCGTTTTTAGGTCACCAATCGTCTGACTGTCCGGAAAAGTGTCTATTTCGTGTTGCCGACCTGTTGCTAAGAGGTTCACTGTCACGCGAGCCGCGCTTGCCCCGCGGGCAGAGACCCTTGCTCTTTCTGGGCTCGCCATATTAATGTCGCGGCAAGCTCAGTTCGTTTTCACGGTGGTAAATAGAACTTGAACTACTTTCGCCGCCTGTCTGCAGCTGAAATTGGAAATGGCGGGTCAAACAGGTAGGTAGTCGCTTCAGGCATCTTTCTTCGCTATTTGTGTTCAAGTTCTACCATCCTGATAAACATTAGCGACTCCACCAAATGCTCCGAAAATATGATTTTTTTGTTGTCTCATTTTCCGACAATATTTCTGAGTGCGCGAAGATCACGAGGCCACTTAGTCTGTCATCACTCTGTAGTAAATGCTTCCACGACTGCAGCTCCAGCACTTTGGCTTCAAAGTGGTAATTCATCTCCGTCGTATCTATTTTGGATTGGGTCATCAAAAGGAAGACGCAATAACGACTTTTGTTGCCGTACTCTCATCTTGCTCTTGATACCAGTCACATCCTGGCGAAAAAAAGTATACCGATAACCTTCAAGCGCAGCCTGGAGGTGCCGCGGCGGTCTGGCATTTTAAGCTGCTCGTCCTGAATCGTGTAGTTTATGGTTCATTTTATCACGTATGGGGAAGGATAATTTTTCGAATTTCGACAAGAATTGCCATTTCAGTTGCGGAATAAAGTGGCATTGTGATCTCGATGTCGATGCTATGTGTAAGTTTGTGTGAGCCGCGTAACGAGTAGTTCTCGTTATTAGCTCCCCTTCTAAGCTATCTACTCGCGGCTCTGGAAATGCTAGGAAAATATTTGACTTGTAGTAATTCCAGCTCGACTCGAAGAAGTTTTTTGCCCAGAGGGTAGGTATAGGTTAGTGTTCCAGAAGGAATGCATGTACATCATAGCACTGTCATCGTCTATGACTAACTATAAAATTTCTGACCTTTTTCAGAGATGAGTTTGGTTTTATAGTATACATAGTCTTCTACTTCTTGCTCTTCTGTGGTGCCCTAAATATGCTTATCCCTATGTGGGTCGATGTTTCTTCTCGATTATACAGCTTATTGTGTGTTTTTGCTCTCAGAACCGCGGCGGCATATCGTGCCGGTACGCTTCTAGTACGAGGAGTACTATCACAATTTTTCATGCAGAAGTTGTGTCAAGAGAGCAAAGATTATGACATAATATGTATAAGTGAAGCTGCGTATGCGTTCAATTAGTAGTTTAGACTCTATTGCAGAGAGGCTTCCAATCCGAGGTAAGTACTTGCTTGTGGGGTTGGCCGTACTCCTCCTCCAGTGATTTCATATTTCATCTCGAGGTGGAAACTGGAAAGTACTCGTCTCGAGGTTCACATTGGTACGTACTCATGTCGGTTCAGGTATAAGTCATCCGCTTTCGAGCGGCGCGATCCAAACTCCGCGTCGCAGAACCAGTCACGGAACCAACGCAGTGAGCCCAGAGCTTGCTCCACTAGATACAGTCTATCGTCCTCCGAGACGAATCTCAAGGGATACATGTATCTCTCCTCTCCTGGGATGTCCGGCGCATCGTCAGGTAAGGCTTAGATCGGGGAGGGGTGGGGAATTATGGTGTTCCTGTTCGTGAACACGAATGTTCTTACTACTTACTCACTTCATGTCAACAAGAAGTAAAAGTCACACGATCTCTCAAAGACTATTAAGCGAGTCAGACAAGTGAAATACAGCTGACACTGTAAGCAAGAGAAGATTCAAGAGTCTCTACTGGGTACACACTAGTATGACTCAAACCTTGCATGAAATGCACATGCACATGCACAGACAGTCGCAGTACGAGTGAGTAAGTATGATATTACGCCGCTGCATTACATTTGAAGCGTTAGAGCAGAACACAAAACTCAATGCATGAAGAAGAAGAGGCAAACTTTCTCAACTTTACTAGCCCATAATCGGATGATGTCTTCAACTGGTCAAGAAGTGCGGGAAACGGAGCTGCGTTCAAAATGGGGCCATTGATTCTGTCCGGGCCGTTTTTCTTAGAAGTTTTCTATTCCTCGGACTTTTCGCGCTTCGTCAGGCGGGACACTAGGGAGTAGGAGTAGTGGAGCTCTGTTTACAAAGTTTATGGGAGGTAATATGCTTCCCGTTAGGAGGAAGATTCGAATCAAGCAGTCTTGATGAAGTGAGGACAACACAACATCAAGATCAAGCCATATAACTTCTTTTATCAGAAACTTTTCCCAGTTCCAGAATAGCGATTCTTGGATCAAAGTTACAACTCATTAAAGTACTACTACCTCTAGCAGCACTCGCGCTGGTAGATCGGGTACAAGAAGAACTATTCGTCCAGGAAGCATATTATCACCATGATGCAATTATGCAAATGCATTCTAACCAAACTCGATATCGATATGAGAATTCTTGAATTTCTAAAGAGACACTGTGCTGCTCGTGCTACTGTTCGACAATCTGCACGTAACTACTTAGTTGTAAAACTACTGTTCATAGATTGTAATTGGTTGATAAGCTCCCGTTTCCACAGCGATTGAGGAATGTCAGCACCTCTAAGACCCAGCGAAGACCTGTATTTGATGGGAAAGTCTGTGTACAGCGAATCGCTAGTCCGGTTCAAGTCTGATTGTCTCGCCAGAGCGATCCACTCTCTAGCTTCGTTAGAAGCAGATAATTCTAATTATTTTGATACATCTAACTACATTCAGACGACCGCGACTGCATAGACGAAAACCGTCATGGCTGAGCGGTGCGTTGTTTTTTTTGCGTATATAAGTATATATTGTAAATAAAAATATAACAAAAGCTAAACGAGCAAGAACAGCGAGTTATTCTGAACGTATAATATTGAATATAATCATCCTTATTATGATCGTTGCGGGCCTTAATTTCTGCCACGTGGCCGTCGAGCAACAGTGTCCAGAGTTCTTCCGCGCGTTTTCAAGCTTGTTCATGCTGCGGGTGGTTACCGTCAGCAAGCTTTCTGCCCTGTTTCTCCACATTGTCAGGGTCAACTGCTGCACAAAAATGGGCAAGGATATTCAATCGCCCGGGAGCCGTTTTCGGGTCCAACACAGTGGTCAAACCAGGTGATTTAGAGGACGGAATAGTAATAGAAGCGCTCATATTTTATATATATTCGACATTGATTGGGAAGGATAACAAAATGACGCATGCCACAATTCTTATAGCGGAGCATCAGGGTCCGCTGTAAATCGCGCCCTAAGAGCTGTAAATTTCTAGGATCAATACATAGATCTTTGCACTGTCGCGAAGAAACTGACAAACTACTAATTGGCTGATGAACACCAACACCCTGATATCATACTGAGAAAAATAATCGCCAGATAATCCGAAATAACCCACAAAAAACCTAAAAATAAGAAGCAATAAGTTCAGTTTTCGAATTTTTCAAAACTGGCCATATTTATATTTATAATATTTTCTTATAGATATATTGTGGACTAATTCTGACTAATATCAAGACGCCTACTTCGTCCTGCCTGATATAGGAAGGTCCTGAACGAATACTGGCACAAGGAAGTGAGTCCGAACATACTACAAAGAAATAGACAAGGAGGAATCTTCCTTGTGCAGCTCACATTAGAGGCAAGCTAGTATGAGGAGCATCGATGAAAGAAGCACATTTACTCCATAATCATCATCAACATCGCTTTTCCCGGTTCGTCCGCCTGCATCGAGAACTCGTGCTGCTCTTGCTGAACTCGTTGATCCATGCTTGTTTCCTGTTCTTCAGCGGTCGACGTGGAGGTATCATGTTTGACGCTACGCATTAGCGGGATCTTTAGCAACGTATTTTCCGACTTCGGATTCTGATCGTGAAATGACTTTTCGAGGCGTTCCCGTTCGTGCAACCCCAGCCCCGTCATTTCGTCCATTGCGCAAGCTGACAGACTCAACCTCGCCAGTAGACCTCCCGCCATAGAATGCACCTGCACTTCGTCTTCGTACGAGTTGAAGGTCTTCTTTCCCGTCAAGCTAGCAGCGGAGTAAACCCCCATCGTGGCATCAGAATCCTCTTCAGCAGCGGGACGAAAACTTTGACATACTCGGTTCCACTGCCCTGTTGGTTCTTCTGGTGGAATCCCTTCAGCAGCCGGGACTTCAGCTTGTGGCAGAGACAGAGTCGAAGAGGACGCAGGCGTTATAGCTGCGAACGGAGGCGATGCAGCTGCATCGACAACTGTGACGAAACAGCTCGTCCAAACCAGGATGAACATACTTGTTGCCCGTAGGGGCGCCGACTGAAGGATTACACGACTCATTTTTTTCCCAAGAAATATGTGTATGTTGTTAATCTTGTTCTTGGTTAACTACAACAATAATTATGATGCCAGTTGCGGTGCGCGCACGGCTTTCTACATACGCGATATAGCTCCTGTCATCTTTTTTTGTACTCTACTCTTTCTCTTTGTGTTCGTGAGCGCTGATGATGAAGCATACGCACGGGAGGACAACATCAATCTGCCTGTTCGTGTTGCATCTACATGTACATCCTGCAGCATTTGAATAAATATGAGGCAGCGAAATTGATTTTTGAATGTCAAAGAGACATGCGCTACGAGTGACATTTAGAGTACGAGCAGTAGCACGCTTTGGGTTGTAGAGGATTAGTAGCGAGTGGCGCCAGATCTGGGGTGATCGCTGGAGAAACTTCTGCGCCGAACATGCTGCACTGCAATTTTCTAATCTTAACTTGCAAGATACAGATAGTGAAAGAACACGACCACCAGTAACAGCAGCCAGCACACAGAGATGTTTGTAAGCACTTCGCAGGCCTTGGCCTGCAGAGACATCCATCGCTGCTGGTTTGTTGAAAAACATACTCGAAAAAGAACTGAAATAACCGAGTTGGACAAATATGTAATAACTGTGCAGAAGGTGAGTGTCACAGCACGCTAAAAAACCCCGCTGCGCCAAAGGTTTCGACCTCTCCCAGAGGCTCCCTCCAACTCTATCCGTCGCTCTTTCGCAAGGCGGCGAGTAAAGAAAAGCGCGAGAACCTTCCCGCTCGTGAGAGCAACGACCCACGCCAGTTGCGCGGTAGTGGTAGCCTCCTCGACCAAGCATCAACGACAAGACCGCGAAAGCGATCACCCCGAAAAGCTCTCTTTCTTATTGCTAGAAATCACGGGTATCGACAGGCCGTCGGCGCGCCCCCCTCGATACCCGGATCGAGACGCCCCGATCCGGGAATCGAGAGGCCGATCCGGCCCGAGGCCTCCCTTTCCCCGTCGGAACGACCTCTCGATTCCCGGATCGAGACGTTTCGAATCGGGAATCGAAGGGGGGTCGCCACCGGCCTGTCGATGCTCATGATTTCTAGCGATAACTCGAGGCCCTGCTGAGATAGTCAAATCGGAAATGCTTCGAGACCACCGCGGACGTGTCGCTGCGAGGGGTGAGCCCATACTCTTTCGTGAGTCAGGGGCCGAGCAGTGCAAGCAGACAAGGCGGGACCGGGGAACGCCCAAGCCTGGCGCCCTAGTTCGCTACGTCACGGACTGGGTCCTGGGTGTCAGTCACTGCGGGTAGGCTTGTGCTAGAGGTGCCGAAATCCGTTAAATGTGTGCTGAGTTTGCCGCTAAGGCTAAAGAGGGTCCCTCACAGTTATTTTCAAACTAATTCGGTTATTTCCAGTCTACGAGTACACACCAAGATGCTCATGCAGCTGATGCTGGAGTGATGAAGGCAATTGTTATTTTGCTGGATGATGAGATTGAGAATTGTACATGTTGAGTGGTTTGATGTATAAGATTAATATGATGTTGTCGACCACGAGAGGAAATTTTAGTGAAGCCCATGCATGTTCGGGTGGGCTATTTTCATGACAGAGAAAGAGACGGTTTTCTGGATATCGGTAGGATCAAAATATTGATCAATATCCTCTTTTCAGTATGACAAGGAGAACATGATGTTGAAGTTGATAGACTTCAAATGATTGTCTGGAAAAAGGAGCGACTCCGACTCGAAAACGGCCAAAATAAGAGTGTTGTTGTGAGTGAGGGATGGAAAATGCCATATTTGGATTTGCCACCTTGGTGGAGAATTGAGCCTCGATGTCGATGTCGATGAATATTAATTTGTAGATATAATTCTATCAGTTTTATTGTGTGAGATTCTAATGGTGAAATGGATTCAAATGTTGTATTCTTTGGCTTTGGGTACTTCTATTTATTATAATAGTTAGAAGATTGATACAATCATGGATAAATTACAACAAGCATGAAGATAAAAATAAAAAAGAATAAGAAAGAAATGTGCAACGCGCTTCTTTGACTTCTGACGAACACGAACTAAAAACAAGAAGTCATACTTCAATGTCTTGCATGACGGATAAGTACACATTCTCCGCTATCTTCTATCTCGTGCTCGTGCATAATGATACCCTCTTTAATGTAATAAGACAATAAATCCTAGAAAAGTACAACCGCAACGGGTAAACAAGAAGTAGCTTCTGCATCTGGTTTGTACTAGATCGCCCTCTTCTAGTGCTAATCTACAACTTTTCCTTCTCCAAACAACAAGGTTCAAGGTCATCACGCAATCCTGGCTATGAGGAGTAACATAAGCTTTCGGCTTTCATTCGCGTTACAATTCGATGCTGAGTCCGAACCAATGGATATCGGCTTCCGCTTCGGCAATGAGGTTATAATATTTTCATGTTGTTCTCCTACTCAACTCCTTTCTCATCTACTATTGCGTCCTCCCTCTACAATCGTGCTCATCGTCTTCGAGTTTCCAATGTAAAAGTCCTCACCAACTACTAGTATCGTTGGTCTTCTCCGCTTACCTTCGTCGACGAGAGTCTCTTCGGCGCGAGTCTCTGCGTGATTGCCGACCTCTCGAGTCTCGTCGTCCACCGCGCCCTCTAGAGTCGCGTCGGCCTCTGGAGTCACGACGTCCACGTCCGAAGCCGCGACGCGGTGGCGCACCACGCTGCTGTTTTTATTTTTGCGTTATTAATTTGCTACTCTCTTTACTCATACTCACTCTGTCAATTAACACTTAATTTCAGCTTAAAGCTCTAATGAAACAAGAAGGTGTATTTATTAAACTGATTGTCATTCACTGTGCAGATTCGAACAAAATAGGTGAAGCGTGTAAAAAATATGTAGTGATACATTTTTCACTTCGACCTTGAGTGGGCGTCCAAAAAAATCGTAATGATTCGCCTTGATAATAGCGTCATCTACATCTCGGACATCCTCGAGGAGTATAAATCCGTAACCGCGATGATTGCGGTCGGCTGCATGTCGTGGCAGCGATACCTTGATGTTTGTGTTGACATCCTTCGATCAGCATAGTCGCGAAACAGAGACAATCCTCATGCTATTCTGGAGCGGGATTCGGCAGTAGTAGCTCGGGTTGCTTAATTTCGTCATTCTCTATTTGCCTTTGCTCATGCGCTTCGATATTTCACTTCTGACGATTCGAATCTATTCGGCAGCTTGCCTAAGACTTTACTTCTATTGCAGCTTAAACTCTTACCTCTTGGAGACTGAAGCCAAATCCCGTAAAAAGTTTTTCCAAGTCATGCTCGTCAGCCTCTTCGCTGATATTGGCAACAAAAAGGGTCTTCGCCATTTCGTCGGCGGCACCTCTACCTCGATATCCGCCCATGCTGGGATCCTAGGAAAATTGTAGTTATGAATCAACAATGTCAGTTTTGATGGAGCAGTGTATCACTAATTCTTGATTAGTAGAGAAGATGATGATAAACACAAGGCAAGGCATGTTGTTTGTTGTGCCATAGATTACAGGCAAACGGTAATAATCATGTATGTCGATGTCGTTGTCGAAGTCGATTGCCGAAAACAGATTATAGTCCATTAATCATGAATCCTTATCATTCGTCTTCAATGAAATTGAAAATATATATAATTATCGAGGTTTACAAGCCAACCAGGATTGTATTGCGCGCAGAAGTTGTAGGTTGTATAATACGCAATACCTTGGTAGCATGACGGTCATAGATGGGAGAACGGGAACGAGAACGGCGCGACATCTTTCTCGTTAGGCTTTTGGATGCTACAACTAGTGCAACGAGTGCAAGCAACTATTTTACGGCCTGATGATTGTTTTGGTGATTTAGATCTGCTCAGAGTCGAGGCTCAAATTGAGAAAAGCAGTCGTAGTTGAAATTTCAAATTGTTACCTGGTAGAATAGCTCTGGATACCAGTTGATACCATGAATTTGAATGTATGATATGTTGATAAAAATTGTCTTACTTCATCTTCGTGTTTAAAAGTAACGCAATCGCAAAGAAGCTGAACAAGGTAGTCCATGTCCATGAATCACTCGCGTCTACTACTTCAGCGAACGCGAAAAATGTTTGAAGAAGTGGTGGCAGTTGTACGCCTACCTAGAGAAGATTGATACTCAAAGTTGCTGGCTAACGACAGGTCGGATCTTCAAGATTCTGTCGTGCATGGAATTTCTCCATGCATATGCAGCTTCTCGTGCCATCGGAATTTGATAGATCTTCTGATCTTGTGTTTCAGAATCACAGCAACCATGAAACCGAATCCACTGTCTTCGGTACTGCATCGTCAAATCATGTGGTGGTGCGAGCTTTGTTCTCCTTCTCCTGAAATGTATGACGGTACAGTTGTAGTGCGCGTTTGTGCTTTTGAGACAAGGCTAAACACATACTTTTTTCGAGTAGCGGATTTGCTTTCTGAATCGCGGATATGGATATATTCACCCACACTGATAGAGATGCTGCCCCATTCGTGGTTCGACACCTACCACATGCTTGCATGTTTCTTCACTAGAACCGTTGTCGAGCGAACACTCCTTCGTCCTTCGAGTTCAAGCTCACGGGGTGCTCCCGTTGCTCGCCTTCGACCGCGGTCTACGTTTTTTTTTTTTAGGTCTGTATAGCTATTCTGCCATCCTTTTAAGCCATTACGTGCATGCCCTAAGCAAATAAATAAGCACATACTGGGGGAGCATAACTAAGACCGCACATTTGGCCAAAAATTCTACACCTATCGGAAGAGCGACACACTGGACCCCGACACAGCGGGGCCCCGTGGAGCAAGTCAGTACACCTGCAGGGTTATGACACGCCGCACAACCGCACCCAGGAAAGGTCAAGTGCTGAAAATTTCACCTGCTGCTCATGCTGTCGTAGCGCTAAACGTGAATGCGTTTCCAGGACCACTAGCACTAATAGACGCGATAAAAAGTAAGCATTTGCATTTGCTATTAAGCTCACGCATGAATGGAAAAAATGTTTCATTCAATCATCAAAGTGATTGCTTACCCACATACGATAAGAAGATCCAAAAAAAATCATCCTGTATGACATCGCGTGACTACTGTCCGAAAATGACCTCATCTCAATCTATAGCACCACTACAGGACGAACATGTCCTATCTGTCGCCGCGCCTGTGGTCTCTGATGGTGCTGGTGGATCTTCATAAATTATTTTATACTTTTTTTCAGTTACAATCACAATGGTTCTAAATCATTCAAGTTACGCTTTCCTTTGTACTAGAAGAGAACCATTTCGATGATGCCCGTCCTGTTATCAATAATCAACTGGTATCATAAATTTCATGTAGAGTTGAATTGTAGAGGATCGGATCATAGAGATCTTCTTTTGCTCACGTACTAGCAAAAGGCGAAAACGAGCTACCTTGTAGCTGCACCTGTTCCCTCCAAAAAAGAAAGAAAAACTATTTCATCTTTGACCGAGATGTGGATTGAGCAAGAAATTGCAACACTTTACAAAAAAGGACTATATGATTGCAATGGCTAAGAGAGTGGTGCTACGGTATCAGTAAAGCTGGCAAAGTTAACATAAGAGTAGATAGAACAGACATGGGTGCTGCAGGATCCCTATGCAGGAAAGGCAAAACAAGAAAACAAACTCGCGAAGTCGGAAGCGGCTCACATGCCATAATGTCCTGTCCGTCATACGCCACAGCTGCAAATCCAATAAAGGAAAAAAATGGAAAAATGCATAAAAGAAGAGCTAACCCTTACCGCACGTACGTGATACGTCGGATTTCGAAGCTAGTTCCTGCCGCACCCACGGGTAGAAATGATAGAAGAAATCTCGTCTACCAGGATTGAAATCTGCGAAAAAAATTACAAGTTCACTGTATTTCTTGCATAATCATGTTGTTCATGACAGTTAAAAATATCTTCATATTTATCAATATTAACAACAATAAGGAAATAGTAGTACACGTACTCGCACAAGTTCAAGTGATAACGAGGAGTAAGTACTATATTATTGACAAGGGTATCGGACGAGTGACCACCTGCACCTTGTTATCGTTCTTCCAAAATATCTTCTTGTGGCCACGTCGCAAATCATGGCAGTGACACTCGTCAAGCGGACAAACACAAATGACCATGACGAGATAGTTATTATAAATATATGTTCCAGGACGCGCCCCTGCAGGTGTACTGACTTGCTCCACCTGTCGAAGCGCTAAACGTGAAGCCCCCCCTACCGGGGGGGGGCCGTGCGCCCTGTCCCCCTTTTTGAGGCGTCTGCCTGGGGTGGAAGGCCTCAAAGAAAAGGGGGCCCACTGACCTCCCTCCTCCGCTCCCGTCCAGCTGCCTGGCTCCTCCCTAGGGGCCTCCGATGATCGCGGGGGGCTTCAAAAGGGGCCCAAGGGACCGCCTGCGCCCCCGTCCAGGTGCCTGCCTGTGCCCTAAGTGCATCCGTCAGGCTTCGCCGCCGCAGCAGTGCGCCGGCCGCGGAAAGCCTCCGAAGGCGGCAAGAGGCGAGGGCCTGGACCCCCTGCGCCGTGCCGCCTGTACCCCCCGGGCCCTTGGTCATCGGGTTGCTTGCTCTTGCCTTCGGCGGCCTTTTTTTACCCTGGAGACCTGCCGCCTGCGAGGGTCAGCAGAGGCCAGCAGGTCCCTTAGGAACACGCTGAGAGGCCCAAGGGGAGGCCCGCCCCCGCGCCAAGTTTTGACGCCTTTCACCACTAGAATCCGCGAAAAATCCGCGCGGAAAAGCGCGCGCGCGCGCCACCACACACCAGACCACAGGGGGGGGGAGGAGGGGGAGCCGTCCGGCCCTGTGTCATATATAAGCATGACTATTACTATAATTACCGAGCAACTTATAAGGTTCCACAGCTCGCATGGCATGGAGTGCATGGATCACATGGAGTAGCATGGAGCTAAAGGGGGAGCTTCTTGCGCCTCTTAAAGCTCTGCGCTCCATGCACTCCATGCACCATGCGTGCTATAAACTACTCTGCTATTACTATCATTTCTAGTTTTACTGTAGCCAAGAATTGAAATCATCTTTACAAATTTGAATTACTCCAAAGTACGACTGTTCAATCATGCTCTTCAAAGAAAACTAGGATGAGACTTGGAAACCCATTTTGTTTGGGTGGCTACCTGAAGTGTCAAATTAACGGACCCCCTTGCGGCGTTCGCTGTGTCTTACGCTTCTACAACTCTAGTTCTACAACATCCACAAAGATTTTCTACAACATGATATGATGCGCAAGAACCTCCAGAAAGAGAGGTACTAGCAAGCGCGGCAACAGAGCACGAGGAGACTTCGAAATTTTTAGATTTTTTGATGAGATTGAGATGATTTATGTTGTTATTGAGAAAACCTCCCATATCACTCGCCGTCGCCATCATCTGAAGGGTGTATCTATTTCTTCTATATTCAATCTATCAATGCACGATCATCGATTTGAAAGTACTTATCTGTAAGAGGCAAAACGAACAAATGAATTGATTCTCAATATTGCAAAATTTTTGGGCATCTTGCGCGTCAGGGTACAAGTGTTGGAAGGACGTGATGTCAATCGCAGGCGGTGCGAATCTCACCTCCCACTCGCCCTTCCTGAAAAAAAATGGAGAAGTTTTCATGTACTTATGTAAAGATTCATCAGAGGACGTTGATGCCCATGGTCTCGTCGATCAGCCGTCGGGGACTAATTAGTATCACCCGTCAGACAGAAGGTTGTATATATCGTAATCGATAAATCTCAAGATGATCCATGAAAGCTGGAAAGCGATGTTGTGGAACGCAGCTCGTCGCTCGCAGAGGGAGCTCACCACTCATCACAGACGAAAATACTGCATCACGCTTTTGCTTTCTCAATACAGGATAATTAAACCAAGTACAACCTCACGACCCTCAGACTGAGTGCCATGAACACATTTTTTCTGGCGCGTCCACAGCTAGGAAAGATCCGGTTGACTGGATCTGATTTCACATCATCAACTCGTTTTTTCTTCAGTATTTTTTTCATGAGTACTCATTCTCATGCTACAATAATAATGTGTGGTCCTCCATAATTAGGCTTAGCTCTACAATGTCGACACCGGCAAAAGTCAATTTGAACTGGACTAGACTGTAACAATGCAACAATGGATCTGAAGACACTGACTATGAAACGTGGTGTATCAGCCTTTCAGTTTTCGGCTGGGCATAGACCTGTGAGAGCTGTGGATGCGCATGTCGTGGTCGATAGATTTAACTCTCGCAATGACAGTTCTCGGATTGGGCCTCCCATTCACATTTTTGTTTACATCTATACAATGCGGAGCAACTCTACAACGAAGTAAGTCTGAAACCCACTCTCCGGCTTGTCTGACGAGCCCTAAGGTTCTGTGGATGTGGAATACGAAGACATTCGATCTGTGCACGAATTGTACTCAAACTTTGCTAGATTCCGAGAATATTGCTTGATTTTTGGTCTATTTTTCTACTTGATCACCCACGCGAATGACTGAGGCGTTGAACTTGCAAGCGTCCCTGTATGTAAGAGAAGTGGTAGCACGTCATGGTATCCTCAAGATTCTATTCGGTTTCATTTTTTTACATTTCAATCACCTACTTGTACTTCTACTCGATGTTTGTTAAGCTGACTTAGTCTCCCTGGCGCGCCGTGATCGTGCAGCTATTGATATAATACAACTATATAGCGACTGTACACCAGTCTTTGTCTTTCATCATCACGAGAACCATGCACATCGGCAAAACTTCTTTCTCATTCTCTGTCCTTTCGTCATAATTTCAGGTTCGGAATGCGGTTACGGAATCAGTTTAGTTTTTTTTTAGGAAATAAATGTAGAGACAAAGTCGTGGCTAGTAAGATGTTGTGAGTTATTAGAACCACGGTCGAGTACGAGGGAGTAGAAAGAGAATGAGACAGAAGAGGAAAGTAGCTCTCACTTTATTTATACACCAACTACACAATGTCAATGAAGGCGAAGTTAGGCATGCATTCTTCAGAAGCAGAAAACATAGGGAACGAATGCGAAGGACTGCTACTGGAACTGGTATTCGTTGCTCTGATGATGCTCATAAACATGCCTGTGCTAGTCCTCGTGGCTGAATGTCGTTACGTACTTGAACAACTCGGACTACCTCCACTAACAAGTAGCAACAACTTTGACTACGTGATGCATAAATCCAATATAAAAGCATGAAAATTTACTGAGTACATCGATGCATAATTTCCTTTTCCGCATGATGAACTCCTGATGTTCATTTTTGAGCAAATTTCATTTTTGATACGCTCCCTAGTGGGTAAAACGTCACAAACGCCACAACTTCAAAGTGTGTGAAAGTGGAGATTATAGGTGCAGCGGCTAAATGCTACCTGTTGAAACGGGCGTCGTAGTTGTGAAATCTTCCGGTTCGTGGTCCAGGGTGATATTGAAAAGGTTCCGTATGCTGGTCGTCATGCGACATGGCATCAGTCGTGTGGTTGTATCCCCGGTGCCTGGGCGGTGGTGCAAATCAAAAAATAATGAAGATTCGGTCTATGTTGTAGTTTGTTTCACCACTAGAAGAACTATGATCATGGTATATTTCATTTGTTTCTTCTCTGCAGCTTCTCCGACCGTCAGGAATGCAGTAGGAGCAAATACTCCCGCTTCCGGGAGACACATGATACTTACTAAACAAAATGACGACACAATCAATGGCCTAAAAATCAAGGGTGAGGTAAAAAAAATCATGACAAGAACGAAGATACTCGGTACTATTCTTCTCCCTTCTCAAGCTGACACATCCAGCAAATCAATGTTAGTATGAGTACCCCGCTCGATGTTGATGATCGGTTCCGTCCCCCCGAATGCGATGAGTTAGGGCCGGACGTCCAGCTGCGGCCCCATGCACGCTGTGTTGCAGAGGATGCTGCATGTTGATACCATTCGCCTGTTGATGTGTTGTCACGAATTGGTGGTATGGCCCACAGGTTCCACTAGAAGCTCCACCAGGTGGTTGAGGGCATGTCTGTTGAGTGCCGGGGGCCGTATTCGTTGGATGATTCCCGTGTTGGTATACATTTTGCTGGCCGCATTTTGCTGCTCCACTGTGTTGAGCAGAATGACCACTATGCTGCTGAGCAGCAGCCGCACTGATATGCTGCTGCAACAAGTTGTTGTTTCCACCAACCACATGATGCTCGTGCTGTTGCACTGCAAAAGGTCCTGCATTCGCTTGATGATGCTGATGGAAATACTGTTGCTGGTGCTGCATATGCAGGTTGTAGGGGTCCAGGGCCCGCAAATATGGATGCTGCTGATGCAGTTGAGCTTGATGCGCCGAGGACGTCTGGGGAATTCCTGCTGATGCTGGTATCATATTCACCTGACCTGCTGGTCCTAATCCACCTCCTGAAAATGTTGAAAATAAGCAGTATTGCTGCGTAAGGGTCAGTAGTAATGACGATTTGCGTCCATTAAGAAATCCAAATTCAACATCTTGATCATGAGGCGCCAAAATAAAATCGCAATAGCTAGTACTTGAGAAGTGGGGATAAATGGATGAAATCATGAAAGATCTCTCTATTCACAGTGCCGAAAAACTTCACCAAATAGATTGCTACTTGTTGATTGCTCGTGGAAGTGTCCCGGTCGGGGTGCTCCAGAGCTCCCTGGTCTGTGATGCGACCCTCCACTAGGATGACCAGGCCCATTAAACTGTAAAGGACGCTGTTGTCGCCCGCTGAAGATCTTCTGGCCGCCGACGTGATCGATTTTACGGGACGAAGATGCACCTGATGAAATACGAGACAATATAAATATATAAGGCTTATCCTTATATTATATGTAAGCATTCATCTCGTTAGTGAGATCATTCAAGATGAACTCAGCGGGACAGGGATGAATCATCTCCGACGAGGCATAGACTTTGACTGAGTGACACATGATCAACATAAATGAGTCATCGTATCAAAGTTGTATTTTCACACAAGCACGTCCACGCGCGTGACGAAATGGTTGCGAGAAAATGGAAGTGCGCAAGTAAGTACAAGCGTGCATATGCGAGGCCGTTTTTCGTAGCGTTGACATGCCGAGGTCTGCGGGAATGCTTTTTGCTTTGGGAAAAGGTCGGTCTATAAAAATTCGGGCCGCCCCCGACGGCTTGACATCTTCCTCTACGAGCGCGCGTAGCTCGAAAATGGCTTGGTCATATTCCTCATCGCTGACATTAAGGTCCCATCCGAGTGCGTCGAGCAGCCAAAGTTGCATCTGCAACGCTGTTCGCTTTCCTGTTTTTGAATAGGTCTGAGTGTGGCAGGTGCAAGAAACAAGGTGAAGGTACGAGTCAACCATTCTTTAGAAGCTCAAAAATCAAAAACTAAGTAAGTAAGTAAGTAAGTAAGTAAGTAAGTAAGTAAGTAAGTAAGTAAGTAAGTAAGTAAGTAAGTAAGTAAGTAAGTAAGTAAGTAGAAGAACCGAATCATGCCGTTTATCTATCGTCCTCTCATCATCTTCAACATCATGACGCAATCCCCAATCGCAACAACCTGATGAAAATCATAAGCACCTCCACTCGATCTCATGTGGTTCAGTACCTTCCTTCTGATGCGTTTGCATTCCGAACATCTGGATGACGTGGCCAGGATGAATGTAGTTATCCTCCCAATATTTTTCGGATATGATCATAATCCAGCACCAGATCGTAGGCCAGCTGCATTCTCTGAACTCAATTTTGCCCTCGCGCAATAGCCGCGAGACGTAGACAACCTGTCTTTTAGTATTTGAGGACGAAGTACAACTAATGCCTGTACCTTCGGTATGATCAAGGTAAATGTTGTTGGACTTCAAGTTCAACTTAGCAGATGAAAGTTTAAGCTGAAAAACTTGAGACAAATGGTGCTGGCCGCTAGAAACAAGTAAGTAGCTATGCATAGGTATGAACTTTTATCCTATCAAGAGTTGTACCGCTCCCACAATGCTTGTGAGGCTAAAGCAACACCGCTGTGTCATCTCGAGAAGCCATCTCTCTATGTTTTGCACAGAGGGTTCTTGCGGAAGGGAATCCCGGAAAACCTCCTCAAAGCGTTGCTTTTGTGGTCCATTTCCAGTGAATTTTTGCCTCCGCGATCGAGTGAGGTATACACCTCTTTGTTCCTCATGCGACGGTGAGGTGGGTGCATTGCGCAGATTATTGCCTTCTTGAAAATGTAGTTGTAGTCCATCGTCCGCGTCATTTGTTCTTGAGTGTAGTACTTCTCTTTTTCGATCCCCCGTCGGTATTGATTCGTTGTCATGATCTATATTTCCTGTTCTTGACACCTCGTCGACGAGGTCGAGTGGGATTCCACCGCTTTGCTGAACCAGTTCTAAGTCAAGGTCCGGGCTACAGGAGGTCGCATACCCGGACCGTGTCTCGTCATTGGACGAAGCCGCAATGCGGTGGTCTCCAAACGGCAGGTTTGGCGAAGACGTGGTAACTGTGGACTCGGACTCGTTATCGTGTCGGTAGGTTAGATGTTGAAAAGGTGCGGGACGACAGGTGCTGCTGCTACTCCCTCCGACTACATAATTCTTGCTCTTCATCTTTCTGAAATTCATCTTCGAAGCAGATGACAGAGTGCTCGTTGTGTCTTCAGCAGTTCTCGTTCTACGCAAGGGACCGGAATCTGAACAGTCCCTTTCCGCCGGAGACGCATCTATAGCTGAAGATGATGAATTGCGTTGGGCACCTTCAGCCTTATGATCTGTAGCACCGGACGAGCCAGCTGTTGACGTGGCATCTCGTCCTGGGGTGTCTCCTGGAGTGATTTTACGACGCTGCCCCTCGCTAGCTGCAGCATTTGAACACGAAATTGCTCCTGGTGCCACAGATTCCACGTTACTAGAAGGAGGTCCCTCACTATGACTTTCGTCGCCTGGTTTTCCTCGTACCTCCTCAAGTGCCTCGCCGTTTTCGTCTTCTAAAACCTCGACTTCATCTTCTTCCTTTGGAGCAGCATCCGTAGCCCTTGTTATGGTACGGCGTACGAGCGTTCCAAGGCCCAAGAAGACCCCGTGGTCCCTTTCTCGTGTAGTGTCGGAGTCTGGAGGATAAAACTGATCTGCCATGCGGGACTGCCAGTCTGTGAACTCATCTGTCTCCTCGTCAGCCGCTTCTTCAGGAACCGGAACGTCTTCTGGGGATATCGACATGCTGTTGATCCCCTGATAGTCCTCGTCTTGTTCGTTTACGATACTTTGCGTTCGTCCTCTTTGTCCGATTTGATCGCTGTGCATCTGGTGGAAATGGTTGTCGTCGCAGGACGTCGATGCGTCATTCATGTTGCAACGTCGTTTCTTGTTACGCAAGTGCTGTGCTGTTCCTGGTACTACCGAAGCGCCAGCATTCGGTGCGGAGAACATTTTTGTCAGAGGACTTCTAGAGGATGAATTTATTCTTGGGTTCATTTGAAGTGCCTTCCATTTTCTGTAGCTCATATTATGCGCTGCGCAATGGGTAAAGAACGGACCACCACTTGACAAAGTTCTGCCCGACGTCATTCCAGGAGGCCTGCTAGAGCTAGACTGCCCGCGAGCAGCATGCGCATGCAGGCCAGTAATACTTCTACTAGCGGAGGAAGATACATCAGTCGATGCGTCTGTTACGCCGCTGCTCGCGCTTGTGCCGACGTCTTCTTCTTCTACAATGACGACGCTGCTGCTGGATGTGGCAGATGCCCATGCCGGCAAAGGGGCAGATGTATTGTTGTAGGCTGCTTGTGGTGCCGTATTCCCTCTACTGACTCCCGATTTGTGGCTTCGAGTATGCTGTGGTCTATGATGCATGTTCTGCAGAAGGTTCCTCTTCCGTACAGACGCTGAGCTTCCCGCCGGTGCGAAAGCCTGCGTTGTTTCCAAATTCACAAATTGAAGAATCAACAGTAGTTTCAGTCTGTAGATGAGGACAACCGCACTTGCATTACCATTAGACAGCAAACCAGTACAAGTAATATTCGATCATGGCAAACTTCTACAGCCGCTGCCTGAAAAGACCAACTCAGGCCTCTGACTTTTGAGGATGATCGAGTAATGTGATTTTCTCGGCAAGATTAACTGTAAAGCTATTTCAAGATGATCATGATGATATACATGATGGCCGCCTTTTCCTTGCATCGATCCGCCTCCAGACATCGCGTACATATCTGACTGAGAGCGTTCCTGATCCGCCGGACTTCGCTGCATCACGAAAATCGAAAAAAAGTCCTGTCACACTGCCTAGAAGAACGAGCGAAGAGATTGCAACAGGAAGAGTAGCCAGATCCAGAAGATGTGATGGTGATGTTGATCGTGATGGTGATGCACGACTTTTTTCAAATATAAAAAAGTAAAATAAAAAATATAAAAAGTACGAGTACGACTACAACGAGTTGGCTGGACGTGAAGCTGAAGCTAATGCTAATCGATCAAGAAATAACACGATCATTTTACATTTAGTACAGGAAACACTATCATTTAGTAGAATCTCAATCTTACTCTTGTTCAGAAATTTATGAGTGTTAAGTTGTCGCTTTCCAGTTTATCAGTTACACGGGAGAGACTGGAGCAAAATAACAACACATAACATGCAAGAGGTTGCTGCTCCTGCCATGAACATATGAATTCGAACTCAAATCATGCAACAGATGAAAGCCACTACTGGTCGTAATTTTCCCGACTACGAAGACGATTACACATGCGACAGCCTCCACCTCCAGACGAGAGGATAATGATTATTGCATATTGACGATATTCAAGGAGGCCAGTCTATTATTGTTAAGTCTATGAAATATGCAGAAAAACGATATAGATACTCTTACTCAAGGCAGCTTGGCCATCTAATTAATTTCACTATTCACCACTACGAATGCTATGCAATACAAGAAACTGACTACAACAGCTTAAGCAGAACTACTTCTAGGCTAAAACATACCTTCGACGTGCTGGTGGAGGAACAATATTACTCAATGAAAGTCTCTAGATGTTAGCTATCAATGTTGCAGTAAATGTGATCTGCATCTTCAGCGGCTAAGCCAACACCCTTACAATTGGACCACGACAAGCCCATTCCTAATACGCGACAAAGGTGATAAGCGTTTCCACTGTATGTACTGATTTGTGTTTTCTGGTGATGATGACTTGTCCTCGTTTGCCGAAGTAGATAAGGCCACCTATGGCCGATAAGCTTCTGATTCAGATGCAGTTTTTTATCATAATATGAATGGGTAAGGGTATAAATTGAAAATCAATAAAGTCTGAGTGGCATACAACTATATCTATGCCTATGATAGGAACTCAAAAGCATCGAGAAATTCGCATACGCATGCAGGAGAGAGGGTTCAGACACATAGGCGGGAATCGGAAACGGGTACGGGAGGAGAACTGGAAAACAAAAGTGAAGGGCAGGAGTAACGGAAAAGTGTTGTTGATGTGGAAAGAGTACCAGAAAGTAATAATGACCTCCCAACGCGGACCGAAACATCATAATATATACCGACCCGAGAAGATGCAACGCACAACACCGATATCAGTTCATTCACACTCACACTTTTTCTTCGTGAAATAAGCATCATGACTCATCAGGTTCTACTTCAAGTTGGAAGAGCTCGATCTGATCTCGTAGGGATGGATGATGTGATTTATCAGGAGGTACGAATATCTTCATTACCGAAAGCAGCGTCCAGGGAATGCTCAGTATCGAATCATCGGGAGGATGAGGATAGAGACAAATTCTTGATGAAGGAAAAGCTCAGGTTTGTTCGTATCAGTGAACAAGCTTTTGCATTTTTGTTAGAATCCCATTCCCAATCCTTGAAGCGGTTCGGGTAATAAATACATTATTCACAAATTTTGGTGCATGCCGCGGATAGAATTAAGAAGACATGATCTTCGTTTTTCTATCATGCACTACGATAATGCAAACCTTTTTTATAACGCAGCGTCTTGAATTTTGCAGACAGCAGACTTAATCAATTTTGTGCCAAGTAGATGGTTAGCTTTTGCTTGGAATGTTGAGAATAAGGATAAACCATCAATATCGATAGATTCAGTTAACGAGGAAATCCCTTGCTACCACGGAGGTCCAGTTCAACTTCAACATACGTTTTCTTTTTTCACAAGAATATACAGTGAGTTCTAATTTCACGAAACCTTGTCCATTCCAAGTTCTTCTAGGAGCGGTCGTCAAGAATTTGTCATATAATTTCGAATATGTTCATCTACCTCGCGTAACCACAACAACATACACTCGTAACAAAAACACCAGAAACCCGCTCTTACAGATGGGAATTGTCCATGAATGAATCGAGGCCATTCGTGCGGTTGAAGCCATACTTTGGCATGTCCAGTGGCGCATACCATCCATAGGCCTGACTCGTTCGGATAGGCCGTGCGCTCTTGAAACCTTCCTTGTGGCGCGTGTATTCGGGATACATGGTATCCTCTTTCGCTTTCACATCGTAGCCAGCGTCCGACTTGAGCTAGAAAATATTCAATGTAGAAGTTGTCATCTGCAACGAGAAGATGCTACTTTTGTTCTTATGCAGATAAATAAGAACAAGGAAGTACTAGATGTGAGATTGAAAGTGACTGAGGGACGTGATACAGCCGCATTTGACATGGCTTTGGAACTTCGGAATAAAAGTGCTGTAAGTACCTTGTCAATCGAGAATTGGAGAAAGGGACGTGTCGGTGTATCTTTGCCCTTGTAGTAGTAGAGAATGTCGTTCTTCCGGTTCAAATCGCCTGCCGCCTTTATGTCCCGGCCCAGAGCATCGTGGGTCACTCGATTCTCACTTTTCAGTCTCTGCTTCCATGTCTCCACCTCAACCGTTGTCGTTATGCCGCCGCGGGCGTCTTTCAATCCGCTTGCCGGCTTTGGAGGCATTTTCCTCTATCGGTTCTTAGTTTTTGCCTTCAACAATGAATTTTCGTAGTGTAGTTCAGTACTTACAACACCAACAGTGATGAGTGAGTAGTAGTACCTATCCCTACAACAGTTTTTATTAGTGAACAGTAGATGAAAAGTTCGACGTGGCCCCGAGCCGAGGTAGAATTGTTGCTGTGGAGCTTACTTCGATGAAGGCGTTCGGTTAAATTTGAAGTCTACTCCATGTCCATCGCTAAAGAGCTCAAGGTGCAATGAGTACATACAGAGACGACTTCTAGCACACTTATGCATTGTAGCTATAACGGCCTGAGGTTAATATTTGTAATACTGGCTTTACTTCGTGGCGCGTATGTCCAGAAGATCACATAGTCGTTCTATCTGCGTCAACAATGTTCACTACAAAAGCGCTATGGGTGTCTAACAATAAAGAGAGGTGAAGCAGGGGTGGGATGATGCGGGAGGAGAATGTTTGAACTGCAGCAGGAAAGTGTGACTGCTGACGAGGTCATGATCTCTCTCTCTCTCTATCAGGTCATTAAAAAGCCATGTACTCAGCGTCAGCGCATCGCAGCGACGACCGATGCAGAAGAGAAGATTGCGAAAGATTGACTCTGATTTACACTCTACGTTTGCACTCGTCGCGCCGAGTTGTCGCATCATGCGCCGATAGGAACACTCCGTCTCTATATATTTACATGAGATGAGAGTCACACGAGAACCAGCTGCGAAGAACAGAGAATCGGGGCACAGAATGCCAGAAGAACTTCTCATCACAATGGCACGCGAGCGGGCCTTGCACCGAAGGGAAAAGACCGAAAGCCGAGCGGCCGCGTCGAAAGAGCAGCGAGCAGTTCCCCGCGGTGACTACTCGAGAAGCGAACCGCGAAGCGGACAGAAAGCCAGAAGAGTAACTGCCCGGCACCCACAAACCCCTGCGCACAAGAGTGGGGCGACGAACGGCCAGACAGAGAGGAGCCTGGGCGAGCCGAGAAAACGCGCTAACGCCAGCACTCTCAAAAGAGAGCGAAGAAATCCAACAGACAAGCACAACGGCCAGGGGCGCGCTGTTTTCTCTACTCAGCTCATGAATATAAAGCGCCAGCCCCTAATCTTCTCTATAAAACTCTGTAAATATCCTACAATGATGAAGATGAAGCACTCCTTGCTATCGAGGACAGTCTAAAACAGGATATTCATGACAACAATTCTCCGCCACCCCCACGAGGGAGGTGCCGGCAGTTTGACTTCGATGGCTGTGGTCTTTTGTTTAGCAAAATGCGTGATGTAAAGCTTTCCGGCATTTGGCTGTCCCTTGTAGACTGCCTGGCAAACAAAAAAAGAAAAACGAAAGGCGTGAGGATACTTAACTTAACGGACCGACTGCAATATTTTTGCGACGACAACAGACGTCGAGGTTACTCCGTTACATTTCCTTTTCCTCCTTCATTCGCTACACTCACGAACACACACGGCCGTGCTTGTCTCTTTTTCCATCTCAAGGAGAGCGAGCCCATCGGACCCATCGATAATCCTTGATAATGATACTCAGCGTCAAAAATATCAACCATTTTTCCACACCACTGACTCTGTTTCTTAATTACAAAGCACCAGCAAATAGACAGTCAGAATCAGAGGAAAAAATAAAAATATCGCACCTATGTGTATGTTCCCGAATACACCTTGCCACCTTTCCACTTCCAGTTCCAGCAGAATGATAGGACGCGACTTAATGATAGACGAAAAAAATCGCTTTACTTGTAAAGTTTTGCCTTGGTTTTGATTTTTGAATATATTTAACTTTTCATTTAGAGGTTAAGTTTTGAAGTTTGATTTTGAATTGAGATTTGACTTAGAATTTTGAAGCCCAAGACACGCGGAGACAACACCGCAAAAACGCGCAGCGTGAACTTACTTTGAGGGTTAAGACGTGAACTGCGAAAGTTAGGGCATGCATTCATTGTGAAAGTAGTTAGGACATGAAAAAACTGCAAAAGTTAGGATGTGTTTCGAAAGTTTAGTTACCTAGGGCTAGGACATTGCCGAACCTCGAACGTTAGGAGATGATGATGAATTGTGAAAGTTAGGCCATAAATGCTGAAAGTTAAGGCATGAATTCTGACAGTTAAGACATGAATTGCGAAAGCTAGAATCTGAGTCGATCCTGAAAGTTAGGAGTAGGGCGTGAATTTTGAAATGAATTTTGAAAATTAAAGCGCCCGAGTACTTTGGTGCCCCGCTCTCCTCTCCCCCCAGCCCTGAGCCCTCGCTGTTAGGCTATGACTTTTGAAACTTAACGCGTCCGCGTTGGCGCCGCGCTCTCCTCACCCAAGCCCGTGGCTCACGCTGCTCGATGGTGCGAGGCGGCGGCCTCATGCAGTCGCGCCGCTTGCTTGCGTGCAGTCGCGTCACTTGCATGCTTGCCGCGCAGAGCTCCACGGGCAACGCCCTACACCTCTGAACCCCCGCGAACCGGCGTGGCCTCTGACTTCTGCCTCAGGTCCCAGCAACGAACAAACCCCCAAGGCGCGGCATGTGCCTGCTTATGCCTTCCGCTTGAAGATAGGCCCGCAGGCGCTTCCACCCCTGCCAGGCGGCCGCATATCCTCCGGATCCGGAAGCAAGCGGCGCGCATTCATAAGGCTTGCCGCCCCGCGGCAACACGCCCGACGTCGCCCCGCCAAGGCTGACACTTCCTAGCCTTTTGCTTAATTGTGGCGCCTGTTCAAGCATGTCTGTGCGTGTGTTTTGTCTCGCAGGTCTCTCTGGTACCTATCGTATCCTTCCCCTGGGGAACCACAACAGGGGGCTAGTGAAGATGAGACGAATGTTAGAACTAGCAGAATTCACGTTAATAGATCAGTTGTTGGCTCTCTACATGTTTTCTCTTCGTTATCCCAGCAGCTTGCGTGTGAAGTCGCATGTGCCGCTATAATTAACATTAATGATGTCGATGATCATGTCAATCAACACCAACACGACAATTCATCTAAATCTAATTCATTCATTCATTCATTCATTTACCTTCTCGCGAGGTGTTGTCTGAGATGCAGGGGAATCATTTCCAGGGACATATCAGGATGCGGATTGCAATTGAGGCTTTTTTAGTGCTCTAGCCGTGCTTCTTAAAGGAACTCTCGTATTTTTAGTCTTTAGGCTATGCATAATGTTTGTGGCTAAAAGCAGAATGCTGAATTTATTGTGATTTTGAATGTTTCGCTTTTTCAAAGTTATACTCCATCTCCAAGGCAAGTTTTCGACTAGAATCTTGGCGCTAACAAGTTACTAATGACGATCTACATCTACTCAGCGGTTAGTTCATCTAGTTTTGACATGTTCAAGCTCAAGATCAGTGGCCTCGATCGAGTCAATGTCAAGGCGACATGCGTTTTTTTTTTCCATATTTTTTTTCCATAGGATTTTTTTTTTTCCATAGGACTACATGCCGCCTCCCATTCAACTACTTAAACAATCCATATACAAAACTTACTTACCGGGGGAGCAAGAAGACCGTGTCACAACGGCCAAAAACTACAATTATCAGAGGGAACTATATTGCAATAGCCCCTAAAGAACAACTAAGGCACAGCCTAACATTGTAGGGCCCTGAAAGCAAGTGTTACAACCTGCAAGGGTATGACATGCCTGCCCATCGAGAAGTGACTTACTGGAGAAGAGCCTAAATAACCAGGAAATTAAACAATTAACAAGGTTATCTACAGCGTAGATCACGTGAGCAGGCCTCTCTAAGACTAAAATTTCTTCCAGGAAGTACTTAATTAAAGCAGTTGCAGCGACCGCTTGATATTTTGTTTTTTTTTAAGTCAATTAAAAACTGTTCGCTATATTCATCTAAGTTGCTGAATCTAGTGGAGCTTAGAAGTGTAGCGAATCGGCCTGATGAGTGTTTTGCTGTTGGCATTAAGTGCCGACTTAATGAATGCTTCGTATCTCGCAGTTGAGTGAGTTTTCCATAGGCCTTATAATCAAAAAAAAAAATAAGCGGGCTTCGCTACCTTGTGTCGCTGAAAGAGAGGTATCCAGAGGGGCGGAAGAAATAGGGTGGGAAACTTCCGGGGCGGAAGTTCCCGGCGCAGATGAATCAGGACTCTTTAGTCTCAACAGAGGAAGCCTATATATAAGAAACGGAAAGTCTTTCGCTTTAGTCAATCGACGTTGCGAGATTTACAGTGTAGATCTGTTCGGCCGGCGTCACAGTCCAGTCCGAGTGTATGCACGTATTTACGTATGTGCCTAGCTAGAGGCGTCGCAGTTGGTATCGTTATATATACGATAAACTAGAACGATGAGGCCGTTGACTTGTTTTGGCTTGAGAACTTTTAGTTTTACCTCTATACTTTTATTTTCTAAGCAAGCTACCTAAGCCGAAAATTGCAACCTTGTTTTTTCCCCACTGACTACTTATTTGAACATATATAAAAAGATTATAACAGAGCACTTTCGAGTGTGAGAAGAAACAACAGAAAAGGATTAGGATTAGGATGGGATCTGCCGTCCGCAGTTTTACCTGCATACTCCAGCAGATTTTCGCAGCCGTAGAAGGACTCCTAGCAGAAAAACGTTCTACCTCGCTACAACTTAGTAAAGGATACACTTCTAGGACATTAGTAGTGTTTATCCTTTGAACTTAGCTTCTTTTTCTAAAAGATTACACGATACGCCAAAAGGAAGCGTTCAGGAACCAGAGAGACTGAAAGGAAAGGTTAATTAAGTTTTGTTACATGAGTGACTAGTGGAAACCTTAGAAACAAAAGTGACGCTTAATGAAATCCTTCGCTGCTTTTTGATCTTGTTAGGGCGCAACTTTCACCAAGTACTCTGAACCTGGATACCTAATTTTCTTCATCATATATATCTCTAATGTCATGATTTAGATTTACGACCTTAATAGTTGTTCTACGTCCACGACTCATTAACATGAGACCGATCTGGAGGCTTCGGGATCCGAAAAGGAATCATGCTGGTAAGGAAAGTTAGTTTTGCGGGGACATCTAAGATCCTAACTTGTATGATGTCCAGTCGTACTCTTCTCTTGATAACGATTGTCTTTGTCGATTGAGTAGAGTGAAGCACGATAGAAATTGAAGCGCATTTGATAAAGAAGGACTTAAAAAATGAAAAATGAAAATTATGGCCGGATACATAGATATACATATTTATAGATATAGGCCTTGTGTGAAAGTCTGGCTCATGACCACACGACGCAGCTACGATAGGCATAGAGAAAATGAGTATGAGATGAATATGAAGTTAGGATGTAGATTAAATGAATATGAAGTCAAAGCCGTCGTGCAGAATGTCGTTGTAGTTATAGTTTTACATATTTCTTATTATTATCCCTTCTACTTAGGCAAAAATGGTCAAAATATCATTTTCACATTCTTCTACTGATGCTCATGATGTAGATGGGACTATAATCATTCAAGTGTAGGATAAATATTTATTTATGAGATGAAGCTGGCGATAGTGCCAAATGGTTATCGTTATGGTTTCTGTATCAACTATCAAATGGGTGGAATGAGTGGTCGCCGTTCGAAAATGTAGGTTATAGGGTTGCACGTGAAGTAGATTTTTCCGCCATGCTTGCCACCAGCCAGAAGTCCCATTTGCGTTTTCTCGTCTCGTTTGTCCCCATACACAGGTTGGTATTTCGGGAACTTCGCTAGAAAGAGCGGCTTCGAGCTGACGCGGCGGAAGTTGGCCCTGGCCGCAACCGCTGACACATTCCACTGCTGATAGTGCACATCAGGCTTAGCCAGAGTCAGTTGCACACTCGCACGAGGATTGTCGCGGCTAAGGACACGATCACAGACCTCGAAAAAATGCTCCAGCAAGTGCACGTTCCGTTCGCGCTCGTCGCCGGCGTGGGGGTTCAGAAATAGCACGCTGCTAAATCCATCCGGATAAGCTTCAAGGAGCTTGGTGGAGCAAGAAGTCGGACAACTCAAATCGATGTTGTACAGGCATTGGTATTTCTCATTGTCGTCAGCAGTGGCCATCTCAGATTCGCCGTACTTGTGCTGCAAACATGCAAAGCTTTCCTTCGATGACGCTACGTAGGTGACACTCTTCTGCCCTTCCTTCTGTTCTTTCTGGAGGCTATCACAAACGGCTTCGGCAAAGGAGAAGTTGCCGCAACCCACTTCGAGCACCGTGCAACCTTCAGATAAGCCGTCCACGCCGTAGTAGCTGGAATGGTTGAAGATGAAGAGTTGGTTCGTGAAGAGGAAGTGGGAGACTGAACAATCAAATGAATAAACATTAGTAGCAGTAGCCATAGATCAGCTGGAATTCAATAGGCTGTAAAAATTCTCCGGCTCAACGAGCAAAAAGCATTTGCCATTTTGACAGTAAGTAGTAATAAATCGTTTTTCCTGTTGTAAAAATCAAACATTTGCCTACTTTCTAGTTTCTACCTTCCAACCTCCATCGAAGCAACGAAATTTCGGAAATCGATGTGCGAAAAGAGGTTCTTCTGCTGTTTTTTGCTTCGCATGAGCACTTCTTTGCCAAATCTCGAAAATTTTGCAACCAAGTCCCGTTCATTGCACCAAGTCTGATTCGTACTAGCAGTGCCTTTGCCTTTCCCCAATCTCCCCGATGCCGATAATGCCAGGTGCCTGAAGGTTTTTGAATGCACTTAGTCATAATGAGCGAACGAGCGTGGAGCTTTATCAGACAGCAATGAAAAATGTCAATGACAGAAGAAATATTTTGTTGAGTTCCGAGCTCATGCAGTTACTATGACTAGATACCTTTCATGCGTCTCAATATCGGAAAGAATTTGGGATATTGAGGCGATGATGAAGCACGCCACGTCCGCAGCTGCCCACTTTTGTTTTCGGGTAAATTCGAAACTGATACACCAATCCTGGGAGATGAACCAATCGCATGTTGCCACTTCCTGCAGATCCTGCCAGGAATTCCAACATCCTGCTCCATCCAAGAGCATCACTCGTGCTAAATAGTCGAGCACCTGCTTCACAAGAGACGCTGTGTTCTTCGGGCGTCGGAGAGTAGGCGACGAAGCTCTCTCAAAAGTGGTCCTAGAATTCGAGTCCTTGGAGGTTAGCTCGGGCTCTGCCAATGATATCGACGGTGACAGCGCAGCACTGGGAGTGCCGAGACTACCAAGCAGCAGCGTTCCTACCGTTTCCGAGGGTGTGCTTGCGCTTGAAGAGAGCGGAGAACTCGCTAAGGAGGAAGTTCCCGAAGGAGGAAATACGTCCGCGTGAACTGAGGTACTGCACCTGGATACCCCGGTCTCCTCAAAAGACGAGCCACTCGCCGTTGTGCTGGTGGTGCTACTTCGGCCTGCGACTACTTTACTCCCGGTTCTTGATGCAGCAGCAGCTGCTAACAAGGACGCGCTGCTACTGCCGGAATGGAATAAAGAGCTATCACTAGCAGTGGTGCGCCGATCTCGTGGGTTAAACGACGCCTCAAGCCCTGGCGGAGGGCGTGGAGGCATTGCAGCTTTTTCAGTGGCCGCTGCCTTTGCCGCCGCTCGCTCTCGCCATTTCCCGGTTGGTCGCCACGCACCCGTGCTTCGCTTCGACAATCCCGCAAATAAATCAACTCCGCTGGTGGATGGGTCGCCATTACCTCCCGCCACAGGAGTTCTGGCTGTAGGTTCATCTCCACCTAGTAGGTCCCCTTCCGAATCTACTTTACTTCGTGCCACAAGTCCTGACGTGCTAGTACTACTTTTTGCACTGCCAAATTCACTCGTTTGAACAAAGCTGCCCATGCGACTTGTGCAATCTGCGGTGGTAGTGCTGGATACTCGACCACGTCTCAATTCAGGAGGATACAGAAACTCGAACTCGTCTCTGCAAGTCTCGCTATCAACATCTACGACTTGGTCGTTAGAAGTGGCGGAACTTTTACTAACTGATGAAGTTGAAGCCCATGGCGGAGAATATGAATAGCCACCCTTTCTATTATTCTCCTGGCCCGATGCGGATGCCATCCGTCCGAATAACGAGCCACGAAACTTACTTCCCTCACGCGAAGCAAGATCCCCGTTGCTATGCGTCCGACTGCCCCCGCTTTCGTTTCGATTGGAGCCAATTCCCGCCTGCTGTCGCGACCGGGCGCTCCTTCTATTATGTATGAGATCGGCAAAATCTGGATTGGATTCCACCACTCGCGCAAATTCCGGTATCGCCTCCATCGCACTGGCCACGATGAAAGTCGTCCAGTACATGATCACTTTTTCCGAACGCGGCGCCCCAACGCGAACAACAAAAGAGCTCTCATCAGGGGGAGCCATCAAAAGATCTCGCCATGCGAACTCTCGATTTGCGTCATTGTTCTCAACGGCAGGCGTAGGCATTGTAGACGTGGGTTTGATTTTTCCAAACAAAACGTACTCTGCGACGGCGCGCGCGAGTTGGGGGAAGGCCGGAAACCGTGAAGCCGGTGATGTCAAGATCTCAGACCACGTCGAATAACAGTCTCCTAGGATGTAATCACTCCACGCGGAAGGCGTGCTGGCCGTGTGGCCTGTCCTGTGGGTTTTGCACAAATCTAGCGCTGTTCTCACCACGTTGCTGATTAATGCATCGGCGGCCTCTTGGTCGTGCATCTTATTTGGCTCGTTAAGTGCCTTCATCGCAACTGCATTGCTGGAAGTGGTGCTCAGACTGCCATCAGCATCGGCTCCCGAAACTCCACCTCCGTTCATCTCATTGTAGTATTCTGGGTACGGGCATGCTGCTGCATTACTCAACTGCCGAGTAAGTTCATCAAGCTTCGCCGAACTGGTGGTTACTGAGGGGCACTGCTGCTCTTGTGATGTTGATACTTGTTCAGATGCGGAAGAAGAGGTCGTATCGGCATGAGAAGATCCATCGCCGGTCTCTTCCTCCTTATTCTTGTCGACTATCACGATTTTTGATTCGAGCACAGCAGGACTCCAGATTAAAGTCGTTTCGTCTGCCACGGGGAAGGCCTCCAGCTCACTAGTAGAAGTGCTTGTTGTTGTAGTGGATGCCTCAGATGAACATTTGAGCCGTTTCGTAAGCTCTTTTTTCAACAAGACACAAAACAGCCGATGCAGGTTTAGGAGCAAACGATTCACCTGATGTAAAAGGAACGACCACGAGTTTCAACTAGAAGCATGGTGAAGAACTACAACAAGAAGTGAAAAGTACAACGAATACTAAAAGCAGGTGTGGCGTATCATGATTACCCGTGCTGTCGCATCATGATCTTCATGTGAAGTACTTAGACTTACCTTCTTCAGCTTCAGATTCCGTATGACAACCATAATTCTAATTGAAAAAGTACCTTTCTCGTGCATCTTGCAAGCTTGTAGAGAATTTTCTGGATCTCATCTGCACTGTGTCCAGGGGCAGGGGGTTTCTGCTCACAAACCATGCGCGTAGCATCTGGCAGGAACTGGTGCAAAGCTAAATCGCAGTTTACCAACATCTCATCCCGCTCAAGGTCGAGCTCTGGGGGAAAGAGCAGTTTCTCGTGCTCGAGTTCCACCTCAGTACGCGTGCCCAACAACCTCGAGAAAGCAAATTCAGCGTTACTCGCCTGGCTTTCGCCTTGATCTTCATCACCAGTCTCGCTCTTATGCGTAGCAGATGGTGATGCTCCTGATGATGTCCACGACGAACGATTTCCAGCTGTGGGACCATTCGCGAGAAAGCTTGGCGCTGATGGTCTCGAACCACTCCTGGTTTCTTCGTCATCTGTACTGGGAGAAACTTCACCATCTGACTCTGAGGACTTCGCTTTCCTTATCAGCAATCGCCGATACATGAGTAGAGCCTCACGTGCATAGCATCCCTCCGGAAGAGACAATGGCGTCATGGTGGGTTTTTTTGATGCCACCAGAAAACTGGGAGCGCCACCACGGGGAGTGCCCTCATCCCCACTCGGACTCGAACCCCTGCTTGGCCGTAAAAACGAGGGCATGGAACTTCTTGTCATCTTTGTGATAGTTGTTAGAAGCTTCCTGCTTGCTCTTGCTGGACTTCGTCTTCAAAGTCAGAGGGATTCCGAGTACGTAGTAAAACTCATCTATCTATTAGTTGAATGTTCTTGTAGTTGTACACGTTACTTTTAGGGGGAACGGGAAGCCGCCTGAGAAGCTAATATCCCAGCAGGTACATAAACATATTCGACATCGACAAGAAAACACCAAGAATAAAGCTTTTCCATGATATACAAACTGGAGACTTAACCCCCGAGGATCCTAAATCTACTGGTGAGTTATACTTTTTAGTGCTGTGGCAGCACGGTAGGCTGGCTCGGCAGACCCAGGTCTTTGCCGGCGCCGGTCGTTGCACCTACGGCCCATAAGTTTGCCACGGAGCGTGGCGGGAGGCCTTTACCTCCCCAGAGAGAGTTGCACACCAGCGTCCGGGTGTCGTAACCCCTCTCGCGGCTCGGCCGGTGTTCGTGCACCGTCGCCCTACGAGTCAATCAACCGGCACCCGCGATGTTTCGGGTGCTCGCTCTTCGCGTCGGACGCTTTGGTCCGGGGCGCTTCGGCCCGGGTGCGCGGCTAATCCCTCGGCAGTAGCAGGCGTTGTCCCCCCGCTGGGGGACAAGGTCACTTTGAACCTCCAGCCCTTTGGGCCATCCTTTCTCGACGCCTCCTTGGTGCGCCTTCCATCCTTTTCCCGACGACTGGAGGTTCAGAACCGCCAGGTGCGTACGTTTTTTGTACCCGGTACTGCTTTGAGTGCCCCTGAGCCGCTGCTACTGGCGCTCTTTGGCGCTAGGGCCGTCACCTTTTTGGTAACGGTATTCTGTTGAATCCGCCCTTTCTTCTGTAGCTTCTGCTTGGGGGTGATCTTGATCGTCCGCTTGACCAAGGTGTCCTCTTGGACCGCCTTGGGCTGCACGAAGACGCGCGGGGGTGGACCCCCCCCCGAGGGCCACCGCCTGCGCAATCCGTGCAGCGGGATGAATTCCGAAGCCTCCCACGTTTTGTGGTCGGCTGTGTACTCGTCCCACATTTTGCTGGACTGTTCCCAGCCCATGTGGGTGAGGAATTCATCCTCCTTCACGGAGATTTTCCCTTGCTCCCACTCGCGTCGCGTTGCCAATGCGAGTCCTCTCCTGCAGCTGTGCAGCGTGCCGCTAATTCCCTTCGCCAAGCTACTTATCCTGGCCTTGCCTAATGGGAAATCAGATCTCATAACAGCGCCTTCGCCGTGCATCGGGCAAAAGCGACTTCGTGCACCAGCTGTTTTTGCGTTGGTGTCGCAATTGCAGTGGATTTCTATTATCCTACCGCGTTGTTTGCGGATTTTGTCTTCGGATATGTGGATGCGCCACACGTCTCCTTTTTTGGAGATGTCCGTGTCGTCCACCGCCGCGATGCTGTCGCCCCGCAATCCCGATAGCGCCCAAAGGAGGACCATTTTTTGGTCTTTTGCCTTTAGCGCCTCGAGCTTCGTACCCGGTAGGAAAGGCTTTGCTTTCCTCGGGTTGTGGTCTTGGATTGTTCGTTCAATTGCCTTTTCCACGTCCCCGATGTTTCGGAGAATGGCGGGGCTTTCGACTAGCCGCTGCGGGCCATCCGCGGGTGGCGGTTCTACCAGCCACATGATGATGCTGGATGTGTACTGCGCGACTGAGGTGTATTCATTGAACACTAGGAAGGCGGCGAATCTTTGCACCGCCTCCGGCCTCACGGGTAGCTTTTCACCCTTGGCCGCTAGCCAGTCGAGGAAGAAGGCGACTCGCGACTTTTTGTTTCTAGTCGTGGAGTCGGCTTCTCCCATGGCGCGCAGCTCGTCGTCGTTTAGATCGACAGCTTTGCGCAGTGCGTCCGCCCGCTTCGACATTTATTTAATGTTACTTTTTTATTTATCTCTCGCTGTTGTTCCCTCTAACGTTCTTTTTAGTTTTTATTTAGTTAGTTTGTTCTCTCGTCCTTACTTACTTTTTTGTCTAGGCTGGTTCGTGCGGCTGCTTAGGCGAACCTCCACCATGGATCTTGGCCTCCTGCCGTATCTCATGAAGTGGTCTCCCCAGCCTAGCTTCTTTACTTACTCGTAACTCCTTCCCACTCTGTTTTCCCTCTTTTTAGCTTGACGAGATGTAACACGTCACTCCCTCGAACACTGCGCCGCCGCCGCCGCGTTTTCCCTTTCGGCCACCAGTCGTCACTGGTGGTTTGATTTGTTTCCTCCCTCTCAACTAGAGTGTTTTTTACTCTGTCAAAAAGGACGAATTTATTGTTCCGCCACTAACTTAATAATGGTCCGGTGCCCCTGGTAATTTGACCAGAGGGCTTATGGCGAATGCTTTTGCATTCTGTTTTTCGAGGATTTGTTGTCCTCGAGGCCGGTAGCCTTTTTCTTCCAGCTAGTCGCGTTCTAGCTTGTGCGTGGCTCCTTCCACCACACCGCGAGGGAGCGTTTGCTCCCAACGTGCTCCTTCACGTCTCTCCCCAAGAGGATTTTTCCCTCCATCACTCTCGATTTATCGGCGTCGATCGCGTGAGCGGCTGTTTTTGCGCTCGTTCGATCGCTTCGATTTGTTGCGGCCACGATTGTCTTTTTCGCGACTGTCGTTGCGATGCCGTTGTCCCAGCGGAACCGCGTTTGCGTCGCTTCGCTGGGGTCCTTTCGGTTGGCGGCGTGTTCGGCCGTTTTTGGCCTTCATCGCCTTCATCGGCTGGACTTTCGGTTTTACGAAGTCTTTCGGGTGGCGGATTGCTTCCTTGTCCTTCGCTGCCGCTCGTTTTGCCGCTGTGCCGGTTGGCTGCTGGTTGATGTTTCGCCCTGCCAACCGGGCCGAGAAGAGGACTTCGGCCAGCTCTTTTTGCGAGCGGATCACTTCTGCCCACGTTCTCTTGGCGATAGTGATGTCTGGGGGAGGACGGTTGCGGTCGATGAGGTGGTGGTGTGTGCATTCCAGGTGTTGAGCGTCGTTGCGACAGCCTGACTGCACCGCATGCGCTTTGTGCGCGTGGAACCAGTGGCATACCGCCGGCGGAAGCATGAGTCCCATATTTTTCAGGGACTTCAATGCGGACGGCTCCACTAAGCCGGTTTGAGGGAAGTACACGTAGTATGTGGTGCGTGTTCCTCCCTTCGCGTTTCGGCGCTCGGCTAGCACCACGTCGACACGTTTGTCGAGGCGGCGGTTGTGGACTGGGTCCATGGCCGGGTTGAAATCTGTTTTTTCCAGATCCAAACTCTCCAACCAAGTGTCGCTCGGCATGGTTGTGCCCGTGTCGTCGTCCCCGCCGCTGTCGGCGTCGCTGCCGAACGGGTTTTGCGGGCCTTCGCTCGCCGATCGCTCTCGCGATTCGCTGCGGCGGCGGCTGTGGCTACGAGAGCGCAGTGTGACTGTCACACGTTCGCTTCTCGGCTTGCCTAAGCTCGCCTCGGCGTCTCGCATGGAGAACATTTCATTTTTGATTTCCTCCATGTTCTCCTTGAAGAACGCTTTTTGGACGGGCGGTTTGATTTTTCCCCCGTCTTCCTCGTCCGTGTAGCGCGCCTCGTCGATGAGGTGGAGACCGAAGTGGTTGTACCAGGCCAGCAGGTTGAACATGTATCTGTTCACCAGCCCGGTCTCCCAGCGCTTCATCTTCTGCTGGAGCGCGTCGAGGCTGCGGGAGCCTTCCTTCATGAATCCCAAGAACACCATCATTTTTTTGATGGCGATTTCTGGGAAGTTCTCGTTGAACTCGGTCATGAAGTCGAAGGGCTGCAGGTCGGTGGCGCCGTTGATGGCGCTTTCCACGCGGCGCAGCGTCTCCCAGCACTGGTCCAGGTTGCATCTGTCCCAGTAGTCAGCCGGGACGCTGGCGACGACCTGTTTCCGGACCAGGTTCTGGAACGCGCTGTTTGTGCGCTGCAGGTTGTCTCCGTTAAAGCCTGCGATGGCGCAGTTTGAGACCTTGGGTTGGTTTTTTCCCACCTGGGCTTCGCCCCAGATGCCTGCGGCCGCGTATGCTCCGAAGAGCAGCGCCAGCGCCTTTTGGTTGAGGCGTTGGCCTGCCGTCGTGTTCAGGACGCTGTTTTCGTCCACGTCGAAAACGGAGCGGAGGCCGTGCTTTTCCACGTGTTTTAATAACGCGGTGAGCACGTGGTTCGCCTGCTTAGAGGCTTTTTCTCCGTTCGTGAAGAAGCAGTTTTTATACTGCTCCTGTGCGTCTGCGACTTCCTCGCCCGGAGTTAAGACGGAAGGCCAGACGACTTTCACCTCTGTTTTCTTCTCGACGCCGTTTACGCGTCGGTAGACGAAGAATTTTTCTCCTTCGCTAGCCGGGCGCGTGTCGTCATAGGAGAGGATTTTGTCCTCTCCGCTGCTGTTCAAAGCCGTTGCGATGGCCTTTGCGGTCTTCTTCGCGAACGTTTTGAACAGAGCTGCCGTCTCCGGCGGCTCCTCGGAGGACTCTTCGCTTTTGTCGGCGAAGTCCACGGAGTCCTCCTCCTCTTTCTTTTTGGCTTCGAGCTCCGCCTTGCGCTGCTTCTCCTCTTCTTCGAGGAGCTTTCGGTCCTCCTCCTCGTGCGCCTTGCGGACCGACGTCCACGGCGTCTTGGCCGGCTTCGCGTCCCAGTCGTTGAGCACCTCTTTGTTGGTGCGCTCGATCAGGTAGCGGACTATCACCTCCTTTTTGGCGGTCTGCGCCGGGACTTCCGCCAGGTTCAGCTGCGGGTTTTCCTCCCGAAACTTTCGTTTTTCGGCGAGCTTCGCGCCGGCTTCAAAAGTCTCTTTTTTAATCAGAGACTTCGAGGCCCAGGGTTCGGCCGTTAGTTCCTCGTGGTATGCGCCCAACCACAAGTGGAACCACATCAAGGTGGTGCCCTGTTCGGTTAGGGTTCCACCTTCCCCCACGAAGCGCGGGTCCTCCAGGTCTTTTTTGACCGTGTCGATGAATTCCGTTTCCGGAAGTTCACCGACCATCTGTCGGAGTGCTGCAATCCAGTCCTGGATGTTTGCGCAGAAGATGAGTTTATCCTCATACTGCGTCTTCTCCTCCAGCTGCTTTTGCAGCGCCTCCATGGCCTCCGCCATGGAGGGGTGAAACAGTGATCCGTCGATCAGTTTCAGAAGGGCTTTGCCCTTCTCGTCGACGTCCTCGCTCCCCACAGGATTTTTGCCTGTGTGGATGACGAGGTCTCCGACGCTTTTCAGGGAGGTCATTTTGTTTTTTGTTTTGCTGAAAACCAGAGTGCGGGGGCACTACTAGTCACTAGTTTCTAGATTGCGATTATACGCGCACAGAAAGTCCCTGGATTTTTGGGAAAAAGAAAAGTTTTTAGACCTGCCCAAGCTAGCTTTCAGCTTGAGGTTACGAAAATGTGCTGCCACAAGCGCCAAACCCTCGCGGCGATTTTTGCCCCGCGAGGGGATGGCGCGCCGCGCGCGCGGCGGAACTCGATTTTTACGAGCTCCCCAGCACCCCCCACTGGGCGCCACGCGCCTGCCCACCGCACCGCCGGAGGGCGCGTTGGCCCTCCCGCGGCCTACGCACGAGCGCTTTGGCCCGTGCGCCGGCAGCCCGCTCCGCTCCGCTCCGCTCTGCTCCGCTCTGCATGTGAACTCCGCCCCGTGGGTGTAGCATTAACGCTCTCACCCGACCGCACCCGAGCCTCCGTGGAGGCGCGAACCGTGGTTCGCCTTCGCCGAGATGCGCCATTGCATCGACCGGCGGCGTCGCGCGTGAGTGCATTTTTCGCACCGCACACGACGGGGTTCGCGGGGCCCGTTGCCCCCAACCCTCTCCCTAGTTGGTCCCTCAGCCGACATTTTTTGTCGACTGTCGTCCAGGAACCTTCCAGAGAGCGTATCTTTTCTCTCACCTAAGTTAACTCACCAGTTAGTATAATCACTTCCCCCGCAAGCTCCTCCAGTGCATAAATAATAAATATCCTATTCCGAATTTTCGTAAAAACAGAAACAGTTTCACTTACATGTTCTATGTTACGATGAAACCGAGTTCGTGGTGGCACCACTTCGGAATCCACGCGGCAGTGACCAACATGACGATGATTGAAGCGAAGTAGCAGCAACACGCTTCAGAAACTAGATGTTACTGGATCCTCCTCCTCGTGTCTGATCAAACGAAGAACATATGACCGCAGAGCCGCTTGACATCGGAATGAATGTCATAGAGATTGGGCCACGACCTTATTAGAACGATCCTGCTGTACGATGCTCCTTCGTTGACGTCTTGATGCGCTTTGGAGATGGTGGCAGCCTCCACTATGAGAATCCTATACAATTTGATGAAGTCCATACAGAAAAACTGAGTACAGATTCACTAGATTCGAGCGAATCAATTTCAATACTGCTTGTTCACTGATTTGGAGCAAGTGTAACCGATGGTCTCGTTTGCGTTTCGTGTACTAGTCTGCCGATCATCAACCAAGATCTGCATCTTCTCGCGTCTCCTGAATACTTAAGGACGAGTTCTTCATCTTCGTCAACGGTGGCAGCATCGATCAGGGTGAAGCCTTGGTCTCAATAAATCAGCACTGACCACCACTCTTTCCCGCAATGACATCACATCGAAATCTTCATTCATGTTGTCACAAATAACAGAAACAGTCGATTCCGTCTCCGCACTCTCTTACTTCCGGGTGATCCTGACCCTGAGAAAAGGGCAGCCATGGAAGATCGGCTTCAGCACCAATGCTGATGCCCATTGTTTATGGCGAATATGACTTTGCCGCCGATGCCCATCTCTAGACAATCCCGGTGTGACAGTATGCCATAAGGTGTTTGAATAAGCCAGAGCCCTGTGTTGAAGGCAGTATGCGCTTTTAGCTCGTAAGGATGAACCCATATGTCTCGACTAGGCTTGGAAACTACCCGTACGTTGCGGATCACTGGGCCTCCGTGGTAGTGCTTCAGCAAGATATTCAGCCGATGCCCTTCTGCTGTAAAGCCTCGTATGTAGCCCTGTTTCTGCAGGACGCTCAGAATCTGGACGCACATCTCGTTGTAGGGAGTCCTCGCGATGCCCTGCTGCGTCTTGAGCAACGCCTGAACCATCTCGCAAGCATGCTGCATTTTTCCTGATCTTGGTGTTCTTCTGTATTCTCGGCTAGGAAGTTGAAGAATGACCACTCATTGAGGAAATCAATAAAATATTTTCAGAATGTAGTGAAGACTGTCAAGTACTCAAGCGAGTTACAACCTACCATGTGGATGTGCATCTCGGATACAAAAAGGAGCGCCATGTTAACAATAACTCTGCAGGATCGCCTGGCGTAGTCGTAGACCGTCTCTACTCCTTCTGTCGGGACGACATCTCCAACACGTAAAGGATCGAAACAACAAAGGAGCATAACTAAAGCCATGGTGACCCTTTGCGAGTAATGCGATGTATGCCTTGACGCTAGCTATGCAACGAGATAACGTCGAGGATAACAGGGCTCAGCTGATGCGAATCGCAAAGCTCTAATGCGGATTGCAAGAAGTGCCGTTTGTGAAAACTAGCTACTCTTGAAGAGTCTTCGAGCTTCCTTCTGGGGGGGGTAATGGAAGGAGGGTCGCTTTAAAACTCCTTGATAGCGACCCTCTCCAAGTTCCCCCTGTCAAGATAGCCTCAATACAACTCCAACTCCTTACCACGTGAAATACTTCTAACATGACTAAAAGTAAAAACAAAGGAATTGCATGCAGGGAATTCATTGGGATCAACAAGACATTGCAATCATCTGTACAAAGAAGTTTACAGAAGGGTGCGCAAATATCGAGAACTTTTTAGAAGTACTACCCAATGCAGATGCAGTAACCACAACAAGCACAACATGTACATGAAAATCGATATGAATGAACAGAGAACTACTATGATAAAGTTAGGAAAAGGAAGCTACTAGAGGAGCAGTTGGTTCAGTAAATAATCCTCACAGGAGGACCTGCTGCAGCTGGCAAAGCTACAACAGTGGACATTCTTCAATTGATAGCGATGAGGATAACACCGCGATCGAATTACCGCCAATGGCTTTACAAAACGATGACCAGTATTGCGGAATCGTCGAAGAGGCGACGGCGTGCTACTGGGGCAACGCTGCGTAGTTGTGCGACGGACTCCAACGAACTTTCACGCGCAACTTTCTCCAATATCTTATCGATGAGAAGTTGTGACAAATTGACGCCCCCTAGTAGGTTTTTTTGGGAGGCACTCTTTCCAGCATCTCCGTCTCCTTCGTTAGCGAAATAGGGCGATAAGGTGTCGAGAACCTCCTGTTCAGATAGGAAGTCCCACAGCCCGTCCGACGCGAGCACAATGAACTTGTCTCCGGCACCAGGTGATAAGCCCTCATAGATACGCACGTCCGGCTCTGCAGTGACATAAGGCAGCAGACGGGGGCTGCTGAAGAATGGCTGACCGGTGAGATGATCCCACGAAGCAGTGGGCTCTTTAAGATAAAAGTCCCCGAAGCCTCGCGTCGGCTGCAAGCAGCCTTTGACGTAACAGCTGAACTCTGCTGGCACAAAGCGATTGTCATCATGGGGATTCATCGTCGAGTTTGAGCCTGAACTGTCAGTGGAAGCAGAGGAGCCTGCAGCGTTGCTCGGGGACCTTTCTACAGATGAAGACGAAGTTGCGGAGGTCGACTCTCCGGAGCTACTACTTGCACGAGCACCAGTGGAGAGGGAGTGCATCAGTCTGAGACGTTCTAGATCTGGCTTTGCACGAAAGAATCTTCCAGTAAGAGTGTCCTGCCATCCCTGGATACACTGAACTACCTGCGGATCGTTTGGAAAGTCCCTTCGCATAATTTCCCTCGCAAACGGATCATTGACGTTATGCAGACTGGATAAGGTGATACCTGGACAAGAGGAGAAATTGGTGTTTGCGTTTTTTGAGTGTACAATCATTGAGTGTTGGCCAAGTTAAAGAGGTGTTGTTGCGATCCCCTGTAGCTGTAGCCTCTATTTATCCCAACAACAAAACAGCTGGAGGACCGATCAAAAGGAGGTCCAAAAATAACGAAAAAACCAATAGTCGATCGTTACCTTCGAGCGCCCCGTCGTCGCTAACAAGCCGGGACGATTCCCACCTGCCGCCGTCATTTGCGCCGTCCACAGTGTTCTGCATCAGATTGTTGTAATCCGTATGTAGTGCTGATGATGGTACGAATCTCCACCTCCCGTGGCCTTGATCATCTTGCCCTCGGGCTTTGCTTCCATTCTTACCACTTCCCGCGTCTCTGCGTCTACTCCGAGCACGACCTAGAAAACAGCGACAGTCACCTGCGTTGGCAACGACGAGAGCTGCGGACTCCGGACACAAAACTGCAGAAACGGCACAGGACCCGACGCGACAGACACTTGCGAAACCTAGCCGTGCAGCCGGCTCACACGCGGCCCAAAGTTGGGACTCCGTTTTGCGATAAGCGTTCACGAGTATGCAGGCCACATCGTCTGGCCGCTTCGCTTTGCTCCTATTAGTACTTGATGAAGATGAGGATGAAGATTTGCCATGTCCATCGAAATCTAAAAGCCCTTGGCGAAAATTCTGGGAGACAGCCTCTGCCGCGTAGTACGCAGTCTGGGCGCCGCCATGGCCATCGAAAACGGAGGCCAGCAAAAATGGCGCCATCTGAGCTACCGAGTATGTGTCTTCACTAGGCGTGTTCGCATCGTTAGTGGCGACATGGATTCGAGTAGAGCCGCTGGGCCAACTACCATCATTTGCACCTATTGAGGTGGTAAATATTCGACGGTGCTGGTGATTGAATGACCAAGCGGATTCTGAGTGCGACAAGAATGATGTCGAAAATGACCCGCTATCCACAAGGCTTTTGTCGAGAGCCACGCCATTTTTGTCACCACTCGTCTTCGAGTGGGTCGTTGAGGGCCGTCTAAGAGGTGTTGCAACTTCGGCGTGAACGAGTCGAGGATTCTTCCCTACACATGAAGAAGATGTTGAGAAGGGATGCTGTAAGAAATATCGACTTCGGTATCCTTGCTTGCTCCTGCTTGAGGTGTCGACACCCATCCCCCCCGATCTTGAATCCCCATGATCATTAAGCGATGAAGTCAGCCTGTTCCTGAACCAAGCTCGCCTACGCCTTAGTCTGCACGACTGTGCTGGCCTGGAGTCCGATGTGGATATCTTTTCTTCTGCATTTTCGTTATGCGGTCCTCGATGGCTGTGGCTCGCACCTGCTCCACCTGTCGTGGCGGCCAAAGAACCTGAGAACTTCGCACGACATCCTCCGCGAAACATGTTTCTATTTTCGTTCGCTGGTCGCTATAGCATCAAGATCAACTTCTAGTTACCACATCAAAAGTAGAAAGGAATGCTATGCATCTGATCACTCAATCTTTCACTCAGATTCATCTCAAAAGCCTTGCTCCTGACGTGAACAGTGTCGCTCTCACTCCAAAGCCTTTCTCCTGACGACGTGAACAATGTGTGTCACACCATTTAGATGAGAGGACGATTGTTTGACATAATTAATATGTTTCAGGTGGGCAGGAATAGGAAAAAAATTATGGTACTCCAGTGTCAGTGAGTTGATGAAAACAGATTCATTTCGCGCCCACTGGGAAGAAAAACATGATACTGATAAAAGAAACACAAAATACTCGTAGGCCGCACGGTTTCAAAAGCTCAGGCATGATCCTTGGGGATCATATGCCGCCAACGAACCGTGCTAGCTTAGTTATCCGCATTCGTACACGATGATCAACATGATGGGTAAACTTGGTGGAGATCCTTCTCTGTATACCCCTTGGCCACGACTTCTGCGGTCGAGGTCCATCTCAAGCTCAACAAGATGTTTCTATATTCATCCGTAGTACGAGCGTACGGTTGCATGCAATTACGATTTGGATTTGCTGAATTAGGATTTTATATTTCACCACCAAATTGTGGGTGTGGTGATTTTCGCTTAGATAGGCTTAGCAGGGTTAGTGGGATTATCTTGATTTTACATCTCTTTTTACATACGTCGTTCCACACAGGAAGCTGCTGCAACTAATTTCTTGAGTCTTTGTCAGACCGTTGCAACTGCAAGTACGACACCTACTGAGCTCACTACCAACTAATCGACTCGCTTCTCTATTCAAGTAATTCTGGACAAGGTCGTCAAGGACAACCATAAACATAATGAATAGAGTTTAGCCCTTCGTGCTCAACTAACGTTTACTTGTTATTGTTGTCAACTAGACTAGGACTAGAACTAACAAAGTTGTGGGGATCGAGATGCCATGTCAGGACCTGGCTGAAGCTTCGCTCACGGAGGAGCATACTTCTAATTCTATTTGCCTATGAGAGTTTTCTTTGGTGTCGGAGGGATACATCCGCCATGGAGCATGTCAAGGGACTAGGAAAATGGCAGCAAGTTTAGAACCGATTGTCTAAGCACAGAGGCTGAAGAACTCAATATGAGTATGAGATGTAGGGACATACGTCTTCTAAGTCTAAGAAATTCTACAGAGAAGTTCTACCACCCAATGCATCTAATATGCATGATTCCTACTTACTGATTAGTTTTATCTGTAGTCCTAGTCAAAGTCAACTTGTTCAAAAAAACAAGTGCTATACAGCCTTGTTCTGGAACATCAATTGTCCGAACTCGCACAGGGTCTGTAGGTGCTCTACTAGAACTAGAAGTGCAGCCTTATACAACAACAAGTATTCATGATGTGGATGGATAATCATAATGATAATTCTAAGTAACCTATCTTGGGCAAAACGTTGACAAAGTTTTTGAGGATCGCGATCTCGAACAACTGCGAGGTCTAGTAATAGATTCTTTCGAACTCGAGTCGAATGTCGAATTTGTAATAGTAATACGAATACCCAATATCATAAATATTACCATCCTCATCTACCTCTTATTTACTTGTACTGCAACCCATCGAGCAGTGCCTAATTAGTTGCTGTTCAGGCGCCTATGTCACCGGCCCCCACCCGTTTAGGCTCGCGGCGCCTTCACGGGCCACGACAGCCTGACGTGGATTGCTCACTGCAGCTGAATAGTCCGAGAGCTTTCCTAATGGCTGACGTCGGTCTGCCCACACCAAGCTCGACGCATCGTGCGTTGGTGTCGCCCTACGTCGAGAAGGAGATGAGCCGGGCGAAGCGACCACGACGTCGCGGCTGATAACAGGCGACGAATTCCTAGAACCGAATGACGAGGTCGTTGTGCTCAGCAGGATATTGGATGTCGAGGCAGCAGACGATGGTCTATGCATCCCCAGAGCTGATGCATTGAAGACACTCAAAGATGTCGATCCTGAGGCTTGCCTTAACGAGGGTGACAGCGGAGAAGATGACGAGTCGTCAGTTTCTGCACCGCTTCCCATTTGTTTGCGGAGTATCTTGCGCACTTCCCTGGATTTCAGGGTCTCCTCTACATCGTCTGACTCGATGGTGATTGATCCGCCCTGCGGTGTTGTCAGGGTCAGTTTCGTTTTGGGAGATGACGCGGACGCAGACTGCGAGCGTGCTTTGCTACTGCTAGTTTGATTTACAGATTCGACATCCGCGATCTCCGTGTCTTCTTCATAGATGCGATTTAGTGAGGCTGCTTTATTTGATCCTGCGTCTCGCTTCTTTTTGTTTTTGCTCTTGCTAGATGGGGAAGAAGATGAAGCTGCAGATCTCTCACCAAGCGAAACCTCGGAAGGTCGTGGCGAAACAGCTACGAGTGCAGTATCATCGATGTTGGTGATGCTCAGCGGTGGTTCGGCTGTAGAGTGCTTCGCGGATAAGCTACGCTTGGATTTCTTTCCCTTCTTCATATTTGTACTAGACTTTATCTGCAAGGCAATCCCAATACCATCCTCAAGCTGCGGATCGCCATCTTCGTCTTGGCCTTTATTGGATGCAACAGCTGTCATCTTCGCGTTGACATGATTGAGCTCACGCTCGTTCCACTTGTTCTCTATGTCCTCCTCTACAACATACTTGCTCGTCTTCGCGAATTCTCGCACAACTTTCGGAGTGGCATCAGGGGAAAGAAGGTGGGCGTCCGTCGAGGAGCCGCGCAGCCATTTGCGCACGAAGCAGACGGCAAAGACACCAAGCAGAATCAGGAACGCACCAGCCGTGACCACGAGCAGCATTGTGGCTGTTGCTGCGTCGAACCCTAGCAATCCCGTCGAAGGCTTCTCCTCCTGAGCGTCAGACGCGGGCGAAGCGGAAGAAGTTCCGGTAGCACTGGCCGCACCGTCTCCAGATGAAGATGAAGAACTTGAAGAGCCTTGCTGCTCTGCAGGCGTCAGACCAAAGCTAATGTCTGGCGAAATACGCGCTGGCTCACGGAATTGGATTCTCTCGGTCTCCAAGCGGACGGGAGTCTCACCGCGCGACACTAACTCCTCGTCCAGAGTCTGGACAAAAGTGTTGGTCAATGTGGGCCCTCCACTAGCGAGCAGCGACATCTTGGTCTCTAAGAGCATCGTGCGCTGATTCGATGAGGAAGCGCTGTTTTCGACAGATGTCGATGGGGCGCTTTCGGAAGATGAAGTTCCACTACCTGTACTGGCACTCTTGAGAAGCAAAACTTCGAAGTCGATCGCAACACTTTCCAGTGCCGCAGCCAGTTTGCGAGAGACCTGTCGACGATGCGACGTGACATCATTTTGTGCTTTCAATTGCGCTGCGCTGCGACTATTTCGCACGTGGTCCATAAACGTGTTCACATTTGTCACGAGAAGAGCATCTCGCAAAAGTCGCGTAGCTGCCGATGGACGGAGCACGCCACCGCGTCTCTTATTGCTATGCGAGGTTGTGTGTTGAGCGAGTCTCCGACGATTCTCATCATGGCCTGGGATAGGCACTGCCTCAGGCACCCGCGCAGGAGTAGTAGGCTCGACCGAAGGCGAAATAATAGGAGCGGGCGCCTGCACTACTACACCACTACCGTTGCCACCCTGTTCTCGTCGCATCGTCTTTTCTTGTGCCACTAGATTTTGAAACCACGTTGGCCGTGCTGCCTCTCCAGCTGTAGCAGGCGCAACTGATCCCGCTTGGTATTTCTGCAGATCCTCAAAGGTATTGAACACGATGGTCTCTCTTGTTTCCTTGACTTTGGAGACTCCTGGTGCTGCTGCAGGTGCTTCAACTGGAGCTCCCGGAGCAACGGAAGGCCCACCTACGGCTGCTGCGGAGGATTCTGCAGGAGGAACAGCTTGCGCTCCAGGTACACCAGCAGCGTCACCTTCGGATGACGCAGGGCCGGCGGAACCGGAAGCCGGCTGCGGTTGGCTAACACTGGCTGCTGTGTCCCCCGGAGTTTGGCCTCCGCTAGGCAGTTGCGGTCCGACAATGTCGTTGGCCACTGGCGCTGGTGTGGCCGCAGCTAGTGGCGCATCGCCGGCTGCTGCCGGTGCGACCACAACGCCGTTTGCGGCTCCTCCCTGCTGTTCGCGGAACTGTTGCTCCCCCGCAACGAGGTTCTGAAACCAATTTGGTCGATAGTTTTCTGGACCCTGTTTTTGGGTTTCCTCTGAATTCGCAACAAGAGAGCTTAGTAATTTCCCGAAGTCGTCGTAGGTCACCCAGTTCGTTGAAGCCGTAGGACCAGACGTTGCGGCTTGCTGCAGCTGGCGCCGGGCAGGCGATGTTGATGAAGAGTCATCCGAGTTTTTCACAACTTTGCCAACGCTCTTGATCCGAACGCTCTCACCATCTCGCAATTCCAACGTTCGTTTGAGAGTGTCCTCCAACGAGCGCACGTTGTCCTGTGCCCATTGGGGCTCCAAGCCGGTCAATGTCATGCGAGACTGAATGCGTTCCATCTTCTCGACTTCCTCCGCTAGCATTGGTGGCGCGCTCCAGGTTGTCTCTATCGGAGGCTCACGTGGCGCGTCAGGGTTTCCAGCTGCGTTTCCGTTGACAAGCCACGGCTCCGTCGCGACTACACTTGTCGTGCCAAGTGGGCCGCCACTCGTAATCGCGGACGGGTCGTTTTCGTCAATCCGGACAACCAAAGGGCTGGTCTTGGTAGTCCGCGAACCCGCTGCTGACTGCAGACCACGACCTACGAACTTTTTGTTCATGTTCTTCAAGCTATTCTGGTAGACCCGAGAATTCCGACCTAAGAGCATACGCAAGAACTTCTGCCCATTGGTTTCATCTCCCTCACCAGAGCCAGTCCCAAAACATGTTCCGCAAGGTCGTGATTCACATGCCTCGACTTCGCATTGCAAATAGATCTCGTTCTGACCCGTAAACCGGAACTTCCGGAAACTGAGTCGATCCAGATGTGTCACTCCGTCTGGCGCCGCGTGTTTCTTCACATTGAATAACGGCACTGGGCAGTAGTTCCACATCAGCGGAACCGTTATCACCACGTCTGATTCGACACGATCTTCGGAATTGTTAGGATCCTCTTCATCGTCGTCTTTCATCAGTGCCTCGCGGTTACGACTGGCGCGGCAGCTCTTGATCGTAATATGGTTTCCAGTGAATTCAGTGCCGACCTCGATGAAGAATTCAACCGTCGCTTGAGGCAACCAGTCTCCAAACGCCAAAGGCTGCGCAAAGACTTCGTCCTGGTAAACGCGCATCGAGGTCTTCATCTCGCCCTCGCCGACGAGGTCCACAGACTCTGTCTGAACCGGTGGCGGCGCTGTCGCAGCTTCAACTCCGATCGGCTGCTCAAGAGTCGCAGTTGCAGTCAGTTTGGATTCGCAACGGCAGGTGATCTCAGGCGGCAAAACGGGCGCCTCTTGCGGTACCGCATCCAGGAAGTCGAGGACACCGCTGTAATCGTGGGTCTCGGCTACGTTTTGTCCAGCACTTTCAGTGGGTTTTTCGTCAGACACTGCTTCCACAACTAGGGTGATGGAGTCCACGACTAATCCACGGGCATTGTCGAAGATGCGCGTGGACCCGCACTTTCCCTTCGTGAATTCGAACAAGGCGGGTGGACCATTCGTTCCTGTTGGCGTGCGTTGCATAGCGCACTCACTAACGGAATCCACGCTCGTCTTCGGGGTGACATAGTTGTGGTCGGCCCATGCAGCCGGGATCGGACACCGCATCTTGGATGGCAGACAGACGGCCTCGCTTCGGACCCAGTCGCTGACGGGCACGAAATACTCCGTGTCTGCAGCGCCTTCAAATGCAGGAGCTGTTAGCTCGGACGGGACTGCGTACTTCTTCTCATCGTCAGACGAGGCGGCCGATTCGATCATCGGATAGTTGTGATACACGGGTACGATTTTCATACCAGTGGTTCCAGTCGGCATCACTGTGTCCGGCGGAATCGCCAGGACGGGGTATTTCGGTCGATACCGCAATACCCAACCAGATCGCTGCTCGTTCATATCGGTCTTCCAGTGCAAATAGGATTCAGAAGTTCCGCCGTCCACCTCCAAGGTGTCTCCTGGATCGTAGTAGGCCAAGTCCGTGTACAAGGTTCCACCCAACATGGGGCGCCACTTCGCACGCAACGCATCGAAAATGAGCTCGACGTCCATCGTGACAACTTCGAGCTCCCCACCGTAGGGAAAGTAGATTTTGGCGCGCTCATTGGCAGTGTACTCCGTCTCGCCGTTTGAACTTGCACTGCGCGAGATGGTGAATTCGTCGCCGGCCTGCAAGATTTGAACCAGGTGACAGCTGCGCCCCTTGCATTTCGGCGCAAAGGCGCTTTCGCAGTGTCTCGAAGCAAAGGCATTCGTCGGATCAGCTTTCCAGTCTCTGTTCGAGGGACGAGGTGGGCACACAATTGGTAACTGCATCGCCTGGTAAAACGTTGCCGCGCTTTCGTCCTCCGCAGTTGAAGTTGGAGAGCTCCAATAAGCACGGAAACCCGTAAGGCCAACGCCGTAGGCAGGAGGCGTGATGGAAACATCACCGGCCACTTGTCCGACATCGGAGTCGAGATCTCCTCCGTATTTGCCATTGAGAATGGGCTGTCCCTGGATGTCCAGCGTTCGCATGATCAGACCCTCAGTCGCGAAGGCATGCTCGTTGCCGTTGACGATCTTGATTCGCATGTCAGGTCCAGCCTCGACGTCTGTTAGTTCGATTGCCGCAGAAGCCTTCGTTGATTCGCCCAGATCGCGAACATGCGTCTCCAAGGGTGGTTCCGTGCTCCCCTCAGCTGGCGCCGTCATGCGCACAAGCGTTGCTTTGAATCTGGTGACGTCGCTTCCATCCACCGTTTCGCTGGTGGTGGCGCTTTCCTCTGTCGTCTCCTTCTCTTCTACAAGCAAAGGCGCACAGCACTCGATAGTCAGCTTGCCGGACATGATTCCCGGCGCTGCGTTCACGTCCAGCATTTTCGCTACCGTGGGCCTTGACAGCGGCGGAGCACCGCCCGTCGAACCGCCGCTCGCATTGTCCACCAACGCAGCGCGAACACCGTCCTCGGCTTCGTTGCCGTTGTACGAGGCAATCAACAGAAGCGTGTCCACGCTACTCTGAAGACTGGCGATCTCGATCGGCACCTTGTAGGACATGTCACTGCTGATGACGAATTCCCATCCCTCCTTGGTCATGGTTTCGTCGGACTCCCACTTGATAGAATGCGTGCCCGGTGGCAGGGAGATCAGTGCCGGAGTGAAGGTGCCCGTCAGTGTAGTTTCCAATGACGGAATCTCGAGTGTATCATAGCCGTACTCAACGTCGAAGAACGTGAACTGAATTTCTGACGGTCCAGCCACGGTGATTGTCGCACGTTCATCCACCTCGTAAGCGCCAGAGGGTGGGCGAAGTTTGACGCGGTATCCGGTTTGCTTGGTCGCATCAACAGCGAAAACGTTCTCGACTTTGATCGACGCGCAGGCAGAACCCTGACACTGAGGCTGGAAAAGGCCTCGCGATGGTACAACCGCGACGGGCGTTGCAGCGTCAACTCGCTGATTAGTGCTCGAGTCGTATTTGAATAAGCGGTATTCGGAAACGTCGGCTTCCGTGAGTCCCACATCCCATGTAGCGGTTGAGGAAATGCTTCCACTTCCTGTGTGTAAATCAGCAGAAATCTTGAAATTTTTCGGCAGATGCTGCGGTCGACCTGTGTCCACGAGACCAAGCGTAGCCTTCGCCTGCTGGTTCTCGCCAGTCGCGTTTGCAGACAAGCCCACAATCTGCGTTGCCTCTTTGGGAACGATACTTGACGGCAAAAACGTGGTCCACGCGGCATCTGAAGCGGTAGGAACCGTTCCTGCTGCGATTGCTATTGGTTCCGTGTTGTTCAGCCTCGGACGAAACAAGGTGCCGTCTGCGCGCGCGAAGTACAGATGCAGTTTCGTCGCATCAAGAGCAGTGCTTCCAGCGGGTTCAAAAGCCTTAGACTTGAACGTCACGCGCACTTCGCCACTCACTAGTCCAACGCGCTGATCGGTGTCTGCGAAAGCGAGCGATCCTGGCTGCGAAACAGGCGGCGAAGCAGCTGGATACTCCAGCTGTGCCTGTCGCAGTGCGGACTCGAGGTTTACGCGACCACCACTGCTCAGCTCTGCGAAGGCATCGCTCTTGTCCACCGTCTGCATAATCAAACGCTTGACATTATCATAGCTCAACTCTGGCCGGAAACTCCAAAGAACAGCAGCAACACCTGCGACGAAGGGCGCAGACATCGACGTGCCCGAAAAGTACAAGTAGTTTCCATCGGGCACAGTAGAAAGAATGCTGCTCCCTGGTGCGGCAAGGTCAACTTGGGTCCGACCGTAATTCGAAAACGAGCTCATGGAGCCAAATTGCCCGCTGCTCGCTACACAAATCAAGTTATCGGCACCCAAACTACAGGGAATGTTTGAGCTAGCATCCAAGTTCCAACCACTGTTACCGCTTGCACCGATGAACAAGTGTCCTTCCATGCGCGCCGCGAGCAGGACACTAGTAAAGGCCATCCACACGAGAAAGCCTGCGCTTTCCGCACCCCAGCTATTTGACGAGATGCGCGCGCCGTTTTCCATCGCATATTCAATGCCCTGGATGCCGTCAGTGAGCGTGCCGTAGCCCTCAAAGTCCATGAATTTTACGGCCATGATCTGCACGTTCGAGGTATAGGAAGCAACGCCTGCGATTCCCTCATTGTTATTCTCGACCGCGCCAATAATTCCTGAAAGTAGTTTCGTGTGAGCCTTCGGAATAAATCTGGTCTAGAACATTGAAAAAAGCAGCATGTCCGCGCCTCAGTCATCCTCTTGATGTTGATTTTAGGACCACCGTAAGCGTAATATTACCAATTCCATCTACTTCATCTTCATGTGACTACTTAGAGAAGCAAACTTTGACAAAGTACCTGCGCAGTGCGTCCCATGCGACTCGTCGTCCATCGGATCGCCATCTTGGTTGAACAAGTCCACGCCGTGCACATCGTCGACATAACCATTGCCGTCATCGTCTATGCCGTTATCTGGGATCTCTCCTGGATTGCGCCACATGCGACCCGCTAAATCGGGATGCTTGTGGTCGACACCAGTGTCGATCACCGCCACGACAATGGGCGACGCACCGACGGAGAAGGCCTCACTCTGGTAGGTGCCCCAAGCTTCGGGAGCATCGATATCGGCATCGTTACCGGCGACTTGATGCAGACCCCACTGGCGGTCAAAACGAGGGTCTGACGGAATAAGCTGGCCCTGAAGCAATCGCTCTTTTTTGGCCTCAAGCTCGGTGCCGCGCAGGCTCTGTGAAAAATATCGCCGACATAGAGTTGCTATCGGGAAAAAGGAATGTCACGAAACAAAAGGAATTTCACGAAGAGGAACTCTTTCTTTCATAATTTCCCTGTATCAACGAGTTTCAGTTATGATTATGGGGATGGGTAATGATGAAGTCAACAAACTCAAGCAAGGTCATCATAAGTTTTGAGATTTTATCTTCTCAAATACCTTTGCCCCAGTGCTACGCACGAGCACATCTTTCATTGCGACTTTGACGCTTTGATGCTTGTAGAACTCTTCTATCGCCTTTTCCTGATCTTCGAAGGTCTCGCAGAAAACCACAATCGTGAGCGTCTTCGGCTGAACTTTGAGACCACGAATTCCCAGCACGCGGGTTCGTATGTCTTGTAGCTCGTCACTCGAGAGACCCGGCTTCTCGAAGGACACGAGAATTCGCTTGAATTTCTCATGGTTGGAATTGCGCAGTGATGAGCCGCCTTTGTCAAAACGCGGTTTGTTAATACCGCTTGCCCGTCTCCCTTCCTTCTTGACATCGGCGTCATCTGGTCTAGGTTTGTGGTCTTGTGGCTGCGCTACAGCAAAGATCGGAAGCGGACTATCCCACGCTATGAAAGCGATGGAGATTGTAATCAAAGAAATTCCGAAAAGTATTCGGGTGATAAGAATCGAGAGAGGTGCGCCTCCCCGATACCGTCCTCGGACGCTCGCCAGACCTCTCTGTGCGACATCGCACGACTCAGGATCACGTTCACGCGCCTCCATTTTGGATGAATTCCGACAAATGCGACCAGTCCTCAAAGAAAGAAGTTCAAAAAGTTGCACATCCACAACCACATCCCATTTCATTCTGATTATTCTTATTCTTTGGAAGATAAAAATGAAAATCAAAATGACTGCTATAATAATACAGTCTCAAGGTCGGGAAAATTCAGGATACTGCAGAGGTTCAAGAAGGCAGGCAATAAGTAAAACCGTGACGCAACTCTCGGCAGATATCATGCATAGTCTTCAAACAACAACATGGCGAAAAAAAGGGGAGAACGTAATCTAATTGTGAATTGCCCAGAAAATTGTTTAAGAAGCTCCAACTGATTGTGGTTTTTGATGGATGGGTGAACGTCAAGAAGGGATGGGTGACTTTGACGCTAACACATTCTAGCTGTCGCCTCATTCTGATTCTCTTTCTCTCGCAAACCTACTCCTGCTGCTCTACATTTAACAACACACTTGATTTCTTCCATGGCACTTGGAGAACAGAGGCAATCACATGTACAACAATATCTCTCTCTGTCATCTCGTCGGAAGCAAAAAGGAAAGGCTCCCTCCTCTCACCTCTTGCTCTTTCTCTGATCACAGATTTTCTACTCATGGCTTCTGCTGATAGTGATACACAGATTATAGCTCTCAATGTCCAAGACCAAGAAGGACCAGGTGAACACACGCACCATGTGCATATGTTTTAGTTTTGAATAAAAAGATCGAAACATAATCAGACGCGTCATAATAAATACATTTACTGAAAAAATGAGTTGTAAAACCAGTTACGATCATCATCATGAATACTGTCATGTCTCTTCTATGCAATGGACCTTCTTCCAATTTATGCCCGGTCACGTTTTTTCCTCGTCATATTACGATCCCGATAATATCTAGAAGATTGACGTATTCGTTTTGCTGATGAGCGAATATTCCTGCAAGAACCCACTCTCGACCTTCATCTGAAAGTGTTATTTACGAACAAGGAGTTTGGGATGATATTGCTCCACACACTTTGACCTATGTAGGATAGGATCATTCACTTGAATTTCGCCAGAGTATAATTTTTTGGATATGTAAATCTAATATCTGGTAAGCGTGAGAATAGAGCCGAGAAATGCGAGCAATGAAAATGCGAGGATATGTAAATCTAATATAAATTTAAATAAGACTTGTAAAAAATCCATAACGGGAACGGGTAGTCTGCTTTTCGCTTGAAATAAACCAAATCGAAAACCGTACCCTGCAACACTTTCTGTACAACATAGTTATGGTAAGCTGTGGTCCTCAGGCGCATGGAACTGGCACTTTCTATTCTGGTAGATCCATTTCTTTTTCTTCATCTTTCTGTGACATACTCTAGTTCCGATGATATGTCATCTTTTCGTATCCCCATCGTAGTTGCTTTGACAGAGAATTATTGCTTGGTCGTTAAAAAAACTTTGATATTGATTTCGCCTTTGATGATTTCTATTTCTTTGTTCTCAGGCCAACAAAATCTCATGAATGTAGTCGGTCTGTCTGCTAGTACATGCTTCTTATCCAACTTGGTGAAGTTATCAAAACACGTGTTTCATTATCTTTACTAAAGCCGTTCCTGTTTTTTAAAAGTAACTGTATTCATCATCAATGCATCTCAAATGATCATACAGGATCATCGTAGAGACGAAACATTCTCATTAATTTCTTTTTTTTAATATTATTCATTTAAGTAGTATTGATCTTATTTTCTGTGTTCGTGTTGTAAATTTTCGTTCCTCTTCATTTGTCTCACGCTCTGTAAAAAAACAGCACCAATTTACGATTATGGTTAGCTTCCAATGCAGCCATGACAGGTTCATTACGAATTTTAGAAGAACAAGAAGTTTCGATTCCGTGTTGACAGAACAGAACTCAGCTAGTCCTGTAATCGTTGTTTGCGAAAACGATATTTCTGCCAGGGTGCGGTGCTGGGTGCATTTGGTTTACCTGTACGCTTGGGAAGGGAGCACTCCTGTTTTGCGAGCGTTCTGCTGGCGACGGTCTGATGTAAGAACCCGAGGATGGTGGAGGTCTTACTGGCATCGAACTACCTCGACCGAAATTCGGCGATTCCGGAAGATCTTGTTGTTGGCTTGATGGCGTTGTGCCAGTAAATCCATCTCGGTTCGTAGTGTAATCCTGTCCCCAAGAACGCTGAGTGTAATTCTGGTGGTAGCCGTACTGTTGATCCATGTGCATTTGTTCACTCATTTGCTGTCTTTGGAGGTGGTACTGATATGAAGACATTTTTGCTGGCTTGTCATATTGACTATTCTTCCCATACGAGGATGCCAGATTGGTCGGACCTCTCATGTTGTTGTCTGTCGAGTTGTAAAATACGGCATCATGGTCAGCGTGTTGTTTTCCACCGCGTGGGGACGAACCACGTCGACCCATGGTGTGTATGTTGTTGGAATACCCGTTGCGTACCACGTTGTCGCGAAGTTGGTGATGAGTCCTTCCGCCCATCGTGTCGTTGCCATTCATTGTTCTACTCTGCTGGTTGTACCCCTGCTCTTGGTGCTCCTTCATTGGCACTTGTTCGCAAGCGTTTCTCACCTGCATCGTCTCTGATTTCTTACTTCCTAAGCGCATGCTGTTCTCGCTACTGCCGTCATCGGCGACAGCGCTGCATAGTTCCTCCGGGGGGTCGTCGCCTTGCCGTTTCGCTCCCGTGACTGTCAGCATGTTCTTTTTAGCTCCTGTGAAGTCATCTAGCATGCGCCGGCTGGCATCCTCCTGCGCACCGCGCTGCTCCATTGTGCTCGCATGTCCCTCGCGAAAACTCGTGTGCTGTGCCCCGCCGTCTCGATACACGGCCTCTAATCCTGAGGTAGGCGCAGTCGAAATACCATTTCGAACGCCTCGCGCACTGTGAGGACGCGGTGGAAGCTTCCTCACCGACGATCCCGAAACGGGCTGATGATGCAACAAATTACCGCCGCTGCGGCTTTGACTTAACATCATATCGTCGTCAGAGTAGTAACGCGCACGCGGGCCAGAGACACGTTGCTTCTCTTCCCCACAAACGGAGCCGCAGTGCTTTTCCCGATTGTCAGCGTAGTTGGGCCTGATCATATGCTGCGCATGTTTTCCTGCAGAGTTCATGGTCGGAAAAGCACCAGGACCAGGCAGCCCATGCGCGCTACGCGGACGTGAAGGCATCAACACGGACCTCTGACCTGAAAAGAATGGTGAACGTTTGGGTAAGTTCGCTCACGCTGGTGACATAAACAGTGGGGACGCCTTCTTGCACTTGTCAAAGTCAATGTCAAGAATCTATGTCTATGTCTATCATGCTTGTTATATATTTCTCTACACCCCATGGTAATGGTTAGGAGAATTCAGCTTGCCAATCTCTTGAGATCCTTCGACAGCAGGAGGAGAAGAAGGTACAACAGAATCAAATAACTAGCACTACTTGCATCAACAGGTTGTTCCGTGAAGCGTGATAGAGGACCGTCGCTATGATCGGCGTTGCCTTGCGGCCGACCCTGATAAGTGCTGTGGTTTTGCGAACTGTTTGGCGGGGCATCGCATAGCGCAGCCTTGTTTTTGGTGAGAAGAGGATCGTCGTCCGCGTGCTGTTGCGCTCTTCGATATTGCGAATGCTGTTGCATTCCACAATACCGACTGCAGCTCTCACCTGGCCATGGCAGAACCCCTCGAGTCGTCCGCATGGTCCCACCTGCAGGATAAGCCATTGAGGCTTGTTGATGGTGTCCTCCTCCCAGTCCCAATATCGCGGGAGCAAATTGATTCTTTCCTGTGAAAATTTGGCACAGCTGGAGTTCGAGATCTTGAACGGACTGCTGCAGAAGTTTTAGAAGGCCCATATCTGCCTTTCTAGCCACAAGGTCGAGGATCGAGCGGCACTTGCCGGCCGAGCGTGCTCGCCAGACTTTTTCAATGCGCACAGCCAACATGCGGCTACTCTCACGCCACGACGGAGTCGTTCCGTCAAAATTGTCAGAGAAAAAGTCGCAGGCAGCACGATCGGGACACTCCTGTAAAGATAGAGAAAAATATACTTGTCGTCCATGCACTCATCAAACAGGTCATCACCAAGCAATTTCAATCCCATTAAAGAGCCATACTAGGAGCATCGAATGGCATCACGTTGCTCCCTAGCAAGAGCTGACTACCTCTCTATCCCGTCCTCCTCTCGCTGCCTGCGGTGGTGGGATAACTCCTGTCACCTCCGCCAGTCTGAGGACGCCGGCAGTCAGATGCTCTGTCGCCGTTGCCAGGTCGACAAATTTTCCGTCGCTCGTCTTGGAGTCCACTTGCATCTGCAACTCCATAAATCGGTGGGCGAACGAGCTCTCAACCCTCTCGCCAATCTTCTGGACGAAGTAGTGCTCGAACGAGTCAAAGAAACCCGACATGCACGGAGCATGCTGGTGCTGGACTCTGCTATTTGGGGTTTGCTGTAGAGACTCAGCGACGCTTATGCCTATGACCTGAAGATGTGCGAGTGCGGGAGGAGGACGACAACAAGTCGAAGCTCTATGGTGCTTAGCCATAAAACTCATACACACGACGTAAAATTCAACAGATGATAGCGTGTAAAATTGTCGCGGGAAAGAATGCCGCATAGTACCTGCTGCTCGTCAGTTTCTCCTGTCTTCTTAGGGGAAATCGGTGCACTGTTGGGTGCTGCCACGACCATGGGAACTGGCGACGATCCTAGATCCGTGGGTGAACGGATTCCTGGAAGGCTGAGGCTTGGAGTTTTGTCTGTCGTGCATGCCGCAAGGGGGTTCCAGTAGTTCGCAGAGAGGCTGTTCTTGTTCACAGACGATGACACCTGGGACGATCCACCTGGTGTACCAGCAGGCACAGTGTTCTTGTTGAACATAGGATGTGCAAAAGCGTTTCGGAAGTTGTCCGCAAGATTGTGATTAGAGGGCGAGGGCGGAATCGACTCAAGTTTCTGCGTTGGACAGAAGCAGGGGTAGGTGTACAAGAACGCTATTGCTATACTAGTTTAACAATATTTCATGACTTTGGGAAATGCATGCATTTTCAGCGGAAAACCTTGAGTAAGGGATACTGAGGCAGATGGGCTAACTACAGCTGTAGACGCAGAGCACCGCAACCCCGCGGCCCAGAGGGCCATCAAGCTAGGCGGGCGCCCCTTAGTTTCAAAACGATAAACCCCCGAGCCTGGACCCGTTACCCCTCTCGCAATCAGGACAAAATTCGGGCTGCCCTGACCACGCAGAGACCCCAGACAGTCCGGCCGCACAAGCAAACAACGACAAGCCCCATCAGCGCACCAACTGTGACTCCAACGAGAAGGCACGGCCAGACACCCCGGAGAGCAAGAGGCCGAAGAGCTGCCACGCGAGCCTGCCGGGTGAACTTCACCCCCAGAGTCAAAAGCACGGCTGCAGGGCCCGCCGGCCGAGGCGTCCAACTACGGACCTGTAGACTATGAAAAGAAAATCTGTTATCATTATCATGCTTTCCTTCTTCAGAAACTTGATAATGATAACAGATTTCCGTTTCATATAGACGAAGCTACAGATACTAGCGCCACGACCGGCGCCGCAGTGCGGAGTCGCAGTTTCATCGTGCCCCCGAGAGCTTAGCTGTGCGGCAGACGCTCGGACTTTCGCGCCACGCCTCACAACTTCGTTCTGAGACTTGGCAAAGGTCTGGCGTCTGCGTCAGACGCCAGGTGTTTTACGGGTACGGGCACCGTCCCAGTGGGGTGCACTGGGTCGGTAGCCGTTCCGGGAAAGTCCTGGCGTCTGACGCAGACGCCAGACTTTTGCCAGGTCTCAGAAATTCTTAGGCGCTCGAGAATCCTGGCGTCTGACGCAGACGCCAGCCTTTTCCGGGTCCTGTGACTGGCAAATGCCTGAGGCTCTCTGCAGCTCCAACCACTCTCCTGCCCCACAAGCAGGAGAAGCGCATGCGCGAGGGCTCTCGCAATGGCATAACAATTGCCACACCCATCGCATCAGCCAAGTAATCCAGGCCTGGGCGCCCCAGCGCGACTCGCTTTCTCTCCGCGGACCTAGGTCCGGGAGCAGTGCCTGAACCTGAGCGCCCAAGGGAGACGCGAGAAACTGGAGAGGGCCAGGCGACACGCCTCTGGCCGCAACGGAGGTCGCCGACGCTACAAACACACACACACCACGCGCAAGGTGCTCCGGTGCTATGCGGCACATCCTCGCGCCAGGATTCACGTGGAAGGGCAGAGGCGCTGCGGCATCCACCACCAGGGGCGCAATCCCCTTCAGCGGTGCGATCCATATGGGCACGATTCTCCCAGTGCATCCTACTGAAGATTTTCCGCTGAGAGTCTATACTAGAAACGCAAGTCATGCAATATTTCAATTTCATTTTAACTTTTGCCCTCCACTACATAATGTGCATCTGCTCCTTGGTAACATGCGCTTCGCGTCGATACTCGTCCACCGTCGTGTGAAGACCGGATAGCTGCAACTCGAACTTAGTGTGTTTACGCGCACTTTCTGCCGCGCTATCACGCGCCAGCAAGTCCAGCTCTTGCAGTTTGTTCTCGAGGGCTTGCATCAGATTTGCTTTTACTCGCTGCACTGCAGCCTGTGCGACCATCTCGCCAAATGGTGTCATCGTCATCTGAGTGGTAGAGAATCCACCTCCCGGTGAGTTCGTCAACAATGTAGTCGCGCTCTTTTCGCCACTTCCCATATTGATGGTAGAAAAGCCTTGCTGCTGCTGTGGGAAAAAAGGACTTTTTGGGAACGTCGATGTGCCCTGTCCGTTCATTACTGGTCCTGTATACGATTCAACGTGCGACGCGGAGGCAGCGCAAGAATTCGGCATACCCGATTCGCTGCGAGCGTCTTGTTGGTCCAAGCCGGCGCTAGAGGCGAAGTAGGTGTTGTAGAAGTTAAACTAGAACTAGAAAGATTCGATATTTGTAGTGCACCTGCTTACTATCGCTTGTTAGATCGATGATCGTGTTTGCGAATCATCATTGACAACTACAACGAACCAACATGTTAATGTTTTGTCATCTAGTAACGTATTGTTACAGAGGTATAGATTCTTCACAGGAACAAGTTATTTGTATGTAGAAGTACAATGCATTGGGTTGTGAGAGACGTGCTTGCGCTTCTGCTTCTTGCGGTTGCTCCGCCCAGCGAACTTTGTTCTGCATTTCCTGAGTACCTCCACCACCCTGTTCTACACTGTCTTCTCCGCACAAGAGAAGTGTCTTTCGCAGTTGCAAAACATCGTTTCTAAGCTCACGCATTTGAGCCGACACTCCGTCCTCTGCAATGCGCGTCGAGCGACGCTTCTGAATCTCTTGAGCCTCAAATTCCTTGACGATGTCCTTCTGATCGTTTTTGGCGTTGAGGAGCTCGAGCTTGACTCCACGGGTTAGAGAATGCAAGCGAACAAAGATTGACAAGAAGAAGCCACGCAAAAGAGTACAACACTCACCCCGTCGTGCTAATACAACGTGCAAGAAGTACGAAGTAGCTCCCGTGTCATCATGTTCATTTTCAATGGCGATAACATGCTTCGTAAGAATATATCCTCGTCGAAACGGCTCAGGCGTGTATCAAGTTCTCCGCAGCGTTCTTCCATCTGCTGATGGATATCCTGGATTTCGTTCGAAACTTGTTCAAACTTTTTCCCCATGCGCTTCTCACTATCTTCTTGTGCCTCGTCTTTGCTCGTGAGGCGAGCCTCCAATGCATTCACGGATGGTACCACTTCACCGTTCACCCAGTCCTCGTGGCGCGTGAAGTTGTACTGGAGTGTCGACAAGTTATCCTGGAGCCCGGAAAGGTCCACCTGGGTGGCGCTCAAGCCGGATTGGAGACCGTTGACCTAGGTAAGAGGATGAGGAAGTGGGTTTGTTAAGAATCTGGAATACTCACGATACTCCAGCACATTTTACACCTCGATCTCGAAGGACAGAATTTCTAAAATAGGCAGGTTTTGCAATTGAATATTATTCGTTTTTGTGCTATGAATATGAACGATAAAAAAAGCGACCTGTTCGCCAATCCTCTCTTCAGCTTTCATCCTCGCTGCGACCATGTTCTGCAGACTCTCCATTCGCGTTTTCTGCTCTTCCAAGTCGAGGTTTATTGCTTCTATGGCTCCAGAGAAATCCTGGAGGTCTCGCTCACAGGCTTGCAAGACACTTCCTACGTGCTTGACTTCGGGTTCTAGCGACGACTTCAGAGCATCAAAGTCCTGTCTCAAAGACGCGATTGCCTCTCCAGCGTTCTTCTTGGCAGCCTCTTCGGCCATCTGTTGCGCGATCTGTGCGGTTTGCTGATGCGTTCCCATCTTGAGAATTTCCAGAGAAGCGTTGTTGAACCTAGAGAGTGAGAGATTAGTATTAGTTCGAGTTTTAAAACCTTGTTGAGGTAAGAACGCATGAGAGGACTTCTACTAAAAAAGAAGACGCAAGATGAAGCAGAAGGCACTGTCAAAACTCTATGTATACAAAGCCAAGCATGTATGAAGACCCCTTCAACAAATCGCTTGTTGCTTGTTGCCCTGCTTGAGATATTGAAGGAGATGCGGCTGCTGCCTTCGACTCCGCAGCCAGTAGGCGACGGTTCAAATCTTGAAGCCTCGACTTCAGTGACTCATCTTCCTGGTGCTTCATTTCTAGCAATTCCTGGAGTTTTCTCACGTCAGCATCGCTTCCGCCCCGGTCCCGCATGACTGCGCCACACAGAAAGCGCAAGATCTGCGAATCCGCCGACATCATCGGTGATGATCCGCCACCGAGACCAGTCATTGCGACAGATTTTCGCTTCTACGTCGATAAAGCTTACTGCTCCTCAAGTACGGAATCGCGACGAGAGCGAGGCACGCTTTTCCTCGTCTCGTCTCGACCTTGTTCACAGAGAGGCGACCGCGCTAAAAACCGATCCTGTGGGTAGGGCTGACTCGTTCAGCATGTGTCGTGGAAACAGGCGAGGCTACGGAGTTTTTTGAGAAGTGAATCGTTTTTAGAAAGATAGCATGACGAAAGGTCAGACTATGAAAGCGAGCTACACGGAGTCACATGCGTAACTCATTCGGCCGAAAGACAAACGAACCATGCAAAACGATTCATGGAATGAAATCGATTCGACATATGAATGAAAACAATGAAAATCTATGGTATATATAAACCTAAAACTAAAAGCAAAACATAAGCCATCGGGACAAAATGAAGAAGTTTCTTTATCCATCGTCGTCGAACAGTGCAAAAATCGTCTCACCACCACCAGCATGCGTCAAAATATTATAATTCATTTGTTTCAAAAAATCCTTGCAATTGCATATGTTTGCTTTCGGATGACAGATCCATGTTGACCGATGGGCAAGGACTTGGACTACTGCGTGATCTCAAAAAGCACCACAAAGAGAAAGATCTCCAACTCCATCAGATCATATGCAAATGCTCCTACTAAAAAGAACTATTTCTATCAACCTCATGCAAACTTCTTCTTTCCAACAAGAATTAAGCGATGACCATGTAAAAATCCACCGATTGTTGACAGAGACGGCTATATACGCACTGCTCTCTTAGCAGCACCGAATTAGCAGAACCTAAATATATGAAGATTCTATTACTTTGTTTCTACAGAGGATGCAAAAAAGAAGGAGCACAGAAATAGAAGCGGGTTCATCTCTCATCAACTTCATGTTCAAGTTCATTACTTTGCGCTAAAAAGTATTCAGAACTGAACATCCATACCGAATGGAAAGAGCGTCCTTCTCCCTCACCATCACTGAGGTGGTGAATAAAACGTAAACGACTTCGTCAAGTGGTGAAGAAGTGGCTGTGGCTTTCTTCAATGATCCAATACTCATCCCGGTCTTCTTGCATTTCGAACTTTTTCTTTTTCAAATCCTATCATCAACTCCTCCATCTCACCTCCGCATATGTACCTCCCATACTGCGAATAGCTCATGCCGCCAGGTGGGCCGCAGCCTCCAGGACCACGCTTCACAGCGATGTCGTCTAGGAAGTTCTCTGTTCTCCGCTCAACGCGCTTTCCTGCTGCTGGCATGTCTCGCTCTAAGCGCATGACCGCAGCAATATCCACGTCTCGCGTTGTCATTAGGTCTTTGCGACGAAGCGAGTGCGCTGCAAACTCATTGACGTAGTAAGTAGCTGGAGGTAGATGCTGATGTGCTGCTTGCAAGACTCCTGTATCCTTGTAGTGGGAGTGCTGGTCTGAAATTCTTACAGGCGATATCGGTCCGGTGTCTTGCTCCTGCCGAGAACCACTACTTATTGTAAAATTTGGGTGACGAGAAGCCATTTGTTGCTTGTCCACTACTGGACTAGATGCTCTCGGTGGAGCGTGCGTTGGTGCTGTCAGCCGCAACTTCTTACGGTCTCTAGGGGAGAAGTGAACTTGTTGCGGCCTGGTTCTCGGTGATGATAATTGTACGGTGGATCCTGGATTCAGTTCTGTGAGATCAACGACTTTGATCCTCCCTACGGATAAAGGCGAACCCGATGCATCGTGCCCCAATTCTCCTTGATTTTGTTCTTGGAACGCATCTTGTCGCGGACTCGCGAGTGCTGATGCTGATGAAGATATCGAACCGATTGTTTTTCCCTCGTCGCCAGCGAAGGTTGATAATGGCTGCTCCGCTCGTGGTGGGGAGGTTGTAGATAATGAACCCATTTTCACCTCAATTCCGCTTTGGTGAAGCATGACCAATGCTCGGCGATGCCAGATGTCGAGAACGGTTTTGTCTATCCCTTCACCACTGAATTTAGCCAACAGGCGAAAACAAGCTTGACAAACGGCACCCATCTGCTTTCCGCGACGTTTGGTCACGGCCTCATCGTGCTTCATCATGCTGACATGATGATCATATTGGGTGTTGGTCATCCCGACCCCCTTCTTGAGAGGTATAAAAACGTTGCCGTCTCTGAGCTCCATCAGGAGGTCGAAGAGGAATTCGCCAGTCTGGTTTGCGTCAAGTAGCTGCAGGCTCTTCTCCGTGAGTTTCCGGCTATGCAGAGCACGTGCGGATGGACTGTTGTCAGAAGTACGCAGTCGCTGAGCTATGCAAAACACGATTAAATGCGCAAGCTCATCGGGTGACAAGACACCGCGCGGTGTCCAACTGCTCAAAGCCATAGACAACTTCACCACGTCGAACGTCCGCGCAGCTTCCTGATGGTTGGGAAAGTGTTGAGTTGGTGGTGCAGTGATGAATCAGATTCAGAATATAACACCAGAAACAGTCATAGTTTCATTTTGCTAGACACTGAACAAGGCTTAGTCTTGTACCTTCACTTCCCGCCAGTTTCTGAGTAGAAACTCTCGGAGGCTGTGCTTCTTTGCAAGATAGCTCGCAAACGCTTCATCGTACGGCTGTTTTGCCAAATGCGCACCATGCCCTCCGTTCTCTCTTTTACTCTCATGCGTCCCATTTTCCTCCTTATGTCTGTCTCGTCTGCTATGTCGACGTCTTGTTTTCCTGTGAAGATATCCTTCACTTCTGTCTGGCTCTGAGGCAGAACAGTGTTCATTCGCATGGTTTCGTTCATGACTTGCCGATCCTGGCGAATTTCCAGGATCGCTACCGTGTTCCGCACTAGCATGTGAATGCGTTGCACCTTGTTCGGTTTTCCCTTCGCGTTGATCCTCGAAGTTCTCCTCCTGATTGTCGCCATGATCCTCTGTCGTTGCCGCCCTGACAGCAAACGCCGAAATGTTCGTTCTTCCAGAAACTTTGTTAAGCTGGCTCTGTTTTCTTGATCCGACGTTCCCATTCTGCCTCGCCTGCTGTCCCTGTCCTCCGCTTCTTTGCTGCGCTACGTCAAAAGGACAAATGGCGTTATTGTTCAAGTCGAAGTCTACTGCCTTACTTTTCCGATTAAGAGCATTGGCTGCAAAGGTTTCTGTGAGCGAGCCAACACCAGATCCGCGGGTGGCCATCGTCCTAGAGAGGCGACCACGACCACCAGGCCCAGCACAACGAGCTGCAGGAGCCGAGCTTCTACTGAATAATTGCGACGGACCGCGGCCCCCGGTCCGGTTACCAACTCCACTTCCAAGAGCATTTCTATATGGATCATCATTCTTACCAACGAAGTCCGATCTGTCGAGCTCTAGGAGTTTACGCAACCGCTCATTTTCTTGCGCCGCTAGAAGACTATTCAGCTGCTTATAGGGTGAACGAGAGGAGCGTCGTGAGGACGTCCTCTTAGACCGTCGACCGCCAGGAGGACCCTTCACCAGAATCAGCCGATCTACAGCAGGCGATGTCTCGAAAACAGGATCCGGCTGTTCATGTTCTTGGCTGATCGATTTTTCGTCTTCAGCATCTTCTAGTAGTACAGCACTATCTTTACTAGCTGCATCTGCCGCACGTCGAATGTCACCCCCGTGGTCCTCTATCACTTCCACTACTCGCGGTCCCTTCTGCATCTTTTCGAAAGCATCGGCATCTTCTCTCTCGGTCCCATGGACAGGTGACGCATCGCCTTCTTCAGACGCCTGCCCTTCTACGTAGTCGTCCAGTACGCAATCTATGCTCTGCATCAGAGCTTCTGTGCCTACGGCAGCAACGATATCGTTTTCATCTCGTTCTTGTTCATTCGTTTTCGCGTGTTTACTGTATTGTTGCGCCTTCAGGAGATCCATCCTTTCGCGTGTCCGTTTCTCCTCTTCCTGTTGCTCCCGCAGTCTTGCTTTTCTCCACGAGTAGCGCGCCGCGTAGCTGTCCACGCCGTCATCTTGGGCAGGAGCAGCGGACTGCACTTGAGCAGCGGGCTGCAGCCGCGGCGCTGCCTGTGCAGGGATGTCGTTGAGTCCTCTATTGCTACCAGTAGTGTGCTGTCGTTGCCACAATTTCAGAGCCTCAGTTTGACCACCTCCGTTTGAAGGTGACGCTGAGCGTGGTTCTGTTGCCTGAGCTGCTCCTGACGCTCCTCCTGCAGATTGCTGCCGCATCGTAGAAGTTTCGCATCCCGCTCGCGCAGTGGTGCCGGACGCGGCTGGATTCCCTTTCCGTTTGGACACTGAAACTCGGAGAGGCTTCCCGGAACCAGACCCTGTCGTTCGCACGACAAGCGACTTCGAGGTCTCTTGGGCCTGACCATCTTCCTGATCCTCGTCCGCGGGTGTCATCGGCGGACAGCAGTGCTGCGATCCCATCGTACTTCGCGGAAGGCTAGGCCGCTTCGCTGATGAGCGGCGTCGTCCTTGCTGTGCACGTGTCAAGGCCTCTCTCGCTTCAGCTCTCATGTTCGTTTGTTGTCCTCTATCAGGAACTTGTCGTGGCGATTTCTTTGTCCGGTATGGATCAACGGTGCTCCCACTACCATTTGCTCTTCGAGATGAAACTCGCTTCGCAGTGCCTCCTTTTATGCCCCCTTTAGCATCCGTGCTGCTCGAAATCCTACCACTGCCTCTACCAGTTCCAAGGCTCGTAAAGTTACCACGGACGCGCTTCGAGAGCGGCTGATAGTAGGACTTCATCGTGGTGCCATCTGAAGCAACCTCGCGCACTAGGATTATGCGGTCACCACCTATTGCGCCGACCTCTTCGAAGGAACCCCTTAGCGGCGATGGCAAAGCTTCGCTCCGAGAAGCCCATTTCTCTTCGAGGGGATTGCGAAACTTCCTTCCGGAATCTTTCCCCGCCCGCGACTGTGGAGCAAAGGCCGTTGAGGAGGATGCTGATGCTGGTTCCGCAGTGTCGTTATAGCAATTTGTATGCTTACTACTGCTCGCTGGACTCCGAGGAGGAGAACCTGGAAAAGGAAACGGCCAAGGCGCCATCGTTACTGGTTTTCTCTGAGCCGTTCAAAAAAGTGAGCTGTGTCGAGCAGAAAGCCCATTTAATGTTTGAGTAAGAAAGGGGGAGACTCACGAACCTTGGTGTTGGTAATTCGAATCTAAATTAATGCTGTACTAGCAGCTGTCGCTGTGAGCTGCATAGTTGTTGAGGTCCACAACATATGCTAGACCTAGACTATCAATTTCCTCTTCTTGTTTTTATGATCTTCGAGGGAGCGAGTACAAATCCAATTTCAAATCGTACAGCATCAGCTTGTCCTCCATATGGTTAGGAAAAACTCAAACTGTCACCGCCTCATGGCAAATGACAAGCACGTGCACGCTTTCCGGGAATTATGGGGACAGTGATCTTCTACTTCGCATCGCGTCTTGGAGGTCTACCGACAGGTCAATAGGCAAACCGACTCCATCAACAAGCGCACGCAAGAGTAACCGAATGAGGTGAATACAGCTTCTTCCGCCATAGAAGCACAGTCACTCTCTCTGTGGCCACCGACACGGACAAGATGAAGTTCAAATTGTTTGTTGACGAATAATTCCAAATTTAGGTGCGGATGTGTTTTCACTGCTTTCACGATCGAACCGAAAACAGCGGACAGAGCTAACTCGAGATATGAATAGAGTGACCGACATCAAACCGGGGTGTTGCATGGCTGAGTATGAATGATTCGCACATGATGTAGGATTAGGAAAACCTATGCTCTCAAGACCTTGAACTTGTTTACTTATCTGGTCGCTTAGTGATCGGAGTACCAGTGGGACTAGAAAAGATCATACCACGAGGACACCAAGCACAAGCGTAACTTGTGCTGCACAAGAACAGAAACGAAATAGGCAGTGCCACGTCGTGTCAGCATGCAGCTTCGCGCTGCTGTTTCACTTACAAAGCGGACCGACAAGATCGATCGAAGACGCCCCATTCGACATTCATTTTCGTCAGATTTTGCATTTGCGTATCATCCTCCCAACATTGCAAGCTGCAGCGGAAAAATTAAGCTGTTCGGTGCTTATTTCCATCGCGTGACATTGATCCTCAAGGAGAATATGGGCGGTTCAAAACACGCCATCGCTCTTTGCACTTTCTGATACATTTAGGTAATTGCATGCAGACACCAATGTAGTTGCAGTCATCTATAGCCGCTGCTTCTAGAACGGAGAATGGGCGAGAATCGCCGATGACAAACTGCTCTCAATATCTAACGAAGCTACGACGTCCCAACTTCATCAGCGTCTTCGTAGCTGTGAAATTGCATTACTAGGCGGTCTTGCTGCGTCACGAGCTTGCGTTCTTCCTTGCGTTTTGCTCGTCGGTGTTCCTCATTAAGTTTTCTGATGAGGTCTTTCGTGTGGTTTACTATACGCTCTTCTTCGTCGTTAACGTCTAGCAACATATCCTCAAGGACACGAATACCATCTTCGTCACTATCTGCTTTCGCTTTTACTACAGCAATCTTCTCCCTCAGCGTTTTGATCATCTCAGCTTCAGAATTAATGGTGGGATGTAGCGTTACAGGGTGGCCTGTAGCGGTGAGTTGATGTGAGATGGTGTTGGAACTGCTGGAGGGTATCCCTTGCGGCAGTAGATTACGTGAGTATGGCCCTGCGCTAGAGCCTCCGCCAGCGTGCTTTATTGCTAGTCTGTTGCTCGGCTCATGCGCACTGGTATCTTTCTCGGAGACCAGGACCAGCTTGTCTTCTAACTCTGATACCTGCACTGGGGCGGTAGTTGCGCTTGCGGCTACACCATCATCTCTATTTGCCTCTCCCTGTTGCTTCGCCGCAACAGAAAAAGAAGATGCAAGCGGGGTCTTCGCAGGTGAGGACCAGGACTTGCCCAAAGAAAATAGCTGAGGCGCCCACAAGTCTTTCATGCGATTGGGTGACGGCAGTGGAGGGTCCTCTCGAGGTACTGGAAGAACATCATCGGTCTTTTCTTGATGCAAGTCCGGTGAAGATGAAGAAGCTATTCCAAGGCCGATGTTCAGCTGTATAGCAACATCATCAGTGGCAGCACTTTTCGTTTTCGCGTTCTCCGTGGCAGTGTTCGACATCATGAATGAAGTTCCTATCGCTAAGTTGTTGTCTCTATGTTGTTCCTGCTTCTCGTTCTCCCCGTCGATGTTACCATGTTTCTGATCCACCTCTTCAGGTTGTGTATCCTTCCCCCGAGTCGAACTCGATGATGGCGTGCTGTTTGTGTCGCTGAAGAACGCGGAATGTAGCGAGAGAGTTCTCCCGCCGGCCACACTGGCCGCAGAGGAAAAGACAGTGGATGAAGTGTCAAGCGCATCCTGATTACTTGCTGATCCAGTACTGCTACGATTACTGTCCCAACTCGAAGTTGCTAGGATTGACCATCCACCTTGCAGCGTGCTAGAATTCAGTATTCCAGCACCAGAATTCGCTGCCGGGAAGATGTTCGCTTGATGCAAAGCCGACAGACCTGGAATCAGCCGCGCAGGTGCACTCGCTCCTCCGGTTGTGCCGCTCCCAGCTTCGTTCCTGGCCGTCGTGGCATTATTTGTTGCCTGAGCCAGCCTTCCGGACAAAAGTGGAGTCTGCCAGGCAGGCGCATCATAGCTTTTCTTCCGCTCGCTCCAAATCAGCGATACGCCAACTCGCGCTGTTGCTTCTTGCCCATTCACGCCATGAGAGCGCAAACGATCGAAAAGTTCTAACTGCTCTTCCTCCCTGTTTCATATCATGTAGAAGAGGGATTGAATATGAAAGCATGCTTGATGAATCATAGTTCAACATGGCGCAATCATACATTCTACAACTACATATGTGCAAATCTAGATATAAACCTAGTATGTCAATCTGATTAGATTCCTTCGTTGTAGCGGCTCTGTATCAAATCTGCGAGTACTTGTCCGTTAACGGCGGAGGCGCTGCCTTCGGGTCAAGCGTTATTGCACTGACTAGCCGCCCCAGCTGTAGAGGAGCAAAGCCCGAAGCTCCCGGCATCAGCGACGTCGTGCCCAGAGACGGTCCTATGCTGGACGAAGGGTAGCTCTTGCTCGGATCTATAAAAGGGGCGAAAACGGTAACGGCTCGGTCGTCGGGTTGCTTGAATCCGGCCATTTCACAGAATTCGCGACGGCTCTTGGTTACGTGTTACCTTCGAAAGTCGTCAAGTGTCATGAGCAACTGGAATGCCTCTTGATGTTGTAGCCTTTTGCTATTTTTCTCTGAAGTAGGCCAGGAAGCGAGGACTTTCCGAATAACTGCGATTTTTCGTCAATTCGAATTCTACAATGGTACGTCGTCGTCGTACTATTCTTATTCATTAGATTTCAAATATGTAGAAGATTGATTGAAAACGAGGAAAAAGATACTACGTCGTTTTCGTAGCAAGATTGGTTTTCTCATATTATAATACTATATGGCATTTTTTTCGATCGGAATCATCCAAGCTCTTTATGCGGCGCATTGGCATTTATCAGGAAGGGAGGAGGATGATTAAGTACGTACATTCTGCCAGAACTTCAACGCCACAGGCACAGAGAGAAATCTAACTCCGACAGAATTAATTTCATGTGAGCGCCCTGTTGCCGAATAATTCGTTACGCAGTGAGAGTTTTTTCCGTTTTTTTCAGACTCAATAAGACCTTCCTTATCAGACTCAATAAGCACTTCCTTATTCATTCGGTCGCACTCACACTTGTTTGATTCGGGCTCAAGGCCTCCCTCACTTACTCACCTCTACTTCACTTTTCTAACACTAACTCCAATTTGACAGACAACTGGAATACTGGCGATTCATACGCATCAAACTCCGCCTTATCGACACCTTGTCACTCTTGATGCAGCGATATCAACGGACCACGTTCTTTTTTTCTGCAACGCAGAAACTGTGCGCTTTTTTACGCTTTTCAATTCTTGATGGGCGTCAGGTTGTTGATGGTATTAGATACGCATTGACGAATCAAAAGCTTGTCTGCATGTCAATAGGCGAGGAGGCGTGAATATGTCATTTTTGTGGGGTCATGATATATATGGTTTACTTGTCTTTAAATAATCGTGAACGCTAGTTTTTTCGTGATGCTAGTGCGCCAAAAAGATCAAGATGATGCGTTTCATTTATTCTATCCGCGGCTTCAATTCGCGCATTCTTCAGTGAATCACAGGCTTCATGGGTTGCGCTCTTATCGTTTTTAGGTCTATCTTGTCATCCATCTCTTCGTCCACCAGGCTGATCATCGCAATGGTGTCTCCTCGAATGACATACAATGGAAAGGGCATCTCTTCAGCTTCCTCGTTTTCGTGGTATATCCGTTCCACGCAATCTGTCAAAATCAGATTTGTGGCCTGATCGAAACCGGACAGAAAACCAATGAAGTACTTCCCATCGTTGCAGAGGACAGAGACCTTGGCCTCTGTAAACTCCTCGAGCAGAGCCATTTTTGGGATTCGCTTTACTAGTTGTAACTTGTCTCAGAGGTGGAAGAAATTTAAGTAAGTACGAGCAAATTAGTCTTATCAGCTTGTTCGTTCAACTACACGCAGCCTACTTCAGAATGACGTAAGATACTCGCTGAAGGAAAGTCCTGCATAGGTTGAATAGGCGAAGTAATCGATACGAGTAACAGTAAGCATAAGCAAGGCGGGATAAAATGATTCAGGATGGAAGCGAGGTCCTTCATTCCTGCATACGTGATTTTCATTCGCATGCAACGAGTCATCGTCAGAAATTGCAAGATTCGGAATTTTCAACCGCTTCAGAGGTTTCATATGCTGAGGGTGATCGCGATCCGAAAACTTTGTCATTCTTTCTAGCAATGATAATGACAAAACACGTGGAGTGAACTGGGAGGAGAGTTTGTTTCAGTTTCAGGGGATCATGGATCAATGTGATGGATCACAATGGATGCATCAAAACAAAATGAAATATGACATGCATTGGTACCAAGCCCAAATACTAATACGCCCGGTAGTTCTGGAAAAGAACGAGGCTGTGCTAGCGTAATGGTCAGACCTCTTCTTAGCGATGCTCTTCTATGGAAGTTCTTCTTCGAAGAATTCAGATTCTTCACAGTACCCGGCAAAGACAAAATGATTGAATATCAAATTCTTAATATTAGCACCGTCTCCGCAGTCGCAGTGCTGGTAGACATTCGTGTGTATCAGTATGACACCCATTCTTTGGCTTGTTAGTTTACTGTAGGTACAGAAGTACTCGTCATTCTCATTCAGATTTTGTTTCACCGCAAGCAGAACTTAATTGTTGTTTCTTTGAGTTTGAAGCGATATAGATCATAAGGTGTATGAACGGATGAGTAAGAAGAAAGACTTCGGGGGCTCGTTCGCGGGGTCTCTTTCAGCGCGCAAACCTGCTCAACATGCCATGTATTGGTTGTTGTAGCGCTATTTCGCAGCTATGCACATACTCATCCACAGGTACACAATTGGTTGTAATTGAGTCGTCAACACAACCACCCGCGGCGAAGGCTAGAACGTTTTTCGATGCATCACAGACCCACCCTCGTCGTCGTATTCTTCGCGCGATACCCACATGCTTTTGAACGTTGCGAGACTCGCTAGAATGCTTCCGCCAGTCCACGTCGAAAGGGTGCGGTTCGGCGGCGCAGATATTCGAATTTTACCTGTGGGAAGGATCATAACGCAATATTTCGAGATGCAAGCTACAAGAACGAACATCGTCGTCTTCATCCTCGGCCCTGTTGGTAGTAGACTAGCAGTTGTACTTGTAGTAGATGAAGTCATTTTCATTGGACGCTTGCACTTTGTTGATCTTCTTGATACAAAAGGGTAGACATTCAACCAGTAGTTGTACAATCTTTCGGCACAAGCTTCCGCATTTCGTTCAGTAGCCTATCACCGTAACCGGGAAACATAGTACTTCCTCCTGACAACACGATCTGTGAATACAACGTCTTCCGAAGATCCATGTCCGCGCGATCTGAGAAAGAACTCAACTAAGAGATTTAGATTTAGAAGGAAAAGAATGAGTCTTCGCAAATTGTTAAGAGGGGCCGTTTCTGATTGCGAGTAAAGAATATACAGAGCAATTTATAAGGTTCCACAGCTCGCACGGCATGGAGTGCATGGATCACATGGAGTAGCATGGAGCTAAAGGGGGAGCTTCTTGCGCCCCTTAAAGCTCTGCGCTCCATGCACTCCATGCTACTCCATGCACCATGCGTGCTATAAACTACTCTGGCAAGAATAGGGTTTAGAAGTTTCTAAGACAAAAAAAAGGTACTTATCGCATGCTGCAGGTGTTCGTGAACACCTGGATACTCGTAGCCTATGAGATTCGGCTGAAAGAGTAGCTCCGGTGCGCGGAATCTTTCCGCTCCTAAGCTGATAACCTGGCCATCAGGTAACCGATAAGTTCGTGGGACATTTTCCGGCGACGATGATTCCTCTTTGACTGGATTAAAGGCTACGTAGCACACTTGCTCCTTCATCTCCCGGACCTGAAGAAAGATATAGATACATGGGTCCCATTCGAAAGAAGTGTGAAGTGAAGCTCCTTTTCTACGAAACCCCGTCCACCCTCAGGAAAGCACAAAGTTTAAGTTAACAATGATACGATTTCCCTCTCTGCACTTGTATGGAAGACGTGGCCATGCCGCCTCAGCTGGAGCATCAAATTTTCTGTAACGTCCCTGCCGGCTACATCCATTCGCTGTATTGCGTGACCCAGCGCAAAGCCCTCGTAAACAGGAACTACATGCGAAACGCCATCGCCCGAGTCTAGTACAACACCAGTAGTGCGTCCTGATGCATACAGGGACAAAACAGCCTGAACTGAGACAAAAAGCGCTGGCACGTTGAAAGACTCGAATAGAACTTCGGCTGCCTTTTCTCGGTTCTTCACTGGATTGATGTTAGAAGGCCAGTTTTAGAGGTTTCCGATAGAGGTTCTTGCTCGTGCAAACCAACGAGGCTACCATAAACGGACCATCAACTATTTTGTATTTCGTTGTCTTTGTCGTTGAGTCATCAACCAATGGCCATAATCAAGGGCGCTTCCGTGAGCAGCACTGGATGTTCTTCTGGGCTGATTTTTAGTTCGTTGTGGAATACATGGTCCCATACTTGTTCCATTTGCAGCCAATCATTTACCACGCCGTGCCGTACTGGATAGCTACACGCTAGTAATCCGCGCAGCTGCTCAGCGCTTTCGCCAACGAAGAGATCACCCTCTGCGCCACCAGCCATTACTCTATCGTGTTTTGGTCGACCGACGTAATTCGCGAACACGCACTTTGGTCCTTCGTCCCCAGCGAAGCCCGCTTTCATCACGCCTGACCCATTGTCGATGACTACAGGCTGATTTGCAATCATGCCAAAGTCACCACCTCCAGGTGCGGCAGACATGGTTCTTGAGATTGCAGATGCAGATCTGTCTTGTACGTTTATTTAGGGTGCAGCGCGCGACGGGGCGTGTATTATGGCGAACGCCGCGGCCGAAAACAGTAACAGTCCTTGTTGTATTTGCTGCGTATCACTTCGTGTGCCGCAAAAAAAATAAGTGCCAGATTGAAGCGAGACGGATGTGAATCTTTTTGTCAATAACCAGCGCCGGCTCTGGTGTCGTTTTGCGTCAAGGCGATTATATTAAGCTTTGGCAGAGCAGCGTTTCCTCTGAAACATCATCAAAGCAAGACATCTCATTCTGTACGTACTACCGCTGAAGACGACCCAGCCTCTTCGCCGGACTCTGTACAGGCCTCCTTTTGGTGGCTCCAGGGGCGCCGTCATCTCCTCATTCTGATAGGGAAACCGTGCGCCAGCAGCAACCAGAGACACCAGGTCGACCAGACAGGGCTACATGGTGTCATGTTTTGTTCACAAAAGATCCAACAATATTCTTGTTATTAAAGGTCAAGGTGGTATTAATCCAAATCAAGTGCTTAGTAACAAGTCATGAATATGTATCGCTCGTTGATTGAAGCAAGTTCTTCCAGATAACAAGCTCACGAAAAAGTCTCATGGTTCATTTTCATGTGAAAGTGATCTGAAATTCTCATGACATCGATACTTGATGCGATTCCTTACATGCATGCTTGATGGACTAGACATGAACTCTACTGTTTATGATTACCAAGCCCGTATTTCTTTAGTTTCACCGTTACGTTTCTTTCATGATGTTGCTTGTTTTCGCACCTTGTATATCTTTCTGCGAAGATGGATGAGATGAGGATAACAAATAGAAATACTGTCGCATATTTGTTCGTTTAATTGTCCCTCAGCACAGATGCAGCATTACGGACCGAATTCGCTAAGGTTAGCTTCTCTTTTGTATCTACTTACCCTAAATACTATAGTTCTCGCCTAGGCAACATTTGCGACAATGCGAACACGCTGGATGCTGTGTGCAACCACCATCCAACCTCATGCGAGGATACTGCTGAGGATGTACCCGATTTTCATATCTATTCTACTTTCTGACCTTCTTTTTCAGATTGTAGAAACTTCGGTGGTGAATGCTGCAGAACGCACCGCGACCCCACTTCTAGTAAGATCATATTTAGATTTGTTGATTTCTCTTTTTTTGCATAAACACATGGGAATACTTGCGTGTCGAAATCGACGAGGAAAAGAAAGCTGAAAAGTCGGTATGCGAGAATCGCACAACAACAGCCTGTTCTGTTAAGGTACAACCAAAGACAGCCCGATTATGTATTCCCGAGTTTGTTTCCCTCGCCTTGGAAGGCGACGAAGCCTGTTTGTGGTGTTGTGGGGTTCGTGGCTGACGCAAGTGAAGCCATCGTCCCTGACCGGGTTTCTGGCGCTGGCGGATTATAGGTCGTATGTCCTTGAAGCCCACCTGGCAAGGCACCTGGAAAGAGGAGGACGAAGGAGGTGGAGACTTTAATTCACAGGAACCAAGAAGAAGAGGAACAGGCAGATCATAATTCAGCAACTTGGTCTGGAACATGTTCTTCATAAAAATTTGAAACATGAATGGTCCGATGAAGCTGACTCATTACCTACGACAGACATGTTGACGGACCCCAGAAAGCCATTAAATTTCCTACCAGTCGGCCCCGCCTCGCCTCGAAGATACTGCCATGCCTGATAGCCGAAATAGCAACCTATTGCTTGGGCCACGAGGCATACTAGATTGAATGGCTCCATTAGGTAGGGACTGAAGAGTCCGAAAAGAATGTTGAGAGCGCCTAGAAACATGACAGGCGTCAAACAGCTTAGGCCTCCGCCAGATGGTCCTGTTTGTGAGGGGTAGAGGAGATCCAGATGGAACATAAGAAACAGAAAGTCGTTATCATCGATATCTTCTTTGACTTTGGCTTGAGCTTGACGTTGACCTACTTGTTTGACACATATAAAAACATACGGCAGAATTTGAATTGCGTAGCTGCGATTATACCTGCACACGCTCCTATTGGCGTCCCTAAGAGGCACTTGTATGCCTTTCCCGTTATTTTGTCGTCCTTCATGAGGAATATGCCTGATAGGACATAGAAGAGCTCGTTAAATGGCATTGCCCCTTGCACGAGTTTTCCGACACTCCCTACGAAAACCGCAACTATAGTCCATTTTATCTTCTGCAGATGCCCTTGTATCGCCTCTGGTGGGTCGCCCGACATGGCGGCACCCATGCCAGCTGGCATAGGAATCACCATCTTCAGATAACTAGAAGTATATTCGAGACCCTTCTTCAACTAATCATGAGAATATCTTTTACTTTTTTTGTTCTGATCAAAAAAAGCGCTTTCGCATTCGCTTCCGCGGATCGATTTGTTCTTGGTTCTAAACCTCCATCTGCAAGCACGGAGAAAGAATGAAACGCAGATAGAGAAGATATAACGAAACTCGCTGCGGTACTACCTGACCTTGTTCTCCTTCTCCTCCGCCCCCACGCTCATGTAACTATTCATTGTAATACTTCAACCTACTTCAGTGGACGAGTTGAGGTTTTGTTGATTTTCTTGGGGAAATTTCCTGCTATTTTAGCCAAAAACGCCCACTAGACAAAATAAGTACATCTACGTAGAGCTAGTGTTAAATTGATGAAAAAAGCAAAAAACTAACTATACTCGTTGGTTAATACGGGGTCGAAGACCACGAAAAAGGCTCTTTCTTATTTTCTCCTGTTAGTTTCAAAGAAAAAGAAAAACTGCCGTTAAAAATATATTGTCCGTCTTGTATCAGTATCTCGACGTCGCAAACTTTTAGTTTCTGTAGACCTTTGCTTCCTCTATACACAAACTCGATGCTGGTCATAGATTTTTGTGCATACTGCATTTCGCTCTTTTTTGCGCAACTGTGATGAACACTAAATCCATTAATACACCTCATTCATATTGGTGCAAGTTGCTCTCTTGCCTTCAAAAAAGCGATCGTATATCTAGAATAGAGTCGCCGTTCTTGTGCTGCTATTGTATACCAGATGAACACACTCGCCGTTCTAACTGACACCACGATGAACCCCCTCAAAGTTTCTGAGTGGTAGCTGGGCGATCGGGCAGGAAGCTGCCGCATCAGACATTTTCTATACATCTTTTTCCTTGCCTTTCGCAGACAGCATATTGTCCAAACCTCGTTCTTCATCTCGTTCCGGTTTCATTCACAACACTAGAAAATTGATTGCGACGATGTACAGTCATTCCGAGACACTGTTTTCGATCAAATTAATGGTGGATACAAGAACGGCAGTGTCGCTCTTCAAAAATGTCTACTTTGCTCGTGTACGAGAAAGTGGGAGCGACATCACTGCCGAAACAAAGGGACAGACACGTATGGACCCATTACCACCAGAAAGATGATGCAACTCGACCGCAGATCGACATGGAACTATGTGATGCACAAACCAATCGAACCTGAAGATTCGCGTCTGCACGGGTCGCGGTCTACGCACGTCAAGATGTAGTTGATAAGCTGTGACTGGAAAACAAAGACGAAGTGGTCGTGGGTGATGCAATGAATTCAAATACTAGTGATGTGGTATTCTATGCTCACGACTGCATAGCAGGAAACGGAACCTCGATGGTCGCAATTGGTGTGTTTAACAGCGAATTACGTTCTTTCTGCACTAGGTGCTCGAAAAGCTTATGTGTTGTGTGGGGGCTGCATCGTATTCCATATGTGTACGTCGGGGAACGTCGTCAAGGTCTCGTCCACGCAAGAAGGAGCTAAAACAGGAAGAAAAAATGTCGTATATAATAATCATTATGCGCAAATAGAAATAGTATATATAAGTAGATAAAGATTTAGTAGTATTTGGGCAGCAGCACTACGAGCGCAGCGCAGATACCGGCGATGGAGGGGATTCCGAGGAAGTACAAGCGCTTGATAACTTTCCACGTTTGTTCATCGCTCATACGCGCTGGAAGTTCATATGTTCCGTCTGTTACGATGAACCTGATAATGCGTAAGGGGTTTGTTGTACTTGTATGTCACCGTGAGTATGAGAAAGAGAAGGAACAAAGAATGAGGATTCATCTTTGTTCATAAAAACTCAAGCCGCAATAATGCTGTTGTGGTCAGTACTACTACACGGATGTTTCTGATGAACGTGTTAACATTACGATTACCTGGTGTTAGAGAAAAATGAAAATCTTCAGGGCAGGCAATACTAGTAGTAATACCCAAAGAAGCGTTCCGGAAGCAGGATTATCTCACCTACAGCGCTGAGGAAATCATGAATAAATCCTCGAATGTCCAGCTCCTTCGGCCACATCTCTGGTATACTCCAGACCAAAGTCGCCAGTGTTGCCGATGGCGGTGCCTCCTGATATTCCGAAGCCGTGTCTGTGCTACCTATGGAGGTGTCTACCCTTCCGGAAGATGCTGTGCCTGATGAAGATGTTGATGACGCGGCACGACCAGTCGTTGATGACGCAGGAGCCCCAGTTTTTGACGCAGCGCCCGTTGGTGTGCCATCAGATTTTGGTGCCATGTTGCTCATGAGCATGTTCCATCCATGCGTCGCGGTTTCCGCGACAGATGCGGCAAAGATTCCCGTTGCTTCACGTAGCTGCGCGAAGAACGGCCTATTTCTGGAATCTGCGCTCCGCTTAATAGAGGAATTGGAAGAAGTGCTGCTTTCATCGCTACCATCAAACAGGTTCTCATCTTCATCATCAGTGTTTCGAAGCACGGAGCCTCCTTTGGGCTGTGCTCTGGACTCGCCGGTCTTAGTGAACTCAAAGCCCTCTCCGGAAGTAACTTCTCTACTGCTGACTTGCTGCTGCGCCGCTCGTGTAAGCGTCTCCAGACTATGCGACCCCGAGTACTGATACTTCTCCCCGTCGACGTCGACATACATCAAAGTGGGATAGCCCTGAAGAAGTTAAAGTTCAAAATGAAAGAATAAGGATGCAGCAATTACAGTTGCAGTTTCTGCTTGATGAATAATGTGTTGAAATTACAGTCATTATTAGAATTACCAATTAGTAGTCAATATCGGATCCGCTAGGGCTAGCATTAGTAAAAATAGTACTCGGATCCCAACTTTGGTGCAGACATCTCCATTCGTTGTACAGTCGACTTCGGCTATCCTTGTTTCGAGAGAATCTGATCGAAAGTTTGAACATGTGGTGGACCTGCAGTCGCGCTGATGTTTTTAATATTCTCAGCATGTAGAAGCCACGATTGATTTGAATACAAGGTCACCGTCTTTTAACAGAGTGAGACGAGGTCGATCTCGAGGCTAAGCCTTCTAATAGTAATTGTTATACTATCCTAGGATCATTCTATATTTTTAGATCGATGTAGTAGAAGTACCATCATGGTTGACATTCTGCGCCAGAGTTTCCCATGTGGATTTGATGCGCTTGCAATGTGTACACCACGGCGCGAAGAATTTGATAAAATAGCGGTGGCCACTGTTCATGTGGCTTTCAAAATTCCCGGCTTGAAGCGATATCACAGGATTGTTCAAACCATGTGACTGCGCGAAAGCGAACCGCCAGAAAGCGAGCACTTGCAGAACTATTACAAACAAACCTGTCCTCCTTTTTATCGAAGCCGCTGAAGGCGCATGCATAGCGGAAGGTCTCGGGAACAACAGGGAATCCCGACTTGTTCCACTGAAAAAAGAAGCTTTCATGCTCATCTTCATGTTCATGGTTCCCGGTGTTGTTGTACCCGTAGAGGTAGTCGTGCTATTGCTAGTCTTAGGTGGTGCACTCCTCCTAATCGTCTTACAGCCTTCCGAAGTGTACTCGCTTTCGTCTCCGGCCACTCTGTCCTTGGCGTAATCACCCAACGTGAATATCCTACCACTTTTCGTCTGGCGGTTGAATATATTGTCCTTGGATCGTCGGTACCCAGATGTCGCGTCCGAGTCGGACCCCTTTCCGAAAAGGAGCTGGAGGATACTTGTGTCACCGTTTGTGCTTAGCAGCACCGGATCCTTGGATAACATCCTCATCAACATCTTGAGTAGAAGTAGGTACCTTACTTCGCCTTCCAAACCCTGTCCCAGTGGATTGAAGGTATTGGGATCAGGACGGTGTAATCCTAGTTGACGTTGTTGAGGGCTTATCACTTACAGTAAATGTATATCTCAGGTATTGAAGATGTACTCACTCTGCGCGACGTCTCGGTATCTATGTCAGAAAAATGGGTTAAAGAAACTTTTCATCTACTTCTGCAGACGACCACAAGAAAAGAAATCCAGCAAACTGTGCAAAACATTTGATTACATGTTTGTAGTTTGTTCAGTTAGCTCGATGCAAAAAAACAAGATGAGAATGAGAGACACTAGCTACGGGATCAACGTTCCTTTTCCTAGGGCGTGCAAAGAGGGATACAACTACGGATCAATGGGTATTTGCGATAATTGCTAGGCCTGTACACAGGAAGTGAACATTAAAAAGGGGCTTCGTCATGGGGCAGCCTTTCTTAGTCTTTGTGTCGCGTGTCGCAACTTGTGTCGTCCCGGCATTTTCCATAAATAGTAAGTAACTTAAGTTGTTTATGCTTTATTTGGCATCGCATTTATGAAAGCAACATGAAAACATCCGTCAGAATTTCGAACACGATTAACAAACTCGTCCAACTCGAACTTACCTTAGTCTTGCAGAACATTGCTCTTCTCCTTTTCCTTTTGTCTCCATTTGAGTTTATTGCTTTCAACATGTGTGTTGACATGATTGCACTATATTATTAATATAATGGTTCGCTTATTTGTTTGTTTGTATTGATGCGCTCCGGGAAACGCTTACGACCCCGCCGGATTTCTTGGGGCTTCGTGTGTTTTGTGCTATGGTCGCCGCTGCGACTATGTTGCGTCTAGCCTTGTTGGTCGCGCGTTGCTTTCTCGTCGCCGCCAGCTAGGGCGCGCCGGGCTATGCAGCAGGCGGCGCACGTGGGTAGCGGCTGACGTGGGTAGCGGTGTCGCGTGGTCGAGCTGCCTGGTGGCCGTTCTTGCTTTCTCGGTCGCTTTCTGTCGGCGCGAGGCTTTCGGGGTGGGTCTGCTTGACGTTCGTACTTGCGTGCTTCGTTCGACTTTCTTCTTGCTTTGTGCTTTCGTCCTGTCTTCGTTCTCTTTGTCGCCACGCGTTTACTTGCCTCCCCCTTGTTCTGTCTTCGCCTCCACCTAGCTCGGCCCCGCCCTATCCTATCGTAGCAGGCAGCGATGGCTTTACCACAGCGGTCGCTACTCCTCTCCCTCTGTTTCGTTACTGGAGGCGTCAGACGTGGCGGCTGCGCTCGCTACTATAATTGTTCTTTTTGATTCCATCCAACATTTGCATTTGCATCTGATGTAGATGTTGAAACATCTACTAGGTAGTACATTTCCATTACTAGGAGGTAGGAGACACAGAAACAGAATAAAATGTGAGTTATGCGTATGTCAGTCTGCGACTATTTAACTTGAGTGGTTATCTCCTTGAGAGGGATCGTCAGTCTCTCGGCAGGTCCGCATTTTTTTGCTGAAACATGCGTCTAGAATAATTCACAATCACAGAGCTGCCAACGAAAAGCCTAGATGAGGGACCTGCCCAGCATTTTCAGTAGCTTCTCCCAGGACCAGCACGAACACGGGCGGAAGATCCACATTATCGTAATCAGCATCCCTTACTCGCGGTAATGCTGTAGCGCCTACGCAGGTCAAAGCCAGACGAGTGGTCTGTTCATACGATCCATATCCAATCCTGGATCGCAGGTAGAGGCTATGCCTGCGTCCTGGATGAGTAGGACGATGGTATTTGGGGATTTATGAAGAATGGCATTTCATTCTTCGTTTGTCTTTTTGTTCCAACGCCCCCGCTTCTTGTTTTGCTTCTCCGCGGAACCATTCATTGCACTATTTCCTCCACCAGGCGTTGAATGCTCCTTCATCCCGGAAAGAGACGTACCTGCTTCTCGAGTTTTTGCTCCACCTTTCTCGCCGAAGTGGCTTCTACGATGCGTCTCTCCTTCATTGCTAGTACTGCCAACATTGGACCCCGATGATGCAGCAGGAGCATCGGACCACTTCTTGCTGCGAACGGCCGCTTCTCGATCTCGTGACCCCTTGTTGGCTAACAGAGTTACTCTCATTTTCTCGTTCTGCTGGATTCTCTTTTGCTGCGCCTCACGGGCGTACCACTCGCAGTCCAGTGCGTCACTTCGCGAAACAGGCTGTATGATCGGAAATGGATAAGAGACTCCATACGTAAAAGAACCGAACCTCGGATTATCATCTTCTTTTGAAGCGGAGCCGCGTAGTGCCTGATCGGTCGTCTCGACGGTCGTGACATTTTCATTTGTTTCAATGGACAGTGCCAATGCTCGCGCCAAATCAGCGTCCTCATCGTCGTTTTGATGATGCGCCGTGCTGCTTGCTGAAGCAGTAGCAGGAAGGGTGCTAGACGCAGTTGTATTTTCTACAACACCTCCGGAAGAAGCAGTTTCGAAGGACAACGCGATTGCCTTGGCAAGATCTTCGTCTGCACTATTTCTATCGTCGTTGAGGCCGGGCGCTTGCCATTGCGCCCACGCTTGACCCTCTTCAGACTGTTCCCACTCCTCGAGGAGGAGATCTGCAGCGAGATCGACGTCCTCCCACACGCGCCACAACGCGATAGCGCAATCGCCTTCTGAATAAAGCCAGTCGGTTTTCTTTTGGAGTTTCTCAAGGTTGCTGCGCTTAACTTCAATTTTGTCTTTTCCGACGCCTACCGGTCGCAGGCCTCGCTTTATGCGCTCTTTGACTGGTTTCTTCCTTGGAGCATCTCTTCCTTTAACATTAGCTGCGTTTTTTGTCGAAGATGCAGCGGCGGTCTTTTTAGAAGATGTCGAGGCTTGCTCACCCGTTTTATTTGGGTTTCGACTTTCTCCTCGAAGAAGCTCCTTGTCCTTCAGAAACGGACCCGGCCTACCGGCACGATGAACTGTTTGCAGCTCCTGCGTTAACGTCGACGAGCTTTGAACTTGATTTGCATGTCGAGCACGTCGACCGCCCCACATGCCAGCCTCTGGGAGCCCCAGCCGCCACGGCTCCCGAATGACAATCGGTCCTTCTGGATGACCTTCGAGGGCGCTTAGCTCAGGTATCCAGCGTTGCATAAAAACAGACTCAGGATCGTGCTGCGTGCCCAAGATATGAACGACCTCCCTCACTCTACTGCTTTTTAACCAAATCCAGTACGAAGCAACTTCGTTAGTTAAGTATTTTTCGAATATTATTAGATTTGATTTTTAATGCAGAAGACAAGAACAAGTGACGTTACATACCAGATCAACAGCTCCATGGTCTGCAAAGTACCGTCTACACGGAGCGCCGCAGGAATGTTCCTCTTGATGTCCGCATAATCTTCGGAGTGACCGCGGCCTGCGACGGTGAGACATCGATACGTCCAATTAAACCAATTGGCGGTCGGTTCGTAATCGAGGAGTTTTGACTCGAACCATTCGGCTCCACATCTCCAGTCGATCCCTAGGTCGCCTGCAAGAAACCAGCCGGCGGTCTCGCGACCCATGTGATTGCAGTAGCCCGAATGGAGCAGTTCGCGCATGAAGCTATCGACGAAGGGCAATCCCGTAGTACCAGCAACCCAACGATGAAAGTCAGTCTTCGCGGCAACTATCTCCTTTCCACTGGGCTGATGAGCATCGGAGTTTTTCTCGTTGGTGTTCTTGCCGGAGAATGACGACGTCGAATTGGTCTGCGATTTCTTCTCTCGTATCTCATACGGAGTCCGCCAATCCCATCCGTTGGTTCCCTGCGAAACGATGATGTTCTGTGGACCACCGATCTTGAAGATGCTATCGCCGAAGTACATGCTGCCAAAACGAACGAAGTCTCGCCAGATGAGCTCGTGGATGATCCAACCTGTAGATTTGTTCTTTCTGCTGGGATACGCTTTCTCGTACCGCTTCACTTCCCAGTAGAGGTACCGAGGAGAAACGCACCCATGAGCGAGATAGGGAGAAATTTTGAACATCGCTCGAGGATGCGTTACTGATTTAGACGCATCCATTGTCATAGTGGCGCCAACGTAATCGATGGAGAGGGAGTGCGTGTCCCAAATGTAATCGCGCACTCGCCGAAGAGCTGCAGTCTCGCCACCTTTCCAATACATTTCGGCAGCGGCGTGCTTCTTCACTTCTTGATCTCCCTGTCCCACCATTCCGTTTCCTGCACTACCTGCATAATGAGGATCGCAGCAAGCAAGCACTAGGGTGTCGTCCGTTTCGTATGATAGCCGTTCCTCGCTGTAGTCTAATGTAGGCACATCGGAAAAGTGCGACAACAAGTCTCGCACCGAGGGCATGCGATGATGCTTCGAGATCGGATCGAAAACTCTCACTAAACTGTCGAGATATGTGGCTGAAGCATCGTGCTGTTCGTAGGAGGGGCAGAAGAATCCATCTGGAGCATAATCATGAAAGCTGGAGAAGGGAAGTTCCTCGCCGAACGCTTCTTTTCTATCTTCTCGAAGATCTCCTACCCCTCCTCTCGCTGGTGGAAAAAATTTTTCATCTTCGAGTGGTTTGCGCACCTGGCTGCCCTCCTCAACACGCTTCCGGAAAGCGGTGTATGAGTTGAAGGCTCCGCGAGGGTAGAATGGATCGAAGGTCAGATCGTCAAAATGATACAGCTCGAAGCCGTAAAAAAGATGAAACTTGTTTCTGCCGACGACTTTTTGGACTGAAGCTTGGATTTTCAGCTCTTCAGCACAGATTTCCTGGAACGCGTACACACCCTCGATGACAAACTCCTTCGACAGCTCCTCGAAAACACGCGCTGTCAAGGCCTGTGGTCCCCAACGGATGCGCAATCCTCGATGTCGTCCTCCGTTTGATCCGATGCTTTCGGTAGATCCTTCTGCCAAAGCGTGTGGAGAAGGAGACACCAAACGCAATCGTGCGTCTAGATCCTTCAGACTCTCGATTTGAAACCGACAGCGGTTCGGGCCGGTCTTTGGGAAACCACATAGTCGAGTTTTTCCATTCGTATAGAAGAAGGGGTCGAAGACGAAGAGATGAATGACGTGAATTACTACGGCGTTCTTGTTGAAGGCCTTGCTCGCGTGTGCGTGCGCCGCACGCAAAGCTGCATGGTCATGCACACGCAGATCCGTGCATTTGTACCAAACGATATTCACTCGAGTTTTTGACGACGACATTTTGTGTTGATCTATTACTTCTACGCACAATTATCTACTACTTCCTACGAAGACTACAACGACCGCAGGGCACTGTAGTGTATTGACAAAAAGACGCGGATCGCCATAGGAGTGTCAGCTTCCGGAAAGGTGGCCATAGGTATAGGCAGTGGCAGAAGTCAAATATGATATAGCATAGACACTCGTCTCGTCATCGTCTTCTAGGTCTACGAATTATCTACCGTCTTCTCGCGGGCAAGAAGTTGATTGGCAACAACAGATTCAAGAATTTCTTGTTCTTCTATTTCGTCTCAAGGTGACTTTGATCTACTTAACCTTGATCTTAGTTCGTTTGTTAGCTGAAGAACACCGGAAACTTTGGAAGTCATATTCCGAATACTCGTCAACAGCAACATCCCACCACAGCTAGGCGTGCTATTGTACCAGTTGTAGGAACAGCAGCTGTAAAGACCCCCAAACTGAAAGGATAGCGTGATGTAAAAAATCTTTACAGAGGAACGCAAAAAATGACATGGTGCACCCGACACCGAAATTCCAGTCTTGAGATTTTTAGGAGGAAGACGGTATTCTTTTTCATTCAATTTTCCGTTTCTTTGTGCCGTCGCAGGTGAAGGGATTGTCGCCGTTCGTCGGTGTGGGTTTCACATCGGCCGTGCCAGATTGATCATTCGTTTTGTCAGTCACGTCGACATCGTCACTAATGTAACCTTGAGGTTCCTCGTCGTGCTCCTCCTCGTTGTTATTGCCATGATTTTCCTCCTGTTCCTCGCCATCACTCTCACGATGCCTTTTTCTGCTACTGGCGGTGGCGCTGTTTTGGTGGTCTTTTTTATCATCTCCTTCTGGAACATTCTCAGGTATATCATCTATGATGTCGGCCACTGCTTTGGCATTATGCTCCTCGCGGCGCTCAATGTCCTCTTTGCTCTCAGGCCGCGGAATCGGGATATCCTCGCCTGGAGGCCTCGGGTCTACCTTGTCAACGAAGTGTTTTTCCGACACCACGATTTTGGGTAGCATCTCCTGCAGTCCCTCGCTCAGATAGTCCCGCTTCATTTTCTCACCTCTCTGCTCCTCGAAATGCGCTCGCGCGCTCTCGATGTCCTTGAAGATGCCAAATCGGAGCAAGTAGGCCATCACGAAGAACGCAGTGCGGTTCACGCCGTGTGTACAGTGGATGGCCACATACTTGTCAGGGTGTTTCTTCAGAGCATCGTGGATTTCGTACAAAACCCGGTTGACCAAACTGAGTGCCGGCACTTTTCGTCCTTCGACAGGTATGTGTTTCTGTTCGACCTCGCCAAACCCAAGCTCCGCATATTGAGCGGCGTCCCAAGTGTAGAACCTGGAGTAGAGATAGGAATTGATGCTTCAACAATGACGCTACGTGGTGTGTAGTTGTAATCTTGGAATAAAGGTTTTAAGTAGTTCTAAGTCGTTTTGGAGGACACTGTCACACGGAATCATGATGGAGGAATAAGATGAAAAGAACTAGGATGTTAATGGTAGGAAAATCCGATGTAATCTAAGTACTTCCCGGTGAACGCGAGGTTGATGATCAGAGAAACTTCTCTTCCTGCGTTTCTCTGCACTTGGAGGAAATCCTTGAGATAAAAACGGTCTTTTTCGCCGATAGCGCTGTCAAATTTTGGGTCGCAGGGTGTTTTCAGAGGGAGAAAGAAGCCGCCTACTGGTTTTCCGTACTTCGAATAGGGTAGCCAGTCTGTAATCCAGCTGCCGCCTCCGCCTGATGATCCATAGTTGTTCCAGGAGCCACCTCCTCCGCTGTTGTTCCCAAACCAGAAAGAGGAATTCCCGGCACCTCCTCCACCGTAGCCTTGGTTGTAGTAGTTGTTCCGTCTGTGGCCGGAAGAGCCACCATTTTGCCACGATCTCCACGACGAGTTGGAATTCCACGAAGACCATCGATTATTGCCATACCAGTCATTGTTCCAAGACGACCAATTCTGATTGCCGCCTCCACCCCAGTAAGGGGAATTCTTGGTGGTATTCTTAGCGCTAAAAGAAGACGAGCTTCCAGTTTCACCGGGTCCTTCTCCACCATTTCGATTACCAGAGCTTTCTCTGCCCCCATTGTTCCAATCAGTTCTCTGGGACTGGCTCCGCCGCCTATAGTCGTTGTTCCATGATGATGAAGAAGTAGACCCTGCGCCACCACTTGCTGTGGTGGACGAGGAAGACGCTGAGACGCTCTTATCTAGGCCCTGGCGTCCGCGACTACGAGAACGATGTCTCTGCCCTGGCCCACCAGAAGGGCCGCCATTTTTTCGTCCGTCCATGCTGCGCGTAATATCTGCAAGATGTGCTCGTGCGTGCGACGGCGGCGCGAATGATTTGGCGCGAACGGCGGCGCGTCTCAACAGCGTACACATACAGTTACTTACTTACTCCGATATTTGAGTCAAAGAAGAGACACCATCTATGATAAACTCCCCCTACCTGCCATTATTTGTTCGTGACGTTTTGGATCATTTCGTTTTTGTTCTTGTCCTGTAACTCGAGTATATTCTCGTCTTCTGCTCTGTCATCTATCAGAATCACTTTGTGTTTGCGATATTAACAACAGTCCGAAACTAGTTCTAGTGCTGAGCCTGAACCTGGAACTGAACGTCTGCAAAAATAACAAATTTCGATTGAGTCTAGACGGGGTGATGCAAGGTGAGCATAATCACGACATCAAACGGCATACGCCATGTTCTCGAAATCTACATTATCTATGACCAGAAACACAAACCCCTCAGCGTTCTCAGAAGTTGGGAGAGACAGGAACAGGAAGCACAAATTGAATAAGTAACGCCAGATGCAGATTAGGAGTGGGTTGGAAACTGCATGGGTATCATCGTTGGGAACCGGGAGCAAAATCAAAGATCTCTGACTATTTTCAGAAATTCGTTTTCTCTTTTAATCTGCTGGATCTCGTCTTAGCGATTGATCTTCTGCTGGAGTGTGAAACGACGAAACTCGATCTTTGATATTGATGTAGATGTCATAAACGTGGATCCTGACGAGGAACACTAATTTATTGTCCATGCATTGGCATTGAACATTGATCAAGACAAAATTATCATACGCTCAGGCATCATAAAATTGGTAGTAGAATCAAGTGCGCGCGCGATCCCGGGATCTGAAAAAATCCAATCTATCATTTCCTTGAAATTGATCCGCAAGTAACTTGTACTCGCTTTCACTCTACGCAAATATTCGTTCAATCTGCTGCTCAAGTCATCTCCTTTGCTTTCCCGCGCTTTTGAAGATATTCGAGTACGGCAGTTGGATGTACAAGGTCACCTTTGGCATAGTATCGTTCGATCCGAGCTATCTCTCCGCCTAACAACGCCATACGGGTCCCTTCTGCGATACCTTGACTGTGCACCACACGCCCATTCCAATCGGTATTTTCTCCCGGATAGGCAAAGACATTGACCGCTTCTGTTAAATTTCGTTTGACGATGACGGAAATCGTCGTTACAAACGCACGGAGCAGATGAATCGTCGGGGCGACAATCACTAGATTGATTTTCTCAACAACTTGTGCGGTGCCTTCTTGAGTGTCGGTTCCTGCTATTTCTGTTTCACGCTTGCCGATATAACCAGGAGAACTCTTCGCCGTGTGTTCGAGCAGCCACTCTTCTCGCCATGCTCTCACAGCTGATGCTGAAGCGTCGGGTTCCAACCGGCGATAGATTCGTTTCTCGTTTATGTCAATGTCTTCTCGTTGCAGCTGTATTGCTTCAGTACGCGGCTCCGTTTCGGTAGTCGTACATGAAGAAGAATCCACAGCCGATTCCGATGCCGATATGGAACTACATCTGTGCTTGCCATTTTTTCGCAGTTTCTCCCATATTTGCATCGTCGAGAGTAACTCCTCAGCTTCAATCAAGGTGTGCGTTATGTTATCCGCGCGGCAGTGGAATGGTAAGGGGAGGATAGGCGGCTTCCAAAATACTCTTGTAGCTTCCGGATCTGTGTTCGTTTCCTTATCTTCTGGTGTTGATATGGCACTAAACTCAGCTTCGAGGTTTCTCTTGGTCTTTGAGTATCCATGAAAAACTGTCACCGTGGTACCCGTTTCTGGGTTTTCCCGCGTCCCGCCACACTCTTGCTCCAGACCATATAGAAACAGGGGCGGCGGTGGGGGCGGAATGGAAACTTGTTGTTGTTTTGCTTTCCTTCTTGTAGAATGCAGTTCCGAGAAGAACCGGGCTGCTCCTCGAAGATTAGGAGGTTCGTTATCGGGAGTCTCAGTGTACATGTACACCAAATCAATCTGTACAGGTGGGTTGCGGGATTGCACAGAGCTCGACCTCGTATCGAACCCCGTAAGAGAAATATCGGAAAAAGTATGCACTGCAATCCGCACTAATGCGCGATACGCGGCCGCGTCCAACATCTTCGATTGGGATTGATAGAAGTGGATGTTCCACCACTAAATTGAAAACTCCAGACAATTCTGCTGCTAGTGCAACTGCTGCAGCTGCTGGCTATCTCATCCGAATTCCAAGATCACAATTGGAGTGAACAGTTCTCGTAGGTAATCACGATCTAGCTATTCCTCTCGTGCTGTAGAGGTAAACTTCTATTCTTCTCTTACAAAAGTCCAACTCTGCGAACAGTGGCCGGCACAGACGGAAAAGAAATCCGTCCTGCTACGCCTTGACCTCCACCAACTTTAGAAGTCTATTGTAAACTTCCAAGGGGATAATTCGAATGCTGTTCGTGAGGTTCGTTGTTTACAATATTAAAAACAAATGACAGAAAGATAAGTCTAAATTGAGGTTCTCTCGTAATGACAGTTGAGGTTGTACATCAATCACTGTGCGAACGTTCGTGAACTGGAATTTGTACTTGTTCTTGTTGTTTGGAGAGTGTAATCGTGTGAATATAGGCGGACTCCCGATCGTTGGATACGACTTGTGCTTCTATATGACACAAGAAAAAGCACTAGTTCTAGAAGTTTGTAAATTCGATAGATGCCACAACTAGGCGAGTGCCCTGGGTTGAGGCAAGCTGATGGCGCCGCTCAAGGGGCCGCAGCTCTTTGGAATGCCTCGCGCGTTTTTGGCGCCTGATATCGGTGCCCGCGCTCCTGCCTTTCTGTGCCACCTGGTGGCACTGTGGCGCTAGCTTCCTGGAATACGCTGGCGGTGTCAAGCTGGCCACCCTGCTCGTGTGGGGATTCGCTGCGATGCAGATAAGCGGCGACGGCGTGGCCTCGTTAGTTACGCCTTGCGCGCAAGGCTCTACTCATGACGACGCAACGCCCTGGCGAGGCCAAGGCTCGCCTTGGCGCTGTCTGGACTGGGGTCCCGACGTCGTCTGGCGGGTTGCAAAAGGCGCCACTTCGTGACACCTTTCGCAAACGCAACCCATTAGAACACTTTTTTTTTCGATCAAAAATGTCCCGATTCTAGTGCTGCTTGTGGTGAGCCTAAATTGTTAGAGCATTTTTTTCTAGTCCTGCTAGAAAAAAGTGTCCTTTTTTTTAGGCTCGCGCGCATTAGAGTCGGGAGCTTTGAGGCGTCGAAGAGAAAAGTTCTAACGCGCTTGAAAGTGGCACCTTTTCGCGTCATTTTCAAACCCATTAGAACACTTTTCCCCCCCTTGAGAAATGCTAGAACATTTCAAAGTAATGCCTAAGGTTCCGCCGCCTTTTAATGCAGCTAGGGAGTGGGCCAGCGATCTCCCAGGGGAAGCCTAGGGCCCACAGCGGTCGGCTGGCCCCTGCTCTCCCGCGCCATTTCTGACGCTGGTGCTGCACTGAAAAGGCAGACGGGCAGGCGGCTCCTGCTCTTGCTGGGGGAAAGGCGTGGACAGGGTGAACGCTTGGCCGTCTTCCCCAGAGTGGCCATCGACCGACCCCGCTAAAGAGCCACGCAGTTCCCCGATAGGGGCACACGCAATCGATGCGGCGTCTACGTATTTTACAAAAAATTAGGACTAGTACTTTTCTATATTTCATATTCTACTTTGTGAATGTAGTGGATCTGAGAGAATAGTAATCTGTGTTGTTTCACAACCTAGTCCTTATACACCCACCAAACAGCATCAGGCCCTAGCCACAGCTTGAGATTTTCCTTCACCACGAAATCCAAAACTGCTACCACGACGCCAAACCACTGCATGTCGAAGTCATGCCCGGCGAGAACGCCCCCCGACCTGACACGAGGCCACCACGCGAGGACATCCCGCTTAACGCCCTCATAGCTGTGATCTCCATCGAGGAAAATGAGATGGAACTTCTTCTCTAGGAAAATAGAACAAGAACTACCAGGAAGCGAAGTAGAAGAAGCGGATAGTGCAACTCCTCCGGCAGCCGTAACATCTGCTGCAGCAGTTCCGTGGTCATGATAGTGTCCAGACTTTTTTGATTTAGCGCGTGAGGAAGCTGGCCTTCTTTTCGGTTGCTGTCCTTGGAGATGGTTCCCAACACTTGGTGTTGATGTAGGTGCTGGCACATCAGAAGCCAACTCCTGGGTCGCTCCACTTCGTCCAGCAAAAAGTGCTTCGACTTTGTTAAAGAACTGCTTTCTGATGCGAGTTTCCGAGACCTTCGCACTGTCCCCCTTAATGAAGCTCGCACGTCCAGGATAACGCTGAAAAATCTCTGCGCCAGTAGAATCAATCCAAAAAATGTCGACTATTAAGCTGTAAATCCAAGGGAAAACTCCCATGAGGTACCTTGGCGTGTCTCCATGTCGGGTACCGATTTCCGCGAAGAAGAAAGGAGGAGGAGCATCATCATCAGCTGCATCCTGTGCTGTTGTAACACCACGACCACGCTTCTTCCTCTCTTCGACCCTTCTGATGTGCAAAACAATGTAATGCAGCACGTGAAATCTGCTATTCGCTGCAAAACTCTCTGGAGACTTGGCTTCGCCCCTTATCCAAAGGGGAGTCGACGAGAAACTAGTAGATCTTTCTTCGTCTTCAAAAGCAGCGCTTTCTTGTTCTCCCATCTCCACTAGTCCCGGAAAGTCGTGCACGAATTCGTAGTCCACTCTGGGCAGTCCCAGCAGCCTCCGCGCCATTTTCGAATGCGAATGGTTCTTATTGAGATAGACATCGATTTCTCGTGCGAAGAGTTCATCGCGGAAGCAGTGTGCATGGTTTTCGCCTGCATCTTCCCATCGAGTGACTTGTTTCTGCTTGACGAAGCGTAAACTCTCGTCTGTCCGCCCTCCAGAAATCAAGCTCCTGACAGACGCGATCGACTCGTGCAGATACTGGACTGACTGCGCTGCACGAACCATACTCTTGTAGACGTCGCGTGTGCAAGTGACTGTGTAGCCGATCTTCGCGTGGTGCACCTCAATCTCCATGTCGTAGTTGTTTTGAAGGGTATGCTCCACATTCTCGGCGGCGATCGTAGACGCGTAAAGACGATAATACCCATCAAAGCCGTGCATGAAACGGTCGAAGGCAGAGAACACGTCTGGAATCAACACCTTCATTGAATTTTCGCGATAGCCGAGGATACCTGAAACTGCATCACCTTCTTCAAAAACTGGTAAGCAGGTCTGCGAATCATACTTTTGCCTATCTTCCGCACCTGAAGCTGAGGCATTATTCTCCCCTCTAGCAGCTTTCCGAGAAGTTCCAGCTATCCTCCCTGCTTCAGCGTCGCTAAGCCGGTGCAAGCTCGGAAAATCATCGGCCCAAAACATTTCGTCGAGTACAGCCCGAAAAACGCGCACCACAGGTCGAATGATACGCTCCACAAAGCCACTGCCTCGTACCATATGTGATTGAAACAGATCAGCGCTGTTCTTAAGACGAAGCTTCATGCTAGTCTGAAAGATTTCAGGATGATGCACAAAAAGCGCATGCGACGCCACCCATTCCCCGGTGTCGCGATCTTGCTCCGAAAACTCCGCAGGGTCGTAGTTATCTCCATTCATCTTGATCACTGCGTACTGCGACGTAAACATTTTTCCTCGACTTTGAAGACCTGTATCTGCCTCAGCATCATTGAAAGCGAAAAACTCTGCAGATTCTGTGTCGTTCTGCAAGCCTGGTGCTTCATCATCATGTTTCCGACCCTCTTTTTCCCTGACGAGATTGATCTGACCCATAGCGCTATTGATATCGGCTTCGACAATCGAAACTCTGCTAATGCTATCATCTTCATCGCTACTTTCTAAAATCCGAAAACGCGGAATTGTTCGCTCATGATGCGGATAGGCGGAAAGAAGGTGGGGATACTCTTTTTTGAGACGTTCGACTCGAGCCGTGCGGGACCGGTGAAAGGAAGTCTCATCGTCTGTCTTCGTAGCCTCGTCTGGATCTGGGAAAGCATCCAGTATTTGTTTGACTTGTTGTAGCTCTTTGCGGTAAACGCGTTTTGCCCATGTCAAGTCTCCGGAAAGCTTGTGCGCCAAGTTCGTAAAGTTGAAAGGCACAAGAGCGCGATCTCCTGGAATCGACGAATCCTCATTGATATCGACAGGACTTAACTTAGCCGTGTTTTCTCGTTTCTCCAGTGCTTCTTCTCGACGAGCAGCTGCGCGTGGCCCTAGCTTTGGAACAACAGGAAAGTACCGGAGGTTGTGGCCCTTTGTAAAGAGGTTACTCACGTATTTGATGTCCTCAAATTTACGTTTCAGTATTCCACAGTGGTAAGCCAAGATCTCGTAGGCAAAAGCGGTCTCATTTTCGGCAGAAACAAGAGGCTCTTGTCTTCCAGACTTAGCTTCGCCAGGTTCTCCATTCTCCGTCTTTTCAACGGAAGCATCCCCTTGAAAAGAGAAGTCTTGTTCTTCAACGTTGTTCACGATCTCTGAGTCTGACATATTGATATTGTCATCTTGCAAGGCTTCTGCATTCTTGTTTTCCCGATAGCTTTCGTCCACTAGTTTCTGGTTTTCCGCCTGATCCTTATCCCGTCTTCCCTTTTGACGCGTCTCCATGAATGGCCTCGTCCTGGTGATAAACTCTAGCGTCACTTTTTGCCAGTGGCTCATAAGAATTGACAACGCTCTAGAATCGAGTCGAAAAGCCTTCGCCGGGAGTGGATCTCGCGAGCCGTACTGCATATAGTCAAAATCAGCTTCCGCTATGTGTTGCGCTTGGAATCTAGTCTCTGCCCACGTTGGCTCAAACGGGTCTCGGTGGTAGGTCTCAACGGGCAGAGGTGCTGCTTCGTGAAGCAGCAATAGCTGCATCGATTGAGCCACTAGTGTCAGCAAAGTCGGATCAGTGATCCTTCTGGTCATCGTCCTAGACTTCTCACTTCTTGTTCTTGCTTTGTCAGAACTAGAAGAAGAAGCTACTACAACAGCCTCTTTCGATGGAGGCATTAAGACTGATGACATTCTTGCGTCAACATCCCGCACGCCGCCGTCGTCACTCATGGCATTCGTAGATGAATCAAAAGCCCGCTCCGTCAAATATCGCCTTATGGTGTCCAGAGAGAGTCGCGCACGTCCCGGCTCGCCAAAATCCCTCACAATCATGCGAGCTTCCTCTGCAATGCGGCTACGCCTGGAAATTGATTCAAAAGGAAGCAAAAAATCGCTAATATTATGTGTAGTTAGTTCTATTTTTGGAGAAAACAAAGAATGCAAAGCAAAAAATTATCAAACCTTTATGCTAATTTGTGCTAGGATTAGGATAAATAAATTTCCAAAATCTGATCAGTAAGTATAACTATAAGTAAGCAAGATGATTAGTACCACGAAATTCTAACCTTATCGTCCTGGTGGGGTCCTGCGTTGGGTCGTTCGCCGTCCTATAGGACCACCAAAATTTTTCAGCAGAAGGTAGTCCCTTCGCGATTTTCTTCTGGAGGCTTGTGGCGGCAGCTTCTTCTTCCTCCTCCTCATGAAATACGTAGATATTTTTTCTAGCAGCTCCTGGAACATTTTCTTTTTCATTGCTCCTCTCGAGCGGTCTGCCGTCCTCAGAAGTGCTGCTCACGAGTGCAAAGTGCTCGACCGCTCCAAAGTGCCGAAACAGATAGTTTAGGATAAAGCAGTAGTGTCGAAGATTGAAATGCAGCATGCCAAGGGCATTTCCCAATCTACGGAAGAGCTTTCTCAGACTTTGTGCCGGTGGAGAAACACGCACCCAAGCTGGCCGGAGGAAGACACTCGCACATTGCTCATACGCACTATCCTCGTCGATCTGGATAGAGTCTTCTACTTCGGCCTCGACATCGACGACCCCTTCATCTGATGTACTTCTAGTAGTGCCTGCTTTCCTTTCATTCTTGCGTCCAATCATGAACTTTCGATCACAATTCCCCGACGACGGCAGTGAGCGCGCATAGCTGTCTAGCCAGTTGATGCGGATGCTGTTCGTCATGACATTCTCCAACTCGGTACTTCGGGCATAGGTGCAATCATACAGCGGAAAATACTCCGCGGGTCCAGACGCCCACAACGCCGAGCCTTCCCACGCGCTGCGATCCACGACACTCGTCACGAAGTTATAGAAGTCAGACAGCTCTTGATCGATCACCTTTTGCGCAGAGGACTCCTCTCCTGAGGTTGCGGTCTCAGCTGAAACGGTAACGCAAAGTGACGACAAGGACGAGTAGAGCACGATCACCAGCTGCAATGCATTCAATACCAGACGCGCACGACCAGACCGACTTGATCGAGATGGCAGGAATTTGAATTTTAGTTTTCGCATTCTTTGAGGCATTCGTGGACGACGTAATGACCGCCTGCTACCTTCGCCGCGTGCGCCAATGTTATTACCGCACCATGGAACCGCTGACGTGCGTCTAACGCGCTCGGGCACAAAGTAGTCCTGTGGCGGAATCGTCGCTGATGACGTTTTGGATCCCGCCATCATGCGGCAATTCTGTCTTCATTATGTGCCTACTTCTGTGACTTTCTAGGACGTCTCCAGGCGGACTCAGAACGATTAACACGCACATGATGAAAATGTTGGGTGGAAGTATCTAGTATTCGCACTCTTCGTACTCCGTTTCATCTACAGGTCCTCTACGACCTTCGTTCATAATGAATGTAGTATATCTCGTATCACACATGCGTCTTATCTCGCACCAGACAAGTGGATCGAATCAAGCAACACAACAGCGCGACTCGAACTCAACACGTAATTGTCGCTCGTTCTCCTCTCCCAGTTTTTTCTGATATCCTAGGCGGAAACCTTTGTGATGAACACCAACACCCTATGGTGCACTGTACTATTTCTTTGGCTGGGAAGGGCGTCGTTCGTCGACCGGCACTAAGCGATTTTGCCATCATAATCTTATGTCATCAGCACTCGGCGATCTTAACCTTATCTGACTCAGTTGCCAGCTCAGACCATTTTCATCCGCCTACAACTCTTTTCACACTAGTTTGTTTTTCAATTTTGAAAAGTTGTGCCTCTTTTTTCAGACACTATCCTCAGGTTTTTCTGATTACATAAATACCAAGTTCAGATTCTTTGTCCTGCGCGTTGCGTTGATTTGCGTGGTTATCGAGCTATTTTTTCGCATGTGCATTGTTCTGGTGTTCATTAATTTCTATTTTACAACAAGCTCTGGTTCTGGTAGTGTGTTGTTCGCTGAAATTTGTGAGTGTTCGTTCGTAGGTCCCTGGAATCAAATATGCGTAATAATCAATAGTTGTTTTTCAACGTCAGTCCCTGAGGCAAATAATTAGTTACATAGATCATCTGTAGCTGTACAGCAACAGATTTTCAATATCCCTGAATCAATCAAAAGTCAAACACGAAGAAAGAAAGTAGAGCCGTTGATTTCGCGCAATAGCTGGTAGTTCTTTGTAAGCATTGTATATTCATTAGTTGTAAGTAAGTAAGTCAAACCCTGATCAAAATGTACAACTAAACCTTGTTCCAATGTTCAATCATCTATAAATCTAGTGCGGCTGCAGCTCAGCGTCGCAGCCTCTGGTGTCAGGCATGTCTTCATTCTAGTAAAGCAGCGATGGTTGGACTGGCACCTCCGAGACTGCTTCAACCGCACTGTAGTATGACTATTCCCCGTAGATCTAGTAGACTTGCGTCTTCAGCAGTTGATGTAGCAAGTAGTGGCCTTGCGTGTAGATTCTATTTTCAGTGCAATTCGTCTTGTTTGATGGTGTTGAGTCATTTCTTGTAAAATTGAAGACGCAGTCCTTGTCAGTACATGTACAGTAAATTGATGTGCTTTTTCAATCCTCCTTGTCGTGGTGGTGATGTTGAAGGCGATCAGAGACTATCGTCTTAGTACGTCCTTACTCCTTCGTAAAAAAGATGCATTTCGCGCAGTCCGACTCTCCTCACCAGTCTAGATGCACTACCAATATCTTCTCTATAGCAGTACTACTAGTATTCGCGTAGACCTTCTCTGTAGTACTAGTACTTCTTCCCTTCACACCACTATAACGATAACCAGTAGACCAAAATATATTTAGTCTTTGTAGTCGAGCTTCCACTTGGCCAGGCGTCCTAGTGCCGAAGCCTTCAGTTCTCCTGCACTGACACTGGTGAAGCCCAGTGGCTTGGCGTCTGCGCTTGCGGCGCCCTTCTGGAGGCCGTGCCCCTTACCACCTAGCGCAACTAATCGATCCATCAATTGGAAGTGATCGTTATTCTCAGCGTGTGCCACCGCGGTGTACCTGGGTCAGAATGACGGAGAAAGAACTTCTACAGCTGGTCTCAGTCTCTTTCGTAGTTATGTAGCAACATCATGATGATCCACAGAGACCTTTAAGCTGAGTTTTTAGGAAAAAGTAGTTCGCTATTGCTATAATAGGTTGATGGTACTCTTTTGCGTCTCTTGCGTTGAGGTCTGCTGCGAGCTCGAGGAGTAGCATGCATACTTCGCTGTGGCCACCGATTGCTGCGAAGTGCAGTGGGGTTCTACCCACTCGGTCCTGGAGATTGACATCCGCTCCCCACTCTACCAGCCTGCAAACTGCATCGACGTCGTTGTTTGCTGTTGCTACCTGCGCCGTGTTTGTTGGAAAGACTCGTGACGTTGAAGGTATTTTTCCTCAATACAGTTCATGCAAGAATCTGTAACCCATGCTGCCGCTCTATGTTGTTGTTGACCTCTTTCGAACTCTCAAATATCGAATATCTGTCATGAAAAAATCTAGGTCAATAGTACGTGCATCGCTGTGCAGCCGTTGTTGTCTGCTGAATTTACGCTAACCCCGTAGAGATGCAAGAACTCCATGATATCGTACCTGATAGGGGTGAGTTCAGTAGCACGATAAGAAAAAAAATTTCAGAAGGAGAGCGAGAGGTGAAGACCTAGTGTTTCTTGAGTCATCACAAGTTCCAGTAACGGTAAGCGGGTTGTAATGAAATATTGGTCAAAAGGAATAAACAGATAATCAATGCAAAACATAGCAAACGCAAAGTCTAGGCAATACCTCTTGTTCTTTGTCGAAATTGTAAATGGGATATCGCCAGATAGACTTTTCTGATTGAGGTTCGCGCCTCTCCTGTAGCACAACTTCGCTAGTGCCAAATTACCCGTGTGGCACGCATGCTCGAGGAGCGTCCTCTCCGTCTCTATATCCCGCGCATCAATAGACGTTGAATCCAGCATGCGTTCGAGCATATTCATCAGAATAGTACCTGTTTGATAGGTCGTTGATGCGGTCTCATACTTGAGAAGAGAGAGAAGCAGGTTCTCACGAGGAGATGAAAAGATGAGAATTTCGATTTTCAGTCACCTTCGCATCTACATGATGTACATCATCTAGCTGTTTCGTATAAGAACTTACCCAGAGTAGTACGACAGTATATATAATGTTTTTTAGTAAAAAGCAAAGTATCTTCTATCAAAAAAAAAATGTGGCTAATACCATTCTTCGTGAGTATTTGCTTGAGATTGAAGGTATGGCATTTTTCTCTTGGTTCCGCTACCACGATTGGTCCTGTCTTCTGCGTTGTGCTTTTTGACTCCGCTTTTGGCCCCTCTGAGGTCTTCGAACCCTTTAACACCGCCGCCGCGCCACTAGCTTTGTTTTCCTCCTTTTTGGTTTCCAGCGCTGCTTCCTCATGCTTCGACTCTGCTGCCTTCTCCTCTTTCTTCTTCTCAACTTCTGCACCAACGTCGTCGCTCGGCAAATAAATCGCTTGGTCAGCGGTCAAGGTAGCTACAAGTCAATTGAAAGAGTGACAAAGAAAGGCGCATTGCAAGTCTACGTTGATAAAAGAGTCAAAGTGTGGATATTTCCTCTTGCTGAGTTTCGACGTGACCAGCAAAAGTTCAACTAACCCAGGAAAGTGGAATCGCCACGGTAGATATTCCGACAAAGAAACTACAATGTGAAGTCTACATCTACATTTACATACTAGTTGTAAAAAATTAAACCTGGTTTTTTCTTGTCCGAAACATCGTCCTCGCTGATAAGGAGAATTTTGCTTAGTGCTGACTGCATTTTCTTGATTGTGTGTGGGTCCATTCGGTTCCACTTTACCTGTTATTATATAGTTGAGTGTGAGTGATACCTCCATGGCGTTGTAAGGACTTCACTGCATTGAAAAACGAGACAGGATTCATTTCAGTATCATCACATCCTACAACAGCAACCTCAGTGCCCCATCTTCAAATGCGTAGAAATACAGATACTATTACTATCATAAGTGTACTCATCTTCACCCACCGGTCTGTAGTTAATGCATATTCATAGAATAGTCAACCTATTCCCCAATACCTGATCCACCTTTGTGCTCTTGACTTGCGGGTGCCCTGTATCGTGGAGGAATTTCCATAAAGCTTTGCTCAACGCCAGCAGAATCACCGGTGCCGGATTCGGAAACGTCGCTAACTTCGGCCATGTCTTCAGCTGTGATGTGACGTGGTGTCTTAAAATCATCGAGATGCTTCATGATATATAATGTTTAAGATTAAGATCGAGACTTGGTGTTGGTTCCTGAATCTATCCAGGAGCTAATATCCCACGACTAATGCTGTAGCAGATAGGAGACAATCACTATCAGCACGAAAACATCGACATTTAGAAGTAACACTGCTTGAGATAGAAATATCCTCAATAATACATCTGCACTGGTTGGCTGGATATCTCCCTCTATTGCCTGGATAATTCCGTCGTTATCTTGCATGTGCAGAATCGCTAGCGGTGTCAAGCTGGTGCAGTAGTGGAGGTGGAGTAGATGTAGGCGCAAGCAAAGCATTCGATTAAAAAGCTAGCTAGAACGAGAAGATTTCGTTGAAATAAAGACGGACTGTCACACTACACGTACACAGAGAGGGAAAAGACAAAATCTGACGTCAGAACCATTCCCCATGCATTCGGAATCAGACTGCTTAATGCCGGGATGAATGATCGGCGTAGAAGAAAACAAATCAGGATGTTGAAATCAGTATACTATAGTTATTGGGGCTCAGAATGTAACTCGTTATGGCCTAATTGACTACCTCTTGTTGTTCTGCCTTTCCATGATCGCGGTCATGAAGTAACCAATCGATCGCAGGGAAAACAGGTTCGCCTCCAGTGATATGTAGCTGATCGTCGGAGCCGTCGTGATAATTTGACAAATATCCGAGCAAGAATCCATCGTAAGCTGATTCTTCGACAGATCGAGCGTATGCAGTGATGGGCAATCGATCAGAACTTGAGCCTAGAGTGGTTTGTGGAAAGAAAGCTAGGCATGGCCGATGAAGAGGTAGAGATGATGGACAGAGGGGTAGCAATGGTCATCGGAAAAACGTGTCGACGATAGTCAACGGAAAGTTAAACATGGCCCCCCGGAAAGTCTCTATCTAGAAGGCAGCCTCACATTATGATAGATACGTCATCTCCATCCGCTGCGGAACAATAAAACTCACAAGTACCAAAGTCGAAAAGCCGATGTCGGATATCGCACTGCCTCGGAGTAAAGCTTGCTCGAGATCTCGCTGTCGTAGCCATTGGTCTACCTGCGCTGTGTTTGCTTTGATGAAGTAGGGAATTTCATGGCGTGCTATTCTGAAAATCATGTTTCTGTAAAACTCGAGATGAAAAACCAACAGATAAGAGGATGATAGAAAGCGAAGCGACGCACCCCAAAACCAAATAATAAATACGTGCCTACTCTCATATAAAAGTAAAGTAAAGTTTTACTGTTCTGATGATCTTTGTTGCCGCTTTGGCAGCCTCTGGTGGCCCCTCTTCTTCTGGCCTCTTGACCTGCTTTTTCTGCTTCCCTGATTTTCCCGTGTCGTGGGCTTCTTTCTGTAAAATATTTTTGAACCAACAAGATTAAATTTATCATTCATGGCCCGAGAATGACCCTAGTATGGATATCCGTTTTCTTCAAAATCTTCAAGTTCTTGTTCTAACAGAATCGACATTTATATGCTCATCAATTTTGAAGTTTTGGTTTCAAATTTGCCTAACATATAGATATACTTATACATTGTAGTTACTACCACTAAATCTAGATTCAAAAAAACCAAAACAAAAAAAGCTTACCAACTGCAGCCCAAGAATGATATTTTGCGCTTCGATTTGTTCCCTTTTGCCGAGCTCCGCGTCCACTCCTTTTTGGAGTGTGACAATTTTCGCCTTCAGCTGCGAAATTTCGTCATATTGGTGTTGCCCTGACGACTGCTGGGCCGCCAATTTGTCGGTGAGCTCTGCGAGTTCCCTCTTAAGAGCCTCATTTTGCTCCTCGACGGCACTCATAGATGCCATTTTTCCGAATTTTCAGCCTCAATCAGACACCTCACATTCACACCCAATTCACACCTCTATTATCCTTGAGTCTATGTTAATGAGCAGGACTGTGGGAATAAGAATATCTTCAACGACTTCAGGTTCAGGAGAAAGAAGTGCTTGGGTTGTCTCCAGTTATGAAGCATAGTAGCTCGAGTTACACACGAAGGCATCGTCATCTAGCGAAGTCGAGATGAAGTATTTGGAACTGGGAGTGAGAGGAGGCGATGGGAGTAACGATTTTGATGCACCTTTCAACGAGGTTAGCGAGAGAGCGAGGGGATAGGGATTTGTGGAGCGGGGAAGGTTGGAGGTAGTCTTGTTGGCCCTGATAGATTCAGTTGTAAGGCAACTGTCTCCTTAGAGCCGAAGTCTTCTTCATCTTCTTCTTCGATCGTTGAAAAATGAAAACATTGGAGCGAGTTCCCTCGGCTTTCAATAAAGGCCTACCGACGTTTACTGTCCTTCCTTTTTTTCAAAGTTTTTCTTTACTACTTTCTTAGTCACACATTCTACTCTTCTTCTCTATCTTTCCACTCCTTATCCGCCGTGTACACCGCTTACAGAATAATCGACGAAACGACAACGCTACAGAAGTGCTTACTCCTAGTTATGTTACAGTCACTCCCCTGCAGCAGCGTGTTCTGTTGTTGTTGTTTTTCATAAGAAAGGAAAACCGTGAAGAAATTGTTTGGATTTATTTCAACGAGGTTGCCTGCGTGGTCACTGCTTCGCCCTGTCGTGGGAAAAGAAAATGTTGCGGCGAATTCATGAAAGGGGAAGATGTTGTTCGCGTGTAGTTCATTTCTTTGGGGGCGGAAGGCAGAGGTGTTTGTCGGAGACTAATCGTAATCAAAATCATGAGCATTAATGTTAGTTTTCGCTTATGTCGATGTAGATGTAATCCAACGGAGTGCGACACACCCAGAGTAGAGACTGAGACGATGTGCGCGCTCTTTTTCTAAGTAAATTTGTCGTCTAGCTGCTTTCAGCCATCTTTTGACTTTGCTTTTTGAAGGTACGGCTCAACCTCATCATTATCATCATCATCATCTCCTGTAAGACCGTCCCCCGCCGCCTTGATCACCTCTCCCTCCGCGCCTATCGCGATCTCCGTCGTTGTAGCTTCGGCCGCCACCCCGCCTATCGTGGTTACTACCCCCTCGTCTGTCCTCGTCTCTGTCCCTACCACGGTCCCTGGTGTCTCGGTCGCGTCCGCGCGGAGATCGTGACCTTCGCCGCCTGTCTCCATCCCGGTCTGGACTGCGCCGATCGTCACGCCCGTCGCGCGTTGATGATGAGGCTTTTTCTTCTGGTGCTCGCTTATCTGCCTCCCGGTCCTTGGCAGCTTGCTCCTCATCATCAGCGTATTTCTCCTCAAGCTCCGCTAGCTTCGCTCGCATTTGCTCGAAGCCCTGGTGGTAAGTGCCACTCGTATGTGGGTGCGGGATACCTGAAGTATGATGTTGTTGCGGTAAGAATCTCGATCGCTTTCAATGCAGCAGAAGAATCTTCTCTGCCGTTCTTTCACAGAAGTGAAAGAACATTGCTACGGGTGGGATGCACGTTTTTCGATAAAAGAAATTGAAAGTAGAAAGTACCATTCAACTAGCCAGCACTAAATCATGAAATACCTTTCCTGCGATTTTCTATTTCCATAGCGCATCTCCAATCGATTGTGAGGCCGCACACTTCGCATACATCCTCCTGAAATGTGTCACCAATATCTTCCACAAGTGTGCTCTGCGGCTTGGCGACAGATGATTGTGCGTTGATTGCATCTTTCAAGGCTTGGACCTAAAGATGTAGGCAATGCGGGTTAGTTGGATCTTGATTTCAAATCGAAAGTCAAATGATGATCGTACTATCTCTACTAGCGGAAACAACAGGAACAGGAAAGAGTGGTTGTTATCGAGTCCCAGATTTCTTCAGACATGAGTGAAAAGATGAAGATGTCAATGTTGGTGAACGGAATGCTACTATGCGATGCCGTCCTCATCAACAAGAAGTACCTCTTTCATCATTTCCTGGCTCTGTGCAATCTTACCGTCTTCTGCGAGCAGTTCGGCTTCCTTGAGTTTGTCTTGCATCGCTTTCTTGAGACCAATAATCTTGTGTTCTGTTAGTTGTTCTTGGTTCATTGGCGTGAGTCCCTGCTCTCGCCGGCGCTTGGTCAGGGTCCCCTTGCGTTCCATATTGGCTTTCTCTTTCGTGATCTTGTAGTTACAGTCCGAAACAAGTCGCTTCATGTAGCGCATAAGCTCCCGCTCATAGGTGCGCTTGTGTCGTTGCGCATCCTCGGCTTCTTTTCCGGTGCCCTTGAGCGCATCGTTGAACTGCGTTTTCATAAACTCGCTATGCTGCTTTGGACATTCCCCAAGTGGTGAATTGACCGCGGCCTTGCCCGTAACCTGGTAAGTGGAGATGAGGAAGAAAGAGTGAACAATGTCAACACAAAGCAAAAGTCACAATCTCTCGCTTGAGACAAAAAATCAAATTTCCTTAGACTATCTGCAAATTTAGCACCGACGACGACTGACCAAAAAAGTTGTAATTTGGGCTAAGTATTGCTAACCAACATAACATAATTCGATCATGTTTTCCGTACACATGATTTTTCAAAACACATCTGTACCGTCGTGTAAAATAGTTGGTGGGGACAGCAGTCAACGAGCCAATACTTGCAGATATCCCTGTCTGTGTAATGCTCCTGGCGCTTCTTGTCCTTTGGGTGTTCGTTTCGCGTTGCACCCATCAGCGAATCCAACAATGCACGTGCGTCGTCCATCTTTATTCTGGATTTGGTAAAATATATGTATCTATTCGAGAACGAGATGGATTACTAAATTAGCTTTTAAGTGTCTTGGACGAACAAAACTCTACTTTCTTATCATGCATACTTCTTCAGCTTTAGCTCGCGATCACGAAGGACACCTTTCCTTAGTAGGTACTACGGTACCCGTTCCATCAACTAGAACTAGAGGCTGAAGAAAATTTCAGAACTAAAACGACGAGAAGAAACTAAGTAAACAAAAAAAAGATCTCAGTTAAGGGGTATGTCCTGATTCATTGTGAATGAATGTGATTGAATTTCTTTGACATTGTTGGAAAAAAATAGGCAAGATGAAGATTGTAATTTTGATGATACTGATAATTACCAGCCTGCAATTCTTCTCCTCGTCTTGTCGTAGTTTTGTGTTATGTTGAGTTATTTATATTTTCATACTGTTCTTGAAGTTGGAGTGTAGCATCATTCGCTAGCCTTAGTTAGTTTACTTGGAAAAGATACGGATCAATATGATTGATTTCGAGATTTCGTAATGATCTCAACTGAGGCAGTTTGATCGCATCGACTAAAGTTGAAGGTCCACATCTTTGTTGTACTTGTAGTCTGTCTTCTCGTTAATCACGAACTTCACATGACTCATTTAGTTGTCTGAATTTGGAGCTTCGACCTTCATTGGAGCGACATATGAAATTTCGGAGAACAAAAATTCTGGTCGTAGATACAGATAACTTGCTGGCACGACAAGGACAACCTTTATTCAGATTGAGGATAGAAGAAGAAGTTGCGCCTTCATTATAAATATGTTTCTCATCAACGCATTCATCGAAGAAAACAGGTTTCTATTCGCTTCCAAGACACACAAGGATCATCGCGGTCTCAGCAAGCAACGGAGGGGATGCCTCGGGGACTCCAAAAACGGGGACAGGAGCTGCCAGTCTGATGAAGACGAGAACTTTATCCTAGGGAGACTAAACGTAAAAACTAGGCTACGGGTATTACTTGTGATTTTATGTCAAAACCAAGTACAAGTCCAAGTTCTGCGTGAGACTACTAAGAAAGTGGGCGGGTAAAGACTTCAATTCATTTCATCTGCAGATGTTGTTGTTGTTGTTGTTGTTGTCGACATCGTCAAGCCGGCATGACGACCTGTTTTGCGGCCTCTTCGTCCTTCATCAGCTGGCTTGTTCTGTACTTTTTCAGGAGATAGCGATCTTCAGCGTCTTCTGCATCTGAGTCGCTATTGAGGCATCCAGCGTCACGTCTCTCCTGGTGGCGCACTTCTCGTTCCCGCGCAAGTTTGTTCTGATGCTCCTCTAGAATGCTGACAATCTCACCATGACCCTGACGACGCGCAACATCCATTGGAGAGAGCCCACGAGGAATAGCTTCCATCTCGGAAAAACTGTTGTTCTTGTAGTTTTCCTTGTTCTCGTTATTAGAGTGCTCTACCTGCTGTGTCTTCTCTGTTTTTTGGTTCGTCAAAGTGGTAGTACTCGACGTATTTTTTGCATTTTTGTCATCTTCGCCTCCACCAAAGAACAAGGCGCTCTTCTTGGCTTTCTGTTGTTCGCGCTTTGGACCACTCGCGGCGGCTTGCTTTCGTGCCGCACGTGCATCCTTGATGTGATGCGCCAAGGCTATGAACTCTTTGTTCTTTCCGTCGACTTGGGACATGAGCAGCCGTGCATCGCCTAGTGCATCATCGAATTCGCACAACAGTTCTCGCGCCTGAGCTCGACGAAAAAGAGCCTTTCCTTCCTGGCCCGACGGAGATGTATTTTTGAGGTCCTCCTCGCACTCGGGAGTGGTCCCCTGTTGTTGCGCCACGCACGCAGAGGGTAGTGGAGAGCACAGCGAGCGACCAAAAGCGGTGGCTGATAGCAGCTCAGTCGTGACTCGGACAGCACTGCGAGCAAATACCGACTCTGACGTCGCATTCAACCGCGCTAATTTCAAATCTGCGAGCGCGCAATTAGACAAACACCCTCGATAAGCCTGCAACGCCGCATCATCTTCTCCACACAACTTCGATCTTGCTGTTATCGAACTCTCTTGACGCACGAGAGCAGCTGTCTCAAGAAAGACGCGGCGCGCGAGGAGCAGCCTTCCCCCTTGCAAAAGCGCAGTGCCCTTTTCTTTGCCCTCCACGGCAAGCTGCGTCCACATCCGCGCGACGTTGGGTTCTTCGACGCGCTCGAGCGCCACAGCCAGTCGAAGATCAGCGGCAGCTGAGAATGTCACGAGAAGATCTGCTAGACCCCCTGCTTGTGTCGCGCTACTCAGAAGTCGCCTGATCGATTCGCGACCTTCTTCAGAGGACCGGGCATCCGCACTCACAGATAAGTAGCTCACTTCGCCTTCACCCATTCCCGCGACAGCGAACTCAAGCAAATCCTCCAACTGACCGCTCCCCAGCTTGACCTGTCGTTGTGTAGTCCATTCCGCGACATCTCCCACTTTGAAGCGTACATCCACAATGGATCCGACGCGGGTGTTTGCAGCCAGCTTGTTTTGCGGTTCTTTGACGACAACCTTTGAGATCAGCCGTGCCGCGGCGTCGCCTAATGCTTCTAGTTGCTCGCAGCGCAAAACACCCTCAAAAGTGACTTCCTGGCCGTCTTCTCCCTGGCCGCCATTCCCTCCGCTCTTCGAGGCATCATTAAGTCGGACACGGAATCGGTCCCCCACCGTAGCCGCACGCAAAAAATCGCTTAGTTGTTCGCTGAAGCCACAACGACGTGTTTCGGAATCCAACAGAAATAGCGCAGCGGCGGTATCTTCCCAGCGAGCGCTGTCTTCCTCGTTGCTGAGAAGCGCAGCTGACATGGTGATCGTTCCGGAGGACATAGAGAACTCAACCGGACATCCAGAGTCCGTGACACGGAGCAAGACGGTACTCGCTACCTCGGCATGCATCCACCCATCGCTCACGCCTACAGTCTCGAGAGTCACCGCCGAGTCCGGCGACATGTCGGACGATGGAGCGGTCTTTTCGTTCGACGCCATCTTTCTGACTTCAACGTCAATCTTTCTCTTGTTCGATTCACATAAATGTCAGCATTCAAACTTTGCGCAATTCCACTACTGCAACATTTGGGACCAAACACAAACACCATAACGAGAAAAAAATGGTCGTTTCTAATTCTATGCTCCTGAAAAAGGGATAGGAAATCGTATCATTATAGTCATCATTTCTATCCGCGCATGCTTATTCTTATGGTCTCTCTATGCGAGGAAAATTGCTCCTCTGAGCGTTGCTTCCCGCCTGTATTAGTGAAAAGAGTCTTCTTATTGACGTTCAAATTTCATCTTTCTCTCGTCCTCTTGTGCCTGTTGCTTCCAAAAGGTGCAAGTGCCTGAAAGCTGATCAAAAAAAAATCAATCTGCACCATATTTAATAGCTCGTAGAAACGAATTTGACATTGTTGCTCTGACAGAACATAGTCACAACCAATGCCAGAGATTGAAGGCATATTCTGAAACATCGACTTCTGTCTCTGTGCTTGTTCCTAATTATGCTTGATTGATTGATTGCTGAAAAAACCAGGCAAATGTATAATCGACTCAAAGATGAAGAAAACCAACAAAAGAGCGTCATTTGATAGTCCAACACTGTGCTTTCATCTTGCACACCCAGCACAAACACAAATCCTAATCCAAGAACGCCAAAGTGTTACAATTTCGACTCTTGAAGCACCGGTAGCCCGTTCTCAATAAGAGCGAAGAAAAGAAGATCAGTAGTCAGATGAAGAAAACAATGGTCAGATGACGAGAATCTTGAACATCAACGAAAGGACGCAATTTTCTGAAGATAGGTCTATATTCAATACTCAAAATAAGGAAGAAGGATTTAACGAATATTTGAATTCTTGATCATCATTGTGATTTTCCAGCGCGACTTTATCTTGACGTTTTTTTAGCAGGAGGCAACTTCATTGCCACAGGGTCTACTGCAAGACAGCATGGTCTCGGCCGATTCCTATTCCACTCGGAATATGAATATCATTAGAGGTAGGTACATCTTCCATTTGAGCTTGACTGAGGTACTAAACAAAAACAGGTACTAAACAAAATTCAACTTTCCAATCGTATCTACAGGTAGTACGATCGTCGTTCCTGCACCTGCTGTTTTCCCATCTCTTTATTTCTACTTAGTAAGCTGCACAAAGACTGTGTCCATGCGACGCAGGAGTAGCTGTGCTTCATCGTCTCAGCGCAGCGGGCACTGTACTAGCAACTTCACACATTCTTCATCTCAATATCTACTCATTCATTGAATCACCAACACCATACTATTACTAGGCAAGCGAACTGTCTCACTGATATTTTTCTTCAAAAAAAGACAATTACACTACGTGGTTTCAATTGATATTTTGAATTTCTGAAAAAACTACACGATCTCACGCTAGTAATTCTGCATCATTCGACGACAAGAATTATACAACGAACCCGACATTTACTAAGTGGAGCCACATCATGAAGCTCTCTAGATACTCCAGATGTACATCTTCCACTTACATAGATACTCTCTAAATTTTGGACTCACACCTCCGACTACAATGTCAATGCAGCCGGCGGCTAATTGGCGAAGAGGACAAACAACGCCGTAATCCTAATCAATACTGCATCTGATTTGATTACATCACAGTACTACTGATGATCTACTTTCTACTTTTCACTTTCACGCCACGCATGCAGCTTCAGTGTCAAAACAAAGCTTATTCAAAGAGTTATACAAAGCACAATCATAATATTGCAAGCAAGAAAGCAAAGCATTCCGATTTCTAGCTGTAACTGCATGTTGATCTTTGGTGTACCCCGATGACGGATGCCCTAAGTAGTTACTTGTCAACTCATTTTGTCTTCCTTGAGAGTACTCGGCATGAGGCAGTGGTCTGCTGGTGTGCCTCTACCCCGATCTTAAGAATGACAAGCGCTAATGTTGGCCGATACTGGTGCCACCTTAACACTTAGCTAAACGTGCTTGCCAATAATCTGAAAGGTAAGCCCAGACACCGAACCACAAGCGACCAAAGACTAAGACGTCTAATTTTGTAACACTATCGGTATGGTTTTGATTCCTGAATCTAATATCATGGACATGGAGATTCACGAGTCATAAAATTCACATAAGATTTACATCAGCCAGTAAGCACGCTCGCGCACCCACCGGGAGATACAAGTGCTTTGCATTTTCATTCGGCTCTGAGGTTGTGTTCTCAACAAGAAAGAATGCTGAGTTAGAATCTGCCTAGGACTTCTTATTTCAGACACAGAAAAATCTTTACTTGATATATTTTGTTCGACTACTACAAGATTACTCACGGGCGGCTTCTTCTATGTACAGCTAAGCTAATTTATCGATAGTCGAGCTCTGCCCATCCTAATGTTGACACAGGGATACTTGGCCAGCGATAGCATGACTTTCATCAAAGTACGAATTTGAAAGAGCAAAGAAAAAAACCCAAAGCAAGCCACTAACCACCCTCCCGGGTACTCCCTAAGCGCGGTGGTTGCGCTCGTGCTGGAGCTTTGCCATGTATGGCACCAGCGGGTCTTCCAATTCATTTCGTTTGAGCGTCATACAAACCGTATCACCTGATGTGGGTTGATATTCGATTTTCAAACAAAGGGGGGGAGAATGGTCAGGAGATTTCGTATAGGTGTTGACTGAAAACGGCTATAGCGATTGAAAAAGTTGAACTCCGACACAGCCTCCAAGTGGTACGTAGCTGAGTGACAGTGTGATCTTTGTCGACAATTACTCACTTTGCTAACGGCTGCACTACGTGTAGAAATTAGTACTGCTTTTCAGGTTGGCGGCTGCTGCGTACTTAAGCAGGACGACCTCTGGGAGATCCATCGGAGCGTGGTGCGCGAATTCTGTTCCTGAAGGTGCTGGGTCACTGGTGGACGAGGATGCGCTTCGACTTGCTGCTCCTGTTTGTCTATTGTTTCGCCTCGTCGCCGGGTGGTGTAGCGATTCATATCGTTCAGGCGTTAGAGATAGACTCACAAACAGCACGGAGTGCTGAGCTAGCTATGAGCGTGAGGCTTGGACTGAGTAAGTACATGGAGCGAACTTTCTAACAAGTAGGCCTCACCCTGTGCGAAAATGAAGGTTACAGTTTAGGCTGTTATAGATCCTTCACATCGAGCCCTAGTAGTAGAGTTACTACAACAAGAAGAAGAACTGCGGAGCCAGGATGCGGCCTGAGGCCCAGAAGCAGAAAATAATCATGAGAAGAACACGAAATATCCAAGTAATGTACTCGAAAAACTGAAGTAACCGAGTACGCTAGGCAATAATCTCAGATACTCGCCCATTGTTTTTGTTACTTGCGTATTTTGAGCATTCGAGTAAATGAAAGGGAGGAGCAAGCTAAAATACAAAATCCGAGGCCATAAGTTAGTGCATTCCGTTGCTTGAACTTTGACGAGATATTTTCCGCTATAGCTGACTACTCCTCGACAGTGTCTATCGGAATCGGGAACATTAGTCGCGCCGCTGTTCTCTCGACGTTCAAGTCCAAACAGAAAGGGCCAGGCAGAGTAGCAGATCTGTGAATTGCAAAGGTAAGAGATGGATGGATGTTGTGTTGCAAAGTACATACTAACATCGAAAAAAATAGAATCAATGAGTCGCATGTATCAAGTCGCCAAGGCACAAAGAAAAGCCAAGAGGCGTGATAGTCATATAATTAATTGAGTTTGACCCTGACGGATATAATAAGACGCAAGATGGAATAAGCAAGCCGTTGAAGGATTAGAAAAATATAAATAAGTTGTACAAGCAAGAAATATTTATCAAGGGTAGGAGAGATCTTCATACAGTAACAAATAGCAAAGAGAAACATCGAGGAAGAAAAATATCTGGGAGAGAAGTAGAAGAGAGAGGTAAGAAATGAAATACCTTCAGCGTCTCGCTGTCGGTCCTCGTAGCATTGCCTAAAGCCTGCGGAATAGTGGCTCTTGGAGTTTCTAAATCCGGCAAAAGAGTGCGCAGCTCTTCATATACACCCTCCCACATCAGCGGCAAACTTGAGTCCCATTTTTCAAAATCTTCAGCCTTGCAGATAACCTGAGTTTTTTTCAAAATTGATGGAGGACAAAAACTTTCCCGCTGTAATGTGCCATCTAGATAGCAAAACGAGATTGATAAACAAAGAGAAAAAATCTATAAACAAAAGGCGCCTTGAGTGAGGCTGGGACACAGTAAAGCAAGTAGATTCTATCGCGTGCGTAGCTAGGGCGTTCGTGAGTTGAAAAATTCAAAAAATGGCGAGCGTAAGAAAAAAGGGCACACCTCTTCCTTGCAGCATTGTGTAACCATGAAATTGATGCAACCTCTGCAAAAAACGCGCCAGATTCCGCTTCCATGAAATGGCAACAACTGGCGACAGATCGGGTTGCCGCATACCGGGTTATTCTTAAAAAAATGCTGCAACTTTCCCTCCTCGCTCTGCTGGTCGTCGACCACTTTTCCCGCATTCACAAGTCTAGACCTGGCGTTAGATCGTAGCTGATTCTCGCGGTTGATGCGAGCCACATGCGCAAGCGCGTCTTCCACTAATTGCGCATGGACTGTTTTGCCGCCCGCGTTGTCCGTTGATGAAGCGGCGGATGAGCCTGGGGGCGTTTGTGTTCCGTTGCCGTCGGTAGAAGCGCGATGAGCTGCGACGTGCTGTAGTTGTGTGGCAGTGTCCTGCTGTAGCGGGTGAAGATGTTGCGCTGCATTGTCATGGGGATGATTGTTGTACATGGAAGCTGCGAATTGGTCCCCATGGTGTTGCAGATTGGACGCAGCATAGGGGGCAAAAGGAAAGTGGCCCACTCGAATAGTAGCGGCTGGTGTGCTGTTGTAGTTGTTGAAGTGCTGCATTACCCCCTTACTGCCCCTCATAGCAAACCACGCGCCTTTTTCCAACATCGGCGAAGGGGCGGCTGGCGGCATGCTAGTTGACGCAGTAAAATCATGTGGAAACCCAGAAGAAGGAACGGCAGGCCCTTTTCCTGCGTAATGCGATCCCTTGCCGCCACTATATCCGTAGCCGTACGCCGTCGAAACAAAGTTCGCCATCGCGTCGCTGCTGTGTTGTCCAAAAAACGGCTGTGCTCCTTGCTTGTTTGACCCACAGCGGCGCTGCGCGTACACGTTACTGCTGCAATATGAAAGCGGAAGATCATACTTATAAGCACAAGTCTGATTCCCGACAACAAGTTTCCTCGCACAATCATGGCTCTAACTTCTAGATCGTGTCATAAACAACCACGACCAGTCTAGACTAAGAAATAAGAATTAATAGTGTAATCAAGAAGAATAGAATCAAAGACGCCCCACTTCCAATTAAGCTGATCGAAGTGCGAAAGTGAGAAAGATGAGTCAGAGTATTCCGAAAACGACGCGTGGAAATTCAGCAAATAGCAAAAATTATGTAGGCGCTAGTGCTGGGCTCATAACGTTGATACAGCCGGATACATCGACGCCGCCTCCTTTCCGTTCTGCTTGCCAAATTTCCCGTGTCCCTTAGTGTATGCGCCCCCTTGTTTTTCGCCAATCTTAGCACTGGCCCCTCCTTGATACGCTGCTGGCGCTGCCACTGCCTGGTTGCATTAGAGAGGAAAATAGATAAGACACTGCACCGCTGCAGTTACATTTGAAGCGAGCATCAGTGCTAAATTGATTTCTTATGGGAAACCATGCCAACACCAAAGCTTCGGCAATGACATCGACTTCGAAAGAGCGGCTGGGTCAAGTGCATAGTTTTCAAAATGAGAAATAAAATCAATTCTGAACAAAGAATTCCTAATCTTTGGTTTGCACATGGATGAAGAACGAAATGATGTTGAAGGATACACGACACAGATCGACAAACATAAATATACACCAACAAATTTCAAATAGACATAGAATGCACAAATAAGAAACTGCGACTCCAGGTCCAACCATAATCATAAAAGCCCTGGAAACGTTGAGGAGCGGCGACCTGGTTTGAGGTTGCTGCTGTCATCTCGAGTCCTGGTGGCGGCGGTGGCCCTGTTGTTGTAGCCGTTGCGTTCTTCCCTTTCCGGTTGTATACACGCGGCCCAGAGATCCCCTGCTTGCCTTGCTGATGGTATTGCGCAGCAATATCGTGGGGATCTGTTGCTTGTAGAGCTTGGCGTCGTGTTCCCTGCAACGTCAGTCCCCTTGAGATGCCGGCTAAAGCTGTAGGCGCACCAGAGTGATGCGCTGCGAACTGTTCGTATAGAGTGGAGCTATAGTGGCCTCCATATATTGCGGCGTGCTGAATGACGTCGCCTGCTGTCATGCCGCGGGCAATCTCAGCGGTGTCAGGGAGTAGATCCTCTGTTCCTTGTGCATCATGTGGGTGACCTGTGTAGTAGCTGTCATCGTGGTCTGTTGGTTCTGTCCGTGTCTCCTCGTAACATGTCAGCGACAATCCGTTAAAGCTCCCCACTGGGGTCGCAGCAGCGACATCGTCAGCGCGGGAGTCTGAATATTGCACCGCGTGCCCATGTTGTTGTGATTCTTCGACTGATGCATGCTGTCGTAGAAGATGTTCATGCTTGATGTGCTGGGGATGCGTTGCTTTGTTCGAGTCGCTTGCTCTGTCCTGTATGTTTGCATCTGACATGATGGCTGCGGTACTGGAGGAAGCTTCCATCCAGCTTCGCATCAACGTATCTGCATGCGGATGCTGTCCCTGATCACCGTTTTGAAGACCCATTACATTTCTACTAGTACTAGTCTCACCTCCCTCTTGCTTCATCAAGCTGTTGCCAGCATGGACATCCGCCACGCCAACATCACGACTACTCCCGGAGCTGAAGGAGGAACCAGAGAGCATCCGGGTGGGCTCCGTGATTGTGCTCGTCTTTCGTGAGATGGTCACACTTTCCCGGTTGAGAAGGGGGAAGGCTTCGGTTGAGTCCGTCCCCGCTGTCATGGTGTCCTCCAGGTCTCGCCTGCGTTCTTTTATCGGGCTGGGTAGCTTTAGATCTATGCGATCCGGCTGGTCCTCGAAGACCTTACTTTTGGTTTCTAATACTAATTTATTTCATTCCCATTCCAAAATACGAAACTCCCACTAGTAGATATCTCGTAGAAGTAGATACTAGATGATAATAAGCAAATCAAGTGATTAAAATTAATATTAGACTACAAAGTTTTATAAGATAATGATCATGGCTTGACTTTCTCCCCGATAGTGGTAATTGCCGAAACGTTTCTGCAGAAGTGGAACTGTCTTCATTGGAGTTGCAAGTATGAACGACTACGACAATACAAGCGAGACAAAAATCAAAAATTATGACGTGGAGAAGTAGAGTTAGTCCGACTTTCATCCGAGAAAAAAAAAACTGAAATCAGATGAAGATGCCATCTAAAAAGGACAGCAATACCTTGCTTGAACTGTTCGAATCGATAGCGGTCGGCATCGTTGACTTTAGTTTTCTGTGGCGCACTTCTGCGAGTGCGACTGCTGAATAATGTTGCTCGTACTTTCGAGTTTCCGTTGGTATCCGTCGTTATATTTGACGGAGTTTGTACTAGCACTCGTAGTTTTACTACTAAGCTTCTATTTGGTCGCAGGTGTGTCTGCTGCTTGTTTCTTTAACAAGTGATGTGTTAACTACGAAAAGCTCGCGTACAAGTCGGTTATCCGAAAAGACAAAGAACTTCTATCATGAGATTTTAGCAAAAATCCAGATCGAGGAAAAACAAATTGATAGAAGTGAAACAGTCAATGCGTAATCCCTTCTTTACCTTCCTTTTTAATCCATCTCAATTCAAACATCAAAAAAAAACTTTCTCTTTACCTTCGAATTGTTTTAACGTATACAGCATCATTCAAGCTGCTTTTGCTATTACCTTCAAGCGCAAATGCCGACGATGAATTAAGTACTTTAACTGCAAATTTTTAAACTTACTGAGACTAATGAAGTAGATGATGTATATATAATATGGACAGAAGATCATACAAATATGTTGATTGAGAACGGGAAAGCCAAAACTTTTTCACGCAGCACCCACTCTCAGTAGATTATCAATAGGGAATTTATTGCCCTTAGGACTCGACTGAGATGACAGTATTTTTGTTTGACGTCTTCGTTGGTTCAATTCATATGGCGAGTTCGTTCTTCTGCGAATAGTTTGTGATGTAGTTGTACATGTAGTTGTTGTTTTGAAGTTCACGACTAATGTGGTCGAATCAATTATATTATTCTTATTCTATTGCTATAGCTATCGACAGTTTATCATGTTTACAACTAGGATTTCGATGATCCTTAGAGTTAAGCAGCTAAGTTATTAAATATTTTCCCTAATGTTTCGTGCTAGGAGTGGATAGAGATGCCGATCGATGCATTTGGATTTGTAACGGATATGGAATGAGTATAAAGATGAAATTATGCTGAATAGCTCTGACAAGCAACGAGCCGTCTTACTTTCTAAGCTCTACATCATTGAGTCTGCGCAGGAATATGTGAAGCCCCGATGGCCGATCAACAATAAATATCCATCGACCAATTATTGTATCCTTGTATATAAAATTGCTCCTTAAACTACTGTCACGTCAACTGCTTCTTAGCTATGTGTTCAGAAGACTCTCTTAGACGCACCCTCCAACGCACCGCACAGGTGTTGAGTCAGACCTCAATGGAAAAAACACCGATGGAGAGGTTCACCTTTACAATTACACTTCTACCTTCTGGCTTCTTCGTAATTCAACATTGAAGATGCAGCTGACACTTCTGGTTCTGCAAGAGATTCACATAATAGAGCAAGGCACTTTCTGACCCGTATCGGGTCGAGTTGCTCGGGTTGCTCGAGTTGCCCACCCTAATTTTTTGCGCGGCGCCCTTCGGGCGCAGGTTTATGAGACTCCGCGAAACCTTAGCAGGAGCGTACGACACTGTGCTCCGTGTCTCTGATCCTTGACTTTCTTCGAAGTGCACCCTTGAGACAGGAGCGAGCAACCGCCTCGGGCTCGAGACTCATCTCAGCCACTTGCTTGGCCATCTAATTACTTACGACATCTAGGTAAGGACTACGAATCTAGTGTGATAACCCACTTCCAACTTCCACCCCCCACTAATGCTTTCTCTAGTCTACTCACCCCCGAGCAAGGCTGGACGCGCCGCCATATAAAGCAGACGCCAGACGGGGGCTACTCGCTCTCACCCCCAAAGTGGATTCATTGGGAACACATCCGAAGAAAAAAGGGAGAGATCGCCACCGACTAGACGACACCACACGCCCCAGCGACACTGAAAGCAAACAAAAACGACAGCGAGAAGAGTCTTTCGCCCCCTTGGTTGTGCTTTAATAAACGCCCGCTGGCAAGCTACAGAAAAAAAGTCATAAGGGCGCAAGAGCCCTTCGGACCCGATTGCCCCTTTCATGATCAACACCAAGCGCAGCACTCTCCTACAGTTCACCACTTCGAGCAGCTGGGTTTGTGCTCGCACCGCCCTGCTTCGCTCCATTTCGAAGAGAGGGGCAGACACCTCCCGGCAACTCGTGGCAACTCGTTCCAGCAGTGAAGCTCTTCGCTTCGGCAACTCGAGCAACTCGTGGCAACTCGAGCAACTCGAAACCCGTTATTGGCCTTACTCTAACATAAATATAAAAAACACATCATGAGCACGATATTGTTCACATCCCTCCATAAACGCAACGACTCTTGCATGGAATTATCGATCGCCCAGCCCTTGATGGCACAGGGGGAAAAGTACGAGCACCATGGCGATGGCCATGTCAATCATAAAAATAGATTCGAATTTGGGTTGAATCGGATTCATCATGACATGTAATGGAGAAAAAATCAATTGGCATTCTCATTGATGTCATTGCAGAAGTGTGCCATTACAAGTAGGACTGGAACCTCCATAGGATCCGTGTATAGGGTGACTTTTTACGACGTGAGTACTACTACTAGGCATGTTCGGGACAAAGATATCCATCCCTTGATGGAACATTTCTCACCACGGCTTCCGAGCGTGAATATTTTTTCCAGCCTTTCCTTTTCCCTTTCCTTTGCCTTTCCCATTTTTACCATTTTTCCCCTTGCCCTTATGATCTTTACCCTTGCCTTTACCGTGTCCTTTGCCTTTGCCGCCGCTCCAGCCATCCTTCCGACCTTTACCACGTTTGCCTCCGTCCGATCCATGATCATTGCCGGTATTCGAACTATCTGCGGGAAAGAACTTCGCTTTGCCGGCAGCATCGAACATTTGCCGGCTATTTTTCGCGAAATTCGTTTCAGACTGTGAAGCCGCTTTTTTTACCTTGTGCTTGGCCTTGCCCTGGTCATACTCAAGGTCCTGCGCGTCCCTCTGTTGGACATTAGGCTGCAAAGCGCGTTGAGCGGCCATGAATTGGGACGAAAGATTTTTGCCTTTTTGAGGGCCCTTCTCGTCTTCAGAATCAGACCAAGCGGAAACGGCAGCTGCGCCATACTGTGTTACACAACTTTCGCTTTTGCGCTTGCGAAAAGCCATGTCGGACTTTTTCACTTTTTTTGACTTTGCTGTTGGAATGGTTGTAGAGGTTAGGTTGTGGTCGATGTTGGGTTCTGCTGCATGCGACGAAGATGAGCCGCGTTTCGCATCGACTTGCTCTTCCTGTTCCGTTACTATGGGAGAAGGACTGGGAGTTTGCTGTGGTGCCGTCATTTCTGCAGATGAAGTCCCTTCCGAGCAATATGAAGTCGAAGGTGGGCAGGGAGTTGAGATTGCGATTGCTGTTACCAAACGAGGCTGCTTGGTCGGAGGCTCACGCAGTTCATCAACATCTTCACCTATAACCTTGCTCTGGTCTTGTTCTCCACCAGTTTCAGTGGTAGACCGTTTCTGGGATTTCTTCTTTTTCTTTCGTTTCGCTTTTGTAAATTCATTTGCCGCTGCATCATCGAGCGGAGAAGTCGTGGTCTCCACAGGAATAATGACAGCATCCGGTCTCACTTGCGGAACAGCGGCACCCGACTCGCCGTCGTCCTTCGTATCTTGCGCTTCCGCAAGTTGCCGTCTAAGTTCGCGCAGAGGGTCTGACTTCCTTCGCTTTTTCTTCGGCCTCCCAGATGATCCTTTTCGTTCGTCGTCAGCTGCGATGACAGTCTTTGAAGTGTCGGTAGGTGAAGACGAACGCTGCTCATCTCCACTACTAGAAGTTGTAGCAGCCGCAACTACAGACACCTTTGCCCCTGTAGTACTACTTCGATCATTTGAGCTACGACCCAAAGGAAGCTGGAGTGATGATTTAGACGTGTTCGTGGTGCAGCTAGATACCGATGTTGACATCTCGCACTTGTTGCTCTTCGGAAAAACGTCCTTTGCTTGTGACACCAGCGTCAGGGCCACCTCTTCAGCACTTGTCACAGAGCAAGGCGATGCGGTCGGCGATGACCCACTTGATGTTGAGGGCGTGAGAGCATCCTGTTTAGAGGAATTGCAGGATGTCTGTGCGTGCTGGGGGGAAGTATAACTCGACGATGATGAAGATGAGCAAGTTACAAATGTGGTCACGGGCGTTGGCGCAGGCACAAGCACATCATTTGTCGAAAGAGATGAAGTACTTGAAGATGAGGTGGTTGGGGTTGGCCTATCAACTACTTTTTTCTTGTGATTCAGGAAGGGATGTGAAGCTTCCGCTAGACCTAGAGAAGTATCGAAACTTGGCATCTTCACCTCGGACGGTGGCTCACGCATATTCTTTTTTGTCCCGGGCGTTGCCGAAGTAGCTACTGAGGCGGACGATGAAACATCTTGCTGCGAAGAGTCAGCATTTGTTGATGTTGTAACTTCTAGTGTACTCTCTGACTTGCGTTTCGGGAGAACTTCTACTTCGCCAGGCTTGGAGAGCGAAGAAGATGTTGAACTTGAAGCCGCGTCTTGTCGAGCTTTCTGTATCATTTCCTTCTCCCGTGCCTCTTTTTTCTTCATCTTCTTGGACTTAGGTTCATTCCCCACCTCCGACTGAGCGGCGCTAGCAGCGCCCTTCTCGCGTTTGCGTTCCTCTTTCAGGAGGTTGCGCGGCTCGCCTCGCACTAGCTCGTAAAAGGCCATATACGGACCAGTCATCGTACTAAACATGCCACGACCACCACCGTTGAAGTTCGTTGCACGTTCATACGAACTCTCACTCACATGGCTATCGTCGAAACAGTACCTGATAGATTCAAATATAAATTCCGTGCATCATATAGCTTTTAGATGTTGTTGGAGCTGAGTCAACACTTCTCTCCTTCAGAGGGGAGAGTCCGTCTTTCTCTAGAATACACACAAGAATAAATACTGGCCCAGGCCCTGGCCCATCATAAAGAGATATAATCTTTTTACCATTTTTTTCGATTGCTTCCATCGGGAAGCTTAGCGAAACTGTAGTAGTGGCCGTCTTGTGTCGTTGCACCCGAGTGATGCAATGTCGCGTAAAGATGGTATTCGCACTGAGAGTCTGGAGAAGTTGTAAATTGAGATAGCTCAAGGGCCGGGGGAAGAGTGATGCGCTTGTTGACTTTGCGCCCGCAGTCGTCGTATTGTTTCAAGTGAAGCACAAGCCGTCGTGGCGCTTGATGTATCTCCTGAAACTTCGACGCGTTCTGCTTTGTTTTGCAGAAAGAGCAAAGGTACTTGTTCGCACCGGTCAATTGCTCTCTTTTGAAGTAGTGCCGGAGCAAGTCCTCGACATGCACTTGACCGCCGCCACCGCCACGGCCTTGGTGCTGCTGCTGACCTCTAAAGTTGAACATGTTACTGCGCTGATTTCCTCCTCTTTGGTTTTCTATAGGAAAACTCAGCGAAATTTCCATTACTGGGTCAGTGCGCGTTGAAGCCTGCGGGGTAGATAAAGTTTGGATTTGAATGAAAAGCGTTAGGTAGTTGAACAAAATCATAGTATGCATCTCCACTTTGAATGTCAAGTGAGAAAAGATGAATCACAAACTCGCAGTTTTTCGATTCGTCATGGTACTACCACTACTACTTGTTCAACACACGACTTCTTCTAGCACTACCTTCTTGCAGCTGCTGCACATGACACTCTGTTGCAGGAATCCACCGAAGAACTTGTAGGGCCCTGACGAGTGCTTTTCGATCTCACTGCGACGATCTGCTTTCGGGCAGACCTCGTCATGTGACCGCGCCATAAGCCGATTGAAGAGTTCGTGCGAGTCTTGCATGAGCCTGTGATGGTTCCTCCCCTGAAACAGTTTCTTAACGAGAATATCATCCGGCCGGAGACTTCCACCGTTTCGGGTCTTTGACATTGCCGCAAATATCCGACCTAAGTCCTCCTGCACACGCACTACTGGCTGCTGACCCCTGTTGGAATTGCGCAGCCGCTCTTGGACTTGCAGTTTCTTCGCCAGCTTTTCGTCCAATGGGATGGACTCGCTTCGCGCAGCCGCTCGTTGCATCTCTGTGCGCGCAGAGCCTTCGACACAATACTCCCTAAACTCATCTGTGTGATACAGAACTTGTAGAAGCGAGTTGTAGAAGCAGAAGAAACGAGGGTTTACAAGACCCACTACTTTCTTATCCTCGCTACTCGTGTTGCTTCTGCTTCGCGGCACTGACGACGAGGATGCAGAGGTAGTATTGTCGCTACGCCGTGGCGCAGCAGAAGCACTTCTCCGCGTGGTGGACGGAGAAGCCATATCCATGATCGGTCGTCCTGACATCAACATTTCTTTGTTCATATTAATAAAACTAGAAATGGTTATTTCAAGTTTTAACACGAAACTACAACTTCTAGCAGCATATTTTTATCGAGATCGACGTCGGTGGTGATTAGGCGAAGTATCTTCGGATTTCGGACCACTAAAACAATCGTTTATTTCCAGGAGCTGGAGCAGTACAACCACTAAGTAAGAACCCAAGAAAGTCCCATCGTCGCTATCGGTCGCTGGCAGAGTACTCTATGAAGTCATTATAAATAGGTTGGTGGACGTTAATATGAAGCAGGTTGGTAATGAAAATTTCCTAGGTAGGATCTTGCTTCTCCATAGGAGAGTTCTTGATTGGTACGCAATACTAGCAGATCTTATGAATTCTTTTGCTTTTCGGCACTACAAACACGAACAGAAAATGTCCTGAAGCGAGCACCAGACGATCTTAGCAGTTAGAATGGTTTTCCTTGCTTCTTTGTGGATCTGGTAAATAAGGGAGGACTTGATCTTATAGTGGGAGATCTTCATTCGTTGTGCAATCTCATGATAACTCAAAAGAGAACTTCGTCATTTTTGTTCACAAGTAGTAACATGCCATCTGGGCGGTGGATATCGACTAGTTGTATCTAAAACACCCTTTGTCCTCCGCAGCTGCTGGCAACGGCACTCAAAGCAACGATCATAGGTTGCATTTCATTATGAATCCGCGCTTTGAACATCCACCTTCGTTGTCGTCTCGTGAGATCTGTAGTGTATTTTTTCTCTGGCGAGATCAAAGCTTACACTACCCGCGAGTATCTAAATTTTTGCGGAGAAATGGAAAGCGGTGAATGTCGATGACCTTCCACGTCAATATTGGCTCCATATCCAACACCAGCTGCGTCCCTCTAGTAGCCGATGATGGGTTTCACATTCACAAATTTATCCTCCACTGATCTTCTTGTCAATGATGAATTGTCAGAAGTAGAACTAAAACGAAATGCGTCAAAGTTAATCTAAAGGCATGCAGTGATGCCCGGATCCTTTTCGAAGAGATTCTTGACCAGAAGTTCATAATCGATTTCTCCAAGCTTTTCTTTGTCCGCGACGGAATGCGCGTAATCCATGAACTCATCGACCGCGTCCACATCTAGAACGTCACCGATGCACCCAAGTGCATAACGCATCGTGGGTGCCTTCAGCACGCCTACCCCATCCCGGTCAAACTGCCGAAACGCTTCAATCAGAATCTCCGGCTTCGACGGGTCCTGAGGTGGATGGTGGTGGGTTACGATCCTTGCTTTAATTCACGCTAATTTTTATCCGAACAAAGTGATCATCTAATGGATCTGATGTATCAAAAAATATCTGTAACACAAGTACTTACAAAATAATCAACATGACGAAAGTCATGTATCACTACTGGCAGTGGCAGGATCTACTTTCTTCATCAAGGCAAAGACAAAAGAAAGTACGAAAAGATTCTCATTGTTGATTTCTGCACAAGTTCATCATCTCAAAAATTATAGTTACTAGGAACCTTTGCGAAATCGCTGTCCATGATTCTGAGAAAGCAATCGACATCGAATCTGCCTGGATCATCTTTGCTTCGGAATTCGTTGATCGTGATTTCTAGCTCTTTGTTTGTTGGGTTCTGGTTTACGGCTCGAAACATAGCCGGGAAGTCATCCCAGCTGCATTTCGGCTCGTCGCCTTCGTTATCCGGATTCTGCTGATACATCTGGAAAACGCTCTTGAAGCTCTCCAGTTGTTGCTCGGTCAGAGCGTACTGCGGCTCCTCTAACTCGTCCATGGTTTATTTCTGGATCATTCAAAGTATAATTAGGAACGAAGTCAAAAATAAAAATACGAATACGTGAAAATGCAAATGAAGAAGCAAACGACCCGAGAAATAGATTGCTTCAGTCACAGTCACTCAACACCGTACCTATGCAGTTTCTACAACGGAAAAAATGATGCAAGTGGCACTGTCCTTCAATAACAGAAAAGGGCTAATCCTTGATTGGGTAAGGCTACATTTGCAACTTTTAAGGGTCGAGACTGGGATGACTACCTGAATCCCTGTTGAATACAATCTGCGCAAAATCAGGTCCCATGACAATTCGGCTGGGGTCCTAGAGTCGTTGGCTTTTGATTTTTTTGAGAATTTTGTAGACGACGATAAGCGGGGTTGGGATATGCGATGATCTCTCGCTCAGTCCACTAGATGCATGGGCTCAAGTAGAATAACCATTCGGAGAGCACCATTCGACTCTCGCTCCCTCAAACGTTATCACTTTTTCGGGGACATATCTTCATCTTGCCTCCCTCGTAAAGGTCCTGCTAATCTTCTCGATGAGGGAACACACCTCAGGCTATGACCTTCAGTGGCGGAACACCTTCTACTCCTGCAGTCGCTCTTCACGTCTACTTCTGCCGATCCGATAATATTCCTTAATTCTGATTTCACTGAAAATCGGAATTGATTCAGATCGCTATCGAGGTGAAAAAACCAGTCGACGACCTTAACATTTAGTTCAGGTTTACTGACTAGAATATCTCGACGACAACCACGAGACTACGCAATTTCCATGACTAACTGTAAGTATGTAGCATTTCATGTGTATGTGTATGCTGTAGGCAGCGCAGTTTTGTTAGCATTTGCAATAGCTGCTTTGATTGCCTCTATACAAAATCAACATACAAATTGTTCATATAATCCTTGTCTCGATCGACAACCAACATGGACTACGTAGTTACTACACTAAAACTCTTTGTCTGTCGTGAAATATTTATGGTTGCGAAAGCACGATTTAGATGAGAGAGAGGATATGCTACATGCAGCCCTAGCACGTATGCACACAGGAACAAGGCAGGATCAAATGCATCATATCTGTGTTGCATGTTGGTACCAATGCGAGGCAATACATGAAGATCTTCACACCAGTGTATGATAAGAAAAAGGAAATAGACACCCGAGTACATAGATGTGGAAAATCAATCGTTCGGGACTTCCATGAGAGTTTTCTCGGAGAGGAAAAAACAATACATTTCCTGGGGCTGATACAGGTGACATCAATATTAAGAACAAACCTGATAGTCGCCTACTTTTACTTTTGTTCAAAGTAGAGGAAGAGAGAGATGAAGTCCGTCCCTCTGTTGTAATTGGCCTGAGAATAAATACAGTTGTTTTATCAAATTCGTTAGATTTTGAACGGAACGGGAACGCGTGGCTAATATGTTTCAAGTATTTGTAGTCAAGCTGCACCCTGACACAGACATTCTTGTGGATCCGACTCTATTTCTATACTAGTCAAACCCAGTCAGCCCTAGCATTACAATTACTAAATCAAACTAGAAGCATTTACTAGCGGCGCGAAAAAAAAATCAAAGATGAAATAGAAGATGTCTTAAATATATAGACACTAGCTGTAGCTCAGAATAACTACCTGTCTCTGGTGCACGAGACGGTGCTTACATAAAAGGAGATGAAAACAAAATTCAGACTCTGATATTGTTTAGGTGAAATCGATACAAGCTCTTCGTGGCAGCTGATGCCTGCAGTACAAATACGAAAATGATCTTGATGACATCAGAATGAAACCACTTTAATGACGGTCATGCTAATCTTCGGCTTTCTTTTTTTACATATACATACTACATATTATAAATATATCAAGTAACAAATAATACATACAGGTATCAGTAAGATTGAGATTCAGGTAAACACATGGCGAACATCAAGAGGGGGGCTGTTGGTTTTCCGTAGCTGCGCCTGAAAGCACTGTTTCTGCTCCTGGTGGTTCTTCTTCCGATGCCTGAAATTCGAGCTTTAGTTATCTTGGTGCACCCATAAGTAGGCCTACTACAAGAACTACATACTTGTGTTGATTTTTTCTGATGTTGGCGTCACGGTCACTTCATCCTGTATTTCAGGCGCTGGCGTATGATGAAGTGTCTTGATCTCGTCCAAAACGAGCGCGAGAATGTGCTTCATATTTGGCATGAGAAAGCATGCATGGGTTGTGTCAGAGACATAGCTAATGCGTAGAATGTCAGGTTCGTATTCTCCGAGGTACCGACGCACGATATTCGCGGGAACAATGCTGTCTTTTCCCTGCAGAAAAACAAGCGTCTGCCCCACAGGCAGCTCGTGTGGAAATAATTCTGCATCCTGATGCAGGTGTTGTGAGAAATGAGAGGTTACTGTGAGCAGGATAACCAAAATATGAAAGAGGAACATGATGCTGATGCACTGCCACTGCAAATGGACTTTTTTAAAAATGGTATCTTGTCCCAAAGGCCGCAGGATCCGAATCAGTAACGCAGCATACTAGTAGCAGTACCTGCCAGTGGATCCAGCTCATCGAGAAAGCGGTGAAGAGCTCGCGGAAAGCGACATATGCTATCACGGCATCCATCACATTAGTCGGCTCACGGAAGGTTTGGCCCATAGTGCCGACCGTAACCTTCAACGTGTGAAAACAGACTGGATCGACAAGCGACAACTTCGCAACCATCTGCGGGAAGTGCTTCCGACAGCAAGAGCTGACGTTAGACATCAAGTTTCTTCAGAACGAAAAATCCATTTTGTCTTGAAGGTAGAAGTTCGTCATCTTGGATGAAGTAACCCACACACAGCTCATCGTTCCAGAAGCAAGAAAGACAAAGAAGATGCTCTTGCCGTTGCTCTTTCTTCAAAAGTAAAAATTCAATGAGAATTTCCAAAACACCCGACCTTAAAAATGTAAGTTCCGTAGCTGTGCCCTACGAAATGCGCGCTCTGGTAGCCATGAAAATCCAGTGTGTGCTGTATTTGGAAGGCCACGGTTCCCCCCGTCGGCACAGCGTCGATGAGGCGCATAGATACCCAAGGAAAAAAGTTTAGAAGATCAAATATTCTCGTTTTGCGCCGATCGGAATCAAGATTATCAAAATATCTACGTAGTGTGCTCGTCGACGTTCCTAGACATAACTAGGGGACGAAATTCAAACCATGATCACCATGAATCCGTTAGATCTACTTTGCGCCATAAGCAAAAGAGGAAAATATCGTTATCTTCACCGAATGTTTCGACCAAGCCACGAATTAAGAGCGTGTTTCCCATCTGACCCATGCCCAGACCATGACAAAACACGATCGGAAGCTTTCTACCACCATTAGGGAGGTCCCGATTTCCGAGAAACGTCGTGTAACTATTTTCCCCATGATCAAAAGTTGTTGCAGTTTGAACTTGATTTACACGACCTGCACCACTAAAAGTTGGCGTCGCCCCGCCTGCTTGACCGATCATCCCTGGCACTCCAGAGGTCGTTGTGTCACCACCAGATGTTCCTCCTCCACCTCCTCCGTTCGCCATCGTCGTGGTTCCTGTTGAAAACGAGAAACGCAATTTCGATTTTTGAAGTTGCCGTTGTCGAGCAGTGGTGAGTCGCCCTCCGCTTCTCTCCAGCGCTCGCAGTCTCCTCTTCCTCGCCTGACGCGTCTCGTCTGCTTCACGGTAAAAGTAGCGAATCAAGCCACGATATTTCGTTTGGAAACCGCCACCCTCAAAACCACAGTTCTTCCACCAGCTAGTGCTCTCACTGTCGTATCGCAGACTAAGGGCCCACCCTTCTACCATAGGCGCAATCGCCGTTGTAAAAAAATATAATAACGCAGGTCGATAGAGTACGGGAAGATCGTCGTGATAGCATAAGAACCACTTCTTGTTAGAGATAGTAGAGGTGTGCGTGTGGGAAGAACGATTTCGCCTGAGTCAGTCTTGATATTATACAGGGTATACCAACTCCAACTACCTCCTTGCCCATAATTCTTCGTCGTTTTTTGCTCAACACGTCCCCAACCTCTGCCCAGGCAATTACGTAATCGACTTGGCTTAGACTTTCAAAGCGGATGTCCTGAGCTCAACGGAAACTGCATAAAAATTCTACAGTGAATTACAACTAAGAACAAATTCAAAAATGTCGTGTAAGTAATACTTCATCGATCTTCTAGCTGCACAACTGGTCGCTGTTCAAATGGAAGCACTCGACAACACGCACCAGATCTCTAAATTTTTACAGTAGTTTTTCTTCCACGAACAGCAGCAACATGATCATCAACCTAGTTTTCTTAACATTTCCTGCAGCTCGTTCCACTCCTCAGTGTTCCCAGTGAGTTCGCAATCTTGCTGCAGCTCTTCCACCGGTCTTGCCTCGAACCAAAACTGTGCCATCCAGTCCTCTACGTCCTCGCGGGATAATTGTCGCAAGTCTGTGGACTTATACACGTCAGCCCACTTTTCGAAAAGATCGTCGATGAACCACGAGGCGAATTCTGCCTTGCGCATGTCCACTAAGGCGTATGAAGAATGGAGGGGACCAGAACAGTGACCGCCGCAGTAATAGTTCAGAGGCTGTGTTCACTTAGTATCTATTTAATTCTTCTGTTTTTAGACAGTTCCGCTTCAGCTCTAGGTCAACGTGAATGCCCATTTGGATGCTTGAGAGAATAAGACGAGTGATCTACATTCAAAGATAAGGATATGGATACTTGTAGTTGTAAGGGTCGAGGACTAAATAAAAAAAACGAAGTAGTTGGTCTAGGTGTTTCTCCTCGATGACGACAAGCTTCATAACGTGTATTCGGGATACATCCCCTCTGGGTGGTATTGAAAGGCGCTAAGAATGCCTTCCATTCCTTGGTGCTTCATTTGCTCTGCATCGTCTGAACACATCATGCTATGCAAGTCGTTTCGAAGCTGTCGGGCGGCCGTCCGCGTCAGGAACGGGTTGTACGTGATCGCTACCCGCAGTAGGGGTTCGAAGACACCTAGAATAGACGACGCCATGTACCCAGACTTGACGGCCATAGAATAGGGCAAAAGATCTTGAAACATATGGAGCACCCAAAACGCGAAGTCGCGGATTCGGAGACTCACCGCCGAGTTCACGTACTGGACCGGATGCAGTGTCATTCTATGCATCAACTTGAGCACTACAGGCACATTTTTTACACGCTGCTATATGACGGGAGAAGCTTTTTCTATGATCTGTGAGGTTACAGTGCATGACGACATCCTAGTTCGCTTGATCCACGTACAGCTACTTACTTGTTTAGGTTCTCTGTTAGACTTAAGGTTAACCGTGAAACAAAGAATAGTAGTCGGTGCCTACTGCGATGGTTGTGCTGAAGATGGAAAAAGCTTCCTCTTCCATATGACGATGGTGATGTTGATTTGCGTGCTCGCCCTGTCGCTTGCTGTTGGGCGTTGCGGCGTGCCCAGCAAGAGTAAACGAAGATGTTCCAGCTCTACTCAAAGCATCGTCCGTATCTGCTGATATGCTGTATTAGGGGTACCTCCGAAAAAAGAAGACAGATTTTCAGGCATCTACTCTGAGCGGTTTTCTATTTGGAGATTGCTAGAAGATGCGATACGATTAAGACTACGAGTAAGAGATGGGCACGCCGCGTTGATAACCATGCATAAATACTTCGGCCAACGGGGTCGTCACTTCCGCCTCGGGGCATGTCAGCATATGGCGTCGACGCTGTGGGGTCACCACCATCTTCCAGTGTCCCCTGCTTTTCCATAAATGGATTGTAGGAGCTCAAGAAATGGTGACTGTCGTATTGCTTTTTACTACGCCGCACGAAAGAAAGCTCTGCAAAGCTCTGAGAAACACGCCGAAAAAGCGACAGATCAGTTTTTGACGAAACCGATGGACTACTCGACGATGAAATGCCGGCATTCCTGTCACCGGAGGCGGACGCGTGTGAGGCGCCTGACAGACGAGTCGCGGCAGCTGAGAAGGACCCCTCGCCCTGTCTTATTTTAGAAGTCAAAGACGCTCCAGCGTTCTGGTTCTCTTTCAATAGTATTCGCGACCGCGATGAAGAAGATGATCCTGCATGGCCCCTTTCATCACCATTATTTGACACCCACGAAAGAGTGAGCTCGTCTTTCATTCCTGTTGATGGCCCCACCGGCTCATTCCCCGACAACATGGGCAGCCCGTCACTATAGATGCTCCTCGATAATTGTCGACCTGCTAGAGGCCCATTTGCTCCTTGTTGCGCATATACGGAACGATCTCCTCCAGAAACATTAGAATTTTTACTTCTTCTTTGTTTCGACCTCATTGTGAGTATCTTAAGAGAAAAACATGATGGGAGGAAACTTGCTTCGTGCATACCTTTTATGAAGCTCACACTGATGTTCCAATGTTCATACGACAAGCAGTGAAGGTTTGTATTTGAAGTTGCACGAATATCAATTTTGTCTCTTAAAATTGGTTCTGTGCAAAAGCTGCACCGCACTGTGTGCAATCTTTTCTACACTTTCGCCGCTGGAAGACATGGGTAGCAAGATGCCTTTCGAAGAGAAGATGCGCCGAAGTTTGCCCATTTCTAAACGAGCAAGATCCTCGGTCGAGGGAATTTTCTCATCTTTTTTGAGAATGCCTCCACTGGGTCTCTGCTGCGCAGCAACCATCCGTGCCGATAAGGGGGATGATGAGTCTGACGTCGGCAAGTCGATGCCTGTGTTAGCTGCTGCTGAAGGACATGGTGGACCTGTTTCTGCTGACATTACGCGACGCTCAACTGGTGATCCATTTCCAAGGCCAGACTTCCAGCTACTCACTGACGCCCTTGCTGTTCCCCAGGCGAGACCCCCATCTCGCGCCGCAATAATTTTGGCTGTCGCTTGCGCGTCGTCTGAGAGACCACTGTTCGCACGGTGCCTAAGTGGCAAGCCACCGAACGATGATACGAGGGAATGAAAGTTTTTCTTTCTCCCTCGTACTAGTTGTACTAGTAGACGTATTACCAGTAGCCTTCATCGTTCAGAAGTGAACGGAAATGTAACAGCGTCAAAGCGCATGCCTTAGTATTAAAATATTGATATTCTAATTACAACAACACCGACCGCGAAGATAGCGTCATTGTTACTGTAGGAAGCTCTGAATTTAACTCGTTGTTCTTACGTCTTTAGATTGGGTCTGGAGGCGCTCATCTTAAGGCCGCGGACATCCGGTGGCGGCGCTGCTCGCACGAGGCGTGGAGCCTCTGTATGTAGGTGGTCTATCGTGCGTTCGTGAGATCCATGACCTCTTTTCATCTCCGTATCAGTCGCCGTATCATCAAGGTCTTCCTGCAGTTGTTTTTTCAAAATGAAACCTATCAGCTTGCTGCATCTCCTGCACGAGAGGCACAAAAGAACTATGAGTCATTCGTTCGGCCGAAGTTTCTTCAGTGTTGTTCCTGCATCAAAAGAGAAATATGATAAAAACAAAGAGAGGACAGGGCCGACAGATTTGCATTTCCCTTCATCCTCTAAATAAACAAAATTTCTTAGAGTACGTCCTCTGCATCTAGTAACTCAGCGCTTCCTGTGCGAGCAACTGGCTCGTCTTCCGCGTGCCAAGACTCCCGACTTGTTGTTCGCGATTTGTTTGAGCCGCGGTCTTGGTTAAGCTGCGCCAGTGCCGCACGGTCAGCTTATTAGAAGTAGAACGAACAACTGGCAACTTGTGTTTGTGATACAGATAGAGATAGCATCAAACAATTAAATATGATAGAATCTTGAGAAAGGTCGGCCAGCTCCAAGAACGATTTTTTAATTGCATGCTTGTGTCAGATTCGCTTTCTTAAAGTGAGTCCAACCACCACTGCAACAACTCTCTGCGGCCTTTGGTGTTTGTGCTATGCACTGGAAAGCGGTGCTCGCGAGTGCAAAGCGTTTTCTTGTGCACGTAGAACCAGAAATAAAAGCAGATCTCCACGGTAACCCAGTATATGTACGCGTAATTTATGACGGAGATTCGGGTCCCACGAAGGAAGCGAAGGAAAATTTGAGAATACTGTGCTGCTAGGGTCCGGAGTTCTTGAGGGTCTGACAGTGTCGTATAGATCGCTGACACAGCTGCGCAAACCTGTGCGACACTCGTCGGAATGATGAAACCCTCCAAGAAGTCAAGCGAGAAAAAGGAATTACCTGATCATGATCCACGGTGACGAGAATATTTGATACTTGTGGAGGCTAGTGTTTGTAGTGGGCATGCAAAAACTAATCAGACAAAAGACGAACGAAGCAGAACAGGTACACCCGGTAAAGTAATCGAATCAAATAATCAATAACCTACTCGACTACGCGACGCTTTCAGTGCTTTCAATAACGGATTTCCTGATCACAGTGCTAATGAGCAGCTCCATGTTGTGGGCGTACTTTTGACACATACATATGCAGTACTTTTCGGTTCCCGGCCCGCCAGTGCCTTGCCAATTGCTCTTCCGAGATCACTGATGTTGTTCTTGGGTTCTGGTGTCGGTATCCCCTTGAGCGTGAACACCTCTCGTTGCCAACGACGAGCAAATTGCTGGAAGGCGGAATAAAACGCTACCAATGGCACGAAAAAAATCGGCAACCGCAGCGAAACATCGAACAGGGCGACGCTGCGCGGCTTGCGCGAAAAGTTGATGTAGATCACGAGCGCGGCTGCAATAGCCGACTTCGGGCCACAGTGCGTTCTGACATATTGAATGACCGAACGCAGAATGCCACTGAACGCTCGTCGCGCAGCTGGTGAAATCGGCACGGCTTCAATTATTCGAAAGAGAATACGGAAAATCATTTCGTCCTGCGCAGCAGCGCCAGCTCCAGGGAGTGATGCGGCGGCACCATCGGGACCTCGTAAGAACTGTAGCGCCGCGGTGCCGCCAAAACCATTTGACGAAGACATCTTTTTGAGCTACAACAACGAACTACAGAGTCAATCTCAATCACCAAAAGTTAATTTCATTCCATATTATCGTGGTCACTTTGCGTCACTAAAATCAAAACCGAGTTAAATCAATCGAAAAAAATTGAAAACATGATAAAATTACTTAGAGTGACTGCTACAAAAAAATTCATCTGACACACATGCATAGAAAAAACTATGTTTTAGTTTCAAGGATCCATGTTTCTTGAGCTGGGCTGCTCGACTTTCGCTTATTCAATATGAAAAGCGTGAGCCAAAAAGCTACACATGGAATCTCCTTGATACCGTCGTCCTCAATGCTGTAATTATAATTATCTGGCTCTGCTTTCTATCTAGCGCACCGCCCTCCTGCTCCTTTTCGTAACTAATCTATTTGTGTCTCGTCCCACTCTCATCTGGTTATAAAAATATTATAGGTAGAATCAAACATCGAGACAGTTGTACAATGTACTACTAAATATGATAGAAGATACAACAAGATGAAGACTGCTTTTGGTCTATACTCAGGGTTGAATGCACCGCACCTCTGGCTAGTACAGCCCTATGCTTACACAAGACAAGAAGAAGTGAGAGAGAGAAGACTCCTACAAAGCGGTTCCATTAAAGATGTTGGACTTGGAGTTGACGTCGGCGAAAGAATCAGTGAATGTCTTCGAGTCATGATGAAACACAGCTGGCGCTTTTTTCACGCGATTCAGTATCAACAAGTGTGAGAATGTCCTGTTTTCCTCCAGAAGCCGTCTGCCTTGCTTGTGTGGAAGCTTCTTTTCGATCTCTAGCAGCTTGCCTACTGTCCGTGTCCTTTTGGCCTCCAGATGAAGAGGAGCTAGCATCTTGGCTCTTGCATTTCTGGAAAAGCGCACGCTTCCATTTTTGATACGCAGTGTAGTCCAGATTAGGGTATTTTTCGAGCATCACCTCCAACATGGCTCGCGACCGTGGGTTGCGCAGATCGTGGCTAAGCCTGTCCGCCGCAAATTGCATCGGATCCATCAAAGGCATTACTTCGAAATCCCGTGGCCGCCAGTCAAAGGGGAGCAGTGCCATGGCGCGTGCGGTGTGTACGGCTTTTGCCATACGGCGGTGCTGTTTGCGGCTGAGCAAGGTGCTTCTTCTGGGTAGGATCTGAGATTAGAACTATGATGATGCTCATCTAAAAACATCGATATCAATTTGGATTTTGATGTAGATAAACTAAGACTTTTTTCAATCTTTCTTTAGCACTAGCACTTCTTGTCTTAACATCCGTTTGGTGCGAGGTGATGCTGCAATATGTCAACATCCCGCCATGATAACTGCTTCTCGGCATTGATCCGCTGCTGCAGCACACTGGGCGTCCAGAATCGTTCGTGCAATCGGTGCGGCTTCGGAACGTCTTGGGGCAAATTTCCGGCGTTGTATTTCAGAGGATCATACCGCGCTCCGAAGCGCGCGACGACGGCTCGCCGGATGCTTCGCCTGATTTCCATGCGCTTCTCACGCGCCTCAGCCGCGCTAGCAACTTTGGCGTATTCTGCGAACTCCTGGTTGGCACGCTCTTTCTCGTTCTGGACGTCAAAAAAAGGATCCCAGTACGGGTCTACCGAGTATCCGGAATAGCTCCCCGCTTGGCCTTTCTCGTTGCTGTAAAGCGACAGGAACGCAGAGACGTGGTCGACTGTATCCTCCGGTAGCAGCTGTGATGAAGCTGACGCAGATGGAAAAAGGGTATCTTCGTGAACAGCACTCCTACCACCTGGTGGTACCCCACGTCCATTTTTTCTACCATCTGATGAAGTCTCAGATTGCTGCTGGCCTGCCGCGTTGATCCATCGTTGTACACGGCGTTCTGTGGTATCTGGTTCCACACCCTCCACGTTGTGGAGCCCTCGTAGATGGTTCCCGCGCTCCAGCCGCTGAAATTGCTGCCGTACGAGATGAATCTCTTCGTTAGTCAGCTTATTCAGCTCAGCTTTTGCCTGCAGCATGATATTCTGTGTTGCATTGTTCTCGACATTGATGCGCGTCTGCCGAATTTTGTCTAGACACTCTATAAAAAGCGCAGAGCTGCTACCATTATGCGACACTTTATCGCATCGCATGCGGCTGCGTGTCGAAGCATTGACACTAGAGGCGTGCGCTTCAGCAGCAGTTGCGGATGCTCGTGTGCTCGAAATAGAGGACAGTGTTCGTCGTCGAATTAAGGGCACTCCCCTGTAGTTAGCTCGACCCGGATTTTTCGACTGCCAAGACGAACGGATTACACCAGGTGAAAACGAAGCAGACGACGACATCGTAGGTGTGGGTAGGTCCAAGGAGCTAATACAAATGTCCGGCGGTTGCCAACTATGCAAGATCTGCAACACGTAGGAGCATCTCTCAAATACTTCACCTCCCGCGTAATATACGCATACACCATGTAATATGTTGAAGACATACGTTAGATCGCTACTTGTTCCTTGCTCCGTTTTCTGGACCATAATCCAGAACCAGATAGAGGCATGTACAGACAGTTGGAAACGATAACGAGCCTGTCTCGCCGTAGTCGACTATGACTTTTGCCCTTGCGAAGTTCATAGATTGATTCGTCTCATCCTCTTCAGTATGTAAGTAACTAAGTACATCAATTATCCATAAAGTCACTTGCCAATAAACTGATAATTTGTTCAATGCAAAAAACACTGTGCAGTGCATCAAGAGGAAAAGTATATCCTTGGCCTTTGTTTCCGCGCGATCGATGCATACTGACATCGATCCATCCATAACCATTTTTTTACAGAGTATTTTTCGTCTAGTCTTAATTTAGTTGTCTAGCTGTACGAGGTGGAAGACGCTGGAGCAGCATACTTGCAGTCTAGTAGATGCGACTAAGTACTTATATTTAGAAATAGATATACGTATCGATTCTGTTTATGATTCTGGCGCCCTCGGCCTGAAACAGAAACTGTAACAGGAAACATAGCAAGTGCACGAGTATTTTCACTTTAAATAATGTCCATCACTTCAACTTGTTTACCTGAACTTTGCTAGTTCCTTGCAATAGCACTTGCAGCTGTTGGAAAGATTCAAACTGAAACGAAACACGACTAGAAATACTTACCAAAGTCTACATCAATATGAATATCATCAAGATAGAATTAAATTTAGAAACTCGAACTTTCATAAACAAAAACAGAAACTTCAAAAAACAAGTACAAGTGCATTATCAATCTTGACCTTCTAAAAATCTTCGACTTCGAGATTTTCTTCAACAGGATTGACTTCATTGTCTTCTTCGTCTACCGTCATAGTTGTCGATATGCGCGACGCCGTTCTTGATGTGCGCGTTGTTCGCCCGTGGCTCTTTCCATTGTTTTCCGCCAGTTCTTCATCGGGCGTTGGTGATAGGTGCTCGTTCTTAGCCGGATCGTCTTCGGCGTCAGGTTCGTCTTGTACTATAGAAATAGACAGTCCCCCACTTTTTCGACTAGTAGTTCTTGTTTCACTTTTTTTGCTCTTTGCTGGCGTTGCGCTGCTTGATTTCGCCTTTCGCATTTTATTCGGTCGCTGCTTAGCTTCGTCGGGACCTGATCCCTCACCGCACATTTCGGCTTTTGACGGACTGACGACAGTGCGCGCACGCCGTGACCGCGATCCACTTTTACCACCTTTGTCTGGAGTTGCAGATGCAGGCGGCGCGTCGTCTCGCTCTCGCATCTCATCGCGGAGCGAGTCATCTGCAGCTGTGACTGATGTTGAGGATATTCTCGTTTTCCGACCTCTGCTCATTCTACTGCCTCTCGGCTCGTTCTCGCCTGGTCCGAGCGTCGCTCCGACGACGTCTGCATCATCTCCCCTATTTGGAAAAAGCAAGTTCCGGACTTTCGATGTTATGTCCGCTAGCATGGCGATAGCCTGCGGACGTGCACCTGCACTGGGTCGCTGCGCTTCATCACGCTCGTGGTCTTCGGCTTCAGATGCGCGGCTCCGTGCCGTTGTCCTACTTTTCTTTAAGGCAGGGCCCGTTGCCATTGATTTCTGGGACGAGGATCCGCGACCGTACCCAATCTTTGAGCTCTTCGACGGTCGACTGCTCGCTTCTTCACCATCATTTTTTGCGACCGTGCTCCTACTCGTGGTCCGCTTTGGGTCGCGGCCATCCGCAACATCATCAGCCAGGTCCTCTACATCGTCATCGTCCATAAGAGAGTCAGGTTGTTGAGATGAGTCCGAGGCTCTGCTTGCTCGCGTTGCTCTGCGGGCGACGTCGTCCTGCTCTCCTCCACCTGCTTCATCTTCCTCATCTGAGTCTTGAAGCTCTTCTTCGTCAAGCTGCTCCTCCTCTCCCTCGGTTTTCTCGCGACCTAGCGCGACATTAGTAGAGATGCGGTCGTCTTTCAGCAAAATCTCATTGTTTCCCCTGGACTCGGACCACGTCCACCAAATCGCTAGCGTTGAGGCCTGTTTATGACGCCCAGAAATCCCCGCTGAATTGCCCAACCCATCCTCCTCCTCGTCGGCAGGGAGGCCCCAGAAAGCGCGGAACATAGCCCGTGTTTTGCGGGCATTGTCCCGTACCATAGCCCCGAAGCGGTTACCGAGGCCTCTATGTTCAGGTTCTACCCGCCAAAAGGATGAAGTAGAGCCTGAGCTCAAATCGTCGTCACGACCTTCTACGCGCAAATTTTAGAAAAAGGTGCTTTACAACGATTCTATGATAATGATACTCATGGAGATCATTTCCCCTAGTAACTAATTCAATAGATGAAACTGAACGTGATGAGTGGGAGTGGAAGAAATAAGTTGTTGAAGTTCAATTATCATAGTCTCCCTTTCGCTTTCCATAACTCGTTGCACGGACATCCGCCCCACCTCCTCCTAGCGGTTGCAGCTTGTCGATCATATAGTCAGCACCTTTTGCGATGCCATCCACGACTGGTCGCGTGGTGGCCAGCAGCGTCCGTGCGACGGGAGAGCGCTCAGCGGCTGCGTCCGCGAGAGCACCCGCCCCTTTCGCTACCGATTTCCTTATCGATGCGGGAGTCGGAGGATTTTCCCGTGTCGCTTTTGCGCAGTGGATAGCATTGCAATAAGTCGCGATACTCAGTTCCTTGAGGGAAACCCAGAACCAGATCGTTATGGTTAGAACGAGAAAGACTATGATGCCAGGACCTTCCAAGAATTCTAGGAACAGGCGAATAAAGCCATTTTTTTTCTCGGGGTCGCCGTAGAGATCTTTTTTCCGACAAACGGAGTCAACTTCGCCATTCGTCAACGCCAACACGCGACTAATTTCCAACGCGGAAGGGAGATCGCCCTACGAGAAATGAATGAACATGAAGACTTGATAAATATGATATTGCTTTCGCTTTGTTTATGGTTCATCTTCAGCTGTATCTATGTATACATAGAAGTGTACTAAAGGAGGTTAACGGACTCGGTGCATACGTTCACGAGCATTGCTTTATGCAATGGACAAAGATTTTGAACACACACTTCAACTTCAAACTCAAAACGCAGACCGTTAAAGTAAAAGAAAAACGGAAACGGTGCTTAACTTTAGTAAATTACCGGCACAAAAGCGAATCTGACGTCTGCAGTTTCCGATCGCAGAGTTGTGTACTGCGTACACACAGGAGTTTCGAAAGCGTAATTGTAGCCCATGCATGCGGGATCTCGCGCACAATGGGTTTTGCACTCCTTTTCATCCTCCACATCGCCCTGAATCGCTGCCATTCGCTTCCCCAAGCCGTCAACGCATTGGCCACGGCCCACAGTGAGCCACTTTGGCGTTCCTCCGTATGGATCCGAAACACAGAGACCCTCGATGCAGATGCCTCGCTCCATGGTCTGAACTCCGTTACCGCTGGGCCCTCCGCATGGCGTGCCTTCCGCGGCACGCGGGAATGAGCAGGTGCCGGTCGCCGGATCACACACACCGGCAACGCGGCAGGGGTCGTTGCTCGGAGCCGGGCACTGGATGTTGGAGCACAAGTCTACGATTACGCCTTTGCAGATCCCACCGCTGCACCGGTCGCCCACGGTGTATAGTCGATGGTCATCGCACAATGTATCGTCAGGTTGAAAATTGTATATGCACCTGGAAAAAAGGAGATGGACACCCAAGCATAGTCAAATAAGACCACATAAGATGTTTTCTCGATCTTGCATCTATCTGATCTCTCCCTTCATCAAAGAGAAGAACTTCTACATCAACCGAAGATGAATCGACGGACGAGTAGACGCGGAGCACGATGCAGTACTTGCCAGTTTCTGGAACGCAGTTTCCGGGAAGCTCGGTACAATAGGGATCAGCATTTTGACACTGAACGCGATGCAGCTGACACAGATCCGGAATTCCTATGCACGTGCCCATGCCATCGCATTTGTCGGTCTCGGCAGGCGTGAAGAAAAGACCGTCATCGCATGCTGTCCCCTTTGGCAAGAGAAATGAACGCGGAAGGACGAAGATAACCAGGAAATGTTTGATACTGGAGAAAAAAGCAAAAAAAATGAGCGATGTTGTGAGATTGAGATAGAAGGCCAAGTATAATATTTCTAATTTTCAGACCAGTTCTAAGTAAGCATCTTTTCTCGAGTAGAGTGGAGGAGCTGCCATTGCGATTTTAAAAGCAAACTGAACAAGAAGTTCCATGACGTAAATTCGGAAACGCACATTGTCCTGACGACGGCATACATGTCCCCTCGCCTTGGCACATATCATCCGCTATGCACACCACGTCATGTATCAGGCAAAGATTGGTTGGACAAAACTGATATCGAGCGCATGTAGGAGGAGGATAGAGGTGCAAGCCACAGTTTCCCGGCAGAAGGATGTCGCTACATTTCTCCTTTGTTTTCTCGAGTAATCCCACGTCACAGGTCGGGGGAAACCTCGTCCCACGCCTATTTCGACAATCACACTGCTGATAGTTTCCGCACTGACGAATACAATTCCGCCCCTGCGCGCCTGGGCTGAGTGGATACTTGACCCCATATCAAAAGGCTAGTCGATGTACGGTGCTGCATGCTTTACAACTATTGGCCCGTTCATTACGGCAATTGTAAGAGGTAGTCTAACCTTTATTTGAGTCTAGAAGCTCATGAGACTCCCCAGCAACAAAAAAAAAAATGTGAGCTTAAAAACTCCATGAAGCACTCTGGTATACGCATACGTTTTTCAGAAGAAGTAATCGTTTACCATCGCACTCTGCGTCGGGGACGTGGCACGCCGCTGGGCAGTAGTTCCGGAGAAACAGCGTTCGAGTGTCTGCACAGTAGCCACGAACCTCCTCCATACTACTTAAGACGCCTCCGACATAGAAAACGCACTGCGTCTCAACGAACAAGGACATTGCCGTGCAGTCACAGTTTTCCGTCTCGCACTCAGTTGCGACCAGAGAGGCCCACTGGGCTTGCTTCGAGACGTCGACGCCAAGCTCTGAATACTCAGATGCGAGCACGAGAACCGATCGCTCGACATTGCGACAGCAATTTCTGTGACAAAAAGCGTCTTCCTCATCCGCGCTTGTCGATGCGTTCGTCGCTGTTGATAGGGAGCGGCCCTGTGAATGTGTTCGAGATCTCCACTTGTTCGCTGTGGCTGTGTTTTGTATTAGTCTGTGCTGAAAAGCAGCGGTTCGTGAATTCCCAGCTTCTACTCCTGTTTCATCAAAAGTTTGGCTTTGTCTGACGCTCAGCGTCGTGGTTGATATGCCTATCCGCGGATCCCCTCTATTGGCAGAAATGAATCGGAAGAACGATGAGCCTGCGAGAACAACCAAGAAGCTTGCACGGCTCACGTCAAAAATGGCCAACGCCGTCCACAAAAGGATGCAAACAAGCCGCCAAGAGAAAAGAGCGAAGGTTTGCAATAGAGATGAAGGTGGAGGACACGCATGCATCATGAAACAATCCGAGGAGGTAGAATGGCGTTGCTGAAGCGATAAAAGCACTATCGGGTGCGGGATCTGGACAATCAAGTGACTACTTACTCAGTGTTCATTCTTACGTTGTGCATACTTTTTCCTGGTAAAGTAAGAATTGAAGATGTTGCGTCATGTAGTTCTTTTATACATCCGCGGCGGTTCATCTCTCGTCTTCCAAGCTTCTCGACAAAATCGTGCCCTCCATGTCCGTATCCTTTATTATCAAATACAAATAAGTTGTAATAGACTCCCTCTCTTCAGCATAGATTTACTGGCCGACTACTCAAGAATGACCCCCGCTCGTCAGACTTCAGCTTCGTAAGGGTTTGATGGATAACACAACCACAAAGGCATCTTCTGCGAAATTTCTGCGAGCTACTATGCTAGCCGCGGCATAAGTGGTCGGAATCGCAGTCATCGAGGATTTGAATGACAGCCCCCAAGAAATGAATATCACAACATTGATTCTTCACTAGCAACAAGACATGTCGAATCCACATGCACATTTTTTGAATGAACAAACAAACATCAGCCTGTCGTGTGTCCACCGTTTTTCGAATAGTTGTTCTTTCATGAATAAAAAACGAAGTAGATACATACAGTTTTTGAAACTTTACAGGCCGTAAAACAGCATACAGCACGACAACAGTGCTTGATTGTGATAGTCCCCCAAAGCCAAAGTCTATATACAGGTGAATTTTCTGCATGTACATAACGTCTAATCCCATAACACTAGTAAGCACAAGTAGCATCAACAGCCATCGTGGGCATGCTCCTTTGAGCACTCTAATTTGTTACCATCCATCGAGAAAAACAGTTCGTCGTGCTTCGAGAGCGAGTCAATATTTCGGGAATAATGCTTCCGTTACTAGCAAGTCTTGATTGTCATTACGAGAATGTGGATGTGCCGTCCTCATGCTGATTATAATTTGCTCTATCTCTATAACTTCTCAAACTTATGACTCCACTCCTGCTCCTGGCGTCGCTTCTGCCGTCTCATTTGGCGGTCTCGCCTCAGTGTTTTCTTCTATGCTGGCACTAGCGCTGCCTTCATCGCTGCCCGACTCTTCCCCCTCTTCCCCGTTCGGACTCTCTTTGTCCTGGATCTCACCTGCTGCTGCTGCATCCTGTATGGCAGACTCTGGTGAAACACCGGAGGCGTCCCCGAGTGCTGGCGGCTCCTCGCCTTCGTCGAAATACGCTAGAAGGTAGGAGTGAAAAAAGGTGACGTGAATCAGAATCAGACTCAGAGCAAATGAAGCTTCTAATAGTAATAAACAAGCCTTGAAGCAAAGAGAACAGTGCTGGAAGATGTCAGGAAGCTTCTAATAAACAAATATTTCGATTTATCATCGTTGTATCGTAATCATCCTAGCAATTTCATTGTCTTTCTCAATCTCGAAGTCGAACTCCATCTTGATAGGACTTAAGTTGTACAACACGCGCAAAATGCCACGAGGTAGTACACAATGACAAATCCAAATCAAAGAAGTTTGGTTGTAGTACGATCCACTTTCCGTCCGGCTTTGTACTTTTCGACAAGTTGGTCTTTTTTGTCTAGCATCGAGTTTTTGCCGTCAATAAGTGCTTCACAGATCGTTTCTCGGAAGTAGAAGGCCAACAGAATGCCGAAAATTGCAGAGAACCCGCCCCAGCCGATGAGAATGTTCAAGATAGTAAACCCACTGCTTTCCGGGTCGCCGACGTAGTCCTTCTTTCTGCACACAAATTCAGGCTCGCCAGGTTTTGGCGCAAGAACGCGTTGGATTTCCAAGGCGGGTGTCTGATCTCCCTCCAGCATGTTCCACCCGGCAAAATCTGTGGTACTCCGTACGGTTCCAAACAAGGTGCAAATTGGGAACGCGAAACTGTAGCCCTTGCATTGGTTATCTTCGGTACACAGTTGTCTGCACTCGCTTTCCTCGCCCACATCTCCCTGCTGGGCATTCATGCGAAAACCTTCAAAAAGAAGAACAGTAGTCGGCGATGTCAAAGTGTCCTTTCATGAAAACTGTTTCCGCTTGGGGACATGATAAAACTGTAGAACCAACCAGCAGTTGACGAAGCCTGATGGAAAAAAGAAGAAGAAAAACAGCGATGGTGTTTTTGTTAATATCCTCTTGTTCTACAGCTTCTGGTCCTGAACCTGATCGGAAATGCTAGTATCGCAGTACCAAGTTCATCAACGCACTGTCCCTCACCCACGGTACGATAATTTGGGCTGCCGTGGAACGGATCCCCAACGCAAACTCCATCGATGCATCGTGGATTTCGTGCGAGCAGATTTCCCTGTCTGTCGTCGCATGGGACCTGAAGGCTGGACGCAACGATTGGCATTCGTCGTGGTCAAGGACATCGTGGTCAACCATAATATATCAAGACTACACAACTGATCGTGATAGTACCAGGGAGGTTTTGGCTAACGAGATTAGGTATTTTGTAGCCAACGAGATTAGGTTTTGGCTAACGAATACACTAAAATTCCGAACAGTGGGTAAAAATTAACAAGTCGCCAAAACGCGAACATGCTGATTCCTCAAGAACTCCACCGATCAATATCAATGGAGAAGTTTTGATACCCCATTCGGCTTTCGCTCGTATTTGCAGGCACCGGACGCTTGGTCGCATGTTCCATAGCACATATCATGACAACCGCCATCGTCCACGCATGGGACAGGCGCACAGTTGATGGATGCGCAAAGATCTACGATAGTTCCAACGCAGAGTCCCTTTTGGCACTGATCGCCAACAGTGTACGGCCGTCCATCGTCGCATTCTGTATCGTCTGGCCGAAAATCATACACGCATCGCCCGGTTTCAGGCTGACACTGCCCCGGGAGAAACGTACAGTCGGGGACACCAGAACGACACTGAATATTGTGCTGCTGGCACATATTCACCAAACCTGAGGGAGAAAGAGCTATTCTTGGTTACTGGTGGGTGAGCGGGATTCATTGCAGAAAAAAGCGAAGAACTAGGATTATGTTCGCAGTTGCACGTCTAGTACCCCTGTTCCAGTGTTGCCATAAAAAATGATGTCACAACAATTTGGAAGTACGACTTGATGAACTACTGTCATGCACTTGCTCGTCGAAAAACTGGTTTTAATTCATTAATTTGCATTACCTATGCACTTGCCCATCCCGTTGCAGGTTTTGTTGTATGTGTAAAAAATGTTATCCTCACACTCCGTCCCTCTCGGAAGATTGGGATATATGCACTGACCCGTTGATGGGATACCTGTGTGAAGTAGTGAAAGAAAAACAGTCTCTTTGCTTTCGTTTCAAAGGTGATAAACATTTCTTCGCAGAAAGAGAGAGTGTATACATCATTGCGTAGAAGCTATCTTCACTGAATGCTGTAGTCATCAAAACGTAAAAATATCATCGACTAGGTTTTTGAGGTGGACGCAAACGCGGTTAAAATACAGATTCCGTCGCCCTGGCACATGTCGTCTGGTATGCACACACGATTGCGAATCAAGCACTGGTTCTTAGGGCAGAAGTGGTATGGAGCGCATGCGCTGGTGGATATTGTGTGCATAGCACAGACAGCTGGAGGCTCGAAACAAGCGGACCCGTCAACTTCCAAGACGCCCACACAACGTGGCGGATTTTGACTGCCTAGCCTATTGCTGCACTCACAGTTCAGGTAATCACCGCACTGCTGCATACATTGCCTTCCCTCCTGTGAGTTACAATCAACAGGGGCGCATGCTGCTGGACAGTATGCCTTTTCAAACAAATTTCGCGTCCCTCCTGCACTACCGCAATAGCTGTTGGAGTGGAGTAGAATTTTGTCGCGAAAAGCAACGAGAGGTGCTGTTTTCAACACTACTTGATTTCAACATTAATTTCTTTTACCTCATTTGTCAACAATTCACATCAACTGTGAGCGTGACGGTTTTTAGAACATCACCAGTAAGTAGGAAAACGTTGCAAGCCGCGGGCTCAAAGTCTAGCTCTAGTTACAACCATGATTAGTACTTCTGCACTTCCGAAGGCGACGAGACTATTTGGCCGACGTAGAAAACACACTGCGTTTCCACCCATGCTGCCAGCGCAACGCAGTCGCAATCGACTGTCGCGCACTGCGTTTCGGACAGGTCCGTCCACGTTTGCTGGGCCACGGCTGTCAACCCCAAATCCGTATATTCCGCCGCAAGGATCTTCACACTTCTCTTCACGTCCGCGCAACAATTTATGCGCGCATTGCAACCGGCCGTCGTAGTCGTCGTTGTCGTGGTTGCATTGTTTGCGGTAGCATTGGTCTGCAAATGGCGCAACACCTGTTCAACCTCCTGCAGCTGACTATAGAAAGCATCGTGATCGACATCATGGTACTCGTGGAGATGCCCGAGCGTTTGCATGGTTTGCGCTTGCTTCTCCTGCACAGCCCATTGCAATGCGTCGTCGACGTTCAGTTGCTCTTGAAGCATCCTCTTCTTAGCTTCAGACTCAGCGCCGTCCTCCCGTATTCGCGGTGCCGCTCCAGGATCTGAAGACGTCTTCGACAGTTTCTCATGCTTCTTATCCTCTGCAGGAACTCCCACAGCACCTGCGGCACTACTCTTATGCTCGGAAGTATCCTTCATCTGCGTCTCCAAGATTGACAGCGCTCGGCGCACTAGGTTCGACGCGGTCCGCTGTCGCTCGCCCCCTCGTCCTCTATTCTTCAACTCCTTTTGGTCTACGACACCGCCACTCTGCACATCGGCAATCATGGCAGTCGCCACGATTTGTTCCAAGTATCGGCGAGCTCGGTCGGCTACAACACTTGCTTGTGATGCACTGTGGGGCCGATTGTGTCCCTTTTCTTTCTCTTTCGCCTCCTTTACAAGATTTTCGTATAGACGCCGTCTTCGCGCCTGCTCTGCTGCCGCTGATTTACTCTGCTGGTCGGTATGGGAAGCAATGTGCCCGTGGCCTTGTGCAGCTCGCGTTTCGTCATCGCGTGCTACAGCTTCATTCTCTTTGCTACTAGTCGCGCTCTCATCGAGCCTTTTTGTCGACGGAGACGGGTGGCTCGCTACTGCTTGTGATGACTGCGAAGCCATGTCACTTTCCACAGATTCTAGTCCTCTTTTTTCTTTACCTCCGCTGTGTTCCGCTCTTGCTGCAGTGCTTCCCTCTTCGCCGCTACGGCGTTCCGTTTCTCCAGTCTCTGGGTTGTGCATTTCGACGAATCGCTCTAGGCTGAGCAAGGCGACCTCGTTCGGGCTGAGATAAATGTCTTCTCCTGGCTCACCGTGACGTGGATTTAGGTATCGATAAGCGTGACCGTAGAGAGCAAACATCTTTCTATTCGAGAACTCGATCGCTGCTCGTCTCAATGCCCGAGCATGGATCACATCCTGCGGGCTTCCACCACCAGGTGAGGCCCGCGTCGCTGCACGGTCCGCTAACATGGCGCGGTAATCCCATGGGCTCTCATTTTCTTTCCGCCTTTCTGCGTTTCTGCCCTTACCGCTTCCGGCGTAGGTGAGACGTCGATTGGATTTTCCGCTCGTTTTTGCAAGCTCCTCGAAGTATCCAAAGAGCGAGCCAAAGAACCGCCGCGGGAGAGATTCCTTGTCCCGACTTTTCGATGACACAGTGTCGCTCCCTGGCGTTCTGCCGTCTGGTGGCGCAGCTGCAAGATTCCGTTTTGCCGTGTCCTGTTTCTCAGCATGCTGAGGCCCGCTTCTGTTGGCATCTCCAGCTGCGGTGGCAGTCTCTTTTGACTTCGCATTTATTCCTCCTGCCTCTGATCCTTTCTTTGTATCCTGCAGCGCAATCCTAGGACCCGTACTGCTCTCGGACGGCGTCGGTGTATCCGGGAACACCGGCAACCCGTTCAGACCTACTGTAGGCACATAAGCAGTCGGGTCTGGGTTCTGATAGGCAACGGCCGATGCCGCTGCGGCAACGGCCACACCACGTCTATTTATTCGCATTTTGGAGGCTGTGCTGTCGTTCTTTTGCTTCTGCTCGTTGAACCGCTCATGGAGTTCGGTTTTCTCTATACTACACCAGAAAGGGTTGATTTGGTTGTATTCGACTCGAAATCCGACAGTCAGCTAAGTAAAAATATCAATCTCTAAACATGATAAACGAAATCTCTAACTCTAATTTTTTTGACTAAGAACTAGTGCTAGTGGGAACAAGAGAAAATGCTTTATTTCTTTGAGAGGGACGTGTCTTGTCATTGCAATTAGGCATCACTTTATATGGGAATGCAGCTTAATGTTGTAGAAGGCGTAAATATGATAGAAAAACATGCAAATATGCGAATTTCATGGACGTTGTGGTCCAAATTGTTCCTGAGGCTGTCGTGTGTTTTGATCGGGGTTGGAATTTTTCTACGTAAGCAATTTTTAAGCCTGAATAAGATGTATCTGTATCAATATTTTCATTTTCGCTCCTCCTTTCCACTTCCTACTTGTTTCCCTCATTTTGGTTCCTCTTCTTGTTCAACGACTAAACTACTACTTATTGTTTTGTTCTTACCATACCTAGGCGTGTCTCCTCGACTCAATGAACACCTTCGTCATTTCGGTTTTCACTCGATGCTCTTCAAACCTCTTAAGTACTCGACAAAATAAAAAGGTTTCTCATTCTCTCTCGCATATAATAATACAAATCGAAGCTTAACTCACCCTCAGCGTAACGACCTTTACTATGGGTAAACCAAAACCATATCACAACACTTTGATTTCTTACTCACTCACAGAAGGAACACAAGTGGATGTGGCAAGTGAAAGTGTGGCATAACACTATACTTCAACTTCTTCTGCAGAAGGAAGGAATCAGAACTGCAACTGCAGCCAGAGCATTGAAAAATAAGGCCTCTAGTAGCTGACACCTATTCATGATCATGATCATGCAAGTGTGTGCCAATCGATTACATAACCACCGCAGTCATGCAAATCCTTCATTCTAGGTTTGCGCAAAGCGTGTGGGGGTCTTGGATCATGAACTAGTGTTCTGCAGTTCTCTAACCCAGGTTTTTCCGCAAAGTATGCCCGGGCGGACGCTGGCGGCGCATGACATATACCAAATTGATCCACCTGCAAGACAAATTTCGGTAAATCTTCAGGATATTCTTCCTCGATGTACACCCCTAAGCGAGAAACGGCGTCAACAGAACAAGGGTACTCAATCGACTGCCATTGCGATGCGAATACTACCCGACCAGATGCGAAAACACAACCTGCGACGAAAAACAACGGATGATGATCGTCGGGAACTTTCGCAGTAGAAACACCAGCAGCCACGCTGTTCTTACTGCCATTGCAGTCTTCATCTGCTTTTTTGCTAGAAGAGAATGATTGCCGCAAGTCCGCAATGGATGCTACCTTTGGGGCTTTTGATCCAGTCTTTCTGGCCTCATGGCGCAGGCACAGAGCCCGATAAAGCAGCCGGGAGACTTCGGAAAGCGCACTTTCATCCATAGAAACGGAATCCATCACAACATCTCCTCGTGTTGAGGAACTTTCCTGTACTGCATCGTTTCCAGGACCATTTGCTTTTTCTTGTGATGCCCACGCGCGCGCACCATTTTCGTTTATTGTGTTTGGCGGAGCAGGTTCAACCGGCTCGCAGATACGCGTCAATGACCTTCCGAAAGGAAGGATGTTGTCCCTTTTCACCCCGATGAAAGGACATGGAAAGGGCCAGAGGTCCTGAAGAAAAACGCAGAGGTGGTCCGTCGATGGCTTGCGGTCCGCTGCTGCTAGATAGATCGGGACACGTGTTTCGTAGATTCCAAAGTGCTCTGCCATGAACTCCCGGCACATCGCCCCAGGTGCAATGTAGTCTGTGGCATCCGTTATTATCAGCAACTGCAATACCGTCGTTGCGTCGCCCTCACGCACGCGCAAATTCGTCAACGCAACGCGCTCCGCGCAGACGCCACCACAAAGCGACGTGGTTTCCATATTGGCACCGACCATTATCCGACACTGCTCATCACCCAGAACATCAAGGAGTTGTCCATTGTCGTCGACTCCTGGCACCAGCTCCCCTCCTGAGGGGGGGGCCGCTGTAACGCTTGTAGCTCCAACTCCACCATCCCTCAACGATATCTCTGAAGCTGTACTCCTTGTTGTAGCAGATTCACCAGTCCCTGGTGATCTCGTGCTCCATTTGAGCGTCGACGACTGCATATATTTCGCATATCGGACCAGGCACACTACGCGAAATTGAGATCCATCGGGACGTTGCAAATTTTCCTTCTGAACATTGGCGAAGTCGTACAAAGCGTCGAGCTGTTCAAGATGAAGCAACGGAGCTTCATTCTTACAGGTGGAGGTGGGCATTATGATCACGCGCACGTGCGAAGCGGAAGCCTTTTTTTACAAAAACGTGATACTACTTGTAGTACCACTTGTTACATGATCTTGATGCATTTATTCTTCAAACGGTACATTATTTGTCGCAAGGAAAGATCGTCTGGCTGCATTTGGAGAGCGTAGTATGAGCAAGCTTTGTCGCGTTGGTGTACATCGAAATATCTTCAGGCCTACTTGTGTCTGCCAATGTGCTCGTAATCCTGAGGAGATCGAACAAACGTGATGCCCTCATCCAGCATACTTGAGGATGACGAAAGAATGTTGAGTTTGCAAAGTCTTCGTCTTCGTTTTATCGTGTCTATCGCATCATGAACAAATTTACCGCAATATTTTCTTTCTCACAATTTAGCAGGTACGGGTTCATGCTCATGACCCCAGGTCGACGACCTCGCAAGGCGGGCGGACCAATAAAGTCCACTTTGTAATTCTTGTATCATATCATCTATACATAATCCGTTGACATCATGAAGAAGTTAATTTCTGATCGCGTGTAGATAAGAAATGCGCGACCGTGATGGCGATAATTGTCTTCTCATTCAAACTCTTTGTAAGCGTTTAATTCTGTTTGAAATTGGATAATACTTTGACGGAACCATATACGGCTTGTCTCTTTGAACTAAATCGGAATTGTTTACTGAAAATTGGCATCTAGCGCGGTCTTCTGATATATTTTGGAGCGTAAAACTGAAGGTGATTTTTAGGTAAAGAATAAAAGCTCGTCAGGCGTGTCATCTAGTAGAACACGTAGCATGTGCATGATCATGTAGCTTTAAAACTAGTGCTGATGCTGCTACCCCTCTGGTCGTTGAGGCAGCCTCTTACTGCCGTCACCTCTGCATCACCACACGACCAGGCCTCTGCATCACCACAGGTGAATTTCACCTAGCTTGGGCGTGTGCTGAGACTCTTCGATCGCGACGTTGAACCTGTCCGAAGCTGCGAGGAGATGTCGTCTATCAGGGCTTGCCTTCCTGCTTCGAAATTGTCAATGAAGTTAGGCTTCATCTGGACTGTCGGGTTGCGCGCTTTAATCGCATTATCGAAATCCCATCGATAGTAATCGAGCCGCCCTGGTGCGAAGATCGTTGGAGTCGAAGTGTATATAATTAGTGGTGATTCACTTTATGTGTGCATGTAGTTCTTGATTCATTTTCAGTACAAGTTGAAGTTCATGGACATGGTGCACAGGATGAGAAAAAGAATGATCATTAGGAATAGCCGACTATTCAATGTAAAATTTTGCACCTCTTGTCAGCTGTCCCGCGTCTGTAAGTTCTTCTGTTAAATCCGCTTGCTTGATGTCGTTTATTCTTTGCTCCACGTCCGACAAAACCCGTTTTTCCTTGAAGAGTGCTTCAAGCTCCGGGACTGAAGGTACTGCGCCTTCTTTTTTTAATGCAAAAAGCTTGTCTTTCAACGCCGTCTTTTTCACCTTCAAGATACATCAGTGTGCTTCTTCATCTTCACAGGAGAGAATTCTGATATTCCACTCATTCACATTCTTCTCGTATCAAACAATCTCATCAATCAGTATCTCTTTAATAGTCATCTACTCCCCAAGTTCTAGAGGAAGAAGATAACTATTTTAACCATCAGAGAACGAATAAGATTGAGTTTCCATGTCCTTACGCAACAAGTTGAGAAGCAAATGCTAATGTGGTAGTACAATGCAGTCGTCGACGACCTCCATACAGAGACTGCGGGCGAAGTCTTCACTAAGAAAAAACTCGGACTTGAGACTTCGATTCATGTGAAAGTGGTGTATGAAGAATTTCTCCAATATCCCTAGATACTGCCGCACACGTTGTTGTGACGTCAGGTGCTTTACTCTTCGAAGCGCAAACGAAAGTTGGACTCGTAAAATCTTCCGCTCTTCCTGTTGCAAAGTAATGGATCCTTCATGTTCTTAGAAAAAGATTGAGATAATCATCATCATGGCGTCTCAAGTAGCCAAAGCCATCGTAAGCTACTAGCAAGACGAAAGAGACTCAGCGACGATTAAGATAATGATTTGAGCTTGATTATTCTACTTGTGGTGTTTTTCTACAACAATGGACTACAAAATTCAAAATCTGGAATGAGCTGCAGAAAAATTTTATCTTCAAACAAACTTATCTTCAAACAAATTCAAATCCTTGAACAAGAGCACATCGCGACTTGCAATACGTTTGTGACGCGTTTTTCTTGTCGATTTATTAGTGTATCGCTGAAGACAGTTTCGTCCCGATTGCCGGCTTTGAAGACATATGAGGAATATGGATTCCCTGTTCCTAGGTTGCCATGTAATGAGTACGCGGCGCCTTTTCGACTATGAGAAACTCCAATATTTCCGGGCATCTGTAAGTGAATCGACAATAGAATGGCAAAAGCGAAGGTGGAAAGGCGATTTCTAGATCATTCTAACAAGACTTTCTTTTGGTCATTGACTACTTTACATTCGGCGTAGTGCAAGAAAGTTCGATGAATACTGAATCAGAGGATAACATTAACAGGTAAAACAAAGCGATACCGCTGCGTCCTTCCATCTTGAAGGCGGATAGAGTGGTGCTGCTGAAGCCGTTAGTGGCGGATTATGCACGGCTATTGGTGGACTTATCTGCAGTAATCGCTCGTGAACCTGGCGCGGATGAGGCGATTCGCAAATTGAAATTGATTTTCAATGTTCTTGATAATAATATTCAATTCTGCTAACGAGGTCCTCTTACTTTGTTCTACTTTCTCAACGTTGTCATAAAGAACAAATCAATATTTTTATTTTATAGAAGAGAGTACCGGTGGCAGTGTTTTCCTGTAATCTAGAAATGCTTTCTGTCTGGCAGGATACTTCTGCGCTGCTCCAGCTGTTAAGACACCCTCATCGGTGATAGCTAGCATTCCCTCTCCAAATGCCTCTCGTCGGAGGCCATACTCTATGAGAGACGGTGGCGTCAGCAGTGACGACATCGAAGTGTCGTAAACTGCTTCTCTGTCCGTCATCTTCTTCGTCTAGTGTCCGCGGACGGTAGAAGTGCTTGTGCGGCGGTCTGAAGAAATAATGTTCCCTTCTTCGATGATTACTGCGCGTGAGCCAGTGAAATTTTCAAACCGCTACTTTTCCTTGAGGACGAAGAAGATGCAGATGTGTATCGTCCGCTGCAGATTTCCACTTCACCTTCTAGTTAGCCTGCGATTTGCGGGAGCTGCTTTCGTTACTTTAATACGCTCGCCAGATTCACAGCCAGAATGCCGAGAGTGGTCAACAGCAGGCAAAGTGAGAATCTTCGGACAGATATGGGTCTAGGACGCTTGAAGACGGCGTCGTGCGAATCACTTCAATAGCGAAGCGTTCAGTTCGCCAATCGTTTGCCCACAACCTATCTTGACTGAAGGAGGTATCTATGCGTCCGCAGAAGTCTCCGCGTCGTGTTGGTCAGAAGGCTCTGACGTCGATCTTCGTTGCTCTGGGGGGTACACGCTTTACCGCCTCCTTCAGCTGGGTATGAAGATTGCGGTGGGACAATTGTCGCTGTCCGGTGCCCCGACACACGTTAATCTACTGCGCCGGTAACCCAGAAGCACCGCACGAGTAAGAAGTGCGAGGAGTGATGTAAGAAGTATTTCGCCCTTCGAGATGAACTATTTTTGCCGGCGTGCCATTTTTCTCGCTTTTTGGGACGAAATTGTGCCGACCGCTATGGCTGAGCCTCGTCGGGCTGGTAGCCGTGGCACTTCGCCGAAACTCCTGGAGGACTAAATCTTAATGAGCACAATCATGGACCTGTGAATTTTCAAAGAAAAGCACTTTTCTAAGTAGTAGCCACACCGCTTGAACTAAGATTGTTGAATGAAGAGGTCGAGTCGGAGGGTACTAGCTGATCTTAGCCGGTGGAACAATAAAGTAAAAGTGGAGACGAGGATAATATTACAGAGTAATCTATAAGGTTTTCCAGCTCGCATGTCCTGGAGTGTATGGATCGCATGGAGCTGCATGGAGCTAAGGGGGGAACTTCATCTTGCGTCCCTTAGAGGTCTGGGCTCCATGCACTCCATGCACCTCCATGCACCATGCGTGCTATAAACTTCTCTGATATTATCAGACAGAGTGCTATGACGAAGTAATAAATGGTCATGGTGAGGCTGATCAGTCTAAATCATACCTTACTTGTTCTCGCAGGACTAGCACAAGCACGCCATCGACTGTTACAACGTGGAAACTTTCTGTGTGTATATGAAGCACTGGCACAAGAACGGTCGTATGCTAGATAGCAGACTCTTTGAACAATCATGAAGAAGGCATCGTATAGAGGTGAGAAAGGGTGCAGACGGAGGGAGGCATTTGGAGGAGGTAGGCAAAACGGGGATTCTTTGGTAGATATTCGTTGCGCTCAGGACGAGTGTTAACGTCTTACTGCATCAGCGATGCTAAAATCATCTCAAATACGTTTGACCGATGTGCAGTTTAGCACGCCATCATTTCTGAACCTGATCACGAATTTTCTCTCTTACCGATGAGTTACTGGTACACAAGAAGACCTGGCAATCGCTTGCTCGATGAAGCTGTATCACAAACTATGACTTTTGACGAGAGTGTGTTGATTTCGCGTCCAGTTCCACATTGACCCAGTCGAGGTTCCCTTGAAAATCATTGTAGATTTTCGAATGTGATAAAATTGTTTCTCCTGCCAGAGCAACCCATGTCTTGTTTGCAGACCTCCATACGGAGAAGGTAGGATACCACGGACAAATATGTCGACAATTTTTTGATGCAACACTTTGGCAGTTTGGGTACGCTTATTGATTCCCAACAAGCGCCGTCGAATCGAATGCAGCATCGTAAACAGGTCGACTCCTCCTCAGGCATACTAGCTATAGATGAACTCGAGTCGTGTGAAGCACTCGCTCCCGTAGTACCTGTAGTATGAGATCCACCAGCAAGTTCGGAAAGATCGCACGTCAATCGTGATAAAATAGCATCTGGGACGTAGTCACGCACTTGTGGAAGGGAGTTACACACGTCAGGCCGTCGATCTGCTGGCACTTGGTCGTAGAGAAAGGGCACTTCTCCCGCAAAGGTGGACTTGTTCTCATCATCAGCATTGTGCCTTAATGTATTCTCATCACGATGGCGCAGGACGAGATCTTGAAGAGGCTCGATCGCAACGTTTGCAAGCGCGGGGAGGCACTGAGGTAAAGCGTAGCGCAGAGGGGTGTATGATCGCAGCTTTGGTCCTCCTCTGGTCTGTCTCTTGTGGACACTGGATGAAGAACTGCTCATCTTTCTGTAACGCGCTTGCTTGTGGTCTTTCCTGGCAGTTTTTGAGGAAATGACTATTTCTATATCTATGGGATTGACATTGAGTTTGAGTTGGACAAATAACTACGGCTAAGTAATATAAACAAGCAGTAGTTTCAAGTTTCATCTACAATGGAAATTATGAATTCTTGTACCTGGTGGACAGAGCCCTCCTCTGATAGTTCCTGCACTGCGAGGGAATGCCGTCGCTCGGAGCAAAGTACGGCTCCGCAAACGTGAAGCCATGAAAGCGGGCCTGATCATCGATCAATCGCTTCGCAATTTCCTGCTGACCTTCAAACGTGGCCTGCAAAAAAGGAAACATGTGGAGGCCGCAAACGTCTAGTTCATGGGGAAAAAAGAAGTACGGATTGGGACGATGGCGAACGCCTTTATCTTGACGCTGCTGATGGTTCCGATTGACATGAAGGCGTTTGGACGTGTCGAATTCAAAATTGTCTGCTTCGCCTTTGATAAAAGCGATTATTTTGCTCAGCGTCTCTTGCGTATTTTTCAACAGCTGGTACGTCGGCACGTACATGATATTCTTGTTGAGGTCGGCGTAGGGATCATTCTCCTCTTCAAAGGAACTTTGGACTGATGTGTCACTTTCGGATTCTTGGGAACCCGAGGTATCAACATTGCCATGATCTGGCTTCGGTCCTTGTGACTGCTTGAAAAACTCGGTTGCGATCTTGATGTGTTCCTTGTAGAAGCCGGCGCCCAGATGCAGTACAGTGTCCCAAGGTGTATGCCAAGAAGCTCCATAGAATGAAAGAGGGAGTAGTATCCGCAGGAAAGCAGGTCGCCGAATCTTCTTAAGTTTTTGTTTGCAGACTATGGATACTTCTATTTAAGTACTTGATGTTTTTTTGTACGCTTTGAGGAAAATATTGAAGTCTGTCATACACTCTGCAACCACGAAACAAGCATTTCGAGGGGATCGCGCAGCATAAATATCAGCTTCGCTCCTCGCTGCAGTCGCTGGCCAAGCAGGTCCATGGCTTCTGGCGTAAACCCGAGCAGGGGGTCTTTGACTCCAAGGTAGCGCACGACCTTCTTTCTGCTGCTGTTTGTACCATTCACTGGCATCTTCACATCAGCGGCTATCTGTGTTGCTGAACCAGCTGCGAGAAAAGCTGCTTCTTCGTCGTCGGGTTCTTGCGTTTGGTAATCTTCTGACCGATCGTCGGTTGGCAACCCACTTTGGCTCTCGGCTTCCAGTGGTGATAGATACGTTTCTCCATGGCCGCCTAAATGCGCGTATTCGTCTTTTATATGTTGCACATACACTTCGCCTGCGCCTGCACCATAAGTTGTGACTTGTTCAGCTTTCAATGCACCTCCTGATTCTCGTTTTCTTTTGGCCTCTCCTGCGGCTGTCGCGGACGAGCGCTCCTTTAGCACAGTGTCGCCGCGATGGGGATAACGTCGCCGCCAACGACGAAAAGCCATCTCGGTGAAGTTCCCTCGCCAAAAAACATTGTCTTCCATCTCGGGACTCATGTAGATATCGGGATGTTGCTGGAGATAATGGACGAGAGATGACGTGCCGCTCTGGGGAAAGCCGACCACCACGAAATCTACATCCATGAAGTGCAATGCGTAGTCGTAGCTCACGGAGGGACCTCCGCCATGAGGGTTGTATAGACCGTAGACCGGCGCGACGTAGGGAACCAGCGCGAGCCGTACTGCCAAAAGCAACAGCGTCACTTTGGTCAGAGAAGAGCCTAATGTAGCCATGCTCTTCATCTCGAAATTGGTCGCGCTTGCTGGATTGCAAAAGCGCCTCCTGCACGAGATCTTTTGTGATCGACATGTTGCTTGAAGAGAATGCCGACGTCGTGAACATAGAAGTTCGGAGAAATAAAATGTATGTAAATTACATTTTTCGATAAAATCAACCAACTCCGTGAGGCCTCTTTCAGGTAACGCTCGCATGAGGTGTAACATTGATGCGAAAGACACAATAATCACGATGATTGAACTGGTGGAACCAAAAAAGGTCGTTAGCAAGTCAGTGGATAAGTGCTGGTTAATAAGCTTAAGGTTAGAAGCAACAGCAAGAGGAAAAATGAGATTTCTTCGGGTCATTTGGCACAACGTTTGATCATAGCAAGTTTTCAAGCAGATCATAGAGCATCATGCTAACTGTGACTGGAAACCGTGAGAACGGATATACCACTCAGACTCCCATTTCTCACGGTGCCGATCGCCAGGATGAATCGACGATTCATTTTCATCGGAGGGAAAAGAAATGACCGTAGAAAACGAGAAAAAAGAGATACAAGAATAGAAAGAAACACGTTTATCACGACTGCCTCGATCAGCTCTTGATAGCAGAGCCACAACTTCTTCATCTTCGATGTAGTACTATCAATTTCTCATAATGATCGATGTTGTCTTAGTCTTGTTTGTAGTCTTCGCGGTTCGTTGAAAAAGTTACATAGGGGACAGGTGCATCAATCGGGGCAGCTTATTCCTGGAGGTGCATAGACCGTGATGAGCGAAGCAGAAGGGTCACGGATGCTTATCGAATTCATGGTAAGGCCGACATAGTAATGCGGTACTTTTTACACGACGGCCACCGCTCAAATGACGATATGGAATCATGAACTCACGAGGACCCCAATGCCAATGAATGACACGTCGACTCTATGGCAGATATGGTGCTGGTATCAAGCAAACGAATGCCACAATGATGTGTAACCGGTATCCCTGTCTTCAGTGATATCGTCGTATCTTGATCATGTCGCAATGATCATGAATGTGATATTAAAGCGTAGTGAAGCGGTTACCCTATCCTCCCTCACCACACAGGGCACTGGCTTGCACACCAACTTTTTAGAAAACCCAAAGTAAGTCCCGTTTTTCAAAGTGCCCCTTTACGCAGCCCGTAATCACCGCGGAAGCCTTGACGAACCGTTGACCTTTCTCGCTCAAATCCTCATCAGAAACACCGCAACCCGACAAAAACGCCTTTCGATCAGACACCATGTTAAAAGCTGGCATGAGAAATAGAACACATCATGACTTGCTTTACCCGGTCCCAGCGGTAGTACAAAGATAGTAGACAGTTTCGCTCTCTTTTTGTAAAAACGAAATAGCTAAAATTTCTAACTAATCAGCATGAATCACCAGGTACCTAGTTTCACGCTCTTCTTCACGATCCACCCGTGTATCTGCGCCAGAGTTCTCTCATATGCTTGCGTGCATGCCGCTGTAAGTGTGACTGACGAACTCGCTATGAGTTCTTCAAAAATTCCTGTGATAAACATGCACACGTGGCTCGCTCGATTCAATGCCCGGACTGGCGAAACTCCGCCCTTTCCGTCTAGGAGCTGATGTGGTTTGATTCGCAATGGAGAAGTTTTGCTGTTCTTGTCCAGATAAGAGTAGTGACAGAAAATCATTTACTGGTAGAGCACGATCTACACCAGAAGTACATGATAGTACAAGTACAACGGCAGTTCTCATGAATGTAATTAGAAATAAGTGGAATAGCACATTGAATATCGCTTGTTGTACGCTGTCATTGCTTGGTGGAATGCTTCCTCGCTGCTTTTCATTTTCCAGCATAGCGCCTGCTTTTGGAATGTTCGGTCCATGTGTCTCCAAAGTTGTGAGTTTTTCATCCAGATCTTTGAAGGCGAATGCGAACGTTGACCCCAGGTTGTCGAAAACCTTAATAGATAAATGGTTAGGTTAGGTTATGGATCCTGCACAACGAGCCCCGCCGACACCTGCTCGTCTCTGAGGATGATGGGTGACCTGCGTAAAGTCAGCAAGCACCGAGGCTGATGACCTGAGTAAAGTCGTAGCCATATGACCGATGTCCACTATAAATTTATACATTAATTTAATTTTAAATAAGTATTAAACGATGTTTGATTGTGATAGTGATTGTCTCGTTGAGAAATCGTACTCAGGCACCGTGGTTAATAAAAAGTCGAATCAAAGTGAGGAGGGAGAGTGACTCAAGAAAACACAGATCTCCATTCAAAAAAACACAGATAGTTGTACCTTCCTCACTTCCCGCATACATTCTGCATATTTGTTTACGTCCACGTCGCCTGTGTTCTTACAATCGTCCGCGCAGGCCTCAAACTTAGTGACCAGATTGTTCACATTAAATGCATCCGGATCCGACATTGCTTTTGCCATCTTGTTTTTCTTAGTCTCCTGCTTGTTCTTATGATACACGATTATATCTTAATGCTTAACCACGAGATACTTTGATCTGTGATATGGACCTTGGGGAACGATAAGAGGCAGAGGGTCAGGGAGGTCACCTAATCATAAGTTTGCATCCAGCTTTAGTGTTCGTTGAACTCCAATACTGCCCTAGAAACATATGCTTTACTTTCATTTTTCCAGTAAATCATATCGCTTCATTTAAGGTTCTCTTTTTCATTTTCATAGCTCATATCGCAGCTGCGCCCGGTGGCGCTGATGATGTAGTTCTACTTTCATCTCTAACCCTAAAGAACGTTGGCTTTCATCTTCAAGTCAATGGTTCAGTTTAGCTCTGGAAGCGCGCTTCTAGCTTGCCACCTTGAGCAGCGCAGTGACGCGCCGTAAAAGCACTTCCCGGACGAGAGAAGCTGTAGAACACGCGGCTTCCAGACCTCTACGTAACGCGGTACAGCACATGAGATGACCACGTACACGAACACGTTGGCGCTTCCTTATAAACAGCCGCATACGCCACGTAATAGAAATCGCTCAGGACGACTATGCTGTGCGATACAAGTTTTTCAAAAGCTAGCTATGCCTTTTGCTGTGATCCATCGACGCAACAAATCAGTGTCTCATTATGCGAGAGAAACTCAAAAAACCAATCAGATCTTGGCAAAAGCTACGCATTTCGTGCTCAAGCAAAGCATGACCTGCTTCTATCGAGCTTGTCGTGCTAAAAGGACTCTTGTTGCGCGAGGTCAACCGCGTCGCGACGCTCGGGACCGATCCCAAAGTCGTCCCCGTCGTCGCTGGAATATGCTGCTGCATCATCCAAAAAAAGTCTGTCCTCATGCGGATTTCTGTGTTCTAGCAAAGGTACGGTCACTGTTGGCATTGTGTAAGCAAACGGTGTGAGCTCCACTCGTGGCAAAAGAGGAAGAGCCGTTCCGGAAAACCCACCACTATTGATCACTGAACTACCAGAAGGAGCCGAGTGGCGACCCTCGAAACTGCCTTGCACAGACCCGTTCCCGTTGTCCCCAAACATGTCAAAGCCACATCCACATGCGAATATATCCTCAAAGTGTGCCTTGTGTGCTAGGATAAGACGCTTCTTCTCCGGGAACTGTAGGTCTTCAGCTTTCTGACTCTGATGAGGTCGTTTCTGATCATCCGATAAAGCATCAGGATCAGCAGTAGCAGTACCACGCTTGCCAGTACCATTCCCGAAACTTTCATTTTGTTGATTGAGGTTATGCATCCCCATTGCCATTTTCGAAATGTTGATGACGATTTCGACATACGACCGGTTGTGCACTGCGCGTTGCGCTGTTCCGTTCTTATTTCGATGGTACACTCTGACAGTCTTGCCAAAGCCTCCAAGACTTCGTCGAATCGTTGGGACGTGGTTGAACGATGAAAAAAAGGTATGAGGGCGTTCTCGTAGCATGTGAAAGTCTTGGGAAGCTCCGTCTTCCCTTTGTTGATGTGCTGATTTTCGAGGACCATCCACTTCCTTCGTCGTCCCTCCTTGATCCGCGTCGTGTTCTACTAGATCCTTGTCAGCAACCGCGGCAGCAGCTCGCTTTGCTGAAGATGACAGACCAGGTGTAGAGCTCAAATCGCGTCGACGGAAAAGTCGTTTCAACAATCCCCAAGATTTGCTGGACGAAGAAGAGCTTCCACCGAAGGCTGTTGCGGATGTCCTTGATACTTTGCTCGACGGTTCTTTGGGAGTTTCGTTACCACCATCGTTTCCCTGGTCCGGGCTACTCCCCGATGAAGGTGCAATCAGATCGCCGTCGTGAAAAAGAAGTTTCACTGTAAGAACTTGTGCCCCGTTTTCATCCTCGGCGACACTCAGCTGGACAGTGTTGTCAAGGAAAATCTCTTCAAGGATGGGAAATTCGAGCTCCTGCGAACAGAAAGCAGAGCCTGTATGCAAAGACTTCTTGTCTGTAGAAGCTGCCACTGCACTATCTCCTCCTTGTTGCACTTCATCCGAATCTGCTCCTGCGCCCAACGCACTTCCATGATCAGGCTCACGAGCACCCGCGCAAAAGTCCGCAACTGTGGACTTCTGTTCCAAGAAACGCTCCAAATCTTTTTCGTGCTTCTCACGAAATTTCTTTTCAAAGTTGCTGGTTGCTGAGCTTGAGTATGAGGGGTTTTTTATCCCAACAAAGTCTTCAATGCTCTTCGTCGAGGATTTCCACCTGTCCCAGTCTCCCTCTCTAAGGAACAACCGCAGCACACCGCAACTCAGCACGGCATAAACCTCTCTTGATTGCTCGCGCGAGGACGAATACCACGACTTATTTGCGCGGTCACCGCGGATCAGTAACGCAAGACCCCGCAGATCGGGAGGAGTGGGTGAGGAATATTGTCTACTTGCCTTGTGTTTAGAAGAATGTTGATCATCGACGTAAGAAGACCTGTGCTCGCCACGTGCAGAAATCTGAGGAGCCCAAGAGCGAGACAGCCGTGATGAAGCCACTCGATCTTCCTCAGAGGCATCATGATCTCCTTCCTGTTCCTCATCTGGCTCGCGCCACGCTTCGATACCACCACACCGCACTGGGATCTTCACGCATTTAGAGCTCGCCAAATCTTCTGCGCACTACACTATTTTCGCGCAAGAACTACAATTCTGATTGAGACAACTTCCACAGTGTACTACTTCTATCAATTATCTTTACCTGTGGCTGTTAATATAGCCAGGTATCTACTTAATAGCCCACTCGCGCAGCCTTAACCTTTGCTCCTGCTGGTGTGAACATGAACTGCGAATTCAGGTGGAGGCTCCGAACGCGGTCGCCCTTCGCCACAAGGGTGCTGCGTGAACTGTCCAATAGCGAGTTTCGCTCGACGCGATGACGCAGCGCGTTTAAGCAAGTCATCAGCTTTTCCAGGCTCGCGTTTTCCAACGTGCTCTCGCCGGGGAAATCGGCCAACGTGAAGAGCGCAGACGATGGAAATCCGCAGTAGTCGCGAAGCATGCGAATGAACATATGCATGTTTCGTAGCCGTTGTGTGTGCGAAAGAATATTGCTACAAGAAGATCCTTCGTCAATGTTTTGACGCTCAACATTGGCAAAATCCTCACGCAGCCGTTGCGTAGTCCATCTGGGCCTCTTGCTGCAGAAAAAGAGCAGCTTAACAACCAAATCACATAGAAGGACACCATCCTGCAAATCTGTCAAGCTACCGACTCTACGCTGATAATGGGCAAAATGTTCGCAGAACGCGGCTCTGAGTCGGTCTTCCCTGAGATTCTCAGGATCGTCTTCAGAGATTCCTGACGTCAATCCAGCTCCTTGGCAGAGTCGAACCTGGTGTGTTTTTGCGTCGGTGCTGCCCGCCACGCTCGAGCCTTCATTTTTTCTAGATCCTCCAGCATTCGTTTTCGTCTTTGAATTGTAGTGATCCGCAATTTCAGCTTGCAGCCTTTCGTCATTGGTAAAGCTGTTTCTCCCAACTTCCAAGCCCATGAGAAGCTGCTCAGCAACTTTTTCGTGGTAGTTTTCCTTGGGCACCAATATCTCGTTCATCCACACAAACAGCTTTTGCGCCCGTTGATCTGCCCGTGCCAGTCGTTCCGAGAACTGTGGTAGTGCGCTTGGTCCGCCGGATGAAAACTGTGTTCCCTCGCTATGCAGGGCCGCACAGGATGCATTTGCTGGAGGACATGCTTCGATACTTTCTGCAATTGTAGTGAATCGCACAGCCTTTGCGTTTGCTCGAAGTTGTCCCCCAGCACGCTTATACAACTCTCCCGCGTGTTTCTTCATGTTCGAGTTCGTGGGTCTTAAAGAGCCACTACTTGTCGTTTTCTCAATTTTCTCGCTTTCCTCAGCCCGTTCGCCAATCACACTAAGGCCTTGCTTTATCTGATGCAACTGTTGCAACCGCGTGGTGAACTTTCGCGAGCCAGGGCCTAAATTTGGCCCATAGGCACCACCAGCATATTTCGTGCTTGCTGCGATTCTACTGAAAGCTGTCATGGCCGACTGAGACTTCCGAGGGTCAGCCAAAATAGACGAAAAAGCACTAGTTCCCCGAGGTCCTGACCTCAGCATGTGCAGGGTACTGGTCGTGCAGTGAGAGTTGACACCACGCTTCTGTCCGACGATGGTTGACTTTGCTCCAGAAAGTGACACGAGCCTGATATTCGGCGGCGGGGAAACGCCTGAGGAAGCACTCTCCGCGGAGAAGCTACCCAAGTTGCGACTTTCGGCGGTGGACTGCAATTGCATAGTCTGTCTTCCAGGTTCCTGCGTTGTCTGTCGGCCACGTTCGGACGGGGAGCATAAACATAGGCCTTCGAAGTCGGTCTCTCGCCTGCTATTGTAATTTGCCGTTCGTGTGGTTCTTTGAGTTTGATTTTGTCGCGGTGAAGGGGAGTCAGCGAAGTCGCCGGAGATATCTTCTGTTTGAAGGTCTTTCAGCTCGTTCTCATCATGGCCGTTCTCCTCACTCACCCACCATCCTTGATATCTAGCTTGTCCTGCCCCTGACCCACTGACACCAGGAACTGCATTTGCGACCGCAGATTGCATCTTACTCGATACCAAGTTTCCACCTATCACAGAAGTTTCATATTCACCCGCAGCTCCATTTGCGTCTTCGCCAAGCTTCATCAAATTCCTCAGAAACGCTAAGATTCGCCAGCGCGCTAGGGCCTGAGGGCTTTGCATTATGTCCCCAAGAGCATCAGGAAGTTGATGCTGCGCTTTGCTCTTCGTACAACCATTTTCTTGAACTAGTTCTTTCTTCTCGTCGTCTTCCGTACAGTATTTGACATACCACGGCACTTGTCCTGATCCTGAAGCTTCATCTTCGCCGTCCTCATCGGCTTTCCCCCTTGCAGCTCCAGAGGACGCACCAGCACCAGGCTCTATCGAACAGGCCCGCGTGGTACAAGTAGAGGCTGCTTGAGCGTTTGCAGCACAACGCATAGTGAATGCGAATTTACTCTTGAGACTCAAACTCTTTTCGACGGCTTCCGAAAAACGCACCGACGGAACCGTGAGGCGTGCACCATTATAGTTCTCTTTTTCTGGGGTTGAGCATCTCACGGGAATAGCATCTAGGTCTACCGATTGGCCTGACTGGCTACGCCGTTGCTTCGGAGAATGCGATGAAGGCACGTTGGTTGCAGACTCGGACTGCACATGACTGTCCTTTTTCTTCTTGTCGTCTTTGTCAAAGATCTTTAGCTTCATCTCCCCAGCTTCGTCACTAGTCGCTTGCAGCAAATCAGTCGCACACACGCGACCAAGGGACAACGCATTTGCTGCTCTTGCGAAACAGAGCGAGTGTTGCATCAGTACTTGGTGATTACATTTTTTCCTGGAGGTCGCTTCGCAGTCCTGTGTCGTTACATTTTCAAGCGGGTTGCTTTCTGCTTCCTGTTCTTCTGGGTGACCATGAGGTGCACCTAATAAGCGACAAAAAAGAGCGGCATCTAATGACCATAATGATGATGGCTCTTGTTCTTGTTCATCATCATCTTCACCGTGCTGATATCCCAGCCAAGGCAGGTCTAATTCAGCTGCCACCCACCTATTTACTCGTAGCTCTTCTGCTCTCCGGCGCGTAGACACGACCCCCATTTTTAAGTAACAACGACTGCTAGATATCCCGACCTCTGACTTTGATCTTGACAAAAATCCAGCTTAAACAACTACGGCATTCCTCACGTTGACCAACTTCACGCATCAGACTACTTAACTCGTTTTAAGAATGAGTACGACAAGTTGCACTTGTGCGTCAGCCGAGTTCCTCATGTAATACTGCTACTAAGCTCCAATCCTAAGATTTCAGAAATGCCATTTTCTCTTTTGGAGTCCACCTTTTTAGCAACATTTGCATGATCAAGGCACTATCAGAAAGCAGGGTGCAGTTCCAGTTTCAGCGACGAAAAAATGACATGAGAACGACGCTACCGTCTCACCTTTTACCTTCGATCTTTTGAGACCTGGTGTCGGCATACCTTTTGATCATCTTTTCCTCCAACCGCGGTGTCTCCTTTTTGCTCGAGCTCAATGTTTGATTAGCCTCCCTGCCCAGTGGTGTCTTCCGTTTCAGAGTCAGTCGCCGCCCGTTTCTCCTTTTGCAAGGCTAGGGCCATTTGCACAAGGTGTTGAACAAACACCAAAACCTAACCACAGCATTATTTTCCAAAATCACTATGTTGACAAATTCGGAGTATCTCAACTTTGGCGCCAATTTTTTTCACACATCGTCATTCTCGTCCTTTCATCTTTTTAAAATTTCAACAACTTACAACATCAAAGGAAAACCATTTCCCAGCTTCCTTTGATATCTTCTTCTCGCAGGACAGCACGAAAATCATACACGACGCTTCTCCACACTTGCTCTTTAGACAGCAACAACATGAAAGATTGTCTCAGGGAAGCACGATGGAAAGGATAATCAAATTTGACACAGTTACATCGTTGTTGAGTAACTGGTATAAAAAAATGACATCAACTTCAACATACGACTGACAAAAACGCCAGACATCGACGTGGTAGGCAGAGAGAGGCAAGACGAGAGGCATCTCGTCGCTAGCGGGACATCATAAATATGAATGTTTGTCCCTTGGAACGGGAACCATACGAAAAAGGAGTTCGTAGAGGACGAGAAAATCTGGATCGAGGTGAAGAGAGGCATGATGGTAGAGGATGGCCGCGCTTGCTACCGCTGCGGCAGTAGGTACGTGCGGGTTAATGTTTCGTTCAGCGTTGTATATGAGAAAGCATCGCGTGATCCCTGCCAGTGAAGTGCTGCGTCGAATCGCCTATCCGAAGAGTGAGCGGAGTATCCCACCACGCTTTTCACCGTTGTTCTCTGTATCTTGCAGTCCTGCATCAATCATGGGGAACTCGTCTTTATCCATGTTTGAAATGTAGAAGCAGCCCAGCACCTGTTCTGGCAACTCGTCGGGGCTTTTTCCTTCCATTAGAAATGCGACTTTCATCTGATTCAGCTTCGACGTTTCCTTGTTACTCATTGCGGAGTTGAGACAATTACGCGCCAGATATGACCACTTTCTAACGTCGAAGTCGAGAATGGCGACATTGCTCCTGAACGGAAGTAAAAGTTGTAAGGTAAAGACTCTTCTTCTCGGTGCCTATGGATATGGTTCTGTTGAGTATCGGCACGATAAGACAAAAGAAGACAGAAGGAGTGTGATCGTCAGATGATTGCTGAATGATCAACATCCCAACTGCGTGGGTGCTGTCATACAGGACGTCGACAGAAACTAAAAATCACAGAGTAGAATACTCATGGCATATCCGGAGCGAGTCGGTTATGAGCGAAGGTTTGCCGTTGTAGCCGCTGACCGCTTCGGGCAAGCCCAGGTTCTCCCATGTCTCACAATAACCGATTGCTTTGAACGACACACCTAAAACGCGACGATGATTTAGATTTTCAAACGACATCTTATTGTAGATGACCTCCACGAAGACACGGAACGGACCTCAACAAAGTTGAAAATACGATAATTCATCAAGAAAGATGAAGTACAAATTTTCGAACTCCGTTTTGACATGATGTCCTCATCAGAACATCAAATATACCAGACTGTATTGCAGTATTTTCCGTGTACTATTTGTGTACAGGAGAAAAGGACCAAAGACCCTACCATGCCGTTGGCTGCAGCCCTGGTCCACCAGCATTCGCATGAGAAGCTGCAACGCTGGACACTCTTTGTCTACCCCATCGCGCAGCTTGTACCATGAGATGAGACTTGCTCCAAAGTCATCCGCAGACTGTCCGCCTAGCAAACTCGGTCCCTCCATTGGAATTTGACCGTTTACAACCAAGTACTCCGGAACTTCGTCTGATGAAGCGATAAAGATTATATGCTTGTACTTCTGTACTAGCTATCAATATAGTAGACGGCTTTTCTTCATTCTCAGTATATCATTCTGCACGAGAATAGGAATACTAGGTTCTCAACTTTCTTATACAAGTTAGCGCAACATTAATGGAGCAGCATCTTCATACTCGAACTCACGAACAAGACAACCGAACAAAATCTCGATAAAAACAAAGTACCCTTACTCGCACCCATGTTGATTTTCCCTTGCTGGACCAGCGCGCTGAATATTTCTGAACGGTCGATCTTGCCATTTTTTCCGCGGACAAATGAAACATGGTAACATTCGTAGAGCGCTTCGAGAGAGTTCTCTTTGACCTTCGACGTCATGTAGCTGGTGATCGTGGTGAGCTTAGTCTTCCTAGCATTGATCCAGGTCCTCTGGAATCACAATCAACTTAGTGGGGTAAGGGTAGCGACGCAAGAGTAAGGGCATCAAGAATTTCGATATTACAACGCGACCAAGCTCTTCGGTATAATGGAGAAAATTCAGCCAAAGACTTCAAAAACCCGGACAAAGTTCAACCCTCTCAGGCATGACACGAATCCGCAGAACACTCGCCGCCTACTGCGCTCCCTTCTGGAAAACCCTCCCCCAATTGCGAGCCAAGAACCTCGGGAACCCTCCAAATCCCCGCGCCCCTCCAGAATCCCCCAGCACACATCTGCAGGCTGGTGCGGTGGACTCTGGAGGGGCGCGGGGAATCACATGAAACGAAACCAAAAGACACAGAAACGCTTGGCAAGGGGCGGCAAGTTACAAAAGCCGCGAAGCGGAGCACTTCCAGGACTAGGAGACGACAACACATAGCGACCGTCTTCGTGCAGTTCTTAGTTGACTTAGCGCCAACATAATATCTTGTGCTTGATGAAGGTGGATGAACAATTAAAAAGTAAGTACCCATGGCTTCGCACAGAAAAGGCTTTCCCATTGCAAGGGTCCCATTTCGCAGCTGGTGAGCTGAGTAGATCAGGAATCGATGTTGACGATACGGAGCCTCCTATGGTTTCGGACATTATTGCTTCTAGTGAGGTCGGGGACCCCGTAATGACGCGCTGCCTCGTAAAACTGCCTTTCCAGCAAGGCTAGCGAGTCGAAGGTCACGCGGCCGATTCCGATTGAGCCGCTTAGAATCGTTGGGCTTGGTGTGCGGGTAAATAATGCGGATTGGTACCCTAAGTCAAATAAATCGGTTTGGACGAAACGAGACCGACGTGTCCAATTGTTCACTCTATTGAGACAGCAGCACCAAAGATTTCGTATTCGTTGTTTCTTTTTCCAAGTCTAGAAGTTCCAACTTCTCCGGCCAGTACCAGGAGCAGCCACGGATTTCATGCGTGTCGGAATGCTCAGACGTCTGAGAGGAGCACGAACGATGTGACACAAAAAAATCGCAAGGACTTCACAACTACGATATTTACCAGTTCACTTCCTATCGCAACATAAAAGAATTAGAAGTCCACCAAGGAAAAATACAAGCTTATGCGGCGAGCCAGTGTTAGCTTCACGTCTCACACTCACGTCAACCTTCTACTCCAAGATTAGTTATAATATAGTACTGCTAGATACGGGGACGGGCGTCTAGTTCAGACACGATCTTCGTGTTCATCCACATCCTTTTCCTTCTAGTAGCTTTGATTGCGGTCGTCATAGGTGAGGAAACACCTTCGTTCCAATAGAAGTCTCGCTTCTACTCAGATGAAGTGAGGTCATCGGGATTTCGTCTTTCGTTTGCCTTTTTGGTCAAGCATCCTTCATGAGCAGGCACACCGAGTTGAAGATGTAGATAATGACAAAAAAATTTTTCAGACATATCATGCTTTATCTCAGTACACACCTCAGATGGTCCAGATCATCACTGGTAAACCGTCATCTTCGTACAACAACGATTACGCCCCTCTGCCGTATATGTTCCAGTGCATCTTTCCTCTGCATAACAGTGATCAAATGCGGGTGTGTTACTTGAACAAGGCTGTAGGATAGTGGGTCAGGCCAGAAGTAGGGCGCATCTTAGTTTTCGCGCAAAGCATAAGCACATCGTGCATTATTGAATCGTGTCGACAAGCGGTAGCGCTAGCGTTAGCGATGAACCTCACAATAATTATATTCATTATCCACCTACTTAATGCGTTAGCCTTGTCTTACAGGAAGAACATGAAGATGATCTCTACTCCAAGTATCTATCGGCTTCACGACTTCAGCGTCAGGGTCAGCCCTGCTCGCGGTAATGATTAGTAAAAATCAAACAAGCTGCGCAAGTTGTTGTGCTGTGAAGACGCACGTCAACGCATAAGCGTCTTCATTCGACCTTTTTGCGCATCTAATTTTCGGTCTGCAGTCGTGAGACTACTATTCATGGTTTTCAACATAGAGTTTTGCTTTCGTGCCTCGTCCCCAATGAGCTGAGCACCAGACTGCAAGCCGTCTAAGAGAGACTCCAAACGATCCCAGCGCTGTTCTTCTTTGGATGTCGTTGAAGTACTGGAGCGATTATCAAGAACATGCTGGCGGTTCTGATACTGATAGCCACTAGCGACTTGATTTTGTTGGTTGCCCAGCAAAGCAGTTAGCCTGTTGCCTCTTTCACCCGGCATTGTGGTTGACGAAGATGGTGGCGATGAGGTCACCCCGTCCCTCCCGTAGGTGTTGGCGTAGTTGTACTGGCCGTTCTTCATAGTGCTCCCTTGTAAGGTACTCCGCCACCTGAACGCGCCATGGCGTTGCAGATTCTCGGCAAAGTGTCTCGCAGCACGGAGATGACTGACCCACTTCTGAGCGACTACAGCATCATCCGCCTGAAACCACCACGAGCGACAGCGGGGCGAGCTCTTACGCGACTTTGTCTTAGCACTTCTTTTCTTAGAAGAAGAAGCTGCAGTTTTAGATGATGATCCGACCTCCTGCGTTTTGCCTTCGTCAAACTCATCCAAGTCAGGCTCCAGCTCAAAGTAATCCAAACCACGAACCTCGATTGAAAACGGTCCAGTTTCGTTTCCTTTGTGTCCAGACGGACTGCTGCTCCCGCGTTGGTTCGCATTTCCTTTGCTCTCGTTAGATGATATTGAAATTTCCTGATCGTCTCTAGCAGGGCTCCCACTCGCACTTCGGTCGTCGTATACAATCTTTGACTTGGGGTCCAGAACAATTTTTCCCAGAAATTTTCGTGTCGCACAGTGCCACGGGGACTCTCCGTAGGCGAGCGTGTTTCCAAAAAGAACTGCGTACCTTGGACGCATGCCATTCCAGAAATAGCGTCCTCGTTTTTGCAACCATCCTTGATGGTTGATGGGAAGCGTCACAAATTCGAAAGCTCGATGTTGACCCTCACGTTCTTCGCTGGTATCGTTCATATTCTTGCCAGCATCAATTACCGAAGGCGAACTCGCCGAACTACCCCCGCCTGCGCATTTCATCTGCTCCTCCAATAACGATAAAGTGTAGATTTTCATAGCTTGACCGGGTACATACTTGACCTCTTTGTTCTGAAGAAGCGTGGTGAAATCGTCCGTCTTCTTCCCAAGCAGACCACCTCGTCCGTTAGAACCACTGCTAGAAGAAGAGTCCTGTAGGTTGGCACTTTGATTCTGTTCGTCTGGTATAGCTGCCGGAGAAGTTTTGCTGGCACCACAGAGCCCAAATGGCAAATTCGCTGTATCAAAACAGCTTCGTGTACTGCTCTGACAGCCTGATCCTGATCCGTTTCCGTCATTCGCTTCGTTATTCCCATAGGCATAGATATTGTTCATGATATTGCTGTTAGTGTTAATGCCACCACCACCAACGGCGCTCCACATCACATTACTCGGGTTTAGTTGATCGTATACGGCTCCAACTGCAGCTTCACAGCGACCGGGTTCCATCTCCGTCAGCAAGGCATCACCGCGCGCGATGTCGTCTTCGATTCCCTCATTTTTACTCATGATCCGACACATTTTTTCGGAGCTCGTAGCCATTTGGCCTAGAATTCGATTTTTCACCACGTCCGCACGCTCCAGATAGTTGCACATACGGAGCAGCGAAGTTATGAAGGGAAAAAAGAGAACTACACCTAAACGCTGAGTATTGCACGACTGGGATAATGCGTCATTGTAAAGAGCACCATTTGTTTCAAAGCAGGTTGCTCTTAATCGAAGGTCAGAATCAAAAATTTCTTTCACTTTCAAAGTCACATAACATAAAGTCTTCGCACTGTGTGTTGAGTGTCACCAGCTCGTTTTCGGGAATCATTTGTTCTTGCCGCTGTGACCTTTGTTGCCCGACGCCAACTCCCCCGTATTGCGAGGCGCTATTGCTGCGCGCTTCAACACCTCTCTGCGAAGCGCCCAGCAGCTGTTCGCGTCTAGCCGCGCTCTCTTGGACTCTCTGTTCATGCTGTCGCTGTCTTGCACGCGGAGAGGACACTGTCTTGTTTCCCGACTTCATGTGTCGGGACGACCGTGCGGGCGATCGTGACAAGAGACTTGGCATCTTTTTTTGTTCAGATTTCGTGTTTATTCGTTATGTTTACTTCTTGTTTGAAGATCGATGTGGGAGTCTCATTCTTAAATTGGTTCGAAATTATTATTTACCACAAGCAAATATAAACCGATCTCCACTCTCAAAACTCCACCTTCTCCACAAACGAGCACATCAAGCTGCAATGAATCGGTGTAATATCAAGCTACCCATCACAATCACTACCAAACCGCTTGTTCATGTTGGGTAGAATCTGAAAAGATTAAGCATAAGCAGCAAAGGAACACAATGTCAACATCTCGCTCCTAGACAGACACAGAGCCATGCAGCAACTCTTCGTCGCCGTAAAAAAAGCCGTCGCGCAGCCCAACAATTGCAACAGTCGCATGCTTTGTGCTCGACAAGAATGAGATGGTCTCAAGTACATTTTTCATTATCATAACGGGTTTGCAACAAAGCAGTTTTGAGGATGAGATTATTTTCTTTTGAGTCGCTTTTGGCCTGGTCGCTTGTTGCCTCCGCCTGATGATGCACCGCGTTTTCCATTTCGACCGTCGTTTTCTTCTCGTTCCTGAAGATCGATTTTTCTGCACGCTGCTTGCGCTCTGTCGTGAAAAGCGAGGGCCTCTTCCTCGGACACTGTAGTAAACTCTGGTAGCTTCTTGCCGAGTGACTGCTCGATTTTCGTGTAGGCTTCGACATCGTACTGTGTGACGATCGTTATGGCCCGGCCACTGCGCCCTGCGCGAGCAGTACGACCGACTCGGTGCACGTAGTCCTTGGAATTCTTCGGAATGTCCAGGTTGATTACGATATCAACGGATGGAATATCCAAACCACGAGAAGCAACGTCGGTGGCAACCTAAAATAACGGTGAGGGACATGTCAAGGACAAGGACAACGAGAAGAATGAAAAACAGATAATGAGACTACAGGAGAGAGGAACAAAAAGACTCGACATCGAGATTCTCAAGAAGAGGTAAGGTGTGCCTGTACGTTGCTTCATTTTCAATTTCAAAAAAAACCAAAACAAACTAGAACCTCTGATCAATACCAAGATCTGCTTCTGTCCGCTCTTGAACTGGTTCAGTGCACCCAAGCGGTGCACCTGCGGCATCTGCCCGTGCAACGCGACTGCTCCAAAGCCGAATTCCCTCAGCACACTAGCCATTCGCTGTGTCTCCTTGCACGTATCTGCGAAGGCAATAATGGAATAGCGCGCAAAGTGGCTCACTAGTGCGACGAACCACGCCGTCTTGTACATGAGTGGCTGGAAAATGTAGTTCTGCAAAAGGCCTTTCGCTGTGTCATATTTGCTGCTGATCTCTAACTTGATCGGTCGCTTCAGGCACGCCCGTTGCAATTTTGCAACCTTTGAGGTCATCGTCGCACTAAAAAGATAGGTCTTTCGTTCCTTCGGATTAGCGACTAGAGAAATTTTGTCCAAGGCTTCCTCGAAATCCTCACTGAGTAAGCGATCTGCCTCGTCCATAACCAAGTACTGGAGGGTTCGCAGGTGGAAGCCTTTGGTGTTTTCTAGGTGGTCTACAAGCCGCCCTGGGGACGCTACGACCACGTGAGGTCGCTGGGCAAGTTGTCGGGCTTGCGTCATCATATCCACACCACCGAGAATGATGCATGTCTGTTTTTGGAGTTGAGAAGACAAGTTGATCGAGGAGAGATAAATGATCTCTTTATTGAGTCTTTGAAATAAAGGGCTTAGTGCAAAAAAAAAACAAATATCTTTTAATGCGAGTCGTCATCTTAAGGAGTGTCATGTTGACACCCTACGAGCCCTATCTATTTCAATAACAATATCAATAAACAGAGCAGATACTTTCCATTTCGAAGTTATTTCCTGAAACCAAACATTTCCTTTCAGGATTATAGCACTAGAAGCAAGTAAGTACCTGCAATGAAATCGCAGCGCCCAAAGCCTTGAATTGCTCGCCAATTTGCACACAGAGTTCGCGGGTTGGACTCAATGCGACCGCGAAAAAGCGTTGAGGCTTGTCGAGAAGAGCCTGGATAATTGGTAGGGCAAACGCGCCCGTTTTACCGCTACCAGTTTCTGCCAACGCGATAATGTCTTTTCCCTGAATCGCGTGGGGAATGGAGGCACACTGGATTTCCGTCGGTTTCTTCCATCCAAGCAACTCCACTGCTTTGCAAAGCTCAGGGCAGACACCAAGAGATGCGAAAGTTCTTTCACCATCTTCGGTTGTCGTAGCCGCATCTACGGCTCTTTCTTGTGCTGCAGGTGCGGTACTAGAGCTGCTGGAAGACGAGCCACTCTTTACACCGCTAGGCGCGGCAGGTTCTTCACTTTCTGAGGCATTTTTTTCCTGTGCTGCAGCAACATTCTCTTGTTCATCTTCGACTTCTGACTCCACCGCCTTCTGTTCTGCTTTCTCCGGTGCTGCCTCCTGTGCTGCTGGCGTCTTAGCTTTGAGCTTTTTTCTCTTCACCAACGTTTTCTTCATTGGCACGACCATCTTTTTGCTTGAGATAGCTCTCGTCGTTAATCAACGAATCCGAATGAAATCGTAATCATGAAAACAAATTACCTAGTCTTGCTCTTGGTCTGTGAAAATGAATGCATAATTTTTAATATTGTTCGTATCACCTACGACGAATCATACGGAATCATAAGCTGTTGAAACATGATTGAGAGAACTGAGTGAATCAAAATCACGATCGACAACTGTCTTTGCAAATAGCTATGCTTGACTGAGATCTCTTCCCACGATGATCTTGAACCCAAACAAGACAAAGCTAGAAGTAGAAGTGCTGATCTCACAAAATTCTTCTATTAGAAAAAGAACGAGAATCTTCATGCTCCATCATCTTTTCTTCAGTGCTCAGTGAGATCGGTAGATCTGGATCTCCTTAGTACTCGAGTGACTGATCCTTGGTGATTATGATTGTCTTTGTTCACTGAAAGTTAATAGGACTACGACATCGAAATCAATCCTGATTTCTCGGAGATACTTTGATCTACTTTCTCGTGCACACGTAGAGAGCAGCATTCAGAATCTGAATGTGAACCAGATCTTTTTTGATGAAGAAATTGTGAACTTTTTAAAAGTTGTGTTCGAAAGCTACAACGAGTTACAGCGGCGCTCGGACATAACAAGAAAGGGCAGAAGGAACAGGATTGGCGCAACATCATATGCATGGTAGAATGGTTCTTTTCTGCGTAAAGGTACCTGCCGCGGTCTACTGCAGGCTGTCCAGCCTTGAATAAAAATCTTGTCTCAACTTGTCATGGATTATGTTAGAGTTTACGTTGTTGTTGTAGTTGTTGATGCTGGTGATCAGTTATAACTTTAATTTTCTATCATTGATTCGCTTGTACAGGCTCACACATGTGCAAAATTTTCGTGGGAACGCCCCGACGCACTACCGAAAATGGGGAAGTGCTGTTCTAGCAGAAGCACAGTGAATGTGCAAGCACTTCTTCTATCATTGTTCAGGTTGTCTTTCTCTTCTGCATCATTGAAAAATGGCTATGAAGCAGGCTCTGCAAAATCTAACTTGAACTTCTATCCTGGCCTTCCCCTTCTTCTGCACCCATGATTCTTCGTCGCTTCCCAAAAAGTCGAGGCACAATGCGAGCAGTAGAATCCTCGTCGATCGCTTCGCGACAAGTTGGACACTTGCAGAGGCGCTGGGCATTGTCTGCATCTTCACCGCGCCCAAAGCCGTTGATGACTTTATCCGCGCACTCAAAACAGAACGCGTGACAGCAGCCGAACATAACAAGGACAGGAAAAGATTCCTCGGTGGAACTGCTCATACAGACTTGGCATTGGAAGCTATTACTTCGTATTTCTTCGATGCACACACCTACCCGGTCTCTGTCCCTCCGTAATTGCCACACTGATCTTCAACTTCACGTCGTTCATTTGCTTCTTGACTATATCTGTGGCGAAGTTAAGCAGGTCGCGCGTCTAGATGCTGAAGTCAGTGGTTATTGGATTCGTCGCAGCGCCAGGATCTATCGACGCCCCATCTGTTCCTTCATCGTCTGATGTAGATGCTTGGCTTCGGAGGCTGAGTGGTCGTCTTGTCCCATAAAACCGCACTCGCAGCACTTCGCAGCGGCCCGCATTTCATCTAGGACATGCCGCGCCATCGATCCCCGTGACGGTTCGGACTCGGAGGCGGAGACTTCTGCTTCACGCGCCGCATGCTTCCCCTCAATCTCTCTCCGGTCACAGAGTCTTGTCGACATGGTTCGCCCAGCTCCAACCTCCCGGCCTGAAGTCCCACGCTTTCCCTTGGTGGTACATGTTTGTAAAAATCCACGCATTACCGCCTCCCATCTGCGACAGAGATATCGCATTTCAGCGATTCGCTCGTCCAGAATCGTCTGCTTTCCTTCCCGCACCCTTTCCGTCTCCGCGAAATCATATTCCATTTCCATGTATGTTATTTTTGTCTAAGGAATGCAACATACGCTAAACGATGGTAAATGATCCATGCTCTTGCTCTAAAGGATAATCCATTAGATATTGGTGTACAGATGCATCCTCTTCATACTCGATATTTTTGATCGATTTGAAAAGATGTAGATAGAATACCATTCAACTACTTATTGTTTTGCGGACGCACAGGGCTCTAGTTTCTTCAGCGTTTATCGAAATCTTCAGCGTTTATCGTGATCTTATGGAACAACATGAATGGCATTTGTATAGTCTTAGAGCGATCATTCTTGGAGGACTTTGAGCCGCCCAGCACCGTGATGAAAACTACGAGGAACAAAACCCTGCTCCTGATCACCTCATCAAACATTTTGCTGCGAACATAAATCAGTTTCTAGTATGCACTTAGCAAAAGGGTAAGCACTTAAATCATAAAGTCATTATGGTTATGCCAGGTTTGCACTTTTCTATTCCTCCTGTTCAAGACTAATATACTTACAAAGACATTCTGTACAAAGACCAGGTGTCGAATTGGAGTCATCGTATCTGCATCCGCATCAGCGTCCGACTTTTTCGCTAATAATTGGCACTGTAGCAACGAACTAGTGCGAAGCTTGGATGTTACATAGCCACCTGCAGCTTCGTCCGTGCAAGCATAGCTTACCGGAATACCGGGTCCCACACTGTCACAGCCGGTGTCCTGCTTTCCTTCCCTTCTTTCTATGATAAAGACCATCTTTTTCTTTTTGTCGTCTGTTAAATACCGGGCCTTACTATTTATTTACATTTCGAAGCCGGGTCTGAGACCCTTCTAGACTCCAATGGGCCGCGGCAGTATTCCACGAGCATTTTTGTTGCAGACGGCGGACTGTCCTCCTTTAGTTTTCCTCGTTCACAGGAAAGAAAAAGATAATGCATTCGAATTTTTGCTTTCTCAAAGTCTTGCTTTTTACAACATCCTACTACTTCACAGTAGTCACATACTTGTGTTGTATAATGTGTTCAGATGTTGAACAAGCTGGTGCCAATAGCAATAAGATCGACCTGCCGCGTCCCTTCGGAGTAGTTATTTCAGGAAGGAAGCATACCTGCAATCGCGCTCGTGGCCATTGAAGACAAACACGAAACATCGAGCAGATATAACAAATCGAAGTTTTGTCCATGGGATGTTAGAAGATGCATGATGATGATGCTATACACGCTCAGGCCTGCGGTTTTGTCTATATTCTCAGAAGTCTCTTTTACCAGCATGATCCGACATGGTCTTACACAAATCTTAAATAACTAAAAAGTACATTGATGCAGCAGGTTTAGCTGGAAAGTGCATCAGCAACAGCATCTATGAGTCACATGTTCTTCACTAAGCTGGGCTTAGGCCTCCGCCTCGGCAACAAGACATTAAATAAATTTGACAGAAGAGAGTCATACGTATGCAGACGCTTAATGTTGATACGATCACCTTTAGGATTCCAATTTCACAGAAAATTTTTCTAGATTTATCACCAAGATTGGTAAGAGCAGGAAAACTTTTTATCACCACATCCTGCTTCTCCGTCAGCTGCGCTCTGTCGCAGCAGAGGTAAGCCAACCGGGAAAACGCTAGAAACGCTAAAATTGAAATTCAAACAAAGCTGCTAAAAAAACAAAATCAATCTTTGTCTATAATAACCTCCTTCAACATTAGGCTTTTCTTAATGATTAAGATATATGATTTAGTTAGGGCTGCAGGGCCCCCCCTGCGGCTGGCCCTACGGTGGCGCCCGCCCGCGCTGATTTGCGCGGAGTCTAGTGGTGGAAGGCGTCAAAAATGGGCGCGGGCGTCCCCTTGCGCCTCTCTGCATGTTCCTCAGGCACCTCCTGGCCTCTGCTGACCCTCGCAGGCTGGAGGTCTCCGGGGTAAAAGGCCGCCGAAGGCGGCCACGGTCTCAAGAGCAAGCAAGCCGATGACCAAGGGCCTGGACGACGGTACAGGCTACACGGCTCAGGGGGTCCAGCCCAGGGCGCCCACGGTCTCAAGAGCAAGCAAGCTGATGGCCAGGGGTCCGGAGGGCACAGGCCACACGGCTCAGGGGGTCCAGCCCCTCGCCTTTTGCCGCCTTCGGAGGCCTTCCGGCGCACTGTAACAAAGTCGAAGCATATAGGAGGCATGTAGGGTACGGGCAGGCAGCTGGAAGAGAGCGGAGGGGGTCTCTTGGGCCCCTTTTGAAGCCTTCCACCCCCGGCAGACGGCTCCCGAAAGGGCCCGGAGCTACCGGCCCCCCCATGCGCTAGGGGCGGGCACCGTAGCCCTGGAACATATATAAATGAGTTGCAGAGAGGCTCAGGTGCTTGGTGCCTAAATTTGATGATAGATCTTCAACGATTTCGATTTGTTTCCGATAGGTACTTGTACATAAAAATTGAATGCGGCAACCACGAAACAACTAGGAGGTGCTCTTATTGTCCCTCGTGTACTCGAGAGTAGCCTACCCAAGAAAGAGTGGTTTCTCAAATCTTCGTCAGCGTGCCGAAACTACAACCGCAAATTATTACATCAAACTCAATAATAAACATCATCTCATTAAAAAACACAACTAACTTTCGCTGCTCATATTAATTACCGCCCACGTGCCCCCGGCGTGTACACACGCCGGGGCAGGGCGGAAGGGTCTGGCAAATGCTACGAGTTACATAAAATCCATACGGCCTACCGGCGTGCTACGAATTACGTAAAGAGTGGCGGGCTGTGGAATAAGCAAAGCAGCTCCGCGCTACAAGCTACTACGTGCTACATAAACCCCCACCCTGGCAGCACCCGAAACGCCCAAAAGGAACTACTTCGAACGAATGAGGCAAACGGGTAACCAAATACATACGCCGAGAGTCAAATCCTTGAGCAGATCACTCCAGGCCTGCTGATTTCGGTTCTCAGCGTAGTGGCTGGGCGAAGCACTGCAGTCGACTCCGCTCACCGTGAGAACCTCGCGCGCCCCCTGGCCCGGGTTTTGGGCGTGGGTCCCCTACTCTTGGAGTGTGTTGCGTCTCCGGCTGGCATGGCAGTGTCACGAGGGGGGCCCCAGGCTTGTCGCTTTCGGTTCTCCGCATAGTGGGCGAAGCACTACGCCCGACTCCGCTCACCATGAGGACGTCTACCGTGGACCTTTTCCGTGGAGAGAACTAGGGGGCGGCCCCGTTCTACTCTCGGCCTGTTTGCGGGGTTTTACTCTTTGCGCCGTTTTGGGTTTTCCATCCAAATCACGCAGCTCTATGGTGTCGCGTTGCTGCCTACGTTTCATCTGCTTCGCGTTTGCTCTCTGTGAGCCATTTACCCTCCCAAGCTTACGGCGAGTTGCGCTCTATCGCTTAGCCTCCCTATCTGCTTCTGGCTTTCTCGAGAGGTGTGGGCATGCGTCATCTCAAGGCTTTGATCTAAGTGAACAAGAACAACGCCACGCGAGCAGTGCTGTGCGGCTTTCATGTGCTTGGGCGATGCAATCTGTGAGCCGCTTGAGCTTTCTGATCAGAAAGCAGGCCCAAGCCTATGGGCTTGCTGGTTACTTATGGCTTACTCGATTGCGCCCATTCTTTTCTGATCCAAAAAGCGCAGCGCGATGAAGTTGCTGCGTACTTGTGAGCTGCTTAAGAGGTCCCACCCTTTGGCCCAGTTCAAGACCCTCACCCAAACGGCGCAACGCTGTGAAGCTGCTGGCCCTTTTGACTTGCTGGGAAGGTCTCACCCTCTGACCCATCGCAGGCACCCTACCCAAAAGGCGCAGCTTTATGAAGTTGCTGCTTACTTTTGAGTGACCTGCTTGAAAGGTCTCGGCTTTTGACTCTGCTCAAACCTCCCACCCAAAAAGCGCAGCGGTATGATATTGCTCTCTACTTTTGACCTGCTTGAAAGGTCCCAGCCTTTCAGTCAGCTCGCTCAGAGGTCTCTCACAATCAAAGGGCGCAACTCTATGAAATTGCTGCCCACTTTTGACCTGCTGGAAAGGTCTCGCGCTTTGGCCCAGATCTGGCCAGCTTGGTTATTCAAGGCGCGCAGCTTTATGGAATTGCTGCCCACTTTTGACCTGCTTGAAAGGTCCCACCTTTTGACCAAGGCAAGCGCGGGCATCCTATCCAAAAAGCGCAACGCCATGGGGCTGCTGTCTGCTTTTGGCTTGGCTTGCTTGAGAGGTCCCGCCTTTTGCCTCTCTTTGCTCAAGCTCCTTGCTCAAAAAGCGCAATCTACTTCATGAAGCTGCTGCCTACTTTTGGCCTGCTCGTAAGGTCCCGCGCTTTCACTCAGTCAAGTCAGGCGCCTTACTCAAAGAGCGCAACTCTAGGAAATTGCTGCCCACTTTTGACCTGCTTGAAAGGTCCCACCTTTTGACCCAGCTCAGGCCACTCAGGCATCCTATCCGAAGCGCGCAGCTTTATGCGATTGCTGTCGTCTACTTTTGGCCTGCTTGAAGGGTCCCTCCTTTTCACTCTGCTCCAGCCTCTTACGCAAAGCGCGTGGCTTTATGCGTTTCCTGTCTATTTTTGACCTGCTTGAAAGGTCCCACCCTTTGACCCAGCTCGGGCCCCTTATCCAAAGAGCGCAACGCTATGAAGTTGCTGCCTCCTTTTGAGCTGCTTGAAAGGTGTCGCCCTTTGACTTAGCTCAGACCTGTTATCCAAAGAGCGCATCTCTTTACCGTTGCTGTCTGCTTTTGAGCTGCTTGAAAGGTCTCACCCTTTGACGCCGCTCAGGCTCCTTATCCAAAAAACACAACTCTACGAGATTGCTGTCTACTTTTGACCTGCTTGAAAGGTCTCACCCTTTGTCTGAGCCAGCTCAGACCTCTTATCCAAAAAGCGCAACTTTATGAGATTGCTGTCTACTTTTGATCTGCTTGAAAGGTCCCACCCTTTGAGCCCGCTCGGGCTCCTTATCCTAAAAGCGCAAACTTATGGGATTGCTGTCCACTTTCGAGGTGCTTAAAAGGTCCCAGCCTTTTAGTTTGAGCCAGCTCAGACTTCTTATCCAAAAGGCGCAGCTTTATGAAGTTGCTGTCTGCTTTTGACGTGCTTGAGCGGCCCCATCCTTTGAGTCAGCTCGAAATCCTTATCCAAAGCGCGCAGCTTTATGAAGTCGCTGTCTACTTTTGACCTGCTTGAAAGGTCTGACCCTTTGAGCCAGCTCAGGCCCAGGCGCCTGATCCAAAAAGCACGCAGGTGCTAACTTGCTCAGCGTATAGCTGCTGGGTGCTTGCCTCTGTTTGCATTTCTTTGTTTGCATGTGGGTCCTTTTTGTAGCACATACGCAGACGCCGCGGATTTTCTTCATGAGATGACTGGCCCCAGGCTGAGGCGCTTCTCTCTTCGTATATTTTTGTCCATGCAGCGCAGTCCTTGGCTTGTGCTGTTGGTTCAGGGTTTTGAGGTACTGCCGAAAGCCTTAGCAGGAGCAGAATCGCGGGAGAGTTGTACTCAAAAACGCGGAATTTTTACGGCGCGAGATGTATACATCTAGCCCGTACATCTTTCCCATGATTTCCGTACATCTCAAAAAAGTGGAATTTTGGAAACCTACTATGAATCGCCCCGGTGTAAGTACATCTCAAGAGTACACCTTTCCCGTGATTTACGTATAAGATATATATCTCGAGATATATATCTCAGACGTATACATCTCGCCCGTACATCTTTGCCATGATTTGCGTACATCTCAAGCCGTAAGCTCACTCCTGTTTAGCATTCAAAATAAGTTTTGGTTTATAATATAGATAATTATAGTATGACACGACTGACGCGACATGCTCGCATCTAAACTAATCTGACGCTTTTATCTTACGTTCTCCAAGAAGGTGAACGTATCGTACCCAGCACAGTGCTATCCAGTCTTCTCCTCTGCCGAATCAGTCACGTACTCGTATTCCGATTCGGACTCGACTGGGGCTTGAGAAGATTGCTGGCGTTCGCTTTGCCTTTGTTGGGGCACGTCGCGATCTAAAAATCCTGCTGCAGAAAGCTTTCTAGTGACCTCGGAGATGCGACCGCCTTGCGAAGCGATGATGGTAGACGTGCTGCCGGAAGACGTAAACGTTTCTCCATCACGATCCACTAAGGATTAGATATTTATAAGAATGAGCAAGCACTCGCTCGTTCTCGTAGAAGTACATTGTAGACTGAAGAGCGAACTAATCATTATCATGGCTCCATAATTTTCCCTTTGCGCTGCAAGGAGACGGCGGACATCGTCTCTCAACTGCTGATCTTTGCTCGATGCACTTGTGGCCGTTGCAGATGGTCTCCTCTGAATGAAAGCGCGGCTATTATTCATCTTCTCATGCGAGACTGGAGTACCACGTGGATGCTGCAGAGCGACGCCCTCAGGCACCTGCATGTGCATTCATTGTTGGAATAAATTCGTCGCCTGTAGTTGTTCCGTCCTACGGCCTTTGATCTTTCTCAATAAAATCATCCAACAAGATGAAGGTAGAGATTCACGACAGTATTGAAAATAACGCATGTGTGCTGCAAGTAGTACCTCGTCTATATAATAGTAATAGGTACCGCCTTCCGCTGCGTCCATCCTTGTCCCGGTATAAGACACCACTTTCCCCCGCCGCAGTGTGCGGAAGCAGCACTAGGCAACGAGACACCGGAATTTTGCGAGTTTTGCTTCTCCTGGTCGTCTCGGAGTGTTGCAGCCGTTTTAGCTTCCGGACTCTCCAAAATGGTATCTTTGTCGGAATCTTCGGGTACTGCAGGCATACCTGATCCGCTCTCATTGGTCTTTCCGGTAGAGGTGCCATGGCGTGATTGATCTCCAGAGACCTCCTCTGGTGGCTGACTTAAAAGTACCTTAGCCGGTGCTTCGTGGGGTTTTTCGTGAAAGGACAGATAAATATCTGTTCGCTGCGATTCTGCTACCGTCGCTGATAACCCCCCTACCTCCACCGCCGCTGGTGACTCCACTACCGCATCTAGTGTTTCTGTCACCCGTGTCGGTGACTCAACCTCGCCTGCCGCAAGTGGTAGGGATTGTTCTGTCCTTGCCGGGAGTGATTCTCTGCTATCTGTAGCTGCAACTGATCTTGATGGCTCTGGGACCTCCATTGATGGCTCGGTCTCTGGCAATGAGGACTCCGTCACCGCCGATTGTGTGAGGAATGTCATCACCGACGAGAAGGCTGCCAGTGTTGCACCATCCTTCTCCGTCGGCGTTGCTGGTGAATGCGTCGGCGCTGCTGGTGATTCCCTCGGCATTTCTAGTGGATCCACAGCCCTTAACGTACTTGCTGCTGGGTCGGTCGGCACTATTCGTGACTCCACAACCGGTGGAACTGCCTCTGCCACTGTATGTGGTGGCACTGTTGATGCCTCGCTGCTAAACAGCAGCTCTTCTTGTTTACTTTCCCGACGCGCTAGATAGACAACTCCTTCCAGAATGTCCGCCTCCGGAGTCTCACCATGATCTTCGGTCGTCATACTACCAACACCTGGGTCTCTGGAAAATCCTGCTGATGAGTACCCATCGCTCGAATTGGCACAAAGTGGTGACGAAACGGGCCTCTGCACAAGCAAGTTCTTGTGCGGCATGAGGTCAACAGTTTCTTGAACGACACACGAGCTCCCTCCTCCGGGCAGGCGGTAAGTTGGTTCCGGAAAAGTTTCTGCGACTACGTCGTCAAGGCCTGCAGAATGGGAGGGCGAGCCCGAACAAGAATAGAACGAGCTTCCGCTCGAGCTTCGTGAGAGAGGAAGGGTTTCCCGATTCACTGGTGTTGTGCTTGCAGTGGTCGGTGGTACCGAAGGGAGCACCTGGGCAATAACAGGATGACAATCTCGATGTACTAAAGCTTGTTCGTGTTGTTGTTCCACGACGTGTTCATTACTCGTCTTTTTCATCAACAACGAAGTCGCTGGAGACTCGGTCACAGATTCTAAAACTCCTGCACCAGGATGATGTGGTGACGACAATAGAAAATGTTCTGGTTTTCTAGGAATCATGGCGGAAGAGGAGGTGGGGGATTCATCGTTGCGATCGTCGAAAAAGCTGTCTACTAGCAATGTGCCGGTCTCTATCTTTAAGGCCTCAATTGTTTTTGGGGATCTGCGCCGTGGACTGCCGATGTAGAATGACTGGAACGCCGATAGCGGCTCTTCGGTTTCTGCCTGCGACCGGTCTAGTTGTTGATGCACTTTTTCATTCCGAATAAGTGTGTCTTTCTTCTTGTCCTCCTCAACATCGACCTTGCCAAAAGCGGCTGGCAAATGCATCCGCGGACTGGTAGTACTCGGCAACTGCAACCGGCTGGACTGATCTTGAAGGGGGTTGTTCCCTTTAATGCTAGGTGTAGGTATTTGTTTGTGACAAGTAGAATTTCCGCACGAAGAAGAAGATGTGGACCTGGTATAATGCGGTGGAGGGGCATGTGAGGCTGAACTGACAGAGGGCTCATCCACCTGGTCCTCCAACCCACTGCCTTCTTCACAGGATGCATACTCGTCTTCCTCGTTTTGTTCATAAATCTCCTGCATTTGCATCGATGTTGACGTTGTGAAAGCCGCTCCGTTGCGCTCCTTGTCCTCTACCGAGCGACGTCCCAGTACCCCCTGGTCGTGGTCGTCGACCTCGTTTTGTGCGTCATCGTCGATTGCAGATATGTGGCACCTAGTTTTCGTTGTAACCAAGGAATCTTGTGTTTCCCTGTTGTGGAGCTCACCTGGTGCATCTGCATTCGCACTCGAACCTGCTACCACTGCGCAGTTTGAGTGGACATCGACAGCTGCGGTCCGGCGCGCTGCCTGTTTCGACATATAGGACTCCATGGCTGCCTGCAACTGTGCATCCATCAGATCATGCTCAAACAAGGCCCGCTCCGACAGGACGACAGGTCTCTGTAACATTTCTCCGGCTGATCTCCCCTTGCTCCCATAAGGTGACGGGACCGGGGACGGAGAGCGCATGTCCTCCTCGTCACAACCAGCAGTCTCGTCTTCCGCATCGGCGATACTTCCATCGTCCCGTTGATGTCTGGGTATTCCCGCCCACAAAGCCTCGGCCGACAAACAGCGTCGGTTCCTCAACATAAAACTTGTTTAGAAGGGTCGAAAGTTGTTATGCTATACCTTTAGGTGTAGCCAAGCAAAAAAATACCATCACTTTCAGTGAGGTACAAACTCGACTGTAAGTGGAAGCAAAAGTTCAAAAACTATGGACACGCACCAAAACCGACAACAAAGGTGAATCTGTTTGTACCCTTGCCTGCACGCTTCAATCATACCTATGCTCTAGCGATCGTTCATCCTCCATCTGCAATGCCGTCTGTGTTGGCGCCGTAAGCTGCCTTCGTAACTTTTTCCGCAAGCGAGGCTGTTCCTCTTCATCTTCTCCTTCAAGAGCGCCACGACATCCAACGTCGGAAGAATTACTACCACTGCTCGCTTCCACCAAGTCGATTCCACGGACTGTCGCTGTCCTTGTGTCGTTCCCGACGTGCTGGTGAGAACGGGAAAGTGAATGTAACTCCGCATGTTTATCTCTTAATATTGCCCCGCCGTGTGGTTCTGGTTGCCTATGACTTGCCATTGAGGCCGCTCCGAGGTTGTGTCGCTGCTGGAATCGTTCTCCTTCTCGTTCATCTAGTTGTTCCATAGTAGTTCTAACTACATCATGATCACTGATGTAACCCAGGCTCGACGATACCCCCACCTCCGAGGAGTCCGGATCTTGGCCTTTGTGGTTGTTCGACGTCCGATGTACCACCGGCCCCTTGTGTAATGACAAGGGAGTAGCTGGATCAGTCATGGAACTACGAGCACCTTGCTCGAATGGCACTAGCAACGTTCTCGACGACGAAGAAGCCGCTGCGCCACCTAGTCCACCTTCTCCGAAACCATGCTGCTGTAGAAACGGTACGAGCATACCTGCTTCATCCGCGTCATCCGGTGGTGATACTCGCTTTTCATAGCTGTCTCTCTCAATCGATGAGACACACGAGGAAACTCCGATCTCTATTTGATCGCTGTAGCATTGGCTGCACTCGCTAGGCCGACCGCATGCCGAGGAGCCCGCTGGCGTGACCAAAGAGAAAAACCACACAAAGCGTCGAAGCATAGGCATCGAAAACCGCCACGAAATCCAAGATGTCGTTGGAACCGGCATCATGATCGAGCTAAAAGCGCTTCCTCGGCCTACGTGAACACTCACTGCAGTAGTGTTGCACGTGCACTTTCAAAGCCCGACCCGAAAGCTTCAAGTCTCCGTTATCGCTCAATAGCCGAGCACATGAAGAGGCCTGCACCGGGCAACTAGAAACCATTCGTCCATCATGATACTTATAGGCGAAACGAGAATGCGTGCGAAATTCATGATTTCACAGAAGTCCAGTACATGTACTCAATGACACACGGGAAAAGCATCTGAGAGAGACTTGTTATCATCGATCGTCACGCCCGAGCCGGTCTGGTTCTGCCCTCTCGAAGTCGAACATAACCAATTGCAGTAAGCAACATGAACTACAGGGAAGGAACTGCCTCACCTTGCTCTTTAGCAGACGCATCCCGCCCTTCAAGTTCCAAGACAGATAGTTTTTATTCGATCAACGAGAGACTGAAATCGAGGATTCACAACGGCGCAGTTTGTGACCTTCTTTAAGTGTTCATGTACTTGCTGGGATCGTATGTTCTCTTTACAGAAGAATCCGACAATTGAGAAATTTTCTGCCCTCGAGAGCTCCCTATCCCGGATCCACCACCTTTATCAACAGGTATGCCGGTGCCTGTAGAAGATGTTGTGGTCCTCGTCGGTCGTGTATTCGCAGAAGTCTTGTTCCGTTCTTTGTAGTTTGCAACGATTCCGTCGAGGTAAGTGTGCGCTGCTTGCTCACTGAGAATGGAGTCGTCTAAGTCCAAGAAGAGATTGAGACAGTTGTTCCGCACGCTCGGACTGCGACTTGGCCGTGTTGCAGTCGGTGTCACAGCAGGCGTCCTCTTAATAATCGTTGTAAGACTGTAGTTTTCCGTCTCCCGCGTGGTCTCGAAAGTCCCTTTGTTCTCAGCACCCATTCGCAAATCCGCACGCTCTACATGAGAATGGAGCAAAGGCGTCTCCTCGACTAGATGATCCACAACACCTTGCGCACCATCTGCGACTTTAGCTGCACCTGCAGCTGTAGAAGTCGTACCAGCACACCCTACACTCACACTGATATCGGTATGGTCGGACCAGGTGTTGACTAGCTTGGAACGCTGTGCCAGAAATTGAAACCGCTTTTCCGTGTCTCGCAGCAACCGTGTGCAACGAAGCTCCACACTGCGAAGCGTATCTTCGAGACGCGAGAAATACACCTTATCCAAAGGCCACTGAGTTTTCTGATGACTTAGACGAACGAATCAGAGTGCCGGGGTTCCCTCTTACTTTGTCTTCATCTTTTTAACTATCTATATTTTCCGACCCCGACATCGACTATTTCCGTAGATTAGTAACCATGTTTAAAAATTCATTGTAGATGTACTTAACTGACTTTTCCATTCTTTGTACTGCGTCTGAGCTTGTTTCGCACTCGCAACGACCACGTCCTGCACACTCTGGAGCGTTTTCATGGAAATATCGCGATTCTCACTTATCCGCCCGCGCAAATATGCGATCTCAGCTTTGAGTTTGTCAGCCTAAAAGTAAAATGTTAATGTTTTTAATAAAACCCTCGGGGAATAGATACGCCAACAAGCACAACTTCCATTAACAAACTTACACATCCATGAAGGTGAAATCAAATATCAAGCGGAATGAGACGATAACTACGAGTCAAGGACGAAAGGCAAACTACGACCGGAAATGAATACATTTTCATGGCTTTCCCGCAGCCTCTTTTCTGATGCAGACAGCTCATCACGAAGCGTCTCGCACTGCGTCTGGCACACGCGCTTCATAGCTTCCTCCCGGATAATGTTAGAGGTGGACGAGGATAGAAGAAGTACAAGGTCTAGTAGATCAAGGATCATGACCACGGGTTGATGAAGGAGTTGTAGGTATTTCGAGTTTTATGGACAACCCGTCACATCATCCTGCATACTCGTACTTAATGTTCGATGGCTCTGGGGAGTTGTGGCATCGTATCTTCGAGTTCCTGCTTCGTCAAGTCGAAGCGGTGTTGCAGGTCCGCGATCACGGTGTCGAAGGATCTCGATTTTCGCACACAATCTGCCTCCTTAGCCGCCAATCTGCGTTCGCATGCTGCTTCCGTCCGAGCCGCCAAGTCTTTCAAGGTCTCGACATCCTTAGAGCGCCTCGACAGCTCTTCTACCAGCCGACCGTTGCATCGCAGTGCATCCGCGAGGTCAGTTTCTACGCGCTCCCGCACCGTACGATACCACTTTTCTGCATCTGAAATAAGCGTAGGAGTAGGCTCCGTGTCGCTGGGATACTTCCTCTGCACATGATCCAGTGGACCTTTCGTCCAAGGAACCTGAGAAGAGTCAGCTGGAGAAAAACGCGCTCTGGTGGGCTGATTGTGATGCCATGATCGATCAGGCGGCTCGAACGCACGCTGCTGCCCGTTTCCGTTTTGTTCCGCATGATCTCCGACTCCACGTCCAACTCCGCTGTCATAATAATATGGTCGTGGACCACCGCGACCATACACATTGTCATTGACATCTTGAAGATGATGGTGGTACTCTACTCTTAGACAAGCACTGTTCTCTCCAGAATGTTGGTCAGTGTCAAAGCTACGAGCTGCTTTGCCTTCTTCACCGGCGCCAAGGCTCAGTGCATCGTGCTGGTATTCGTACGATGGTGAGGGCCTAGCACTCGATGAAGAGGCACCAGTACCATTTGATTTTGAGTTAGATGGGAAATGGACGCAAGCAACGAGCAAATGAGTATGCGAAAAAAAGAACGACTGTGCTTAGCGTTAACAGTACTACTGCGCTATTTCTAGAAAACAACTTCTTGAATTAGTGTTAGTGTCACCAGCACGATTGTACTTCGCGTTATCAACAATATATGCATTAATATGTGAATCATATCCACAACAATCATAATGTAACTGCTTTCGCAGTCCTCTGGTATAAGGTCTATCGGAGCAGGAGACGAAGCTTGCAATTTTTTTGCTTCGTGTCTTTGCCTTGCACGCATCTCAGCAAGCTCGCGGTCTCGTATATCGGCTAAAGCGGATTCTGATACGAGCGTCGGTGACGGCTCCATCGGGAGGTCAAGAGACGTTGAGCAGGACGGCCCGTCCTCAGACGACGAACAACTGGGAAACTCTTCGGCAGTTACTTCCGGAATCGGACCTAGCTGTCCCACAATACACGACCTGGAAGTAGCACCAACACCCTCATCTTCAGGATATAAGTTTTGCGGGTGCTCCTTTTCGTACCCAATGCGTGAACCTGAAGACACTTCCGATCCTGAAGACAACTTCGAAGACGATGCTAAAGAAGGAGAAGAGGATGAAGAAGATGATCTTGAGGCGCCTGACGATAAAGCAATATTTTGTTGCTGCAGCATGTGCTCTTGCTGGAGCCGAATCATCTTGTTTACGGAATCTAAAGCGCGCGCCTGAGAACTTTTTCTTCTTGGTACTTCTACAACGGCTTTTGGTGCCGAGGGTGAGGTCTGACTAGACTGACCCATCAGCGATGTAGTGGCAACAAGTAGAGGATCTTCCTTTTGCTTGTTTGCTCGCGACGTGCCCACACTGGTAGAGGTTCTGGCTGAAGAAACCGATCCCGGCGCTGCGCTAGTTTGATTCTTAGGACTTATTCCTGAAGACAAACGCATTGGCGGGGAAGAAGATGGTTTAGCATTCCAGCTTTTTTCTCGCGTGGACTCACTACTTTCCACTTGACTGACAGAACTTTGTTCCACAGGGCTCCCTGATTGTGCTGCAGTGCGGGACCCACACTCTTGTCCTAATGCAGTTGCATCTCCCTGTCCTGTTCTTAATACTGGGCCTGCATTTTGCTCCACTGCTTTCTTGGATTCCACCAACGTCGAAGATTTTGCAGCTGGCGACATCAAGGATGATGTGACTGACGGTACAGAGACAGACGAAGCTGGTGAGCATGACGAAAATCCGCCCAGAATGCTACCAGCTGTATTGCTATGGATCCAACTCTCGTTCTGCTGATCATCTGCGTTTATATGATACTCCTCTAGTACGCTCTTGTGCCCTTGAAAAGCAGGGGAGCAGCTGCTCGGACAATTTTCTGCTCCCTCCGCATGTCGTTGCGACACCGCATCTCGACATTCCGGCCGGTGATTTTTGGCGTGTGGCCCCGACTGAAAAAAAATGTCATCTGCTTCATTTCTTCTATGCGCTGGTGCACTGTCTTGTTTCACACTACCTTTCTCTCCTTCCGCACCCGATCCAAGCGGCTTTGCGTCCACGTGTGCTAGTGCAGCGTTTCCTGCCACGTGGTTCCAGGAAGCCTCTGCTTGAGAGAAGTCACCGCGCTGTTTGCCGTGACGTTCGTCCAGCCGCGACGGGAGCTGAAAAGTTTCGATCGACGAACCCGACGAGCCCTGTGGCGAGGACATCGCGGAAGTCGGGAGACCGTGCATCGCGCCCAGTTCGCGGGCCACATCGTCTGCGGTCAGCCGCATACCGACTTTCACAGTTTCAGTTTCACGAGTTGTCGACGAATTCGAATTCCGAGGAGGTCTCTTGCATAATTTGACCAAAGGGAGGCGAGTCAGTTTCGCAGCGGAACCGCGGCTCATGACATTTCGTTTTTCTTGAGAACGACGACTGTGGTAAATTTTCCCATAACTTGATCTAAGCACTTGTTGTTTACCCCATAACTTGATCTAAGTACTTGTTGAAGTTAGAGTTGTTTGTTCTTCACTATCTATTCACATCGCCCATTCTTGCTTAACCTTCTTCTGCTAGTCGACTGTTTCTACTCATAACGGCCATGAAAAAAGGTAAAGGCGCTAGAGCTGATAAGGAAAAGAAGTCATCGATTGGAAAAGCTATACAATAATCGCATTCGTCATCTTTGCAGGGCTGTTTCTTGCGCTTTCGTTCTAAAATTCTGTTTACCATTTAGGATGAAACGAGGAGCATCCCTGAACCGACTACAAACTGTTTTTTGTTGTTGTTTTCTGAATCTATCATCTACCACAAATTGTTCCTTGTCAAATCAAACCCAAGTAGTGCAAAGCAATCAGCGTGATGAATCTGTTCGAAGACGAAGTGGAAGAGCACTCGTGCCTTTGAATGTGCTGAAAAAGCTCTCCAGGCCAGGGCCACCAGGAGTTGATCGAGCAGTTGCAATTACATGAGCATCAGGCAAAATTCGTGCCTGGTCTTCATCTCGGACCTGGTAATGACAGGGTGCTTCATCTCCAGCAATGCTGCCAAGAAGTGAATAGTTACCCCAACGATAGATGAGGGCGTCCATGAATCCGTTGTGATTGCGGATCCATGCAGAAGCGCCATTTGTTGATTCAAAGCGCAAATAAATAAAGTGCATTTTTCCAGTGTCTCTCTCTGACTTCAGCGCGTCCAGAGTCTCTTCTTCAGTGTCATCATTCGTACTTGAAGCAAAAGAAACGGTTTCTCTTCTGCCTGAACTCCGCGCTTTAACAATGCTTCGTCGTAGCGCCGCCTGATGGAGGGATCGCTCTAGCCCTCTCGTTGCGGTTCTGCGCGTAGAATCTTCCATCATGGGAAGATCTTTTTCATCGTATTCTCGTCCGATCACACGGCAGTCGTAAGCTCTTTCCATAAGTCGTGCTTCTGCCTCAGTTACACGCGTGCGTCCACACGCTAGAAGACTCACGGCAGCTCCCTTGCGCAACTCCGCAGCAACACCCGGATCGTTGCTCAGGAGCATCAGACCGCTTGCGCACCATCTCGGATGTGCTTGGAGCAGTTCGCGCCCAAACAAACGTAGATGTCGCCATCTCTGTCCGAGTTCGTTTCCTCTGTGTCTTCGGAAAAACGCGTTGTCCCCCCCAACCCGAGGTATCTCCAAGCTGGCACTCCGAAAAAAGACAAGCGTCTCGTGTTTCAAAGGCCGCTCGTCCAGAAATATCTGCGGAGACACAATTACATTCTTGTCGTGTCCTTCACCACGTGATGCCGTCGCCACTCGTATACAGCGATCAGACGTGATCAATTGTAAAAACTTTTGAGGTATTTGCAAATACTTATGTTCATCCCCTGCTACCTCCTTGTCGTCCTTTTTATCTGTATCTCCGATTTCCTGTCCTCGTTGTTGAAGAAGAAGCTCCTGGCCTTGCGGAGTGCTACCAGGCCTCGCGCTTGATGTAGTTTCTAGAAGATGACGACCGTTGAGAGCAGAAGAATGTTCTGCCTTGTTGGATACAAGCGAGACTCGTCCGGTTTCTATCCAAGCCTGTGCTTCAGATCTGCTACCAAAAGTGAACTTCATGAGCACATCCGATATTCTGCACATCCTAGGTCTTGTGGCAGTCAATGCACTAGAATGTGCACTGGTGTTGCTTCTAAGTAGTAGCTCCTTTTCCAGATGAACGCGCCGTGGAGACGTCGAGGATGCTGATGGCGTGGGAGATTGTCCACATTCTTTTAGGTGCTGCTCCCATCCATCTGCTTTTGGCAAGGAGTCTTTCTCCTCAAAAAGTGATTTTGTGGACACGCCAACAGAGCAGGGTACTATGGGATCATAACGATTCAAAGCGCGTTTTCTACTAGACGAACTTAGCAGCACTTGTTTAGCCACGTCGCCAGCGTGATCACATGGTCCTGTTGCAATGATCGCTTGTTTTGAGTCAGTAGCTTTTGAGTCTATTTCTTCAGGAACGGCTCGACATGGACCTCTAGATGCAAGAAGAGTCCCAGCTCCAAGAACGTCTGGAGGAGGACTCCATTCGGCTACACACCTTCTCCGTCCAGCGGGACTCCACACTAAACTATGCTTCGTGTAAGAAGGCAAGCGGGTTTTGATCCGATGAGATCCGAATTGCGACACATCGCGGCAAACGGTTGAGCAACGGACGGTCATGTTGTTTCGGGATGAGCAGGATGCTGATACTCTTCTTCGTTCCGTGTGGTTCCACATGCATACTGTGCTTGATCTGCCCTATGAAGTTGTTGATGATCCAGAGACTAGTATATCAAATAAATTCAAAAACCTAAACCTCCAAGACTAGTGGAGGTAGAAACGTGATCGAACAGCCGAGCATCACGTTGACAACAACCTCTCGGATTTCAGCAAAACTCACTGTACATCTTTCAGCCGCCCTCTCGCCCTCAATATGAACAAGAATAAGAAAGGAAAGTATGATTATAATATCAGACACGAACAATATCCCTATTACTATGAAGTTGAAAAAGCACTGTCCGATTGAGGGACCTGACGTCCAGAGAATTCAGGAACATCACTCGGGCTAGAGGGGTTCTCTCTCCCTCTCGGTGATCATGTCCATGTCGGTCGTAAAGTAAGAAGAGTAAATCTCAATTATCGTCTTATTCCGCTCGATCAGTCCGGGACAGAGCGTGTCGGTCTCGGCTACCTGTCTCTGCAGCACAAGCTGTACAGCATCGAGCTTCGAATAAAAGCCGTGATGTCCATTTTAAACAAACGCACAGACCGCGAGTTAGAATTCGAAATTAAAATCATTAACTTTGGCCTTTCTTTTCAGTTAATCCCTTCTCATGTATTTGCTGCCCGCCAGCACGCCAGCAGCTCTTGCAGATTGTTTCGTCTTCAATTTGCACGTGCAGCTCCGAAAATAAATGCGTTGTCTGCAAATTACCCTGCAGGTATTATAGATAGCACCCGTGAGTCTACACACGAGAGCCTACAGTGGTTGGCATCATGTCTTTCGCCTGTTCCTACCAATCGTCCTCGTCGTCGACCTCACTGTAACTCTTGTCTCTACTTGCTCTTCTCCATGATCCTACAGCAACTGAAGGTTCTCGGGTTTCAGAAGTTTTGGCTCGAATCGTGCGTCTTTTACGAGATTAGCACTAGCACTATCGTCCTTCATGAGGACCTGAACAGTATAGCGACCTTTCTCATTCAGCTCTTGTGTTACCCGTCCTGCACGTCCATTGAGATCTTGACGTGTCCGGAGGCCTTTCATCTCCACCAGGTCGCCCACCTGCAACGGAGTCGATATGTCGAAGCTTTTATCTCCTTCAACAGCGGCAAGTGGAACCGTCTCCGTATTGTCAAACGCTGCTGCTTGTTCCCGTTTGTAATGTTCCAGCAGCTGCAGGTTTTCGGGTTTAAGGAGAACTGGCGTAGCTTCATGCGGATGCGTGTCCCTTACGAGATTACCACTACCGTCCTCCATGAGAATCTGAACAGCATAGCGACCATTCTCATGTAGCTCTTGCGTTCTCGTAATCTGGCCTCGGAGTGCATTGAGATCTTTACGGGTCTGGAGGTCTACTTTTATCTCCACGAATTCTCCTACCGACCCGAGGATCATGAGATTCTCACTCCTAAATGCGATTGAGGTGGTACTTTGATCTCCGCTTCGCCAGGTGCACTTTCGAGTTGTACAGGAAAGCGGTTTTGTTGATCTCCGCTTAGTACTTTATCGGTTATGCGCCCTTTTCGTGCGTTTAGCTCCCACCTTTTTGTGATACCCATGACTTGGACGGAATCACCAGGGCGCAGCTTGTTTCTAGGAACAAGCATGTCATTCTTGTAAAGCTTCGCATGATGATCCATCTTTTCGATAGCATCCTTCTTGGCGACACGACCGTGAAGGCGAACCACTGCATCAACGACGGATCCTTTACTTCACGCGCAAGAACATCGGCTGGTACACCAAGCTTGCCCTCCATGATTGTTTTGGTCTTTTTAAGCAGGTCTTCATTTTGGTTCGAGTGCCAATCAAACAGCAACGCTTGAATAAGGTTTTGAAGTTCCACTGCAGAAAGGTCGGTGATAGTTGGCGCTACAAAAATCGGCGAGATACCCTGCGGTCCGGAGCGCTGAACCGACCCCGCTTGAAAAATGCGTGCGGCCCGATCTTCAGACCTCTCCATACCAGCAAGAACAGCAAGCACGAAAGTATGCGAGATACATTCGGACCGCGTGGGAGCATCTGCATCTTCAGCATCCCAAGTCATGGAAATCTGCAAGACGACCTCCTGCTGTCCATGAACGTCGCGGCTGGACAGAATTGGCAACAGAGGCAAAATCTCTTGTCGAAATTTCTGCTTGCTTTGCTGTTCGTGACTCAACGAACCTCCCGCACACCAGTCGGCGTCAACGCTATCAGCTGAATATCCAGTAGTGCGCACTTTTGGTGCTTCGCGTCTGGTCCTGCCAATACTGGCGTCCCCCTTTTCCATTGTGATGCCAGCGGCAACTAACAAGCTTGTAGCGAACGCGTCGCAGGCTATACCGTCGTGCTGCGATTGCGAGGATAAAAACCAGTTTGCGTACCTGTCTGCGACATTAGTATTCGCTGTGTTGTCCTGAATTGGCCATCTGCGTCTGTGTTCATCTTCTGCGGAAAAGCCGTTATGTTTTTGCCTCAGTACGCTTTTGTAAGGAGTGACGCCGAGACCAGGGCGTATCTGCATGAAATCCGTCAAGTCGCCGCCGTACTTGCGAATTGCAGCGAGCATCAAGCCACCCATCCACTTCTCCTCTAGACTTGGCTCATGACGCGTCTCCGGGTACAAGAAGTGAAATCTGAAACCAAGTTCAACAAATGTAGTCCGCGCCGACTGAAGTCTTAAGAACTCCCATTTTCGCTCGTGGTTTTTGCTTTCTCTCCCTTCTTGCGTCAATTGCGAATCTTTTTCCTGCCTTCCGTCGATGTATTCCGCCAAGGCCTTGCCATCTCAATCTCGCAAAGCGAAAAGTGTCTGAAAGTCACGCTTCAGCCGGGCAGGGTGCGCCGTCTGTCTCACATTTTTGTTGAATTCGGAGACAAGGCGTTCTATCAGAGACGGGGAGGGGCCACGCCATTCCAATGAAGCCGATCGCTGCGAAGAATCCGGCGGAGACGCAGAGGCAACGGGAACAGAAGGTAACGCACGCCCAGCGACCACGCGAAGCGCAGCTGCTGTGGAGGCAAGGACCAGCACCTTCACGACCGTCAAACGACGCGAAAGCTGCATGTTGGGAAAATCCGACATCGTTTTCATGTTGTAGTTATTTCTATGTATTAGTATTACTGTGATCAGAAAAAAGTAAAAGAGAAAGACGATTCGGAGCGATATACATAAATAAATAATGGAATGAAGAGCAAACGTAAAAGTTCAATGAGGAAAATACGAACACTATAGATAGATAGTGAGTAAATGAAAATGGCTATACGAGGTGATGATGAGATCAAAAAATAACGAAAGTGACGAAAAAGGTAGATCTAACTCTTCGAAAAAAGTATTTGGCACAAGCTACTTCAGGTTATGTTTGGAGTTCAATAATCGTGAAGATGCACTCACAAAGAAAAATAGTGGTAGTCAGGGTAATTTGTTGCGTTAAATGTTGATGCTGTTGACCTTGGTCTTCATAAGAGGGGAAGACGATGAATACGTGTAAGTTTCTAAATCACTCTTGAACTTGATGATATTAGTTTATGATTCTTGTCTCGTCTAGTGGTTCTGCCTTCGATATTTGTGGCTTTTGCCTTGAACCTTTTTCCTGTCTTCGTTTCGGGTTGAATGAAAAAGCGGGTGTGGTGTGAGTTGTGTCGATGATATTGCTGATGCTGAGCGGATCTTCATTTTGCTTCTCTGTTGTCAATAAACGGAATCATCTTGATGTTGTTCCTTTTTTGTTCATTGGATCTAGATCTTGATGGGAATGGGATCTGTTTCTCCTATAGCATCAGTGAATGGCACTGGCTCTGACAGCAGGAGCTGTGCTACTCATCGACAAGGACGACGACTCTCTCGGACGCTCTTTCTCTAATTATAACTCTTTGGCATTGGCTAAGGTACCTCCACCTACTTAGATAAACAGTGACAGATATCCTTATCCTTGAGCTTGTAAACTAAATCAAAATCTTAAATTTATAATCCCACTCGCTGCCACATAAAAACTGTAAATGAACACTAGGCTTTGCAATTGTTTCTTCGTGGGCCGCCTCTCTGGAAACAAGTAGACGTTCAGCGAAGTGACAGCATCAAGATGATGTGATGATCAACATGTTCTTGTACAAGTGAAGTACAACATCAACAAGTTCTAAGTTCTTTTCTGAATAGGAAATAATGGTATGATGACTCTCTCATGTTTGTATTCAGATTAACAACTCAACAAGTACTGTGCTATCGTGCTTCCCCAACCGGGGGATCCGTGCGCAGTGTCCGGTTTACCTCCTTGATTGCATCCAAAACGCTCGGAGCAGCTTCACTTCCTGCGGGACCACTCTCGATACTCGTGTTGTTCCAAAATGAAGTCGAAATCTGCTGCAGGTTAATATTGAGCGCACTATCGTCATCAACTCCCAGGCTACCTTTGGACATCCCCGAATGCTGATCCACGAAGCCTAAACGCTTGTTTGCGGAGTTTTTCTTCGGATCTGTGCTTATCTCCATGTCCATGAACCGGGTAAAGTTGAAATTCGGCGTGGGATCGTAAGGAGACGATGGAGCTGAGTGTAAATGCTCCTTCGGTGTCCCTAATAAGCGATTATTGCTGCCGCCAGCTGTCACGGCAGTCGTTGAAGTGGTTGCACTAGCTCTTTTGATAGCTGCACCAGGAGTGGTCGTTGTACTAGAACTAGTGCCTCTAGTAGTACCATGAGCAAGCTGATCTTGCTTAAGCATGCTATTCATGCTCACGGTGCTATGACGTGCAGTTGCTGTGGACGCTGCGGCCGACGAAGCTGAAACGGGCAGCGGGGGAGGGAGCCCGGAGCCAGTGGCGGATGAAATCGCACTGCTAGAAGAAACGCTGTTCGAAAAAATGGTATTATTTGCGCTAGATGATACACCAACGACAACCGAGGATGTTGTTGCTGTTACGTTTTTCGCAGTGGACACGACACGCGGCTGTGCTAGCGGCGAGCAATAAGCATGAATCGAGGAAGACGTTGATGGTTGATAGCGCGCATGGATGTTGGAACTCGAACTTGTAGTATTTAAAGCAGCCACGAGGTCACTACCACTACTGCTCTTTTTGAAGTCGAAGCCGCTCGTCTGCAGCTGCGGCGCGGAGATGCGGTTCTTTCGCCTGGCTCCCGCAGATATGAAGTTTCCAAGACGACTCGAGGCTGATGCTGCCGAACCGGACAAACTCCCTACGGCCCCAGAAGACGTTGCTCCATTTCCAACTAATGCTGCGCCTGAAGGTCCTCCTCCAACTCCGCCTGGCGCTACAGAAGATGCAGATGAAGATGACAACGCAGGAACGGAAGGCGCCGCCGAAGGCTTTCCGCTAGCTAGATTCGTTGTTGTCACACCCGCAGCAGTTCCTGTTGAAGGAAGACTAGTACCGGATGGTCCGCTGGCGGAAACCGCAGCACCATTAACATCCACTACGCAATCTGGTGACATCAGGTACAAATTCGACGATTCACGAGAGCGCTTTGCAACTCCAAGGGTAGCCCCATGCTCGCCTGATGCTGATATAGTGTTGGTGTCAGTCGTTGCTGCTGGCCGACTGGCAGCTATGCTGGACGAAGAGGAGGCAGACACTGTATTTGCGAAATAATTGGCGAAAAACTGTTGATCTCTAGAGTGGTTTACAACCGTTGTGCGTATAGTTTTCGAAAATGGTCCTCCAACAGCGACATCCGAACTTTTCAGAGCAGGAGGCTTCGCAAGGGAGGATGCATCGCCTTCCATCTGCGGAGAAAGCCGCGCTGTCAAAGGGACATCCTCGTCGGGCACAGATTCGTAGTCGTCGTCCTGTAGCGCAGAGACAGCCGTCATGTTACCTGATAATGCCACCGCAGAAGCACCACCAGTAGCCGGTTGTGGTACTCCAGACGACGAGGGCATGGTGCGTATTGAAACCGGCTCTATAGTTGCAGATGATGCTTTAAAGGAAGTCGCCTCGCTGGCTGAAATATGCACTACAGCTCCGCCCGATGCCGGTGCCGTGGCAGCCGCTGCTGCCACAAGAGGTGAACGTGGTAGCTGCAGTGGAGAGCGTGCTGCACCGACGGGCGAGCTGTGCACGACTTTGCCGTTTACTGAAACCATGACGCTATTGCCACGAAGCGTATCCGACGCCTTTCGGATGGACGTGGTGATCCCGGCAACAGCCATGGTGGTTGGAGATGTCGTGGTGGAGTGCACCGCATGGGCGCTCCTGTCTTCTGCCACGCTGGGAGACGCTGCTGAAGAAGTGAAGGCTGCAGGTCCTGTCAGAGCTCCCGCAGCAGATCCAAAGGAAGACCTGCTGGGTGCACGCAAGGCTCCTGGCAGACCACCGTGTCCTCCGACGCTCGATGTTGTGCTGGTGCGAGGCATTCCAACTGGAGAAGTGAGGGAAACTGCAGCGGGAGAGGCTGCGTGTCCAGGCGCAGAGCTACCGCTTGTCCTCGCCTCTTGTGCGACTTCTTGGAGTAATGCACTCGTCGCAGTGTTTGACACCGCGACCGCAGCATCAACTCGACTAGACGCTGTTTGAGGTCCACCTTCTGCTTTTACGGGCACCACCGCACCAGAAGGTGTCGTTGTCGATATTCTTGCGGGAGTCACGATCGGCGGCGCAATGCCGTTGATCGGCGTACTCAGAACCGGCGGTGGGAATGCCACGCCAGGGCTGATGGCTTTGGCGCCAAGGCGAGGCATAGGCTTAACTGTGGGTTGCGGGCCTGAGGACTGCATCTGCTTCCAGGATATGGAACTTTGGTCCATCGTTTGATGCAACAAGTGCTGCCGGATTCTGGGTGACAGAAGCTCCTTGCTGATTCCTGGAACTATGGGGCCAGTCGGTCGCTTTGGTCCCGGAGATTGCCGCTTTGCTATTTGATGTTGCGACATGCCCACCGCGCCATCTTCTGCTGTACTTCTTCTAGTACCTTCTTCGCAAATCGTCGAGGACCCCATTACCTGATTACAATATCAGAGCAATTTATAAGGTTTCACGGCTCGCATGGCATGGAGTGCATGGATCACATGGAGTAGCATGGAGCTAAAGGGGGAGCCTCTTGCGCCCCTTAAAGCTCTGCGCTTCATGCGCTTCATGCTACTCCATGCGCCATGCGTGCTATAAACTACTCTGCAATATGCAAGACAGACACAATGAATCGATAGAAAATCAAGCTGGGTGGACAATTACGAAATCGAAAAGAAGGAACAGAAAGATGAGTATGAGATAGAGATGTAGATGTACTAGTAGTATTCAAAGAGATGCAAGGCGAAGGGACTGAAAGGCCTTAGACAAGGAGGGCAGTGAGCGAGTAAGCACGGAAGGGAGGAGGGGGAAAGAGAGGCTATCCCGAGCCACAGAAGGACCTACAAAAGATTCCATCCTACCCCTTGAAAGAAAACAGTAAAACTATCTCAAGCCGGCAGGGGAGGGGAGCCATCCGCCTCTCCCAAGCGTGGCCTTGAGCGTCTCTAGACTCTAGACCTAAGCCACCATAAGCTTGTTTCTAAAGAAAAGTCAAGTTCTAAGCACGTGTTCATACTGCCCTTCAAGCATGTAGGTTTGCTCTATCCATATCGGGCAGGAATGAAGACTGTAGGTCATACTTCTTCTAAGTACCTCTTTCGATGTCGAGGATCCATCGTAATATGCGTTCTGGTAGGATCCTGTGGTCGTCGCTTTCGACGCGCCTCCAGAGAGGATCGTGCCAGTTTTCTGTTCTGCCATCATTCTTTCGAACACCGCACGCGCATCGCTGTTATCAATGTTGTCTGAGATTAGACCAGTGGATTGCCGAGCGGCGAACTCTACAGGTGTACTCCCTATCTTACTGCAACTTGCGGCGACGCGAACGTATTGGTCCTGACTGAGCTGGGCCTGGGACGATGCGCCAGCAAGGAAGAGCCGCACTTCAGATCCAGGACCTCCATCTTCTGCGTCAAAAAACTGGTCTTCAGGAGCTTCCATCGGAGCCACCTGCTGCTCTCGCGGAGCGTGCTGCTCGTACACACCCTGCTCGAGCACGTGCTGATTGTTGAACTCTGCTCCTTGGATGTGTTGTTCTTGTTCACCACTCGTGGGTCCAACAAAATCATCCTCTTGTTCTTGATTTCTTAATCCCACACCCAGCTCTATCGCGACTTCCTCCGTTCTCGCACTAGGAACATGGTCTTCGTTTTCTACCCATGCGTCTTGTTGCGCGACAAGACCTTGCTCATCCTCATCCAGTAGACGACGACACAGTTCCTCACGTCTCGTGTCATCACGCATGCGATCCTCCAACTCGGAAAGGACCACTTTGTCGCGCAAGCGTAAGTCCTCAAGTGCCGCCTCAAGAGCTGCAATATGCTCAGCCTGCTTGGTGCACTTTCGCCGATAATCATTCGCTGACTCGACTACGTCGGCCTAATATCATCAAGACAAGGTGGACGCCGATTCGTTTTTGATGGCCATGGCAGATGACAATATCTACGGAATAAAAGATGCTGCAGATGTAGAGGCGCATCTCACTCTATGTAAAAAGAAAAACATATCTAATAAATAGAAGATACGATCTCCATCTTACTGCAACAAATCCTAATCCGTGTGCCCTCAAAAAAAAACCTTACTGCAAATCCGTCCCATTTTCTGCGCCATGTTTCTCGTACGACTTTTTCAAATTCTGCACACTCATCCGCTACTTGTTGTTTCCACTCTGCTTCGCGTTGTTCCATCTCAGCTAGTTTTTTCTGGACGTCCGCCAACTTCTTCTCCGTTTTACGTAAACTCCCACTTTCCGCGCGTAGTTTCTCGTACCGGTCGTCGCTGCGAGCTACGTGCTCGGACATTGCGGCTGCTTCTTCCTCTCTCTGCTCCAGTCGGATCCGCAAGGCGTCCATCTCTTCGATATTCACTTTAGAAATCGAATCCACCTCTTCTATGTGCCGCCGCTCCTGATCCCGAAGGGCTTTGCGATGCTCTTGAAGCTGTTTTGTACACCTCTCTTCAGCAGCAAGCAGTTCGGAGCGCAACTCGGAAACGAGCATCTGGTGTTCTTCTTCCTGCTGCTCCAGCTTGTCACTGAGTTCGGGACTCTCTTCGTGTCGCCGTTGCACGCTAGCAAGCTCACAGCGTAAGGCTGAAGAATGGCGGCAGATGCGGGAGTTGTGTTGCAGAAAGAACGGGCCCCGCAGCACCATTAGCACAGTGGATATTAAGCGTGCTAATTGAAGGTAGAGCTAGGATTTTTTTGGCCCGTCACGGGTCGAGTTTCTCAGGTTGCTCGGGTTGCTCACCGTGATTTTTTGCGCGGCGCCCTTCGGGTGCAGCTTTATGAGACTGCGAGACACCTTAGCAGGAGCGCGCGACACTTCACGCCATGCCTCCGATCCCTGGCTTTCTTCTTAATGCGCACCAGAGACGAGAGGGAGCGACCGTCTTCAGCTCAGGAACTCCTCCCAGCCACTTGATCAAACACGCAAGGCATCCACCACATACCCCAGGCCACTCACTTCCTTCCTAGGCTGAGGGGGCCGCTCTCCAAAGCAGACGGGAGCTCACTCTTAGCCCCAAAAGCTACTCATTGGCCACGCACACATCCGAAGAAAAACAAAAGGGAGAGACTGGCACCGACCCAACGACAAGCCACAGCGACACTCTTCACCCTCAAAGTAACAAAAACGGCAACGAGGCGAAGCCGTCGGCCCCTTAATGCCTGCGCTTCAAACGCGCGCCCACACGCTACAAGAAAAAACGCCGGAAGGGCTCGCTGGGGAGCCCTTCGCAACCGATTGCCCCTCTCGTGAGAGAGCAACAACAAAAGCAGCCACTTCTTCACTTCGCGCAGCCAAAACCGTGCCCATACCGCCCGGCTGCGCCGCATTCCGGTGGGGCGGATATCTTCCGGCAACTCGTGGCAACTCGTTCCAGAATTGAAGCCCTTCGCTTCGGCAACTCGAGTAACTCGTTGCAACTCGAGTAACTCGAAACTAACCCGATAATATGGAAAGGACGAAGACGATGAAATGGAAATGGATCTCCAATAGTACAACTACCTGCGACTTCTGCCTTGTGTTTTGCTACGACTTGGGAAAGCTCGCTATGTGCCTTCGTCTCTTGCTGTGCTAGGCGTTTCTCTGCCGTTGTGATCTCGGTTCGTAATCGCAGGTTTTCTCGTCGAATCTCCTCCGCGGTGTCCACTTTGGCGGTGGTTGTTTCCCGCAGTTTTCGCAGATCCCGTTTTAGACGATCGCTCTCTTTACGCGCTTGCTCTAGTTCGATGCGCAAACCGTCATTTTCGGCGGCTGACATTCTAGACAGTTTCGCTCCCTCGGACTCCAGCTTCGTTGCCAACTCTCCCTCAAGCTTCTTGCGCAGCCGCGTCTCCGAAACGCGCAGCTTTTCTGCGGTACTGCGCTCGGCAGCTTCGAGCTCGGTCCTAGCTGCCTGTAATTGCGATTCTAGTCCTTCACGGTCCTCGCGCCGAGCTCTCGCAGCCTCGTCTCTCGCGGATGCAAGACTTTTGCGCGCCTCCACAAGTTCTGACTGCAACTGTTGCAGTCTCCCACCTTGTTGTCTCTTCTCAGCCCGCAAGGCCTCGACTTCGGTAGACAGAGCTCTCTCCCGCTCATGCGCTTCTGCTTTGTTCTTCTCGATAACCTCTTGCGCCCCCAAAAGCGATCGTGTCTTTAACTGCGTCATGCGTTTCAACCGCGCAACTTCGGCTTCAAGGGTCTTCTGCGTCTCACGCCATCCGAGAATTTCGGCAGCTGCGCCGCTGGTCGGGTGAGGAAGATCGTGCTGCATTACTTGCGAGTTATTACTAGTGGCATTCGAAGGTGGATATCGAGGCACGATGGAAGGGCTAGAACCGCTGCTAGTCTCCATCCCACGGATTGGCGTACTGGCACTTGTGCTACCTCCTTGTTGAGGTCGTGCACGGGCAATCGGAGTTCCGCTCGAGGGACCCTGCTGTACCTCATGTCTCGTGTGAAGCGGCAGAGGGACCTAAAAAACGTAGAAGACATGCGATCAACGGCAACTTTTGATATCTCGAAAATATCGGTGCGCGGGCTATTAAAATCAAAGCAGTGCCCAGAATAAGTATAAAAGAATTAAATCTATAGTACACGACCGTACCTTAGATGTTTTCCCGCCCGTCGCTCCAGATGCATGCACTTGAGACAAAACCGCTCCTGCACTTCGCGCGGGCGGCGATCTTCGGCGATAAGCTGGCACCGTCGTAGGTGGTACGCCTCGTGCATTTACCATCTTTCCATGTATTACACTTTTACTTGTAGTTGTGTTACAAAAATGCCAGAAAATTTCTTGCTGTTTAATCGCAATAATTTTTTCTGATGTAGTTGTAATCGAGAGGGCTTCCTTTTCCTTGGCAACAAAGATACGACTAGTACCAGCAGTCTTCTATTCAGCGTTTCTTTTTGTGTGGTCATAGTCTGTTTTCTCTTTTCGGGATACAAGGGTAGATGTTGCCGTTTCTTTCTCATTCTCTCTTTTGTGTTCTGTGAAACAATTGAAGCAGTTACAGTTTTACAACACCCGTTCTGCTTCTCGCGTCTTGTGTCGAAGTCGCTCATTTCGTTTTTCACACACATGGATGGTCTTCAGTTTTGGTTGAGCACACCATTCCCTATTTGCAATCTTCCACACTGAGAAGAGTAGCCTCGCAACTCGTCAAAAATCCCCACGTTGCCTCGCACACAATCGGATCACACTTCAAAACCTACGGCACCTGAGTTCTTTTTGGGGAAATTGCAACGAATACAAATTCGAAATGCTTCAGTACAATGAAGAAAGTCAAAGCTATTATTTGCAAACATATAATACATAAACTATTTCGCTCCATATTTCTTTGTCCATTCATCCAAGAAAACCCGTTTTCGTTATATGACACATGCGCTATTTGTGAGTATTATCCGACATTTGTGTCTGTCTGATTGCCTCTGCGTCCTGTCCTAATCCAAAACTTGAAGCTATCGATCCGTAAAAGCGAAGACACAATGACAATTCTTGACTTTTCCCAAAAAATTTAAAATCCTGCCGAAAAAAATAAGAACAAGACGCGATACTCGGTAAATACTAACATCTATCAAAACATTCCCGCGATGTGTCTTGCTCACAAGATGTTCAAGTTGAATGTCTAGCGCTTCTCAAAAACTCTTAGCCTCGATGCGTCATGCTGCCAGTGTGCGTACTCGAAATCGCTTCCTCTAGATGCGTGAAGCAGAAGCTGGTGCAACTCATGCAGCAGGATCATCTTCCTCACCGCAAGCGTATATACTTCCCCGCGACGACGAACTTGACGAAGACGCGATTATATTGCCTTCGAGCCCAGGCGCAGGGGTTCCAGACAGAGGCTCTCTTGCTTGTTGTACCTTGTCACGTTCTTCCACTACGTCATCCGCAAAACTAATCCTATGATCCAGTAGGTTATATTCCATCGGTTCCGGTTCCCCTTTATCGGAAATAATTTGCGATGAACTTTTTGCCGCTTCTACCTCTGGATCTGGTTTCCAGCAACCGGGAGAACGCAGAACTTCAACCTCAGTAAGAGAATCGTCGAGGTGGGGTGCTCGTTGTTCAGTCGCAAAAGCTGCAGCGCCACTATCAACTTCAGCAATCAGCGCTCCACCAGGAGCATCTCCATCCTCCTGGTGGGGACTCCTACTATCTTCCACAACATTCGCACCTGCATCTGGCAGCCCTAGAAAGCAACTTGAGAGAAGATTCTGAGGTTGAGAGAGATCCAGGGTGAATGGAACACCTGCCATCAGATCAACAGGCTTTATTTTTGCTCGAAGCGGCGCAGGCTTGAATTTGTTCTCCAATGATATCGACCCTACTGGAGGTTGCGAAGCTCGTGCCGTTGAAGGTCTGTAATTGCCTCCACCAATAGGGGCACTTCCATACCTGGTTTTTTCACAAATCATGGGAGCCTCTGCTGGTAGAAGTCTTTGCGTGGCAGTACTACAGGATGCACGTGGGAAGCCAGAAGAATCTCGCACTCCAACGGTTTCTTGTTGCTGCCCTAAAAGAGGCTTCGGTCTGGATAAACTTCGACTTCGGAAGTCAGCAGCCCATCCGATGAGAGAGTCGGTGTGTGCGGGAGGTAGTGGCCATATGCGCGGGGCTTTTCGGACAACTGAAGCAGTATTTGTCATTTCAACTCCTCCCTCTGATGGCGGTGGGGCAGCAGCAGCACAAAGACGCACTGGCACTGACGTTGTATACGGATGTTGAGTGTGCTGTTGGTCGTGCTCCCGCTTAGGGTGGACTGAATGAGATTGACATGGCTCCCTATCTTCAACATTTTCTTGAGAGGACATCTTTTGTTGGTAGTCGAAATATTTTTCAGGAGACGTCGGATATCGTGCAATAACTGGGTGAGGGAGCAGCGGCATAGTGGTCACATCACCACTGTCGTTCCCACAACTCACCTCTCCTGTATATTGTGCTGCTGCAACTCTTCGGTTAACTTCTCGTTGGAAAGGCGGAAAAAAACTCCGACACGCACGAGGAATGCGGGCCTGCTGGTTCTGAGCCAACGTTGATGATCTTGTCGGGACGTCTTGGTGATCATTTTCAATACCCGCATACCGTCTCATCTTAGCGGTCCTTATATCCGACGTCAAGGCCGCAGCCTCGACCGGCTTCGCGATATCCATTTGATCCGCAGCTCCAACATTTGCTGCGCACGCAGCAGCTGCACGTCGAATGAGCAATCGAATTTCATCGGTCTCGTTCTCGTAGGAGGTCCCAGCCTCCGAGGCTGGGAGAAGAGTAATGTCGGCCTGTTGGTTTGCGTATGGACGTTTTTCACGTTGGTTTTGATATACGCTCGGACTCCTTGGGGACAAAAGTCGAAATGGTGCAGCACGACTCCCTTGATTACGGCCGAGCGACGTTGAGTTCGTCTGATGCTGATGTTCGTACAAATTACTTGCATAAATAGAAGACGCGCCTCTCGGTGAACGCAGTTGATTCAGCGCCCCGCCAGGGGCTCTCGTGACGTTCGTCTTCGTCTGGGGTGCTGATCTAAGTAGTGGATCCGCAGCCTGCGATGCAGCGTCCACTAGTGGCAAAGGCGCAGGTTTCGTTTCAAAAAAGTGTTTCTCTGGAATTGTGATGTGATGTTCGTGGAAAAGATTTGGTCGTGGGCGAGGCGAATATGCAAAAGCATTCCTTGACGTGACTGATTTGTCAACCCTTGACGCGCCTGATTTGCAAACACCTACACGGCTACCAGATGGTCGAACTGCTGTAGAAGCAGGAGCCATCAGCGCCCTCCCATTCCTACTCGGTGACATTGACTGCTCGCAAATCTTATTGAAGCCTCGTGGAGACAGAAGGAATTGGGGCGTACGATCTCGAGTTTGTGGTGATTTATCGTGCGCGCGCAGTGAAGGCGACGGAGTCACGGAACTTCTCGTCTGGTCAGCCACTGCTCGAGGAGGTTCCAGAAACCTTGTTCGCGCAGCGACGGTGTGTCGGGTTACTCTTCCTGGAATCGATGATCTGAAAAATGCCTGTGAAGTTGTTGTGCTATGCACAAATCCTCCAGGTGCGCAAACGTCCGCAGACTGTGACTCCATATTCTGATTTTCGTCGCCAATCGCGCCTACAGCGTTTACCTTCTGCAGTGGTGAGGTCGCCGTTGCTTTGCACACTTGTACAGCGTGTTCGACGTCAGACCCGGAGTCTCCTCCAAAAAATCGTCGTAACTCTGCATTGGCGATGGTCCTTACCACGGCCTCATATGCAGGAACGTCGTCCATACCGAAATCTCCATTCTTTTGCGTGGTCGAGGAAGATCCAACGGCAGGAGCAGTGGGATGATCATGTGCTGAATCAAATGAAAAAAAGGCGCAGCGTCCTTCCGCCTTTTTCGGTAGTACAATGCTCTGTGAAGGCCTCGCAACACTTTCACGCCCGACAAAAACATGATCTGCCCCGAAGTCTTGCCCGTAGACGTTTTGTAGATCCTCAGTTTTTTCTCCACTATCCACCTTGCCGACATCCTCCATTTTTGTCGCCGGCATTACCTTCTCCGAAAGATCGTTAGTCGCAGGAAACGCTGGAGCGACGAATTGTGTCGTTTCCCGACCACGTGCTTCAGGTACACGGATGTTCGTAATCAACTCTGTATGTCGTATCTCAAGCGGCGAGCATAATGAACCCGCGGTGGTGCGCCCACAGCTGGTTGTGATACTGCCGCTGGCAGTTGTTCGTGCTGTTGGTCGAGTAGGAACCTTCCTATTCTCGTCTAGCTGCATTGCAAATTGTTCCTCTCTTTCTTCAGACTTCCTTACCGCCTCCAGGTAGTCGAGCTTTATGTCTTCCTCCTCTTGCTCTTGCTCGTGTCGTCGTGGTTCACCCATCAAGTGCATTGCTCTAGCAGGTAATGAAGACAATCTATGTTGATCTACCTCAACATGCACATGTGTTGGCATCGTCGTCGCCGTCGGCAGAACTCCCATGTTAGTTGTGGTTCTAACAGTAACTTCCTGTTCAGCACCAGCAGCGCGAGTAGAACTATTTTCCTCCTGAAGCTGCTGGGCCGCCAAGACCGAAAACCGAGCGGCCATTTCGGCATGCTGATCTAGCATCCCGTCTCGGTGTCCAATGCGACGCTGAGATCCTGACACAGCCCCTAGAGTTCCTTGCGACACGGATGTGCCATTACTCGAGCTCAGAGCAACTGCGCCGCAACCTGGAGTAGAGTAACGCTGAATACTGCTCAAATTCGGCGTGACCATCCTCGGTTCCTTATCATCCGGCGTGGCAACACTTGTTTGTACAACATCTTTAACATTGCAGGTCGGTGTCATTGGGTCTTTCGTTGCCTCTTTTTTTTGAGTTTGAGGCCGTTGTGCAGCGGTTTCCACCTCAGGGAGTGGTTGTGGTTCAGCTCCATCTGCGTCATCTGTCGCTCTGTTGTGCTTACCAGCGTCTGGATTTGCTGTCGCATTGATGGTCCGAAACTTCGATCTATCTCGAGAACTACCCACAAAACATGTACTAACAGGCAGAGCTGCAGTTGTAACTCGGTCTTTGTTGACACCAGCTGCGTGAGGGGGAACATCGTCGGGTAGTTTCTTTCCGATTGTGGCAAGTAGCGCTGCTGTTGTAACACCCCCAAGCTCTCCAGTGTTTTGGGAAGCACGATCGTCTACTCGAAAAGCGAATGTTGGCGTTGCTGCCGCACTTGAAAGACTCCCAGTTCGCTGAGCCATTTCATGCGGCGTGGCGACGTCGCGTGGCCAGCGAGGTCTGCTAAGACTGATCTCATCAAAAGCATCTTCTAGCTCTCCATTATGCGGTTGCGATTGGACATGTGCCGATGCTGCAATCTCTGTCGTGTTGAAAATGTTGGACGCAACTCCATCGGCAATTTTACATGCACTGTCGGCGTCACCTGGCACGGCTACGACATCAATCAACGATCCCCGCCCTGTACTGCATGGCCGGAACGAAAATGTGCGCGTTCGAACATCGTCAACGGACGCCTTTTCGGAATCGATGACAGGGATTTGCTCGACCTGATCAATAAAAGCCTGCTCAACATTCTGCTCCTCCTCCGCCTGAAGCAATTCATCTGTGTTCACTGTGCGAGGCATCCATGGTTCTTGCGGCGCAAGAGCAGGAACAAGCCATCCCGCATCCTGGTTCCCTTGATTCAAGCCAGCATTCGTACCGCTTCTTGATGGTAGAACTTCATCTTGATTTTGTAGTTGTGCTCTCCGCACTAATTTTTCTTGTGCTTCTTCATTTACGAGCACAACATCTTCTTGAACATTTTCAGAGGTGGCCTCAGTGTTTTCTCCACGAAGGCGACCGTTTCCCTTAGAAGTACAAGTACCGTTTGTCGGCGAAAGCGCAATCTTGCTGGTCCTCAAGGGATCGGCTGAACCGTCACCACCATCTGCAATTTCCGCAGGTGTTCTACCATTCCTAGAGAATCCATCCTCTTCAGACCCAGAAGCTAGGTAATTATCGACCTCATCGAGACTTGGGAGTACGGAATCCTCCTGCATCAAAATACTGCTGGGGTCCTCGTCTGAACCTCCATGGTGGTCTTTCATCTCCTTCATGTGAGTGGCCACTCCACCTACGCTATTTACTCTGTTGTCGTTCTTGAACGTCGTCGATGGAGCTTGCTCAACTTGTACTTGTTCAGCTGTTCCCATAAAAGTAGCCATGTTGATTGGATTTATTGGCGCCAACGGTGGTGAAGAAGGGGAAGTTGTCATTGTCCTGGCCTTGACATCTTCATCAACTGCTGTCCCGCCGCATGCAACTTGAAGCGCATCTGTGAGTGTGAGTTCACTTTGACCGATTTTCTCATCTGCCTCGTTCTCTTCAACGATTAAACTCGTCGACAGTTCTGGACCGGGTTCCATATGTACCAATGCATCGTCGTTGTTAGCCTTGTTTGGTACGCTGAAAAGTCCTGGTGCACTTACAATAAGCTGCCCATCCATATGATCTCCATGATGATCTGCTTCGTTTTCAGTCAAGTCCAGCGGTGCTACGGAAGGCGGGCGCGAAAGAGCAGAGGGATGGCGATACAGAAGCTCTCGAAGATGACAAACACGATCCTCAGGCAGGACTTGAACATGTGCGAGCCTGACGATGGATTAAAGTACAAGGTGGTTTTTTGTGCGTCCTCTCCTAAAGTGTATTTTCGCTTTTGGATCTCTCATGCTCATCTGCCTGGTTCTGTAAAAAACTAGTTCTGTAAAAAACAATGAATATCATCTAGAAGTAGCGGGTAGCCTTTCGCATTTGCTGTCCGCTAGATTACTACATCTAGAGTGGTATTTTCAGAAGGTGCCAACCCATCTACGACTAATTTTCATGGAAACGTCGCTTACTATTCAGTTAGTATTACTTGTCAATTAGCTGCGTTAGAAATCCGTTGAGCCTCGTCGATGAGATTTCTCCATGCAGGCCAGACGTGAGTTCTCCATTTGCTGCTATGTGATTTCCTTCGATGTCTGGGACGTCGGTCAACTCTGGCAGCTGTGCGCAGACTTGGAAGATAAGCTGGTAGAGCATGTCTTCGGCTCGCGCAGCGCGCTGCAACAAGAAATCGGAGACAGACGAAAGCAGCTGCTTCTTGCTCTGAGAAGCGTTACTCTGCTTCAGTCCGGAAGACGCATTTCGAGGTGCTTCCCGGTTCTTGACATAGCCGACAAGCTCATCAGCGAGCAGCGCCATCTTATGCTCGTCATTAACCACTGCAGGTGCTGTAGGCACCACCAGCACAGCATCAGCCTTTTGTGCCAGGTGTGGGTTCCCTTTGTCTGCCTTTTTGGAACCTACTTCCGCGACTGCTTTCCCGTGCAGCGGACGCCTGTTACTTCTAGTTGTGCTTGAGGTTCGTGCTTTCACATTTTTCGGAGAGCTCGCACTACCTGTTTTGCATTTATGTCGCAGCTCATTTGGCGCCTCTTTTGATGCGGGTAGCACATCATCGATTGTGGAAATCTTGAATACTTTCTTTGGAGTACGCAAGCGCGTGTCCTTGAAGGCGATTATAGTTGTAGTCTGCCCTGTTCCGTCTTCTTTTTTCCCATTTCCCAACATGGCGCTTTTTGTTTTCGAAGAGGGCGAGTTGTACGCGGCTAGTACATGCAGACTGTTCTTGTTCGTTGTCTCTCCTGATGGAAAGCTAGCGGGGCGCTCCTGCGGAGTCGGCGGGTCTTTGAGCATGTCAGACGTGGAGTTCTCGAGCAGTGACGGCTGCGAAAGATAGATGCAATCACCCCGTTCAGGCTGATACAGGTTGCGCTCGAAGCAAGAAGCATGTCGCTTTAGTTCTTCAGCCTGCATCCCTGGAAGAAAGGCTGTTGTCCATAAAAGATATCTGCTTGGGCTGGCCCGGTTAAGTCGGACGCGCTTGCTCGTCCGCACAAGCGCTCCTCCGCGTCGTCGCAATCGCGTGCGCCTCGTATCGCTTGCAAGGAGTCCGCTCTTTTCAGCGCGATGTTGAAATGCCAACCGCCGGGCGCGACTACGCGGGGTCAGCTCTAGGAGCGCGCTTGCACTGAGAAAGCTCACATCCACATGGTGTTCTTGCTCCACAGAGTTGTCACGACCAGCACAGCTAGCACTTTTATTTGATGTTGCTGATTGCTGCCATTCGTATTCGTTCTCACCCGTAGTAGTTTCGTAAGAACAAGATGAAGAACTGGCTGTTACAAAACACTGCTGTTGCTGCACATCTTGCCCAACAATCGCTGGTGATCGCGTGGCTCGCTCGTGATCTTGACGATTGGTTTTGCTGTGGTCTTCGTTTTGTTTAATATTGTTTGCAATGCTAGCCGAAGCAATGGTAGATGCTCCGCACAAGAGTCCACTTCGCCGCACACGGTTAGCCAGACATCCGCCAAGCTTGAAAAATGAAGGCCGCGTTGGTCGTGGTGACGTTGATAGAGCAGAGCCGAAGATGCTGTAATCACCACAGTCATTACTGAACGACCACGATGCGCTCAGCTGCGCACGTCGTCGCAGCCGATCGGTCGGCCTTGAAGAGTACATGGGTCTAGAGCGTCCTGACATGACAACCGCCAAGTAGCGCTTATTCCTCACACCTGGAGTGGGAGCCTGTCCGGGAAGAGGCGAGGCGATCGCGTGATCTGGCGCTTGCAAGGGGTCAGAAGTAGGACGAACGGCGCTCGCGGAGAACAATTTCCTGCAGAAATTCGAAGAGTCCTCCCCCACCTCCGGCGTCAAAAAGGACCATTTGAGTTTGACATCATTCCGCTCATCTCCGTTCACCTTCGAAGGCACGAGCATTTCCGCAAAGCCCTGCCCGGCTGAATTGGGCGTCGCGGCAGCTGATCGCTGCGAGCCGTTGCGATTTTCCGATTCAGAAACCGGATCAATCAGCTTTTCACAGCTAACTGGTGGCGCATCCTCACATGACTGTTCACTCTTTGAAGTAGACAATGCTGCAACTACGTTTCCCATCCCGTCAACCTTATTCTCCGCCACAACGTCTTCTGCTGTGGCATCGACTAGCACTGTTGAGCTTGATGCAACATTTTGTCCATCGCCATCCTTGGTTGCAAGTGGTCCTTCTTCTTCTTCGCTTTGATTCTCTTGACGAGGTGCATTTGGTTCGCTCAGCTTCTCGGAATTATCACCCCAATCGAAGTCCAGCACTGCCGAAGCGCGCAAGGCCTCGCCAACCGCACTGGCCCTGGAATCAACTGGCTGTCTCGAGGACCGACTCTGTTGCAGGCGTACAGGCTGACTTGCCTTCTTCCGCAGGTTGGCAAGTAAATCGCCATGCACGCATTTGTCTGGCAATAACGATGGTGCAGCAATAGGAGCGGAGGCCGAGAACGAGTCCGCTACAACTGAAAGTGCAAAAGCAGATGTCGTGCGGGCTGCAACACTTTTAGTCTGGAGATGATCTTCGCCAATCACTTCGGGAGCTTCAATGCTAGAAAATGACATTGAAGTTCCATGGTCGCCTGAAGAAGCCGCGCTACAACCTTCGCGATTTCTACCGACATCGATGAAGATCGGCCCCTTGCTGAGAGCTAGTGATACGAAATGGGTTGCGCAGTTACTTTTGCTCGCTACACCACCACCAGTGCTCGATGATTTGTGAGGTGCGGGCCGCCGTTTATTGACACGAATAGCTGCGTTGCGCAGGTTATTACCACTCGAACGTCGTGGTCCTCCATTCGAAGATGTCACGCCCACCACTCTAGACACCGCAGAGGCACGACCGCGACTTCCATTGCGCTTCGGTGGCATATTAGGTCGATGCGCCACGAAGCGCCGCCCCAAATCTGATAATCTAGAGAGTACGACGCTGCCACCATTCAGCACGGATGGGGATACACTCGTTGCATACTGGCCTGCTGCACCACAAGCCGAGACGGCAGATGCTAGTAGAGGACCTGGATTTAGTACCGCTGCTCCGTGTAGTCCGTTACTCACAGAGTGTGCGTGGTGATTGTTCTCGTCTGCTTGCAACTTCGAAGTTGTCCCTGTCCTTTTATCAGTGTTGCATCCCGATGAAACGTCTGAAACTAGTGATGTCTTCATTTCGGCAGTGTCCTTTTCCCGCGCTTTGATGTGTTGTTCTCCATCGTGTGGATCACTGTCCTCCCCGTCTTCAAAATCATAGTCCACTTCGGGCAGAAGCAATAGGCTTTTGCTCACTGCAACTGCACCTGGAGGAGCCTCAGAAATTTCATCATTTTCATCGACTTCTGCGTCTAACAGGAACCCAGCGTTGAGTATGGACGATACCTCAGTCGTCGTAGCGTCTTTCTTACTCTTGTCCTGCTCCTCGGTTTTTGTGCTGGCTGTCAGTTTTGGATTATTTTCAATAGAAAATATGCCACCTCCGCGTCCAGCTCCTGGAGACTCGCTGAAAATGGCGCTTGCATCCTCATCGACGACTTCAAGTAAGGAGCGTTCGCTATCACTGTTGGACAAGGGGCCAAGGCGGCTGTCGGAGAGAAGGCGGTCGATATCTGAGTTTGCGACGAGACTCAGTTCCGTTCCTGTTCTAGCCAAGGCGTGTGCGGATTTCAATACCGACTGTCCCGCAGCGGTGACAATGTGAGCTGCACCAACGCCTCGTCCAGCCATTGCGGAAAATGATACAGGAGATAAACGACTGTCGTCACCAGATTCTCCTCCAGATGTACCAGTACGCGCGCCTGAGTTTCTGCTACTTGGCGAGAAACAAGCATTTTGGTGCTCTTCCTCTAGAGGAGCATGACATTCTTTTTCGGCATTTTGTTCCTGCAAAATATCCGTATCAAAAACGCGGATAGCTACACTGGAGCGCCTCTCCACATCAAGACACTCCGAGGATCTCTCCATCTTGTCATGGAAATTGATGAATTCCTCCTTCGCTTTTCTATGTACACCTCCATGTCGATTTTTTGCTTCTGCTTCTGCTCGATACCATGATAACGATGAGTCACCATGACAATGATAACTTGTTGTTTTTGATGATGTTTGCCTAGGCGCATCATCTTGTTGAGATGAAGGGGTCGTTAGTTCTTTCCGCAAAGAACCGACAAGCGCAATAGACTGCGCTTGCCTTCGTTGCAACTCCGAAACCCATCTATCGAAATCGTCGGAAGAACCATGCTCATCACTATCCAACGACGACGGCGTGTCATGATCTACTCCTTGGTTGCTGGGCTGGTGCGGCGGCACCGAAGGTGGTGCCTTATCGACTTTACCATTCTCGTCGTTGATTGACGGAGACCCCATCCTTTACGTTAGCAATGTACGAAAATCACTGAATCTACTAGATCTATGGCTATGGCAACAACTTATGAAGTATTCAAATTGATAAGATATTTTTAATGATTAACTTGCTGGTATCTATAATTCATTGGTACAAAATTAGATAAGGATAATGCGCGGTGGACAAGATCATTTTGATATAATATCCTCATGTTTGACTTCCAGCAGCACTTCTTCCCTAATACCATGCAGTATCAATACCAGTGACGTAGCATTATCATATACAGAGCAATTTATAAGGTTTGCCAGCTCCATTGAGCTGCATGGAGCTAAAGGGGGCGCTTCTTGCGTCCCTTAGAGATCTGCGCTCCATGCACTCCATGCTACTCCATGCACCGTGCGTGCTATAAACTGCTCTCTTATAAATTTAAGTAGCATTCATTGTTTCTAGTTTTACCACCACCGAGACAAATGCTAAGTTTCATGATAAACGACTACTTTCAAGTGTGGAAGATCGATTGCCACTTCCTCCCGTGGTAGAGAAAAGTCACAACTTTGAGCGCGACGCAATTTTAGATTTCCAGGCCATTTTAGCCTCGGCCTCGTCCCGAAATTGAAGGTAGGCGTGCCTCGATTTCCATCATGACAATCAAGAAGACCGATGATCTTATTAACACTCTAAAGCGACCTTCTAGTTCTACGACCTTTTTTTTTACCGCAGGCGCAGCAAAGGTATAGATCTGCGAGCTCGCGAGACTGGATACCCACAATCCATTCGCTGATCAACGTCAACCTGGAATTACAATCAAAAATGAGGAGCGACTACAAATCTGATAGATCCGTGCCATGGCCCAAACATGCAGCACCCCCTTGAGCAAGATGGTTAAAACAAAACACGAGAGAAGCTAAAACACCGCACTAGCTCGAGTGTCGTGGAAAAATGAAAGCGTTACAACTCATTTCAGCCGGAATAGTCGACACACCAGTAGGAACAAGAACCCGGAACCGATGTTCTCACCGCCCTAAATCTATGATATAGTTTCCTTTCTGGGTGCTGCAAGTGCGACGTCAAAACCAAATGCAAATTCTCATTTTCAGCCTCAGTGAAGCAGTAGCTAGTACGATAAGAGACTCATTCAATTCTCTAAATTTTTTTGCGTGTACCGCAGACAAAACAAATTTGTAGGTCCCTTCCGATTCCGTTTTGCAATCACATGGCAACAACATATTCCTTATCCGAATCGTAGAAAGACAAAACTATTGCTTAAAGCCTTTATCAGCTCTGCTAACATCATACACAACTGAAACTGTAGCCCGGCGACACGTACGTAGAAGTTGTGAATCTGCATTCAATATTCTCCTAAACTAGGGAATACATGCGCATGTAGTCGCTCCATCGCAGCTATTCTAGCAACATCACGTCAATCGAAGTCACGTGAAGCTCGTCAGAGATATGCGAGTGCATATCAGCAGAAAACGATTGCAAAGCTTCACTGGCACTGGTCTACTACGTCAAACAAATAAAACGAAATTACTCGAGTGATTGTGTTTGCCGCGTGACCATCGTTCATCTTCCCGGTCGAACCTGAAGATTGCTACTGCCTTCCAACTACGATGAGTGAACTTACAACATCACAACTACGATTTCAGCCTCTGCCTCCTGCCTCCAATACACGTAAAATAAAAATCTCGCGACCAACTGAAACTGTCATTGAATCAGAGAGAAATGAGAAAATGACTCTGCGTGCGAAATGCCGTACTTCTCGCTGATCATCTACGTGTAACGTAAGCCTAACCTAACAGAAAACTTTCTATCAAATAAGAGGGACCACATCTTTATTGTTGGATTAATCAACGAAGCCTTTTTAGACAACAAAATTGAATAGAAAGCGCTGAATGCAGCTACGTACGGAACAGTGATAATGACAAATCGATGAAGAAACTAAAACTCAGCACAACCTTAAGAAGAATTGCAGCACCTAGGAATGTTAACGTTGCGGGACGAAAGCCACGATGCTCTCTATCTCAGATAAGCAAAAAAAAGAAATTCGTACATTATTATCGCGCTTGTTCTTGTGCTTCTTTGTAGTCTTGTTGTACAAGTTAGTAGGACCTAACAAATTAATCATGAGAGAAATTCCCTCTTCTAGTTCAGTACTCTTAGTATTACACATACAGCATCCATGGTACAGAAACTAGACTGAGAAGACTTTACCCGGCTAACTTATCGTCGGACAGAGACAAACGAAGTCCTCCACGGTAAGACACGTTTACTTTTCTTACAAACATCGAGGGAAGCTAACTGCTAGGATGGGCCTCACCATTCTCTTTTCTCCGTCCGCATATTTGTGTTGTACGATGTATGTAAGAGAAAGAGTAAGTATAGAGAGTTTCGTTTAGTTCTCCGATATGCTATGAAGCATATTGGCCACTACTAAGAAATCCGAGCAGGTATGATAAACGAAGTACTATCAGGAACTATTTTATGTAAGATGTGATAGTTGTCTATTTTTTCATAATAGATACGACGAACACGAACAAACACTACGCTATAGATTCCTCGTCTGCATCAACAAATTCTTCAAAAAAATGGATACATTTTTCATAGTGCTGGCTCCTACTCATAGGAGGTACTAGCTAACAATTATGGATGTACAGGTACAGGAAAAGATTAAACATTGGTGAAAACAAAGAACGAAGGAGATCTTCATTTTTTGATAGCTAAAAATACAAGTACAACAAAGGCGCGCATTAAGTGATCTTGAACATCTTGTAGTACTTCTGTATCTGTCGCATGTTGGAAATCTTTTCACAAATAAAACTTGGACTCGAAATCGCGGCTTTGGGAAAATAGAGGCGGATCTTTTCTTTCCTGATAAGCCTCGTACATTCGCCGCTGAAAACGTTCGAAGTTCGCGATGCATTCGCGTCGGGTATCACTTTGGTCCTCCAAATCCCTAAGCCCTTTTACGCCTAGCGGCCACGCTAACGGATGCTCGCTCACGGAAAGAGGATCGATTTTGGCAATCGGTCGTGGCTCTGCTGCAGCTGCTTGCTGCATAGCAGAAGATGGGAGTATTAGAAGTATGCAGCAGAAAAGTGGTTGCAGCTGAAAAAATCGAAGAGCTGCAGCTGTTTTTAATACTGATAATTCAGTATTATCATGATTATTGATTGACGCATTATCTTTATCATTGTTTTTCATAAATGTGCAGCATATTTCGCGGCAGCCTGTCTTACAAGGCGCACACGTTCCAAAATCGTTTCTGGGACAGCGCTGTAAAAGGTTCTGCAATCTGGCACCTTGACGACGTCTCGTAAAAAACGAAAAACAAGATGTTGGCAATTGTTGCAGCCAATGTCGTAGCTCAGAAAATTCCCTGTGGCGAGGCCTTTTTCTGTGATGTGCCAGCCACCTGAACAGAGACAAGGGAAAAATGAAGGCACTTGTATCATCCGTTGTCGTTGATACCAATTCATGCCTATCTCTATTCCAAGTTCAAGTTCATGGTGTTGTGAATATTCTTCTTTTGTGCGCCAAGATCGCGGAGAGGGTGATCCCAGTGATATCCGGCGTGCTTGCCGGCGACGGGTGGAATGCATTAACCGAATCTGATCAAGATCATCAACTGATTGATGTAAAATCAACCAAGTAGTACCCAAAGTCGATTCCTCCTCAAGCCAAGCGTCGATGACCCTTGAATTCAGTGGTAAACCGCGCAGGCCGTGCGCAGTTGCAGACCAGAACCCCGTGACCTCTTCGTCCTCGGTCAAGAGGGTGGCAGAATCGTCTCGTCCCTCGTTTGTCTCTATCTGAAATTTGAACACCACTTCGCCAGAGCTCAGCCGCTCAATGCGCACGAAGGCATAGTGGTCAGCCTCTTCGGGATCCTCCTGAGGAGGCAGGACGACAGGTCTCAGGGCAGTAGAGGCTGAAGACATCGACAACACGTCATCCGGGCGCTGGTCTTGCTCTAGTTGTCCTTGTGGCGAAATTAGCGGGCTACCTACAACTGGGGGCGTCTGCAGTCCCTTATTCAAAGAGCGAAGTCGTGAAGGACCACAGGAGTTTTTTTGTTTTTCACCCTTTAGAGCAGCTTCCTTCGATGAAAATGGCCCCTGTGCACCCCGCTGTTCTTGACCAATTTCTTCTACAACAACGTTCCTGTTTTTCTGGTGCTCGTGCGCCGTTCTCGTTGAAGGACTGGCTTTGGGAACGCATGTTCCGCCAACAGCACAACTTCCTCCAAAATCTGATCCTCCACAGTCAACTGTCGGAGTTGGACCGTTATCGACGCTTCTCGGACTCATCGCGGATAATGGTGACCTTGCACCAGGAGATCCTGGACCATGACAATCCAACAGCCTGGCCTCTGAGCTCATAACGACATGATCCTCGACGTGGCAATGCATCCGCACCGTATCTCGCGCGTTACCCATTCCGTGTTGTCGTCTTGTCGGGTCATGCGGCGGTTGCGAATCAGCCGTAGGATTCTTTCGATTTACAACATCGTCTTCCTCAGGGAGAAGGAGCTGGAGACCGTCCACTTTAACGGGACCATGACGAGTTGATGTTCTTAAACCAGCACTGGAAGCCCGAGGAAGTTGGAGTTTTAGATCATCACATTCCTGCTCCATTGCCGCATCCTCGTCTTCAGGCGATGCTGAAGGCGAAACGAGCGGTGAACACAACGGCGATCGCGTCATACTCGTGGTTCCGCAGGAGCTCCGTGTGTCAGCTCGCGGACGCCTCTGCGCGCAGCAGGGTGAAGAAACGGAGGCCAGGTCCCGAGGAGACTGCGGGTCTGACGTCGAAGAAGAGGCAAAAGCACAAAAGGAAGAAGTGCGTGTACAGCTGCTGCGCCCAGTCGGAACGGTAGTAGATCGCGCAGTGTTGATACACGATGATCGTGCCGTTGCTCCACCACTGTCGAGGACAGAGGAGTCGTCGAAAGCAGCCGAAGGCGATCCCTTACCGTCAATAAAGGGGCTCTCCCCGCCATCTGTAATTGTGCTCGCGTCGCTGTTTTGTTCCAAACTGCCCTGCGCGACAAAAGTGTGCTGGTTGCGCTTCTGCTCGTCTGATAGGAGTACCTGTTCGATATCGCATGCTCTAGCGTCCTGCTCGCCTTCAAGCCGCAAAGTAAAAGCCATCTCAGGACTCTTGGGAGCACCTGGCCCATACCAATGAAATGCAAGAACTTATACTGATTTGAATATTTTTCATTTTCAGTAACAGTAAAAAAAAGAACGAAGATTTTGAGAGATTCATTTTCATCCACATCTGCATCAGCATCAAGAACGGAAATCAAGAAAATCAGTAATCTTCACGACAAAACATTCAGTACCCGCCTGTTTCATCGCCTCAATATAAAAAGACTCCAGTCTTTGCGGTTGTCCTTTCTTCGAGCTGCATGACCTGCGTCTAGATCGTGGGCGCTGAGATGTCAGTCTCTCGATACGCGCTGAGCAAGGCTCAAGCAGACGCTTATCCCCTCCTCGTTCGATCGCGGACCTAGCACGGCGTGGCAACTTCGTCTTGATCTTGAGAACTCTACGGTTGTTGGAGCCTGGAACTTTCGCGGGAAGTCCATCTATCCCAACAAACTTTTTCTGCGGCAGTGTATAACTCATCCTTTCTTGAAGGTCCGCGTTAGCAGCTACTGCGCCTCGCAGTCGCAATTGTGAACTTGCTTGCATTACTTGTTGTGGCACATGCTCTGCGCAACATTTTGACGTTTGAAAAGCACCCATCTCTGACGATGCTGCAGGGCTACCAACCGCTTCGCTTCTTGACGATGGCCTGGATGGGGAGGGATGTAATACCCCTCCATCAGTTTCTGCACCTCCAACTACACTGCTAGTTTCACCTGGTACTAGTTGCAAATCAGGCGAACTGGGACGCGGGGAATGATACACAGTTTCAGTCTCGTGCATATATTCAAGATCTGATGTCGCTCCACCACAGTCTAGCTCTAGTGCACAAGGAGATAAATCCTCATCCGCTGAACAAGCTGAAAGAAAATCGCTGTGCCCGCAATTGCTTCCCCCATCGCAGATTACCTCCAAAGAACGAGCGGGACACTGGGAGGAGGTCGCCAAGACCGTGTCGTGGCCCGGCGTCATGGGTCGGTTGGCATTACCACAGTCTGTTTTCGCACATTGTCGAGTTTGATAATAGTGACTGTCGCTTTTCACTCTGCCGTTGAGACCCCTAGGTCCGCCAGCACTGCGTATCGATGATGAAGACCCATACACACAGGAGCTAGAGGCGGCCATCGCTTCTTCGGCATTGCCCTCGCTGCTGTTTCCAGCTCCTGCAGACTTTGTACTTGACCTTGGCGGACTCTTACTCTTGAACTCGTGCTTCCAACGCAGGAGTAGACCCCGCATATCGTCATCATGGGTCAGTGGCACTCTTTGCAATTGAGTCATGTTTGCAGGACTAGTGCTGATCTTTTCCATATTCTTTTGCTGTCTTCGCGTCAGTAACGACACTGCAGGAACAGACGATGTTCCGCTGCCTTCACTACTCTTCTCCGTAGTTTCAAACAGCTCTGAGCTTGTGCCTTCTTCATCGTCTTCGAGATAAACCACTTGAACACGATGATTTTCGAAGTTCTCGTCTTCGATAAAGAATATACGTGCTGGTGCACTGAGAGCTCTGCGTTGCTTGTTTCCGCCCACGCATCTCCTTCGACTCGAGCGTTTGCCTCGCTGGTAGCGGTCGCGCGAACAGAAAAACGGGCTTGGTCCTTCAGGTAACAAAGGCGGGAACAAAAGCTTATTCATTTCTCCAGCGGTATCCGTCTTCACGACAGGACCATCTTTTATTTCCGATGTATCTTTACTAGGTGACTCCTTTCTGGTGTGAGGTGTCCTATGACCATCGACACTGCTCGCATCCTCCATAGAGTGTTCCCACAAGTACATCAGGGGCACCCCACCCGCTGCCGCGGGCAAGCTCATGTCTGCACTTGCTGCTGCACGTGCGTGTGCCATTCGACGGTAGTGGTCGCGCTCTAGAACGACACATATTTCTTTCTCGTGCCCTGGAAGATCGAATGAGGCATACTGCGGTTGCTTCATTGGTTTCGTGCCAGCTGCCGTCGATGTTGTCGCATCTGTTGGATGATGTTGTCCTCCTGAATCCGAAGCTGCTCCAGATGAAGATGGAGGTACCACCTCAGTGAGCATTTCCTCGCCTTCTTTATCCAGCGCGATAGAACTATTCGGATTGCCGCACGTTCCAAAGGGTTTCAGACCCAATTTCAGAACCAAGCTCCAATGGAAAAACTTTCCCGCCTCCTCATCGGGTAACAAGGACTGCGACAGTTGCGATATGGGTGACAAAGCCACTCGCGCTTCTCGAAGATCGTATACTCTCAGCAGGGCCTTGAATTCCGGCAACGTGAAGTGCTCGCCTGGGGAATCGGTGGCGTACGACGGCCAAGCAGCATGACGGATCTCTTCAACCGGAGGCGCCGGCGGTGGCACCGGTCGGCTCGGTTGTTCTACTCTGGAACCATGACTCCAGGCCACAATTCCAGGATCGTCGAGCTTAGCCTGTCCACTTCTTTCGCTTGAAACGACATCGATCGCTTCCTTTTTCTTCGTCGCGCCTGGTGTGGTATGAAGGTCGTCAACGTCCTTGTAACGTCAGTTACTTAATAAGTAGTCACAAGATCGAGTTCTTCATGATCTGCTTCTCGTTCTAGGAGAAAAAGAAATGATTTTCTCTCTTCGTGGCAAATAAATTTTGTCTTTGCATTCACATGATGACGATCATGATTATTTTGCACGAAGGGATAGCCTAAAGGTAGATAGAGGAAAGCAAGCCGGCTGACCATGATGATGATGATGATGATGATGATGATGATCGTGATTATGATATAAGTCATAATTGGACTTCGGAGGCTCCTTACGGATAATGGAATAGCGATTCCGCAAGTACTTATCCCGCAAATCTTGATCGCTGCCATCCGCTGCTGGAAACGTGCGCAGTGAAAATCGCGCTGGATGCCACGCCGCAACGCTACCACGTTCCTCGGCGTTGTCAATAACATCGTGCTCACTTTCCTCGTATCCCTCGGGCGAAAAAATTAGACGTTGTGACATGCATTCTAGTTCTAGTTCTAGGTGTAGCTAACGGCGTCAGTGAGAAGGTGCAATCTCTATCGAAGCTTAATTGCTCTGCCTACGAAAGAGAAGGAGTTGTGCTGCGAAGTACTAGAAAAAGGAATACTACAAAGATGAAGGTTGAAAGCCATGCCTCAACGAAGGACTGCGCTGGCTAGGAACAGAACCACAAGACCAACCTTTATCCCCCTCCTGTTGGCTAGTTGCACCACCGGCACGAGTCACGGTCTCGACGTGATTTGATGGCTCAACGCTCGGAGCCTCTTCTGCGTCTCTTTGCAGATACCGCAGCGTGTCTGTGGTTGGAACACAAGCGTGACCAAGAATAGGGTGAGACAGAGGCTCCATGCGCAAGTGTCCGCTTACAGTGAGCAGCTGTCCACTACTGCCTGTCAGAGATGTCTGGCGGTGATGGTGATGCAATGGCTCCGCCTGATCATCAGCAGCGGGAAAAAGGTCGTCGACGGGGCCTGCAGAAAGGAGAGAAGATTCAATCGTATCCTGCGAGCTCCCAACTTGATAGAGAAGTACATCTTGAGCATGAACTTTCCCAGCGTATTTTACGACCACAGCCTCCTCTGGTGGAGTAACTTGCCTGAAAAATGGGAAATTGGTGTCGCGTCCATCCTCATTGATAGGGCCAGAGCTTCTGCGCAGCAAACTGTTTGAACTTGATTCCACATCCTCGGCACGACTACCTCTATTTGTAGATTTTCTCGCAGAAAGCCGGGAGTGTAGAAGGTCCCGAGCAGACCCCAAATGATTCCTACCAGAACCTGAAAGGCTTCTCCCACGTCTTGATGAAGCACCGTTTTCCCACTGCGTTGGGCCTAGACCACGACTGCTTGTACTAGACGGATGCTCTCGGGATGCAAACGGACTGCAATCGTCATCTCCATTCCTGCGCAAATGTTCTCCTTTCCCTCGTTCTCCCGAGCAGTGGTGTAGGCTGTCCCTGCTCTGCGTCAGGCTCGCTCGACTCCCGTCAAAGGAAGCACCGCATCCCCATACTGAGAAGCCACTAGAAAGCAGAAAAGGGTGTTGACCACTAGCAACGCTATAAGAGCGGGCGGCTTGCGGTGTGGTGCGGGCTTTGTAGAAATGCGCGACTCCGTATGAACAAGCATGGTACGCTATATCACTCACATATCCAAAGAAACTGAGACTAGCTGTGCCTCAAAAAAAGTCATCGACGCGAGGATCGATAATTTTGAGAAGTACAATCACTTCTATCCCTACTTTGGGCTCTGAACAACTACTTTTCTCTACGACCCGCCATTGCTATTTAAGATACACATACTTGTTCTGCCATCTCCATGTCTGTTCATAACTCTTCCTCAGACTCAACGAACTGATGTGGGTGTCCATGGTGAGAGTAAGGTTGCATTAAGGGATCATACTGCCCGTTTGCCAGAATGCGCTTATGATTCGGCTTCTTATGCTCTGGGAACAAAGTATCTTCCACATACCGACGACCCATGGTTTGCGGATATCGTCTAGTGTGGAGATCATCAACGCGGTTGGCAGAACTTGTTGCTCCTTCTTGATGCCTGGCCTCCGTGGTCTCCGTTGTCGTAGGTGACACAATAACCAAGTCATTGCCTGCTGGGTCGCGCTGCGCTTTCCTTCGTTCCGGAATACTAGGTGCATCTTCGTACGCGTGTTCTGATGTAGTTAGTGCTGTTTTCCCTTTCTCCTGTCGACGAGAAGACCTGCTCTTCGCTTTTCTTATGACCAATCCGGAAGTGTTTCCGCCTGTCATGAAGTGGCTCAGCAGTCCCGCACTACCCGAAGTTGCGGTGGGTATGCCACTAGCAGAAGCTGCATACCAGTTAGAGTCTATCGTGCTGTATGGAGATGGCATTCCGGAATCATTTCGCGAGGTGCTATGATTCAAATACAGACTGTGACTGTCCAGTTCCCATTCGCAGGGAAATCCTAGGTCGTTGTAGGTTTTTCCCTCTCCTCGCTTCCCGGAACAACTATTCGGGGGGTGAAGTGACGTGCACGACCTGCTACACTGGCGTCGCCCCTGTCCCCCGCAAAGCAGACACTCGCGGAACACAGACGCCGTCAACGCTTCCACACTCGCAAGCGATGCGAAGGCGCACAACAACCTAACTAACGCGAATCGTTGTTGGGTAGAGGGTGATTTTGATGCAGGAGAAAACCCGAGTCGCCCTCGATTCCTTCCTTGGCGAGGCGATCGCTTCGTTCTCGAACCCTTGCTTGATGCTTTCCATGGCCCACACAGAGAATAGCAGAAAAAAGCACCGGAAGCGTTATAAGAGTCGGCATCGGTGCAAATCGCCATGCACTGCTTGTACGTAATCGCCGTGCGCTGCGTGTACGTCATTGCCATTTTCGCAGCAGATCCAGATGTGATGAAGTATGATATCACAGCGGCAGAAGGGGCAAAAAAGAGATCAATATCGCATAGTCCCAATAAGCCTGAGTCACGGCAGCTTCACCGGCTTTAATCCACCGCTATTGTTTCCTCCTGCCTCCAGATATTATCGACACGAGTTGTACGGTGTGTCTGGCGCAACACACTTTTGAACCAACAAAGATCATCACCAAACGAAGACATAGCCATGCTCATTGTCTTGATTATCTGGTGCGTGAAGCAATTATCTTCTATCATTCACAAAACGACAGCGAGGTTGTTCATCTTCCATTAGTATTAGTTTTTAGAGCACACTGTTGTTGTTGAAGATTGGATGCATTTTTCTGCAATTTACTTGCTTGCACTTGAATGACCGGATAAAAACAGTGACATCAAAGCAATCGATCTTATTGGAAGAGATACGGCGTTCTCATGCAAATCGTGCGAGGTCACGACTAATTCGCAGGCTCAAAACCTATAAGCATAAGCTGACGGCTGCAACCTGCGAGATCCCAAACCCCAAAGGATCACGATGATTTTGTCTGTGCTCGTGATCATATGCAATGATCTCAGTTGCTTGCCATCTGACGCATTGCCTCATACCGGCACGTACAACTCTAGCATCGCCTGCTAAGGATGAAGAATTCACCACATACTCATACATGACATGGGCACGACATCTGCAAAGGGAGCGTAGTCACCGGACAACTGCTGGGATGAGTGACGACCATCACAGCAGGAAAGCAAAAGGATATGCCACGTCGTGAGTGTGATTTTTATCCAGAAGCAAATCAAAGACAGGGGCAGCGGGATCGATGGATGATCATGTCCGTATCATCTAGTGGTCTGTGGCGGGCCTAGGGGAATGAAGCATATTTCTCAGCGATCCTAATGCTCGTCCGTTTAAACGTTGTAGTGCGCTTCAGCAAAAAAGGAGTAAAAGTGTCATATGACCTTGTTGCTGTGGCCATGCCGAGCTGCCTTCTAATTTGTGCTCTTCATGCTCATGGTCCTCCTTGTGGAGGCTGTGGCATCATACTCATTACATTAAGCTGTTGTACGCCCATACTAACCTGTCCACCCCCGATTTGACCATGATCGATGTTGAGCAAGGGCTGGATGGACGCCTGCTGGATCTGGATTACCTCCTTGCGTACCAGAGTTGCTCATGCCTCCAACTGCAATTTTCGCGTTGTATTCTGCTACCCGCTTAGCAACATCTTTCTTGTGCTCTATGCAGCGCATGCTGTGAAGAAAAATTTCCGATGATGTCGGGATTTTTTTCATGGCTATAACGAATATCCAAAATTCCCTGGTGTGTTGTGTACGTAGCTGTCCGGTCAATGACACATACGATCCTCGCGTCATATGTCGTCCTCCGAAATGCTCCTTGAAATGTAGTCGCACGTTCTCAGGCGTATCTTCGCTTAGAAGCGCGTCGGTTTGGACGTTGATTGAAGGGGTTTTAGTCGTGCTAGGAAAAAAAACCTTTCATCGCAGTTTCCGCTTCTGTTCGACCTATTGGAGTCCTACCAAACTGAGTTAAGCCTAACGCGAAGAAGCAACACGAAAATACGTCAGAACAAGAGATTTTTTTAACTCCCTAGAACAAAATCACCCTACTGTATGTCTTCAAAGTCTAGGCAAGCAGTATATGGTGTAGTACTATCCCAAAATGTTAGCCGCATCCCGCGCCACTAGAGGGTTAAAGTACTTGCGACACCAGATTTGTGCAGTTCCATCGTCGATTTTCATCCTACAACACGAGTCTGCTCCAAGGTCTGCTATTAGTCCGTTGCTATCCATAGGATTTTAAAGGTAGAGTGCGAGTAGGCACCATATCGTAACTTTTCCATGTCCAGAGATTGACAGCACTGCGTGTAGCTGCAGAAGAGTCTACTTCGTGTTCCATCGAAAGTGATTATTCTCGGGAACATCATCTACCGTTCGTCTATCAAGCCTGTTCACCGCAACAACAAGAAAGTCATAAACATTGTACTTAATGTTAGTACGTCGTTGGACTTGGAGTCGTAGCCATCGCTGATGATTTCCGTCACCTGTCCAGATATTCCGATGCTTCGCACGTCAATTCCGTAGAGCTGCGGTTTGGCGCCACCGCCTGTCTCGCGCATCGCTTCAGCATTCTGTGTATTTCTTTGATAGATCGTTATTGGCGTGTAAGTCGGTGAGCCGCCTGCTCCTCCTCTCTGCCCGCCGCCACCAGCACCGGCCGCAGCCGCGCCACCTGCCGTACCTGGTGCTGATATCTGTGAGTAGAAAATGATGGCAGATCTATACCTAGAATATCTATGGGTTCTTGAGTCGTCGTGACATCTGGATTGCATCAGTAGCTCCTCCATGCCGTCTATGAGAGTAATCTTGATCTTCTTGTTTCCAATCATGTTTTGCTCTCGTTATAACATACCCGTGTTCTCGTTGGGTTGAGACGGTGTCGCAGGAGCTACAATAAAGCCTTGTCCGCCCCCATCGCCAAAACTCGCATTGCCAAACTGACCGGAAAACCCGTCTCCTCCGACCCCGAGGTCGCCGAAACCACCGATTTGATTGAACATCTTTCTTGTTCTTGTTCTAGCAACCGCTGGTAGTGAAAGTGGTACTTAACCGAGTGGAAAATGGACTACAAGAAGGAACACTGCCGTTGGATATGCAGGATCCTTTCGAGAAATGGCTGACTCGGCACAGGCGCAATAGATAGTACATTTTGGCGGGTCGTATTAACATCCCACTTTATCACAAACTCAAGCAGTAGCACACAACGCACAAGTAGAGTGACGTTGTGCGTGCGATTTCTGCGACATTCATCCCTCCCACGTGCTAAATAAACTCAATGAAGCAGACAGCGGAAAAACCATCACAATTGCAGCGCACCCGCGAGTTATCAAATCTCAGATTACGTCCATCTAGAAGTAAAAATTCCCCCCGCATAGTTTGATATTCATGTAGTAACATCTCATTAAAGCAAAAACGAAGCTAAACCTAAAAACAAATTAGATACGAATCTTGTTTGGTACTATCAACATGCTTTCTGTGATTGCGGCTGTGTCTGGTGTTGGTGTACAACACCATACCATCTCCAAATCCAATCAAACTGCACCCTGAAGTAATGTACGTAACCGAAAACGAAAATAGAAGAAAGTATCATGATCTTTCTAACTCCTCAACTCTCGGTATCCGGTAGGGATCGTCTTCACCAAAAGCGAAGTGTGGCCAGTGGGGCTGCTTGTTTGTCGCAGTTGCATGCAGCCAGACGTTCTGCGCCAGTAGACAGAGACTTTCGAGCAGCGACCGACACTGTGTGGCTACGCGTAGCCACTCTCGCAGCCGGTCCTCGTCGTAGGTAGGGATCGCAAACGAGTCTAAGTGCGCGATGGTGCTGCTAATGCACGCGCGCTGAACTTCAGGGAAGATGGGAAGAACAGAGGTACGTGACTCCAGGACGTCTACACGCATCGTCAGCACCCACTGGCCCCACATTTCCTGAAGTGCTGCAAAGTTTGCGCCGCTGTTCCCAACGTCGGAGACACCGATAATCGTGTCCAGTTCAAGGAGGCAATGCTTCAGAAGGTACACCCACGAATCGAAAAGCCCGCACGCACGGTCTTGCCAGGCGAGTGCAATGTCGAGTCGCCGCCGTGCCTTCACGCGCAATTCGTTTGCCGAGAAAATTTTTTTCTTCCATTTTGCACGGAGTCGCACTCTGCCACGTGTTACTCCTGACGGTTGGGGTCGAAAAGCCACGGGGGGTGCCGGAGGTGCAAGTTTGTTCATTGCCCCGCCAAAAGTCCCAGGTGATGAGCTACGTCTGGGCTGCTGCTGGTCGTGTCCTCCTTCCGATGTTCCTCCACTGGGATCCGCGCTAGGAAAATTTTGCCCGGCTGGAGGGCTCCTTGGCTCTTGCAGACCGCCGAACAGAGAACTTCCTCCACCTTCTGTGGGACTTCTTGCAGGACTTTGGCTTCCGCTCTTTGGTCGCAGTCGCGACAGTGACTTTCTGTACAGAAAAAACTTGTCCGGAAGAGGGTGAAGACTTCGAGCAAGCTCTTGTAGAGCCTCAAGGCCGTGGAACGACCACGGACTGACGCCGAAAAGCAAGTTTTTCACGAGCGATGCCGGGGGACGAGCACTTCCGCCACTAGAAGATGAAGATCCCCCGTAAGCACTACCTCTACTAGCATCGGCGTAGAAACGACCGCCGTCCACTGAGGGAGAGCGTGAACGACCTTGATCGAGACCGCCTAAACGATTAAACCGTCGAATAGGCTCAGCCGTCAGCATCGCTGAAAAGTCAGGGACGTGGGGATCAACACCCTGAGGACTTGCAGCGACAGGAGAAGCGCCACCGAGAAAATTAGGCAGCGGCAGATCCTGGTCAAGACGAGAGTACAAGTTGAGAGTGGCTTTTGGGTCCCGAGAAATTCGACGTCTCCGTCTCCGTCTAGGTAAATCAATCATAGATACGCGATAAGGGATACCGCCCACGTCCCCCGGCGGGTGCACGCAGGGGCAGGGCGGAAGGGTCCTACAAATGCTACAAACTACGTTAAAGGTCTACGGCCTAGCGGCGCACAGCTACGAGCCACGTGAAGAATAACAGAGCACGGCGGAAGTGCAGCAGTTACGTGCTACAAGCTGATACGTTTTGAATATACAACTTCGGCACCTACTGCCAAAATGCTTCTCAGGAACAGGATAACGTAAAAGATGCACGCAAAATCAAAGAAAATTTACGGCGGAGATGTATACGCGTGCAAGTACATCGCTCCCATGATTCCCGAACATCTCAGAAATATGGAATAACGCAAAAGCTTCACGAATCACCTCGGTGCCAGTACATCTCAAGCGTGCATCTCTTTTATGATTTCCGTAGAGCATATATATCTCCGCTGATACATCTCAGACGTATATATCTAGGCCGTACATCTATCTTCCCTGTGATTCCTCCTCCTGTACATCTAAGACCATAAGTCTACTCCTGTTGAACACTCAACAAATATAAGTATTTTTGATATACATCTATAACATAGATAAAAATATCTAACTAAATGACGCGATAGAGCAGCATTGAGTCTAACAATATACCCTCCCATCGTTTGCGGGCTTCAGATCGACATCTCGCATGCGCACTGGTCCGGCACTTGAGGCAGCGCTGCTACAAGCGGCGGCGCCTCCCTCCGTCTGCATTGCCACCGATCCGCGCATGAAAACTGGACTCACCGGTGCGCCTTGACGGAAGGAAAGCGGCGAGCCTATTGAGCCCGGAAGCTGCACTGCTGGCCCAGGACTGGAGCCGGCACCGGAGCCCATTCCGCTTATCCCGAAGGCGCCACTTTGTTGGTTCAGTCGCAGATTGTGGTGTAGTCCTGCTCCTGCGCTATTCGAATCCGTCCCGCCTCCAGCAACACCCTCTGTATCTGTTTTACCAGCGGAGGGGTTTGCGAAGAGTTCACTAAAGTCGACGTCATCCAGTCCCGGGGGTTGGATATCCTGTTCCGCTACGCGCGCTGCAGCATCATCTTGCTTCGCTGGGTCCGCAACCACCAATCCCGGATGACTGCTGGATAGAAAGTAGCGCGGGCTGGAAGCGCAAAGACGTTTGGATACCTGCACCAGCAGCCGAACGTAGCGTGGACGCGTTTCGTGGCTCTCGAAGCGAAGCCCTACAAAAGACATTTTGCACAATTTCGCTTTCGCGTCCAACAATGCCCTTGGCAAGTGACCACGCTCGAGGAAGAAAAAGGCGTCGATCCATACGGATTCGGTCGATGCATCAAGCATGTCCTTGGAGAACTCGGAGTTTTGAAGACCGTAGACTCTATTCCCAGGCTGACTGATGAGATAGTTCGGAACAAACAACTGGTCCTGCTCAAACATCGATGTCACAACATCGGAAACCTGAAATGTGAGATGAAATAAGTTACAAGTTTGACTTTGAGCGAAAGGAAGAGCTGATCTGGAACTAATATTTATATTACTCGTATACCGTCGCAGTTGCATAACTCAATAGAAAGTCATTAGTCTGTAGCGGTCATGCAAGAATCAGTAGTACTATTGCAAGACACACACTTTCATGACCGATTATAAAAACGAGAAGTTTAATCAACGCACGTTGCTCAGAAAGACGCTGCCACATCGATCCGGTCCACCGATCACTGGAGGGTCGATTGCAACCGCAGATGTGTCAACGAAAAGTTCAACAGACAAAAGGTTCGGAAAAACACCGACGTCCTGTGCCATAACACCCGAGAGTCCGACTGGACCGATCGATGCGTGCATCTGAGCTCCTCGTTCAGCTCCTAAAGACCCAGGAGACCGCGGCTCGAAAGGACTGCCGCCCGCTGCCGATGAAGCCGCGGAGGCACCTCGACTCGCACTCGCGCTGCTGCCAACTCGCGCTGCTGCATCTGAGGCGTTGAATGCGCCTAGTTTATTCGACGATAACGGCATGCTGCCGCCGATAGCTCCTGCGCCAAAGGCTCCATTCTTCGCACCGAATAAGACATCCACAATTCGCCTCGAAAAATGCATGACAAATTCAAGATTGCATTTCTCCACATAGAGTCTATGAAAGTGAATGTCTTCCTTCTTCAGGAAGAATCTACCGACTGTCGATGATGTCGCAGAAGACACTTGAACAATGTTGCCATTTGGGCCGCCTACTTCAGTTTTCTGACGAATGGCACTCCCGCTCAGCGCGTTAGGATAAGCACCACGAAACATGGATGGCCCGCAAAAATTCACACTAGAACGAATCTGGTGCCCTCCTGCTGTTCTCGCACTCATGCTTGTACTACCCCGCATGCCACCGGGTACACTGGCACGGCCCCCGCCGGTCACTAGGCCGCTGTTGCCGGCTTCAGCAAGTAAGATCGCATTCCGCGCTTCCTCCCGTCGCGCGTACGCATGATTCACGGCAGAGTACATGAATTCCTTCAAAAATTTTGTCCGGCCCGCGTTGCCGAGCATATTTTGCAACAGCACTGGCCGAACGAGCTCTATGAGATAGCTTCGGAGAAACGCGGCTCGCCAAGTCTCAGGCAGAGGTGCTGGACGTGTCATGGTCAAAGGCTGCAGCGCCTTCAGCACGAGAACATCCAACTTTGCTTTGGTCAAGAAGTAGAACAGCTGACAGGAATTCGACACTGCAGACGGAAAATTTCGAGACACGGCGGCTGGCGCCCGCGTTTGATCGACAGGGCAAAGCGGAATCTCGGGCCTCTGAAGTGCAAATTCTGAAAAGTCAAACATCAAATTCTTTTCCTTGCTATTGGAGCCGGAAGCAACGCCAGCACTTCCCAGATCACCAAGATCTCCGCCTGCGCGCGTGATTTCTAGCGAGTCTTCGAGTTTCAGATTCATGTATTCATCTATTTTGCGACAGCTCTCTGGACAAAAGGTCTGTGCCAGTTGCAATGCGTGACACCATTCACACACTCGTAGCATGCCATGCACGTTTCGCAACGACTCCAACGAGACTGTATAGATCGATTGTTGTTTCTCAAAATGTTCACGGAATCGCTGCAGCGCTGGATAGAGGAAAAACAAGTTCACGTCGGACGCACGGTTCTCCGAGACACTGAGAAGCAAGTTGCGAAATCCGGTGAGAAAAGCACTCCAGAGATGTTGCGCAAACTGATTGCGTTTCCCGATCAGCAGAATTTGCTGCAAGTTGCAGCGCGCACGCAACAGGAGGTTCAAAAGCGTATCACGCAGAAAGCGACACACATCTTCCACCAGCGGAGTGCTCGCGGCTTTTTTTCCCTGATAGTCGCATGTGAGGAGATGTAAACGCAACAGTTGAGAGAAATATCGCGAGAATTCAAAGTCTGCAAGAAAACCCTTCGCCCTCAGGAGCAGAAACTTCTCTACCTCGAGTGACGGTCGCGGCAGCTGATAGGTGATGAGTTTTAGGAGCTGGAGTTCTTCTGGACTCTTGTTTTTCTCGTCTAGATCTTCTTTCTTGCTTGATCCGAAGAAGCCCCCGCTGCTTTCCTTCTGCTTCGCCTTGAAACTCACACCTTTCGCAAGCCCTGCTGCGAATTTCGCGCTCAGGAAGACGCCATCTAGAAGTGGTTGCCATCGCGGGTAGGTGTAGTAAGCCCCCCAAGTCTTGGTTTCTTGGTTCTGCACGAAAAGGTGGAAAGACATGCTCACTTCAATCACATCCGAATCTGAAGGAGTCGACATTTTCGGTCTACTGCGCTCGCGGCTGTTGCTTCTGCTTCCAGGACTACCGTCGTTTCCACGCGCAGCTTCGCTTAGCAATGCACTCCTTCCTGACTGCTCATCGCCCCCACCTCCGCGCCTGCCAGATGAATTACCTCCACCACCCGCGCCACCTCCCGTTTTCGCCAAGAAATGGAAGGTCAGCACCTTCCGTTGCGCACCCCCCGGCGGCATCCCCGCAGTATCTCCCGGACTAACTCCACCTGCGGCACTGCCTATCTGCGTTCCCCGGAAGTAGTTTTCCCTCATCTGCGTAGTGAACGCCCGTTTATGGGCTTTCACGTAATCAACTGTGATATGCTTTTGCTGATGCGCCCACCGAAAAGCAACTGGCTGTCCTGAGGTACTCCATTTACGAGAGGACAGGTCTTCTGACAGCGGAGTGAACAAAAAACCCAAAAACAGAAACTCTGTCTCTTTCTCTTCCAAATAGTCGATGTCGTCTAGAATGCTCTCCACAAAACCGGCGAAGATGCGCTCGTAGTCGGACTCTGTAATGTATGAGTTGAAGTTGTAGTCGAAATCGAAAAATAGGACAAGTTACGATCATCTAGCCCCTTGAAAGCGACGCATCAAGCATGCACTTGAGGTCTCAAAGAACTAAGTACGCATTAGCACTTTGCAATTGGTACATCAATTAGGACGAATTGTTACCCATCGCCAGCATCTGTTTGTGAAGATGTATGCGGTTCGATCCATGTCCCCTCCACAGCATGGCTCCTCCAATGCTGCAACACGAAGTATAGGAAAAAGGGCGCTTCGACGTACGCATCTTGCAGAGCCCCAACAAATGCGGACTGAGTTTGAGCAGAGCGTCATGGTCGAGAGCCGTGAGCACCGATGGCAAGCCAAAAACTTTTGAGATACCAAAAGTTTCGTCTTCTTTGATGTCCAAATCGCGCACAGAAAAGGTCGCTACACCGATTTTCTTGTCGTCGGAGAAGACCTCTAACTTTGTTGGCGCCTGGCTCGAAGATGAAGCCCGAACTGCATCTACACTTTCACGACTTGCTATTGCAGACTCACCCAACGCAGCTGCTCCCGTTGGCGGTGCGAAGAGCTGTCGCGTGCAGGCAAAATAGAGCTCAGATCGCACATCTTGCGAAAGCTTTTCGTTGCTCTTACACTTCGACAGCAGAGCCGACAAGGCGGATTGGAGCATCTCCATGACCCGCGCTCGACACATGTCGTTCGCCAGTATCTTGCCATCGTCGGTCTGGGCTAGAAAATGAACCAACTCCTGATGTGGCCGCGACTCCGCAACGCCCGGGGCCTTATCGGCGGGCGCCATTTTCTCTGTTGAGGGTTGATTAAAGCCTGCGTTTTGCTCATAACACGAGGGATATATTGCAACCGTTTGAAATCTAGCCTTCATGCGCACTCAGAGAGCACTGCTGAGGCTATCTCGGCGTCCCCACAGGCTAGGCTTTATATCCTCCCGCTCCTCGCTGCGCCAATTCATCGTGTTTGTAATCCTCGAAGTTGCACAATTCAGGACGCAACAATGCCATGATTACATCTTTAGTGGTTTCGTTCCATGTTTAGCCCGAAGACGGCGTCGCTGACATTCAGTTTTATTTCAGAAATCAGGAGAAGGAAACTCGCTTGTTATTGGTCTATGTACAAATAAAAGTACAACGAAAGCGAGCTGTGCTGATCTTCGAATACGTAGACCTCCTGCTAGTGGCAATTAGTTGTAGTCAACAAAATCACCGCTAGACGGCTTCCTCAACAAGCTTCGACTTTATATATATAAGATGATGCAGCATACAACGAATGACTCATCTGATTACGTTTTTCCAAACTTTCTTAATTTTATTTTTAGACACGGAAGGGAAAGGGAGCAACTGCAACGGGGTGTTGGGAAGTGGCCGCAATTCGCAACATACTTACAGAATCCAGTCTACTCAGGGGCTCCATGTCGTGCAAGTACCGCTATGAAAATCCTGTACCGCTTTCTCTCTCTCTCTTTCGTCGCTCGTTTTCCGCTCATCTGACTCCTCTACTCTTGTTCACAGATTATAGTAGTATCATCGTCGTAAGGACAAATGAGGCTGCACCCAAAGAGGACGTACCCGATCGCGTGCGCTGTCGTCTGGTCCTGAAACTTCCACAGAGATTGGAGTGGATAGCGATAAGCGTTGCGCTGTTGCAGTCTTTTCGTTCAAGAGATAGTCTAACACCTACCCAAACTAGAATCGCGAACATCTGCTAATTGAGAAGTAGTTACGTTGCACTTACATCTGCGTCTATCTCAACAAATCAAAAGGCGTGGAGGGACTCGAAGATTGCGATTAATTAAAAGCAAGGGTTAGCCTTGCCAGTAGAATGATAGCCAAAACCGATCGAGACTCACTACAAGTACAACTATATCTCGTAGCACATTAATTCCGCAGCCTCGACCACCACACCGTGTCACTGTCCAAGTAGATCTCGTCTCCCAAGCGATGGCCATAATCACGATAAGCATGTGTCGTATCGATTTTTGCGTTGAGCACTGCCATCGTCACACCAGGAAACTTGTAGTAGTCGAAGTCATGCCCGGCGACGAAGTATCGGGTCTTCGGCACGTAGTTTTTGAGGTCTGTGTGCACTCCGTGAAACGAGTGCTCCCCATCCACAAAAACGACGTCCAGAGTACCTTCAATGCGTTTCACAGCGTGTTCTGATAGCGTTCTATGAAGAAAGACACCTGGAAGGGAAGATGGGATGGCGGCAACAGCATTCCTACTTGGATCAGTGTGATCATCTTCACCCTTGTTGTATCCTCGCACCTCGTACACCGGCAGTGGGCTGTTCTCGTGATGAATCAACGTCTTCAAGTCGTGAGAGTCGAGGATTTCTTGCTTTTTTGCAATTGCATCTGATGCCATGTGGGAGGTTTCATCCAAAGTACTAGATACTTCACGTTGCAACTGCCCATTATCGTACACGCGCGTAACGTTTCCAACTTTACGAATGAGATTTCTGTAAACTTGCAGCCCTGTGCTTTCCTTGTACTGGTACTGTTGGTTGTACTGGTCTAAAAATCCACCAAAGGTTTCGTATTCCCAGGGGTCTATTCCATGGTACTGAACGAGAATCCCGGATTCCCGCCATAAGTGCAACAAGCAGTTCGAGAGCACGTAGAGCGTCGTTTCGCCTACGAAAACACCAATTTCTGCAAAGCGTAAAATTCGTTGCTGCAAAGGCCTCTTTGGAGAATATTCTTCTTCGATCCTCCAACTTCTCGCTCCTTCTCCTAAATGGTCACCATCTCGTAGTTGTTGACGCTTTTCCTTATTCTCGTCCCCTATCGCAAGCTGCGTCCCTCGCCAAACACCAAACTTTTGCATAGCCGCGTGTTCTAGCAGTGCGCAAACTGGAAACCACCGTTTCAAATGTGCATCGGGTGCCCACGTATTCGGTAACCGAAGCCAATTCCAGTCAATCCGCGCGAAGTCGCGGTTCGGATCCATGCTCTTGTAGACGCGATGCGCAGCGAGCATTCCCGTAACGTCTTTACGCATCTGCCACACTTGCATCAACTTCGTCCGAGCCTCGATGAAGGCGTTCATCCAGTATTGGAAGTGGTTCTGGAGCTGGAACCGCTCACTCACCGAGTTGAAGTCGCGTAGCGTCAACGTCATCCAAAACCCATCGAAGCCATGGAGAATGAGATCGCGGTGAAGATTCAGAAACCGGCCGCAATGATTTTTGTTCATCTTGCCGTTTTTGAACCGATCTACAATACCCTCTAGTACCTCAACACCGGCAGTATTGTGCGCGCGTAATTCGTCTGACAGGCGGTCGCGCAAGATACTCGGCGAAGCTGATTGACTCCCTTTGTCCACTGCCGCTGGATCCATTTTGAAGTGCTTGGCAGCAAGCAATTTCGAGTGCGACAGAAGTGCCTTTTTATCTGAAAAAGCGCCTTCAACGTGGTCGATAGCCTTGCTGATCCACTGGACGGCTTCTCGAAACAAGCCCTGCGGAAAACCCTGTGACCGCTTCATTTCTTCGATAAATGGCGCGATTTCACAGGTCGCATCGTTCATTGCGCCGCAGCCGCGTTCCGACATGTACGAGGACATGCGGACTGAGAAGAAGTTGTAAACCTGCAAGAGTTTCCAAGACGATCTTGGGTCCACCGGAACATAATATTTTTTCCAAAACCACCCCTACAGTAAATTGTTTAATGTAGTTTTCAGGCAACTACTTTCCTCCCCTCTTTCAAGTATAATGTGCTTGTACCCATTCTTGAGAAAACGAGGCATCAAAGCATCAAACGGTGAAAATTATACACCCCCTCGCACAGCCTCTCGACAGCGAGGCCTTCTTGGTAAGCGCATAGCAGGTCTTCCAAGTCGAGCAACGGTTGCGCTCCGCCGCCCCAATAATCGAGGTGCTCTTCAATCTGTGTTTGCGATGCATCAGCCGGGAGAACTGGTGGTTTGGCACCGAAAAGACTTCTCAACTGTCCTGCTCCTGTCGCTTGGGAAGCCGATTTGGACTTTGAAGCTGGAGAAATCAACTTCTCCTCACTAACATCGCCACCAGCTTCTGCTTCCGCAGCATCTTCTACCTCCTCCCGCCAATCCCAAGGGATGCCTCTATCAGCGGGCATGCTTTTCTCTACCGTTCTGGCCAATAACCAGTCAACGGATACTGGTGTGGTCTCCACTCGATTCCGCTCTGCCTCGCTAGCGGGCCCCGGAGCTACGAAGGTCCAATACGGAGAAATGATCTCCGTCAACACATTTCCCAAATGAGAGATGGCCTTGCAACTTTGATAGTTCGAGGCCGAGACCGGAGCCACGTGATCGTGGAGCAGGCAGGAGAGAAATAGTGAAATAATGTGAGTAGAAAGTTTGGCTCTGTAGCTAATGGACGAATGAAGAAGGAAAGGGCCACCTCTCTTGGAGGCACCTCCTTCTGCGTCCCTGTCCCAGCGCGAAGACGAAGGACGAAAATCCCGAGACATGATTATCTTGTTCGTAAGAGACCACTGACTAGTAACAGTTTAATCGGATTTTCATCAAATCTTTCTCGTGTTTGGGCGAATCAAAATCCTAGTCAATCTCAAACTCAGAAAGAAGATAATGGGCCAAACTCGTCTGCATCTCCTGCGCCAGCATGTTGCAAAAGGGATAATTTGTGTATAGGTATAAGGCGCCAGAACAGTACTTACATGCTTTGTGTGCAACGGCACGAGTTGTGAAAAAGCAATCTATCGGAGTATGCGGATTGTTCCCGTTGCAGAATGCTGGACGAGGTGCGTCGTCGATGGAATTACTGTAGGAACTTCATAGCAACAGACTGGACTCAGTGTGTCTTGTTTTCTGTTTCACTTTCGGAAGTTCTTTGAATTTCTTTGTGTTTGACCTCCTGCTATATTATTATGTGACAAGCTATTTCTAGAGGTTTTACATCCACTACAGTAAGTGGACCAGTGGCACAGACTGAGCAGCCTAGTGCTGCAACTACTACTAGCCTATTAATATTATAAATATAATTGACCTCCTCCTCCTGCGATATTAAAGATAAACCTGAGTGTAAAAAAAACCAACACAAAACGTCGAATCAAGTAAGATGTAGCTGTAGCGTATTGATCGTTAGGTAGTGTAAAATCAAGAAGATGTTGTAGAAGCAAAAGCAAATTGTTACATTTTGAAATAATAAAGTTGTCGTCTACAAGTAAAGCAATCGCTACCATACGACCCTCTGTAAGTTTTCACCGAGTAGCAGTTGGTCGTCGTCGCTGCCATACGGTGCGAGGTAGAAAGTATCTGGAGGTGTGGTAGAGAGAGTTAGCTTTTTAGCATAGAGGATTTTGTGGATTGCACGATAAGCCGACTTTCGGTGCCACCGCGGTCCGCACAGGTAACGAAAAATTGTACCGGGTTCGTAGCCGGTATCTAGTACTGATGGCCAGTACATGTAGTTACAGCGTATGCGCTCGGCGTTCTTGCGATAGCGCGTGAACATGTCTGACGTTGTGAATGACCGAAGGTAGCCAACAAGGGAGAGGTGCTTCATCTTGTCATTCAGGTCTTCGTTACCATTCGCGTTCATGAGCATAATGTCCTCGGCGATAGAACTATCTATCCCCTCTAGATCCTCGTTTCTGACGGTGCCCAGTGAAAAAGTCCTGGCTCGTGGCTGTAGTTGTAGTGTTTCGTATTGATCTCGAGAAAGTGCTGTCGATTCCACACTTGCTGTTGTTTCCGCTGTTGCCAAAACACTTAGAATCGGGCCTGCGTCGTCTGAGCTGCGATAGATGTCACGACGCGCTAACGGCTTCCCTTCCATCGCCCGCATAGGCCACTTGACGAACCAAGGGTAAACACGCGCTTCGGGAAAGAGGTGGCCAAAAGGAACCTCATACAGGTCGGAAAGGATCACTGGCACACAACCCGCCCACAGTGCACGAATAAAGCGCGAAGTGTAACCGCTGATACCTGTGATACGTGCGGGTGTGCTTTGACTAGTTTCTGTCATGGTCAATATTCTTAAGAACAAATACAAAAGTATAAAGTTCACGAGCTGCATTTACACGACTAGTTTACACACCGCGTTTACAAACCATCATCATGGTCCCAACTACCTCTTGGTATGAGACAGAACAGGCTCGCCGCCTGTCCGTACAAGCCCTCTGTAAATGGCACGTCTTGTGCGATATGCAGGTCCCCGTGCCACACTTTTGAGGTTTTATCGTAGCGCTGACGGTCTTCCCGCATCCATCGCAACAGCGTTCCTCTTGGTCCTTCATGGTTGCTAGCAATGGCTTTATGAAGTTTGCGGTTCCAGCCAATAAAGTCCGCCGTGTAAGCACGATCCCTGACCGGTTCGTTCATCTCCAGCTGCACTTCAAGCTCTCGAACGCTGACCTGCGGAGGCACCAAGATGTCCTTAGCAAAATTGAAGCTACCTTCCTTCTGCCAATCCTCGAAGTAGTTCCACATCTCAGGCTCATTCAAAATTAGACGCAGTTGACGAAGACGGATGAACTTTTTCGTTGTATGTTAGGGACACTCAGTTGATGTCACACTCGTCAACAACTGTCATATACACTACTGACTGAAAAGACGATCTCATGGCCCTGCATAACATGATGAAAATGCTTTCATCAATGTAGTCACGCCAGCTCCGCATCGGTCCGTCTGCGCCTTCACCACCGCTCCAGACGAAGATGTGGTCTCGGCCGGTATTTCTGGGAAAAAATTCCAATTTTGGAATCAACTGCCGAAAGAGCTGGTCCGACACGGTGTAGTTGAAGGTTCCGAGATTGAAGTGGCATCCAGCGAGCTGTGGGACGAAGAAAAAATCAGCTTTACGTGGATCAAGCGTTCGACAGTGGCAGCTAAGAAAGTAGTGATGCAACTGCACATCAAAACCGCGCTGTACGTCCCGACAATAGTGCGCACCGCGGTTCAGCAGAGGGAGTTCCGGGTAATAGCGTGGGTCGTCAACATCGTAAACGTAAACACGAAACGCCTGCTTTCGAGCAAGATGCGAACTACTGTCGTCCAAGGTCTTACTTCGTTTTTCCAAGGCAAGCGGATCCACTTCTGCCACCGGTTGTGGAATAGACTCATCGTCCTCATCCCCTTTGTCGTCCTTGTGCGCAAGATAGGCAGTGACCCTGGCAAGCGACGTGTCCTCCGGGACTTGGTGAAAGGCATTCCTACCAAATTGGTCCTCAGGTGGACTCGTTGCTGTCAGTAGCAATGTTCGGCGATAGCTTCGGTATATGCGGCGCGCGGACACAGGCCACCACAAGTACTCGCCTTCCACCTGGTCGAGGTAGTGCTCAATGTCGTTGATAGTGTTGTTGTCCTTTTCAGAGCTGTGTTCTTCGTCTTGGAGAATCGCAGCTTCGCCGGAAAGACCCGATCCTCCTCGTGGCAACAATTTACTCACAGCTGCACACGCTTCTCTATACCCTCCCGCACCTCCTTCGCACAGGCCAAGCACTGCTATGACTCTTTCCCAGTGTGTAGGCTGTCCCAGCCTCGTGTCGTCGTACAAGCTGACTCGCCCGCGTGTGTCCGCGAAGCGAAATATAACTTCCCTTTTGAGAGAGGCTCTGACTTTCTGCAGCAACTCTGTTTCGGGTTTTCCTGGTATCGAACTTTCAGACTCATCGCCCGCGCCCCGATGTTGAGACCAAAGCCACCGGAAAAACGACACATAGTCAAAAGATGGACCAGCTTTATTTTCTGCTTCCGCTGCAGAAGCAGGATCAACACCTTCTGGTTCTGTGGAGTCAGGACTCCCGGATTTTTCACCAGACTCAACTTCATCGTACTCCCGAGTTCTCGTGACTGTCGCCAAGAACCGGTTCCGAATGTCAGCCATTGCAGGGGATGAGGCCGCTTCCCCATGTGCGTCCGCAGGTAAGAACCCTGCATCGTTTATATGAAATCTCACGACATCGTCGACCTCTGCCACATTCCTTGTATCCACGATATCAGCATGTGTCGTCGTCAGTCCGGTATCCAAAACGCGCCAGAGATACGCCAGCGCCCCGTAGTCAGTGTCCGTTTCTAATCGGTAATCGACAGAAACGTGCAAGATAGTGATAACGCCCAACATGCACTGATCCCAATAGTTTGTGATCAGCTCTTCCAACTCGACAACACGCAAGGCATCAAAGAGAAACCGGGAAACCACCGCTTTTTGTCGTTGCACGATCACGCCCTCCAGCTTGTCCAGTGCTGCTTCTTCACGACGTGTTGACATTGTCGAGACGATGCTTTTGTGCAGCTTTTTTGCAGGTGACGAAGTGGCATCAAAAGCCTCTTCGTATTTCTGGTCTAGAGCAGTCGTGTCTTGGGGTTGTGCCTTCCGTCCTCTTGCCTCAAGCGAAGCCATTCTGGCTCTCCTATGCTGAGCGCGGGTCCCACGCGGAACGCTGACGGTTATTAGTGAGGAAGGTGTTTCACGCCATTGCGCTTCGTAGTACTCCAAATGTGGCGTCGCAGTCACAACCACTGCAGGAACTTCCGCCCGCTTTGGCGCGGTCGGCAATTTTGATCTATCGACAATTTGCAGCTTAGATTCGTCTTGCTCGCCAGTTACGATGTCGTCTGCCACCTCTGCCTCCTGCATAAATTCCCTGACTAGCCCGTACTCTTTGAGCACGCTCGACCGCACTTCGCGCTCAACCTCCCACAGTTTCCGTCTCAAATCGCTCCAACTCACCCACAGCTTATCCGCTATGTAGTCCTCCTTCGTCTCAGGATCTTGTAGAACCACACTTGGATATTGTAAGGGTAAATACGGTATACAAGGTCCACCCTCTTGCTCTTTGTCAGCAGGTACAAACGTTTCATCTTCTTCTACTGGAGAACTTCCAACATGATCACCTTCCTCTCTTTTGGAGCATTTCTCTGCAGATTCCACGATCATATCCACTAGATTTGGATGCCGTTTTTTGTAGACCCAACCGTCATTACATCGAGAATCGCTACCGAAAACTGTTTCCATACGCGCCGCTGCTTTTTGCTGTGCTTCCTCACTAAATTGTTGCTCATTGCCCATCATTGGAGAGCGCACAGCAGAAAAGTCAACGCCTTCTTCTCCAACGTGAGCATCCCCACCGCGCATCCAGCTCTGAGAGTAGAAGCCTGGTGGTGGGGTGGCCGTGTCGGTCTTCGAAGAGGAATCAGAGGAGAAGGACATCTCGGAAGATGGAGAGGCAACCGGAAGGTTGGATTCCGAGCTATTTGCTTTACCCGCATCATCTCCTCTTTCGTCAATACCAACCGTAGTCGCCTCTGCCTTTCTGTCCCCGCTAAAAATGTCCGATAGATCTGTGATGATTTCGTTCGCACCGTCGTCCAAGTTTGCAGTCACGCCAGCAGCTGCTGCGCCAGCGGGAACAGGAAAGTGAGCTCCAGAAGAAGCAGCAGCAAGGCTTCCATGTGACCATGGCGGCACTACCAAAGTCGTGACAAGCACCACAAATCGGCTGCAACGAAAGAGCACGCCCATTCTTATGCCAGCATGACCCGTAGTTCGCATGGTTAGATCACATCAAAAAGCACGACATGCTGCAGTCAAGAGAAATCCGTAGTGCTCGAAGGGCCACAAGGCCCTCAAGCCCGGATGTGGAAAACTAAGACTATGTGGATATTAGTGGGAAATGTGATTCTTCCAACTCCCAGGGCAGGGCATTTCATATGTCCAAAATCGCACGCACAATCTCGAGTATCTTTCTATGCTGATACTCGAGGTACTCAGCCTGAACGTCCACCTCGGTCTCTTCTCTACTTTGCACTCGTGCCTGCTTGTATTTCCTGTTCATTCCCACCACTCGATAAGTATTATTAAAGAGACATTTGATAGGCCGCAAAAAGTACAAGTCGTCCTGGTATTCATTTGCACAGACATGATCGAACTGTTCTGACATCGAGCCGCGAACACACTTGGAGATGCAGATGTTCCTTGCAAGGTAAATGAACACGACTGCTTCAACTTCTTATTATACTTATATATAAGTACTTCGTCAATACGTACCGACCATGACGTATTGTGTGTTATGTCCTCACAACCTTCTTCCCGTAGCAGGATCAACTGCGTAACCGTCTCTATCCTTATGCACTAAAGTTATCTTTCGCGGCCAAAGCCTTTGCATAACCATGATAATAACGAGCGTTCCAAACATTCCGGCGAACATCATTGCTATGGGGTTCGACTGTTGTTCTCCTGCATGTGGTGGAGGCTGGTGATTGTATATTGGAGCAGGCGATGGAGGTTGCGCCGGTGGAGGCGGACCTGTAGTTTTTAATGCACTACTTCCGCTACTTGCGCGCTGCTTATTCTTTGACGACTTTGTCCCATACGACGGTGCTGTTGCGGCCTTGCTCTTCTTCGCGGATCTCGACGCATCGGAAAAACCGAAGAAATACCTCTGTTGCTGCGGCAAAGGTGACAGAAAAAACGAAGAGGAACAAGAAGCCGTAGATCTAGTAACGCCAGCTGGTCCGCAGCCCCGACTACCCAGCCCGGGCAAGCTTCTCTGCGGGCCGAAAGATGCGGGCTTTCGTCGAGTGACAGTGTTGAATGCCATCGACGCCGTTGGTCGCAATATGGTCATGGACATAGTTCTTGTTGGTGCACTATTAGAAATTAAATTGTAATTTCATTCAATCAATCTTTCGTATCTACAACTAGCATGAAAAATCTCCAAAACCAAAAGTCAAATATATTTAATATTAATATGCATATGACTACCACCCAGCAGAATGTTTGTTCTTCTTCACTCGCTGATGATTCCCAATGATCTTTTAAAAAAATAATAGGAGCTTCCTAGCTTCTACGTAAGTCACCCTCGCAGAAACTTGTGGATTTAAGTTTTCAACTCGATGCTTCCGTGCAACTCGGTTTGGAGTCCCTTTCCAAATAACAGCAGGTGTTTCATATAATCTGACACGAACAGTGCACCGGTGATGCAATGGATCCGTCTCCATTTTTCAGAAATAGAGTTCGCAGTTTGATGGGGGATGAATGATTGATATGCGCACAAACAGTAAAAGCGTGGGGTAAAAGTAAATCAATGCGGTTTTGAGATTCTTCTTGCACGAAGCGTTGCGTAGATCTTCATGGCTTCATGATATTTCAAGTTCGTTTTGTAACTCCTCTGAGTCCATGGAAGAACATCAGGTTCTCCTTGATGTCAGAGACAGAATGCCCTTGTGCCCTACGCTACTCGGAGCGGATCTCTGTCGACCTCGCTGATAAGCGGCTCTACACTGTAGTCCGGTCCCATTTTTTCTCCTATCCGCCTTGCAACCTCCGGTAAGAAACCGCGTTCTGAGTTTGAATGCTCGCACAACAAAACATAAGCGCCATTCTGGTTTAGCTCTAGCACGTCATGATGTGACATCTCACCACTGATAAAAAGATCGACTTTTGATCCGCGGTAACCCTTGAAAACGCTGCCACCGGAGCCAGCGCACACTGCCACCCGACTAATCGTTTTCGTTTCCTTTGAGATATTGGCGTTCATCGGTTCCCCGAGTCGTAGGTGTGGCAATTTCGTGTGCGCTTTCACTACACCTATCGCATCATCAATGCTCAGCGGCTTTTCGAGGTCGCAGACACGACCGAAGCCGAACGCCGGATTGGGGTTTCCCTTCAATCCTTCAACGGGTAAAACCGTGTCAGCCACGATATTTGAACCAAAAGCAGAGAGCAACCAGTCATTTATACCACCTGTGACGCAATCGAAGCTGGTGTGCGTCGCGTAAACTGGAATGCGATTCGTCAGCTATAATGTTTGGGGAGTGAGACTCTTAAAAGAGAGAATGAAAAAGGAGCGTCATTGACTTAGGCTGAACATGCTCTGTGAAGAGTACAACTTCTATCTTCATCATTGAGACCAAGGAACTTTATACGTTTGTGAAATCAATAATCATGGACGTACAGCAAGGAGCTACAACCAACGACCGGGAAGATGTTGGAAGTCGCTATAGTACCATGCTAAGCATGACTCTGCCGATGTGCGTGTGTCGTGTGATTTTGTTCATCTTGCCAAAAGGCGTTGGATGGTAGGTGATGACGCAATCCGCTTTTCTTGCGATGACTTCCTCAACGACTTGTTCTGTTAGGTCATTGCAAAAGAAGAGCCTCATTTTCTTTGTCGTATCGAACGATGCCCATTGCGTTTCATCAGGACAGTCGAGGAGAAGCCCGACATTGTCCCACGGCGCCGCAAGCTCTAGCGGTGCAATCTCTTGCATGACCTTAAGAAGCCGCTGCCAAGCGGGTGGGCCGGCTTTGTGCAAAACGGACGGAAACATTTTTCTTGCTTCGTATAAGAACGTACGTTTTAACTGAAATTCTAGTATGAGATTAACTTCAACGCCGAGAATGTTCTCGTAATATTCGTTTGTCGTAGTCGTTCTTTCTGTTCATAAAACAATTCCCAATTTCCACCAAGACCAAGAGGGAGTCAGTCCTGATGAACCAAGACAGTGAAAGAAGTGCTGTGCTGAAAAAAAGTCAAGTACCGTAGCTGTTGTTGCACTAGGCGAGTTTAGCTCCTATGAGACCTTCCTTAGTTAACACTTCCTAGTGCCACACCAGCAATGAATGTTGATCGTGTCCGTGAGCAGGACAAGGACTGTCATTCCCTCAGTTCAAGGTGAATGACATGGATCCGAAACTCGTGTCCCTGGAAAAAGAGGCAGGAGAAGATTGAAGTGGAAGTGGAACAGAGGATCGTCTACTGAAGTGCCATCTTCAGGATCGTGATCAAGAGCGGGATCTCAGGCACTCTGGGGACGATACCATGCTTGTCGTTGATTCGATCATTTATCTCCATAGGCAAACGGGCTGAACAAGCATCTTCATCTAAACACGCGAACAGCATCAGCGGTGCGTCCGGTTGATCGCACAACCGCTCATGAATCAATGTCGGCGTATCGCATACATTGTGTCTGTGGTTCAACCACGTCGTTCATATGTATTGCGATTGGCCTTGCTAGTACTCGGTATGTTGTGGCAGCACTGGATCGGTGGTTGGCTGGCTCCATGAATGTCGCAGTGATGTTGACGATGCAGTTGTCTCCACGCTTCCGTGATAGTATTGTAGGTATGTTAACAAATGTATGTAGGTATCATGTCATGGTCATCTTCAAGCAAAAACGTCATGGAGCAACAACGAAACGATGTTTGACAGCGAGTCAATTGTCGTAATCCTCCTGCTCGTCTATCAAAACGGTCCGCCGTACCTGGCCGTGATTCTCCGAATGCCATTGAAGATTAGACTTTTGAAGTTGAGTTGAATGAAGTTATGCATGAGTTTGTAAGTGAGGATGCGCCTAAACATATCAATGAATCGTCAGATTTGCCGTTTCTAGTATCGTATGAGTTGTATGGGGACACCAGTACAATTAAGGCTAATATACTTATACCATTTGCCGTCCTATCGCTCCGACCCACCCTTCTTTCTCGGTTGGTGTTTCTGCGATAAAGAAGAAGAATTTGCCGTCTTTTTGTCTCTGCAAACAGAATGAGTTTTCCATACCGCAGTCTTGCTCCGCACTTCTAACTGTCATCATGTGCCCAAAAAATACCAACTCGGTTGCCTCGATACACTTGTACACAGGCTGTGGCCCTTCTCGAAACGTTGCTAGGCCTGTAGTAAGTTTTTTTTCGTGTTTGGCCTCAATTGCTTTTGCGCTCTATTGGTCGATTTACATAAAAATGAAAATATTATACTTTCAAGCCACAAAGTGAACTTTTCTGGAAGTAGAAGTAGGTGCAATACTAGCTAGTTTTCACGTATTACAACAAGGTCTTCGAGCGAACGAGAAGAATACAATCTTTCGTCAGCACGACGTATCTTTTTCTCCACTCTTTGACATTCCTTGACTGCTTCGTGAGCCACCCCTCCTTCACTACGTCTCTTGAGCTTATCACGGCGTCTACGTCTACGCCATCCAAGTTTGCCCTTGCACTTCCCGCAAAAACGCTGAAGGCCTCAGCTAATTTTCCGACAACGGACATGGTATCTGCAGCCTTGGACACTAGCGTTGAGATAGCGCAAACGAGGAGCTGCGATCAAATGTTTTCACTGCTATTCTTGTTGATGCGTTGTCTTTTCTCTTATAGAATTTGGGGAATAGGGGAAGGTTGTACTCCCCGCGTTGCCGTATGATCTTTTGCCCTGCGACACAAGCTGAATTTCCCGACCGCTGTAAATCACTGGCGCGGTACTAAGCACAGAACTACGGACGCGCCCAATATCTTCCGCGGATCGTGCGTACCCACTCACTCGTGGTCGCCTCCACCTCAGCTTGAGTCAACGGCTCCTGAAAACTTTGAACTTTGATCACCAAGGCATGCTGCAAGTGCAACTCCCACAAACTCATAGCTCGTATCCCGCTACTGTCGCTGCTTCCTATCGAGGGAACAAAAGGTGAACGACGCTATCAATTTTTGCATCTTGTCTGTGTCTCTTACTTGCGCAAAAAAAAAAGCTGCCTCACTCAATACTCATAAAGCAGACCTCCATCCCTCAGTTTCTCCCGTCATCCAACTTTGAGTTTTCCAAACCAGGGCGCATCATCCTGTATTCCTAAATTAGGATGACACTCACGTCATAGTTGTTGATCGTCTTCTAGCACTATGCCAAGATTATCTGAACAAGAGAAAACGAAAAGATCTTAGGAGAAGTAGCCAGGAGCTGCAGCTGCTGCTGCATGTTTCACTAACGCGAGACCAAACTATATTGAGACTGTTTGGTGCAAAATCTCTCTCAGTGTTGATACAGCATCCTGAGGTCAAAGCGTCGAACACCTCACTGTTAACAGTCACTACAATGTTGTATCTATAGATCGGCCTGATATAAATAAGACGGGGGCCCTACAGCATTGTTCATTGCCATTGCCATTGCCATTGCGCAACAATAACTAACAGACTAGCCAAACCAATGAGCAACATGGTCCAAATGCTCAATCGATTTGTTCGTCATCGATAATATTTCTCGCCCAGTCATGTTCAAGATCCATGTCTGCCCCCTCCCATAGTTGTAAATTGCGTTTCACGAGTTCGTCCTCCTGCGCTCCTGTACGATTTGACGACGCTCGTAGTTGGCTGCGCCTTTCTGCAATTCTCATCGAGAAAGTGTTAGAAGTACCCGTCGGATTTTCATCTGCCTCGTCGTCTCCTCGTGACCGAGGTCCCTCTTGTGGGGCGCCGTTGCTCTTAGAAATTTTAAGACCAAGCAGAATATTGTTCTGTCCGCTGCTCGTTGTACTATCAAGTACGGCGTCACTCCCAAAAGGTGCTGGAACCGTGACGTTCATCTCACCAGCGACGAGGACGCCTCTCACGCTGTTATGAGTCGAGGAGCCTGGCAGTGGAGCCACGTCCAAAATGCCTTCTGCCGCTCGCTGTGGCCCGCATAGTGTGACCGCTCCGCCAGCAAGCAAGATTTCGTCACCTCCTCCAAGTTGAAAATCAACCTGGAATTGATCAACATTGGAGGGAGCTGTCATCATGGATTCCACGAAGTTGCGACCCGCCTTCACCTCGCCAGTGGCTGCGCAGATGAATTTTTCCTCTACGGCTAGAGTAAACTCGCATCTGTCGCCTTCGTGGCACCAGTGAACAAAGCCGCAAATCTCACAGCCCAAAACGCACGTTTTCCGCCGTGCAGTTCGAGGCCAGTGGCTGTGGTATAGCTGCGTCCAACGATGTGGCACTTTGATGTTGCTCCCTGTTGACACGACACCAGAAAGAGAATAAGAATTATCTTTGTCAGACGTTCTCGAAGAAGTAGAAGAAGCTCCTCTGCACCAAAAACCTGAGTCAGCGGGAAAAGTTGCTTCATACTGCAAATTTCTACTCCTCTGCTCATGCGCTAAGGGGGAGGTCATCTTCTTGAACGAACTTGAATGGCCAGGAATGCCACCTGCAATAGCAATCTTGTTCATGGTGGCGCCGTAGAATGGGCTGGCTGACGATGACCTGCTACTTGAGGAAGACGTGCCAAGGCTCGAGCTGCCAAATGGAGCGGCAGAAGTGGCTCGAATTCTCGAGTAAGTTGAAGCAGATGAAGAAGATGCCGAGCCACGAGCTGCTTCTCCTGCTGCACCTGCACTAGACGAACTTGTAGCAGGCGCGCGGACATCTGGCGGTGGTACTGGCGCATGATACTGGTGAGTTGAACGAGTAGAGGAAGAAGGCGGAGTAGATGTAGTCCCTTGTACATCTGCAACTCCTGATCTACTTTTTAGGGCACCTATTTGTCGCCACGTGATTTTTTCTTGGAAATCAGCGACAATAGCTTCAGGATCAAGGAGGTCTTCTTCGCGCAGAGGAACGTTTGCACCTTGGTCTCTCTGATGTCGGTGAATCCCGCGCCCGCCTTGGCCCTTGCCGATCCCATTTCCACCAAATCCGTTGTGATTTTCTCCACCTTCATCTTCTTGATCTAGGTTGTTGACAAGCGCAAAGAAATCACGCCAATCCTCAGTTTGCGCGGATTTTTGCACCGGCTCCGTTAGGTACTTGTGGCGGAAATAGAGGTACCAGAAAGGAAAAATTTGTTGTCGATATGCTGCGCTAGCCGTCTTGATGTTAGAGGTCGAACTGGTATCGACAAAAAATGGTTTTTCCGCAGGAAACGTGTCAGCAACGACGTCAGGCAACAGAACTGTAGATGTCGTGGCCCTGGGAGTTGTTTTTCCATGAGAGAAACCGTATAAACCACCTTGCGACACTGATGCACGATTTCTAATAGCCGCCGCAGTTTCTTTCAAACGTGGTAAACACGGATAAGCTCCGTCGCGTCTAGATGTTATCGCTCCTGCTCGCCTCAATACTTCTAATCTCCCAACACCCGGCTGGGTGGCCAACGAAGACGCAATCTTGGCTTGAGCTGCTGCAATGCTGAGAGTACTTTTACCCATACCGACGGGTCCCACTAAAACTTTCGATGTCGTTGCACTTTGAGAAACCGCACCCAGTGGTGCTCTCCCTTTCATATTTACCAGCTCTTTCGGAATTTGTGGCTCGACTCCATATGGTCCGTTTTTTCCAGCATTTTGCATGTTCTTAGTACAACTGCGTTGTATCTCGTCCATTCTGTCGCTTATTATCTTGCTGTCCTGCTTCTTAGGCTCTTCCTCAACGCTCGTAGAAATCGCCTTGATCTTTTGGCCATTCCACCCCCAGAATTCACCCGCGAGTACCTGGCGTTGGTATGTCCGATAGAAGTACTGCCGATACGCTTGAAACCAGAAAAGTTCCGTTCCCATCACCATCGCGTGGGTCGCACGGCACACGCTGGAAAAGCGCAGCAAAAGGCATCGCCATGGGATGAACTCGCAAATCCGGCTTTGCACCAAATCCGGAAGGTCCAATAACGACATAGAGTAGGGAGCTGTGCTCGCCGCGTCGTGTCCTCTTTGCTTATGTAGTGCGTCTGGTGACGACGACGAGTGGCCAAAATATATTTGATTCACGACTCCATCTTCTGCCGTGGACGCTCCTCGCTCTGAAGATTGATGTGCAGATGAAGAAGTTCTTCCAGTTTGAAGATTATTTTGCAGTTCTTCTAGGAGTACCGCAGGCTCTTCGTCTACATCAAATGCAAACGCGGTGTACCGGAGTTCATTCTGCAAGTACGTTGGCGAAACTGGACGTCTTGGACCAGACAAGATGACCGGCTTCTTGTTTGAGTTCGATCGCATAGAAGTACTTCCATTCCTTGACCCTGAGGATGGTGGCGTCCCACGACCGCTCGGGGTTGCAGATTCCCGCGGTCCGCAGCAGTGCCGCGGTCTGGGTGAGCGTTTCGGTCTCTTGGCGGAACGCGATGCATCAGGAGCATCGGCTTCTACAAAAGCTCTTGTCTCCCCTGTTGGAGAAGAGTTCTTTTGACGCTTCGGACCAAGAAGAGGAGGCGACTCCTGTCGACGTTTTCGCCCGCCGTCTGCGAACAGGTTACTCCCCTCACCAAACACAGCTGCCTCCAACTCGTCAAAAAGGTCATCGCCGTCGGACTCAGCGGCTACATTTTCATCTGCCGCACCAGTCCTCATGACATTCTTAGCCGTCGCGTCGTTCTTCTTCATGTTATATACGCGGTAACAAGAAACCGATTGAAAAGTCAACAAGTCATGAAATAAAGCTCAAATACGATCATTCAATCCCGTAGATACAACAAGAATAATTGGACTCAAAAGAAGCATGACTTTGAGGTGCTGCTGGGTCTTGCCACAACACCTCCACCTTTTCAAAAAGTCAAATTTACCAAACAATACAAAATCCAAGTTTCTAGCTGCAGATAATGTTAAAAATCTGGGGATGGCGAACTTTAGGAACAGAAATATTACAGGGAGGCGCAATCTCACAGTGGGTAAAAAGTCTCCGACGAATTGGGTATTTCACAGCCGCCGAAGCCGCGATTCTTATTTTTTCAGGAACGAAGTTAGACTGAAGGCATAGTTGTATCGAACAACTTTCTCATGCTTCATAAGAATGAGATAATAACTCAAAATTATACATAGATTTTCGATATTTTCTTTTTATCGGAAGAGATTCAACACACGCACGGAGCAATACCATGATGAACACCGAAACAGCTTCGGCTAATGCTGCTCGTAATAAGCTTTGAAGCGGAGAGAACAGTGCTAGACTGCTCGTAATAATTGATGCGGCAACATCAGAGAGCGTGCTGCTTTGCAGTTTGCGATAATCTGAAAATACAGTGAAAACCGACTGCATGCAGGTTGAGGTTAGTCAGCGACATCAACATGACACGACTGCGGTATTTGGGGTACTGCGAAGCGGTAGGGGTAGGAGTAGAAGATGAGGAATAATTGGAAAAAATCATTTTCTTAGGAATTCACTGAACACAGATATCCGTTTTCGTGCCCCTGTCCCCAAAAATCAAGATAACACAGTTTCTTTACCGGAGGTATGACACGTATGTGAGACTTCCTTTGTGTTGTTTGATCGTTTCCTTCTCCTTCCGTGCCCGAGACTTCGGTGGGGCTACATCTGACGCCTCGCCTTTTGCGACGCCATCACCAACCTTGGTACCAGCAGGAGCAACATCCTCTTTTGTAGCTGTGCTATCAGCTTCACTTTTTGCTGAATTTGCAACTGACGAAGGAGAAGTTTCTGGCTTGCTGATTTTCGGTTGCGGTTTGAGAAAGGGCGCTTCTCGCTCCATTCGGAAGTACGGGAACGTTCTGAAAGCCGAAGAAAAATTTTTGAAACCCCACTCTGCGACTTCAAGCTTGTCTCCGTCGTTGTGGGTCATCTCCCAGGCCGTTTTTAAGCAGCTGATGTTCTTTCCTGCATAATCTTTCTCCTTGTGTAGTTCTACCATTTGTTGCTGGATTCTGTCCGGAAAGGAAAACTGAGGATGTTTCTGCACCAGATGAACGCGGTTCGCAAGAGTGGAAGGAAGCGAGTAAAAAGGAACTTCGATCTTTTTCTCTCCCTGTTGCTCGCACTGTTCGACGTACAAATACCGATCGTTAAGCTTGTACCTTATATTTTCAAAAACTCAAAGTTTTTCTCCTCGTTGATCAGAACGGTAAGATAGGAGAGCGAGTGAACCTTACTGGAAAATTATTTGTTCCATGAAACAATATTTAGCAAGACTACTCTTCATAATCATGTAACAACTTAATGCTGTTGAGCAACCAATATTTTCAAAGTCAATTCTTATAAGTTGATAGATAAAAAACATAACAAAGAAATAATCTATATTAAATCTACACTATTAATCTCCGCCGCCATAAAACTCCCCGCCTAACCCACCGGAGATTAGTCACCTCCTGCCGCGAAGCTATTGCCCATAGCCTCCTGCCCTTTCCCCTCACTCTGAAGCCCGATAGCATTCGGCCGCTTTCTTGTTGGAGTTCACGTCGTGGCCCCGTGGCAGACTACCAGAAAAGAAGCCAGAAAAATGCCCGACGGGGGTAGGGGCGCAAGCTGGCGAGAGAAGTCCAAAGAGAAACAGCCGAAGAAAGACCTTCGACC